CATCGCCACCTCTTTTATTTGGGTTTACCCACTTATGGACAGATTTGCAATGCTGCTGCATCCTAGCAACCGACCTGCATATATAACCACACTGCCGGCCGGCGCTATCAAGGCTTGTACACATGAGCCCGTCTTGATACGTTCTGAGGCACTCGATAGGCTCTGCATCTGGATCTGGGTATATAACGTCCTGGGCGGATCGCGCGACAGAGTCGCCTAGATCGTCGATGATGGACTGGATTCCTCTGATCGATTGACTACTGATGGGCGAATGCTGAGCTCGCAAATGGCTTTTGATTGCCTGTGGAGGGACTGCAAACCGACACGACCTGCAGATTATGATTTTGTATTTTGGCAGATGGGTAAGATAAGCATCGAATTCGTCCTTAGGAAACAACATGGATGACGACTGACGAAAAGAAGCAGCTTAGAGTTTGATGGCAATCAATATGAAGTTAGAGGGTAGGCATGTCCAAAAGATGGCTTAAGGTAAGGTAAGAAATGTCTAAGAAGTGTAGAACGCGTAGTGGTCAGGACGCGATGCGCGCTATCCGGCGCGTGGAACTAGCGCGTCAGCTTGAATGCTCTAGCAACCCCCAGATGCCGGAGATACACTATGCTATTAGCAGCACGATGTTTCTTTGCTAGAAATAATTTGCTAGATGGTTAGATGGTCAAGATGGAATCTTGAGATGTGGATAGCTTAGAAAATATGGTCTAACGAACATGCAAAGGTGTATAGAGGCCATGAGGTTGTGTGCATTTGAAAAGGTTCGATGTTGCGGCAAAACTCCGGAGGAAGGGTCAAAATGTTTGAAAGGTCGAATTGTTCGTGGCATGGAGGTGAGGGTCACCTTACAATTTATTGTGAGGATATACGAATTTAAAGCAGCCGAATCGAAGAACTACACGAGGAGACGTCGTCGCAACGGTCGCAGGTGCGATGGAAAGCGACGCCAGCTATGGGGATGCGGGGGAAGCTCGAAGCTTCAGCCTTGGCATCCCAACGGGCGCAGATATGGCTAGAAAGACGAGATCAGTAAGGAGAGGCTCGAAGAGGATGAGGGAAGAAACAGAGGCGGACGAAATTCGAGTCGGAGACCCGGTTATCTTCAATAGCGCAGGCAGGATCAGCAACGCAGAACTGGTGAGGGCGATTGTCGACGAGTTCAACAGAGCCCAGGCCACACAGGACGCAAAGTACAACGCCGCAATCCGAGAGATTCAAGGCGCGCACATCGACCAGATTAAGAATATCACCCAGAAAATCAACGAAAAACACCATGANAGAAACCGAAGGAATCTTCAAAAACACCAGGAAGAAACCGGGAAGATCGTTAAAAAGCACCACGAAGAAATTAAGAAAATCACCGAAAAACACCAGAATGAACACCAGAAATTTACAAAACAGGTTCAGGAACTCCAGAAGCAACTAGAGGACAGCAAGATTAAAGAAATGAACGAAGCGATCTATCGGATGGAAGAACAGCTAACACAGCTGTCTATCGCCGGATCCGCGAGTCCCACGGCCACGACCAACTCGCCATCGACTCAGCCCCGTAGGACATGGTCTCAAGTCGCAAGCCAGAAAGGACCGAGTCTCCAGCACTCGGCTAGGACAGAGCTCCTCTCGGAGTCTGACACTAGTCATAATGCCCAACCTCTAGCCAACGAAGGAAAGACCATAGAGATTGACATCTCTAGGGCCCGCGGAGACAAAGACGACTTGAACAAGGTAAAAGGCAAATGGATTAAGGCTCTTCAAGAGAATCCGAACACCGAGGACGTCGAGGTCGAATTCCTCCGTGAGATCTACACTAACAAAGTGGAACTCTGTCTGGCCACAGTCGAGCAAGCCCAGCGCACACGCGACAATCCTAGATGGATTGAGAGAGCGATGCCAGGAGCCCGCATTCGCGGCGAGACCTGGTACCCAATCAAGGTTGACGGCATTTCGAAGAGTGTTGTACTCGACCCGGCCGGAGGACCGAAGACCCTAAAGCCAGAAATTGTAGCCAACTTCGCGACCGACAATAGTAAGGACAACATCGACTGTACAGCTATGAAGGCTGTCTGGATCAGCAGGCCATCAGACAAGGTTAACGGGTCGATGATTGTATGGCTAAAGAAAAGAGAGGCAGCTGCCTATCTGCTGAGGAAGATGACCGTCATCTTTGGACCCACAGCTGGATTCGCGGCCCCGTATGAGGCAAAGGAGAACAACGACCCGTGCTTCAATTGTAACAGCTACGGCCATTACCAGTTCAGATGCACCAAACCCGCCAAATGCGGCCACTGTTCGGGAAACCACCAGAGCAGGGACTGTATGGACAAAAGTAACCCTAAGTGTCCGGCGTGTAACGGACCCCATTCTATTATGGATAGGAGATGCGTCGCCAACCCGAGACACAAGGAGGCAAGACAACAAGCACCTGATACGAGACCACAGGCGACTCAGTCCTCTATTAGATGTTAGGACACCAGATAAGCATCTTACAGGCGAACGTAGGGGCTAGGCCAGGCCCTATCATGAGCATTTTCAACGACGATAGCACGGCAACGTTCGACGCCATGTGCATCTCAGAACCATACATATTTGCTCATCCTAGGACAGGGGAACCCACAGTCAATCAACACAGTGGGTGGACGACGATTACACCGAAAACATACAATCAGGAGGCGAGCTCGGTGCGATTCTCGTTCCGTGCAGCGATCTGGGTGTCAGACAGAATCAAGCACCAGGAAGTTGAGACCACATCGTCAGACGTAGCAGCGGTGACGTTACAAGTGGAAAGTGCTTTGCTATTGCTCATATCGATCTACGTCCCATACAAGAGACCACAGGAAGAGATCGACCTACAGGAGCGTATAGCGTGCGCCCAAGACATTATACAGAAAACCCGGGAGAAAACAGACAGCGCCCTCCACGTATACGTAGGGGGTGATCTCAACCGTCATAGCAATGTGTGGGGAGGGAAGGAAGTAGCGCCAGACAGAAGAAAGGACGACTGGCCCATTTTACAATTCATGGTCGAAGAAGAATTGGACTCTATGCTCCCGAGAGGCACGATCACCTTCTCGCACAACAACGGACTACACCCGACTACTATTGACTTAGTCCTGGTGTCACCAGGACTACAGGCGGCTATGATCCAGTGCAAAACCTCCGATACAGACCACGGAGGCGACCACAGGGTCATAGAGGCCCGCTTCCAGATGCCCTGGGAGATTAGGACGACGAGGAGACTAGGGAGAAATTACGACAAAGCAGACTGGGGAAACATCTGCAAGGCAGTTAGTATCATACCTCGACCTCGACAGATCTCGACGAAAGAGCAGCTTAACGACGAGGCCGAGAGGTTTGTTGAAGCGATTACCCAGATAGTCGCAGATAAGATCCCATACGCCAAACCTCATCCAAACGCAAAAGGTGGTGGACACCATCCCTCTCGGCACTCCAGCTTACACTTTCATCTTTACGGAACCAGGAGACAGAACGGAGAAGGAGAGACTTAAACTGCAGGGACTTACATCGACAGATCCAAGCAGTTCGAAAAGATTACCTCTCACAAATAGCAAGTCAGAAGGCTGCCTACTGGAGGAAGTTTGTGGACAGCCCAGAGAACGTGTGGAAGGCCAACAGGTACACTCGCATGGATCCAGGATCTAGGGGTGTTCCTACGTTACAAGGAACCCAAGGGCTGGTCGACGACGATGAAGGAAAAGCAACGGTACTCCTCCAAGCCTTTTTCCCACCACAACCGGAGCCCGAAGGGGAGAGCCTAGAAGGCGTAGAGGCTCCCTTACCTACGAGGACCTATGAAGAGATCACAGAAAGCGAAGTCCGCGCGGCGATCTTCCGATCAAGTCCGAAAAAGGCACCAGGGCCAGATGACATACCGTTCCTAGTCTGGCAGAAAGTATGGGATGAGGCAAAGGGTAGCATAATGGCCCTGTACAAGGCATCGCTACGTCTAAGCCATCTTCCAGACAGCTGGAGAACGGCGAGGATAGTCCCTCTACGAAAACCTGGAAAACCCGACTACACAGTGCCAAAGGCTTTCCGGCCTATCTCACTACTAGCTACGATTAGCAAAGGCCTCGAGGCGGTGGTCGCGAACAGACTCGCCTACCTGGCAGAGAGACACAACCTTCTTCCAGATAACCATTTCGGAGCTAGGAAGAAGAGATCGTGCGAGCAAGCGATCAACGTTCTCGTAGAACGCGTATACGAGGCCTGGAGAAACAGGAAGGTCGTGTCTCTAGTGACCTTCGACGTCCAAGGGGCGTTTAACGGGGTTAACCCTAGAGTGCTTGAAGCAAGGCTCGAACGGAGAGGAATACCCGATACCCTGAGCAGCTGGGTTGGAGACTTCTGCAAAGAAAGGACGGCCACGGTCGCCCTCGAAGCGTTCGAAAGTGAAAGACAGCCGATCGCTCAAGCTGGCATTCCGCAGGGGTCACCGCTATCCCCTATACTTTACATCTTCTACAACGCCAATCTCATTGGGCAACCTATCGATAAGACAAAGGGAGCCCTAGGGTTCGTTGATGACTACTCTCCGTGGGTCGTGGGAGACAACGTAGACGAAAATATCCAGACCCTCCAAACGACAGTCATTACAAAGACCGAGAGGTGGGCGAGAGAAAGTGGAGCGACGTTCGAACCGTCAAAGACAGGCCTTATCCACTTCACCCGAAGGGTAGAAGAGGGCCAGCAAAACGGACCGGACCTGCAGTTCCAAGGCCAAGACATCGAACCAAGTGAGCACATCAAGCTGTTAGGGGTCACCTTAGACTGCAAGATGAAATTCCATCAACATGTAGCAAGGATGACGGCCAAAGCTATGAAGCAGTGCCTTGCTATCAAACGACTACGAGGAGTTAGGCCTAAACAAGTCAGACAGCTGTACAATGCGACGGTTACCCCGATCATGGACTACTGCGCTTCTGCATGGTACGGACCTGGAAAGTGGGGAACAACCTCGCTGCTCCGCAATATGGAAAAGGTGCAGCGCATTGGAGCCCAGGCGATAATACTCTCGTTTAAGGCTACAGCCCTTACAGTGGCTCAAGCCGAAGCGGGCATCGAAACCACAGTCGACCGGCTACAAAGGAAGGTTGCTAACCATTTGGTTAGGAGCCTTACAGTACCAAACACAAATCCTTTATTCGACTGCCTAACTAGGCTATTCACCCAAGGCAAGAGCTTCCCGTCTCCGCTAGCTATCACCGCGCGGAAGTTTGGCCCGGATCTAGGCCTGACGGCCGAAAGCCTAATGGAGACCGTAGAGCCAGTGCTTCAAGAACCGTGGACAGAGGGCGTCCCGGGATGCCTAGTTAAGGGACTAGAAGACGAGGCGGATGTAGTCATTCGACGACTACGATCGAAAGCAGGCAGGGAAGAGAGATGCACATTCTATACTGACGCAGCACGGAAGAGCGGCGAGAGTGGCATTGCAGTAGTGCAAGGGAACACTGGAAAGACTATCACCCAAAAGCGACTTCCTAGATGGGCAGCAGGCGACTCGACGGTTGCAGAACTTATAGCCATCGAGGCAGCGCTAGCATATCAAACAAGGAGAAGGCCACGCCCGATAAAGACGATCATCGCGACAGATAGCAAGCAAGCTATCCGACATATCACGGAGGGGGCAAGCCCACACGGACAATACGTGGTACGATACATCCGTAAGCACATCGATGCTCTTCAGGCCCGGGAAGGGGCAATGGTCACCTTACAGTGGGTACCGGCCCATAAGGGGTGGTACGGCAACGAGTGGGCAGACAAGAAGGCGAAAAAGGCACTAGAGGAGGGACGGGGAGAGGGGGAAGGCCCTGCTACGCAACCCGCAGGTCCTACTAACCCCCTAGCCTCTTTGGATCTTTGGACATCTACGGACCCCCAACACCTACTAACCCCCTAACGCCTCCGGACGCACGCGACCGTAGCATGGCAAAGTCGAGAATATACCAACAACGCTACACAGGAGTTACGAAGAAGATGGTCTTAAGGGTGGCTAAGAAGACACTTCAAAAGAAGCTGGACGAGACCTGGAAACAGGCCAGAAAGACAAGACCTCGAGACACGCTACATACTGGATTGTACACGTGGAAGCTAGACGGAGCTCTCCCAGGCCCCCATATAGCGATAGTGTATAATGCATTGTCCGCGGAGGAGGCGTCGATACTCGCCCAATGCCGGACAGGGCACTCCCGACTAAAGAGTGACCTATGCCGGATGAAACTGGTGGACTCAGCAAGGTGCGAATGCGGAGCCACGCAAGAAAGTGTTGAGCACGTCATATACGAATGCCCCCTCCTACGCGAAGATCGTCAAATTGCTATCGAGGCAGTAGGGCACAGGTGGAGGGACCTTTCTTACATACTCGGGGGCTGGAATCCCTGGGAAGACCCGAGAACTGGGCGACCAGTCGACGGGCCGAAGGAAAAATGGAAAGCGAACCTCCCGGCGGTGAAGGCGGTCCTCCATTTTCTTGACAAGTCCGGCAGGTTTGCGTGGCAGACGAGAGCTGTCGAGTAAGGGGAAGCTAGAATGGAACAAGGACAGATAGGGACATAAAAGGTAAAACCAGTAGGAGACGGCTAATAGGTTTGCCGTAGAACCAAGTAGCCTGATCAATTAAATCAATCAATCAATCAATCTAGTGTTAGGGTATAAAGGATGATCTTATTATAGGTATAGTTAAAGAGACCTAACTCTATTTATATATACTTAGCTTCTATCGTAGCCTACTTAATAAGACTTCCTCTAATAGTATTAGCTTTATAGACTATATAAAAGATGTTTAGTCGATTACTAGATGCTCTAATTACTATAGGGCGGCGTAAGTAGTTCCTTTCCTCGAACTCTACCTATATAGATAGAGGGAGTATAGCTATTAGGTAGAGAAACTAAGTTTATAGACTTCGGATTATTATAAGCTTAACGATACTAGGTCGATATTTAGCCGCGGTTACGGTTAGGTAGTATTCGTCGATTATAATCTAATTAAGCTTCTACTCTACTACTAGCCGGCGAGTATACTTTATAAAATCCTTAGACGAAATAGCCTCGGCGCTAACTAGCACTAGTACTACCTCTCGACTCTCGCCTAGCCGCTACTCGAGGTAATCTATCTTTATCTACTATACGCGTCGAAGTATATCTATATAGAGTGTAATGAGCGGCACGATAAGAATCGTTATCCTAGTATCTAGAAGAGTATATAGTAGTATAAAGAGTAGGCTCTTTCTAGCTCCTATAGGAAGGACGGCGACGACCTACTTAGTCTAGTATATAATCTTTATAAGGGCTTACTCCTACTCGGCGGATTTCTAGCCTACGTCCTTATTTCCGTATAGCTTCTTTACGCCTCCTAAAAGAGCTTCGGTCGACTAAGGCTTCCGAGAACGGTAAATACTTATAGTAACTCGTTTTATAAAGCTAGCCTCTTACTCGACCCTTCCGCGCTTTTTTTTGTTTTAGGATCATTTCTACGCCCTAGAAGTCTTACTATAGCGTCGAAGCCTAGAGACCTATACGTATCTTTCTATCCTATAGGTTACTAAAGACTACTCCTATCTAGTTAGCGTATACTCGATTAACTATCCGTGTCTTATAGTTACGCTATTCTATTATACTTCGGATTACTATATCTATTTCCTCTATATCTTCGTTGGCTTCGTCGTAATTAAAGTATACGATCTAGCTAGTAAACTTTGTCTTAACGATAGCTACTAAGATCTACCTCTAATTAGTAACGTAAAGGCGTAGTATATATACCCGAGTACTCGCTTCTTCTAAGTAGCGGCTTAGACGACCTTCCGGCTATACCTTTCCCTCCCTCTCCTAAAGATATAGGGAAAGTAACGATCTAGGCGATATCTACTATAGAAACCTCTCTCGTAGTAGTAGTATATAGACTATATAGTTAAGTAATAACTCTATAATAGGGTTTGCAAGAAAGCGAACATTATCCTTATAGCTTCCTATTTACTACTAGCCTTTATAGTATTAGACGTAGACTATTACACGGTTAAAGCGGATTAAAATCGAACGTCGGCGCTATATATTACGATATGTTATCGAGAAGAACTCGCTCTCGCGGATAGGCTAACTACTACTAACGTATATAAGGATATATAGCCGCTTTAGAAACTCTTATACTATAGCTTTATAGCTAGCTATCGCGCTCTCCCTCTACGCCTATCCGCTAGACGACTATCTATCCTTAATAAGGAAGATCCGGCATAGCTATTTAGATTATTTAATAGCTTTTATTAAAGCATGTTCCGTACTATCGAGGGTCGTTATATTATCTCTATACTAGCTAAAGTTCTAATAAATAGTATCGACATTAATACTATCTTTAAGAAAGTAAGGGCTTATCCGGCAAAGACTCTTAAGACCTAGTATTAGATCGTCGTATAGTAGCTAGTAGTATCCCTAGTACTTAGATATAAGTAAAGATAGAATATAATCTATACATAGCTCTATATCTTTATACGTTAAAGTCTCCTCGCTCTTATCCTAAGATACTTCGTAGCTACTAACGCTTATACCTAATACCTTAAATAGTAATAACCGCTACCTAAGTATTTCTCCTATCGGTATCTCGACGGTCTATTATAGATACTAGTCGTAGTAGACTTTTATAAGCTTAAGCGTCTTTCTATATCCTTACTACTCTTCTAAGACACTATCGTAGAAGACTAGTAGTTATATAACCTATATTATAGCTAAGAGGCTGCTATTAAAGTTACTAGGTTCTATCTAGCTTCGTATCGATAGTTTAATACTTAGTATAGTATAAAAGCTTAGTAACGGCAACTTATATCGGTAGGCGCCTATTATATAGTAGATAATAAGCATCTATAGCTCTAAAAGTCGATCCTTTAGCTTCGTCCTATTAGCCTTATCGCTAGTATATTCGTCTCCTTCGATAGAATCTATTTAACTCTACTAAGTAAGCTAGCATATGTCTTACTAGACTACTAACTACTAGTCTATTACCTCGATAATATCCTCTAGTCTCTATATATCGTCGCTATCTTTAGCTACTATACTAAAGTAATACTTATTAGGAGCGACGACTCTAGTAAAGAACGACATAAATCGACATACTATTCTAAAGTATATCTTAAGGCTCTTTAGCCCTTTATATAGATTAAAGGGCCTAGTCTTACCTTATAGATCGACTTATAACGGTTAGAAGCGACTAAGGACGACCTAATATTAGTAGGTTAATATATAGTTAGGCCTATCGAAACATAGCCTATATATATCTTATAGTAACGATTACATAGCGTCGATAATCGTATAAAGATTACTCTTATCTCCTAGTAGTAGAATAGTAATTCCTATTCGAATTTTATCCTTCTAGAGGTACTATATATGTTTAGTAATGCCTATCTCTCTTAACTACGGAACTACGGTAGAAACGTAATCGTAAAAGCTATATACTCGATTAGCGTCGCCGGTAGCGTCCTACTATACTTACTAGATATCGTCCTCTATAGCCTAGAAAAACTCCTATTTCTAATATACTTATAGCTCTAGGTTTAGGACTTTACTCTATTTTACTACTTCGAAGTACTTCTACTAGCTATTAACCTTAAAGAAATGTTAGTAGGCATAGTTTATAGTCTAGATCTTATTCGGTAAATAGAGGCTTTTACTACGTATATCCCCTCCTTATTTTTGCTTATTTTTCTATCTATGTTTATCTTAGTAGTGTTTCTATATTCGACGTAGGTCATGACATATATAGCTATAAGCGGTATTCTAATAGTCTGCCGCATTACATCTTAGCCCGTTAAAATAGACTAGAAGAGATAGGACTAGAGGATCTATTACTATCGGATAGATAATAGCTTCATGAACATTCGCTAGATTAGGGTAGCTCCTAATCCTAGTAATAAAGTCGTAACGTTACTTTATAGTAAGACGCTTATAGTATGTCCGTAGATATGTCGTTAGCTACGAAGGTACTATTACGTACTAGCATAGTATGTATATAAGAATCTTATAAGTAGTATTAATTTAGAGGAGATAGTTAAAATCTATAGCTAGAATAGATAAATAAACTAAAAGATCATAGTTATAATATCGTTATTAATATTATTAATAGATAGGTATACTACTAATTAATAAACTATAGATACGCTTTATATTATAAATGTTTATTAACATATCGTATAGCTAGCTATATAGGTTAAGTGCGGGAAGCTCCTAGATCTATTATAAGGTACGTCTTTCGTATAATTATTACTATAGGATAACTTTACTATTCTTAGTTATAGATAGACTAATCTTTCTAAGTAAGTATATCGATATTTAGAGAGTAAAACATCTTAATTTTAGCTAATTCTAAGCTTATTAAAGTAAAAGTCTCGACTCTTAGAAAGTAAACGTCTCGAGTTAAAGATAGAACCCTAAACCCTAATTTTATATAGGGTTTTAAGCATCTCGACTCGAACCGGTTATCTTCTAGTAGTAGTTTCGTTTATAGAATTATAGGTAGATAATAGAATAAGGATAGATAGGGATAAGGAAGGAAGAACTAAAAGGAGACGGCTTATAGGTTTACCGTAGAACTAAGTAGCCTAATTAACTAAATCAATTAATTAATTAATTAATTATAGGTAGATAAGGTCTAGACTAGTCTACTTAAGTCTTATACTAAGATAACTAGAAGTTTAAGAGTTACTACTATATATATCCTTATTAATATTTAGCTCTCCTTATTTTATAGTATCTATCTAAAGTATAAATAGGTCTTAGTAAAGCTTCCTTAGTACTAAGAAAGAGCTAGACTAGTCTAAAGAAGTATAGATCTATAGTTAGTCCTAGTTTTAGCTTTATAGATAAAAGTAACCTTATTTATTTCTAGCTATCTAGATTTTATACTAACTATCTAGATAAAAGATAAGTATCTATATTACTCTAAGATTACTAGAAAAGGTCTAGATTAGTCTAGATAAGTCTAGATCTAAGGTTACTCTAGACTTTACTTTTAGTAGTAAAGATATTTCTATTTCTTTTAGTTATTTAAAACTCTTACTAATATTTTAGGTTATACTCTAGGCTTTCTTTAACTTACTAGATACTAGAAAAGGTCTAGCTAAGTACTAGCTATAGTTTTAAGCTTAGACTTCTAAGTAATACTAAAAATATAAACTTAATAGAATTCTTTCTTTCTATTTAGATTTCTTATCTAGAATCTAAGTAGGTAGAGTAGTAGGAAACTAAGCTAAGAATACTATAAAAGGTCTAGATCTAAGTAAAAAGTTTAGATATAAAGATAAACTAAAGAAGTATATAAAATTAAGCTTATTTTAGCTTTTTAATACTTTTATAGTAATCTTATACTACTAGAGTGTCTATACTAGGTAAGAACTAAGTACTAGAGACTTTAACTAGCTAGAAGAAAATAAATAGAATTCTAGACCTTAGACTTAAACTTCCATTTAGTCGTTAATTAGGGACCTATAAATATATAAAAGAATTATTATAGTTAACTATAATTAGTATATAAAAAGCGAGAAGAGTACTATAATTTGTTTATAAAGATATGATATATTATTATCGCGGATTTTAGTAAGCTAGGAGCTATATATAAAGGCTACTATAGAATTACCTAATGCATCTAGCATTATTCCTATACTAACTAAATTTAACCTAGAGGCGGCTATCTCCTAAGTGTCCTATTAGCTAGGTTTTTAGAAGGTACTATATAACTCTATAATATTACTCTAGAAATTGCCTAAAGCATCTAACGCTAACTATTTTTAGCCATAATATTCGTGATATTTTTAGGATTATATTAGGTAGGAACCTAGCTCCTCTATTTTAAAAGAATTGACCCTCTAGTCTATGCTAAGATTTTCGACGCCCCTAGATTTTTAATGGAACTAAGTCACTTCCGTCGTAGGATAGTAGTTAGTAGGCACACATCTAAGAGGGCTACGACGATCCATCATGCTGCGTAGTCGTCTAGTGCTACGACAGCAAGGCGGACCAAGCAAAGAGGCAGCACGGCAATGAGGTGTAAAAGCAACACCGTACCCGCCACGTGGGTCGACAAGCTGAGAACAGCTATCACAATGAGCGTCGGCAACAAGAAACGCATCGGAAGCAGCGTAAGGATCGCCGTCGATGCGGATGAGCAAGGATATAACTGCGGAGCAATAGCGAGGGCATTACGAGCAATCAGAGCTGAGTCTTGCGCTCTCCTCGACGTCGACAATTGCACAGCCCATAATCCCGGCACGGCATGTTTGGAATATGCGAGCGTTAACGCGAAGCGATTGGATCTTGTAGCAAACGTGGCATGCCAAAGCCTGTTGTTGCGCGGCCACCCGAAACAGTCCGGCGTGCTGCAAAGGACGAGGGAACAAAGCGTCGACGGTTCAGAGACAGAGGACAGCAGAGATGACGTCGGCTTGACGAGCAAGAGCAAAGCCTTCCGCTTCCCTTGTCGTTGTCAGATTGCAAGGCCTTCAGCGTCGTGAATCCAACGGAGTCGACTCGGGAACAGACAACACGACTCAGACGAAGCGGCAGAACGAAAGAGTGTGAGAAGAAGACGCGAACGTGCAGAAGCGCTGCTCGCGATTGCTGTCGACATCCTCAAGACAAAGCCGACAAGCTGTGGCAACCTTGCATTTCAGGCAAAGATCCAAGCAAGACTGGAGACAGCAGAGTATGGCAAGCCACTGCAGGCAAGCGACAACAGCAAGCGACAACAGCAAGCGACAACAGCAAGCAGCAGGCCAAGCTCGGCAGAGAGGGCGATATGGTAGCGCTTGCTGCGTTGGAGAGGAGAGGAAGCGATGGAACGGTTCAGAAACCCTAGCAGCTTGCCGAGCACGTTTTGTTAATGGCCGGGGTGTATCCTTCTCTTTTCTGTGCTGCGTCTCGCTGTTGTCGACTAGGGCTGGCGGCGGGGAGGGGTTGGCGGCGTTCGTCAGGTCGCGAAAACGGTCTGTCGGTCGCAAGTCTGGGTCTGAATGATGCATATCGTCGGCATGGTCACAGACAGCGCTCCGATGCTTGATCGTGCGAAGGCGGCTAGGAGGGCTCAGGGGTAGCAAGATGGGACGTAGAACTGTTTCGAATGGCGCTCGGTACCAATTGCAAGCATCACGACATGAGTGAGATACTTCGCGTCTCGGTACCTGATGCGACTTGAGCGAACGATCAGTAGGTGCAAGTATGGAGCCAAGCGATTGCAGACCTAAGGGACTGAGATTGTTGCTGGCAAAGAAGACATGCGCACAGACGCAGTATTGGATGTCATCACCGAGGCTCCAACTCCCACGGACGAGAGAAGCTCGCGCCGCACAACAGGACGCAGCTTGCTTGAACGACAACATGAGAGTCAAGTCATTCAGCGATAATCAATATACAGAGCAAGACAGGAATGAAGACATGGTTGCGAGATGGGAGGCAGATCGAACTTGAAGCATAGGATCAATGGCTTCCTCAATGCTTGGTCTTGGAAAGCCGCCAAACAGCACGACATCGTTCAGCTACAAGGGTCCTCTTCTTGACATCAATTGTAGCAGCATCGTGCGCAACACTCGTTTACCAACGATTCTTCTTCTCGACTCTGTCTACTCGTCCTTCATGACCCTTGTACAAGTGTTCAGTCTTGCAATGTCGGGGCGTGGTGGAAAAGCTATTACAAACCAGGCTTCACGATCGATGCAAATCTGTCTATCGTCAATGCTGCGGAGAGGAACGTCACTGGGCGAACGAGATGACAGGATCTTGCGTTCCATTCAATGGAGGAGAATGATCTGAGCACTGCACCAGCTTTTCTTTCTCACTGGAGCATGATGGCATGGTTGATACCACGGATCAGGGTAGGGTTACCCTACCAGCGACTTCGAACTAAACAAGTAGAGCTCTTGCATCACGAAAAATGAAACGTTCGAAGACACTTTGCAATACGAGAAGAAAGCACACTGCAGCCGTCTTACGCCCACAATCCCAAAGTCTCTTGCAAGGCTGCAGGCAGGAGTCGGTCTTCAGCTGCGTTCTTAGATTGGAGGCTGCATATAGGGAAAATGATAGAGCGCCACTGTCAGCCGCAATCAGCGCCGAGCAGCCATCTGAAGCTCAAACTTTGCGCAGATACTGCAGATGGTCGCAAGTAACAGCGTCAAACAGGCACTGTTTTTGGTCTGAGGACAGCTGGTGTCGCGAGCCTTTTCGAAAGCCACAAACGTCCACCTCGTAAGATAACGCCCTCAGCTTGCACATGTCAACTAGCCTGGGATTCTGCACTCGTTGTTTCTCTGTTGATCGATGAAGGCTTTAACCAAATGATGGTGGACAAGATATCATGCACACCTTCTCGCTTAAAGGTGACGATGGAAATTGTGCAGTATATCGCCAAGCTCCTTACAGACAATGAACCAGCAACAATGAGGCGCAAGATGAATGCATCATCTATTGTTACAGAGCTTTTCCATGCTGATACGCTCACCCTCCACTGATGAAGGATGAATTGTAGGCGACTCGAGTGGTAGCAGAGCTAGCATGACAAGTACATGTCGAAACAGAAGATTGTCATGCCCAAGGGTGCCCCTAACAGTTTACCGTTCCTGGATTGCGCGTCTCTAACAACACATCCGGAGATAGAAACCGTTGTCAATGCTCGTTCGTGGGGTGACATCTACCGACAAAAAGCTTGAATTCTAACGCCTGTGCAATCTGGTTCTTCTCTTCGTGGAAGGCACTCTCAATGAAGCCTTCAACTGCCAGAGCGGCTTCAGGTGGCATGAATGTTTTGCAAAATAGTGCAATCTTATGAAAATTTATCTCTATATTGTCGGAGGTGAGTTATACCTATCTCCCTTGCGCTTTGGCCATGCCAGGGTTTGTGTTTATCGATTACTGTAAGGTTCAACGGCAAGCATTGACAAATGCCGAACTCTAGGTCTTTTCTCTCACGACCGCGCACCTTGCCATTAAAGCACCGTAAGTCTGCCTACAACATATTCGAGCACTACCCTCAATGCTCTGGCCCGAACGGCGATTTTGTTGAATGCCTGCAGCATTTCGGAGATCGAGAATACTTTTGAAGGAAATCTGGCCAAACGTCACTTGCACTCCTCGGCAACAATGCCTTCCATGCGACGAACCGGTCAACAGTTGTCGTTTCGAAACGTCTTCAACATGCCGTATCGTGGTACCAGCCTGAGCTCTAGGTCTCTTTGACCATGTTGTCAGCTCTCTGTGAACTGAGTTCTCGGACTCATCTCCACAGAAACAACTGAGAAACCAATGCAATTATACCGTTCAAAGTATCGTATGATGTTTTGAACAAACTCCTTGACAGGAGGATAGTTGCTCGATGTAGGTATATAACGTAGTACATTTCCTTCGCTGATCTGAAGAGGATCCCAGACGACACACTAGGAGCCTTGGCTTATGGTTCCCTTCCCCCATTCCCCTTCCCACACTCGTTTAATCGTTCATTCGTTGTACTAACATGAGGGCTGCCGTCTTGTTGCCCGCTCTTGCCCTGATCGGCTCGGCCTCGGCCCAGCAGTTCAGAAATACATCCTCTGTGGTCTTCTCAAACACCACCACTTCGCAGAGCAGTGCCACTTCAAGCAGTGTTGTTCTGACGACTGGCTCAGATTCGACCTCTTCTGCTGCCGTGACCAGCAGCTCGTCGTCATCTGTTGCTCAGAATGGCACTTCCACTTCGACCAGCAGCTCGGTTCCGACAACCGATCTGACTAGCAGCTCGTCCGTCATGTCAAACTCCTCGACCACTGCTTTGATGACCTCATCCGCCATGTCAACTGTTTCCAACCACCGCGTCTGTCATGTCGAATTCATCGGTTGCCGTCTCCACCAGCTCGTCCACCGTGTCCATCTCTTCGTCCATGTTCTCGAACTCATCAACTACTATGATGAGCGTCACGGCTGCGCAGAATTCTTCCACTGCTTTAAGTACTGCTTCGACCACTTCGTCCTCGGGTGTTTTCGTCAGCGCATCGAACTCGACTGCTGCTATGACCACTGCTTCATCCAGCTTGACATCGACCGCTTCAGGAGCCTCTTCCTCATCCAGTGTTTCCGGAAATGCTACCATGACCTCCACTTCACAGGCCGCCACCTCTACTGCAGTTGTTGATGGTGTCACCTACACTGTGCAGACCAACGTCACCTATTCTGGTACTACGATCAGTCTGCCTGCTGTCAAAAGAGCTATCAAGTACTACTTTTACAACAAGAGAGCCTCGACTGGCCTGAACCAGTGCATGGACTCCTGCTCAGCCGCTTCTCAGTGTGTGGGTACATCGTACACCACCTCTTGCACCTACTACAGCAGCATCGACAAGAACAGCAAGACCTCTGCTCCCGGCACTGATTTTGCCATGGTGGATTCCCGCTCTGGTCAGAGCAATTCTACAGCAACGCAATCTTCTGTCGCTTCGACCAGCAGCAGCACTGCTAGCATCGTCTCGTCGAGCAGCTCTTTCGGCAACAACACCTCTGGTGCCACGTCAACTGTCGCGTCCTCGAGCGTCTTTTCAAACTCTACTAGCCCTATGTCGAGTGTGACCGGCCAGTCATCCAGCCAAACTACCACTTCCGCCGCCAGCGTCTCGGCTTCGACGTCCTCTGCAGCCTTCAGCAACGGAACTTCCACCGCTTCTGCTTCTGCTTCCAACAACACCACCACTCAATTGACATCTTCGATTGAGACTTTCTCGAGCGTCTCTTCCTCTGGTGCCTCGTCGGCTGCTTCTTCGTCGGCTGTTGCTTCTTCTGCTGCCGCCTCTTCTGCCGCCGCTTCATCGACCAGCGTCTCTTCGTCGGCTGCTCCCTCATCGGCTGCTGCTTCGTTGGCGGCTTCTTCCTCTGCCGCTGCTTCTTCCACTAACAGCACGTCCTCGACCGACGTATCTTCCTCTGCTGCATCCTCGACCGATGCGTCTTCCTCTGTCGTCAGTGCCGCGTCTTCGACTACCGATGCTTCTTCTTCCAGCGCCCCCTCAAGCGCAGTATCCCCCCTCAAGCGCAGTATCCCCCTCAAGTGCAACGAACGACACCATGACCGTCACTGCTTCGGCTTCGAGCTCCGGCACTGCTTCTGGAACAATGTCATCCGCCTCTGCTACCACAACGTCTGCCTCGGACATGGCCGTTGTTAACGGCGTCACTTTCTTCGTCCAGGCCAATGTTACCTACGACGGTCAGACTTTTACCGTTTCTCTCTCCAAGAGAGCTGGTCAAAGCCTTTCCAACTGTCTTTCTGCCTGTGCTGCCGATTCTAACTGCCAGGGCACTGCTTTCAATGGCAACGATGACACTTGCACTTACTACAGCTATGTCAACCAGTCGACCAAGCGCGACGCTCCTGGAATTACTTTTGCCATTGTCGAGTCTCGACCAGACTCTACCAGCTCTTCTAGCGTTGCTAGCACAACCACTGGCTCAACATCTGTGTTCCGGAATTCCACTGCCGCTGCCACCGGCTCCTCGACTGTGTCTAGCTCTGCCAGCGCTTCTGCCTCGACAAGCCCCGAATCGCTGATTTGCCCCAAGCTGAACGGTGCAGTTATCTCCAGTGCGCTCAAGGTTGGCTTTGCCATTGATTGTAATCATGGTATCATTGGAACCACTCTGCAGATCACCGCCAACAGCAAACGTCAGACTGCCAGCCTTCCCACCACTCTCTCCAACTGTGTCGATGTCTGCTCTACCTCAGAGTCCTGCGTCGGTACCACCTTCCAGAGCTCGAACAGCGTTTGCACCTACTACAGTGCTATTCAGAGCACCTACATCGTTGCCGGAATGGACTCTGCTCTTCGCATTGGGTCTAACTCTGACTCCGAGGCCACTACCACCGTCACTGTCGTCTCTACTCAAGTTCAGACCAGTACTGTCACTCTTGGTGGTGGCTCTACCAGCCTTGTCACCAGCACTGTCACTTCCACCGCTGTCCAGACCGTTTGCCCCAAGTGCTCCATCACCAGCATTCCTAGCGGTGCTCAGACTATCGCCGGTCAGACAAACAATGCACAAAGCACGGCAGTTGTTTACAGCACTACGGTCGTTACCATTCATTCTTGCGCCCCTACCGTCACCGACTGCCCTCTCCGCGCCGGTCAGAACTCTGCCATCGTCACTACCGTTGTTCCAGTGACTAGCACTGTCTATCAGTGCCCTGTCTCAACCAACAACGCAGTCGTCACCGCTCTTCAAGCTGCTGTGACCGTTCAGAACGTTGTCACCAGCACTGTTTACGAGTGCCCCGCTGGCCAGACCATCACTGTTGGCGGAAACACGTACACAGCTCCCTACACTTCGTCCTACACTACTCAAATCACCGCCAGCTCTGCGGCACCTTCTCCTACCGGCGCTGTTTCTACTCAGACCATCGTCTACGTCAACCAGATCGTCTCTGTGATTCCTGGCGTTACTTCTACTAAGTGGGTTGTCGTCTCGACCGCCACACCTATCGCTGCTGCTGCTACTGCTGCTGCTGCCCCGACTACGACCACCATCGTGCAGGTTATCGGAACTGTTGTTCCCACTGCTTGCAATGGGGTCAACTGCCCTGGTGCCAACGCTGCCAGCGGTGTCCAGACTGTTTCCGGCCAAACGATGGTCACCTCGATCTCTTCTGCACCTTCCATGTCTCAGCCTGCTACCTATACTGGTGCTGCCTCTATCCAGAGTGTCCAGGGCGGCATGATTTTTGCTTTGCTCGGTCTTCTTACCTTTCTTATGTTCTGAACAACAGTTTAACTAGCTAGATAATGTTTATTGTACCTAGTTGTTATATGCTTCTTGGCTCTATTATACCATCTTTATCTAATCACCTTACAGCCGTTTGTATCATGATCCGTTAGAATTTATCAAATCAGCTTACTCATATCATATACTACTATACACAGTATGATTAAAGGAGGCAAGGTCAATTTCGGAAGAGCGTGGTTGTCACGTTAGGCTATTGCAACTGAATTCCAGCGAGTACTTTGATCCAAGCGCGAGCCTTTGCGAGATAGATTAGTAAGAATCAGCAACGAGAAACGCGAGCAATTACGAAGGTCAGCGGTCGAACTGATCGGAAATATCCAATATTCTTTGCTCCATGGATGGAGTGTGCGGCTATTCGAGCCTCGGAGTCTAGGACGAGGCTTCGGAACTACTGTCGAGAGAAGGATTCGATCATACCCAGGTAAAAAGCTCACGTACGTACCTGCAGAACGCAAGATGATATGAACAGTAAAATCACAGCAATGCCAAAGGTCTACAGCTGGGCCTGGAGCTAACTTTGTCGACATGTGCTTCATCGACAAATTTTAGAGCAGCTTCTGACGGCGAAAGTCGCAGGTATCTGGCAGGCAAAACTTGGACGGTGTATTAGAGCGAAGGGGAGAGGAAGATACGCTAGAAGGCAGGTCAGCGGATAGTCAGCATGAGCAAGTCGACTCTTCGCATACGATGCAAGCTAGTCGCAGAAGCAGATATCGGCAAGAGCCTGAGCAGTCGGTACCGAGGAGCAGCGGCTGTAGATGTTGTCCAGAAACTTGTAGAGATCCATCAGGGCTGTGCGAATACTTCTCACAGCCGCAATGATGGCGAGAATAACAATAGCAACGTGCAGAGAAGCTTTGCCTCCAGCTTGAGCGCCAGATGTTGACTGGGCACAGAAGTTGTCGAGATAGCCGGAGCGCAATGCTTGACAGAGGCAGGCAAGATCGAGCGAAAGATAAATTGTGTGGCTTGTCCTTCAGAACGCTGAGCCAAGGCAGAAGCATTGTCCAAACAGGTCTGCGAGATAGTCTGAGTGTTCTGCAAACTGCAGCATGGAACAGCAACAAGGTCGGCAACGAGGTCGGCGAGAAAGCGAAGCGAAGAGACGATTGAGACAACGATGAGAGGTCAGGGAAGGGGTTTTGGGCGAGTCTTTTGAGTGAAATTAGCAAGCAATCAGATAGAGAGAGCGTACTTGCATACCTCGTGACACAACAAGAAGTCGCGTCGCAAGAGTATTGGAAGTACAAAGGGACAGCTGATGTCGAAGATTGGAACATTGGCAAGGCAGCCAGCAACTCTGAGTTTGCGACATAGAAAGTTGTGCCTGAACAACCGAGGAGAGCGATCAAGGTACTATTGGGATGCAAGCCGGCATAGCATAGGCGCCCTGCTCTTCAAGACTTGAAGACAATTCCTCTGCGTCGACATCTTCTCAGGCAGCAGTATGAAAGACCAGGACGGAGATGACAAATGGTCGGATCGCGAGAAGAGAGGTTTGGCGAGGCAGTCAGGCGGTATACAGAAGAGCTTGCGAGCTTGCGACTAAAGAAGTCGTGCCTGGCTGCTTGAGAGGACATGGGTACGCGTAAACGCAAGCAGGGAAGTCGGAATAACTTGAGGGGCTTGCCGTAAGCCGAGTTGATGAAACAAGACCGAAGTTTGGAAGGTAAAATAACAGCAGTGTTTGTAAAAGCTGTGTTGGCAACGCTAGGGCTGGCTTTTTGGAAGGGTTCCTTGGTCGGCTGCGAAGATTCTGGTGGAGAGAGTAGGTGGCTGTGAAGCGGCAACATTGCAAGCAGTGGTGCCGTGTCGAGGCACAGGAATCTGTGTAGACAAGAGACCTTCACAAAGATTGCTGAGAGCTTCGTTTGGTATAGCGCATCGAGGGGTAGGCAAGGGAATTGACCGAAGGCTTGCGCGCGAGGAATTGAGGTCATGGGTTGCGTTATATTTCAAAGCTTGGGACAAACGTAGACGACAGTCTTGACTCTGTAGCAGGTCAGCAAGCGATAGCAGAACAGAGAGTCAGAAGCATGTACCTTCTCAGACCGAAACTAGGCCTGATCTTGGAGGTCAAAGAGCGCTGGTGACATGTAGGCATCATTGCATAGCAACGACAGCAGCAGCAAGCCGACAATCGTGCCTTCGTACAGATGGGTTGAACAGCCTGCGCTCTGGGAGCTTGGAGGCAAAGCAATTGCAGCGATCGGCCATGGAGAAGAAGAGATCAAACAAAGCGATTCGGAGCTGCGGCAGAAGGAAGGCGAGAATTACGATAGCGGGCATCGGCAGAACAGGAGCTGGGTTGAGGCGGTGGTTGGAAAAGCTGAATTGACAAAACAACTGGAGACAAATCAACAAGAGATTCAAGCAAGCAAGAGCACAATGCCGATATGACATACTGCAGGATAGAGATTCGGATCTTGCATGGCGACAGAAACAAAGCCATGGCTGTGGAGCAGAAAATGTAGAGCGGGATGAGATAAACTGAATGAGTCTTGGCCGAAATGACAGCACAACGAAAAGGGTTCTGAGACCTGAACGGTGTTAGCAACAAAAGGTGATGGTGGAACTCGATGAGAATAGCTCACTTTGTGCAGAGTGGAAATTGAAGTCCAGCGCTGGGCTCAAGGAGTTCAAAAGGACGGACAGCGCAATGGAAAAGCTGAAGCAGCGTTAGCTCAGACCGCAATACCGACATTGTGAAAGGCATCATACCTGCATGCCGGCAACAGGGAGCCGAAGCTTGGAGCCGAGAGCTTGAAACGGCAAGAGTTGCCGAGATGAATGCGACGACTACGTCATGCAAACCGCGAGTTGTGGGGACTCGTATCGATTACAAATGGAAGACAGCAGGCTCACTAGACCACCCACAATCTCTCCGAAGTCCCTCGATCTGTACAATCGGATCATGATTCCTGTGGTTTGCACAGCTCCGCTGAGCTCGAAGGTCTTGTTCCCATGAACGCTGAAAGTTTCCATCACATGTACTAACTGGTCACTTCAGCTCGTAGAAGAATTCTTGGTTGAAACATACGAAGGTTACCCAGAGGGTCCTCAAGATCTGGTTTTGATCACGACAACAGATTGGTCACAGTACTCAAAGAACGAAGCAAAACTCGATCCCGAAGAAGCCAAGAAACAGCATGCCAAGTACCGCACTCACGGCGGCGGTCCCATGAAAGTGCCTTCGAGACCACCTTGGAAAGATGATGACTTCGAGTCTCCGTTCTTGGACGCAGCGCCAGAGCAGGTAGCCGAAGGCTTACGAGCGGCAGAGGGTGTTCCGGGTAATCTGTCAAGAGATTACTGTATCATCTTGGACCGACAGACGACAGACGACCGGACTGCTCTCCTTATCAAGACCAAAAGGGACGAAACGGACAATCTGCCGCCTGAGAATGAAGAGACAGCGATCGTGAAAGTCAGGGAGACGTTCAAAGAAGCCAACGGGCTTGTCACATCTGCAAGCACGGGAGTGAGTTCTTTAGCCAAGACATTGTGGAATCAGCAAGGAAGCAAATCAGAGTAGACCGCACACAATGTACTCAGTCAAGTAATGACGCTGATGAACCTGACTCCTTTACGACCTTGTCACCAACAAAGTCATCGTTTATACCATTAGAAAGTGCAGACCGAGCTAAACACGTGCACACCAACAACGTCTCTAGCGCCTTGCTGGCGGGTATGTCATCCACCAGTAAAGGGGACGGAGGTACACCCTTAAGTGTACTTCCAGGAATTGGAAGCCCAGGGAAGACCCCCGAACTAATTGGAAGCTTCGGCAGCCTCTTTCGTATTTACTCTTGCGAGGGATTTGTCACCCGTGTGACCTACATGGGGAACAGCTCTGCGATATGGCATTTCCGATGCGTTGTGTTGCTTGTCACGACAAGCCCGACTAAGGGAATGTCCCTGTCCTTAAGGGGTCGTAAGTACATGCTTCTAATGTCAAGGGAGAGAATTACCTAGTGACAACTATACGATTACCAGCCCATAGTATCTATATAAGAGAATGAGCACGCACTTGAACCAGCCTTGTCGACGTAGGCTAGACAGATAATTCCCATTGGAATGAAAGTAGACATAGTTGCTCTTAGGCTGTCGAGACATACACCCGGGCAGATGCCTAGTTATACTATACCTCTTGTCCACCGCTACGTAAGTAGACAGAGTAACATGAATCTAACAGTATCATTAATATGCTCCTATCTCAACTTAATAAGTCAGAACGAGGATTCTAAGAATGAGAAGCAGAGAGGAAGAGATGCGGAGCAGAATAGGAGAGAGAAGAGAGGAGAGGTACGAGGTATATACATTAGGTAGAGATTAGGATTGTGTTGCGAGCTATGACATGCTATCGTTTATATAGCAAATTAATATCTAGGTGCTCAGGTAGGATGGCTATCATAGCAACTAATTAAGAACCTTTTATAATACACCGCTATGTAAAGGAGAATAGATGTCCTGGATGGATGAAGGTTCAAGGCAGCTAGTGTATGGCCATCGTAGTATGGATGTCTGTAGACGTAGTGGTATTTCTAATCGGAGTATTGGTGGCTGAGAGATGAGATCCTGATGGTCTAACGGTATGTTATGGAAGTTAATGGAACATCCAGTGAATAGCCAAGTACGTAACGCACCGCGCACTCATAACAAATTCGATAGCTGAGCGCGACTGTGCTTGTTTCCTTTCTCTTCCAGCGTTATTTCAGCGAGATTTTGTAGGTTATTAGTACCAATGCGTTGCTATACATTCTAACCGCATATACATATAGTCACAATGGATCCTAACGAGCTTTGGGGCCACGAATCGAGAGACCCTGGTGACGCCTGGTCTTGGTGGGAGGCCGACCGCATCCTAGATATCGCTCTTGGTGTTACATGGCACGCTCGTCGCAATGAGCCCGAGCCAGCGAAAGACCCTGTCCCTGCTGAGGACGAATACGACATCGATGAACCGCCGGTGTCAGAAGAAGAAACCGACCCAGACAATGGTCGCCCCGACTCGCCCGCCCAATCTGCTCACCAAGATGAGCACAACTCCTCTCCCGCCCATGACATGGGTACCGACAGCAACACCGGTCCCATGGTCGATGTCAACAACAACTCGCCTTCGGGCAACACCTCGCCTTCGGGCAGTCAAGAAAGTCCTGCCGCAGTTGCAGGTACTGTCCGTTCTCGAGACGACGGTGATGAAGAAGATGATGACGGTGGTGGACGCCGCGTTCATTCAAAAACTGTTGCTTCTCAGTGATTAAACCCTTGTTTCATATCACTATTGTGCATTTTCATAGCTTTCTGCATCGCCTACTTAGCATACGCAAGATGCAGGGTTTAGTCAAAAGTCCAATAAGAAGCACAATATCTCCAGAGAGAAAATTCTTTATGCCTGCTCTCTTTGGATGGCTCTATTATCTGAAGACTTTTGTGCATTTCCACAGTTACTTGATACGCCCTATACCTATATAGGAGGAGATATCTTTCGAGCCAGTGTGGTTGGGTCTCGATTGTCAGTCTATGTCAAAATCGCATAGATATACTCCCGGATCTACCAGATAGAGATCTGTAGAGTGAATCGCTGTTGACTTTGAGCCAATTGTGCTCGTTGTCTTGCTTGCTTCCGGCACACCTGATGCAAAACCACCGTTTGAACATGAGACTTCTTGATTTGTCTGAGGATTTTGCTGCCACCAAGCTTCAGGACAGTCGACAATGTTCCAGCCCGTGGTTTCTGCGCTCGGGGCTGGCGGCAAGGTACCTGGAAATGTTACGGCCATCTTTGAAGGTGGTTTTAGCGCGAAATCTGTTGGCAGCGTAAGGGAAGAGAAGGGATGAGGCGGACACTGCCAGGATTGCGCATTGAGTCCACTGGCACTATCGTCCGACCACAGTCGCTGATGTGATGTACTGCGCTGTGGTAAGATAGACAAGTTCCCAGATCGAGGCTCAGCTGATATCTGAATGTCATGTTGCGATCGTTCCGGGCTTCCGGTAGTCGGTGCTGGGCTAGTATAATTCTGAGATGTGTCGGACTCGCCCTCGTCTTCTAAATCATCCATCATGAAATGTTCCTTGCTTTTGATCTCAAGCAAACCAAGACGATCCAGGATGTCATGAACAAGTGGGTTGCCTTTGCGCTCTAGGAGTTTTGGACCCGGCCATGAGTCTGTGGCCAGAAGCATAAAATACATTCTCTGCAAGCCGGCCACAAGCTTGAATTGTTGCATTTCTAATGTCCGCACATAGCTTGACTTGTTAGTTACGAGGTCAAAGGGATGAGGGGCTTTGACCTACTGTTCAGGGAATGTCGTGCGTTTCGACTTCTTGGGATAACCAAAGATGCATGGAGCATCTGAATACTTGCATTTCGAACACGGGTATCCTCCAGAGCACCTTGATTTCTTAGCCCGACAACGGTTGCAAGCTTTGCTGGCTCGCTGTTTGGAGATATCTTCGAGATGATGTGTCTTGTTTTGTTTTGTGAACGGCATCTTGCTGGTATTGAAGTTTGGACAATTGGTCTTGGTGCTTGTATTGTCCTGCCATGGCACGAAATGCATGCTATATAAGTTGCGCCAAGTGCATAGGAGATTCGAAGCTTAGTGGATCGAATGCAAGAGCCGTTTGACCATGCGTCACATTAACTTCTGGGGATCATGACAAAGTTTGGGGTCGTGCATGTGGTTGCCGTCGGGTCGAGCTCAGTTGGGGCTGACTTCGTCGCCTCGAAATCAGGCTCTGTGCCGATCAACGTTCCTCCCGTTCGAGATTTTAGGCCGCGTATAGCTGTAGAAATACACAATAATAACACGAAACAAGGTTGTACCCACTGAGAAGAGACACATAAAAGTTGGATTGTCTCTTGACATCTTCCTGCGTCTCTTGGTCTTTCACCACCTGCAGCCGAGGCAGCTCCACCCGCTGATTCGCTCGGGGAAGCCGCAGTCAAGATGATCTTCTCGTTCAAGTGAACAAGGTTTGCGAATTAGAAAGTTCTGCCGCCAACGTGCCTGAGCAAGCGAGGTTGTGGCCCCACTAACAGTACAGCTGATTGGTCTGATACACAACTCCATGTTGCAACCGGGATCACCAGGGCTTTGACGGATGGCTTTTACCTGCTTTTGGTGATGCGATCAAGAGGCTGAGGGTCACCGAAGTTGCCGTGCGACTGATTGAAACTGAAGGCAAATTAAACAAGTGATATAAGCTTTGTATTATCTGCTAGATGGACGTAGGTTTATCATCTTTTGGTACCAAGATATGTCAGTGAGCATGAATTACCAAGACATAAAGCTTCTGCCAGATATGGATCCTACCTCGACCACCACATTGGAATACAAGGACTCTATCGACTCTACATCGCCGTGGGATATAACAACCATCGATAACTTCTTCCAAATTGGGACTTCCTTCGCCTTCATGCAACCAGATCAGCTCGGAGCATTTTCAAATTCATCGTTACCGTTCCTCGACTCCGACTTGTCATTGTTACCAGAATCTTTGCCATCAACACAATCGACTTCGACTTTGCCTCCATCATGGAATAATCAAATCACATGTCAGAGCACGCTATCGAGCAAGTCTGAATCTACTATGCATGCTGCTTCGGAAGGAATTCAACAAGCCACCAAGCCTCAGCCTAGAGGTCGACCGAGAAAAGACCTGAGCAAGAAGCCGACTACGTCTCCACCAAGCGACAGCATTGACAAATATCGTGCGAAGAATCGGAGAGCGTCAGCACGGTGCCGAGAGAAGGAACGAAATCAAGCAGCCGCACTGGAAGAGGCTTTCCAGGAGCAGACGAAACGCAATCTCGCCCTCAAACAGGCCACGACGGATTTGCGAGAAGAGCTTTTCTACCTCCAGATGCAAGCATTGCAACATGGCAATTGTGGCTGTGAAGATGTCCAGAGATACAATCAGCACAGAGCGCAGAGTATTGCTGAAGCTTGGGAGCTGTAGCGAGATGATTGATCGATCTGGTGTTTCTCCATATGTTGACTATGCGATATCTATAGCTATGTAAATGCACAATGGTGATAGGAAACAATATAGTATACACTGAGAAGCAACCGTTTGCCGACTCTCTGCGCACACGTCTCTATCTTCATAACTCACTGTGCCTTTTTATAGTCGATTCTCTGCTTCTAGCTATAGTGGGAGTACAGTGGGAGTCAGGATTTGGCCATTTGCATGCTTGAATATTTACTTTGAATGTTTGCTTTCCTCTACGTCATCTTCGATGAGCTCTCTCTTCAGCGATGGATACTTCCAGCTCTTTGTCTTGCTACACCTTGATGCTTCTCAGCGTATCTCCTTGTTGCACCGTACTCCTCGAGGTTAATATGCTCTGGTAGGTCTGGTGGGCCTCCTAGACTTGCAAGGACACACGGGTTGTTCGCAGTCAGGTCATCAAGGACTTTGAGTTCCTGTTTGTCAAACCATTTTGGAATGATATGGGTACGCAATGGAATGAGTGCGATAATGATCACAGGGAAGCNCTGTTCAATCGAGTCAGTCGAAGCCTTTGGTAAATGTGTCTGGCTCGATGTGATGTCCATACCGATAGCAGCGATGGTTTGGGAAATAGCCACAGTCGCAGCAACACCAAGACCTTGCAGCATGAGCCAAATGAGAATTTTCCTTTTCTTGACCTTGCGAAGTGGCTTGTCTTTGGGTATAAACCGATCCTCTGACATGAGATACATCAATTTCTGAACGATCGTGTTGGATTCAATGGAGCCCCNACTATCAGTAAGAGTCAGCGTACTGCTCGATGGAAGACATTGTTATGTTCTTACTCCGACAATGAAGAAAACACCTGCAAAGATAGCTGCAGGCATGGTGTGCAACACAACAAGCAGAGGTCGTGTCATGGTTCCGACAAGCAGAAGGCCCATCAATAGGTGAGATATGCGTTGCTCAACGACCGATTCTGCTCGCACAACTGGTCGTCTGATTTCTGCTTTCTCGCCCTCTTCAGTAGGGATAACACAAAGATCGGTCACGTAGACCGTCAGCGAATCTGTATGCACTGGCGCTTGTGGTACCAAGCCGTTGGGCAAAGGAAGTCCAAGAATGCCTGCCACGAACGTGGTACACCCGAGCAGGAAAAAGTCCCAATGAAAACCGCCAGGCTTTTTCAGTGGGAACTGACGTGCCTGTGCACTGATACTGCTGATATTCTGTGTGAAATAGTCAGGATATGCTTGGATGGATGTGTGAATACGCAATTGCCCGATGCGACTTACATGATCATAGTAGAAGAGGAGCATCAAAAGGAATCCAAACGGGAGGGCGACGAACACCCATTTGACGTCCAGATGCCAGAAGTGAATAAGCCAAGATCGGTCCGCCGTCGGATGGAAAGACTTGGAGATGGGCAGAAAACTGACATCGGTTCTCTTCAGATTGCCAGGGAAATGAGAAAAGCCGACCCAGAATATCGTGCCAAGCTGCGAAAGAGTCAGTTGTATTCAAAAACGGAAAGGAACAGAACACATACAGGNGTAGGCATAGTCAGCCAACAATCCTCGCACGGTCGGCGTCCAGAGTGTACTACTGCCCAGTTTCTCCAATTCATATACAGTACCAAAGTACAATAACGCAATGATTGTACTCAAGTATCCAGCACTAAGACCGTTGGAGCTGAACTCAGCAACGAGTTCTTCAACACCCTTGACNNTGTAATCTGCTTTAGCATATAGCATAAGAGGACAAGCTGGCAGGAACATACTCATGTAAATAATACCAACATACATGCCGAAGGACTCGCTCGAGAAGTCGGTGACATAGCGCATATAGTCGCAAAGGTTACAGAAAGCAACGATCCAATGGAAAATTGCAGCCCATATCGCGGTGCAGCACATAAATTGAGGATAGATGGAAGCATCGTACTGTGTGATAATGTCGTAGATCGTGTAGTTAAACAAAGCGATCAATCCAGTGATTCCAACAATGGTGAGAGGTTGAGCACCCAGAATACTGAATACCAACGCCGCCAAAGCAGAGGTAAAAAGTGCTTCGTTGACGCCGTAGAACTGACCCGTTTGACGATACATGTCTAGCGTATAGGCCAATGCAGGAAGAAGACTGTTGCTGAGTTAGCTCTGAAGTCTGATATGTCTTCCGGTCATGGCTTACTTGACAGAGTACATCCGAACTGTGCTGGCAATGGTGCGATATGTCAAAGCATCGGTGATATCACTCCAGTAGTAAGGAAGCCTTCGCTTGACATCACAGTACATTCCCCAGCCAGGTCGAAGCGGTCGCCAGCGTCTCCATCCGCGAGCGTCTCTGAAGCCATAGTCCTTTGGTGGAGGCCTTTGAGTTGGCTCTTCAATTTGATCAGATTCAGAAGATTTGGAGGACATGGCGAATGTGGAACCAGGGATTCGAAAGTGGGCAAAGAGAAGAAGGAAACTGAATGAATATTGATAGAATGGTCAGCCCACGAATGATCAAGTACGATTCACCCCTGGGCAAGGCATGCCTTTTATTTCGGGCTTCGATGTTTGAGCCCAAGAGTCGAAATCATGGCGCCAGACCGTCATGGACCAAGTAAATGGCTAGTGAACATTGAACTGACCGTTGAAGCGAGCAATGCCGAGCAAGGACGCAAGGACGCTGCGCATTGACTTGGCAGTTGGGTTAACAGATTTGAGGGCCGCCTTGCCAGAACAAGATTTTCCGCCAGCTCTGAACTGGTCGAGGGATTTTCTGCTCGAGCAGAAGTTTTGTGGGGTCTGTGCTAGGTCTCGTCACTCCATCGTTCCTGCTTCAACCACAAACGCCACAAACGCGACGAACATCGGTATCGTAGGTGGCAGCGTTCGTCTACCGCGCTTCGATTCCTCACGTTGCCTTTGTGCAAAGAGTCTGTCTTTTGCTTAGGTCTGTAACTATCATCGAATCTCCGCCTGCGGCGATAGATAAATTGTACTCTATGGGAAGGCACAGATGTTTGCGAGAAGAGGCATGCCCATCGAGAGCCGATATGTCTTCGTCTCTCAATGGCCATCTTCCTGTTTCTTCATAGTATCTTGCATTCTCGTAGCTACACACGTTACATCTTGTAGTACGCGGGGAGGAGGAAGGACACCATTTGTTAGAGGTGTAGTCATGAGGCCGTTGCTTCGTCTCACTCTAAACTTGGCTAACCCATCGCTGCCACTTGTTGCCGGCAGCGCGTGAGCACTGTATACCCCTCATCTATTCGTATGCGCATCCTTGTTCAGAAACATAATAGCAGCATGTTACGCCTCGACGCACTTCGAATCGTTCAATTCAATCAGACATGGCTATCAAAACAAAGTCGAAAGCAGTGCTTCCAACTTTAGCTATCTCATTCAGTTTCCCAGATCCTTCGAATGCTTTGCCGCCTCCACACAATCATATACCAAGGTTCTTCCACCAACATGGTGTGCGAGGTGTACTAAGGATAGATGTTCCAGCGACTCAACTATGCGATACTGTCAAGATTACTCTACAAGGTAAAGCATCCCAGAAGTGGTTTTGAGATACCATTCTGACTCCTGCAGGACAACCTATTAGCAAGATCGGTTCTAGCCAGTCCGTAAACGGTATGGTTACCATGGCTGTGGCGGACTCCCAATACCGAGAAGATACAGTATGCAAACTACCTGAACATTCCATGTATATAATTTGCTAACAGGTGCAGTAGTTTTTAGAGTTGACAGATGTCCATCACCTTGAACATGCTGCAATCTTTAAGAAACGCTTGTCCTACCAGACACCATTCTACTTTGAGATCCCAACTGATTCCGATCCTGGACACGATCTTTTCAAATTCAATCAGTTTGGACTTCCGCCATCGCTACATGCCGCAAGCTCACCCTACGTCAGTCTGCACAACGGGACCTGGGCTTCTGTGGACATTGTCTACAAACTAAAGCCTTATGCATTCCGCGACGACGTCTTGGTATTTACAGGATCTCAACTCATTCAGCTTGTTCCATGTGTCTCTTCGATACCTCCGCCCATTGCTTTCGATGTTTTTAACAGTGAATACGCAATGACGCGTCTGCAAGCTCCCAAGAAGATGTTTAGCAAGGGTGATACACTGGAAGTCAGCTTGAGCGAACCCACACCGCTGTTACTTCGAGATGACGGTCAATCGCAGCTCCACACGATCTCTATCAGCTGCCGTTTGGGCGCTGTCACTAAGGATATCCCCTCACTCTGCGCTACGATTTCCTGGCGACTCAAGTCGTCGACAACTGTCTCAACGATACCGCTGCAAGGCATACCGACTGTGCGACAAACCACAAGATCTCCTTTCTTGGACGAGATAACCAGCAGGTCTCAGACAAAGTCCACACATCTGAGACTTGTAGATTGGACTGCTTGTTCCGAGACGCATGAAGGACAAGATTGGAAGAAGCTGCACAAATTATGGCTTGATATACCTCATCCCAAGGATTCCGTGCCTTCTTTCTTCTCCACTCTGGCATCCCGCCGGTATAGCCTGGAGCTGTCGATCAAAGTTCGAGGAAACGGCAGAGCCGAATTCAGATCTGACATACCCGTCCGGTTTGTCTGGTTGGACTCAGTCAGGAGTGATGTCCGGACCACTTTAGATAATGTGGAGCCTGACCAACAATGCCCAATATATACTAGATAATACCATCTTAATCTTCACAATCTCAACACTGACCAGACACCTTGAAGCAGTGCCTCAATAATCATGGGACAGGACCTGTTTGTCGATAGAATATGTACTTGGGTATCGATCAAGATCGCATCATAAAGAACAGTCCAATTCCTCACCAGTTACTTGGTACAATTGGTACATCAGCTTGGAGACTTGACTGTGACATATGAAAGATGGTATGAACGACAAGAGGTGTAAACATTAAGAAATTCTGATAGGAAGTAGACATAAAGTAACGAAAGTCTTGCAAGACCAAGGATGAGAACAGAAAGAAATTTGTAAGAAAGATCAATCATGAATGTGACAAAGGAAAGCGATCTCTCAGTCTGTATGCGCGTCGACTTCAAGACGAGACAGTGCCATTTCCACCAGAGATGATCGCCAATGGGTAACAAGCCTGAACGGGTGCTCCAGTGACGGTATACTTGATGTTAGTGTTGTTCTGGAGAGAGTCCAGGCCAGACTCATCATTGATAATGAAGACTTTGCTATCAGCGCCGTTGCTGAAGTCGCACAAGACCAGACTGTAGACATCTTGCTTGGTTGAGACTGCAAAGTACGCAGACGGGGTGTCGTCGGAATTATCGTAGTCGATCGGCGACAATGCGATGGCGTCAGCAGTCTTGGGGATCTCAGAACCCAAGCTGAGTCTGATACGACTCACATTGTAGATGGCCATTTCATCGGGGTAGTAGTGAAGGATACGTTCCTCATCATCACCAACAACGATGTTCTGCGACTCTGCGAAGAGTCCAGCGTCACTTGGAGACCCAGAAGCCAAGCTGCTTGTATAGAGATTTCCATCGGTGCCTGGGACGATCTGAAAAGTCTTCTGAATGTCGACAAGAGTATTGAAAGTAATACCATCTTCAGATTGCTCGTCGGCGGAGAGAGCAAGTGCATCAGCGGTATCGTTCTCGAACTCAGCGCCATCGGCCGTAGTTGAGTCATCAGAGACGACATCATTCGTCTCGTCAGCGTTGTCGGTATCATCAAAGGTATCTTCAGTGTCGTTGGCAATGACTTCATCGTCGTTATCAGATGCAGGCATTGTAGAATTGTCACGACGGAAGATGACAGAGTGACGACGTTCATTCTGGGTGGTGGAGACGTCATCTGTCGGGTTGGAGAGGGAGTCATCTGTTATTGTTGGCTGTCCGCTAGGAACATCAGTAGTAGCTGTAGGCGATGCCACACCAGTTATCAACGCGTCTCCACTGGTAGCAGAGGCATCGCCTGTGGTGGCTGCAGCATCTCCTGTGGTGACCGAGAGGTCTCCAGTAGTTGCAGAAGCATTGTCCGTAGTCGCAGAAACATCGTCGGTAGTCGCCGAAGCATTGTCAGAGGTCGCGGGAGACTTGTCCGTGGTAGCAGAGACATTATCAGTAGTCGCAGAAGCGTTGTTAGAAGTGGCTGAAGCGCTTGGTCCGAAGCTTGAAATCATTAGCCATGACAAGCTCACTGGCAGAAATCAGGTCACTTACGATTTGCAGCCCTGTAAGAGAGGAGGAGAATCGTAATGGTTCAAGGTAAAAGTCTTTAGCCCGAGGAAGTCAAAGTTGACATCGTTTTGAACTTTCTGAATGTCAGCACATCAACAGGAACTTGCAAGACGCGCATCACTTACGATTAGCAAAATACTCAATGCCGTTGTTGCAAGTGTCGCTTGCTGGTTCGACGTTGGCGGTGCTTGCGGCTACTGTAAGGTTACCGTAGAGACTGGGCTGTTCGATGAGCGAAATGGCTCTCTTCAAACTGATGGCGGGAATTTCGAAGCCACAGTTGATTGCAATGGGCAGAGCCAATTTGACTGAAGCAGCGACTTTGCCGCTAGCTTCGAATCGCTTCTCGAATGTAGGACTAAACCCAGTGACTCCAGATTTGCTCGCCCCGTCTTCGTTGAACAGATCGAGGGTTGCTCGGAAGTTGGGAATGGTCATGACAACACCAACGAGTGCTTGGCCTTCGGCTGAAACATCGACAGTGCTGACGGCGTCAACGCTGAGATATACGCCAGCAGAAAAGACACCCTTGACAGCAACACCAACTTCGGGAAGAGGTGCGCGAATGAGAGCCCTTGTCTTGACATCCGAATACTGAGCATGAGCAACTAGACCAAGGTTCACCCCAGCTTCGAGGTTAGCGTTGAGGTTAGCAGTAAGTCCATAGAGGCCATCGAGGATGTTGAACTTTGCCTGTCCAGCCATGGCAACATGTCCTTTGACACCGCAGTCAACACAGTAGATGGTCGCATCGGCGCTGGCAGTACCTGACTCTGAGGTCTTACTCTTCGAGTAAATTTCTGCTGCCTTTCCCCAAGGTGAGTCAGCGGTTGCATCAGGGCCAAAGTTGAAATCCTTTGATCCACTGATCGAAGGATCGAGCTCAGTCTGCTTCGCAATGAAGTCCCCGACGACGGGAATGTTGCGAATACCTGTAGCGACAAGACGAACAGGGGCAGTGGTGACCTGCACAACAGTCTTGGCCACGCTTACCACGGCCTGTATAGGGTCAGCATATTGACACGTATGTGATCATCATGTAGCTTACATTTGCGACCGCTCTGAAAGGATTCCACCAACGCTTCTCAAGCATGGCGGAGCGCTGAGATAGCTGTGCGCCATCCTCAGCATCGGTAAGGTCAGTCGAGTTTACAGTAGCATCAGGCAGGAAGTCTGCAAGGCTGGACCCATCATCAGATGCAGAGCTGAAGTCCAGGTATCCGATCGCGTTGTCGAGCTCAGCGTCAAAGTTAGCAGACGACAGACTCGTACATCATTGTGGTCGAGATAGTAGCATAGAGGTGCTGTACAGAAGGATCGGAAACACCATCAGAAGAGTAGTAAAGGTTTGAACTGTTGGATGGTGCCAAATTGTGAATATCATCCACGGGATAGTTCCAATGAACTGCTGGAAGAAGAGTCGATGCTCCATATGATGCAGACAGGGTTGATGACGCCGCCAGCGCAAAAGGAGCTTGCCCATTGACGCTCGGGCTGACAGAAGATGTGCCAGCCACAGTGGAGGTAGGAGCACAAGCAGGAACTGTCGCGGTGATGACGACAGTCTGCAAGCCGACAGAAGAAGCGGCAATGGTCTCAGGAATCAGTGTAGTAGTGGTACCTGGCTGCTGAGCGACAGTGACGAACGAGGGATCGCCAGCAACATCGACAGTAGTAGTGCTGCCGGACACGCCGTCCAACTCGACGGCAGCAACGATGCTGACGGAATTGACACTCGAGCCAGCGTTCTGGCTGATGACGGTAGAGGTCGTATGGTTGGTATAAGCACCAAGAATTGTCGAATTGAAGTCCACAGGTTTGGCGGATACACAGGCAGTCAAGCCCAAAGCAAGACTGCCTAGTATTGACCGATTACCAACCATCTTGAGCTGAGAAAATGAATGGACGCTTCGTACACGAAGCAGAGTCGAGGAAGAAAGTCGCTTTGATGTTCGAAAAATTGGTATACCTCAACGCCATACTTATAGTCATAGTGCCTGGAGTCGGGTGCTACTTCAGCTGGCCTGCTTGAGATGATCCAGATGCCCGTCGCCTGACAGTTCTGGCCTTTGGCATAGCTGGAAGATGCCGTGCAATTTCAGTGAAAGGCACATGGAAGACATGAGGATAGAGCTGAAGACAACGGCTCAGCTGATACGGGGTCCGGGGAAGAAGAGGCATGGGGGTAACGGACAGTGCAGCGCTTCTATCGAGGTACAAGTGTGACATTCGGCAAGAGAGTCATGGTCATTGTGCGGCTGAGAAATCAAACGACTTGCAAGGCACGCCCTAGGCTGCAAGAAGTTGTCAGTGATTTCCACAGGGGGCAGCCTGGCGAAACCTTCTGCCAAGCTATTCCCCAAGCGGCGAGCGGTGACAAGCCCAAGCCAGGGGTCAAGCTTCTACAGTGGACGGTACCTTTGTACGCCTTCTTTGTTGGAGATCTGATTATGCATGGCATTTCTATTTATGTAAAAGCCCTAGAGGATGGATGCTCCTTGCATTGATGCAGTTCAAAATGGATGATCCTTCTTGAATATATACTAACAAGACACATCTAAAAGCGAGGATGTCTACTCAAGCACAAGCGAGAAAGCTTGTTGCTTCACAGGCCACTTTCCAGCGGTTACGCAGCTACCGGCTTCTCAAAACAATCGGCCTCGCCGTCGCTCTTACGGCACTGCCCATGGCTGGGAAGGAGATTCTCCGTTAGGTGTTCATCGCCCGTTGTAGCTGGTTTGAGCTCCATGCACATTTACCGAGATTGTAAGACGGCAGGACTATGTTGCAAACAAAATCTTGTAGTTCATCTTCTCTCTGCTGGTGGAGGGGATCTAGAAGTTGATGTTATCGGGATGGTCTTTGAAGCCAACCGAAAGACTCAAACGCAGCGTCGCTGGTCGCTCCTCTCACTGCTCCATCCCGCAAGATAGAGGATATCTCAAGCTATCACAATGCATAGTCGCATAACAAATTTGGACCTGGCTACGGAGATAGTCCAAGGGGACTCTCTCCATGGAGACTACGTCCTGAAGAACAGTACAGTGAATTTCTACTGCTATATTATGATAGTCTTTGATGCACAATTAGGCTCGATACCACTACTGAACCACAGAGAATCGGCCGGAGGACATAGCGAGGTAAAAATAACAATTAATCATGGACTTGGAAATGGGCAGAATGGAAGATTTTGATTCGTGATTTATCATGAAAACAGAAAAACGAACCTGAATGTGTGCCTGTGGCCTCGGAGATGGTTACTCGTACATAGTGCAAACGAGGAAAAGAAGGAAGAGCTTCAGTCCTCACAAGTCGAGAAACAATCGCACCAACGGCGAGAGCAAAGCCAGCAAAACTCATACCTACAAATTACACAAGTCATGTGATTGCAACCCTCTGTCAACTCATTCATCTCACTGCACTGCGGACAACGTTTGAAAGTACCATAATACAGAGCGCTCAAGACAAGTTCAGTGGTCTCATCAATCTGACAAGAGTCTTCGTGAGCAAGTCCAGTGCNAAGTTTTGTAAGGAGGTCTTCGACGTGGTCGAGAGAGATGGNGGTGTTGCTGCAGCATCTGGCTGGCCAGAAAGAACGATCGTGGTTGGCTGTTTTGAACTGCTCGTTGATACAGTCGACGCACCAGCGGCAGTCTTCGCGAGGAAGAAGGACTGTGAGTCTGAAACGGAAGCACACCTCGCAAGAAGATAGGCGACATCTCTGCGGCATATGCATCCACCAGAAGAGTTTCGACAAAGCTGCAATGATGAGAAGCTCAGCGAACGCGTTCAATGTTCGACCTACCTGTGAAGTTGAGTTCATGGTGTACTTGTTTGTCGATTTTGTGCTACTATTCTGGTTGTGCAGGGCTCGCTTTTGCTAAGTCGAGTGTGTTTGAGGGATGGCCCTGGTCCTCAAAGCGATCGGTCTTTTGTATTCTAATCAGCATCTGGAGAGCACAAAGCCTCGAAGAAGCTTTGCCTTTGTTTCCTTGTTCGACTGCTATGCAAACAAAGCAGGAAATGATCGGAACAAAGCATAAGTCACTTGGGCAACTACACAATCAATTGTTTCGAAGGCAAGAGGGCAGTACGCTACAAACGCGGTTCAGTGTCAAGCTGAGGAGAAAAATCATGTCTATTATGGTAATTTACGTGAATCATCCAAGAAGAGTCGTACATCATGTCCAATAGTCCAAGTCATCCAAAATACTGCTGCCAATTCCTTTCATCTCACTAGTAGCGCTTGCCGAATGCCTCGTCGAAGCCGGTCAGAGTGTAGCGGTAGCGCACCTTGTTCTCCTTGACGCCAGTAACGGCTTTGGCACAGCCTTCCGCCGAGATTGGAATAGTTTCAATCCACGATTTGATGTTCTGCTTGGAAGCAAGCTCAAGCATGGCGACCATCTCGGGGTGGTTACCGATGTGACTGGCACCAATGTAGGAGCCGTTGGGTGCAAAGTCTTGAGCCTTCATGGCAGGGAGGTCGTAGTCGGGAAGGCCGACGTTGTGGAAGCGGCCCATGACCTTGAGAGTGCCGAGGTAGGTAGACATGTCGAACTCTTGAGTCATATCGGAGCCTACGCATGGTCAGTAAGTTTCGCGATAGGAGTTTCTGAGCAAACACAACTCACAGTTGAGGATGAAGTCAAACTTGAAGGCGTATGGCTTGGCCCAGTCCTTGTCGCCAGAGTAGATAAAGTGGTCGGCACCAAGCTTCTTTGCATCCTGCTCCTTCTCCTTGGTGTGCGAGATGGCGAATACCTCTGCGCCGAGAGCATGTGCCCACATCAGGGCGAAGTGACCGAGACCGCCAATTCCGACGATACCGACTTNTTTGCCGGGGCCGCAACCCAGACGGACGAGAGGAGAGTATGTTGTCAATCCAGCGCACAGCATAGGAGCTGCAATGGCGGTGTCGAGGTTCTCGGGAATCTTGAAGACGAAGTACTCCTGTACGCGGATGTGGGAGGAGAAGCCACCTTGAGAGACGATACCGTCGTCAAACTTGGCACCGTACGTGTCAATNNTCTGTAGTCACCTGTCAGTCATGCGATGTCTCAATGAAATGGGTCGAACTCACTGGTTGGGGCAGTAGTTCTCCTGGTCGGCCTTGCAGTTGTCGCAAGTCAAATCGGCTCCGACCTGAGCACCAACACCGACACGGTCTCCAACTTTGATGTCCTTGACCTTGCTGCCAACCTTGACTGCGCGACCTGTCCATCCAAGTCAGCAATGGTCGAGAAAGAATCATGTTGCGGCAGCTGTAGCATGTGCCACGCAATTGCGAGTTACGCCAAGCAGTCCGCAAGTACGTGAAATGGAGTTGGAAATGGTGACGGAAGAGCTGCGCAACATACCAATAATCTCGTGTCCGACACAGAGAGGAAGAGGGGTCTCGCCCCAGCCGCCAGTGATAGNCTGCTTCCGTCAGTTTTCGTTCTTCCAGTTGACATTGAACATCTCACAATGCACGTCGGAACCACAGACACCACAGGCGTCGATCGCGATGTCAACATCATCCTCCTTGAAGGTCTTGAGCTTGAATTCTTCCTTGTGAAATTGTTGCCATCNTGTCATTCTTGTCAATGAAGATTCTCCATCTCAAGAAAGAAAGTCGTGCTGCTTGGGATCTTTGATAACGAATCCAGTTGCGGTTTCCGGGTAGCCCATGGTGACAGTGGAAGAGCTTGAGCTTTGGGGGAATTGGGGGATTCACGAGAGGCTTGACAGGCAACGATAGTTGAGGAAGGTAATGAAGTAAGATCAGGAGGAGTATGCGACTGCGACACGACTTATACTATTTTGTTGATTCCCAATACTGACGACGAATGACGTTGATTGCTACCCGGAGCCTCCGCAGATCGACGGTTCCGTCATTCAATCAGATAACCTTAATTCTAATCCCAGATTAGATCCGCAACATCCACGGCAACCGGGAGCGACGCAAGTAGACTGCTGCAACTGTCCAGCCTCTGTGTATCACTGCCCGTGTAATCGCGGAACATGGCAGGAGCAGCTTCGTCACCACTCGCTCTCCACAATGCAACGATGTTTCCTTCAATCTTGCGACATGAGCTGACCTTATCACCGTTTTATACTTCCCCAGATTTCAGTACCCCAGATTTCGGTGACTGGGGTGGCTATATAGCTTTGCGGCTTCCACCTATACATACGCTTCTCGTATCTAGCTGATGTATATCATCAATTCATTCATACGTCAGTTGATGTGAGATGTAGACGAGAGCAAAACCTCTAATTATCTTTACAAACTGATTGTCCTCTATATCACTAGAACACATTCGGGAGTGTACATCAGGAGAAGGGATAAGATTAGACTATGCTTCTTCGATAGACTATTGCGAGAAGGAGTAAACAACTACAATGACATGACGACAAAAGACCAAGACGCACTCCGATACTAAACCTGTGCCAAATTACTACAGAGCAGCAGCAACACCCAACATAGCAAGGAAACCGAGGCCGGCGCCAACGTTCGATGCAGCGCCAGTGTAGACAGCAGGGTGAGAAGAAGTAGCAGAGGCAGCAGCGCTAGTAGCGGAACCAGCCATCGAGGAAGCCTGCATCATCGATGAACTACCAGTGGCAGCAACAGCCGATGAAGAGGACATCTTTGCAGCAGCGCTGGAAGAAGCGGCCGAGGAAGAAGGAGCAGCGCTGGAAGCAGCAGATGAGCCACCGGCAGCTTGGGCGCCCGTGCCGTTGGGACAGAGAGAGCTCGCGGCAGCAGCGACCTTTGCTGCGTCCTTGGAACTGCAGCTTGAGGTCACGCAGGAAGCAACACCGGACTGGTAGGCAGTGTTGGAACACAAGCAGGCGGAGTCGGTAGGAGAGCAGCCGGTGGCAGAAATGCCGCTCAGGATACAGGTTTGCTGTTTAGTTGTTTCCAGTATATCAAAGTGCAGAGAAGGGGAAGGATGCTGCATACACCGCAGGTGGGCAGACTGGAAAGAACGGAAGCGGCGTCAGACTGAGCCAGGACGGGTGCCACAAAGGCAATGGCAGCAGCAAAGATGGCAGCCGTTCTCATTGTGGAAAGCGTGCAGTAGTGAAGTACTTTTGTTGGAGAGTGATAGGCTTGGAGCAGAGGATTCGAGGTTCTTTCGTGAGCGACAGTGGCTTTGTGATGGTGAGATGATGAGAAGAAACGAGAACTGACATGGAAAAACACAAGCTATTTGAAGTTATCCAGATCTGATCCATATCAAAGGAAGCAGCGCCTCGCAAACAGATATTTGACCGAGGCTTGTCGCCCCAGGAGCAGGATCTGGAAAGTTCAGACAATTAGCACCATCCAGGAGCCACTGACCAGACTTCGAGTGTTAGTAGATGCATTGGGTGTACCGTCCCCTATGGTTTACCTTTTCTTCCCCTCAGTCGATCACTTGACAAGCCACTTCGAGCCGCGCGATGAGTGGAAAGGAGCACTCATCATACAGATGGCTTGGAAACAACAGCCAATGAAGTGTATATTGAGAAAGTTACCCCGCACTGACAGAGCTCCTCCAACTTACAGTTCATTAAACCATGTATAGACTGCTGTCAACGGCAGGAAAGTGTTGTGCCTACCATGTGACCTCAGGAGGTAATGTTAATGTTTGTGGTGAAGGATCGTGCCGAGGCAGGCTTAAACTCGAGCAAGCCCATGGAACAGAAGCTTGGCAAGTTGGCAGCCTCGGCTTGATCGACCAGACTAAAACCATATTATCAATAATATATGGTTTTCCAGGAAGCAGTGAAACTCGTGTCATTTGTCCGTGGGTTGGGGAATATGTGGTGTTGAATCTGAAGTTGAAGCCGACTAAGCCACCATAAGGGTTTGGGCACTGCGCACGCAAGATAGCAGTGGGCAGGAAGGAGCAGGGCATTGCGACACGGGAGAAAAAGAACTTGTTGATGATGAGGGTGCAGAATAGTAGCATGGTGTGAGGTTGGGATGTTGTTGGGAATGGTTCTGGTGATAACGAAGGCGATTATGAGGAAGCTGGCGACGAAGAGGGCGACAGTGGGGAGTGGGCGACGAGCTGGCCGGATCTGGAAGGGAGACGGGCTAATCGAGGCAAGGCGACGAATTATGGGTGGGCTCGATGAGACGGTAGGAGGTCTTCGTGCACCAGAGTAAGGCTCGCACGAGATAGACTTGATGTTGCGTGATAGATCTGTACAAGAGCCTGTCTCATCAGTAAGCGCCCGGTGCTTGGAAAGGAGGATATTAGAAGACCCGCAACTCTAAAAAAGTCCAAACCGTCAAAGAAGCATCTCTGAACTTTTCCCCGACGAAAGACTGTCACAATGGAGCTGAATAAATGCACAAATCCGTTGCAAAGAATGTGGTTTCCACTGGAACATCCCATTGAACGGTTTTTCGACACTCAGGCTTGAATACGAAACGCATCTATGTCTTCTATCAGCTTATGATGTCCAGGTACATTGAGAAAGAGCAGTGATTGATCGTGATATTGTAATTGTCTTTCAGACAGGAAGGAGACATGCGGCGACAGCTGGCCATACACAAGAAAGTCCCAGAGACGCGTCGAAGCATTGAACTTGCCAAATTGCACCGTCAGACCAAGTTTCTTAACTTCCGAAGCATTCGAGCGGCTCCGCTGAACAGCACGATCCTCCTTCTGCAACTCTGGACGGATGAAGAGGATGACAACTGTAACGCGGAGGCCGAAGCTTTGCCCGGTTCTTGTTCGGCAGAGCAAGCTCCCCGCAAGACCACAGCTCGCGATTGTGTGGCCTCGGAGTGGTGGCAGTAAAGAAATACAAAGAAAGATGTTATTTGTCAAATAACGATAGCGAGCAAGGGATTGCACAGTGCTTGAAGGCGTGTGGAACAAGGGGGAAAAACGCTGCAGGTGGCTCCAAGCACATGAGCCACTCCGGCCATAGTAGAGAGTAAAGTACGCGTTATAGAAATGCACAATGGTATCAGGAACTGGGATAATGTCCAATGAGAATCGATTTCTTATTAGCTCTCTTTGGCCATATCCTTCTTGCTAGATACAATTATGCATTTTCATAGCCAGACGCGTGTTTTGCCTGTGCACACGGGGAGATGGCAACTGACTCGTGTTTTCTAAGACCCTCGTACTAGACGACTACCAAGACCACCGTTCGGACAAGGCAAAAATGTGTTAAATTTTCCTTCTCGTCATTAAAACAAATACCAATAGCAAGGATATCTCAGAATGACTCTATATGGTGCATAAAACAAGCTGTAAAACGCGGTCCAAAGCATGTACAGATTCGTAATCAAAATCCCAAATTTTCACCCTCCAAAGGCTGTACCACTTAGAAACTTGGGGCATTGAGGGTAATGGCCATGATAAGGCCTCCGATCAATGCTGCAACGGGAATAGTCATGAACCAGCTNNACGCCATGAATTAGCACTTGATCAAAGGTATGGAGGATCATGGAGAGATAGGGCCAGATCTGTGAGCATAGAGGCTGGAAACTTACGAGAACACAAGCAATCCGACACGGCTCCAGTTTACGGCCTTAAATGTACCATTGCAGAGCCCAACACCGACGGTAGCGCNCTTTGAAAGCTGTCAGCATAATATCTAAGAGAACAGGCGTCAGGAAAGGTCTTGATCCATACCAGTGATGCACATTGACGTAGAAACGGGCAGCTTGTACTGCGAGAAGATGAGAATGGTGATTGAAGCGCCCAGTTCCATTGAAGATCCACGAGAAGGAGAGTGGTAGGTGATTTTGTTGCCCATGACNNTGCGAAAATGTTAGTATACTGTATATAGCCGACAGGAACACAACAGCCTGATGAGAAGGAACAAAGCAACAAACTGATAGAAGAAGAGTATTCATGGAAGCGTGTAAGGCAGAACGAAAGAGGAGAGAGTGCGTGAGGGAAGAATGAATCGAGAATATCTTCAAAACTCACCCTTCATGATGTTGTAACCGTAGGTGATGAATCCAATACAGATAGTAAGCGCCATAACTGCTATTTGCCAAGTCGGGACAGGCTTTTCGTAGTTAGTATCTGAAGTATTCAACACATCGTAGGGCATAAACTTACNCTCTTTGGCTTTGACAGAGGATCCAGTAGACCAGGCGGCGTACATGGCAGCCCAAACACCGACAGCATTACCAACGTCGTTGGCACCGTGGGCGAAAGAAGCAGTGCAGGCAGTAATAACTTGCACGAAGGAGTAAAGATATTCGACCTCGTTGGGGTAGCGGGGAGCATGAGCGTAGACACGAGCCATGCGACGACCTTCAGGAGTACCGAGAACTCCGACCTGAGCCTTGTGGATGTCGTAGTAGATACCGTACATGAGAGCAATAACAACACCGGCGGGGATACACTTCAAGATAGCCTTGATGTTGTGCAGTTCGTAGATGGAGCCGGCACCAAGTTGGTTCTCGTGGACAGTACGCATAGCCCAACCAAGAGGACCACGTTCTTGACGAAGATCGGCGTGGTGCTGCTCGCGAGCTTCCTTGAGTAGGCGAGCGTAAGCTTCTCTGGGGTTCTCGTTGGTGATGCTGTTTCTGCGTTGAGGAGTGATTTCGGGCGACGAGGCGGCACTTTCAATACCATCAGAGACGTGGATAGATCTGCGACGAAGCTCGCCGGTAGTGATTTCAGAGTCACCACCCTTGCCGGTCATCTCGATTGAAGGAGGAGCCGAGGTCTTGGCCTTGCCTTCATGCTCATCGTGATGAATGACAGCGTAGTCTGGCACCATGGCGAACTCGGCATCGGCTGGAGCCTGACGGGAGAAGAGAAGAGGACCCATGAAGACGTGGTACCACTTCAGGGTGTAGTCCTTGCGAAGTACACGCTGATTGACGTAGGGAACGAAGAAGAGAGCGGCCAGGACGGCAAGAGCGACACCAGAACCGACAGAGACACCGGCGATCCAGTATGCAGGCTTCTTGGAAAGACCGAGCTTGGGAGAGCCCTTGTAGACGATGGAAAGGGTACAGACAGTACCGGCGATGAGGAAGAAGAAGGGCGAGGTGTAAACAGCCCAAGGGACAGGGTTGCTTCTCATGTGGACGGTGGTCTTGACGAGCATGAAGATGGTAGCACCGAAGACGGCGGAGATGGCGGGAGCCATAATCAGACCTGCGAAAATGGCACCAAGACCGGAACCGTCTAGTAAACTGTTGTCAGCTTGCGTTCAGTACCCGACGAAGACCAAAATCTGGTACATACTGCTCCAACCCCACTGGACACCCTTGACACCAACAGTGGCGACACCGACACCAGCAATGGAAGAGACGAGGGAGTATGTCGACGAAACATGAGCGTTGTGTCGCGTGCACCACATGACCCAGATGGAGGCACCTGCGGCGGCACAAGTGAAGGCGAGGAGTTGAACTGGAGCGTTGCCCTGGAAGGCATCAAGAGGAATAATACCTACAAGCAAAGACGAGAAGTTAGACTAAAGCGTTCCTAGTACAGGCTTCAACAGTATAATACCATTTTTGATAGTAGATGCCGTCCTAGCACCGACAGCCAGAGCGCCTGTTAATTCGAACACAAGACATAGCAACATGGCCTGTCGGTACGAGACCGAGCGAGAAGACACACTCGTAGCCCAGGCGTTGGCAACATCGTTCGCACCATTGTTGTATGCTTCAAGAAGAGCAAAGAATGTGCCAATGGCGAAGATGTAAGTGTATTCGTGAAGGACGGGCATCTTGACGAGATTCTATAGCTGCAGGACAAAGAATACTGCCAAGCTTGAGAATTCGACCCTTGATGGAAAAGTGGAGGTGCAGGATAATAGAAGAACGAAGACAAGAGAAAATGTTCCTTGTCCTTCCAGTGCTTATGAACAATCTCCAAGACTGACCTTTTGCCTACACTGCCACTGCAAAAAACCAATTCAACCCTTCATGGGAGCATAACCTACCTCATACTGCAACGCTTCGCGAATGTCATCGGGGCTCCTTGGCAAGGGAGGACGGTCAGAACAATGAGGTTCAAGCATCGAAACACGTGTCGGTCTGAAGGAACGAGGTATCTGTTGGCCAAGTACGCGATTGTCTTGTCCAAGGGCTTCTCCGTGCCTTGGGAGCTGATTGCCAAGGCTGGGCACAGCGCCTCTACTCCGCCCCCTGCCGTCAATCTCGCGCTGGTCTACCAATTCGATTCGGACGAACCGGGGACAACCAAGAGACGGCTGATACAAGGTCAGAATAATCTTTCTTGGTGTCGCACGTGGGTGCAGCGCTGCATGTGTGAAGCTGGACAGGAATTCTAGACGTCCTTCTTCCATCGGCCACTTTCCGACCGTTGTATTGGCGACACGCCTTGTTGAATCGTGCGTGATATCGCTTCGCGGTCAAGCATTGCCTCTGTCAATAGGTCAGCTTCGAGAACGATGCATGCGGCAAGGCTGCCTCGTCACGCATGATACGATCGGATTAGCTGCACCTTCTCGCGTGATGACTGTCTGACTTCGTCTGCATTACACCAAAGCAGCGATCATATTAAATGCCGGTGACCGTGCAGGCAGTGCAGTCGACGAGATTAGACGTGTCTGCCCACTCTTGGATCTCCCTGTATGCTGAAGCATGTAAGTTGTGTAGCGGTCAAAATTCACAATTGATTTCAGAAACAGGGGCGTGTCCGCAGGGAGTCGAGCGTGTTGTCGCTTCTCCGTCGGCACCATATTATTCCCAATGGCATTGTGCAATACCACAGTTGCACGCGTTACATACTATAGTACACGGAGGAGTCGATACCGCCGTGACGCGCACATCGCCTTCGCTGAACAGTTGCAAGTTCTTGAAGCCTCAATGAAGCGCAGATTCGTGAAGCTTCATGTCGCGTGTCGAAAAGATTGCGACATGCCGGCAAAACCTGCCTCTCGATTAACGACATCTCGGCAACTTCTGGCACTCTATCACCCCTCATTGCCGTCTGAATGTTTGCTCCGACTGTTAACATGGTTATATATATTTCTCGGTCTCTCCAAGGTTATACAATGTTTTACCCTTGCTATCAAATTGATCATAGATGACGGGACATGGATTTGCCAACATTGCATCGTGATATCACAAACAGCATAACACAGTCTCTTGAAGTCTATCCCGGTCTTCTTAGCCGTGAGATATATTTGGGACCGATCAACGCCGTTGGCTGACGACAGAAGCACTCCAAATTGTATACACGACATGAAACGCAAGTGTCCAAGCATTGTACCTCAAACTATATAAGATAATGAGAATACAAAGTGGCCAGGGCTTGCTCATGTCAATGAAGCAGGGTCACCATCGAGACGACTTTCAATTAGAACAAATGTTGGCAACGCGGCAAGATGCGGCGAAACCATCCATCGTCGCGCTCGTCAGCGCGTTTCCAAGACACAACCTTGACTACACACATATCTTTCACGATAGCGTCAGCTCAGACGTATGCCATGATACAAGTACCAATAGCAGGGCTTGACAATATCTGGTCAGAAGTGTTTGGCTATGATCATCAGTCGTCTCCTCCAGAGACTCCAGACCCTCTGCGACGCTTCTTCATCTCGGTCGCTGCGATGGAACATGCTTATGTTATTCCAGTACTTGCAAGGGGACTATCAGAAGTTGCAAAAACAGCCATGTTTGGCCTACCACTGGTAGAGATGACAATGACTCATCATAGCGAACAAAGGACAGTCAATTGTCTCGTTTGGTCTCCATAAACAAAGAACAACATCACAAGAAACAAAGCAATTGACTGATAGACACAGATGGCTGTTAACTTTAACAGGCACAGGTTGGAAAGGGATAGCGGCACTAAGCAAACAAGAACGATACAGATACGCATGTGAAAGTTGCGTTGCCCGGGTTAATGAATGAATTTATGGCAAAAGGCTCTCGAGTCGGGATGCTATTGATTTTCAGCACATGACTATTTACTGCACACGGAATCACCATTGAAGGACAGTTGCGGGCACCAAAACAACGCCAGCGGACCTCTTCGGCTTCAATGCCTCAGCTTCACTCACGACTAAGACGCTTTCACCTCGATGTAGCTACCTCTTGGAGCGCATCTTCCTCATCACTCAGCTCTTCTCGCGGACTTCTTTTCCTCTTAACCCTCAGAATACTCAACACTATTGCCTACCCCACTGGACTTCACTCTTCTCTGCTTCGAAGATCTACGAAAAGACCAACGACTCGACACAAGCGGCAAGCCAAACTCGAAAAAATCTCGTCGCTTGTCCCTTTGGTCATCAACATCTTGCGCCTTTCCTCTCTGCCTCTTGCACGAGTACTAAGCCCTTTATTGTGTAAGATGAATAATTTCCTCTGACTCGTCTCACTTGCTGATTGAGAAGTACAGAAAGTGCAACACAACGACTACGCCCATGACTACAAGCGCCGAAGACAGTCGTTTCCTTAATCTTATCGCCGTCCTGGGCAGGACTTGACTCGGTCTCTGAAGTCTCAGTCCAAGCCCTACCTGGATGCAGAATGGACACTTCTGGAACTAGGATCATGATGACTCATTCCAATGGCTGGCGCATCGAGATAACAAGCCATCGCTTCGAATCTGGATCGTCCCCGTGGCCTGCGCCACACTCCTACCAGACCATTCGCGGAGCCCTTTATGATTATCTACGCAACAGAGACTTCAAATGGATAACGCTCCGACTCTCCCGTGCTTCCGGCGATTTCTTAGAGACGATTCTGAACTTGCAATCGAACAGCGTCGAGGGACTTGACCTCTCGAAGATATTTCTCGCCAAAGTGAAGACTGACACCCAAGGACAGGCAGCCTCTCTCACTTTGTTGCCCTACTTGAAGACTCTCGTGAAGCTTCAAACTCTGATCCTTGAGGAAATCATGGATGTATCAGTTCTAGATATCAAGTATTATATTCAGAAGGAAAGAGTTGTGTGGAATGGACAGGAAAAGATCCAGGCTGGTCTCGACGGTCTGATTGCGAAAGCAAAGACTCGGTTTCCTTGAACCGTGCTCAACTATGGGAGAACGAGAAAGAACATGTCCGGCATGCCGAAAACGGCAAGTTTGCAAGACTGTTGACTTTGTCCGATGGCGAGTCAGGCACATCGAAGAGAGCGCTCATCAAAAGCAGACATCATGACACAGAAGACAAGTCCAGGTTCAGCATGAAACTCAGCAACAAGTACAGAGAAACGAAGAGAAGTGAAAGAAGAATGAAGTCTGCGGCAAGAAAATCAAGTCTAGAGAGTAAAGGGAAGACATCACAAGCTGATAGGCAATTGGGCACAAGAATAAGGGCAGTATTAGCAAAGTATAACGGGAAAGGCTGCTGGTATCGCTATTCAGAGGGAACAGATAAGGAAGAAGATGTAACGAAAACTTTTCCCGACTCTGCAATAGCATAGCGTTGTAGCAAGACATGGGCTGAGCGGATGTGACATACGAGTTCACAGAAGGCAGCCGCTGTGACAGCCAACAGCTGCATTTGCGGCGAAAGCAAGAATAGTGAGCGAGTGTGATTTCTCCAAAATTCTTGAGTGATTGACAGACTATCCTTGAAGTCTTCAACTGCTGCACTGACTTTCACTTATTACTTCCTTCTCCATGCCTGACCTTTCTTGACTTGCGCTTGCTCTTTTCTTTCCATCAGCAAGACCTGTTCACTGCAAGGCCGGAGTCTACTCTCATTGATATAACACCAGTCTACCTTGAATGCTTGTCACATCAGCGATCCAACAACACAATTGCTCTCACATACAGCGCTTCAGTTCTACCTTGTGCATCCCTCTCCGATTCAACACTGTCGCCTCCTTCGTCTATGCCACTCTTTCTCACCAATCAACCACCGCTTCACTCCAGCTCTTCTGGCCATCAGCGCATCACCAAGGACTCGTTTCGACTACACCGACACTCTTTGGCGTACAGTTTGCCGTGCAAGTCCACGGCAAGTGGGAAACACACCCTGTAACGCCTCGTGGCCGCCTCACTCGATCGACCATGTCTTTGCACGCCAGAACCCTCGACAGTATCTTGTCCGCCACACCTCGTTCTGCACGTCCTCAAGACCTTGGAACTCTGTTGTTCGCCATATCTACGGCGATAATGGCGCCAGACCAACTCCAACAAGTGCAGAAGATTCGAAACATCTTGGGTTCTGAACCGATCGTCCAGCTACCCACAGAGCTGCTTTGGAAGATGTTCGAGCTGTTGCCGCAGGAAGATAAGAGTGCCTTCAGAAGGACCAGCAAGTCGCTTTGTGCTGCAGTGAAGCTGCCTTTCGCCCAGACCATTCCTTCCTGCTGGCGTTTCATCTTTACCGAGGAAAGCTTGCAAGGTCTGGCCAATCTGTCTGCGGACGAAGCTTTGTTGTCGAGGTGCGAGACTTTGAGCTTCAGAGCAAAGCGACTTGGCCCTGTGGATGCTGGATCCAATCACAGCAAGCCTGAACATCAGCAGGACAACTTTTTGCTTGAGGGACATCATATCGAGTTAATCACCGAAGCTCTGCGTAACTTTTAAGCCCATGGAAGAACAGATATCACCCTCGAGTTATACAACGACTGGGACCTGACGTGTCCGAGAAATGCTTTTGCCTACAAAAAGGTCTTGACCACTGGGACACGGCGTCTTGAACAATACGCAATGCATGACTCACTTTCTGCCTTTGGTATCGCCGTTGGACGCGCAGGGTTTCCGCTGAAGAAGTTCAAGCTCGACGCAATCGAAGATGTTCACACGGTCCACGCCGAAGACATGTTCTGGAAGCAACTTGAGTCTGTCCCTGATCTTGCAATCCACGCGCTCGGATCAGAGATCGAGATATCTAAAAGCAAGTCCGAGATTGAGATAAGCAAGCACTGCATCTGGAATGGAAACCTAGGATTAATCTCCTACTTCGAACCCCTGAGTCCAAGAAGTTACGGCGACGTGTACCGCTTGATCACGAACGGTCAGTATCAGAATTTTATCATGAACACCATCGACACAGACTATCACCACCTTGAACGATTCATCTCCACTCCTGGCATCGTACGTCTCGAATTTGTAGACATCCTGTTCCTTGTTGATTCGAGCCTTAGAGCCTCAACCAGAGTCAACAGAGCAACAAAGTTCTTCGAAACACTCAAGCGTATGCCGAGGCTCCACACCCTGATAATACGCGATATGGCAGACCAATGCTATGGTAAGTTCGTGGCCGAGAAAGTTCATTGGCAGGGCCAAGAAGAGATCAACGCTGGTCTCGACAAAGTCATTCTCACGATCAAGGCTTGGAGATGAGACTGGCTATTGTCTTCAAATTATAAACCCATTCTCAATAGACCGATGTATCCTATGCTTTGTCAATCAGGAGGTATGTAGACAAGCAAGAAGAATCCATATTGGGGAGATGGAAGAGAGACGAGAATTGCAAATGAGCTAGCAGATCGAGGCGGGAGAACAACAGAAACGAAGGAGAGACCGATGAACTGCTGACGGCACATCAAAGGGGACTCGGGAAATGTCTTTACCGTACCAAAGATAGTATGATGAGATTCAGAAGCCACTGAGCATTCACAAATCCCCCACAAACCCACCAATGTCTCTTGCCATATCTTTTCTGTGCCATCAACTCGTCCGCATCTACTGCCTTCCCATATGCGCAGGATTATCTCAGCACAGCTGCATAAATGCACGATAGCTTCGTAAAGAATATGGTTTCCACAGAGAACGCCTATCGAAGGCTATCTCGGTGGCCAGACTCATATTTGAACTGCAATTGTGCAATTCGATAGCATGATAAACTCGTTGCTCGCAATGGAGAAGGGCCACTCTCAAGACCGTGACGGTGTGCAGCACATAGACAGGTAAGAGTATGTGGTTCAATCTCCTTGCATCGCTTACAGCCTCCCCATGTGCCAAATACAGTCACAGTTGTAGCTGTCAAAACACACAATACATTCGAGAAAACTATGGTCTCCATTGGGAGAACGTCAATGAAAAGCTATCTCAATGGCCAGACTTGTATTTGAAACAGGACTGTGCATTTCGATAGCTTATAACAACCCTTACAGCCTAGGATGGGAAAGGGGTCAGTTGTAGATTGTGACTGTCTTGAGCATACGGAGAGGTGAGATTTCGTCTTGGGAGGTGATTCGAACTTTGAAAAAGCGACGGTGCACATCTGAAGCTACACGACGCAGAAGGGAAAAATGGAGAGCCACCATTATATGAAATCATGTATAAGAAGGGTATCGAAACAGGTATAAAGATGAAGATAATAAACAAAGATCAAGGAAGAAGGTTCAGAAATCAAAGAAAATGTCGAGAATATGCAGCGCCGGCAGGATAAAAAGAAATGGCAGCAAAGATCAGCTCATCTCTCAAGATCTTCTCCTTCGAGAACTCTCCGTGCCTCGTCAAGGCGTCTTCTCAACCACCTTCTGCTCTCCTCGCCTCCAGCACCGAGCTGTAGTTCTCCAACCACTTCTCGCAAGCTTTCGACCAAGGTGTAGACCAGAGCTTCATCTTTGCTACCCAAGCTTTGACCCTTTGCAGGATCGAGCAGAGCAGCAACAGCCATTGTAGTAGCAGAAGGAGAGATGGAGATGTATTGTTGGCCTTGCTGTGCAGAAGCAGGAGTATAGGTGGGCGGCAAAGAAGGGCTTGGTAGTGCTGCTTGAATAGATGGATGGCTTCGACTTGGTGGTTTTGGCAGATCGTTGTTGTGAAGGGAACCGGCAGAAGTGGAGCGAGAGAGCCATTGAGCGATAGAGGCTTGATGACCTTCGTCGGCAGTCTCGAAAGTAGCAATTGTAGCTAGGGATTCTGCTGAAAGACCTCGTCGGTGCTGCATGCGAGAGGGAAGTGTAACTTCTTCGATATGGCGTAGCGCTTCTGGTGTCTCAGGAGTTGGCGGAGCTTGTATCTCTTCGTTGTCGTCGGCACCGGAGGTAGGCTGATCTTGATGGACAGGGTATGCGCGAGCGGTCAAACAGGAGTCGGAAGAGCTTAAAGAAGTGCTGCGAGCGTGGCGAGTAGGCGTGTTGGGCTCGAAACTGCCCGTCGCAGAATGCAAGAAGAATTTGGAGTAGTCAAAGGCATCATCGCGGTCTTCGTGGCGGGGGCCTGACACGAGGGGNNGAGACGATTCAGGGGCGTCCTCATAGAGACTCATGGGATTGGAGTGGTCGGTTGTTGTTGTGGTTGGCGTAGAGGTGCGATCTGTACTGCCTGAGTCCGAGTGCGGGATTGTGTAGTTATCGTCGTCTTCTTCCTCTTCTTCCAACTCTTCTTCTGCGTCAAAGTCATGGTCATCATTGTCGTCGATGGTCTCGGCAGACACCCAGGCACCTGGTACGTTGCTTGCTTTTGTAACGCGGGCGAGTCTTGGTCTGGGCGAGCCTGTAGCGTCAGGAGAGGTTTCGGCATCGTTCAGAGGACAGGTCTCTCGCAGATTCTGCGTACTCCTTCTCCTCATATTCTCCTCTTGTGCCCTCTCTTTCAGTGTGGAAATCCTGCCTCTCAATTGCATCATCTGCTCGCGCAAGTTATGTGCCGATGTCTGACTTCGTACGCTCTGCTCTTCGGATACCGTGTCAAGCTGCGGATCAGGGCTCAACGGACTGCGAGGGTAGCGTAGCACTTCGGAGCTGCGGGATGCGCGGACTGGGTTGTTGGTCCATGAAGGAGTCGAGTTGATATTTAGCGACATGTAGCGGCGTTCTTCGGGTTGTTGGACGTCGGAGTCGCTGAGCACACGCATGTGCTGGGCATTGGAGGTGTGAGGGTTGTGCGGAAGGTAGCGAGGGCGGGAGAAGGAAGTGTTGCGTACGGGGCCGGTGGTGAGAGAGGTGGCTCGCTTGAGATTGGCTGCTGTCAGAGGAGTGACGATTTCGCGGGCTCCTCGTAGGTTCTGGTCCATGGCCTGTGGCATGTCAGCTTGGGCGGTACAGCCTCACGTGCCTTGTCGACATACATTGAGGCGCTTCTTTGCATTGGCGAGAATGAGCTCAGCGCGCATGAGCGTGACATTCGACTGCTCCGTCTTCAAGACGTCGCCGTAGGACAATTCGCTGGGTGTGTCAATGTCAAAGTCGTCCTCGTCCAGCGTCTCGGTGTCCGAATCCAAGCTCGACTCGAATCGGGGAATTTGCATGTTTTCAAGGTCCTCGGTGAGGATGCTGCTGGCAGCATAACTCAATCGTCGGTCGTCCCATGACTGGTTGTCGACATTGAGGGTTGGCGACGAACCAAAGGTTTGCAGCGGCGATTGCGAAGGTGCTCGGAGACTCGGTCGCGACTTCCTCTTGTTCCCCAGCGTCTTGGTCGTTTGCGCCTGCAGGTACGACGGTGACGGCGGAACTTCTGCCTCGTGCCGTGCTTCGTCCACCACGTCCACCACGAACGTGTTCGGCAGCACCATGTCCGGGTTTGTGAGAGTGGGCGACGGCGGTGCTGGTAGAGGCTGGTCGTGTGTGTTTGGCACACTCATTGTTGTTTTGTTTGTGTGGAGATACATGGCTACTCATGCATATGCAGCCTGTCGCTGTCTGACGTCCACCATGCACGAGAGCCGATCAAGTGCAGCGCGCCGCCCGAGTTTTGTCAAAAGCTTCCTGCACCATCGAGACACTCAGCCGTTCCATGCTCGCATCCTGGGGGCCGCCCGCCAAACCGCTGAACCATGGCCGTTGCCAAAAGAGACTGCCCGCCCAGACCCGCCCATGAAACTTTCTGGAGAAAGCTTCAAGACATGTGGGTCAGAATCCAATCAGAAGACCCGAAGCCTCATCTCGGAAATCATAAAATTTCGACCCCTGTCAATCTTCCATATCACTCCTTGGACCACTCTATATCGCTTCCATGAATACATGCAATCAATCTCTACAGGTCATGTCTTGTCCTGAACCCGAGTACCTGTTCCCATACACCACCGTTGCATATATACGATAGCCCACTAACGGCCAGCTCGCATACACTTTATTGACGAACTGCCCGAGTCGCTCTCTTCATGTATGTTCGTGTTTCGACCTTGTCCACTCCATACTGACTCAGGTCGAGCTCTTCGACCGACACAACCTCGAATCCAAACTTTTNGTATAACTTTGCTCCCATCAGAGATGCTTGAAGATACATGTCCAGTCCTGCTTCGTCGGCTTTCTGTGTACCTTNTTCAAGCAGCATGTGTGCTGCTCCGCGCCTTCGGTGTGACGGGTGTGTCGCAAGGTATGCGAGATCTGTGAGTGCTGTAGATTAGTGGCCTGCCTGACTCTTTCCTCTTGACATGAATCGTCACGTACGCGCATGCGGTTTGCCCGCAAAGTTCTTTTGAGCAAACTCGTTCGACCCCTTGTTGAGCCATGTGAAGAACTCTATCAGCTTCTTGGGTGGAGGCTCCTCGCCTTCCACAGGAGTGTCCTGATACGCCTCGCCTTCATGATATTGGAACGAGAATTTTGCGACCGAAATCATGTCGTTGCTATCAGTATCCACGACTTTCCAGAATGTTTCTGCGTGGTGTTCCATGCCGTTTGAAATGAATCGTTCGAAAGCGTACGCGATATCGACGTCTTCAGCTTCTTGAATCCTCCAGATGGCGTTGGAGATACCGACATCTTTCATGACCATGCGGTCCATCCTGGCGATGGCGGGAATGTCGCCCCTCTCCACTTGTCTGATCTCCAAAGGCATGGTTATCGCGGATGCAAGATGTTTGATCAAACTCAAATTTCAGTCTCTCTGTATTGCTATCTATATAAGATGGAAATCTGTCACGCGTGATTTGCTGCTGTAGAAAGCGGTGTTCGAATACAGTAGGTGCAATCCTTCAATTACTCCTTATCGGCTGATACGGAAGCCCGCCGCTTTTAGCCCCACTCGCAATTCACTATTTGACAGACAGGTCGAAGGCCAGAAGAGTGACGATAGAAACATTGCCTGATGCGCGTGCGACTTTGCTTCTTCTCATACTCTGTCTCCGGACAGTTGGCCGGTTTGATGAACACGCTGTCGGTCGAGGTGCAGAATCGAACATGCACGCTTGTTTCCGTGCCAGGTCAAGCTTTGGAGGACGGGCTTCTCCACGAGATTGATTCGCACGGGTGTGAGACCTCTTTCAACATCACTGCACACTCGATATCTATTTTGTCGAAGAGACAAGAGACAGCAACGACAATCAGGGATTTGAGGGCTTCATCTGTCGAAAATTGGTCGGAAGAAGATGACGAGTGTCGTACTACTGCCAAAGCTGCCCTGCAGAATCATGACGTTTGTCCACTCGGGTTCCCCATGGGTTTTCGCACGACAGTCCGTCCTGCAGCCACGCTGACAGGACCATGCCTGTATCTTGCATCATGTCGTATCCACTGCAGCTCTCAACTCGTGGCAGGTCAACCTTCGTGAGCGAGCTGCTGAACATAAAGGTTTGGAAGTAACCATGACACTTTTCTCCGCGTCCGACACCCATATGGCTGCTTGTCGTGGGTTTGCCAGTTCTCTTTACTCCTCGTAGCTTTCCAGAGCACCTCTGGTACATCGTGCGGCTCGATCTCTGGGACCGAGTCTTCCAGGATTTCTCTGATCAATCCTTCCTGACTGGCCTTACTTCTAGTGGTGCACCTTGAACATATAAAATGCAAGAGGGCAGCAACCCACATCGGCGGCTGTCGAAACGAAATCTACCTTCGATCTTCAGGAGCGGAAGGAAGTCACCCGGTATAGAATCGTCGTTCAGTGCGACAAATATTTTGCCTAGGAAGGCGCAACCACAGTCGACCGTCGCTCTTGCATTCGACCCTCCGCCCGAAGTTCCAGACATGCCGTCGACACGAGCGGGTTCAATCTCGCCCATCCAACCATCAATCTTTGATCCTGTACAAGAAGAAACGCAAGAGGATTATCACACAGAACCTACGACAGCTCCCCATTCTGGATCCGCCGACGATCAGGAACATTACGATCTCAAGCCTCCTCCGCCCACCGTGTCGCATTCGAATATGGAACAACTCGGCACACGCTTCTTCTCCGTCGACCACCTAAACGTCATTCTTCGCGACCATCAAGCATCTACCCGCTTCCATCGCTTCCTCACTCAGTACAGGCCGTACACCCTGCCCTCTCTCGAGAGTTATGTCGACACGCAAAAGGCCGTTGCTGCTATAGAATATGCCAATTCTCTTGCGGATAGTCTACCCTCGTTGACTGGTGACATTCCGAGGCCTGCAGCTACCGTGGAAAAGAGCTTCGAAGAACGATCACGCCTGGTAGTGCAGGAGTTGGTCGACGATGCTCTGCCCGCCTACCTCACCCACCGTCTTGTACAACTCGTAACCGACAGCCTCGTCAAAGAGATCACTGGCAACATTGCGCCCGTCTTGCGTGATCTGATACCTTCTCTGGCCGAAGTGTACTGCATCAGCGATCCTTCGCTACCCGACAACCCCATTGTTTATGCGTCCGAAGGTTGTTTCGTCCTGCCATCCCTTCCTGCATCCCGTCCACTGACTCCATACNNAGCCTTCTACGACATAGGTGGTTATCAGAAGGATTTCGTGATTGGCCGCAACTGCCGATTCTTGCAAGGTCCAAAATCGTCTTCCGCCTCCGTACATCGATTGATAGAAGCTTTGAGAGCTGGCCAGGAGATTACCGAAACAATTCTCAACTAGTGAGTCTGATCCTGCTGTCTACTTATTCAGTGCCCTTGCTGACATGCTTAAAGCCGACGCGATGGCATACCCTTTATGAACCTCCTCATGATCGCACCGCTGTACGATAACAAAGGCACCGTGCGCTACTATCTCGGCTGCCAGATCGACGTCACACATCTGATCGAAGGCGGAAAGGGCATCGAGACCTTTGAACGACTTCTCGCCAACGATCGCGCCGAAGAACGATACCGTGGTCGGAGCAGCCGCAAGCCAACACAGGTGCTGGGAGAGTTAGGCCAGATGATGAACGACGATGAGTTGGATGCTGTTAATACCCGTCAACGCAGCCAGTCGCGCAGCTCGACTCCAGCTGGCTCTTCGCGCGTTGCTCCTGCTCCTATCAGACATTCCCGCAAAGTGTTCGGTATGGACGAATCTCATGAACGTGGATTGTGGCCTCATCCTTCTCTCGGCCCCTCTGGACGTCTGCCTGGTGTATACCAGAATGTGAGTACTCTTGATTCTCCGCTTTATATCAGAAACTGACGCATATCTTCANNGTACCTACTTGTCCGTCCCTATCCATCCCTACGCATTACTTTTACTTCTCCCGCTCTTCGCATTCCAGGTCTGCTCCAAACAAAGTTTATGGACCGTCTTGGAGGACCACAAGAAGTTCGCGACGGCGTGCTTGACAGCCTTTCCCACGGCACTCCCGTGACAGCAAAGATCTCCTGGCTCTCTTCGCCAACAGTTCCCGACAGTCCTCGGCGCATCAGTATCGAGGGCAAGCCACGCTGGATTCACTGCACGCCCTTGCTCGGTAGTGACGACAAAGTAGGGGTCTGGATGGTCGTCATGGTAGAGCAAGAGAACATCACAGGAAACCTTACAAGACCGTCCGAACTACCCAATTCTTTCCCATCACCACCTCCAAACGTTATGGGTAGATCCTCGCTGGAGTCTCCTGTTAGAGGCGGAGAAGGAGCGAGAAGTCCAAGATTCAAACCTGAGACTGGAAAGTTGTATGCCGAGTACCTACGTCGCGAGGGCAGGAGTAATGCGCCTGAAGACGTGGCCATCAATGGCTCGCTGGGCAGTGGTAGTTTCAGGGAAGCGAGACCATTCCAGGATTTTTGAGTGCCCGTGAGGCGGAGCGAAAGGATTTGTGTTGGTGGACTTTAGAATGACCCTAGGACTTTTGTCGCTAGCCTCGAGGGCTAAGGGCTATATTGTTTAGAGAACTTTTACCTGAGAGCAGAAGGAATAGTAGAGTACAAGGTATTCATATCACAATCACCTATGTCTAGCATCCTCTCCTGAGTCTCCTCCCAAAGAATGTGACTTTCATTACTCCAACTACAGCAGAGAGTAAAGTATCACACCATAGAAATACACGATACTATTAGAAAACAGGATAGTGTCCACTGAGAGGTCGATTTCTTCTCAACTCTCGTTGGCCATATGTTTGTTTTCGAGTAAGATTGTGCATTTTTATAGCCACACACACGCGTTACACACGGGGAGGAGCGATAGATTATCGTTCGCTCAAGATACGAACTTGCTATTTAAGATATGATAGAAATGTTTCGGTGGTCAAAAACATTTAGGGGTTAATGGTTTCTTGATCTTGACGTAGAACAAGAGCTTAGCTACTTTTGGCACGAAAGTTGTTGGCGAGATGGTCTGGGTAAAAATGCTTCTGATTAATGTGTGCAGTGGGTCCTTTTTGAACCAGCTAGATCTATTGCTTCTTGTTGTCTCATTTGTGGCGATCTGGTGCATGTGTTTGGAAGCCAGACGCATATTCTTCAAATCGACAGAAGCACACTCGGAGGCGATCATGCTGAGGACTTCATTAGGCAGTGTGGGAATGTGAGGCGAACTGGTTGCTGGAAATGTGCTGGCAGCATGCTCGGCGGGCGGATTTGCAGTTGCTGCCATGTTGTCGAGAGCCATTCGAGATGAATAAATTACGAGGTTGCGAGTAGGTAAGGGCGGGGTTGGTCCTCGGTGCGGAGTTGTCGTGTCAGAGGCGCTGAAGAAGTGCAAGCGATCGTTCGTGCAACACAAGAATACAGCAGTAGATCCAGCTCCGATCTGGAATTGCTGACCGGCGGTGACTGACAATGATAATGTCTGATTTGTCGGCACAATGTGATCGAGGTGGTGTGAATAAGCGCCGCGGCGTTACCACGACAGTGAATACTCGAGCGCGTAATGAGAATGTCGATGCGAAGAAGGTGACGGTTCGAGAGTCAGCTCTCGATGGTCATGCTTCTACTTCAAGAAACAATCATGTCTTTAGATGGCATGTATTTTGCTTGTCGTCGCAGGCTATACTATACGCACCAAAGAACTCGTGCATTGCAAGAAGCACTAGGGTCCTCTTGCGATCGACCAGATCCTCTACATCTAGCTGGCAAGAAAAACCCAACGCACCACCCTCCACGGGTGTAAACTCGGCTATGAAGTCGTCAGCGTCGGCGTGCTTAAACTCTAGCGACAAAGAGGACTAGAAAACGATCTCCACACTAGCGACTTGCTTGCGCAGCCGCGAAGAGAAGTCGACGAGCGAATCGCCGTGGGTCGTAAGACCTGTTGCCGAACGAACGATGAATTTGACATGCATATTCATGTCGAGCGTCTCTAAAAATGACGCGAATTCTTCATTGATCCCCTTAGTAGCCTGTTCACCAGGCACGAAAAGAGGAAAGTCGCAATCGATAGCATTACGATGGATGAAATGGGCCTCGTATGGCTGGCCAGGCCAAAACGAGGCACACAACAACGGGCAGACAAGCTCAAAATGCTTGAGCTGCTTAACGGCAGCGAGAGCACGCACTGAGGTAAGCACTGTTCGACCACAGGGAGGTTCGACGAGGGAAGAAGGAAGTGCCGAAGCTGCGGCAATCTCTCGTGATTATTCCGTAGTCTGTCGAAAGTCAAGAAACAAAGTGCTGCAAAGAGTGATTGAGTGGGAAAGCGCTGGAAAAACAGTGGATGGTGATTTCCTCAAAAGCGAACGAGCTGGCTGACAGCTCCGAGTCCATGCAACTCAAGAAACGGCAAGAACAGCACATCACAATCACTCACGAGGCACTTTCTCAGGCAAAAGGCTTAGAAGAAATCTGTCTGTTCTTCTATGAGACGAAATGAGATACGAAATTTCATAAGAACAAGACATGACCCAGCTTATCCCGCCTTTGATGCAACCATGTCATAAACCTCGCAAAACATATCCGAAATTGCTCCTTTGATGCAAAACCCATGTTGAAGACGAAGAGAAAAAGTCCACCTAGAGTTTGGCACCCAGGTCCTCAAACTCTGCCAGGTCCTTGACAGGTCTCATGGCCTCAGAAAGAGGCATGCGAGCCTTGAAACTCCTGACGTCTTCGATTCTGGTTGCAGTACCGACTTGCTGCATCTGTTCCTCGACTCTGCGCTCGGAATTGGTGGTACTGGCAGTGTCTTCTCTGACGCCTTGGGGTTCTCCTGTCTGCTCCGATGACGACTTGCTACTCTCGGCATCAGCTGACTTCGCTTGAGCGAGCAGATGAGTAGAGATCTTTGCGCGAGTCTTGGAAGCAGGGTCAATGTGAGTGTTGAAGAAGTCGATCATATCTTGCTTGGTGATGGGTTCGATGTGCTCAACGTCGCGGTACANCTATTGACAAGGTCAGTAAATGTGTTCAGAGGTATGTAGATAGCATGACTTACCGAGCTCGAAGTCAAAGGCCTCGCTGGTAACGTGGTGCCAGAAACGACCGCTCTCCTGGTTGAGGTTCTTCATCTTCTCCAAGCGCTTGTTGATCAGAGCTGTCTTATGTGACTCGAACTCCTCATCCTTCATCTTGTTCTTGAGGTTGTCACCAAAGGTATTCAAGAAGACGTCAATGCGCTTCTCGAGGTATTCGGGCGACCTCTCAGACTGAATCAACACACGCCAACCAGAGATGGCAGTGAGCATCAGCGGCATGGATTGCACAACATAGCCCAGCTGCTCTTTCGATCGAAGAGTGTCAAAGCAGCCCTCGTCTGACATTTGAGCAAACAGAAGAAGCTTGGCACGGTTTGCGCGATCAGTCAAGAGACCGGTGAACAGTTGGTAGTCAATGCAGTGGTTGACGTTTTGCGGATCCTTAAGTGTGCGCTCGTAGACGAAGTTGCTGCCTTGTGGAGGAACGATGGAGCGGCGAAGAGGCCATTGACCAGCGGGAAGGGTCTTGGGCTTGAGCGTAGATTCAACCAAATCGGTCATCTTGAGTGCATCTTCACGGTAAAGATTGCCGTGTGCAAGAACTTCGATGTGCATCTGATTCAGAATTTGAGGGAAGAAGTTGCGGACATCGTCAGCAGTAACTTGGTCAAGCTCCTCCAGCAGTTGATCAACGATGAAACCTTTCTCGGCTACCAGCCACCTGCTGTAGGTGCTGATCTGATGGAATGGCTGTTGATATCCAAAGTTGCGCCAGCCTCGAAGAGTGCGATCTTTGATGATATCGAAGCGGTCGTTCTTGATCTCGAGATCGCGCATAGCAATCAAGACCTTCTCGAGAAGAACCGCCATCTTGTCGTTGTATCCACTGACAGTCACGTCAAAGCCTTGAGCGTGATTTTGAAGGTCATACTCGAGGCCGGCAAGCTCTGCGTCGTAGGAGTATTCTGTCAAGGAGTCTTCGACCAAATCCTTGTAAAGTTGAGTAGTGACGGCAGTGAGAGCAGACATGCTGACCAGGGGCGACCTGAAGAAAACCTTGATGTTTGCCTTGGGTGCCCAGAATTGATCGTCCTTCTTCCACCATGTACGAACATTCACATCGTTGCGAATCAGCTTTGGCGCAACAGCAGGCTTTTCAACCTCCTTGACCTCGACATCAAGACGAGATGGCACAAACTCGTTCTTGGCAGGCATATGCAACTCAGATGGACGGTGGGACGAAGTGGCTTTGCTGGCAGCCTCCAACTCCTTCATGAACTCTTGGGGCATCTTCTCGTACTTGTATTCGGTACCGTACCACTGCTCCTTCTTATCCCAGTTACCAGGGTATTCTTGAGAGACGAGGGTGATGCGGAAGTTGTCAGGACGGAGGTAATCAAGACCGCGCTGGATAGCATCAGAGTCGAATTTCCAAATCAGAGATTGGGCGCTGAGCAACTTGTCACGAGGGAAAGACTTTTGCATGACACCACTCAGAGCGCTAACAGTGCGACTGGCAGGGATCTTCTGGCGGAAACGGAAGTCAACCTCTGCAAGCTTGGCCATCTCATCAACGATCCATTCCTGTGGTGGGTGTTCCTTGACCATGGCGAGATATTGGAAGACAGCCTTGACAACTTCTTGGTAGTTTTTGAGGCCGTCTTCGGTCAGTCGAATGGAGATTGAGAAGTGCGAAGTACCAGGGCAGATGTTCATGGGTCCAGCACCGAGACCGTTGGCCCAGCCCTTTGCCTTGATGTATGCGAGAATGGATCCAGGGCCTTCGTGACCGATGAGGTGGCTGAGATACTTGGCGGGCTGCGACTCCCACAGGTCTTCCTCGTCGGCGTAAACGAAGTGCATATCGAGCAGGCGCATGTCCATGACGGGCTTGACAAAGATTTGAGTGCCCAGTTCGGCCTCTGTCATGGCGGGTATATCATCCCAGCGCAACTTGGGCAGGTTCTGGTTGGGGACATCTGAGAAGAGTTCGGTAACCCAAGATTCCAGCTCGTCAAGCTGCTCACGGCCGAGAACAGCAAGCTTCATGCGGTTGGCCGAGTAGTTTGCGCGGTAGAAGTTGATGAACTCGTCGCGGATCTTGACGCCACGAGCAATGGGATCATCGTGCAAGACCTTGTAGTTGCCGGTGGAGAACTTGTTGAAGGGATGCTTCTTGTTGGACAGACTTTTGTTCAGTTGGTGCAGACGCCAGTTGTCTGCCTGCAGGTTCTTCTTGTTCTCGGAGTCGACGGCGCGCAACTCGCGGTCCAGGGTGTCTTCGAGGAACAGCGGGTGAATGAAGAATTGGGCAAAGCGGTCGAGGGCGCCGTAGAGCGGGGCTTGCGACTTCTGGATGGGGAGGGAATCGGAGCTGGCGAGCGACGACTGTTGGCTGGTCGAGGTGGACGAGGCCGAGAGCTCAAAGTAGTAATTCGTGTCGCATGAGGCGGTAAAGGCATTTGAGTAACCGCCGTATCGTTGCAGGTACTGGTTGTATTCGTTCTCGACGGGAAACTGCAGTCACAAAGTCTCAGCCCACCTCTCGCCATCTCTCGCCACCTTCTAACGTACCTTTTCAGTTCCCATAAATAGCAGGTGCTCGACAGCATGAGCCATACCGGGCATGTCGTCGGCATCGCTGAAACTACCAATGTTGACGTCCATGGCGGCGCTCGCCTTGTCCGTGTCGGGATCATGGATCAGCAGCGCCTCGAGGTCGTTGGCTAGTCGCACGACGCGATATGTGCGGTTGTCCAGCAATGGCTTCTCCATTCCGTCGGTCAAGACACTGGCTCTGGTGGATGCGGATCGCTGAGGAAGGGACATGTTGGCTGCGCTGCTTCCGACCATGGCGCCTTGTTGGACGAAGAGAGATGAGGGGCTGCGCGAGTGTTGGCGACGATGACGCTGAGACAGAAGTGGCGTTTGCTGAAACTGTCTTGTCTTCTTGTTTGGAAGGGCTGCCGATGATATGGAGAATTGTCTTACTCTTGTCCAAGACTGCACATGCTCAGAGCAAGCGAAACGTTGGAGGCGAAGTGCTGTAGCATTCTTCGCCAACTCCTGGCACAATAGCATCCGCTCGAGACCCACTCTGTCACAGGAAGCAAGGGGCTGGTCTGAGAATACAACTCTCTGTACTCTTTCTGTCTTTCTGTCTTTCCAGACTCTTCTCGCTCGTACTGGCTTCACTTGGTATCTACCACTCTATCAGCATCCATATCAACCGTTCCCCCCATTCGTCATTGAATCGGGATCCACCGCCTCCGCATATTACCATCAAACCCTAGCTTCCATATGCACACGCTAAAGCTTAATTTTATGCAACTTTCATCTTCATGTCTCTCTCTCATGTCTCTACTTCATTCGTGGCTTTCATCAACACGACATAAATCTCTGCTACTGTATCCTTCTCTGTGTGCTGGCCTCTGCCAAAGAAGCCGAATGCTTGCTCGTCACTTTGCCGAACCAAGCAATTGTCTTCTCCAATCTGGCCTCGTTTGCCTAATACCTGACCTTGTACATCACATTCGTGCAGCTGGTCTTCCTGTAGACATCTTTAACTTCATGCAATGCTGTCTGCACCATTCACCCATCACGCTCCAGTCATCTTCCATCTATCGAATGTTCAAGCTCTCGTACTTGAGCCATGCATTACGCGCCTTGTTGACATGGTCCAAGCCGAGCTGATCACCGTCGCCGTAACTTTCTGAGAGGATGTCGTNCTGTGTTCTTAGTCAGCCAGATTCAAGCCAATAGTCGACTTCAAACTTACCATCTTCAAGAGGCTTTGGTCGAGAATGGCTGCCATGAGGGACCACCGAAAACTTGATCTTCTCAAATTGCTTGCCTTTGATACCCGTACGTTTGGACAATCTCTCCTTGGTATCCTTGAATACTTCACCCTGNNTAGGAACTTGTCAGTCTTCTACTCTCCCTGCTGTTCTGTTTGTGCTATCACTTACTTGCTTGACGAGGAAGATGAACGGAATACCGTGAGGCTTTGCAGGCTCTTTGTCGTAATGGAAGCATCCAATAAGAGGTGGCGTTCCCTCCTTCTCAGCTTCGCGTTCTTCCTCTGGTAAGCGCTCTGCATAAACCTGCATGAATTCATTCAATGTAGACACAGCTGTGTCCGGGAGAAGCATCTTATACACTTTGCCGGAGTGAGCCTCATAGAAGCGAATCTGCTCAATGACCTCATCTGGTAGCTTGGCCTTCCTTTGGAATACCGGAAGAACATCTTCGAATGTACCGACCTTGGGGACAAGGCAGTCATATGTCTCTTCTTTGGTTACTCCTTCAGGCAACCAAGTCACCTTAACCGTCTTGCGTTGTTCCAGATCTGTCAGGCTCATCTCCAGGACTTCATAGTACAGTGTGTCGGGCGACTGGTTTGTGTAACCATAACCACCACCATATCCACCGGTACCAACGCCAGAGAGTACGGTATGTACCGTCGCTGTAGGCGTACGCTTTACAGGCCCTCTAGGCTTGCCGCTCTGAGCGTTGACCGTAGTGAAGCGCAGATGAGTAGAATCGACGTCTGTCTTCGAGATTGCCGACAAATGTTGCGCTGTCTTGGTTGCCAATGTATCGTAGCTGTCCTTCCTCGAGAGGTACATCTCAAACTCGTCTGCTCCCTGTTCGAGCGGAACGCTTTGCGGTGCTCCGGGGCGAGGTAGGAAGAATACACGAATACGGTTCAAGAGGTAGTCGTAGAAGGAGTTTGCGTCGGTGTAGGCGGAGGGATATTTCTGTTGGAATGCTTGGACCTCTTCCACAGGCATGACCTTCTGGAAGCAGACAATGTCGCCATCTTGAATCTCAGATTGTCCTAGCGTCTGCTTCGGCTTCATGACATCGATGAAGTTCTGCTTGATCTCCTCGAAGAGCTTGAGCGACGTGCCTGCTTCCCAACCCATGAGCTTCAGAATCGGCTCTGCAAGATCCTGCACTTNTTGGCTTTGAAGCATGTATGTGTGGCCAACACCTTTGAGTGTCTGAGTCTCAAGATCAAATTGCTTGAGGAAGACGATGATAGGTTTCTGTTCCTGGCCTGGAGTGGAAGGTGCTGTGACTTCGGTATCCCAGATTGGCTTGCCGTCCTCACCACGAGTGGTCTGTTCAATGAAAAGACGGAACGATGCTGCTCTGGTGGAGAATTTGGCGTTTGCTTCCTCGAGAGTCATTGTCGAGTAATTGAGAGGATGATCGGGTCTGACTGTGCCATTTTGGCGGTTAACCATGACCCAAGGACGAATAAGATCAGCATCAGTGCCGATGTCTTGCGCGACCTGCTCGTTAAATTCTGCCAAAGTCATTGCTTTCTTACAACGCAGGACTCTAGGAGCAACTGCCTCCTCCTGGTCCGTTGACTTCCAATCGACCAGGTCAAACCCTTGGTAGGAGCGGAAATTGCTTTCTGTAGCAATCTGGACGTTCATGTACAAGTGAGCCTCTTCGCGCTCCTTTCGCTTGCGTTCGAGTGCAGCACGCTCTTCGGCAAGACGGCTGGGTAGATGTGCTGGAGGTTGAATGCTGTCGCTATCTCCAAGAATTTGATCAATACGGCTTTCGCGAATATAGACAAGCATGTAAGCGCTCATGGAGCGCTTGGTCGACCATTGGCGAGTGAAGGGGTTCTGCATCTTGGTGGCGCCATTAGGTCCAGTTGGAGCGTAGTCACCACCGAAATTCTCGTCCATGGCTTCTCGGGGAGTAGCGCGAGTGACACGGTCGTCATCAAATTTGAAGAATGGGCTGTCCTTGGTAGGTTTGAGGAAAGCATAGTAATGGCCAGCGTTCATGTCACCGCTGTGGACAAGTACACCATGAAGACGGTAGATGTATGGCTCAGAGCGATCGGCTGTCTCGGACAAGTATGGTGAAGCATCCCAGATCTCAGGGAACTCGTAACGATCATTGACCTTGACCATGGCATCCCTGACAAAGTCATATTCGAATCGCTTGAGTTGGAGGTGCAGAACTTGGGNGAAGCTCTCGAAGATGACACCCTTCTTTGCGTCTTGCAAGCCGTATCCTTCGGCAGCATATTTGTTGTCACCTTCAAGAGTCTCGACCTGAACGTAGTCGCGGAAACTGTCATCAAGCGTCTTGCAGCCACTGACGTTGAGTTGCAGGTCCCAGAAGTCTTCGACACGAGAGCTCTCGTAGTCGACGTTGATGCAGCGAAGATATGTTTTCATCTTGCCAACAAACATCTCAGCCAGTACATTTGCAGCTTCGGTGCCTTTCATCTTCTCTTCCAATTTGTCCATCAGGATGCGAGAGAGTTCCTGGACGTCCTGTTGCTCGAAGACCTGACGAGACTCCCATCCGAATGATTGAGTAAGTTCCATAGTAGATACAGCGGCAGGGTCTGTCTGTAGCTTGTAAAAGAGTCGCTGTAAGGCCCAAGCACTGCTGTTCCGTGCGTCTGTCTCATTCTCGGTAGGTATTTGGTACACAGNCCTGGACAGTCTTTGTCAGCGAATGAGTTCATAGATTCACCAGAATTGACATACCTTGCGGAAAGCGTTGGTGAAGAAGAGTGATTGGAGCAAAGAGTTGAGATAGCAAGTTGCGCCCTGGTTGCGAAGACCCACCATACCAGTCTCTTTCTTAGAGTCATAGCTAAAATCAGATTGTCAGCGGGCTGGTCAAACATAAAGGGATGGACATTGCAGATCGTGCCGTTGAAAAGAGAAAGAGGAAAGTGGTTTTTCAGCCGATAGTAGAGATCGTTGAGAGATCGTGACGACAAGCACGTCGCTGGAGAATGCAGGGTACAGGAACGCATTTGAGCCTCTGTGGAACAGCTGCATGCTGCGAGATTGGAGACTTGACAACACCGAGAAATTGTGATGGGTGGATGAAACAAAGTTCAAGGACGAGGGTGACAGCAGGAAATACAGCTTGACTCACTTCACAAAGTTATGCCAAAGAACACCAGTTGGGTCTTTGAGCACTCTGACATAGGCAGTCAGTTTGGCAGAATCATTCTCTACCAGAGGGCGGTCCTTTTCGTCGAAGCGTGTAGCAAACACTCTGTTCTTTTCTGCGAAACGTGTGAAGCCCCAGTCGCCCTCCTCTTGATTGAAGCGGTGTTGAGCCTCATGGTGTAGGTAGATGCTCGGGTCGTTCGGGTTCCACAGCACGAGCATGAAGCGAGCACATGCATACCAGTCTGCCGGAGGCTTGTCCTCTTCGCCATAGCCCTGTTCGAGGTAGAAGCTGACTGACTCGTTCGCGTTGTTGCCGGCGGGAAGAAGAGAACTTTCCAAGGGTGGTCACCGGTGTGGAAAGTCGGACTGTGGTGTCTACGTGGCAGCGTACGCCAATCTTTGATGTCCCATGTGAAGGTTGTTTCGGATTCAATTTCGAGGTCGGGGTCTTCGGGCATGAAGCGGTTGCGCATTGCAGCAAAGTCGTCGGCGCGAGGCTCCTGGACAGCGACTTCCTCCATCGAGTCGTCTTCTGGTGAGATTATGGCCACATCTTGTTGCTTCTCGTCGTAGTCTGAATCGACCAGCATATCATGGCCGAGCTGGGGTCGGAGTGTCAGTGGTTTGTGATTGAAGGCCATGTCTTTGCGTGGAGGTGGTGACGACATGATGAGTGTGACCAGCAAGGCGAGCTTCTGTTATACAACAGTTGCAAGCTGTGCTGGGGGTGGGATGAATTGGAACGAATGGCAATGGTGGGGGATGTTGGTTGTGGATTTGAACTGCACGGGCTAAATTGGAAACTCACATCCATCTTGTGTCAGGGCAGCTGGACAAGGGAAGGTGCGATGCAGGCTGAGTAGGAATGTGCGTGTTCGACGATGTCCAGTTACCGCCGCCGCTGCTGGACTTCTCACACGTGCGGATGGATAGCAACCAGCGGGATAGGGATACGGAGAGCTGTCGGCTAGTCGATGCTCTGTAATTTTAGGATGCGGCTCGGTCTGCGCCTATGAATATGCCAGCACAATCTCTCTCGCCTTCGGTAGGTGGTGGAGTTATTGTTCGGCAGGCCGGAAAGAACGAGTTGCAAGATCAAAGCACGCGCCAAGTCCTGACGTAACTTAAAGGTGCACCTCAGTTTGCTCGTGGAGCAAAGCCTTCACCTGCTTGGAGCCGAACTGAATCTGCTGCTGACAAGTGGTCCGCTTTTTCAACTGCTTCCGCGACTATCTGTGCCGCTTCTTCCTGACCAGAATCACTTCCTTGAATTGCCTTGTTTTGCAGGTAGGCCTTTCGAGCAGTCTGCAAGTGACTGTTCGTCGCTGTTCACTATCCCTCATATTCCGGTGCATTCTAGCTCCGACGGCGACCACTCACCAACTGAGTTGTTGCTTGCAATTGGTCCCTTCGCTTCAACACGACGGACTGAATTTCAGCGGTGCCTGCCAACTCTTCGTTCTTCTGCTGCTTGACAGCAAGCCCCTATACTTCCTCTATTTTCGAACTCTCCTATGGCTTGGTAGCAATCTGTTTTCCTTCCCCGTCTTTTTGTACTCCGCCCGCGCAATCATGGGTGGTCGAGCTTTTCCCGACCTTTGTGTCCCTCGGATGAGCCACCAGGTCTATGAAAAGGTCAAACACACTTCACTCAAGATCTTATCGAAACGCTTTGTCAGTACTACCGCCATACCCGAAGCTCCCGAAAAACTCGATTTTGGCGATGTTGACTTCGTCATCGAATGGTCATCGTCTTCGCCGTTACCATATCGGCAACTGGCTCTTGATCTTGGAGCAAAGAACATCAANAACAACCACCCGACCTACTCGTTCGCCGTCCCTCTCGAGAATGCGAATGCAGAAGTCCAGGCTTTTGCCCAAGTTGACGTTCAGGTCTGTCTTCCAGGTGAGCTCGCATGGACGATATTCCTGCATGGCTACGGCGATCTTGGCCCTATACTCGGAACCTTCAACTACGGCTATGGCTTCACATCCAAGAACGATGGCTTTTTCGTTCGCATCAAAGAACAGGAGGCACAAAATTGGTCTGCAAGTCAGGTCTTCTTGAGTAAGGATCCAGACTTGGTTATGGACTTTCTGGATCTTGACAAGCACAAATTTCACAGCGGATTTGAGTCTGAGCGCCAAATCTTTGACTGGGCTGTGAGCTCCCGACTCTTCAGCCGCAAGTTGGTGGAGAAGAGAAAGGAGAATTCTGAAATGCGAAGTCGAATGGAGAAACGTCCAATGTTCCGTCGCTTCATGTCTCAGTACCTGCCGTCTATTCCAAATGTCGATTCTGACCTTACCGAGACACGAGAGGCACATACTGAGGCAGCCTTGGTGTTTTTCGACAAGACAGATGAGTTCAACACTCGTCGTGCGAAGGTACTCATCGAGAATGCAGAAGACCATGCATGGTACATAATCAAGAGTACAGTCCTCACGCCACTTGCCAAGCTCGAGGCGAAGAGATTGAACGAGGTCGTCAGAGCTTTGAAGAGGTTCGTTGCTTTTAAGGGTGGTGAGCCGTACATATGCGACGAGCCAGAGATGGATGCTGAGTGTCAAGCTCGTTTCGCTTTCTTCGTTACTGAAGCAGATGAGGTGACACCCACTTTGCGCGACTGGATCCTCAAGAACTGGGAAGAGGTCAAGACTCGAGAAAGACAGAGAGCCAAAGGCAGCAAGAAGGCTGCGATGCAAACAGGATGATCGAAGTAGCGTCATTCAAGCTCTCTCTCAGCTCAATGTCCTTGACACACGATGTGCATCCTGGCAGTTGATTCCCCAAAGGCTCTGCTTTGATCAGGATAACGACGACTTGACTTGACTTGACAAGCCTGAGTACTCGGTTTTTTTGCAGAAGATTGGGAGAGCGAACATGTTCATTGCACACTGCTTTCCATCTCGTAGGCGGGGGAGTTGAGGGTCCGTTCGTCTAGCTTAACTCGGCCCCACGTCTTGATCGGCGACATAGCAGACATGCGACCGAGGTTCTCGAGAACTGATCATTATCGAGTGTTGCCAGCACCAAATACAGAGTAAGGAAAGCAGTGATTATGTAGTTTCTAAGAGAGCACAACCAACAAACACCGTTTCAACTGTCATTTCGTCGAGCGCTATAGAACGTTTGACTTTGTGCAGACGTCTTGGCACTCGTAAACACCCTTCCAAAATCTGGAGAGCGCGGAGCAGTTCGTGTGCCTCGAGATAAGATTCGCTGTCGCTTGGCCTAGTGCGGTCTCGACGCGTTGAGAATCAGAGCAAAGGAACACCCTGTCCAGGGAAAACCTCATGTTTCCCTTTGAACCTCGGCCTATGTATGCGATCACGGCGGTCGAAACCTTGCTGCGGCAATTGATTTGAACGGGAGCTTTGTCGCACCTCTTTCAACCTTCCCAGTCCTCTTTATCTCAACGAGCTGCGCATCTGCAGGAGAACCTTCTTCCCAGTTCCTGTCGCTGTGAAAATCTCATCCAAGCCTTGGTAAACTTGGCGAGTCGTTCCAGGCCAATTTCTTTGATAAAGTCAACACTCCCATCTGCAGTATTGTTCGACTCCGTCTCATGGAGTTTGTGCCCGAGTTTTTCTGCCTGCTTCTCAAACAAATCCATTAAACGCCCTCGGGATTCAAAGCCTTACAATAAGCCACACGCTACTACAAACCATACACAGACGTCTTACGAAAGAAACACCGGATATAAGTCCGGTCTTCAGCTGGCATTATGAGGCCTTCTTCGTCACACGACGCGATCCACTCGTCCAGCATTGAAGCTTCCGGCAGTGGTGATGCTGTCAAATTTCGCCGTTCATCAAAGACTGGTGTCGAGACCTACAACGAGACCATCAGCTTGGGTGGGTATGGAGAAGAGTCTGGGGGATCCGTGGACTCAGTCTCTCTGGCCAAAGACGGAACTCATCGTCGCCTGAAGTCTCGTCACATTCAACTCATCGGTATCGGAGGTACCATCGGTACTGCACTTTATGTCTCCATCGGAAACGGTCTTCTCAATGGCGGTCCTGCCAGTCTTTTCATGGCATTCAGCATATGGTAAGTCTCATCAAGCAATCGATAACAGAATCATGACGAAGATGCGACTTTTGTCACCCATCAGCGACCTCATCGTTGAGGTATCAAGAGAATATACAGTCAAGAACAAATTTAATACGGATTACAGGTGCTCTTTCATTCTTGCTGTCACCATAAGTACGTGCCTTTCCCTTCAAGTTTTACTTTGTGCAATGATGTCCCAAACCAAGCCCAATACGACAGCGACCAGTCCACTGCGCCTGCCGAATTACCATCTGCCATTTACTGACGTGGTGCTCCAGGCACTGCCGAAATGGTCACCTACCTTCCTATCTCATCTCCCTTCATCAGATTCGCCAGTCGCTACATGGACGAAGCTATAGGCTTCGCAGCGGGCTGGAACTTCTTTGTATTCGAAGCAATTTTGGTGAGACACTCGAAGATGAGCCTTTGAGTACGGGACTGATGTGCAACANNGGTGCCTTTCGAGGTTACTGCCTGTAATGTTGTAATTCACTACTGGAGCGATGTCGTACCAGCCGGTGGCATCATTGCTATTGTCATCGTTCTTTATGCGTGAGTCCACTACTCGATGAATAGTAGCAGACTGCTGATAACTTCGTAGNNCCTCATCAACGTCCTCACGGTCGAGTGGTATGGTGAGACCGAGTTCTGGGCAGCTCTCGGCAAGGTCTTGCTGATTGTTGGTAAGCATATACAGTCCTTTCTGCTCACTGATCCAGTATTTGACCCTTTCTANGGCCTTATCATCTTCACCTTCATCGTCATGTTGGGTGGCAATCCCCTCGGCGAAAGATTCGGCTTCAGATATTGGAACAATCCTGTACGTATACATTTCCAAGATAGCTAACCTGTGCTAATCTCCGCATTCACGTCCAGNGGAGCCTTCAAAACTCTTTACTATGGTGGCAATCTTGGCTACTTCCTCGGCTTCCTTCAATGCCTCATCCAGGCTTCTTTCACCATTGCTGGACCGGACTATGTCAGTATGGCAGCTGGCGAGGCCGAGAATCCACGCGTTGTCATGCCCAAGGCATTCAAGGCTGTGTTCTACCGTCTGACCGCTTTCTTCATGCTCGGCTCTCTTTGCGTCGGCATCCTGGTTCCATACGACGACCAGGAACTCATAGCCGCCACAAACGCAGGCCTGCCTGGCGCAGCAGCCTCACCTTATGTCGTGGCCATGAATCGTCTTCGCATCAGAGTGCTCCCTGATATCGTCAATGCTATGGTTCTTGCAAGTGCTTTCTCCGCTGGCAACAGTTACGTCTATTGCGCATCTCGCTCTCTCTACGGTCTGGCTCTCGAGGGAAAGGCACCCAAGATCCTCACACGCACCACACGCCGAGGTGTCCCAATTTATTGCACTATCGTCGTCTTGTGTATCGCTCTTCTTGCCTTCTTGCAGGTTGGAAGCNNAAACGCTGCGACCGTTCTCAAGTGGTTCATCAACCTGGTGACCGCATCTCAGCTCATCAACTACGCAGTCATGTGCATGACATTCATCTTCTGGAAGCGGGCATGTGATGCACAAGGACTCGACCGCAACAACCTTCCCTTCAAAGGCTGGGGACAACCTTATCTCGCTTGGTATGGCTTCATCGGCTGCACAGTCATGGCTCTCGTTGGAGGTTACACCGTCTTCCTGCCCGGCCAGTGGAGTGTTCCGACTTTCATTTTCAGCTACTTCATGATTGGGCTGTTCCCCGTTTTGTTTGTTGGATGGAAGCTTATCAAGAAAACGAAGTGGACACGTGCAGAGGACGTGGACCTCAGAGGTGAAGTCGAGGAGATTGAGGAGTATCAGGCTACATTTGTGCCTTCCTCGTCGAATGAGTGAGTATCTGTTCTTTTCATGGAGGTCCATTGGCTAATATTGGTGCTGNNCAGCACTTACTTTGAGAAAGTCCTGGGTAAGATTTTCGGTTGATGGATGCCGGTGAAGAGATAGTATGTACGGATCTCGGTCAGAGAACGCCGAATCTACGGACGAGTCCCTCTCAACCGACTTGTGAGGTGCCTTCCTCTTGGATACAAATTAATATAGCACGTGTCGTGTAGCTGGTCGTGCGAATTACGTCAGTTCTCACACAAATCAATCAAGTTGCTGTCTATACCGAATAATTCGTGACTTATTGATATGCGCTAAGGTAATTCATGCCATGAACTGTTCATCAGGCAGTTTCAACGCTCCGTTCCCTAATTTGACGATGCCGGATGCTACATTGTTCGAGAACAATCGTGTCGACGCTCGTTGAAGACTGTCACCCTGTCCCATGTTTTCCAGCATAATGAGAGCGACAATCGAGTCCCTTTTGCTTTTAACATCTCAAGGGAAGTATGAGGATGTACTCTGAGGTTTGTTGTGCCACCTGTAGCTCTGATATTCATAACAATGTCGTTGATGGGCCAAATATTCTCATTGTCCAAGAGATAACCAAAATCCTCATGCATTCGAGTGGACTTTTTGATAAAGCATATCAGAAAACACATATTCAAACATAACAGACCAGAGAAGCTTGCATTTAATATGAAGTCTCATCCAGCGATTGAGGATCACTACACAAATGTACTGGAGCTCTCAAAAGGAAGAGAGAATCGGTGTGTAGAGGGTAACGTCGTCGTCAATGAAAAAACTGTTTGTAAGGAGTACAACCCTGCCATAGCTTGGCAGACCCTTGCAGACTCCGCGACCAGCCACCTCACGAACAGTGAACCAACCACCCAAGCACGTCATCTCAGAGAGAACCAGAACCCATGAAAGCTGGCTCTGCTCGTATCCTCCTGAGCAGACCTACTGCAGACTATCGAATCCTACCGTCGTTGTTCGTTGCCGCTGCCAAGGTGTTGTGATGATGATCGAAGGATTCAGGGCCCACACAAGCTTTGACTTCGACAACCACTCTTGCACTTGAGCGCTTCATCCTTCGCGCTCCAGACGCTGCCATTTCCATCAAGGTCACTGGCGCTTCCCAGAGAATAGTTCACTTCGTTGCGGCTCTCGGCCGTGGGATCGATCAAGCCCTGACTCGATCTTTTGGATACCCGATGTCATTAATGGACCTCCGCAGGTAGACGTCGCAGACACGCAGTGTGTAATTTCCTCGTTAGCATTCGACCCTGTCCTTAAAGACGTTTCCACTTTAATCTTGACGCAGAGAATCTCACTATGAGCTGCATATGGGCGTCTAGAGTCTTCATATGCGTGGGGAGTAGTCAATAAGGATGCCTTGATTCGACTCTTGGTACCAAGACCGGGTAATAACAGGTAAGTCTGGGCACGGACAACAACATCCTATCCTTCGACCCACTGATCACTTCGTTTTCCTTGACGTTGCCAATTCCTCCCTTCTTTCAGTTCTATCATCGTTTGGTCTCCGGTGTCAATACATTGGTCGACCAAGAATTCCCATCATGTCGCTGAGAGTGGCCCTCGTGGCATTGGCTGCTATTGCAAACACAGTGCATGCTCAAGATGGAACCACTCAAGCGCCATGCTCACAACTCAGTGCTCTCTCGACAGATAATGCAACATTCTTCCCTGCCGACATTACACTTTCGTGTCTGCGCTCTGTACCACTAGCGAAAGAAGACGATCGGCTTCAACTCAAGGGCCTGCGTACATTCCTCGAATTCCAAAGTGATCTGGAATATCTTGCGGATCCTACCATCGGCCGTATCTATCCTGGAGTTGATCTCTTAGCCGGCTTGGACAAACTCACTTCGATGCTGCAAGACGATAGCTACGACAATGAGTACGACTTCCAGTTGGACATCTTCAAGCTCTTCTCGTCTGCCTATGATGGCCATCTATCCTATACTCCTGATATTGTGGATGTGTTTGCTTTTGCCAGGTTGCAGAATGAAGATCTGAGCGATGAGGGAATACCTTCCTACTTCTCGCTAATTTCGGTAAGTTGAGAGTAGATTCATCAATTACAAACTTGCGGGAGCAGCTAGTCGCTCAAAAACATAGGTCGTGACTGGCGAGAANNCGACACTCCAGATATCTATGCCTACAGTGACGAAGCTGCGCTGACCAACACTGGAAACGTCGACTACAGTCCTTCACCCATCACCAAGATCAATGGCGAGGATGTCTTGGCTTGGGTTAACAGCTACGCTTCCCAGAATGGCCGGTCCCAAGACCCCGATGCAAACTACAATGGAATCTTCTTGAATATCCCGGCATTGGCATACCAGGATATCGAGTCAAACTACTTTGCTCTTTCAAGATTCTATCAAGGCAACAATACCGTGCTTACCTTTGCTAACGGATCCACTCTTGATGTCATGACCAGAGCGCAATTATTGGCTGGCAAGAAATTGGAGGGTCTCACCGATGGTGCGAGCTTCTTTGACAGATTCTGCAACCAGAATCTCACCGAGTCGATCCTGGCACAGGCAAACTCTTCGAGTACGGCACCTGCCTCCAACGACACTCAAGTACCGTTCGAACCTGTCTCCACCGATGGTGTTGCAACACCACACCCAGCGTACCCAAGCCCGATTGTCATCTCTTCTGATAAGAGTGTTGCTGGTTATCTCTCCGACACCTATCCGGATCTTGCCATCCTTTCTGTACCTAGCTTCTCTTCCGTCTCCCCTGTCGAGTTCGAAAATGTTGTTCGTCAATTGCTGGCAACCGCAAATGAAGAGGAACGGACGAAACTTGTGATTGATCTTCGTGGCAATGGCGGAGGCACCATCTTCTTAGCCTACGATCTCTTCCGTCAGCTCTTCTCCACCGAAATTCCATACGGTGCAGGAAACTATCGTGCAAGTGAACTGCACAACGTCACAGGAAACGTTGCAAGCGAGAACATCGACCAGCTTCGCTCAGCTTACCCCGAATTAGTCAAGGCCGGTGTCGATGGGGTTATTCTCAACAGTTTCAACTACCGCGAGCCTTTGACTGTGGATAACAAGCAGTTTACTTCTTGGGCGGACTTCTTTGGACCACATCAAAACGACAGAGGAAACTTTACTTCGCTCAATCGCTTCAATCTTACGGATATTTCTGCTACAAGTGTGCCTATTCTTGGCTATGCGGATGACAACATAACACAACCCCGGACCTTTTCACCTCAAGACATAGTTCTCCTTCACGATGGAACATGTGCTTCTACCTGTGCCATCTTTAGCGAGTTCATGACTTCTCAAATGTCCACATGGAGCGTCGCCGTCGGTGGTCGTCCTCAAACCGGACCTATGCAAGGTGTCGGCGGTGTCAAAGGCTCCCAAGTCCAAGGCATGTTTATTCTCTCCGCAATCATCAGTGCCGTGATCAGCGCCGCACCTCTCGGCGAACAATTGTCTTTCCTGTCTGAATTCGGCACCGATTTGATCACCGCCACGCAACAAGCACTCAACCGTGCTTCGGCTGGTGGCGCTCTGCTCGTAAAAGCAAGCGTCAACTTCCGCAACAACATCAGGAAGGACGATGAGAGTGAGACACCCTTACAACATATCTACGAAGCAGCGGATTGTAGATTCTTCTATACGCCACAGATGTATGCCGATCAAGCTGCTGTATGGGATCAAGCGTACGATTCCACTTGGGGAAGTATGTCATGTGTCGAAGGATCTACCGAGCATCCATCTTCCGTGACTGGAGGTGGAAATATCACTGCTGGCCCTCCAGAAACGGCTAACAACTTCTTTGGAGGCAGCGAGACTATCCTTTTGGGAGGAGAGTTGGGAAGTGTGTTGAAGAATGCTAGTTCAGGAGACAGTGGTAGCTCTGGTTCTGGAAACGGCACCAACTCTGGTAATGGCACTAATGGTGGCAAGAACGATGATGAGGACGACAAGAGTGGAGCTGGTATGCTGGCGGCACCCTTGCTTCTGACTTCATCTTTGGCATTGAGTGTTGCTCTGCTGTATCTGTAGGAGCATTCTTGTAAACCGTGTACCAAACGTCTACAACTTCCACCGTACTCCGACTATAGCTCAGAACAAAACATAGACTATAAAAAGGCACAGTCATTCAAGAAGGAGAGGCGTGTCCACAGAGAGTCGACAACTTGTTCTCTCCTCAGTGGATACTATCTTATTTCCTATTACTATTGTGCATTTCTATAGCTATACGCATTGTATGCTTTGACACACGTAGCTGTGTTTCCGCTGCCTGATGTGACGTGCTTGGGTGGTTGGGTGTGTTTATGTAGAACTGCTATCAATACATGCGGGTATAGTTCCATTTTCCAGAGCCGCACAAGTCACCAGGCAGGATTTTCTATTGCTATAAAAATGCTCCAAGTTGTTCTTGATCGGCTGTTCTGTCAATTATCAAAGCTCAAGGACATCATTATAGGTATCGATGCAGGCTCATTACAGCACAAGGGTGTGATTAGCGTAATTAGCCAAGTCACGCTGGAACAAGAAGTGCTTACAGTAGGTAGTTGAAGCAGACTGACACGACAATTCTGCTATGCGTGGATTTGCGTTCGAAGGCAACAAGGTTCGGTCCCAGGCTTCCAGCTGTCTGGCTTTGCGCAGATTATCGTCCAATCAAGCAAAAACCTCATTGCTGCGCTACTGGAATGCGAAGGTTACGAACCCGTGAGTCATGCCAACCACAAAGGAGTTAGAAAAACTGCATTCCCTTCTTCATTAGAGAAATCACTTTGAACCTCCTTCATCCAACTGCTTTCTTCACTATGCCGACTCTCGAACAAATCAGCTACTCGCGCGAGGCCACTATTGCCGCCTTCAATGACTATTACCAGTTCTTGACGACAATGTATTTGCCAGAGGATGCGGGCGAAAAGCCTCCGGTTGAAGGAGGCTACTGGCCATCGATTACAAAAGAAAAAGTACAGCTTCTTGGCAAGAACAACGAGGTATTCGAATTGATGCGCCGCCTATCCTATCTTCCAGATGAAGCCTTTCTTGTAGCCTTTGCAAAGGCTGCTCATTGGCCTTCGATACTCGAGGGACCGATGTCTAGCCAACTAGAACTCGAGCAGACAAGGCTTATTTCAGAAGGATTCTACTGGCAGGATATACCATCATCTGCCTTTAGCATCGCAGCTTACGGCCACGATAATGATGAGATTATCCTCGACACACAGTTTGGTCTTATTTACTGGCTGGAGACCCCCGACTGGATTCAAAACGATCCTATAAAAGAGCCTTTTCTCGATACCGAGCTTTTGAGAATGTACACGCCAAACAACGAACATGATTGGCGGGAACATACGGCATGGGCCATTGCTGATTTCTTTGAGGTTCTGAAAAATGAACTTAGGCTGCTCAAGAGCGTACCCATTACATGCACCCACATCGAAGGGTGGCATGAGCCCGAGCAGGATTTCTTCCAATGCAAGGCGGGACTCGAGATCTACTTCGTCCGGCGAACTTATCAGATGTATGGTTGGCCGGATTTGTCCGTGTACGACAAAGACTCGTGTCAAGAGGCAGTAGAGAGGCTAATTGAATCTTGGCAAGAGTTCTGTTTGTAGCAGAGAAAGCTTGATCTTGAGAAGAAAAAGAGAGGGTTTGATGCAAATGCTGTTCGAAGGTCAGCATGTTTGTGGAGAGGGGGAAGGATGTGAACACATGTTCGCTCATCGGCAAAATGAATGATCGAAGCAGGGAAGCAAGAAGGAGATGGATCCAACCAAGTCTCACGTTTGTGCGTTCTGCATAGTTTCGTGATGAAGGCCTGGAGGAAAGTGTAGTTCAGAAACGAGAAAAGGAGATTGATTACGAGCTACTTGCAAAGCGACAACTGCATCCTCTTCTCTAATTACTTCTTGCCTTTTCAAAGTTGTTTGGCGAGCACCGGGCACCCTCCTCACCACCATTTTTCCACGTAAAGCAAGCCCAAAGCATTGTCCTCTTCCTTCAACTTCGCGCGGATGAAAGCTCCCTCTTCAGACGAGTAAAAGTGTCTCAACTGAAGAGGCGAATGCTCACACTGCAACCTGCGCAGTCTTACCGCAAAGCGGAATAGAGCTGAGTATTGCTGAAACCAACCGCTGAGAGATTGAATGTAGTCACAGCAATATATAGCCACGCTGTAGCCTTTGAAGACGAGATCGTCCAAACATTTCAGGCAGATCTTGTCATGCGGAAGCGTGAACACAGTTTCTTCTTGAGCAGTGAGGCTTTGGTGCGAATGCTGATCCAAGGTTAGCATGTTTTGTGAGGCAGAAAGGAGAAGGACGTACACACATCTTGATGAGACTGGGCTTAGGAGCAACGGCTGGGCGACTCACAGGAGGAGGGTGGGAGGTCAAGGCGGCAGCAGGGGCTGCGAAGCCAACAGGGCAGGAGGTGGAGCCCAGGTAGGCTGAGGGACGAGCAGAGCGGTGTGGGTCAGCGCAGCGTGGGCAGCGTTCTGAGCTCTGGCTTCCATGATCTGTCCAGCAATAGTCGTTCTGTCCCATGGACCAGGACCCATGGCGGCCTCGGCAGCCAGCATCTCCTTCTGAGCCATGAGAAGACGATCTTCCTTTGATCTCCAATGGTCCAGTCCAGTCATGTCTCTGACGCGCTGGCCCAGAGCAAGGAACAGCTTGATCATCATGTCGTCGTCAGCGAGTTCGCCAGCATAGGCTAACTCGGTGAAGCGCTCATTCTTGACGAGTTTCTCAATATGCTCGATGCAGACCTTGGTAGTGACTTCGACCAGGAACTGATCAGCAAAGACGGGAGCGTCGGGTCCGAGAATTCTCTGGACAGCCAAAGGAAAGTAATCCGTGTCATGGAGGAAGATTGCCGCATGGAAGAATGAATCAGCTGCTTCGTAACGGAGAGATTGGACGTCGAACTGTTCTCCAATGAGGTAGAGATCGATGTGGAAGTCCAGGTTACGGCCCAGGGTGTTGCGCTGGTGGATCTTGCGGTATGTGGTCCCGTGGATGAAGCAGAGCATGGCGTAGATGTGCTTGGAGTTGTCTTCATCGCCGAGGTCGATCACATCCGAGGTAGCGACCTGTACGACTTATGTGTCAGCTATGCGTAGATGAGACTGAGATCGTACGAAAAAGCAACACGAAAGATGCTGAGATAAAAAGTCATGATGAGATTTCAAGCACGTACAGGGAATTTGCTCGAGAATGCGTGCTTGAAGTAGCCAGACTTTGCGCTGAGGATGGCCTTCTCAGAGAGGAACTCATAACGACCACCGCCAAAGCGGACAACGACGTCCGAAGTCACCACGTTGCTAACGTTGTAGAGGATGGGCATGTCCTTTCGCACCTTCGTTAATATGGTGCGCATCACGAATTGCTATGAGGATTCCAACTCACGTTGAGATCTTGCGAAGGCTGCTGGTAATGGAGACCATCACCTTCGTGGGAAGCATCCATATCAGCCTCCATCGATGCCATGCCAGCAAGATAGGAGTCAGCGATCGACTCGTCGTCCGAGAAGTCGTCGTCGGAACCGGGGCCAGTTTCGAAAGACGACTGCGAGTGACGCATCGCATGGTAGATTTGCTGAGACATGATGCGCCGAGACGAGCTGTGCGCTGCGCCGAGAGTTGGTATAGACCGGGGTTACGGGACTAAGAAAGTGATGTTGAAGATTTCTTGGTGTTGGCTTGTGGTGACACTGCAAGCCAACAGACAAAGTGAAGACGCGTTCACAAACAAACCAAGCGAGCCACTCTCACTCGTCCGAGCCAATAGGGTCAATGAGATAGAGCATCGACACAATTTTCCGGCCTGGCTACACCAACACGCGGTCGATTCTCACAGACTAATCACGGCTTTTCTTGTTTCTTGTTTCTTTCGTGACTGGGGAAGACAGATTCAATGTAGAAGAGGTAAGGGATAACACAGCAGAATTGGTAAGAGATACAAAGACCTTCTATAGGAATGGGAAGCAGAGAACCTATATGAACAGGGAATTGAACAGACCTCGTAAGGTAGTAACACGCTTTTCGGTATGAACAAGCAGACGCCGGGGTCGATCGCCTCGAGGCTTGACCAGAGGACTGCGACTCGATCTCGTGGGCGGGGCAGAAGTCTTTGGAGGTAACAAAGTTGTCCCGCGGAAGTGATGTGCCCACACTTTCCTGCAGTCGGGTGCTGCGTGTTCGGAGGCTGCTGACTCTCGCTTATCCTCGCACCCTTGTCTCAGGTCATGAAGTTTTGATCCAATTCGTCAGTGGATAGTGCTTTTCATGGTTTAGATCTTGAAGCTCCAAGGGTGAGTCTCGTCACCGTACTGGATGCCCTCAATCCAATCCTTCATGCGCTGGGCGATGGGGCCGGCCTCCTTGTCAGCCTCAAGACCGCAGTTGATCATTGAGTCTTTCCAGCCAATGTTGCGGACAGGGCTGACGACAGCAGCAGTACCGGCACCAAAGACTTCGAGCATGCGGCCTTCCTTGTCTGCCTCGGCGAGTTCTCTGACAGAGAATCTACGCTCGTTGACTTCCCAGCCTTCGGGAACGAGACGTTCACGGGCAAGCTCGAGAATAGAATCACGAGTGACACCCTCGAGAATGGTTCCATCCAGGGGAGCAGTCATCAATTCCTTCTTTCCGTCCTTGTTGACGATGGCAGCAAACAGGTTCATGGTTCCGACCTCGGTGACCCATTCCTCACCGCCCTCCTCGAACAACCACAAGTTCTGGTGGAAACCACGAGAGGCAGCTTGCATCTGAGGAACAATGCAAGGAGCGTAGTTTGCACCGAGCTTGCTGTTGCCGACACCACCGGGCCATGCACGAACAGCATATGTAGTTGCTTCCAACGAGACAGCCTTGAAGCCAGTAGGGTAGTAAGGACCGACAGGAGAGGCGATGGTGTAGAGGAGAGCAGAGCCGGGAGGACCGACACCGAGAGTACGCTGGGTGCCGATCATGGTAGGACGGAGGTAGAGGGAGTAGCCACGAGCNNACTAGAGGTGGTGGTCAGAGAGGAGTAGGTAGAACAGGACGAGGAGAACTCACGCAGGGATGAAGCGCTCGTCCAGCTTGACAAACTTGGCGACCAGGTCAATCATGGCCTTGGGGTCGAAGTTGGGAAGAGCAATGCGAGCAGAGGATCTGTTCAGGCGGGCCATGTTCTTGTCGGGGCGGAAGAGACGAACGTTGCCCTTCTCGTCCTTGTAGGCCTTCATGCCCTCGAAACACTCAAAGGCATAGTGGAAGACACAGGTGGCTGGGTCGAGCGAGAGGTTCTGGTAAGGAGTGATACGGGCAGGCTGCCAGCCGTCGGTTGCTGTCCATTCGAGAGACAGCATGTGGTCGGTGAAGTGTTTGCCGAAAACCAATTCATCGTTGGGGATCAATTCCTTGGGAGTCGTCGTCTTGGTGATAGACAACTTGGATGTGTCGATTGTGGTCAACTTGGGATTTGAGACGTCGTGTGCAGCAATGGCATAGCAGCGCGATTGGGAGGCATTGGCCAGGCGGAAGGAGCGGGACGCCGCCCGTGCTGATCGAAAACCACAAGAAGACAACATGTTGATATGCGGAAAGAACGAGGGACAAGTGGAAAGAGCGATATAGACCCAATTGCAGTGAGTCAAGATTATGTTGCCGCTACTGACGGCATATGCGGGCTGCGGGCAGGGCGCGGGAGAGCAGCCAGAAGCCTCCAAGCCCGCCGTCATCGGAGTCGTCCTTATACAGCGCTTGGGCCTTCTCGGACCCTGAAATAGGTGGCTCGTATGTCCGTATTGTCATTGCGTATCTCAATTGCGCTCCTGCCTCGAGTCGCTGGTGAGCTGTCAGCTCTCCTTCTCTCTCCTTCGTCCTCGCCGCCACATCCAAGGCTCCGTCCGTCGCTACTCCTTCTCATGCGATCTTGAGATCCAAACCTACCACCCACCATGTTTTCGTCAGCGCTCAAGTCGTTTACTTCCAACATCGGTTCAAACTATACCATCGCTCCTCAACCTAGTTCGACCTCTGGACCATGGAAGATCTTCGACGCCAAGAAGAAGTCGACTGGCAAACCTGCTTCGGTCTTCGTCTTCGACAAAAAGTCTCTGGAACCATCAGCCAGTTCTCTAGGAGGTCGCGGAAACTCGTCGTCCATCAAACGGGCTCAAGAGGAGGTCATCGATCGTCTGAAGAAGGAAGCAAGTTCTCTGGCCCGTCTACGACACCCCAGTGTTCTAGAGCTGGCCGAGCCAATCGAGGAGACCCGTAGTGGTGGTCTTATGTTTGCGACAGAACAAGTTACGGTTTCTCTTGCTGCTCTTCTGGCCGAAAAGGACGACCAAGAAAGATCTGGACGCAACACAGGAAGAGGTAGTCGTTATGTTGTTCGAGGGAACGACGGTCAAGACGAAATTCGCGAACTCGAACTGGACGAGCTGGAGATACAGAAGGGTCTGTTGCAGATCGCAAAGGGGCTGGACTTCCTACATCAGAGTGCGAAGCTGGTCCATGCCAACTTGACACCGGACGCCATCTTTGTGAACGCAAAGTCTGATTGGAAAATCTCGGGTCTGGCCTTCTCTACACCCTTCTCCGACTCTGTCTCATCACCCTCTCTGTCGCTGTCTGAAGTTTTGAATCATGACCCTCGACTTCCGCCTTCAGTCCAGCTCAGCCTCGACTACACCTCTCCCGATTTTGTGCTCGACAACAACATCAACCCCTCGGCCGACATGTTCTCCTTGGGTCTTCTCATCATTGCTCTTTACAACTCTCCGCATCGTAGTCCCATCGAAACACATGAAAGTCTTTCGGCCTACAAACGTACCTTTTCCTCATCCTCCTCCGTACCCAGCCAGAACAACAACTTTTTATCTTCTGTACCGCTACCCAAGAATCTCTCATTTGAACTCTTACCACGTCTGATAACACGACGTCCTGCCCAACGTCTCAACGCCAGCGAGTTTCAACAGGCTCAATACTTTGACAACATTCTCGTATCAACAATTCGCTTCCTGGATGACTTGCCGGCCAAGACACCCAACGAGAAGGCTCAGTTTATGCGTGGCCTTGCCAAGATTATGCCACAATTCCCCAAATCTGTCTTGGAGAGGAAGCTCTTGCCTGCTCTACTAGAAGAAATGAAAGACCGTGATCTGCTAGCCCCGATTCTATCGAATGTCTTTGCCATTGTAAAAGCTTCGCCGTCGGGAAAACGTGCTTTCACAGATAAAGTCATCCCAAGATTACGCGATATATTCCTTACGCAATCGAACACAAAAACACCTGCTGAGCGGGATACTACCAAAGAGGCTGGTCTGATGATTGTGCTCGAGAACATGAAAGTTGTGGCCGACAATTGCTCCGGCAAGGAGTTCAGAGATGGTAGGCACTTTGTAACATTGTTGTCCAGAGCCTCATTGCTTACTAACACTTGTNNAGATATCCTTCCCCTCATTGCTCTGGGTCTCAGTTCTCCGACTCATGCTGTCGTTGATGCTGCTCTTTCCACATTGCCTGCTGTTCTCCCTGCTCTTGACTACAGTACAATCAAGAATGAGCTGTTCCCCGTCATCGCTGGTGTCTTTGCCCATACAAATTCGCTCGGTATCAAGATCCGTGGTCTTGAAGCCTTTTACACACTGTGCGGTGGTACTGCTGACGAGGAATCCATCAGTGATGGTCTCGATGGCGTTTCCATCTCGCGTGACTCCTCAAAACTCAGTAGCAGCCAAGTGCTTGACAAATTCACGATCCAGGAAAAGGTCGTGCCCCTGATGAAGGGAATCAAAACCAAAGAGCCTGGTGTCATGGTGAGTCTTCTCGAAAATTAACAAATCGAGTCCGTAACTGACCAGAGCAGNATGGCTGCCCTCAAGGTGTTCAGACAGATAGGTCAGGTTGTAGACTCGGACTTCNNCCTCGCTATCGAAGCGCTGCCTATTCTTTGGAGCTTCAGTCTCGGGCCTCTTCTTGATCTTGAGCAATTCCAGGCCTTCATGACTTTGATCAAATCTTTGTCTTCTCGCGTCGAAAGAGAACATACTCGTAAACTCCAAGAACTGGGCTCAAGCAACGGAACTGGCTCGACAAGATCGGGGGCGAGACAGCCAACTGCTTTCCAATCAAGCTCGACCACTAATGGTGGTGAAGTGGACTTTGCAAGCTTGGTCAGTGGAAGGAAGGGGACTGCTACTCCGGACATCATGAACGACTGGGGGCCGCCTGCTGTCAAACCCGCCTCGACGCAGCCCTCGAACGGTATTCCCAGTGCATCCCAGGCCTCAAACTTTTCGTCTTGGACAAGCGCGGCACCGGCTCAGGCTACTCGGTTGAACTCTTTGCAATCCCAAGCCACTCAAAGAACAGTTACGCCAGATCTCAATAGTTCCTTCGCCGCACTTACACCTGCATCGCCCTTCAATGCACCACTGCAGCCCTCTTCTCGACAACCCTCTTCTTCCGGCTTCACATCGCCACCCCTTAACCAATCCACCAGCAACACTTCATCTTCCATAAACTGGTCCGCAGCAACCACCACACCAAACACATCAACGTGGTCATCACAGCAGAGACCAACAAATGGAGGTATACTTCCTCCACCCACCAAACGCACATCGTCTTTTACTATAGCCCCACCACCGAGTTTCACAACACAAACTCCAGTATCTTCGAATGCGTATTCTGCGTTCTCGATGCCTGCGATGCAGCCACAGCAGACGCAGCAGAGACAGGCATTACAACAACAGACGCTACAGCAGCAGCAACAACAACAGCCAAAGACGACGCAAAGTAGTGGATTGGATAAATACCAGAGTTTGATCTGAGAGCGTTTTGTCAGAAGCATATAGTTAATATAGCTATCGCATCTCTGAATCCATCCCTGATGGCTTTTACTCAAGTGTGCGTTTTAAAACCACTGCATGCTCGAAATTTCGTATGTGACTAACCGCGAGAGGAGAAGAACATGTTTCATAAGCAAGTAACATCACCAGCAGGCCAGACAGGCCACACAGCGTACAACTAAGTAGAATGGAAAGGCTTCTATATGTCATCTATACACATTAATTTTGTCCAGCCATATTGTTCACATATCCTGATTATCGATATCTTCACCTCGTCTCTGTGCCAAATACACACGCCCACTCTCATAAACACCAAGATAAAGTCCAGATCCAATCAACGTCCAAACAGCCCTCAAAGCACCACCACGGAAAAGACCCTTGATGACTCCTTGATCAGCAATAATCTCTCTCGCAATCTGTATACTGCCTTTTCTGGAAACAGGCTTTGCGACATTTTGGATTGCGTCTTTGAGACCCTGTTTGCTGTTTTGGAGTGTGTTTTTGAGGGTTTCTGTTTTGTTTGTTTGGGTGGAGCGGCCCATTGCGTCTACGGGTGCATTGGATTTTAGCTTTGTGTCTTTGGTTTGGTCTTCAGCTGCACTTGATGCTGCAGCAAGCATGATGCGTGTCTTGACGACATCGACGGGTGTGGTGACGACGGCAGCAAAAGCACCTGCTGAGCCAGCACTAGCGGCGGTAATCAAGCCATTCTCCAGTAGTGTGTTTGTCCTTGTTCCTCTGTCTTCTCTGTGTTTCTTGATCCCTTCTTTCAAGCGCTCGAAGATGGGGAATTGTAAGGCTGTAANAGGTAAATTGCGGCCTGCCAGTGCAGTGTAACCTCTCCACAGGGCGAGTGGGTTTGACCTGAACTTTGCTATGGTTTGTAGGGTTGCATTGGCCTTGTCGCCTTTTGCTGTATCGACCATTTGGGCATTTTGCTTAATGACTTCGGCGGGAGTAAGGATGGCGCACGAGACCAGTTCTGCTATCGAGGATGCGGCCGAGTGGATGATGGGTTGTGGTAGTAAAGGCGAGCCAGAGAAGGTGGGATTGTACTTTGAGAAGGTGGATTTGACGCCCTCGTAGGTAGTGAAAAAAGCTCCTGCTGGACAAGGTCAGAGGTGGACTGGATAGAGAAACGATTGTCGGGGATGGGTACAGGATGGAAGGGTGGCTATGATGACGCTGCCGACGCCTTGGTAGAGGCCTCGGAAGAGAACTTGCTTGTTGACAGCATTGGTGGCCTTGTCGAGGTAGAGGCGATTGTAGTCGGGCGATTGGAATCTGGTCTTAAGTGTGTCGAGAGGGTAGACGAGTAGATCGACTGTGAAGGCAGCGAATGCGCCTGCCTAGAATGATTGACATTAGCCTTGCTGGATTTGCATGAGAATATCCAATATACGCACGACCAAGATGTCGGTCGAAGTGTTCCCAGCCATATGCCTCGAAGCTACTCAATTTTGCAATTGAAACAGATACAAATGTCAAGTCGCGTGAATGCTAAATGTCGGAGTGTTTTCCAAACGCATCATGGCGTCATCGGTTTGCCGGATTTTGCGGAGATATGGACGGGCCTTCAACTTCAGCTCTCGAATGGCCTTCTCCCAGGTCCGAACCACAAGGACATGAGCTATTGGAATGCACAATTGTTTTGTACAGAATACAGTTTCCACAGAGAGAACTCTAGTGAAGACTGTCTCAATGGACAGAATTATATTCGGATAATAATTGTGCATTTCTGCAGCTATTGTGATTGTCTCCAGCACATGGTGAGCCCTGGAAAGAAGCATCGAAGGGAAACATCAATTCGAGCCATTATCTTTCTAGCTACCAGATTCGCGCCTTTGCACATCCTTTCTCGCTATCTTACACAAAGATCATTCCACTTCCTTCACAACTCTTCTTGAGACTGACCATCACCCTTGCCGCCAATCTCCAGTACGATGCGAATGTCAGACTCATTGGTGCGTGTCAACGAGGCACACTCCTTGACCAGTTCGCTAACACTAGTGTCGCGAGTTACAGTAGCAGGGACGTACTGTCCGCCTGGAAATTTCGTCAACAATTCAATGTCTCCGGCAGCTGTCATCTGCTTGCTCTCAACACTGGCGCGGATGTGATCACCGAAGGCGGCGATGAGTTGACGGCCCTTCTCAGTATCGTTCATGTCGAGCAACATTGAAAGCCACTCGTTGCGACCAAAGCGACGAGCCGCGTTGTTCATCTGTCGTATCTTATTAGCATCTGTGTGTATCATGTCGAGAGGCTCAATCGTACCTGGTTCAANGGCGGTGACAGACTCTCCCGAGGATTGCACTGCGGCCGCGGAAGGAGCGGAGTCAAGAGCGTTAGACTGGTCAACCATGGGGACAGCCTCAACCTGAGCCTTCACCTGAGTCTTCTGATGACCATTCAAACCGTTGGGCTCAGACTTGAGCTGATCAAGGTCATCCCAGATATCCTGAGTGGTGCTTGCATGATGAGTGGCAGGAACAGACTCGCTCTCAGCAGGCTCCGTCTTGATCTTGGGCTCGTGAACGTTTCCCCATGTGTCAGTTGTATTTTGCGCATCTGAAACTGCAACCCATGGGCTAGGATCAGATTCAGTCTGCTGGATAACAACCAAGTCGTTCCCAACAATGCTGGGAGCCTTGGGCTGAGCCGAAACCTCNNTTGCTTGCGAACGTGAGGACCCAATTGTGAATGGGGACCGGGACGGCGGATGGGTGATGGAACAGCAATGGATTCGGTGAGGACGGGCGAAGCAGGAGGCTCTGGCTTGATGCTGGGCGTAGATGTTGCTGAAGAGACCGTGTTTGAGTCTTGGCCCGCAGTGCGTGGTGCGGCGCGAGGACCCTGCGTGNNGAGTGGTAGCTGTAGCAGGCATGGCGATTGAAGCAGGCGTGGTTACTGGACCAGGCGCGGTCACAGTAGTGGGGGTTGAAGCTACTCCAGGAGGCACGAAAGGTTTGGCGGCCGCAGAGAAGACAGTCTGAGGACGGGAGTGAGACTGTCATCACGGGAAATGTAAGTCAATGTCTTTGAGAAGCGCAGGAAANNCACTCACAGGTGGGCTAGTAGCGGTAGGTGTAGAAACGTCCTGCATCTCAACGTCGCCGAAAGTGACGGAGACAGGAACAGTGGTTGGAGGTGGGTGAGCAGCTTGCATAGCCAGCATTCTCTTGCGCGCCAGAGTAAGTGGACCTTCGTGAGACATGCTGACAGTGAAGGTGGTTGATAATGGAGTGCAGAAGGTTGAATGCAATAAGTGGAAAGTGATAAGAAGTAATGTGAGTGGGTTGGGAGCAAACAAGAATGACGCGGATGCGACGTGAAAGATCAAACTTGTTGTCAACAAAAGAGGTAAGGACTATGCCGACTGCTTGATCATCTGCATATCAAAGACGGAAGGCACAGCGTCCGACCTCTGAAAGAAGCTCAGTGGCAGCGAAAGTCAATGGAAGTGACCGGAGTGTGCTGTCTACCTTACTTTCTTTCAGGCCTGCAGTAAACTCTTCTCTACATTCTTGCCGCTGAATCTAACTCTTTGACTAACTCTTCAAGATGTGTGCCCTCGGGGTTGTCTTATCTGCCTTGCAGATTGCTCTGACCTTAGTGTCACTTGATGGAAAGACTAGAGGTCAAAGCCAGCAATGAGTTGATGGAGCAAACATTGATATTGGATGACAGTGACAGGAGGGTGCTGTCTACCTTGTCTTGGTACGTTGTCAAGATGCACAGTTGCAATTCAAATGTGACTCTGGCCATGGAGATAGCCATTGATGCGAGCTCTCTATGGACATGACATTCTTTGCAAAGGTATTGTGTATTTCGGCAGCCACCCGACACTGTAACAGTCTTTGATACAGAAGAGAGGCTCGGCATCCATCAAAAGTGAACAAAGAAGGAGCCGCTCTCCCTCCAGTTGTGGAAACTTGTCATTTTGTACCTATAAAAATGCACAATACTATTAGAAAATAGGATAGTGTCCACTGAGAAGCGATCTCTTATCAGCTCTCTCTGGCCAATCTTTGTTTCTGAATAGGATTGTGCATTTTTATAGTGTTTGCCTTGCTCTCTGCTAGGGTCGGAGTACAATGGAAGTACATCCTTTAGTACACGAGGAGGTTTCATGATGCTTCTTTGCCGAATGGGCAGCTGTGTTTATTGCTAGTAGAGACAACGGTATACCTGTTCGAGAGCCTCTGTTTAGTAGCTAGAAGCCTCTAGCAGATAGCAATAGCAGTTTTGGCCTTTGATAGAGTGATGGTCATTGTAACAAGAGTAACTACAAATACCTAGTCCTGGTCCTCCCATGACGAGCAATTCTTGCCCTCATCAGTTTCCAACAATTTGTTGATAGCACTATACTTACATTCTGACTGGCTACGCCGCTACGATAGCCGAGAACGGAAACTATTCCTTCTCGAGTTGGGTCATGATGGAAACTTGGAAGTTCCGCAGTGCGCATTAGTGTGCGCATAAGTCGGAAAGAACGATCCATCACAACATTGCAGTATCAACCTCATCGGCATTTTCTCATCGCCATTCTTCACCAAAGCAAAACATATTGCACATCAGTATACAATTCTGAACATCACCACAGACTCCGCTGAGGTAAGTGTCTGCTCTGCAGATTTTCTGGCTGCTTTGTATCTAATCACTTTTTAGTTCTGCTGCGAAGAAGCATCATTTCTATCAGGACATCACGCAGGACGTATTCACTATCGTCTCAGCAGCAGCATTACCGAATTCAACTTCGGCGCATTCTACCTCTTATCTATATATAGAGATGAGCTCAGCACCTCAAACCAAAAATGAGGCTGCCGCCGGTGCCATCACTGTTCTTCGTTCCAGCTTTCACTCAGGTACTGAAGCTGTCAGCAAATTGGAGCAGTATATACGTCACCTTGAAGAACTCTTGCTAGAGCAGCTGGGACGCCAGGAGTTCGAGAAACGTCTTGATTCTCTTGTACTCAGGGACCAACGCAATGAAGAGAGTCTGTTCATCCCTGACGACAATTATGTTTCCAGAAAGCGCGGTTCCTCAAGCAAAGAAACGGGTTCCTCGCCAAAGAAGAAGTCTCGTTCGAACTCCCAGATTTCTTCTCTGGGCATCACCTCTGGTCTAGGCAGAAGCATTTTCGACAAACGCAGACTTTCACACGACGATTCGCCTGATGTCTCGCCCAAGACTTCCCACAAACCTTCAGTCTCAGAGCAGCCTATAGTTGACTGTCAGCAAGCAACAACCGAGAAGACGTTGGTACGACGTCCTGTCGTTCGTCCTCGTCCAGCACCCCGCCGTACATCTCAATCTGCCATGTTGCCAAACAAGCATCCTTCTTTCCACAGCGGATCGAGTTCTCTTGTGGCAATAATATCATCGAATACATCTGCGACACCTCCTCAGCCAACACAACCTTCAGCATCATCGAAAAAGATCCTGTACAGTCTGAGAAAGCTACCAAGCAATCACTCTCTGGCTCCGTATCCTCAATTTGCGGCGCATCATCCCTCCAGAAACCCACCTCTGCCACCTCTGCATCAAAGACCACGATGTCACCTACACTCCAAAAGAAACCCATCCAGCCATCGGCACAAACATCAACTCCATCGACCCAGAAGCCATCGACCCCCTCGACCAAAACATCGTCTCCTTCTTATAGCCAGGCCTTGTCTTCTCCTGTACCTTCAAGCAGACCGTCTTCCCTTCCAAACAAGCCTGGATCTAGTTCGAGCAAGACAGTGTTTTCGTTGAACCGGCAGCCATTGTCTTCGACGAAAAAGCCATCGCGAGCTTCCAAGAAGGCTTGAGTCAATTTTGGACTGGACTGTATCTGATTCGAGACTGTAGGGAAGAGAAGCGCTTTCTTCTACAGACAAGGCGTGTTGTCGGGATAGATTGGCCCCGGAGATATTATTGGCCAAGCGAATTAGACGTCGGAGAAGTCAGTTGGTTTGGGAGGACAAGCATGTGAGACATGTCAGAGAATTGGGAGCAACAACACAGCATGATAGATGAGGTGGAAAGTAATTGGCAGTGTTGGAAATGTTCTCGCTTTTGTCTATTATAGTACGGTTAATACAGACCGAGTACTGATCATAGTGACTGAAACCCAAGCCGATGCACTCCACCTGCAATGCAGTCGTGCCTTTGCTGATGCACCTTTGAAAAAAGAAGACTCCGCATTATCCATCCCGATCCCAGCATTAGTTCCATAATTCCGTCATTCAAAGTGGCGTGATTCGGCGTGAAGAAAAGAAAAGTAAACAACAAGGTGCAAGTCGTACACAGCTGTTTCGGTTTACATGAAAGCAGCAAAGAAGACACCGGCACCGACCAAGGCACCAGCAGCACCGACCTTGACGTTGGCGGCTGAGCCAGTAGAGGAAGCGGCGGCAGATCCAGATGCAGAGCTGCCTGATCCGGAAGCGGAAGATGCGCGAGTGGACATGCCACCTGAGGAAGTTCCGCTGGCGGAACCGCTTGAGCCTGAAGCCGAAGCAGAGCCAGCAGCGCCAGCGCCAGAAGAGCCAGTAGCAGAAGAACCCGAACCAGTGGCGGCAACAACCTCTGCACTCAGAACTGCAGTAGTAGAGGCCCCGACGGTAACAACAATTGAGGTTGCGTTTCCAGCAGTAACATTGCCGTAGATGAGGGTGGTCACAGTGCCAGGAGCAAGGCCTGCAGGGACGAGCTGTACAGCGACGGATGAAACAGCAGCGTTGGTGGCGGCAACACCGACGTCTGTCTCAAGGGGAGCATGGCCAGTGATGACACCGAGAGAGTTGGTCATGGTGGTGTAAGAAGTGAATCCGTTGCTGTAAGGGACGCTCGAGCTTGATGTGATGGGGATGGTGCTGAGGACAGACTGCGAGACATGTTAGATGCTTGTTGTAATGAAAGCTGAGATGGAAGGATACATACAGTCTCGTTGGCAGCAGAGCTTTGGGCAGCGACCATGGCCACGAGAGGGGCGGCGAAGAAGGTGGAAGCGCGCATTTTGGATGTGTTGCTAATTGATGGTGATGAAAAGTACGGCGATGGATAACGATTAATATTCGTATATCTGGATGCTTTGGTCTGAGGATGATGGATGGTTGAGTGAAGAAAGCGAGAGAGGTGTTTGCGAAGAAACAGACGACTTTTGAAGTTGGTGTTTGAACTGAGAGGGAAGGAGCGAGTTACGCGGCTTTGCCCTAGATTTATATGCTGTAAGCTTTTCAAAAGTGCTCGCGCCGGAGGCTGGTAAACATGGCTGTATCGAGNGGTCTACCAGGGACCATNGGTACATCAACTGGCCACCCGATTGGNTCTAGCCTGCAGCAACTCGGTCGCTATCCTGCAAGCACCACCAGGCCATTGNNTCACTTGGCTNNCGCAGTAGCTCCATGGCGATCAGTGCCGCAGCTTCAACCCTCTTGCTCGAGTTANCCATGTAATCGTTTCGCCTCCTCTATTTTTGATCTCTCTCCACAGCAACTGCACCTCGGCTCTNNGGCTTCGCTTGAAGAAGGAAACCATGAACGAGTTGTCTCCTGGTCAACCACGACTAAAGAGGCATTCACTGGCCTCTTTTCCGTGACCNNATTGGAGAACAGCGGCGGCAGCCAGAAGTAGCAGACGATGGTCCGGATGGTTATGTACAAAGGTTACCAGCCTACTNNTTTTTGCTTACGTGCTCTCTCAGCCTCACTCTCCGCAAGCCTACTCTCTNNCCACCCCCGGGACAAAAGCGACCCCACTAGCAGTAGTCATTTGGCCGATGGTGAGATGTCTCGTAACAATGGTGTGCAGTCTACGCGTCCCATCCTCTTCTGTGCTTGTCTCTGTGCTNNTTTTTGGTGTTCGGGTCTGTCCTATTATGCGGCTGAACCGTTTCTGTTGCTTAGAATAGAGTAGNNGTATCTGCGGGCGGATGCCAGATCGTTCTCAACAGTCACGTTGTCCCGCTGCTGTAGCGATGAGCGTATTCTGATGGTCTGTTGCAAGCTTTCAGCTTGATTTTTACGTACTAGCAAGGATACAAGACTTCAGGTGAAGTCGATTGTTTAGAGTTCCCATCGTTGGGATTGGGAGTTCCTTGCTCGAAAAGTCTCGTTGACAAGGAAACTGTAAAAGCACCGGGGTTGTCAACTGTGGCGCAGGCGAGAGACACCGAGGGTCTCCACATCTGCTGCCCTTTTTCTCCACAATCACGAAATCGGTGGCTCCCGCTTCTACAGCAACGGCCATAACAACGCCCAGCCATAGCGAGACGCAATGCACTGCACGGTCGTCACACACGTAACATGTACTGTGTTTTTCGCTCTCGAGCGAGATGGCACGGGAGCTGTGCCGATTGCTGCCAACCCTTCATGACGTGACGATTCACGAGTCTCGTCTCCGTACGGCTACAAGCGATAACATGGGGATGGAGGCACCGATTGCCGATGGATTGAGGACTTGCAGAGTGGGGTCACGACTCGAAATCACGATTCAGGATATTTGACTTGTCTCTCCATTTGTTACACGATGCTTCCAGACAAAGATAACCAACAACTCAAGAGCAAAAGGCGGTCTATCAACATGAAACGTGCATTGTATCGGTATACTCCAGTTCGCTGTACAGTAAGAAGGGAAAAAGAAAAAGATCGACATCGCCAGGATATGCCCAAAAACAAAAGACGGATGATTAAGATGTGCGAAAACAGGCGGTATGTGAATACATAAAACAGACCGCTGGATGAGAGTCGGGCGAAGGTGTGGCTCTATTTTTGCTCAAAGGAATATCTGAGCCATTCACCGACTGCTCTCAAACTCTCCCAGCGCACAGATTCATCGCTGTGCTGCATGAGCTCCATAACACGAGTCTTCAAACCTAGCTTCTCCATTTGTTGTCTCTTCTCAGGGACTTCCTTGACAAGACATGCGACATCGTTGCAGCCAATAGCCAACACCTGCTTGTCGTTGTCCCAGGACTTTGAAAGAATCTCGGCAAGCTTCTTGGCCAACTCGCCCTTGTTGTCCTCGAGGATTTTGCGAGCGTTCTCGCTCCAGAAGGCCTGGTTACGGTGAGGTGGTGACCAGCGGAGGTGACCAGAGTTGACTTCTGCGGCGTATTCGGAGAAGGTTGTTTGTGTCTTTTGGAACTCCTCAACCATGGATTGAAGAGCTTTCAGGTCCTCAAGGAGATCGGCGTCGTTGAGGTGACGACCCTGCAGGTTCTGAAGGATGGCGGGAAGGCGGGCAGGGATGACGGCAGGCATCAGAGTGTCGCGGTTGGTCGAAAGAAGGTTTGTGAGAGTAGCGAGAAGAAGTCTAGTCGTTTTCTCCTTGGGCGAGATGCGAAGGAGAGCAGCGTAGAGAACAATAATGTCGTGCTCNNCCTAGAAATTTGTCAGCATATATGGACAAGGCGAAAACGTGTAGACGTACTCATCGAGACCACGACCGACCAGCTTGCCCTCAAAACTCAATTGCCAGATAACAAGCAGGACGTGGTATAAGAGCTGGAGCCCAACGTTGTTGATGATTTGAGAATCGGCAATGCTGCGAATGCTTCCACCACTGATCAAGGTCGAATCAGTGTCTCTTACAGCGCCTCCGGTAGCGTTGGTCAAAATGTTGAACAGAGGAGTAACAGTGTCGTTTCTTTGGTCCCAGAACAGCTGACGCGACTTTGCGGTGCGCAACAGAGCCGAGTACTCCTGAATAGCAATGTCTTGAAGGTTGCTGTCGGATCTTCTTGCAAGGGTCGAAATGTACATGTATAGCTTGGGCAGGGCCTTGTCAATCTGGTCGGCCTGGGGACCACCAGTCATGAGACCGTGAGAGATGAGACTCGACAGGACGTATGATGCAAGTAGAGGGATGGCATCTTCGGGGTTTGCTGACTGCTTAAGGAGCGGCACAAAGGGAGCGTAAGGGTCGGCGTGTTCGAGCAGCTTGGCCACGAAGGATGGGATGTNCTGGTCGAGCAGTCAGTCATGAGCGCGAAGGATGCAAAGATGGCGCAAGAGAGGCACACCTTCAATGAGGTCGCCAGTCAAGACAAGCATGTACTGGACAATGTCGGAGCGCTTGGCGGCAGACTGGAAAATGCTGGGGCTGTCGTCGGAGCCCAGAACGAGAGCAGCATAGCTGGCGGGATCCGACTCGACTGTCTGTCTGCGCTGTTCCTTGCGGACCTTGTCTATCGACTTGATCTTCTTGAGGTCCTGGTCGGTGATTGTCTTTGCTCGTACAGCTCCTTCCCACGAGATTGGTCGCGCCCTGATGTTGTTCTGGAGCGACAGGATGTATGCCGGCGGGTCGAGAGACATGGTGATGTGCAGGTGTACTGAGGTCTTATTGGAATGAGCTCTCCACTTGCGCTCGAGATCTCGGTGCTCTACTAGGTACCTATCAACAGAAAGTGTGACGTTGTTGGGCTGGTCCACCTGCCGCTTTCAATCCGGGGTTCAACCGGCGCCTTCCCAATCTTCATCTGTGCTGCCGTCATAGCTCGACATTTTTTGATATTGATCTCATCAAGAAAGTCGACGCATCGCTTTCTTGTCGCCAATTCACCATGACGAGTTTGAAGCGTTCATATGCTGCCGACAGCGCTGCGCCAAATCTGTCGAGCAAGGTCTACATCCGTTCGACAAAGAGTGGCAAGGTCCAGAAAATTGTTCGCGAGCTATACTTGCGCGAAGATATCCCTTGCTCGTCAAGACTATGCGCCCATTGTCTCGAGATTGCTCCTACCGACTACCATAACAAGGGTATTTCTGTCCTTTATACTCGTCAACTCAACCTCTAACACATCCANGTCGCTCCGTTTGTGCTATCTGAGACTCCTGCTGGAACAAAATCCTTTCCCAATGGCCACTACATAATCCCTGACACTAATGCTTTCCTGACTGGAATGGATCTNTTTGAGCTTGAAACCGCCTTCCACGATGTCATTGTGCTGCAGACCGTTCTGGAGGAGGTCAAGAACCGCTCTCTTCCGCTGTACCATCGCCTTATCAGTTTAACCAAGAACGATGGCAAGCGCTTTTACGTCTTCTTCAATGACTTCAGATTGCAAACTTATGTTGTTCGCGACGACAAGGAGACCATCAACGACAGAAATGATCGCGCTGTTCGTCGTGCTGTCAAATGGTACGCCGACCATCTCGAGGAAGCCGTCAGCAAACGCAAATCTATCAGATGTCCATCTGTCATTATGATCAGTGACGATCGTGACAACCTCCGCAAGGCCAAGAACGATGGCATCACTGGACTCTCATTGCGCGATTATGTTTCTGGATTGGATGATTCGGAGCGCTTGTTGGACATGGTCAGTTCTGGACAGGAGCAGAGAGTCGGCAAGCAAACAAAGGGCGAAATGCTCTACCCAGATTACTTCTCCGTCTCAAAAATGATTACTGGTGTCAAGGCTGGAACTATGCACCAAGGAACCTTCAACGTATCGCCCTACAACTATCTGGAAGGATCTGTCTTCGTACCTGCATTCGACAAGCCATTGCTTATTATCGGAAGAGAAAACAGCAACAGAGCAATTTCTGGAGACATTGTGGTTGTCGAGGTTCTGCCCAAAGATCAGTGGAAGGCTCCTTCGTCAAAAATCCTGGAAGAAGAAGTTGTCAACAAGAATGACAACGCTGATGCGGATGAGGGTGAGGCCGTCATTACGCAGCAAGAAAAGCGCGCATTGCAGGAAGAGGTCAAGAAGACACACGGAAAGAGTGCCGAAGGAAGACCGCAGCCCACCGCTCGCGTGGTTGGCATTATCAAGCGCAACTGGCGTCAGTACGTTGGTCATGTCGACAAAGACTCTGTAAAGTCATCCACAAAGCAGAGCCGTGCACAGCAGACTGTCTTCTTGATCCCTATGGACAAGCGCATCCCGAAGATCCGTATTCGTACTCGCCAAGCTGGAGATCTACTCGGCAAGCGTTTGCTGGTTACCATCGATGCTTGGGATAGAGAGTCGAGGTACCCTGTTGGTCATTTCGTTCGTTCTCTTGGTGAGCTTGAGACAAAGGGCGCCGAGACCGAAGCTCTGTTATTGGAGTGGGATGTACAGTACCGACCATTCCCCAAGACCGTTCTGGATTGCTTACCTGCCGAGGGTCATGATTGGAAGGTGCCTGAGGACAAGTCCGATCCTGGCTGGAACAAGAGAAGAGACCTGCGCGATCTGTTGATTTGCAGTATCGATCCTCCTGGTTGTGTTGATATCGATGACGCTCTACACGCCAGGACGCTTCCTAACGGCAACATTGAAGTTGGTGTACATATTGCTGATGTCTCCAACTTCGTCAAGCCAAACAACGCCATGGATCAAGAAGCAAGTCTGCGAGGTACCACCGTCTACCTGGTCGACAAGCGTATCGACATGTTGCCCATGCTGCTTGGTACCGATCTCTGTTCTCTCAAGCCTTACGTCGAACGTTTTGCTTTCTCGGTCATCTGGGAGCTTACGCCTGACGCCGACATCGTGCGCGCTGACTACACCAAGTCGGTCATCAAGTCAAGAGAGGCATTCGCCTACGAGCAAGCCCAGATTCGTGTCGACGACCAATCTCAACAAGACGATCTCACCAAGGGCATTCGAATGCTCATGATGTTGTCCAAGAAGTTGAANAAGAAGCGTATGGATGCTGGTGCTCTGAATCTGGCCAGTCCTGAAGTGCGTGTTCAAACCGAGTCAGAAACTGCCGATCCCGCAGATGTGCAGACCAAGCAACACTTGGATACTATGTCGTTGGTGGAGGAGTTCATGCTTCTCGCCAATACCAGTGTCGCCGCTCGCATCTACGAAGCCTATCCTCAAACTGCCTTGCTGCGTCGCCACGCTGCACCACCAAAGACAAACTTCGAAGAGCTGTCGAACCAGCTACGAGTAAAGCGTGGCATGGAGCTACGGACAGACAGCTCCAAGGCTCTTGCCGACTCACTAGACACTTGCGTGGATCCATCAGAGCCCTTCTTCAACACTCTCGTTCGCATTATGGCCACTCGATGCATGATGTCAGCCGAATACTTCTGCTCGGGCACCCAAGCATATCCCGAGTTCCGTCATTACGGTCTTGCCAGCGAGATCTACACTCACTTCACCTCCCCCATTCGTCGTTATGCCGATCTGGAAGCGCATCGTCAACTTGCTGCCGCCATCGATTACGAACCTCTGGATGCTAGTCTTCTCTCCAAGGCCAAGTTGGAAGGCGTATGCAAGAACATCAACGTGCGTCACCGCAATGCTCAGATGGCCGGTCGTGCTAGTGTCGAGTACTACGTTGGACAAGCGCTCAAGGGCCGCGTCGTTGACGAAGACGGCTTCGTCATGCGCGTGTTCTCCAACGGTATCGTTGTCTTTGTCCCCAGATTCGGTATCGAAGGTTTGATTCGTCTGCGCGATCTCGCCACTCCTGAACCCGAAAGCGAGTTCGACACTGAGAACTATGTCCTCAAGATCAAGGGTGAGGGTATTGATAGAAGTGTGGAGCTGTTCGAGAAGGTCAAGGTTAGGATCTCGGACGAGGCTGAGGAAAGCACTGGTAAGAGAAAGGTCAAGCTCTCGCTCTTGTAAGCCCATTCGTGGCTGAGAGCAGGGTCAGGCTGGCATGTATATCTAGAAATTCATTCCACGAATAAGCAAAAGATTTGAAGCAACGCACCCTTTCATCACAGATATGCGAACCTCACTCCTTCGCAATAAACAAACAGAGATAGAATATCTTCTTGGACAGCTAAGCTCGAACAGTGGTAAAACATGGAGCGGCAGTTGTAGTGACCTCGACTCACGTCAGGGTGACTTCCTCAGCTTCGTCCTCAGCCTAGCGAATGAAAGTTCTTGGACAAGACTATGAAAACACCTTGACAACTGCTTGATTAATTACGTATATTTATGCCTTTGATTCATGCCAATCTGTCACGTATGCTTCCGCCCTTTTGTCGAATCCGAATAATGCTAGAAAAAGAAAACTACCAATCTACCATCATGCTTGAAGAACCTCGAACGCCGTGACAAGGGCAAAGGCATCCCAAGGCCAATATGTGCTTTCCGAACCTCTGAACCGAAACGCCTACGAGATAAAAATGCTGCAACAGCACGTTACTCAGAGGTCGGAGGATCGTCATTGGTGGCCGCTGGTGGTGCAATGATCCATTGACCAGTCTTGGGTCCAGGTGTGGCTGTCAGAGGTGCATCGGTCACTTTTGCGTGGTCAATGGTCCAGCCAGCACGTTTGGCCAGTTCAGCTACCACATCGTCGCAGTAGCCGAGGAGTGTGATGTCGAAGTTGATGTGGTCGGCTGGTTCGCGCGAGATGTAGATCTGAGGCACCTTTTCGTCGACATAGTTAGGACTGTTGATAAGTTAGTCAGTGATTCGGTCTCGGCACAGTAACAGGAAGAAAGCTTACATCTCGGAGACAGGGGCGACTTTCATAGATGTGCCAATGACGATGATCAGATCAACTATGGCGGCATCGTGCTCTGTAAGTCTGTCGAAGAAGCGGTTGGGCAGCTTCTCGCCAAAGAAAGTAATGTTGGGCTAAGACAATCAGTATTGAGGACATTAGCAAGAAGAGGACGCAACTCACTTNNTCATCACGCCAGGCTGAGGAACATCGTAGCGGCCATCATCTTCAGAATCGGAGTGGCTCGATCTTGATTTTGACTTGCCGTTAGATATGCGCTTGCGCTTGCGCGGTTGCTTTTCAATAATGTCCAGGCAAGTTTGGCAAAGCGAGACTCGTTGATGCCGAACATCCTCGAAGATGACCTCGCCTTGGACCTCGGTATGACATTTACGGCAACTTGCAGTGGCCCATGAACCATGGCATTGGATCAACCGCTCGGGCTCAATGCCAGCGAAAGCTTCGATGTTGTCGATATTTTGGGTGTAGTTGGTAAGCAGCTTCTGCTTGTCCTGAAGCAGTCTGATGAATGCATGTGTGGGTGAGCATCTGTCAGTGACGGGCAAGATTTCCTTGGCCAATCCATAGAAATGTCTTTGTAAGAAGGTCAGCAGAGTTTACAGCGATCTCAAGGAAACAATATGTGCTTACGTAGGGTCGTTGTCAAAGTTCTCAATGTCGAACACATCTTCAGGGCTCTCGAATCCGCGAGCTCGAAGCTGAGAGTAGAAGCCAGTATTCCTCGATCTGAAGTCAGGAATACCAAGACTGGTCGAAATGCCAGCGCCAGTGATGACCATGATATTCTTGGACTTTTGGAGTAATGAGACGGCATCATCGATGGTGTTGTAGTCATCGAGCTTTTGTCGCCTTCTAAGCTCACGTTGAATGCATCGACCGAGGATTTGGTAGTACCAGATGGTGGGATAGGGTAGGTCGGGCCTCACACCAAAAGCTGTGACAAGCTTTCTTACGCTCACTGCACCAGAAGAGATGGTCTGCTCCACGAACCTGTTGGGTCCAAGTCGACGTAGCCTTTCGCGGACCTCCTTTCCCTCTGTAGGTGTGTAGGAGATAGGTCCAGGTTCNNTATGGATTGCATTAGTCTTGGCGAAACAAGGGGTTAGATGGTGGTAAATTGGGCATCACTTACCATCATCTGTGTATGGTTCAAACTCGGCGCGTTCCAATTCATCTGTCAAGGCAGACTCGGCGATCTCACTATCATCATCCTCAGAATCATCACTAACATCGAGGTCGACGCCGTCTTCGAGATCGTCTTGGTCGATAAGCTGGGGTAACGGCGCAGTGTTCACCGGATCCTGAACACGGGCGACTGATTCCAGTTGTTTTTCAGGTTGTGGCGATGAGAGGTCGACAACAGCATCGGGTTTCATCTTGGCCGACTTGTTTTTCTGGTGATGGTCAAATATATAGTGTGAAAGTTTTGTTGTGCATAAAGGGAAGCTAAGTCGAGTCGAGTTGCATGGATTGGAAGTTGTTCAGATGGCGCTAGTGGTTCATGGGGAACTGGTCAAGAACGTCACCAGCTTGTAGAGAACACTTGATTTACTCGTGGTACAAGCGACTTTCACTTTCGAGCATGAGTACATGCGCAATAACGACATCTGTCGTGTTTCAGAGAGGATGTGCGACGGATTGGTAGCTCACCGGTGGAAAGTGCTACCCTTGGTCATTAGGTACAGCGGTTGTTAGAGGACAAGTTTTGCGGTCTATAAAGAGTGCTACACGTTCTGGGGTGCCATCCTATCCTTATTAAGCCCTGCAGCGCCTTTCAATCTAGTTTGGTCATACGCAAGTGTTACATCAGGGAATCCCTCTGCTTCGTATTGATCCAATTTATCACCTAGGTACTTAACACTGCTTGAAAGACTCGACCAGCATTCGACCCACTGTTTCTCTCGCCTATTCTCGACTTGCAATCTCTATGTTGCTACTCAAGGAGAATCTTCGAGTAATACTCGGCTTATGTGCGCCCACAAGTTTAGGAAGGTCGAATGGCCTTGAGGTAGAGTCTGCGATGAGGCAATAACTCGGCTGCTTGGACGCGCTGCCCTGTGTTCATAAAGAAGTGAAGGTACCGAAGGGAAACCATAGGGACAATCATTCTTTGCTTCGAAAGTCGTCCTAGCTCTGTGGCACATGGAATTGATATGCAGAGCGTGCGGAGTGCCCATAAACTTGCCGAACTCCTTGGTATGATGAAGTCTGACACAGGACAGATTCTGTTTGTCCGAAGCCGCATAGTCGATTAGCAAAGGCAGAAAAAACCAGGTGCTTTGCGTTAGAAGTGTCGGCAAAGCTCTCGAGGGCAAGTACGGATAAGCCTGGCAACAGCATTTGGATCACATGTGGTAGCGATGCTGGATGGTGAATGGAGTGATGGCAGACGTAAGCGCGGGTAGGTTCATCTCCAGCCTCCAACCCTTCCTTCGTCCCAACGCTCTTTGCGTTGATTGCGTAGGAAAGCGACACGTTTGGCGTCTCTCAAACGACGGACAAAGTCCTGGACTTCTCTGTCTGGAGCAAGACCGCCATCGTCGAGGAAGCTATCCTCGATACCTTTCACCAAAGCGTCTTGTTCTTGAGCGCTGGCACTGAGACGTTGATACAAGGCCATAGGACTGAAGCCTTTCAAAGTGTCTTCAGTCTCGACAATCTTGGACTTGTGCTGCTGTTCGAGGGCGCGAAGAGCGATGAGGCGAGATTGAGTAGCGGCACGTTGATGGTTCAGGCGAGACTCGACTTGTTGCAGCGAGGAGGCTATCTGGAGATTGGATTCGAGAATACGTCTCAAAGCATCCTGAGAGGCAGGAATGGAGGGATGCGTGTTCTCGTAGTCGTTCAGCAAGGCAGCTTGCAAGTCGGGATCCTCAAGGAGTCGTCTGAGGTCATTGGTAGACAGATCTTGGACGATCGAAGGAAGCCAGCCAGCAGCAGGGAGCGGTATTTGATCTTGAGGTGGGTTGGTATACGCGTCGGCGGTATTCAGCGATGGCTGAGTGTTTGGCGGAGGTGGTAGCGGAGGGCCTCTGGATGGGGTCCCTCTGCCGCTGCCAGGCTTCGGAGGTGGAGGCGGTGGTGTCGACGAATCATAATGTTGGAATTGGGACAGTCTGGGAGACTGTGCATACTGCGATGAGCCTTCAGCGAAGGACATGGCGACAAGTCAAGAGTCGAACGAGTCGAGAGTGACGATGATGTCGCCTATCACATGCCAATTGAAGCCAAAGCTCCGCGTCCACAACGCGCCGAGTCCAAGCTCTCGTGCAAGCCGGACTTCAACCGGCCGCGGCTTCCTCAAAGTCTGCAATTTTTCTTGTCTCTTGTCCTTCCTCTCTCGCATCACAACAAACAAACCATCGCATATCGCTGCGCGCGCACTTGCACGAGCTGTGACTCGAGCTTGCTGCTTGTCTTGCTCCTGCCGCATACATGAAGTTGCGCGGACAAGGCAGGCAGCTCTCCAGCAAAAGGTGTTTTTCTTCTTCAACCACATCCATCACACCCGTCACAGAGATGAAACAATAAACACGAACAATCCAACTCCTATAGCGTCGTGAAGGATTACAATAACTCTAGAATTACACTGAGACTACTTCACAATCACCGCTTCTTCTGCCTTTGTTCTTGCATCACCATCATGCTAACGAGCCCCTGAACAGTCCTTCTCTCAAGTTGCTTTCCAATTCGTCCAAATGCGCTGGTCGCATCGAGGGTGTGCTGTACGTCGGCACACCCTCTCAATTCTCAAAAGGTTGGTCACACACAACTCCTGCACACTACACTACATACTTTCCCCGGCTTGGGTGATGATATACCGACTCACGGAAAGGCATTCCTCGACCTGAATATACAATGTCGAATCTGTCTAAAATCAAGTTTCAGCCTTGTCTGACTATCTTGCCATGACTTATCTTTTGCACTTCATAACTTCGCTCTGCTGAACAGCCAAGCTAACTCGATTTGCATCAGGTATCTACTCACCACCTCACCCCTTCGATTCGTGTGCCCCATTTCCATATGAAGAAGATTTGAACGAACGGGCGGACAGACTGCGCTTTCGGTCGCCATCCGCTGAAACAAGAGCGTACAAACTCTTGGGGTGGTCGGCCGGGAATTGCTTGTTGAGATTATCGTCAGCTGATTTTTGCGCTCATGCACAATTTTTGCACTTCCTTTCTTGACCCACACATGTACTAAGACTGGTTTTGTTTAGGTATGCAGCTTCAATCCCAGCTCTCGGTTGACTTGAAGCACATCTGCATGGGCATTCTTCACAATGATGAACATTTTATTCACACTGTTTGATCCTTCCTAAGCCTATATTGTGCTGGTCGGACATGAACACAAAACACTGAAAATTCTGAGAATGTTGAATGGTAATGCTTCCCCTGCCTACTTGACTGATGAGTGGCCGCTGACTGTTCATATAGCCCATAGCACTTGATGCTTCTTGACCGTTGCCATCACGACTCTCGAGTCTCTTACTGACAATGTGTTCATCAGGTATGCAGTCTGTTCTCCAACAGCAACACCCAATCATCGTTGCATGATGATCACTATTCACACTGTGAACGGTTTGCCCGTAACGAAGGCTTATCCGTTGTGGACATGTAAAATGATTTAATGGTAGGCATTCTCAGCATATGTTCACGTCTCATTGGTACTGACTATCAACAGAGCCTGATTGCAATCACAAATCCTGCCTTGTTCGACTGGAAACATGGAAGGCCATCACTGATTGTTTTAGACTAGGTCAAGTATTAATTTACATGCCAGTTCTTGTCTTCTCAAGCTGTAAGTCGTTGCTCTACCACTACACAATTTCCCCCCTCGCATAAGATGAATAAAATGATATTTCGCTGTGTTCTTACTGAGACACGTCTTTGAAGATACCATCACCTTGGAGAACTGACCTTTGCCCCTTCACATACACTCTTGTCATTCGAGCACCTTGTGTATCATGTTGCTGACCAGTAACAGATCTTTTCAACCAAGCTAGCAATACTGTTCAAATGAAATGTTTTTCACAGACCTCTCTTCGTGCCCGCTTGACTGTTGTTGTGCTCGTTCCCTTGTGTCTTGTGTGATCGCTCGTGACGGCTTTGAACATGACAGCTTTGAACCACGGCTGCCTTTGTTTACGTCCATCGACCTCGCTGGCATCTGCTTCGGCTCGAAGTCACCCTGCGCTAGTCCAAGCAACATCGACTTCGTCCTCTACTAACATCTTTCGTTGCTGTTAGACCTCACAAGACAACACAACTAAAGATAGCCGACATAGATCGGACTGGTTGTTTCCTTCACATAATCACACTAGGTTCAGCTTCTCTGCCTCCTACTCACTTCACTCTTTCTGCTCGTTCTAGCTTCGATCAACTCGAAGGTCAGGCTCTTTACCTCGCCCTTTAGATCTTCTGCGCCGAACTCAACATGGCCCCGACAACGCCAAAGACGCCTATAAAGACGCTCAGGAAGGTCTCTTCTGCTAAGAGAGTGTATGTGTCCTCGATACGATTTAAATCACGCTTGACTGACTAGCCCAAGCCTCAGCACTACCGCATCTTCACCTGCTAGTCCAATCTCTCGCGTCCGCAAGGCGCAGAGAGACGCTCCAGAGTGAGTCCTGTCCTCGACGTGCTTTTCTCGTCCTATCACTGACAAGCTCCACAAGTCTGGGCACCGAGATGGTCTTCGTCCTCCTCGGAAGCGGTCCCAAAGAAACCCGTGAGACAAAAGTCTTCCACAGAAACCTGCTCATGTCAGTTTCTGGCTTCTTCGCCACAGGCCTGACTTTCTCCTTCAAAGAAGCCGAGACCGGAGTCTTCGAACTAGAAGAGGAAGATGCTTCTACTTTTTCTGTCTTTGAGCAGTGGGTGTACAGAAACCGTCTGTTTATTAAAAGNACAACTTCCTCCTCTCCTTCTTCTTCTTCTTCAGATAATGAAGACGACGATCAAGAGTGGGAATGTTTGCCTCGTCTCTTCACCCTCGGCGAACGCTTCGACGCACCAAGATTCAAAGACGCCGTCATCTCAGCCATCATCGAAAAGGTCAACGAGAGCAAAGTGATGCCTGACACCTGGGCCTCTTACGTCTACCAGAACACTGTTTCGGCATGTGCGTTGCGTTGTTTGATTGTTGACTTTCATGTGTTTGCGCACCAGGGCAAGTTGTTGAAGAAGGGAGCTTGTCCTGATGCTGAAGAGCCCGAGTTTGAGTTCTTGCAGGATGCTATGGCCAGGATGGCTGATGCTGGACAGCAGGTGTTTGCTGCTGCTGCTGCTAGTGGTGGTGGACAAATGCCTTGGGCTGATGCTTGTGTTTATCATGAGCATGGCGAGGGAGCCTGTCACCTGGCTGAAGGCGACGATGCTACCTCTACGTCTGGTCTGCCCAGAACTCCCGATACTCCTCTCAGACGTAGCGCTAGGTCAGTCATCACTTCAGGCTCGCGAAAAACTGAAGATCCTTTCAATAATGCCAATCCCACAGACAATCTCTCTCACGAGGAAAAGTCCAGGCTGAGAATGCAACGTTTCGGCTTGTCCTAAGCTCACGAAATCTTCCCGGCAACGTGAGACCGAGAGGTGCATGTATGAATTGATGAAAGACATGTGACAAAGAACGAGGAGGACGCGAAAAGAAACCCACATGAGAGAACCTGCTGAAAATGATTTATGAGAGGGGACTCGCAGAAGGAGGAAATGGAGTCGAAAGAATCGACCTCGGCGATATACATGGCGAGCGGTTGTATGATTTTCAAGATCCAGAGGAATAGCAAGCATACTTACAAAGGGAGAATAAACATGAACCCTGAACGATCATGCCTTCCTCTCCTCGTCCTTCTCAAGAGCTACAGCCTTCCTCTTCCTCCTTTCCTCATTCTTCAGCCTTTTCCTCTCCTTCCTCTCGACCTCAGCCAATTCCTTCTCTTTGCCAATAATAGCAACCATCTTCTCGGCCATTTCTCTGTTCTTCGTGCCCTCGGCTTCGATAGCTTTGAGAGTATACCCCAAAGAATCAAAGACCTCATTCGTCCACAAAACCTTGCCCTTCTTTACACTCCCGCCCTCGTCTGCTATGCCCTGAGCCAGCAGTATACGGTCCCAATCATCTTCACCTCTTGCAATCTCCATCTGTGCTTCCAGAGCCATCTTGCGGTCTTGGCGTTTCTGACGGTCGACGAGGCGGGACTTGAGATAGTGCGACAGAGCGGCAGGTTGAGGCTTTGTGAAGCGGAGAATGGGGATTTTGTTGGCTGAGACAAGTACAGGGATGCGGCGACGAGATGGTAGAGAAAAGGCTGGACGAGGCCGGGGCGATAGTGCTGTTCCTTGGAGTGCAGCGGGTTTTGGTTCTGGGACTGGGGCTGGTTTGCGTGGGATGGTGGTCTTGAGTCTTGCAGGTAGGCGCGAGAGGAGGCTTTGAAGGTGCGAGATGGTAGGTTTATCGCCAGCGATTGCGGCATCAAGTTGATCTAGTGCNNCTATTGTGGCCAGAGTATCAGTATTGATGCGTTCGAGACCTTTAAGAAGACGTACTTCATAGCCACCAGCAAAGGCGTTTCGCAAGACATGTTGACTCATCACATGCCGGTTTTTCGCAAAGCTGTTCTTGACAACAGCTTGCAAGGTAGAAGCTCTAAGGGGCGGTGGTGCAGCTCGACATTTTGTCAAGAGGGCGCGGTAAAGAGCGATCGCTGTNNGTTCGATCATGTCAACATGTTGTTATTCTGACGTAGATCGAACAGAGGCGGATGTACCTGTCACACGATGTACGCCTGACTTGTGAGGAGCGAGGAATGCTGGCATACCATTCTATCGTTCCGTCTTGTCTAGAAGTCAGAAGAAAGGAAGCAAACCATGACGTGGGGTGGGGAAGATTTGCATTCTGCCACCGGTCTGAAACATTCTACGCTTGTTCCATCGCTATCGCACGTGCTCTATTATTGTAGCATTTACAATTACTCGAGTGCCTTTTCAACAATGAGTTTTTGGAAAAGAGAAAGCATGTCGAGAAGCCTGTACGTTCAGGTGTAAAGAGGACAGCCGAACCAGCCGCCAAAAGAATGCAAATTGTACAAAGGAAATATAAAGACGAAATCGCAACCAAGACAAGAAGACACCGCAAACAAGTCCATGTGTATGTCCACCATCCACCAGTCTTACGCCCGCTGAAATGCTCAAAATCCTTTCCTTGATCCGTCCGTTGCACCAAAACCACATATGAAACCTCAAGATTCCATCTCTTGATCAACCAAACACCAGGGCATTGAGAATGTGTCCCTCCTTCCAGCTCGTCTGGCCCAAAGCCTTGTGCTCCTCGAGAATCTTGCCCATGTATGCCAGCTTGATCTNTTGCTCAACACCAGCCTTCTCTTGCACCTTCTTGATCAACACAGACACCTTCTGGTTCGTGCCCATCTCGACAACCACATCGGTACCACGATCGCTGAGTCGTGCTCTGACTGAGATCAGTTCGCCCATCTTCTCTTCACACACCACGCCCTTCTCGGCATCAATCTCGTCTTCCGACTCTTCGTTGATATTCTTGCCTTCAATCGAGGGCTCTGCGACGAGGTCCTCAGGGTCAGAGACTACCCAACCAGGGATCTCATATAGTAAGCCTTTGTCGTCGTAGACTCCTCCCTTCTTCTGTCCGCCTCTTCTTCTTTCCACACAGAACTTGCCAGTCGGGCAGGTAGCACCACTGGCATCGAGGATGGTTTGCGCCGCACTCAGATCGCCCGATCGAAGAAGTTCCGACACCTGCTTCATCGCAGCCCACATCTCGGGTCGTCCGCTAACTCTGGTCTCGAAGAAGGCTTCACGCTGTCTTGCGAGTTCTGATGGTGTCCATGGCGTCAGTGCGAGTTGAGGAGGCGAGTTCTTGACAGTAGGTGCGGCGCGCAAGGGTTGGTTAGGTCGATCGAGTAGTTCGGTAGGCGTGTTTCCGGAACTCGTTCGTGAAGGTGCAGTGCGAGCAGTTGTAGACGAGGGATCCAAGTTCGCGTGACGAGCAGCGCCCTCCTGGTTTTCCGTGGCCGAAGCCCGGGATTCGCGAGACAAGCCACAGCCCTTTGCAATAGTCAGTATCTTTGGACGCTTGCGATTCAAGGGTACAGAGGCGCATACCATTGTGTTTCTCACGATCTCATAATTTGTCCGAATAGACTTTCTGGTATGCTTCTTCGCCTCTTCGCTTTCTCGTCTCTTCTCGAAAGGGATAAGGTTGAACGAATGTCGGTAACCGTCGTTAAAAATGCGGTCGGAAAATGTTGTCGCGCCGTTGTGCTTTTGATATTACGCCGGGCAGAACTAGAGGGGTCAGAGGAAATAATGGGCGTTTACGGTCGGCAGTCAGATGCGTTGAATGTGGAAAAAGCGACGGCAGACAAGAACAAGAAGGATCACAAAGAGAAAAGGTAAAGTCGCGGATATCCGAAGGAAGGCGAGGCCAAGTACTTGATGTCTTGGGCCGGGATTAATTGGTTCGGTAGAGATTTAATCTTTAAAGGGGCGGCGCCGGGCGGGAATCAAGTTACTGTACTATCGAGCTGAGTGACGACTGTCGGCAAAGGATCGAAGATGCCCTTCTGCAGACGACGTGCAACACAGCAGAAAGAAGACACAACAGTGGGAAAACACAGCGGGAACTTCATCGTGCTCCTGTCCCAAAATTGGCAATCGACTTGCGGATACTAGTCGTCATGAATCGTGCGCCGACCAATGACTTCAGATCTGAGCCGTGGGCCGGGCGGCCCGAAGTCAGTCTGGTCAGCCTTGTCCGAGGACGTCGACTCCGATTCAGCTGCTCTGCGCTCTCTGTTCATCGACCAAGACTCAACTTGTCTTTGCGACACACGCTCGCAGAAGTCCGCAGTACCGCCAAAAACTCTACTGTCTACTCATATCACATTTACCACTACCACGGACTTGGTACCCTGTCGGCGCGCTTACCACGCCACTTTTGAGGCTCCCAGTCGGGAGTCTTCAGGCTTCAGCCAGTCGAGTTTGAGACAGTCCCGCGAGCTAACCATGGAAACGAGGCACAGCAAGCACACCAAGAGAAAAAGGACAAACTTTCTATGAATCAATTATTAGTTGCAGAGCGTACTCTCCCTCTCCTCCCTTTTCGTTATCAAGTAAAGTGGACAGGGTATCACGGGTATTCGCGATTAAAGACAAGTACCAATCAATAAACAAACTTGCAGGAATCCCAAAGAAAAGATTGACAAAGCAGAAAGACAAAACGAAAATCAATGCAGTAATCATGTCCGACAACAACAAACGCTGCTTTTCTGGTGGAGATCAACAATGTCGTCCTCAAAAACGAGTAAGAGTGAAGGGCATGAGTTGGGTATTAAGCAATGAGAGCGCCTCGTGGCCAGGGAAATCCAACGATCCGCGGAATCTCATGTCTGAAACAAAACAAGCAGAGTAAGAGGGGTATCTGTATGTCAAAAGAAATAACACATCAAACCAGTTGCAGCGATCGACGCACTCGCAACGGCGAAGACGGGTCCTCAGCGTAATCACTGGCCCACCAGATAGTCCTTCGAGGCAGGCTACGCAGCGGCGGACACGGTGGGGTTGGAGGGAGTGTGCTGAGTCTCGCTGACGGGAGCGACGGTTTCGGCGACAGGCTCTTCAACCTTGGGCTCGGCGACGGCAAGGGTGTCGATGACGGTGGGCTTAGCGGCAGTCTCAGTGCTGGGAATGGCAGGGACGGGCTCGGTAGGTGCGACGTTCTCCTTCTTGACGGGACGAGCAGCCTGGGACTTGGTGCGGAAAAGACCAGTGACCTTGCCGAGCATCGACTTGTCCTCTTGAGGGCTCTCAGCATCGGTCTTCTCCTTCTTGGCACCACCGAAGCCGCCGAAGTAGGACTTGCGGCGGCTCTCCTTGGGAGTGCTGGACTTGGGAGTCTCGATCTTGGTCTCGGTAGCGGGAACAATGGGCTCAGCGACAGGCTTCTCGACAGCGGGCTCGGTGGTAGCGGCAGGAGCATCGACAACAGGAGCGGCGACGACCTCATCATCCTTGGGAGGGACGGCAGGAGCGTCAGTGGAAGTACCAGGAGCGGGGCTCTTGGATCTGGCCTTCTTCACCAAGCTGTCAAAGAAGCTCTGCTTGCGCTCGGTGTTGGGGGTGACGAGGGGAGACTCGACCTTGGCGGTCTCGAGCTCAGCCTCCTTGGGAGCCTCAATGGCGGACTCNNCAGTGGCGACAGGAGCGGCAGTGGTCTCAACTGCAGAAGGGTCGAGGTTGGAGTTCTCGGTGGTCGGCTCAGGAAGAACAGGAGGCTCGGCCGAGACAACGGTCTCCTTGGGAGGGACGACGGGTGCGACCTCGCTCTCCTTCTTCTCGCTAGTGGGGCTGCGGACCTTGTCGAAGAAAGAACCGAACAGACTGCTACGCTTGTTGGTCTTGGGTCTCTCCTCGGTCTTCTTCTTCTCCTCAACGGGTTTGGAAGACACGCTGTTGACAACAGGCTTCTCCTCGGTGGCGGCAACCTCAACGGGCTTCTCCTCAGCGGCGACGGCGGCAGCCTCGACGAGAGCAGCAGACTCGGCAGCAGGAACCTCCTCAACATTGGCGGGAACCTCAGTGTTAGGCTCAACGGCAGACTCGATGGGCTTCTCTTCAGCGACCTTGGTCTCCTCAACAGGGGCCTCGATGACACGGGCAGCTACAACGATCAGTATGACTAACAAACAACATAAGTAGGTATCGACTTACCAATGGCCTCAGCCTCGAGAGGGGCAACAGTCTCAGCAGCAACAGGCTCCTCGACGGCNCTCAGTGGCAGGCTTGTCAGCCTCGACGGCCTTCTCTTCGGCCTTCTCCTCCTTCTTCTCTTCCTTCTCGGCATCGTGCTCGGCCTTCTTGCCCATGATACCGCCGAAGAGACTGTGACGCTTACCGTTGCGAGAAGCAGAGCGGCTCTTCTTGGCCTTCTTTGCGGCGGCCTCAGCATCAGATGAAGATGAGCTGGAGGTAGATGCGGCACGAGGTCTGGAGGCGTCCATGCTCTTGCGGCCAGCACCGGTGTGAGGAGCGTGAGACTTGGCAAGGCCGGCAAGGGTCTCCTTGTAAGACTCGCTTGAGGTGACAGTATCCTTGTTGGCCTTGGCCTCAGTCATGGCCTTCTCAACGGCGACAAACCAGGCGTCACGCTCGGCATCGTTGGCGGCCTTGAAGGCGTGCTTGTGGTGGTGGATCTTGAAGGTGAACTCGTGGCCGGTTGCCTTCTCAAGGTCAGTGGCCTCGGAGAGGTTCAGAACACCCTGAGGGTGCTTCTTCTCATCGGCATGCTTGACAAAGTAGAGCAGACCCTTTCCGGTGTGGCTTGACCAGGCAGCGGTAGCGTTGCCGGTCTCGGGCTTCTCGCCACGAAGGTAGGTGCTGAGGTTGTCGACTGAGACGGGCTCCTCACCCAACCAGAAGGTTCTCTTGGAGAACTTCAAGCTNNCCTGCTCGCTGTTAGTGTCCGATGTTCGGTATCGTTTGGTGTGCTGTGCTTACTTGATCAGACCAGGGGCCTTGTAGCCGAGGACGCCAGAGTCAATGGCCTTAGGCTCCTCAGTAGTGGCAGCAACCTCGGTGGGCTTCTCCTCTGCAGCGGTAGCAGCGGCCTCGACTGCGGGTGCAGACTCGGCGACTGGGACTTCCTCGACAGCGGCAGGGGCCTCGGTTGCGGCAGTCTCTGTGGCAATGGGCTCAGTTGCAGCAACTGCAGGAGTCTCGTCGACGACGGGCTTTGCGGTCTCCTCAACAGGCTCGACAACGGTCTCTTCGGGCTTGACGGCAACAGGCTCGGCAACGACAGGAGCGTCTACCGGAGCGGCAGTGGTGTTGTGGACGTCAGACATTATGGATGTGAAGGAAAGGGTATGAGTTCGTAAAGCTGGCAGGAGCGAAGCAGAAAAACGTCAGTTCAAGCTCGTCTGATGGTGTTATGGCCAGTGTAGTGGTGGTCACGCGCTCGCGGCAACGATTGGATGGCGAGTTGTCGGTGATATGTTTTTGATACACACCTTGTATTAATTAGATGTAGAGCTGACAAGAAACAAATCAAGGGTCTCCGGCTCGAGCTACCGCCGTTCTGCAGCGATAAGCAATGAAGCTCTGTATGGAGGAGAGAGGTAAGAGGCTGAGAAGTGGCACAAGAGTAGAGAGAAGAGAGAAAAGATGGTCTGAACAGCAGGTGCAGCAGAAGAAAAAGGATGGCCGCATGTGATTGCAACGAGATTACCTCCTTCCAAGGGGCTGCATCTAGGGTCAAAGCTCCCTAGATTCCAGTGCGACAGGCGAAATTTGCCAGGCCTTGAGCAAGACCGCCCAGCAAACACCTGCAAATGTGCCTACACCTGCCTGTGATTTGCTTTGAATTTGGTCTATCCCGGATAGATTGACTCGTGCGGCGCCCGTTTCATCTTCCCAACCGCTCGGCCGCAACCTCGACCAAGAACTCCATCAAATGCCCCTCTGCGGCCATGCTGCAAATAGATTGTTCTGCACACTCCGTCTACAGCTGCCGACTCTCGCAACACAGAGTTCAGCCTTTCCCCTGCTTCTCAAGTGCACATGATGCGACTCCCAGCCCTCGAGCATGGGATGCGCAATCTGTTCCCAATCGCTCCATGTGCAGACTCGTTCGCGCCGGTCTCGTGTCACCCCGTCTCATGACATGATTGAGTCAGATTCTCATACCGCCATTCAGCTCTTGACTGGCTCGGCCGATCATCACTGTACTTCCCACTCTCCGTTTGACAGGGCGTTTAACGCCTTGCCGCAGAATCCCAAACGATAAACACATCACTATTTTTTTCCATCACTACTTTTCCCTGCAGCAACGACAGTGACCGTGTGAAACGTTTCGTCTGATAAACGACACGGGCGCGTAGCCGATGCCTTCTTCTCGCAATCGCATTTCTCTCCCATTGTGGCCATCGACTCGGGCAGACTCCAGAAAATGCCACTCCGTCTTTCGAATTGTTGTTTGGCCTAAACAGAAACACGTCATTTCCCTTGATGGCAGATCTTCAGCTTCGTTTTCCCTCCCGCACACCAATGCTCGAGATGCCCCACTTGGTGTCCGCAAGGTGGTGCTACCCGCACGCAGGGTTCGGCCTCAGATTCGACAAAGCGAACATCCCAACCTCCAGAAGCCAAGCCTCCTGGCTTGCGATGCTTAATTTACCACCAACTTGAGTAGCGGCGCATCTGTGGCTCTACTCGGCTGTTTTGTCACTCTATTCAGGCCCCGATGCTGAAGCCAGAGAACCATCATGGAAGAAAACAGGCGGTGACTGCGCAGTCAGAAGGTGAAGAAACGTCCCTGCTCCCAACCTTCTAGTCTACCGGACTTTGTTCAACATCACAACACACCAATACACCCCTTCTCACCGACTCTCTGACTTTGTTCCTGTTCTTCCCGCTTTATCGACACTGTCGACAGGGATCGGGGATGAGAAGAGAATGTTTCTTCTCCCTAAATCTTGAAGAATTTTTACGAGCCTGGCAAACTGGTGGCTTGAGACACAATTACGGGAAACCAAAGCCTGGCTGCAAACTATCCAACCCCGTCGAGAGAGCTAAATTTGCCTAACCTAACCCCGATGACTATCAAAACTTACTGCGACAGACTAGGGCTGGGTGTTCTACTGACCTCCAGATTCAGTGTTCATCGACCACGAACGATCTATCCAATGACTATCGACGCATTGCGCGACACAAGGACTATCGATCTGCATGCGTGTCTACCATGTCCAATGTAACACCTGAGACATGACACCGCATCCCACCCAACCCTTCGTGGACTTCTTACGAGAAAGATTGACTGGGCCGATGAATGTATCTGGTGAGTCGCACGCAGCCGACAACGGAATCTGAGTACCTCCTCTGGCACGCTCCTGCTGTACTCATGGTTGTGCGATGACCTTTTATTATCACCATATCGTTTTGAGAATGCTCAAAAGCATGTACCTGTACATTCTATCAAGCTGCTAAACATCTGACCCTGACCTGAACATCACTCAGTGGACTTCTTCCACCAAACTAGGGGGGACAATCACACTCGAGCCTTTACTTGAGTGTTTCTGACATTGACAACGCAAACACTGGAAGAGCGACCAAGACGACCAAGATTTTCATTACCAATAGATATTCCTGAAGCGAGACGCACTACTCATCCATCAACTCGCCAGTGCGTGTAATCTTGTACGATGTTATGCCTTCAGGCTTCTTGAACCAGGCATGTTTGTGCGCGGCAAAGCTTTCCATCTCTGGTGCAGGAATCACCGGCATCATACCCATCTTGACAATGATTTTGCCGGGTAAAGCATCAACTTTCGACATGACCGGACNTGGCAACAAAAGTCAGCCCACCAACCATGTTGAACAACTACAAAAGACAACTCACTTTCCATCTACACCACAGAAATATCGGTATACTGGGTTACCACTGTTGGTAGCCTTGTCTTCGTAGACTTTGAGTGTGTTATCTCTGTCTTTGATGTCGACTTTTTCTTCTTCCATGATTAGATTGGCGGAGACCATCGAGCCAGATACTTTTCGACAGTTTGCGCAGTGGCAGAGGTGGCCGCGTGGCTTTGTGAAGAGCTCGTTGTCGTTGATGGTTACTGTGATGCTACCGCATAAGCAACTGCCGCTTAGGGAATCCTTGAAGGAAGACAGGTCATGTCGTTTCGGGTCGCCTGTCAGATGTGCCATCTTCACTAAAGTAGGAATACTAGAATAGTTGTATCGTATTACACTGAAAAGTTCGAAAAAGATGGCCGCCAGAACGTGAGTTGATGTTCATATTCGGATGAAAGCATGATATAGCATGTGGCAGATCCCCCGCCGCGGTTGCCGTAAGCCCCGCATGTGCTATACCTAGGTATTGATTTGTAAGGTTTAAAGAACAGCAGCGGCAGGAAATAGTCATCGATTTTGCAATGATCATCCATAGCACAAGAAAAAGAGTACCTACAAACCGGACGTTCGAAAGCAGAAAGCAACGCCACGCTCACTCGCTCCTTCCGAGATTGAGGACAGGAAAATAACAAGCAATAATACTACTCTAAACATGCAGAAGGCCGCCACATTTTGTCTATCCTCGATACAATAGATTTGGCAGAAATACTGTTTGCACCTTGATCGATACAACTGCATCGCCACTAAGACTAGCCCACCGTGCTATGCTTATACATACAAAGGAAAAGATATTACACAAAGTACAAGATTATCGGCACATCTGTGCAATCAACTGGCCGTGATAAGGACATATCTGCAAAGAAACAAAAGTCAGCGGTCAGTTCGCTGCTGGAAATGACATATTCCGGAGAGGATGGGGTAAACTTACGAGGTAATGGCATTCATCCTCTCAGCACTCAACTTCATTCCAACCTTCAAAATCTCCTTGGCCACTTCTGGCTCTTTCTCTTGCATTCTCTCCCAGGCTTCCAANNGTGTCAGTAGCCAAGCAACGCAGTCCATTTCCGCCATGACGGTGCTCGTCCGTGCGGTTTCAGAGAAGAAAGGTAGCTCGCCACATGTCGTGCCGGAGACGATGCTTTCGTGGTAACTTCCTTGATCGAGATCGTACTCTGCGCGTAGTATGCCGGATTGGAGAAGGTAGAAGCCATCAGGCTGGTCGCCGCGCGAGTACAGAATTTTGCCTGCAGGGTAGCTGCGAGGTTCGAAGTAAGACACGGCGCGGAACCAGAAGTCTTCGTTGCGTGTTGTGAGACCCTGGAAAGATTGCAAAATGAGTGGTAGCGGCTGCTTAAAGTGCTTCCAGCGGTTGCTGTCACCATTTGGTCCATGGCTAGATGCTAGCGTTGTCGTGGCAGCCTGGTGCAGGAAGTTACGTCGAGGTGACCCAACGTTCATGTCAATCGACGCAGGTGTCTGGATGGTTAAGTTTGAAGGAATGTCAATGCTTTCAGCGGAAGCCTCCTNTTGCTGGTTCAAAGCCTCGATACGCTGTTTGTCGGATAGAATTACCAACATCTCGTTCTCGCAAGCTTCAAGCGCACCATTAAGGTCCTCAAAAACTTTTGGAGGTGGGATGGTGGAATCCTCTACGGGGTCTTCGAAAAGACCAACCATCTGGAGACTCCTGCCAATCTCACCATCCAGGCTTACACCTGCTAGAGCCAGCGTCACATCGCGACGGTGTAGAATACGGTTCATTCGGTTGAAGGCCTCAGCTGCGGAAAAGTCGATACCGGCAACATGAGAGAAGTCCAAAATCAGATAGCGAATCGGTTCTGCGGCGAAAGCCTCTGCTTCTATCAGAGCTCTGACCTNTTTCTCAACCTTGACGATACTGCCGAAGAAGAGATAACCACCTAGCTTGACGACGCGGATCTGGGGACCGACTTTGTGGAGATATTCACGTTGACGAGGATGACGACGTACAGTCGACTCGGCCACGGCACCAGAGAATTCGGCGCGAATGACGGTCTTGCGTGATGTCTGCACAACATACACTAGACAAGCAAGACCAATACCGACAGCAATACCGACAACGAAGTCATAGGCACCCATGACCAACGAGATGATGACAATGGTAGCATACTCCAGACGGTGTAGTCTTCCGTAGGTAGCCCAAATGGCTTCTTGCGCAAGGTCAATACCAAGCATATAGATCAAGGTACCGACAACCATGACCGGCACATAGCCAATGACGACAGGGCCAGCAACAAGAAGACCGAAAGTGGCCAGAGTCAACATGTAACCAGCAAGACGACTGTTACCTCCGGTCTCAATGAAGAGTACACTGTTGACAAAAGCCAGGTAGTTCTGAATGCTACCAACACAACCAGACAAAGTGTTCGAGATGCCGTGCATAATCAGTTCTCTGTTGACACTGACATTGTCTTCTTGCACAACGATGGCCAGATTGGGCACGTTGATGGGAACGTGCAGGATACCGAAGAAAGTAAGAGCGAACTGGGTAGGCACAGTCATCCAGATTGCGCTCCAGTCCACAAGATGGAACTTGTAGTGGCTGTAGAAATTATAGAATGGCAGACCAGCTTGTGGGGCATCAAAGACCCAGCCTTTACGGCGCAGTTTCTCCATGCCAAGGTCGGGTACTGCAGCGACCACAATGTAGAAGATGGCAGTAATGGCAATGTAGTATGCAGGGACAAGCCATGGTCTGTCGTAGTAATGCTTAACAGTCAACAAAAGAATGGCCAGNNGAAGAGGAGGCAACCAGAGCACGATCGTGTCTGCTTGGAAGAGCTTGTGAAGAACAGCAGAAGTGAACTCGAGGTTGCCATCCAATCNTGCCGAGACTTCAATACCAGTGACAAACAAGAAAATACCAACACCTCCAATACAACCAGTAAGAATGCTGTGAGGGAAGAAGTTGACAAGTGTGCCCAACTTGGCAGCACCAAGACTGAGGAAGACGAGGCCGGTAAGGATAGAGCTCATTGCATAAGAAGTGATGACGGTGGCTCTCAGAGCGTCAGGGTTGCCGGTTCCCATACGCGCCATGATCATGTAGGTCATTTTGTGAAAGAACGGCACGACCTCAATCATCTCGGAGCCAACGCCTCCACTGAAGATGCTACCGCTTGAATAAGTCAATTGAGCAGTGATGCAACTAACGTAGAACATTGAGACACCGTCAGCACCCATGCTGGAAAAGACTTCCTCACCAAGAGGGAAAAGAATAATTCCGTAGGAAAGGGCATCCAGGAGATTGAGAAGGACACCGAGAAAGACCGAGGGCATGACCAGCGCGGGTTTGACAACGACCGTCTTGAAAACTTGCTGCATATCCCACTCCTTGGGGTGTGTCGCAACGCGGTATCCATCAGCCGCGACTTTCCGTAAGGAGGGATAGGCGTGCTGCAGCTTCTGCCATGACTTGACTCGCGGTAGGCGTTGGCTCTCAATGTCTTCCTCGTCCTCGTCGCCATCTTGAGCACCGTCCAAAGTCTTGTAGGCCGATGCGCGTCTCGATGAGCGTCTTCCAANAAGAGGAGTTTCCTCGTCAGCGTCATCCTCGCCAGCTTCGCTGATGATCAGGCTCGGTACGTCACTGTAAGGACGAGGTCGTGGGCGTAGCTGGTCGTCGCCCTGTTGCCATGGCATGTCGGACAGATTGGAGGACGAAACTTCGGGCGAGACAGGCTCGGATTGCTCCTGGATGACCTCCGGGCGGGTCTGTCCCTTCTGCGGCCTTTCATCGTCGGCCAAAGATCTTTCCGAATCAACGCTCCTTCTGTGGTGAGCCAATTCAAGCGACTGCCTGGGAGATGAAGCTGAGTCGAAGCTTCTGCGATGGGTAGACGAGTCTTGGGATTGACGGTTCAGAGGCTGAGAATTTCTACGAGCGTCCGAGTCGCCTAGGAAAGAGGAAGAGAGTTCGGCCGTCTGTTCGCGCACACCTGAGGAAGAATACTGGAGAGGTTNCTGGTGGTTGGCGCATTAGCTGGGCTCTGGATTGGCGTTGTCACGGAATTGGATGTCACCTTGGAAGCCGTGGGCAGCATGGTGGATGTAAGACCTGCTGGGAGTCTTGTACGAGGACGAGAGAGCCGAGGCCGACGTTATTGAGCGAGCTCTTGCTCTGTGGGTGGTCGAGCGCGGAGCAGTGTCCTGATTCTCGGTATCTTCCTGCTGGAGCTCGTCATTGGAGAAGGGCAGACGCTGCTGATGAGACGAGGCATCCGACGGCGTGCGGCCACGCTTGAACAGTCGCGACATGGTGCGACCGAAAGGCGTCAGGTTTTGCAATTCTTGCTCGGTGGATTCGGTCTATTTTCAAGGGATTGGCCCTGTTTATCGAACAAAGGACGTGGGCTGACTAGACAACAGGAGGTACGCTGACCCAGAGAGCCAATTGCTGTAATTCAAGTGTGCATGTGCATGAGGGCGACAGCAGTGGGAAGTGCGAAAAGCAGAAACTATTCTAGTATCAACAGTGACAGGATTCAATTAGTTGCGAGATAACAGCAGCTGGAGGCCGCATCCACCGGCATCCGCATCTTCAGCAGAAAACGTAAACGTCTGGCTGGCCCCCGTCAAAGTCCTGGCTCCACTTTTGCCCAAACTAAAAACGCTGTCTAGACAAACCCTTTCGACCACTCCACCCTTCAATCTGCAACAAGACATAGCGTCTTGTACTCCGTCTTTCCCCTGCCATGCCGACATGGTTGATGCCTGAGTCTTTGCTCAAAAACCTGGCCAGCGACAAAACTTTCCACTTGGCGGGCCTGCTCAATCGACGTCATTTTGCTTTTGTCACGAATCGCATAAAGTGGTCGCAAACCACCCCGCAACATGCTGATTCGTGCCAGCCGACCATCCGATCCGTTGACTGACAATGTCAATGACATGCCTTGATCCGATCGCTTGCTGCTGTCCGCGGGTGCCATCTGACCAGTCATCACAGTGACTCCATCCTTTCTCGTCTAGTTGTCTACCAGACCCAAGAAACTGCGAGTGGTCGCTGTACATAGCACAAGCAATCTTCTTTGGCCGTCTTGCCATTGTAAGAGCCTTGCATTCGCTAGGTAGCAACAAGTATGTAGTCGATCTCCTGGACTCGATAGTGATTTCAAGCATGTCTGTAAGACGCAAGACAAGGCCATGTGCTAGTGACACGGTCTCGGATGCTGAAAACTGTTGAATAAGTGCGAGGGCTCAACTGAGCTTCTGCAAATAGCCCTGCTGAATTAAACGCTCGACATCTCCCTGACGAACGTAGAACTGACTATTCTTGGTGAGGTTGATGGCTCTGGTGACTCGTGTAAGCGGACGGTGCGTGACCATGTTGAGACTAACTTACCCGTATTCTGTCTGTATCTCACCAGCATCTTTCAAGACGCGGACGTCGATGAACAGATCAGTCGGCGGGTCCAGGCTGCCAGTTAGATCAATGTCGGTCCATTGACCCTTGTAAGCGGCCAAAAGATCGCTGTACAGACGCACGTATTCTTCCTCCTCTGGACTGAGACTGCTCTTGGTATCTTCGGCGTTCATGGCTTGAGGTTCGGCGGTTGTCTGCTCGGTGCCAATGACATCGATGCCTCTCCAGCACATGTCTTCTAGCTTATCCGTACGTACGCGGTGGTAGGCCAAGAGACAGCGTTTGTTGCGACGCATGCTCAGGTGGTTGACGAGGAGAGCGCATGCGGTTGCAGGGTCTTGAGATGGATTGAAAGAAGAGCCGAAGGGCTCCAGTAGAGTGTTGACTTCTCGGTTGAGCTCGCGGACCTCACGTACTACAGTACGAACGAGCTCTGTCTGGTAGGCCGGAAGTTGAGGAAGTGCCTGGGTTCGTTTTGCATGTTGCANCCTATGACCGCATGTAAGTCGGTTGTAGTAGTTCATAACATGGCTGCAGTATACCAATTTGTTGCCGACATCTCCATACATTGTTGTGATGAGACTGGAAATTTGTCTAGTCGGGGGTCCAAGAGAGACGCGACGGATTCGCACGCGTTCATGACGCTCTGTCAGCGACTTCCATTTCGGTGCGTTGTCCGAGTCTCAACTCGCTCTTTCTCCAACCCGAGTCCATTGTGCAATTCTCACTCAAAGACTACAAGGAAGGCACGACTTTTCGATAATGACTCTCATTGACGCTATATTTCCTCGCAAGTACAGACTCCGTTGTGTCCAGCCACTCTCAATACGCCTTCTGCATTAACTCGACCATTTCCATCCGTCCAAGACCGTGAGGTCATCCTGTTATCTGTTCCATGACACCTCTATCACTCGAGGTATTGCTGGTACGGCGAATTGTCCAGCATTCCTCCCAATTGTGGATCCACAAGAAACTCATCGTTCACTGTCCCTTCAGTAGCCACCTGGCCCCCAGTCATGTCAAATCCACCGTGCATTGCATCCTGGAAGTTGGCATCAAGACCCGACAACTCATGTCCTAGGTTGTAATTGGTATGGTCGGGGTGCAGCAGTAGTCCGTTGTGATCCATGAAGTTGCCTCTGTGCTGCGGTTGTTGATACGACGAAACTGGTGTTGGGCCTCTGGACTGCAACAGCTCATGGTGCTGCCCACCAGGCAGTGAGACCAATGCTCCGCTGGATCCCATCGATGCTGGCGTTCCGTTCATTGTCATACGATTGTCTTGCATCTGCTGCACTCCGCCTCCCTGCTGGTACACTGCGTACTGACCATGACCGTTGGCAACTGCATATGAGTACGGATGGCTGTGGTACATCTGTGCCTGACTGGCTGCATATGGCAACACTTGTTGGTATGATGCAGAGTTTCTTCCAGGATCCGCAAGCTGATACTTCACATCTGCATACGAGTAGTTGTCGGCGTAAGGGTGTGTCATTCTTGGAGGCTGCTTGGGTTGCCTGGCCTGTCGTCCTGGTCGATACTCGCCATCAGGATCGTCATCCGAATCGCTGAAGTGGCTGTATGCGCTCTCGGGATAATCCAAGATACGCTTCGGGTTCTTCTTCTTTGGTATCGCCTTTGCGGGTGAGAACTTGTACTCCGGGAATGCTCTCTGGTGATTCTCTCTTTCTATCGTCGCCAGTCGATCATAGTAGTCTTTGATTTCCTTCGGCTCCAGCTTCTTCCAGCTCTGGCCCGTCACTTTCGACACGATCTGGTGGTTGTTCTGGTCGCACCATTTCTTGGTACGCTCAGCGTATGCGGAACGGTACAGCATGAACCTGTTCATGGGCCTCGCGATCTTGTTGGCCTTGGTCACCTCCGAAAGCCTCTCTTCTACCGATCTGTTGGCCCATGCCTCCATATCCCTCAGAGGCGTGTCAGAATCCTTGGTCAATACACTCAATGGTGCCTGGAGTACGACATCTGCTTCCGGCACTTTCTTGGCTCTGTTTTTTCTCACTCCGGCGACACGAGGACTGTTGGCTGCGGGAGTAGAACGCGACGAACTCATTGGCGAGTCCATGGGCTTGGTAGTCCGCCCACTTCGTGTTCTTCTGCTGCCATCGCTTCCGGTGTTAGGACGAGAGGCTGGAGTGCTGACACCGACGTCTTGATAATCATGGTTTGTGTTGTCGTATGTGCCCAGGTTGCTGTCGTCTGGCCATCCTGAGTTATNCCTTGTCATGGTCAGCGTATTCTTCTTCTTTCTGCCGAAAGAATCACTTACGAATGCGAAGTTGTCATAGGCTTGTCCCTCGTTGTAGCTTTCAATGTGGGACAGCTCATGTTGGTTGTCCAGAGATGAGCCGTATTGACCTGACTGAGTGATCCGGTTGGATGACATTGCGACTTTCACCTGCTCTCAGATTGAAGCAGGACTTGGTGTTGCTTTTGCTGTTTCAGACGTTTGCTCGATATCTTGCACGCACTGGATGTCGGCTTTGTCCAGTGTATTGGGACGACTATTATGTGGCGACGAATAAAGCGAAAGGCAGCAAAGAGATTGTGTCGCCTCTGGGTGTTGCTGTTTTGATCTGGATCGGCTACAGGCTAAGTCACCAGCCTCGTACCAAGCGGTCTCGGATAAAGGTCGAAAGGGCTCCGAGTCAGTGTCACTCTGGGGCACAAAAAGCAAGATAGTATGCGTCTTCGTTGGCCAAACACTTTGCAAGCTATGACATGGTGAGCAAAGTTCTTGTGCTATCAGAAGAACGAACAGCGATGTATTCGTCCACGTAAACCACGTGCGTGGATCAAAGGTGAATGCAACGAACCTTGTCTCTTTCCGCAATCTTGCTTCCTAGATTGCAATGTTTTGGACAAATACTGGGATTGTGGCTGTTGCTGAATCACGAGCTAAGGCTTTGAACTATTGCTTTGCTTGTGTCTCGATGCAGGCGATCTTTGATGTTTGTTGTGTTAGACAAAGTCCTTACAACCCGGGATGGCTTCTACAAGTCGGAGTATTTGCCAAAGGAAGAACGAAACAAGCAGAAAGATGGTCAAGAGGTTCCCAGGATTCTTTGTCGGTCTCGTCAAAGGTATTTGTACAGAATCTGTCCGTAAAGATTGAGCAAGTACCGATTGCAAACTTCTCGTTCTGCAAATGGTTGACTACCGAAGCCGGACAAGCAAAACCGCATCCGTATAGGGAATTGAAGCCTGGACCCTCTGACGCTCTCCTGTCTGCCTGCTTTGGGACAAGCTACCTTTCATTGGACCCGCGTTACTGCTTTCGAAAGTTTACTCGGCTATCGTCTTCTTTCAGTACTTTCTTCGGGTTGCAACAGTAAGAAAAAAATCTCATGCTCATCTCTTCTAACAGCGAGATGGATTGCTGAGATAGATACCGTTTCAGACGCTCCCAACTCTGATTGCAGATGGCGACGCCACTAACTTCACTGTGGGATTGGCTGCCTTCCCGACAACTGACCCGTCACATCGGTCCAGTCGACAAGCTTCAGATCTGCAGGACCCACTGGTTTGCAGAGAGACAAGATGACATGCATCATAAAACAAGAGAGAGCGTAGTGTGCTATCTTCACCCGCCCTACCAGGACCCCACCAGACTGCATGTGCTGTTTACTCCTGGTACATGTTTGAATCACTATCCAATCGCTGCCTTGTTGCCGAAGGACTCCGGACCCGGCCAACACCATCAGCATTCTTCAATGTCGGCTATGCAACTCTAACCGAGAAGGGACTTCAACGAGCATCAGAGCAATCCAAGCACTAACTTGGGCTCAGGCTGAAGTTGAAGCGAGGACAACATATTCTTCCACCATCTTTTCTGCATATGATAGGCGTCATGACGCCGCATGGCCAAGATAGACACCACATGTGGTCCTGGCAGATGTGGTCACCCGCCCTGCGGCAGGGCGGTCCGCACATGCATAGGGCTTGGGGAGACACATTGTTGGTCCTGATTCTCGTGACTGTGGAGATTTGAAGTAGGCATGCATGCATGCACGTCCCAACACACGCAGGCAACCAATCCACCATTGCGGTCCTTGGAGCCCTAATGGTTGCTCTGCTGAAAACAACACAGAGCACACGACCCCTCACCCCTCGGCCGTAATGCACTGTGAGAATCTCACCACCACTCTTCAATCTACTAAACAACCAGGCAATTTCACACTACTGCAAACGGTAAGTTGATGCAATATGATCTCTGCGTCGAGACAGACAGTGCGAAACCATTGTCTCAGTGGAATGTACGCTAGGCCAGCTTCGCGAGTGTTGTTTGTGTAACCACACCTTCCAGTTCCCTTATCTGGGGTTGGCTGCAGCTACCCGACTGGGAGCACGAGCGCAAGGTTTACGTTTGTGCAAGGCACCGTGTCGGCATCTCCACGATTTACAGGTCCTCCTTCTTCTACTAAGCAATATCGATCATGAGTCGATGACTCGATATCGTTGAAGTATGGGCACGAGGTTTGTTTCATCAGCGATTGATGGTTGAGACTTGGAGTTGGATTACCAAATATCGTGTGAAGTTTGACAACTCGAATCTTGATTCTCGGCATCTCCGTTGTATTGAACTGTCGCTTGGAGAGACAAATGCAGGTCTTGTGTTGATGACTGGTCTCCTTTTCACTGCAGCTAGCATGAGCCATCGTCTCGCTGCTATTCTGACGCTTGTTGTTTCTGCTGACCAGTCTGTGTTAGATGTCATGACAAGCAGGATTGCAGATATCTCAGACAAGAACGATTTCGAAAAGTCGTTACGATGCAGTTGCTTTCTTGATACATACTCCTGCTGTGATGTGCGCTCTGACGCCTAATCCTCGTAACTCTGAGTCGCAACTTGCTTCTCTGTGGCATGTCTGGCTTTGAATCTACCTGGCGTCCATATCGAAAGAAATCATCCATCATGTACATGGTTGCCAGCCACCCTCTGCAGGAAATGTCAGAGATCTATGGCGACCAGCTTGCAAGCTCAATACATAAACAGCACATCTCTTATTTGAATCTCTCGCTTCTCATGTGAACAATATCCTAAACTCCCCTATATTCGAAGTGATCGCTTCTTTTCGTGCCCAATATCTCTTTGATGATGAGCCCATGTTCAGGTCTCGAGCAACTGCAGTTCATGTGTGAATGTTGAACTTCCTTTCAGAATAACGGAGACTTTGCCATTCGCATGCAAGGTCTGCAATGTTGAACTGAGCAAAGTGTAAATAAAAGATGTGACCACCACCGTGTCTCGAGGTTTAGTTGCGGGTATGACCCTGGCATAATCTCATCGTCCACCATGACGAGCATATACCATGATTCATCAGGCGTCCTGTTTTGGGGTACATTCAAGATGCCTTTGTGACATGTTTGACGACTCCTACAGTGTGTGGATAGTCATGTGAGCCAATATAAGAGATAGATAAGCAATTTCTTGTTACAGCTCCTCGTTTTCTAGCACCTCTGCTTGTCTATGATTTGACGACCGTAACGTCTACGCAAGCAATTGATTCACTAGAAAATGCTTCTTGACTGAGTTGAAAAGAGAAATTGAGAGTCATGGATTTTGAACGAATGCCTCCGAGGCGCAAGTGATTACAGCGAGCATACAAAGAGAAAGCTTGACACAGTGAACCAGTTGGCAAAGAGGGAATTCAAAAGAGAGCAAAAATAACAGTTGACATATTTGTAGGGTATCATGTATTAAGTAGAGCGAGTAATATGTGCAAGCAGCAACGAGCATGCTTTTGAAGAAAACATTACACAGGACTGGTTCAGACCGACGTCTAGAACATCTGGCGATCCCTCATCTCGACAGGAAGGAAGATCATGGTGACTGCGGAGACCCAAATGCCACCAGCACCAAGCCAGAGAATACCAGAGCTTTTGCTGGCAAGCAGACTTCCTCCAGCGAAAGGCGCAACTATACCGGCGATACGGCCCAAGCAAGACAGCATACCGCTGGCACTTCCACGATAGGCAGTGTCGAACAGCTCAGGGGCAGACGCATACAGGACGGCGTTGAAGTNACTATTGAATATAATCAGCTCATGATGCGAGTCGGTATGTTTGTTCATGAAACTTACAGTCTGCATAATGTACTCGAGTGCGTTGAGACCGACGTAGGCAGGGACGTTGGTGACTTGAGTATACATGGCCATTGCAACCCCTTGGCACAGAGCAGAGAAAACAAGCGAGTATTTTCTGCCGACAAGAGGCAATTGGACGGATGCCATGGCAATGATAGCACCGAGAATGCCAGGCGTGTAGATGGCAATGTAGTGTAGGTAAGTCTCAGTGACGGAACCAGACGTGGTGACTTCGTTTCGGAGAAGAATCAAAGGCAAGTACTGACTGGCAAGATTGAAGGACCAGTAATCACCCTGCGAGGAACGACGTTAGCGCTGATTCAGAATCACCTATGACATAGATGGGTCACTCACCATATAGGCGATGGCCAGAAGCACGAAAATGAAAACCTGCAGCTTGTTGGTGAAAAGAGCTTTGAGATGCTTGAAACTGTTGGCAGTGTTCCTGAGCACACGCTTGAGTGTTTCCATGGTGCCGAGAGGCTGACCAGAGACTTCAACCTCGTCAGTAGACAATGAAGAGGTCTCGTCAACAGCGGCGAGATGGGCAACAGTCAAGACTGGGGGAGGAGCTCTGTTGAACTTGGCGATCTTGTGCAGGACTTCAATGGCCTCGACCTCTCTTCCTCTGCTAACGAGGAATTTAGGCGACTCCTGGAAGGTAAAGACAAAGTAGCGCAAGAAGAAGACAACCAAGGTAGAGCCTCCGAGGATGATGAGCGTGTATCTCCATCCCATATTGCTGTCTTCGGTACAACAAGGTCTTTGGCCAGTACCACAAGCAGGGAGTTTTGCGTCGCAACGCCACTTGGGTTGTGCTGCAGTGCCATAGGCGACGCCGGTTGCAAACACAACACCGATAGGCTGCCACAAGGACAGGAGAGAGACAAGGAAGCGGCGGTTTTGAGGGAGGAATTCGAGAGCGATGGTGGCGTCAATAGGGATGTTTCCGCCGAGACCTAGCGACGCAAGGAAGTAGATAGCGCAAATGGCGCCGTAGTTGTCCTTAGGGGCAGNCCTTACTGAAAGTCAGCTTTTGCAAAGGTAGATAATGCGACCAAGACATACCAATATAAGACCGAAGACCGAAGTGATCAGACATGTGAGATTGAAGGCCCAACGACGGCCAATGACATCGACCAGGATGCCAAACGTGAAAGCACCAACAGCCAGGCCTGCGTTGGCACACGAAANAATGATTGCTGTGTCCTGATCAGACACACCCATTTCCTGGTAGATGGCTGAAGCAATCAGACCAACACCCTGCGACCAAGCCAGATCCAAGAAGTAGCCAAAGCCGCACAGGAACCAAATGCACCATTGGTACCTGCCCATACCGAATTTGTCGAGTTCGGCATTGATTAAAGCCGCTTTCTTCTCGAAGGGCGTGAGATCGTGCGCAGATTGGCCCTTGAGAATATTGCCAATCGAAAGTCCAGCTCCAGGCGCGACGGGGACTGTAGCTTGGCCTACCTCAGCCTCGGCTTGGTTGGACGACATGTGTCGCAGACTCTTCTCATATTGAGGCGGCGCATCTTCGCTCTGCTTCGAGTGCTTGAGAGAGTCCAGCATGGTGTTGTTGTGTCGCTCGACACTGTTGAGCTGAGCTTGTCTGCGTCGTCAATTGGACGTCGATCAATTGTGCCGCAAAAGTCTAGGAAGATCCAGTCGCGTGAGTACTAGAAAAGAATGCAAACGTGAAGGAAGGAGCGATCACCGTCAGCTTTTGTCTTATCACTCGACCGTAGGATTCAAGCGCCACTCCAAAAAATTTCTTGCTGCCATACAAGTCGTTAACTTACACTTACCGCTTGCAGAGACCTGAGAGCGTTTACTGGTCCTACATGCCGCTATATGCAGTAGTGGGTTCTTAACACGATCCGCTTCCGTTAACCTTGCAATCAATTGAGCCATGCTGACGCCAGCAAGCTCTGCTCCACCTCGCCACCATCTTTCTACCGACTCCCATACACAGCTAAGCGCCATGGAGTCTACTGTTGCTGTCGCAAACTTCAGGAATGAAAGCTGGGAGGCGGATGTTTTATGACGTCGACATTAGCCATCAAATCGTGGCTCGCGCGATTTGATGCGGGGACTCGACGTTGATTGGCTCTGTAGCTTGAACTTTATCTATCGTGTAGATCCTTTAAATCCACTTCTCGGCAAGATGTAACCTTTGTTGACCGTGTCCACGGCACACTATGTAGTAGTGTCCTCGGTGATGACCGAGAAGTTGAAGCATTGATAGAAAATTCAGCTAGCCCTCACCGCAGAGCATTCGACACTCAGGCGCAAATTGTGCAGGAGACAAACCATCAAGACAATCCCATGACCCCAGGTCTTTGCCCGTTGACGCCAATACGCCTATGCATGACGGGAAATCCATCGCTTTTATAGCCACATAGTATTGCGTAACCTTGAGCAAAGCCAAGGCAAAAGGCAATTGTACATGCAGGTGACAAGACAGGTAACAGAAGATGCAGCGCTCCAGTCTCATATCTCCATGGCCGATGAGGCCAAGCCATCACTTGCGCCATCGAGGACGCCCAGAAGGCGAGCATATGGAACAGTAATACGTTGGAGGTCGCGATGCTTGCCNNTACAGCTGTGTCAGTAACGATGGACATGAGCGACACAAAGATGAACCAACTTACCCAGGATAAGTACCACTTCCTTGAGTAGCTCTTCTCGTGGCCACCCAACAAGATCTCCTTCCTCAGCCATCCAGCCTTGACCCCTCTCCTCAATTGGCTTTTCCTCCTCATCCTCAAACACGCTGCCCATCAGCGAGCGCAACAACTCTTCAACCTTAGCCTTCGAGCCCTCGGCACCGATACGCTTTGCATACATGAGAAGATACAGGTGGAACTCTTCGCGTGCACCCAAGGTCATGGCTGCTGCGACACGGTTCTCGAGATGTGCAACACTCACAGCACTCTCGAACCCTTCATATCCTTCGGCAACGAGGAGCGTCTTGACCAGTCTTTGCAAGAAATACGCCCGACCACGCAGCAAGGACTGAGTTGTGGTATTGCGTTCGAGTAGAGGGATGATGCCGGCAGACAGATTCTCCGGTTTGAGGTCATCATCAGTCGTGGAAGTGCCATTGGCGCCTTTAGTCGTAGGTTGCACAGTGGAGATGGACGTGTCGGCCGTATTCCAGTACTGACTGCCTACTGCCCACCAAGGCTCTGATAAACGTTGCCAGATATACATGGCTTGTGAGTAGCTGTAACCATCTCCGTTAGACAATCCTACTATAATTCGGCCTTGTGAGTTGAGGCGAGCAAACATAACGGCTGGTCCATTGGTGGTGTGGCCTTGCTGAGCTGTGGCAGCAATATCAAGCACAGGCGCCAGAGACACTGGCGGGTGCGGTGATGACATAGTCTTGATGTTCCAGACGTAGCACATTCCTACCGCGTTCACGCATAAGAGCCACCATCCCCGACAATCCATGATAACAGGTTGTGCATCGAGGATGAGGGCATTGAGCAGTCTACGACCTGCTGGGGTCCATATATGAACCGATCCGTCTTCACAAGCAGCAGCCCAGAAGTTGTGATTTCCTGTGACAAGCAAGACGGCTCGTGGTAGATAATCTTGCCAAATCGATTGACCTCGCCGAGAGACTGTGAGGCGAGTAGGATCACGATCTTGGACTCTACCCGTACGCGCAGGTCCAGAGGCATTACGTGCTTCGAACACGATTGATGGCTCATCATTTGTGTCAACTTGCTGTCCTTCATTTTCCTGGTTGTTAGTTGTATCCAGGGGCCGGACTATAGTCACTCTGACCAGGGGTACCGCTAGTCTGATCTGGCTGGTAGTCAAGCTGGGATTGACGATAGCAGGTCTGAGAGGTTCAGCGGTTTCGGTCACTGTTTTACCAGCTGAGCTTGGTGGGACAAGACCAGCTGCGGTGTTCATGACCACAGGCGTGGCTCCACTTTGTTGGATGGACGCGATGCGCTTCTCGGCACGACGATCATCGTCTCCTTCAATCTCAGCGAACTTCCTCTTGTTGCCAAGTAACAACGAAGCGAGGCCACCTCTTGGCAGACCGTCGAATGGTTTTGACAGGTCAAGTGTCGTCTGAGGAGCATCGTTACGACTTGCTTGCGAGACACTGGACATGAGTTGTGGTTTTGGCAATGAGGATTCTCCAACGCCAGAAGATGAAGAGACGAGCAACGGAGCAATGCGCTTCTTGCCGTCTTTCGTGATCGTCACACGCTGCTTGAGCTTATCGATCTTTGCAACCTGCGGATCCGGAGGCGGCATGGGTTCTTTAGGCTCAGCATTATCTGCGCTGCCGTTTGTTGTGTTGTCCTTGGCTGTGCCATTGGTTGCAGCAGGAGCGGATGTGTCCGAGGTCCCGTTCAAGGAAGGGACAGCAACAGTGCCGTCGCCCATCAGCTCGCCCATGCGACCTTGGACACCTTTAAGCTCACCAGCCTTGCTATTCTCTTCGAGTCTCAAGGCATCTGGGCCCTCAACAACGCCAACTCTTCTGCCAGCACCAAAGCGGGCCAAAGCTTTGTCGTTGTTTACGACGGGTGCTGGATAGCCCAGTTCTCCTGCAGAAAACACACAGCAGGCGATAGTTCCATCCAAGCTAGTAAAGTAGATAGTCTCGCCATCAGGTGACCAGGCAAGATCTGAGATGGGCTTAGCGGCAAGCTCCTGTGTAACGACAAAGGGTCGAGGAGAATTTGTGTTCCAGACGCTGAGTGTCTTATCTTGACCGGCGCATGCTACGACGGTAACTGCGCCGGCAGCGATGTTCTCTTGAGCACTGATGTCGCTAGCTGGTGGAGGTGGCTCAGGACAGAAGAGACGTGGAGAAAAAGCGCACACTTCGACGGGACCTTCGTGGCCTATTAGGTTGACTTCGCTTTCCCAGCTGCCGCGAGTGACGATTGCGACAGAGCTCACAGGGCCATTGACGGCGTTGGCAGCAGCTATGTGAGCTCCATCAGGAGACCAGGAACATCTGCGAAAGTATGTAGTCAGGGGNNGGGATGTGGTAAAGGGAACCGAGACGGTGGCTTCGAGGACGAAATTGTTGACTTGATCATAAGTAGTGGCGTTTGGAGGAGGCGAGGTAAAGCGGAAGATGCGTATGGTACGGTCGTCGCTAGCGGTAGCGAAATATTTATTTGCGGGATCAAAGGTGATGCCCTTGACGTGGCTCTGGTGTTGTGACAGCGTCTTGAGCTTCTCGAATGTGTGACCAGACCACACGACGACCTTAGAGTCCAAGCCTACCGATACCAGTATGGATGAATCGGCCGACCAGCCTAGGTCTTGTACATCGTTGTCGTGGCCGATCAGACGTCGGAAGATTCGCCAATTCTCGACGGGGGGAGTCTCGTTGGAGCCGAAGGTGGTATGCGCAGGAGGGTTTGGATCGAGGTTATAGATGCAAACTATCTTGTCGTCGGCGCCCGAGGCCAGGTATTTACCATTTCCAGAGAAGCGTACAGAGTGGATGGTGCCCGAGTGGTAGCTCATAGCCGCCAGCTGTTTGGGCTTGGTGTAGTCTGCGTTGGCGCCATTGCGAATTGCATCCGTCGACCAGATTCGTACATGTCCATCNNTGTTGGGTATCCATCTTAGCATGTCTGCTCTTGTTCGAGTGCCCGTGGGACAAAGCGCACCTCCTCCTGCTGTTACCAAGCGGCTTCCATCAGGCGAGACATGACAACTGTATACTTCGAAGTCCTTCTTGTCACNCTGGGACGAATGGTCAGCTACAGCTCTGAAATTGCGACACGCAACAGGTTGCGACCAACCTCCGTGGGTCAACCAGAGCGGTTTGGTGAAGCGCATTGCGACTGTTTATCGAAGCTGCATGCTCCAGCTCGCGAGGACTGCAACCAAAGAAACTAGGCGGCCGTGTTCATGCGACGCGACCTGGATAATCCGTTGCACAGAATAGATAGAAGGGTTGTGTTGTTGTATGTGTTGTGGAAAGACAACACTCAATAATTCACATGCTCCATCAACGTCCATCCGGCGCTTGGCACATACCAACTGTTGGTCGTGACCCTGTCCATACATGGATGGAGCTTCGTGACGCCGATCTCGAATATGATGCCATTGAGCATTGCTTTTCTCCTCATTCGTCCTCAAACAATATCTTCTCTTGCACACTATCCTCTACAGATGCGAAGATTCAGTTCAATTGCACGCACAATGTCTCAACAACGTGTATGTACAGCCCAACCATAGATGCTATGCTTCTACAGAATCAAACTGACAAAATACGTCACAGATCAGCTTCAAGGTCGAGGGCGAAGGTATCACATCTTGACAGCAACGCATTTCTTCCTTGGTTCTGATGTTACTATAGTCCAAGGTGTCAACTTCAGGAGCTTCACCGTCAAGCAAGCCAAATCTCTGGGCATCACTGGTCACGTCCAGAATGCTTCTGACGGCAGCGTGTGTCGTGCTCAGCAAACCTAAGCATTCCAGTTATACTAATTTTCTATACTTAGNGTTACCGGTGAAGCTCAGGGTGACAGCAGTTCTCTGAAAGAGTTTCAGCAACACCTAAACAAAGGTCCTTCGGCGGCTTCCGTGACCAAGCTCGATGTCAACGATATCAAGACCAAGGAAGGCGAGAGCGACTTCACCCAATAGTTGCTTGGCGAAACACCCATCCGACTTGAATGATGAAACGACGAGTTAAAAACGGAACAGAACAGTTATCGTTTATCGACAAGATGAAACTTGAAGGAGAGGCGAAAAGTATCCCTTCCATTGCTTCCTTTCTGCGACCATGTTATGGTGTTCCCAACATCACCAATTTGCTAGCCAGGTGGAATCAGCAGCCACCAGCCATTCTGAAAGAGTATCAAGCTGCGTGCTCGTATTCAGTCGTCAAATTAACTCTTCTATCAACCATACATGCATGTCCCTTATCTAGTGTTTGTGATGTACTTTTCTTGAATCCAGCACGGTTAGCTTCGTTCGTATTGCAAGACAAAGAGCTCGTTGCCAACACGACCGCCCCTCTGGACGCCTCACGCTCGCCGAGCCATCTCCATCAAGGCAGCCCAGACAATGTCGCCGTCATTGCGAGAAAATTCATCTTGAATACCACCGAGTGTAAGCCGCAGTGTATGACTGTTTCTCTCTATCGCCGTTCTCAGAAAGGTCATCTGCCCAAGGAAGAGTGTTTGTTCTCCGGAGCCTTCTCGTCCAGCCAAACCCCGAACCGGTATTCCACGAGGATGGACCCTGTCTTTGTGTTGGAAACACCGGATTGTTGTCGTCGGCTAATCTCAACAGGGTAATTGCTAAGAAGCTTGTCGACGTGCCTTGGCCGGTCAGACTCGGGCTGCGCAACGGTGGCTCGGAGGGATCGTTGGCAGCTGGACAATATTCCGCCGACGGCGATTCCTCTGGCCGCATACAGAAAGTGTCTTACCAGCCCGCGATATGTATATATAGAGGAGCAGCATAACTGCCACCATAGATACTTGTAAATCATATACAACCCAAACAACTACACAACCACTTACAACCCATTTTCGAGTCTCAACCTCACACATTCACACCTGCAACAATGTACAGAACGAGGACATTGACAACGCCCAGAGGCATTGGCTGTTGCTCCAGAGCGGTGGCTAATGTCGGAGAGACCAAGACCACATTGCTCATCATGAGCTACACACAACCCAGAAAATTCAGCACAACACCATCTCGAGCCTTGAAGCAATTCTTCCCCGAACCAGATGCTCCCAGCATCAGAACGACAGAAGCAGCATGGCCACACCCTATCTACACCAAGGAGCAGATGGAATCTGTTGTGATCGCCCATCGACAAGCCAAAACATGGTCAGACTGGACAGCACTAGCTGCAATCCGTACGCTGCGATGGGGACTGGATCTTGCTACTGGCTACAAGCACGACAAAGCAGTCGCCAGTGGAGAGAAGAGTGCCAAAAACGCCAACCAGAAGCACGTTATGACGGCGAGAAAATACATGATCCGAAATGTATTCCTCGAGTCGGTGGCTGGAGTGCCTGGAATGGTGGCTGGTATGCTACGACACCTGCACTCAATGCGCCGGATGAAGAGAGACAATGGATGGATTGAGACTCTGCTCGAAGAATCGTACAACGAGAGGATGCATCTGCTCACATTCCTCAAGATGGCAGAGCCTGGACCGTTCATGAAGTTCATGGTTCTCGCAGCTCAGGGAGTCTTCTTCAATGCCATGTTCGTGGCTTACCTGGTGTCTCCTCGCACAGCACACCGCTTTGTCGGATATCTTGAAGAAGAAGCGGTGCTCACGTACACACGCGAGATCGCAGATCTAGATGCTGGAAGACTCCCAGAGTGGGAGAATCTGGTGGCACCAGACATTGCTGTCAAGTACTGGCACATGCCCGAGGGCCACCGCACAATGCGCGATCTGTTGATGTACATGTAAGTGTGACAGTATCCGAACGAGCATACGACAAAAGCTGACGAGGAACCAACAGTNCGTGCCGACGAGTCGAAGCATCGCGAGGTCAACCATACTCTGGGCAACCTCGATCAGAAGGAGGACCCTAACCCATTCGTGTCTGAGTACAAGGACAAATCAATTCCGCACCCAGGAAAGGGGCTTCAATACCCCAAGCCAACCGGGTGGGAAAGATCAGAAGTCATTTGAAGAAGAGGAGAAGGATGTCACGCATACGGATGACAGGCGTTCGGGATTGGACAGGTGTGGGGCGTTTTGAGCGATCCGGACGGCTTTGTTTTTAGACGGCATGGACGGAGCTCCACAGTTTGGCGTTGATGTGCTAGAGTTGATACGAATAGCCTACTACTTTGTTTTGAGAATATCATGACGCAGATTTGAGATATCTTCTTGACAACAGTGAAGTCTGCCGAAACAGTCGAATTTCCCAAGCAATCAAGTAAAGTAGAGACAGGCGACTGTTCTGGCGTTTGCTGGCCAGTGGCAGGTTGGATCATGAGGCAGCAGTAGCGACACCAAGACCCCTTTACACGCGCCCATTGCGACAACAACCAGTCAGCATGAGCGAATACTCGTCCGTCTTCAGTGTCAATGACAGGCTGGCCCTGATTGACACGGACACTGACGGCGAGAGTTTCGTCAGCGACCACTTCGACACGCACAAGTACATGATGGCCGAGCGATACGCATACAGCCCCAATCGCAGCTCCCAGGCCACCCTCACCCCTCCCGACTCGTCTGACAGGAAGCCCGACTACGATAGCCTCAGCGGTGCCAACGACTCGGAAGCCTACAACAGCGACTACGACTACACCTCGTCTCTTTCGCGCACCGCCTCCATCTCGAGCAGATACTCCATCTATTCCTTGTCGCGCGTCAGTTTCGCCAGCCAACTCGCCCAGCTCAGTTCCATCCAACTTCCCGATGCAACCTCGTTATCCGCACGTATATCATGCATGCCCACCTCGGCCAGCGCCGCCAACGCTTTGAAAGATTCCTCGGACCAGATAAGACGTTGGATCCGGAATGCACATACCGTCCTAGATGGCCTGGATGCTGAAGACGATGTTGAATGGGCCGCTGCTGGAGGAAGAGAAGGACTGGACCACGTCGATCGTGCAATTGGTCGCTTCGACAAGGTCGTCAAACTCTACATACTCTCTGTCGAAGAGCTGCATCTGAGACAGGATATCGCCACNCTGCCCAACGATCAGGTTCAGGCTAGCGCCGACGACATGGATATTGTCATCAAGGAATGGCAGAAGATCAAAGACTCATTGGCTGGAGTCAAGGAGCAGGTCGAGATTGCCATGGAATGGGAAGAGCTGTCCACCTCTGTCGGCACTGGAATTGCTCTCGAGCTCGACGATCTGGCCGGCCTGGTCTTCGAGATGGAGGAGCAACGACATCAGTCCGTTACCTCAAACTCAGTCGACGCTGACCAGCACGTCGACATTGACGAGTTGAAGCACATTGTTGACGAGAAAGCCGGCACTAGCAAAGCCGCTCCCAATCCTCGTCTGAGTCTACCTGCTCCCTTTTCGCCTACATCAACCCTGCAGGCCTCTCCTACCGTAGTCAACATGGAAGACAACTTGCTCGCTCTATTCGCTCGCATGCAGCCTCTGAGAGCATCTCTGGACTTCTTGCCAATGCGCCTATCTGTCTTCCACTGTAGAGGCAACACTGTATTCCCCACCGCTTGTCTGAATTTAGAAGCCAGTAGAGATACCCTCGAGGCTCAATGGAAGAAGCTCGAAGCTGATGCCGAGGCCCTGCGTCGTGAACTGGGCGAAGATCGATGGCTTTTGGTCTTCCGAAATGCTGGCAAACAAGCCCTCAAGATGTGTCAGTCGGTTTCGAGAAGCGTACAAAAGCTTGCAACAGCTCTTGATCACGATGAGCAACATACAGACACGGCTGCGCTAGCGAANAAGATTGAGAGTTACGAAGCCAAGAAGAATCATTACGGCACTGCCATTGAGAGAGTGCTTGCCATCATTGACCGTGGTGTGCTTGATCGACTAACCGTCAATGGTGAAATTCTAGGCCTCCAGTCCGACATGAAAAGAAAATGGGCGGGCATTCAGGCAGAGATGCGAGAGCTGGACTCACGCTTGCTGGGAGTGAATCTCGACCTGAGGAATCAGCAACTACGGGACTCTGTCAGTACCATTGTCTCATCTGAGCACTCAATGACCAGCAGTTTTATGGACACGCCTAGAAGCTCGTCAGCCTCATCCGTCAGTCGACCTGATATGACACCCAGACGTTCTTCTCGCTTCACTCGCTTTGTCAGTGCTATCCCACGCCGGACTCCACAGTCGAAGCCTAAGGAATCGAGACCATCTTTGAACTACAAGACTTCGCGAAGCAACTTGACCTCTGGAGGAGCTACATACACGCCTTACACACCTCCACCTGCAGTAGATCCCCTCGTCCGCCAATTCAAGGCTCCAGAAAACAAACCTCGATGGAACATGGCAACAAATACGAGAAGCACCTCCCTCCATTCCCTTCACCCTCCATCATCCGAGCCTTCCGCGAATCGTAGAGTCACACTGCCTCACCGACCTACAACTCCACACTCCACTGGCTCCAAGATCCCGACCCCAAGTTCATTCAGTCGCAGTACAAACTCACCTGTACCCTACTCACCAGCTACACCTTCAAAACGGCATGTCTCGACACCCGCAAGTTCGCCATTAACCCCACGAGCACAGAGCTCACTGGCACATTCATCTTTCTTCAGCAGCGCGAAACCTCGTTCGGCATCCTCTTCTTTACTGCCAGGTGTGCACCCACCAAGAGCGCCGTCTTCGCTTCGAAAAACCAGTTACTTGTCACCCACACTAGACGACCATGACGAGAATGAGGATCACACAAACACAGAGAGGCTGGCACCTAGACGACAAACAAGAGCCGCAAGTGCTATGAGCCATGCCGGTGCGGAGAGGAAGATCAGTGGAAATCTGTTTGGATTCTCGAGGACCAAGCAAGGTAGGAGTGGTAGTAGACTCGACACTGCCGCTTCTGCAGATGCGGTACGCGAGTGATTGGCTGGTAGACAAGTCTAGCAATGATATCATGACAGGATCAGGTGTTTAAGGGGTATTGCAATTGCACATGGGCAAGGAACATTAGCGTAACAGGAGGGCCATGATTGTGGAATTTGGGATATTGGATTTGTATTTTGTCATTATTACATCTTCAATTCAGCATTGCTACATCCCTATATGCTAAAATCTGCAATTTTCATCGTACTCTGACTTCGGTGAGAGCAAATAATACGCTACAAAAGACACGATATTCTCCGAAAACAGAGGCATGTCCGCAGAAAGTCGATGATCTGTCGCTTGCAGTGGGCACTGTTGTGTTCCATGGCAGGATTGTGCATTTTGACGGCAACACGCGTTGTAATGCTTTAGCATATGGGGAGGTACTTGTATCAGGTCAAATAATGTCTTTGCATTGATAACAGTGCGACCTCATCAACCTGCATTCTGTCTTGACCGCCTTCTAATGCTTTTGGGGTATCATCTATTTGAAAACAAGCTCTATGTCCCGCCCGAATAAACCCAGTCCGTTTTCACTTTTCGTGCCCTGCCTTCGTGGCCCAACGACGAGTAACCTAAGCTTCTTTCCTGCCGTGTGTTTCTTCTTATCTGGCAGCAGGACCCTTGGCTCTACCACCACCAGCGCCACGTCCTCCACCTGACTTTTGCGGCAGGTTGGCAACAATGTTCAAACCTCTTGCGCCCTTCAAACCCATCTTGCCCACAGTCTTTCTCTCCAAGCCAGGAATTTCACCACAGCCAAGAGCCTCGATGGCGAACTTGTTGGCCTCAGCGACCAGCTGATCATCGCTCCATCTCATGGCTCTAGCATGAGCCTTGTAGAAGCCCAGCCATGCTTGGTAGGTCTTTCCCTTGGCTTCGTACTTGTTGACAATGGTCTCGACTTGGGGTGCTACAGATGCAAAGTCGGGGTTGGCAGTCTCAAAGGTGATGGCTTTGAGAACGTGGCGAGGGAAGAAGGACTCGGGCTCAGTGACAATGAAGACGGATCTGCCCTCTTTGCCTGCGCGTGCTGTACGGCCCAGACGATGGATGTAAGACTCCTTGTCTGCAGGGAGACCAATCTGGAAGACGTTCGAAACACCAGGGAAATCGAGACCGCGGGCAACAACGTCAGTGGCAACGAGGATGGCACTGCTAGCTTCACGGAATTCGTTTGTCACCTTTGTGCGGCGCGACTGGCTGACTCTGGCGTGGAGTACGCTTGCTTGAGGCAGACCGGAGATGTTTGAGAGAACGTCGTGGTAGAAATCGGCAAGGGCTGCTGTGGGTGCGAAGACGATTGCCTTGAACTCAGCAGGGCCAATGAGCTTGCACTCGGACTGGATGGAAGCCACCATGGCGGGAACAACTTGAGCCCACGACTCGACCGTGACAAGAAGTTGTGGCACACGCTGATGAATCTGAGCTTCGCCTGCAGGAATGGTGGAGATGAACTTGTATCCAGATGCAAGGACAAGATGGGCAAACTGCTGAACATGAGGTGCGATGGTTGCCGAGAAGAGCATTCCCTGGCGCTTCGATTTCTCCTTGTCAGGCAAGCATCTGATGATCTTCTTGAGGTCCTCCATGAAACCCATGTCGAGTAATCTGTCAGCCTCGTCCAGAACCAGTGTGTCAAGGTTACGGAAAGATTGTGTTATCTGTTGGTTTCCAAGGTGGTCGTAGAGACGGCCAGGAGTAGCAATGAGAATATCGCAGCCATCTCCTCTAAGGATGTCGCGTTCCTCCTTGTCCTTGTTGGTGCCACCAATTGCAATAGAAACCTTGAATTGAGGCAGGCGCTGAAGCAGGTTTGATGCTTCCTTAGCGATTTGCATGGCAAGTTCACGAGTAGGCGAGATAACTAGCAATGAGATTCCGGATCCGCGGGGCTTGTTCTTGTTGATCAGAGTCTGGATAGCAGGCAGAAGGAAGGCAACTGTCTTTCCGGTTCCAGTTTTGGCCTGAGCCAGACAATCAATGCGCTTCTCCAGCAATTCGTGAAGAGTGGCCTCCTGCACGGGCATCATGTGGTCGAACTTGAGGTCATCAGTAATTGTCTTCAGTAGCAGAGGGTCCAGCAAGTTCTTAAGGTCGGTGAATCTCATCGAATCAGACGGGACTGGGATGGAAAGCGGCGCCACAGGTGCAAGAGGGACAGCAGCAGCGTTTCCTTGGTTGCGGTTTTGCTCTCTTGGTTCATCAGTCTTGGGACGCTTGTTAGGGTTTCCCTTGGGCTTCTTCGAAGGGTTGGCGCGACGGCGCGACTTCTGTAGTGCTGAGGCGTCCATGACTGTGTCGATGAACAATTGTTTGGTTCGAAAATTGTGGTTGGGTTTGTTGTTGTCATCAGAGTTTTCCACAGTGATGTTGTTGCTCGACCGGCAGAACACCGCACCCTCTCCGGACGCCCCTCGCAAACGCTAGCTTGGAAGGTTCGGAATGAACAAACAGTCTTCTTCACTTCAGACCTGCAGATTTGCTTCAAATTGTCATATGTGTTGAACAAAGGAATTTAGGAAGGCTGCTTCGGATCAATTGAAGTTTTGGAGGATAATAGGATGATTGGACGGTTGCGGTCCAACTCCATGTTGGCGTCATGGTGTGACCCTGTCCGCAAGCCTTTGTTTCGAGCTGCCTCTGCCAATCTTACGTTCATTTAGGGTCGGTTACCTGATGGCCACACTCATTCTTCCCAACGGTCGTACATGTCATTCTCAAACCAGGTCAATGCAAGGTCCAGCATGATGATAGCCACAATTGGCTTGCCCCGTCAACTGCTTCTCCATGATCTCTGACCTGCGATCCTTTGATAAACTATACCTGTATTCTTGCACGATAGTATTGAGAGCTGCATCTGGAGCATGAGAAGCAGACAAGCTTGAGACTGGTACAGTACATAAGTGAAGATAAAAAGGAAAAAGGAAAAAAAAGAAAAATTCTTTTGCGTCACATGAGCTAGGCACACGAGCTTACCGCTTTGAGCTACAGTGCTCCTACGAGAACGCGAGAGGTCAAAGAGGGCACTGCTGCGTCTTGGAAAATCCACGAGAAGGATGATGAATTTTTGTGTCTAGGATCAAATTCATCACAACATCCTACTGATGCAGCTGTCTGAGCAGCGCCTCGAGTGCAGGCTTATCGTCCTGGTTTATGCCTAGCTTGCTTGGCCGTCATGAAGAGAGGAAGAGGCCTTTGGGGATCTGCCAAACACAAAGTTCGAGCACGAATACTAGAATGTCCTTGGTCTCGTGCGCTCAACAACACTATGCCGCAGCTATGGGACGATGCAGTGCTCTTGGGCAAGATGCCAGGCGTAAGAAGCATCATTTCCGGTACTCTCATCATCAAGCTTACAGAAGACCATGTGGTATCACAATGTGCAATGTCTACAGCGTGACTGTACAGCAAGCGCTACTAGAAAGCATGCGGACTTGTTGTGAGGAGCTTCCGAACGACATTAACGATGCCACTCATACGCTTAGAAAATGATGAACATGTTGAGATGAAAAGCAATTGGAATAAACATTTCGAATAGGATATTGGAACATAGAGAAGACCTGAGTGATTGAGGTCCTCAGAACCCCTGATTCCTATCAAAAACAAAATAAAAAACTGTGTGGTATACTCGAGTGGCTGCGCTGGCAGCCCTTTGGCCTGTGGAAATATGACGGTCGAGCTGGTGAGGTGAATCAGACATGAGCGTGTGGGGATTGGCCATTACTCGAACAGCATCAAGAGAAAGCCAAGCAGGTTGCAAATCCCGAGGGCACTCCCCCAGACCCCGAAGCGAATCGTGCGGCACTGTGGCAGATACAATGCAGCGCCCATGGATGGGTTGAGACACCAATAACGAAGGAAGCGAGTAACTCGATTCGAGGGCTAGACGGTTGGGGAAAAGTGGATTAATCATGTTGAGTATGACGAGCTAGATTGGGACCCTCTCCCCGTGATGAAGAAAAATGTAACGTGCGTAGCTATAACAATGCACAATATGCATTGGAGAAAAGGGCGGTGCCCTTGAGACGTCCTGAAGGCTCTCTTTGGCTATAATTCTGCTTCCATAAACATTCGCGCCTTTTCGTGGTGTACACTCCAGCGTACGCCACGGCCGGAGGACGGTAGAGCCATAGATCTTAGCACTGAGGAAGGTCTATATCCTACATTTCGCGGATCATAAGGTACGTGTTTAGTTGTCGGCAAAGATGTCGACAGCTTACAGCTCTTGAACGGTGATGCGTAAACGAGCAAAACGCATTGCGGCGCAGGATCATTAGGATCGACCACATATGAGGACCCGTAACCCTCAAAGGGCATGCTTGCCGAAAGGATTGTTGGCGACATGCTCTCTCGATACCCGGAGTTGGTCCATTCCGCTGGTGGAGAACAGAATGATAGAATCAAGGGATAACCGTCGGTGTTGGGACGCATGACAGGAGGTATCGGTTCGACGGCCCGTCTATGCCAAACGCAAGGCCCCAAACTGCTGGGTCACGGCCGTAGAAGTGAGGATTCTGGCACGAGAAGAAGCCAGATGATCAGAAAAGTACTTGTGCTGATCACAAAGCACTGGAGATCGAGTAGAGATTCGTATAGGATCCGAACGTGAAAAGTTGAGAGAAAAGTGTACTCGATAGTTGATGTTAGTGCACGCTTGCTCATGAAACGCCGTGGTATCGGTAGCCTAAACTCCGTATGCGTGCACACGGCCCCAAAACTCGATGATCCTCGAGACCCAGAAGAAACAGATTACAAGAAAAGTCAGTTTTGGATCATGATCCAGCATCGATGAGTTGTTGAACAACCCCACATCCTTCGCAGTTGACAAGCCGTCGCAGCGCTTCAACTGTCATGCGTAGCTCTGCATTGCGTTTTTCCACCTCGTCGTTTTGAGTAGACAGCTGACGCATGTACTCGGCCGCATGAGCAATTACGCCGGCTTTGCTGAGAGGTCTGATGCCATTATTGGTGGCAGCAGCAGCATTCTGCGATGCACTAGCAGATGCGTACGTGGGCCCAATATCCTCCATGTCAAGGGTCAAACATGACGACGTCGTTGAGGGAACCGCTGCACGCAACTGCTCGATCTGTGTGTTGAGGTTCTCGCGATAACGTCGCTCGATAACATGGTGTGGTAGTCTCTTTTCCTTTGGCGCAGGCTTGACAGTGGGTGCTTCGTCAAGCGTGTCGCAGGTGGTGTCGGTACGGGCACGCTTTAGACTAGGGCGAGCATCAAATGGCGGCGAGTCGGCGGGAATGATAATCTCGGTTGTAGGAGTATCATTGCGCGAAGAAATTGTTGTTGAGTTTGTCGTTGTGTGGTTGGTCGTGGTATTGTTGCTTAGGCTTGTGCCGGGGTTGCACACAGTTTGACCGGCGGATCGCGCCGAACCGTTCTGCGGCATGTTGCGAGGGCAGAGTGGTGAGTTCCAACAGTCGAAAGGCAGTCCGGCAGGACGCTGTGCTGCTCGTTGTCTTCCAGTCTCGCAAATGCTGAGGCCACTGTCGGTCGGTTGTTGCTGCCATGATGTTCTGGGTGTTGTAAAGTCCGACTCGTTCTGTTGTTGGTCGGGTCGTGCGGCCATGGCGACACTGTCGAAACGCTTTCGGTTCAGGACCTGGGCGTCTTGCTGCTCGATATATTGTGCACACATGGTTCTTTGATGGAAGCGGCGTGAAATACGAGAGAGGTGACTCGAATCCGTGCACCGACTGTCTGGGACTGGAGGGAAGCACAAACACGACGGCTGGGAATGCCAAAACAACGATCAGGTCCCAACAGGATTGAGTGTGCTTGCGTACGAAAGAAAAAGCTCGGTACAACTGGTGAAGTCGAAGAGAAATCCACCTACCTTGGCCAGGGGCCTTCGGACGGTATATACGTGCGCTTGAAGCATTGCTACTGTCAACAGCTCCGGGATGAATTCTAGGCAGACCCGTGGTGATGGGAGGCTACGACAGCTTGTTGTAGGAACGGGCAGCGTGCAAGGTCCAGTATCAGGTGATGGCCTGGACCAAGCAGTCAAACATCACGCCACTGCTCCCACCTTTGTACTTTTGTACCCACGCTAAGGCGTTCTGTTGCGACTGGCGAGCCTCTGATTCCGGATCCACCCCCGTCGGCCAATCACGGAGTACTCTCGCTCTGCCTCAATAGGCGACGACAGGCAAAATCGCGACAGAAAAACCAATTCCTTAGGGCTCGGACCAAACAGCCATCCAGCCTTACGAGAAAGGACCGACGGCGTGCTCCTGTCGCTGTCTTTACTCGAGTCGTGACACGGTGCATGAAGACGCAAATCGTGCCCTGTTACGGCTTCGACTGCCGTTGCTCGACGCTCTCAAAACTCGCTGCCCCCACCCGCCTTGACCTAGATATCTATATACAACTACTCTCTGTGCTGCTGAGCTCCCGTCTTGGTCATCTGTGTCCCTTTTTCTGCCGTGCTGCACTTCAACCCTACATCGCTGTGTCGTGCGTCGGAAGGTGCCTAGTTTTCTTTGTTTCGACTCCTTGATCACCCGTTCTGCCCCTTCATCACCAGATCAATCACCAGACCTCGACACAACCATGCCCTGGCGAAACTCGGACGCATACGGCTCGCAGCCATACGCCGCCTTCACTGACCCGAATGGCTTTAATTTTACCTTCGATGTGGGCTCGGACAACTTCATGAGCCCATATGCGTTCCCTCATATGTCGCCTGATTCCGCATGTTAGTATACACCCCTCGCTCCTAGCTTCCCAGCATCGTCACCATGGACCTTCTGCTATCATCCCCAAGTACCCCCGATACTCATACAGTCTTCCAGGNNGACACCAACTTCGCAGCAGTTCGCCACATCGAATCAGTCAGATTCGTTGTCTCCGCTAGAAATCAACAACTTCACATCTCCGACTCAGGATCAGGATCTGCAATATGCGCCATCCACAAACCCATCTGTTCATTCTGATGGAAGCTCTCTTGCTGCTTTCTCTATCCGCCATTCTTACCTGGACCAACAGAAACCTCCAACACAAATGATTGATATCAGCAACTCGTCTCATGGCCATAAACGCAACGCTTCCTTCTTGGACCTCGAAACTTCTCAAATTTCTCCCGAACATATTGGTGATCAACAACAGAGCATGACTACCTCTTCGACCTCATCTCCGGCCGTACCTATCAAATCACGACAAAGCTCTAGTGCTGGTAGTCCCGAGGAAGCCTCTCAGCCCTCTGACACTGCCGCTGCTCGCGCTCGCACAACAGACTCTGCAAAAGTACGACACAACATAGTAGAGCGTCGATACCGTGAGAACATCAACGCACAAGTTGATGTATTACGTGAGAGCATCGTCGCTACCGTTCACTCGAAAGAGGAGCAGCAAGGCGGATCCGCGTCTCGTCTGGGAGCTGATGAGCTCAAACGTCTCACCAAAGCCGCCGTCATCGCAGCAGCCACGAAACAAATCAGGCGTGCAAGGACCGAGAATGAGCGTCTGCTTGATGAACACCGCGCTCTGCAAGCTCAGATCCGAGAACTTGAGAGCCTGGTCAAGTGTGGAGATTGTCCGCTTATGAAGCTGACTGTCGACCTGAGTCTGGAAAGCCCGACTCAGCCACCTTGAGCTATATCCATGCGGCGGTGTCGCGGATCATGCTTCTGCTATTCTTTTCCAAATGGCACCTTGCGCCAGTACACCATGTCCTCCTCGTATGCTGAAGACTGTCACGGTATAGCTACAGAAATGCACAACACTCTCGCAAAGAATGTGGTTTCCATTGAGAAGCCTCGTCGAGGGCTATCTCCGTGGCCAGACTCACATTCAGAACGAAATTGTGCATCTCGATAGCTTGTAACATCCTTGTAGTGGGTGCTGCGGAAGGAATCAATCGCAAAGTTGTGACAGTCTTTAGCGTACGAGTAGAATGTACAGGAGATAGTGCGATAAAAGTCCATGCAACTTCGAGGTCAAGCACGACTGAGATCCAGTGCGATACGGTGTTGGTCATACCGTCGTTTGACAGCCTGGGCCGAAGTACAACAGAGCCTTCGCATTGTTGTTAAGCCTCAACGAAAGTGGCTTTGTATCGGTGTTGGTCATCGAGCAGTCGTGAGTTTCGGTGGACTTTGGAACCATCATTGCTCAAAATGCGAAGACGATGATTTATAATGAGGAAGTTGAGGCAGACATTGGCGTACTTCTGCTCTTCATATGTAGACAAAATGAGGGCGTATAAGCACAGATAGAGTCACCGTTTCCTGCTTGGATAGAACAAAAGTCGAATTTTATCTTGAATGGGTACACGCATCTATATATGCCTCAAGGAAGCAGGATCATCTATCAGGCCTTCGACCGCCTCTGTGCACTTCTCCCTCGTCTCTAGTAGATGCAAACACACGTGCCCCGTCCACCCCAGGATGACGTCTATCATCACCTGTCATCACCCCATGTCGACCCTGTCGCCGCGAGATCTATCTTTCGGTTCGGCCAACCACAACACAGAATTAAGGACTATTGATATATGCTCTTGTTTTCCCCAGATTGTCTTGCAAGATACTGAGGTACACACGTGGTTTTTGTCTCGTCTGAATCTGTAACTCACCGCTGTTGGATGGTTGACAGGCAGCCACCGACGACTAGGCCTTGTCATAACACCTTGATAGTCACTCTTCCGATGATATGATGCTCTAGGCCTTCATAATCGAGACCTTGAAGTCTGTGAGCTGATATCACCTGAGTTGCCTCTTGGAGTCGCCAGATAGTACCGATTGGGATCTTGTTGCAGAGTACGCAAGTACACACTGATTTGTCGAGTAGTGATAGGGGGCGGTGTGGTTTTGAGACTGGAAATTCAGGATGATTGGGATGTCGAGATCGGATGAGGATGCCCAGCATATATATGTTAACCGGTCCTGCACAATGCTCGCGTTTCCACGAGATCGTACGATTTCTTTGAGCGCAGAAAATCCCTGTATATCGAAGACTGTTGCAATACCACAACTGAGCCATATTCAATTATGCGTTTGATGTTGTATTGTCAAGTTGAAAGACGCACGATTCTTATCCGAATCAAAAGTATGGCCATAGAAACAACATGAGATTGTTATCTCTGTCAATGTTACTCTCCATTGGAAAGCATTGCATTTATATATCGCCATGATATGACTGCACTTGGCGCATTGAAATCGAGCATTGGATGGAACCATCACGTCTGTACACGTATATTGTGTGCAGGCTGTATTGCAATTTCAGATGATTATCTCAACGTCTTGACCACAAGATCCTACGGATCCAAGCGCGGTAGCTTGCGCAGCTCTTCTTCGGAAGCGAGAGTGCTGTGCCTGTCAAGCAGGGCCGGTGATCATGTGTTTTCACCGGTACTTGACCGGTCCAGCACCGCATGTCTTGGTCATGTGAAGCCTGCCGACTTCTGGAAGGGAGCACAATGCTGTTGTGCTTGTCAGATCTCATCCGGTAGGCCTAGCCCGCACGTCTTCTACTTATGCTCTCGGTAATTCCCATTTGCAAGTCGCGAAAATAGAGGGTACCTACCAACGAAGTGTCTGTCCCAACAACCAACTCAAAACGTAGGTTTGTGTACCGTAACTCGTGGCATTGCCGAGAAGAGCAGCATGATCATGACCTGCTCCTTCTTGCTATGCAAAGATGACAGGGCCACACACTCGGTCGAACCTCCGAGTATAGGCGGTCATTCAATCCGGCCAGGCGGTCTCGATTCTGGGAAAGGTCGGGCGAGGCATTCTCGTTTCCGAAGCTTCCAGGGCATAGGAACAAGCAAGACAGGCTTGCGGAATGGAGCTGGGAACTACGACTCGGTGACAAAGAACAGTTGGTTTTGGTTCGGAGACGAGTAGCACAATGTTAGGATGGCACATTTGAGGAGAGCGATTCTCTCTGCTGCTGTCCTTCGCACTGTCTTTGTGTGAGATCTCGCCGTTATCCGCGATGGTACCATAACATTCTTTGTCTTGCTAATTATGGCTGTACACTCGTGGAAGTTGCCGCCCTTGCTTGTTCTATATCGGTAGGCATCGCAGATGGTTCTTGACCAGTTGCCATCTTGGTACAGTCGTCAGTCAACGTGGTAGTATTGCCAACACTCAAACGGTTTTTTATCCGCCTGCAGCAGTCGCAATCCTATTACTAGGTGGCAGGATCTGAAGAAACGATGCTGCAATGCGATGCTGCAAGGATCTACTGCTATCAGCCCTACCCTGTAGTTCACTAGTACATCCTCCGACAAGGAGGTCAAAACTCATCGTTGGCCGTAATCGTCGTTTGGCCCCAGTGCAGTAGAGTAGCGTCAGCCCTACGGACAGGGGAGATGTTGGTATGGATGCAGGTGGCGCAAGTGTACACAAGAGTACTCAAACGGTCATTGGTCTACTCGTTCCTGCTAGACTTTGCTTCGCAGCCGCAGCTCCGATCCGCAGCGTCGCGATCAAGAGGTTGGTGACCGGTAGGTATGCTCGAACACGAGGAAAGAGAGGGACAAGGGTCGGTTCGTAAACGATCTACGCCGGATTGGGATATTGGTCCATGGCGTTCGCGAGGGACGCATCACTTTGGTCTCACAGAACTCAAGCTCTGCGCAAGTGGGGAACACGTCCCCGCGCGCAAGCCAGCCAGCCTCCTTGCTCGCTCCGGATCCTCCCCATCCTTCCCCCCTCCTTCCTGTCAATTTATTTCTAATCCGGCCTCAGTATGCCAGCGGTGAGCTACAGAGCCAATCCTTGCAACAGCATCGCCCGAAGGCGCAAGATGCACAGGAAGCGTCGCATCGCCTCGAGTTTGGCCTACTGTTTGGGACAAACGTAGATGTTGCTCAAGACGGCCATATCGGATATTGGGCTGTTATGTCCAAAATCTGGCTTTGCTGCATGACCCTACGTGGCACGCTCTGTATGTGGTCCAATGTTGACGCATGCTCTGGTCGCCAATGAGCCCAGGTGGAATCCTAACATGCCGATTCCTTGTGGTAACCTCACCGCACTCTTGACCCTTCAGCCCTACAAGTTTGTGTGGGAAGAGCCGCTGGTTGCTGCTAATAATGGCGGAGTTGGCGACTTGGCTCGGTGTCACTGTCAACCCGCCTGCATGGCTCCTTCTGTTCCAATTGCGGAGCGCCTTGGAATGCCGCTGCAGCTTTCACATGGCACTTACGCTAAAACGTCCAGGGTGTTCATCCTTCTGGAGCTTGTCTGTATCTAGGCAGAGAGCTGTAACCACAACAGGCCTACTATATCAGAGCCACATCCCTCAAGGCTGAAGTATGCAGATCCTCAATCCGCACTCGAATATACAAAGACTACCCATCCGACCCTCACTATTCCGTCTTCTTGTTTCATCACACTCCACACACCTCACACACTTCCTACTATTCACACATTCACCATGAACAGACGCTCGACATACTCATGCTCATGCTCCCCACCTTCTTCGCACAAGCATCATGCCTCAACACATCCTACCAGCAGTGCGTTTAGTGCCAGTGCGAATCCAGACGAGGATTGGACCAAGATCACGGATCTTGCTGAGCGAAGGAGGATTCAGAACCGTATTGCTCAGAGGAACTACAGTATGCATGGCACCATCTGTTGCGTACACTGGTGGTCGCTAACAAACATCAAAGGGAAGAAGCTGAAGAAGCGCCTCGAAGATCTGGAACGCCGTGCGGCATCTAGCTCAGCTTCTCCGTCACCTGAAGTCAAATACGTCGATCTAGATCTCACCAACTTGTCTGGTTACAAGAACACATCGCACATGTCTCAAGCACAAGAGAGCAACAATATCGACAGTCGTGGATACACATCCAATGGATACGACTACCCTTACTCACAAGCGCCCGATGATAAGAGAATGTTCTCGTATCAGCATACTCGTCAGCTATCCACATCTCCACCACCTTTGTTCAGCTATCAAGCCTACCCTTCCACCGAGCATGGCCAATATGCTCCTTCGGTTTCCAATTACCTGGCATACCCTATCCCCGTATCTTCTTCATGCATGATGCCTCCATCTACCATGACCTACCAAACAAGTATGCCGTCTGTCGTCAAGCCAGAGGTATACGAAGAGGACGATATGAACCCTTTCAGCCTGAGTTATGCTTCCATGGCTGGTGTGGATGTGACCAGTCAATTCAGCTATCAGACGCCTGCCGTTCACGTAAGTATCGCTTTCGAAATATACTCGAAACTCTGACTGACAACTCTAGCCAGNACTCCAGCTTTGTCAGATAGCTTTGAACCTTCGACAACAAGCTCACCCCCTTACGATTACATGGCTTTTCCACGCACACCCCTCTCACTGCCCTTGACGCCACCCGTTCGGGTTCGTGAGGGTCCGAAATAGAGGCATCTATACCGATAATGATATAACGAAACAAGAATGAGTCAGGACGGCATGAGCGTTTGGAGTTCACAAGGTTTTGATGGCGCAAATCATTGGAATTTACAAGGGAAATACCACACTGTCGTTTGCTGAGTTTGTGGAGTTGGTCAAGACGGATTTGTGGCGTTTTCATTCGGAACAAACTCACCTCGTTCTACTCAGCTCTCCATGTGCAAGGGTTCGAGGCATCATTGGTTGCCGCATTGTACAATTCATCTTTCAAATAGCCTTATCGCAACGGGGATACCTAATTGAGAAGTCATTACTCTGGTGCGGCTGCAACTTTCCCCACCCTGACCTCCGTCCATAACCTTCAGCCTAACTAGTGGGACCATGCATTTTGTAGGATGCGTGACCGGTTCGGTGTCACCAGAAAACGCCAAAGTTTAGGGAGGAAATAGGTACATACAGAGCTACAATAGGCTCAGCAGGCAACAAACCAAAGGGGAAAGTGGGGGCGTGCCAGCCACGAGGGAAGTCTGAGCCGCCAAGCAAGGTTCGAGGCAAGTTGCAACCAACCCCAGCTCGCGCAACCAACGCCGAAACATTTACTTCCTATGCAACCTTGGGCTCTAGATACGGCCATGGACAAAGAAAAGCACCAGACCTTGTTCGGAGGCAGTCGGTAGGTAATGTCGCATTTCTTTGAGGCTGCGGGTCGCTGAGAAGTCTACGCCCTACAGNNCTCCTGGAAAGCCGCAGACTGGACTGCAAGCGACGATCGCGTACGCGGCGGTAAATCACAAGTAGGATGACTGGCCTGATGTGTCCTTGCCAGCTTTAGATATACTAAAATCGTGCTGCGCAGNTCTTTCCTAGAATGCCACAACAGCACAGGCCGATTCCATGGTAATCTCGACATCAAAACCTTGGGTGGTGCTGGATTTGCAAGCCAGCGGACCACGGGCGAAGATAGAAGCTGGGACTTGTCTGGTCATGCAGGAATCGTGCTCGACATTGCAGAAGCGGACGGCAAGTATCCTATTCCTCCGAATCATGCCACCTATATTGCTGGTGCAGGATGCCGAGCTCATGTATGAAAACTCGCAGACAAAAGATACACTTTCATTCTCAAAGACGAACTGCTTCCCCGCAATCCAGAGAATGGACGTGAACAAGCCACTATTTCGTGGGAGTACGACTTCAAGCCTTGTCTCGGGGAAGGCAGTCTCGAGAAAGGTGGCCTTGTATTCGTTCCGTGGTCTGCTCTGAAGCCTACCTATCGTGGCAAAGAGAAGGACCATGCGGATCCCATCAATCTCAAAACAATCAAAAGAATGAGTATAATGATGCGAAGGTAAGTGCTGTACAGCTCCTGCATTTCTTGATTACTCATATTGCAATGCAGCTTCTTTGGCGATCAGGANGGGCCCTTCTCTCTAACCTTGCGTTCCATCTCTGCAGTTGCGAGCTCACCGGTTGAGCTTGGCAGACTTGAGCAGGGTGACGCAGCATCTGCAACAACCAGCACTAGCCGCTGGACTCGGTATACCCAATCATTTACTGTGAGTCGATTCCGACAGCACGAGTCAATAGAGTGGTAGTTAACTCTCGCAGCTTGCATTATCGTCGTGGCGCATCTGTGGACTCGCTTTGCTTGCGACTGCCCTATACTACCTACATCGCAGCAATTCGCGAGCAGCCTGATTTCAAATCCGAAAGCCTCGGACACGAAGCACTGAAGGGTCGCACTGAGTGGTGAATGGTTTTGATGCCAAATCAGAGTTGCACAACCAGGTGCGCGTGGCCAACTCGTACAGGGCCACCTTGATTCTGTAGAAACAGTCAAGTGTAGTGCAAGATTTAGAGCTTTACCTATTTATTCTACCAAAGCTGCGGGTTCGACACAAGCGAAGGCGCCACGTTCGTAGTTTAACAACCTCTCGGAATATTGCCGTTTTGGGATTATGCATAGAGTGGTCTCCTGCCCCGTGTGCGTGCCTCTGTAACTCTCGTTGTCCACCAACTATGGCATAGAACAAAGTATGCACTACGAAAGGCACGACTGTCCATGGAAGGAGGTGCGCAGCCAAGAAGAACCGATAAAGTGTCAACCTCAGTGAGTCCTATCCTGTTTCCAATACTATTGTGTATTGTTGTAGCTACGCGCGTTGCATGCTTTCGAATGCGAAGAGCTTGAATATGCGTAGCAGTTGTGCCGCTCCACGTTGATGGTATGATACATCGGCGTGTCCGACCTCCCCGTGTGCTAAAGACAGTCACAGTGCAGCTGCCGGAATGCACAACATCTTCGCGAAAACTATGGCCTCTATTGAGAGAACCTTTACGAAGGCTATCTCAATGGCCAGACTCATATTCTAGTCAGAACTGTGCATTACGATAGCTTATAACAACCCTTATAGCTCGGGATAGAGAAAAGGTCGTTTGTAGATTGTGACTGTCTTTAGCACACGGGGAGGGAAGTAAAGCAAGATGCAAGTCACACCGGTTGCCTTTGCAATCTGTTATCTTCTCATGATTGCAGTTGTGATAGTTAATAGAATGGATGCCTACGGGAGAACATGGAACCGACCAAAGGTTGCACAATTTCCTCACAGCACGGTTGCCCATCGACCCGAACGTGGAGCGGCGCTCGGCATCACGAAGGACCGGCTCGCATCCACCGGCCGGTTAAAGGCCCGATCAAGTAGGCGAGAGCCGCGAGTCAATGGAAAGCAAATCTGCCAGTCGTTGTTAGAAGAAGCCAAAGCGCACGAATCGCAAGTCGCTACAAAAGTCCCCTTTCTGTTTTAAGATTAAAGGGCGTTTGGGAAAAAGGGCCTTATAGACGCTTGCTGGAGTAATGCGTGTTCGACTATACTTGGCAGTATTTTTGACTGATCACGAGTACAGTAGACAACAGGCATAATACAGGAGCTTGATTTATAATCTGGATAGAAAGTACTACGAGTAGCATCCAACCCCTCAGCAAAGATCGAAAGGTCTTGTATGCTCGTACCGCCAACGACATTTGAGAAGTGCTTGTCAAGAACCAGATAGGCTCGGGACCCTCGGCAGCTTCTATCACGAGGCGTTCTGGGCATCGTCTCGGATGTCAAAACAAGCGAAATCCTTTGCATAAGTACATAACTTGAGACTTTGCGCCAATCAGAGCATTCGAAGCGGTATCGAGACCTGCACAATTGCTCATACCAAGCCTCCGGAACCTCGGTTCTCCGTTTCTTTACGCCTCCGACAGAATCAACGAAGTCTAACCAGGCAGCGTTTGCCATGTTGTCATCGCAACAATAGAAAAGCCTTTCTTTTCATATTAAAGACCTTCCCCCTTCTGTGCTACATTCGAAGCGCTAAAATTTCTCGATAACCATCACGACCAACACTCTGGCATCTGGACCCTAGTCTTTGCTAATCGGATTCCTGGTCAACCCCAGATACACAATCCCCGCATTTGACTCTTCTCATTGTACTCGACCAACATGGAGAAGTCCAACGATGTCGAGGCTGGCAAGGGGCCATCATCGATCCCACACTGGCGCCTGGTAGCAGACCAAGGCCTTGTCACCGATGAAGTTATGAACTGGAATTACCCAGGTTCAGGAACTGAAGAGGATCCCTACGTTGTCAACTGGATCACAAACGACCCTCGCAACCCACAGTTGTTTTCAGAGTTCAAGAAATGGGGTCTCACCGCTTTGGTCGCCATTGCTACCCTTGCAGTTGCTTTCGTCTCTTCCGCATACTCTGGTGGTATCAGGGAAATTCTCATCGAGTTCCATTCTTCGCAGGAAGTTGGTATTCTCGGTGTTTCTCTCTTCGTNCTTGGTTTCGCTATCGGTCCCCTTCTCTGGGCACCGCTTTCTGAAATGTTCGGTCGTCAAGTACTCTTTATCACTACCTATGCTGGTCTGACAGCATTCAATGCTGGAGCTGCTGGTGTTAACTCTATGGCCGGCCTCATCGTCTGCCGATTTTTCGCTGGTGCCATCGGTTCTTCTCCTCTCACCAATGCTGGTGGTGTTATCGCCGACATGTTCTCCGCTAACGAGAGAGGTCTCGCTATGACACTGTTCGCTGCTGCTCCCTTCATGGGACCCGTGCTTGGCCCAATCGTCGGAGGCTTCGTTGGCGAGACTATCGGCTGGAGATGGGTTGAGGGCGTTATGGCAATCTTGTAAGTTGGCCTCTATCAGCATCTATCCTTCGTTTGCTGACTTCTCTGTTCTAGTACTGGTGTGCTTTGGATTGCTGGCTCACTTCTCATCCCCGAGACTTACCCACCTGTGCTTCTTCGTAAGCGTGCTGCAAAGATGTCTAAGATGACTGGCAAGGTCTACCGCAGCAAGGGTGATGTTGACCAAGGTCCTACAACTTTCGGCAAAGTCTTCAAGACATCCCTCCTGCGCCCTTGGGTTCTGCTTTTCAAAGAGCCAATTGTGCTCCTTTTGTCGATTTACATGGCTATCATCTACGGAACCCTCTACATGCTCTTCGCTGCCTTCCCTATTGTCTATCAACAAGGCAGAGGCTGGAGCGCAGGTATTGGCGGTTTGGCTTTCCTCGGTGTCGCTGTGGGTATGATCGGAGCTGTCATATACTCTATCTTCGACAACAAGCGCTATGTCAAGGTATCCAACGAGAACGAGGGTTTCGCTCCGCCTGAGACCCGACTTCCTCCATGCATCCTGGGCGGTATCTGCTTGCCTATTGGACTTTTCTGGTTCGCATGGACTAACTCTCCCTCATTACCATTCATGGCATCAATCGCTGCTGGAGTTCCTTTCGGTTTTGGCATGGTCCTGGTCTTCCTGTGAGTGCACTTCATCATACTTGCTCATAAACTCTGTGCTAACTGTCTAAAAGTGGCNATCATGAACTACCTTATAGATTCATACACCATCTTCGCTGCATCAGTTCTTGCAGCCAACTCCGTCTTGCGTTCGCTCTTCGGTGCCGCTTTCCCTCTCTTCACTACCTACATGTACGACAACCTTGGCATTCATTGGGCCTCGTCCATTCCTGCCTTCCTCGCACTCCTGTGCGTCCCTATGCCATTCCTCTTCTACAAGTTTGGACCTAAGATTCGCGAGAATTGTAAATACGCCAAGCAGTCTATGGACTTCATGAAGAACATGCAGAGACAGATGGCAGGTGGTGAAAGCAAGGAGGACGAGCAGAAGGAAGAACAAGAGGCCTTTGACTACTCATATGAGGACGAGTCCCACGGTGATGCCGAGACACCCAAATTTGAGGAGATCAAGACCGGAAACGACAACCAAGGACTCGGAGGTGGCAGACTCTCTCGCACTTCTACCTACGAGCACAATCCTTACGACATCGATCGCGTCAATACACGGGATTCGTTCTCCAAGCCCAGGTCTCGAGCTTCGAGCATGCGCCGTGGCGCTTAAAAGGGCATTATCATTGGGAGATAATGCACTCCTCTTCCCTCTCAGTCCGATAGACACATGGACTTTTTGCTATTAGCGCGGCGTCATGGGATACCAAAAGTTGGATGTCTCTTTTGAGCATCATATGGTTCAGGATCAAGATTTATGATGATACCACATTAGAAATTAGAAATATTTAATACCTTTTCCACATCTATCAAGTCTTTCACTACATCGGCCAACATTTACCAGCACGCAATGGACTCGTCCTATGCTGCTGCTCTTATGACGCTTCAGTATTATAGCTGTAACTTAGATCAAACAAGCCGTTGACTATGTAAGAAACACCTAGCACTCGACCGACAGCACGTTTTGCCATGTGCCTTCTGACAGGCAGGCTTCGCATGAGTCATCTCGGGTCGATGACAGAGGAGTTCGGCAACCGGCTCGAATTACTCAACATGAAAAATCGCAAAGCAAACGAAGTCTCTACAAGAATAGGTCATGACTCGTCAGTACAAGTATGGGCGGGAGTCATCGGCATCAGATTTATGATAGCGTTTCGGGATTAAGCTTCTTGCAATCGGACAGATGCCGCGCTAACAGGCCCGGTGTCACAGGATATTCTCAACACTTTTGAGCACACATTGATAAGTCCAGCTGTGGAGGTGGAGTAGAAGCTGTCGTTGCGATAGATGATGTTTAGAGCAATGAACATCATGTGGTCAAAACAGTGTGGGTGAGAAGCTGGAGAAATAGTAGTTGAGCCATCAATGTTCTTTGGGCGCAGAAGAAACAAGATGAGCGGAGCCAAGGAGCGGATCGGACCCTGGATGACGCTGAGGCGGGTTGCAAGGGATGGGATTTTCATGACGACAAGTCAACAAAAAATATTGCCCCAAGGGGAGAAGACTCGGATCAAGATGAGGTGATTTGCGAATTGCCGGTCAGGGTTTCGTCGCAGGTTTGATACGAATAAAACCCCTGCCTCTTCCCCATTGTTATATTTCCCCAGCTAGAGTCAAGACAGTGAGANNAAAGAGAAGCCACACAATCATGGCCTTGACACTTCCGTTGGAGCTGCAGCAGCAAATCTTCTCATACTTGGATCCCTGGTCATTTTACGCTTCAAGAAACGTTTGTCGATACTGGAAGCATGCCTCCAGAGATGCCGTCACGCTCGCCAACCAACTAGGACAACTGCCCATCGAGCCAACAACATGGATCAAGAAAGTCGACTCGAAACGAAGAGAGTCGGTCTACGATGAGGCGGCAAGAGCGCTAATGCTGGGCATGCGCATCAAGGCTTCAGCTTCAACCGAGGACAGTCTGTCGACGAGACTCGACAAGACCAAGCTTGCTCTGTCCAAGGATTGCAAGCGAGCAGTCTCGCTACACGAGCGCACCATCACACACTACGACACAACCACCTCCGAACCCACCGTTATCTCTACCCGCCCCATTAATGACCTTCGCACAGCAATGGGCGGAGGCCCATGGTTCAAGTGCTCACCGACGTCCATGTACGAGCTAGCTCTCTCTTCCAACGGACGCATGCTGGCCATTGCCCTCGAACGCACCGTTCAGATCTACGACCTTGACTCATCTCCCGACTCATGGCCTGTGGCCTCGTACATCACCTCAGCCACTGGTCATTACATCGCCGCTCTCGACTTCGAACACAATGACAGCTTGCTACGAGTGCAGCTGAGCAATAAAGGTGTTGTCGTCTACCTTGGCTCGCCGAAAGAGGCGCAGCCTGGTCTAGAGCACTGGCAAGACAAAGGTGGTTTGAAGCACGCTTTCCTCGATGCTAGCAAGCTCTCTTTGCCGCAGACAGATCCTGTCGACGGCGCTCCCGCCGTGTCACAGCGTTTGGCTGGACTTCAGCTCTTGCGTCCGTTTGCAAATGGCTGGCTGGTCGCTGCCCAGAAGCATGCGACGAACGTACAGTCAGGCTCATACTGCCTAGCCTACGTTCCTTTCAGTCAAATTCATGGCCACGTCCTCACTGCTGAACGCGCTGTTACCATCCTCGAGGATCTTCCTGTACATCTATCCGAGAACATTCAGCACCTGTGGCACGATTTGCCTTCCGCTCACATCAATCATCCCCGTTTCGCCCTCTCGCCCAACAACTCCCTCTTGGCCATGTCCGAGAACAACGCATCCTCTACTCCTACATCTCCTTCAACAAATCGCGTCTTCCTCTACCGCTTGCCATCGGCCGAGAAGCTGATGGAGTCCCTCAAACCACAACATCCTCTTCTTCAAAAGCTCGAGGCAGAAAAGGAGTTTAAATACCAGATCAAGCGTCTTCCTACCAGCCTTGGCTCCATCTCTGGCAAGATGCTCGACTTCACCTTTGAATCTGTCGACAGAGGCGCCAGCTCTCCACTTGCAGTGACAGCTGTCACTGATGCTGGTGCCATGACTTGGACGTTGCTGGACAACTGAACAAGCCATGCGCCTCTGCCTACCTCTCTTCTCTCTTCTTCGCATCCACTTTGCATACCCAACTCTTTCACGAAACACTAGACCATTCTTGTATTTGTTTAAAGCATTAGACGCATCATAGACGGAACCATAGACGGCATAGACGGAACTTATAGATACCCATTACAGATGTATACATACATGCATACCACTGCACTGCTAAAAATCTCCCTTTCCCCTCTCTCGTGCTCAAGTCTGTTAGTCACGTAGTCGAATCAATCAATCTCCTATTCCACTTCACTAGGATTGAAGAACGATCAACAATATGCAAATGTCATAAGTCGGTATATTATTTGATGAACCCTACTCCAACAAGTGCTAATATGAAAAACGCCAGCCAATGCAACACATAAGTCCTATACATTACACACTCATTCAACTCGTGGTTTCTTATCAGAGTGTTCGTCCTCTTCTTCTACCTCAGAGTGCTTACGCTTGATGCCGCTCTCTTTACCGGCAACCGTGGTGTCGTCAAGATCAAAGGTGTTTTCATCTGGATCGTGCAATGCATTCACGATCTTCCTCATCCCCATTTCGTCGCCCTCTACCGTCTCGTTCAGTTCAGGATCAACCCAACCTTCTGTGTAGCTGCCTCCGAAATCGATGATCCATAACTTGTCGTCCTTGTCGACCATGAAATTATCGGCTTTGGCGTCACCCCAGATGAAATCGTGTTGGTGTAGAAGCTCGATCATCTTCTCGGACTCTGACGCCCAACGATCACGTTTGGCTTGAGGCACGTCTGAGTCCAGGAGATGTGTAAGTGGCTCAGCTCCTGCGATGTGTGTTTGTAGGAAGCCCATGATATCTGTCTTGGAGTCTGTGAATGACACTAATCCCTGAACTTGAGGCACACGCATCTCTTGATGCAAATTGAGCTTTTCTATATCTTTCATCATCTTGAGCTCGCGTTTGGTTGGTGCAGGTTGAGCAGGATCGACAACCTTGAGGAAGTAGAGACTACCGTTATGGCGGACGATGGCTGGCAAAGCACCAGCATTCTCGACAATCTCCAGATCTGATGCTTGGAACCAGGGGATGTCGAGCTTCAGAACATACTTCGGTAGAGTGACGTTCGGCAGGAAATTGTCCATCTTGAATCGAAGTGCAGGTGTGGACCCCACTTGCTTTGGTGTAACTTTGCCATCTTTGTACTGTATGGCGTAGAAGTGTGTCGTCGGGTGGTACCAATCATGTACGTTGATTGTTTGCATTTCATTCCTCGAAGGAGCGTGCTTGTCGATTTCGGCTTCCAAATGTGAGAGTATCCACGCCTGAAGCTTCTCTTCCGAGTCGTTCTCGGCTTTATCGTTATCTTCGAGCACGATACCGCTGTCCTTCGATGCAACAGTGGGACTCCTGACGCCCTTCCGGCATTCGGGACATGTATATTCGTCAATCGAGGCTCCCTCTTCTTGAGAGATGCCAACACAGTCGCCATGGAACCATTCGTCGCAGCTATCACAGCCTATCATGAAACCTCGATCAGGTCCACGACATACACAATATGCTGATTCTTCTCCATGGTCTGCCTTGGTGTCTTCTGATGCACGAGGGGAGTCTTTCGGCTGGTCCTGGTATGTGCCATCTTTCGCCGACTTGACCAGTTCTGCATATTCTTGTACAGCCTTATCCTTTCCTTCTGAGGCTTCCTTCATCTTCTGGAAATCGACGAAGGCATGAAAACGTACTCCATTGGCGAGGATTGTTAATGCAGAGTCGTTGTTTTTGTCGCGAAAGAATTCGAGAACGTGAGCAGGCTTCGTCCTGCGTCCTGCTGAAGCTGACATGGTGTATGATATGTTATGAAACGGGAATTAGAGAGAAGATATGAAGCAACGTAGTAGAGAGTAAACAGTATAAGGAGATCTTTTCTGCTAAATCAATGACAGTACGAGACACGCGAGCTTTAAGACCAAAAACCACTTTACGCGCTGACCTACCGTGAGCATCTCGCGCTCGTCATTGATATCATTTTCTCAAATCAACACATCAAAGGCGTCATGGTTCCTGATCTACAGGAAGAAAATCGTTGAAGCTTCCCGATCGGGTATCGTAAGTGCAAGATTAAGTTCAAAGCTTGGCGAGATCAGATCTCGCGAACGTGTCATCGTCGTGATCGTCCCAGCCACACGATGATGCTGTTTCTATTGTTTACACAACTTCTGCTATCTGTCTGAGATGACACACAGCATATGAAAATTGACCTTGAAATACTGGATTGCTCAGTGTAGCAGTCTTATGCTCACAAAGTGCCAGCAGACTGACAACAGCGGTGTCTGGAGATTCAGAGATCGCCAGACAAGATGTGCTGAACCGTCCGAGCTCGGATCGTGAGAAACATATTGTGTTTGGCGAAAACAGTTTCATCAACCAATAGCAGCTCAGCTAGCTTATCTTCATTGGTCTAGTGGTCATGATTTCCGCTTGTCAAGAGTAAAATCTCGTCAAGCGCGGGAGACCAGGGTTCGATTCCCTGATGGAGAGCACATTCTTTTGTCTTTTTGATGTTGTACAGACCAGACTTGCTGCCGCAGAACTTTTGGACAAGGTTTTTACCTCTGTTTTGCGAGCGTGCTTGATGTGGTGGAAATGTTGTCCTTCTTGCTTGTTGATATTGTTAAAGAGATCTAGTGATAGGCTGCTCTGCATTTTACCTGTAGTGAGCCGTAGACCTGAATTGATTACCAACAAGCTATTCAGTGATATTATCTTAGCAGGAATGAAAATTGTGATCATGTCATTTTCCATCTAGGATACGCATGTGGTGGTGTTGAGTTCTGACAGCCGCCTCGACGCTCGACATGAATTCTGGAATGATTGCTCTGAAAACAGCCTGGTAGCCCTCAGCAGCATTAATATTGCCCGCTATACTATCCACCGTGTAGATAATGAGTCTATATATCCCTTAGTATCATACAGATACCAATTGATCAGGGAAAATGCTTGATTTGCATATAAGCATGATGTGAAATTGTTGAAGTCTGGGTGACCCTGCTTTACATCATCTGATACAACACAAGTTACAGATACATACTTGTTATGCTGCTTCAACCGTTGCCCTTGCTTGTCCACTGATCAAAGACCGTTAATAGAAGCTCAATCATGTGCAGATATCAGTTGCGCAGAATCTCGCTTCTCGCCTTACATTTGCTGTACCAAGGTCTTGTGATAATTGTCAGTAGGCTAACATCGCATGTGAGCATTGGTGCCATATACGGATTCAGTACAAAGAGACTTCGAGGTTGAAAAGGCCCCAAGGATTGGTTGCCTTTGCCGCAACCCGATGGATGTGTAGATGCAGGGGATCGTTGCTTGCTAGAAGTCGTCCACAGAAAACTGGTATTCGACGCGTGCCCACGGATTTCAATTACCAGTGCTGTGTCTTTACACGTTCTACAGCTCGTCCAGAGGGCAAGAGTAGAATAGAAGAGGGTGACGGATATACCAACTGAGAAGGGAAGAGAACGTGTGTAGTCTGACGGTTCCACATGACCTGCAGCCGCAAGTACTTCATTCGGGCGTTGCGCCTCAGCCTGCGACGGCGACTCTCCTTCTTCCAACGGCCATGTACCTTAGGTCGAATACTGCTAGCACATGCCGACGCGTTATCCGCCAAAGACATGGCAGACAATCATGGGTGAAGAGTAAATTAAAAACTCTTTCTCTAAGCCAAGATTGGCTGCAGAAAGTTGGCATGAAGACGTCACATCCAAGCGCTGGTGTTGTTTCGTCTCGGCCTTGGGTGAGTCTGCATTTGTATTCGACAACACACCAAACACAAAAATACTGTATATAAAGGAAGGTAATTCTGGTCTGTTCGTGTGCTTCCTCTCTTATAATCAATTCCTTCACCAATCCTTCATCTTTGTCATTACAAGCCTCCATCATGGTCGCATCTCTACCTTTTAAGCTTGTCAACGACAGCAGTTCGGACAATGTCTGGGCCTATATCACAGGCATCAACATTGCTGATGGAAGACGTGTACTGTTACAAGCAGATGGCAAGACTCTCTACTTTCCAGAGAATCCGCCTGCAATTGGATCACCACTAGCTGAAGATTGCGCCATTCCACTCGGAAAGCCAGGAAACACCGTCACCGCTACGGTGCCTCAGATTGCTGGTGGCCGTGTATGGTTCTCGATACACAACAAGCTAAACTTCCTGTTGAACCCTGGACCAGCTCTTGTCGAACCCTCTGTACTCAACCCTAGCGATCCGAATGCAAAGGTGAACTTCGGCTTCTGCGAGTTCACTCTGAATGACGCTCAGCTGTACGCGAATATCAGCTACGTCGACTTTGTGTCCAACGCCCCGATTGCCATCACTTTGGAGAACTCGGCTGGCGCGGTACAGCATGTATCAGGCATGGCTGAAAATGGTCTTGAAGGAGTGTGCGCCGATATGAGGGCTCAGACACAAAAAGATGGAAAACCATGGGACAAACTGATCGTTCAGGAAAACGGAAAAGACTTCCGCGTTCTCAATCCTTCTCATGGTGATGCTGTCGGAGCCAACTTTGCAGGATATTACGAGCCCTATGTCGACGAAGTCTGGAACTACTACAGCACTGATTCTAGAACGTTCACGCTCAACACTCAGGCAGGTCCTGGTGTCCTTGATGGCAAGGTCTCGAACAACCAATTACTTATTGGCCAGGAAGCTTTTGGAAAGCCGAACACAGCAGACATCTTTGGATGTAATAGTGGTCCCTTTACCACTGGACCAAACCCAACTCGCAACGCCATTATCCCTCGTCTTGCTGCTGGCTTCGTGCGTACTACTCTGGTCTCTCAGACTCAACAACCATCGAACCCCTCCACCTATTACCAGACTGATCCCACTGACCACTACTGTCGTATCGTGCACGAACACAATCTCGACAAGAAAGGCTATGGATTTGCGTACGACGACGTGCAGCCGGACGGAGGCGTAGATCAGTCGGGCAAAGTCAACGATGGTTCACCTGCTCTNTTCACGATTGCTGTAGGGGGCAGACATGCTTACGCTGGAGATGCACCTCCCGCTTCAGCTAACAAGGTCGCAGAAGAACAGGCCGAGCCTGCACCTGTGGCCGAATCTGCTCCTGCTCCTGCTCCTCAAGAGAATGGACAGCAACAGCCAATGCAAGAGAGTCGTCCATCGATCCCACAGCGTAAGAGCAGTGGACTTCGTGGCAAGCTTAGTGGCTGGAAGAAGAAGTTCTTACAGTAGAACTTCAGAACATAAATACCTGACCCAACTTCTTTTTTCACTTTCGATACCACATTCTGTACAGATTGCATAGTACTAGCTTTTATGGAATATCCCATTGTCGATCATACCCTGCCCGTGTGCTAAAGGATGTAACTCTCACTGTACTCCGACTATAGCAGTGAGCATATTACATGCTGTACAAATGCACAGTTCTATTCAGAAACGAAGATTGGCCAAAGAGAGCTGCTAAGAGATCGCTTCTCAGTGGATACTATCCTATTGTCTAATAGTATTGTGCATTTTTATAGCCACTCGTGTTACATTCTTTTGCACATGGGGAGGACGTGTTTCAAGTAGTGTATGAACGTCTTTCACCTGTGTGCCAAAAAATCAGAGTGCAGAAAGATTCGAGCAAGAATTCCGAGAAAATCGAGTGAAAGTGCGAGTGTCAGAGAGTGAATCTGAAGGAGTGTGTCGATGAGCGTGTTGACCGAGTCTTGGCACGTCGGAAACGCGAACTGAATGTTTGGAAGCTCCTACTGATTCTGGTCAATCGCATGCCAATTATCCTAAGGCAATAGCCTCAACACACTGCTATCTATTAATTGCAGAAATATACACAATCGATTTTGTCGCTCGAGGGTGTAACTGCAATGGCGCCCATCACAAGAAAAACCGCCAGCTCTGGCGCATTCAAGCCCGTCCATCGCAAGGTACAACCACAAGCTACCTATTATTTGCGCGCCAGCTCTGACATGTTCTTGACATGTACANNGGGATCCCAGACCAACACGAACTCCTTTGCCGAAGTAACTCGCACAAACGGCTACTCGACTTCACAGGTGCATTTTCCTGTCGCTCTCTCTGCCTCGACCCGACCACTAACTCGACCTCTCCAGAACTCCGTCAGCAACGGAAGCGCCCTCGTACCTACCAGTCAACTTATTGATCAGATTAACCCATTGCGCGACATGGCAGACCGCGTTGGTCGTGAAGTCGATCACTTTGCAGAAACTCTCGACAAATTCAACTCTCGTCTACACGGCCAGGATGCATACCGTACCGCCATCGACCTGACTCTAGAGTACAAGGACTTTGCAAGTAGTATGGTCAAGAAGCTGAAGAAACGTCACGATGCTCAGCGCGTCAACGAGATGAGGAACGAGTTCGGCAAGAGGATAACCCAGTCTCCCATCAGAAGCTCTAGCCTTTCCGGCGCAGTAGGTCCCGTTACTCACAACGATGGCGACGAAGACATTCCCGCGCAAACTTCGCTCGACACCCTGAGACAATGGCAAGCCGAACTCGATACCTGGGAGCTATTCCGCATCATGCTCGAACTACGATACTCGCCTGAGAAGCAGGCTCGCCAGCAAGAGAAGGAAGCAAGACTAGCAGACTTGGGCACACCGAACACATATACATCAGACACGGACATTTGGGAACGCTTTACTCTAGACAACGATTCTGCCAGAGAGCGACATCTAGTCCTCAAATGGCTTCAAGGAGCTGCCAACCACGGCGAGCAAGACATTGACGCTATCGCTGAAGAGCTGGAGAAGAAATCAGGCAGAGGAACAGGCATCTGGTTCAACGGCTGGATGGAAACGCGTGAGAGGATCAAGGGAACGAAAAGAATGCGCGTCTTTTCAACCGCCTCATCCGATATGCTCGACGTGAAGCGCACTCACAGCAACGAACCCCTGGTATCATCTCTAGACCCGGATGCACCAACTCGCCAATACCGTGTTTTGGAGAAGGCAGACGAATATTCCGAAAGAGCACTGTGGATGACTTGCTGGGAAATGTTAAGGCGTGGCCACTCATGGTACGATATCTGCCAGTGGTGCTCTGACCGCAACCAAAGCTGGCGCGCTGTAAGCATGGCCGTCTCCGCCGACTCAAATATGGACATGGCTCTTCCGGGTCTCTCAGCTGGTTCGCTTTGGCGTCGCATGTGCTACGCTCTGACACAGCAAACAGGTCTGGACGAGTATGAGGCCGCTGTCTATGGTGTGCTCAGTGGTGATCTAGAATCGGTCAAGCGTGTGTGCCAAAGCTGGGACGACTACATCTTCGCCCACTACAACTCCNNCCTTCTGATCGGACAGCTGGAAGAATATCTACAGAAGAGCTTCCCCGAGAAGTTTGCATCTGGTACAGCCACAAAATTCCCACTCTTTGACTCTCTCAGGCACCACGGTGACCAACAGGACGTTACTCGAAATTTGATCAGGCGCCTTAATGAGCAGTCTTCCACCTCGCAGGAGGCCAGGCAGCCTCTCAAGTTGCTGCAAGGCAGTCTCATCGCAGACAATTTTGCCGACTTGTGCAAGAATCTTGCAACAGCCATTTCGGACGCTGCCTGGTACCAAACTACTTCCACCACTATAGTCCCCTTGCGTACGGCTGTATCCCCAGACTCTCAACGAGAGAGCGTCATCTTCAATGATTACGATGCTCTACGTATTGTTACCCACATGGTTCTGATGCTACGTGAATTCCACGAGCCTCTTTCAGACACCAAGTCCGACCCCGAAGCACTTGACAACATCATAGCTGCTTACATTCAGCTTCTGCGCGCGGCTGGCAGATGGGAGCTCACGTCAGTCTATGCATCGAGAATGTCGCCTACTCGCGGTACCAAATCACTTGCACAGACAATGACAGACGTACAAGATCTTCAAGAGAAGATGCACTTTACCAAGCTCATGTCGACTTATGGCATTGATCCTGTCGCCGTCTTGACCGAACAGGCCAAGTATCTCATGGAAGAAGTTTTACCTAAGAAGTCTGCTGGTCAAGATAATTTGAAGATCATTGAGAGTACTAAAGAGGATCTTTATCCTGGTCAAAGGATCAAGTTGAACTTCGTGGAAGAAGGCAAAGGTGGCGACGGTATTGCCGACCACCTCGCTGTTTTCCATCTTATGGAGGGTCATTGGGACGTCTCCTTCCAGACACTGGCATACGCTTGCAGAAAGCTGCTCAGTAAGTTGTGAACGCTCTCTGGGACAAAATCATCATGCTAACAATCTTCAGTCAATGGATGCTTCCAAGAAGCTTCACGCTTGGTCGATCAACTGTCTTTCGAGCTATTGTGTACAGCAAAATCAAGGCCACTCCTGGGAACTTCAGTCAACGTAATGGATCGTGAAGAAACCGCACTACTCCCCCAGGACGCCGAACATGCAGCAAAGCTACGTGTCCTTCAAAAGCAATGCAGGGGATACTATGAGCTCGGTTTGCTGGTGAAAGCCATTGACGCTCTCAACGCTTGGAGGGTGGTCGAGCATGACTATGCCACGTAAGTATCAATTGGTTTGCTATTGTCTAGCCCTACTAACCACGCATACAGTAAGGTTCCACGACCCAGTTCACTGCCGGCTAAGGTCAAGACAACCTTCGAGGATACTTGCGCTGCGATTGAGCCTGTGCTAAGTGGCATCCTCATGCATGCAAAGGATGGTAAGCAAATACTCTATGCTCCGGAACCAAGAGCCCCACTAATTGTCAAGCANGATGACGAAGCCGCCGACTTGGTGAAGATCCGTAACTGGTACCTTCCTGAGGTTGTGCTCGCATACAACACAGTGCTTTGCGCTGGCGCGCACATGATCAGCCGTGAACACCTCTTGAGGAGCATGGAACTGGCAAACGATGTTGCCAACGACAAGACGGGTCTGGCTGAGTGCTTCATGGAGTCTCGACGTATGCGCGAGCTGGTCATTGCGTTTGCACAGTCCAGTGAGACTATGTTGAAGTTGAACGAGATGAACCAGGGCAAGCGCGAGAGGAAGAACAAGGCAGGCAAGAACCTCGACATTTGGGAGATCAAGGCATGAAGAATCATCACCGAACAGGGTCTGTATATCAAGCATGGATTGAGTACATCACTGCCATTGTCAGAGAATGATATCTCATCCGTCCGGTGTCAAAGATTTTACAGGAAGGAGCTCTGAAGGTCTGAAACACACAGAAGGTGGGGTTGAACCTCAAACATGGGGCCACTCTCCCGCAATGATGGCATCTGACGATTTCACGCCCTCCGAGAGACAACAGTTGCGGAGCACAGATTACGACACACCTTTGTGTCTATCATCATTCTCACACAAGCATCGAACTATATAATACAGATTTCTCAATCCCGGAAAACATTGACCATCCACCGCCTCTTCATCAGCTTCATCGTTGTTCAGCTGACCATCTCTAAAGCACAGCTCAACAGTGGCCATGTCAAAAACAATCGAAGACAATGGCTGGACAGCAGTTTCAAGAAGCCTCGAGAAGCTGCTTTCCAACCGCAAGAATCCTGAGTCAAAGGCAACACCGCTTCGAGTCGAGGACATGCCATTGCCCAGCAGCCCTGTCGTGGATGCCATCATGAAACACGCACGAGATCGCCTGCCCAAGCAGATCTTCAGCCACAGCATGCGCGTCTACTACTACGGTACATTCATGCATCACCGCGACATCACTCAATGCTGTGCCTTGTACGAAGCAACTGCCACTGACATAATGACATACACAGGTCAAGCCATTGCCATGCAGCACTTTCCCGAATGGCGCTACAGTCCAGAAACATACCTGCTCGCCAGCCTCCTCCACGACATCGGCACTACAGACGCAAACATGTCCTCCACACAACTGAGTTTCGAATTCCAAGGAGGCATCCAAGCATTGAATCTCTTGACTCAGAACGGTGCACCTCAGTCGACTGCTGAATCTGTGTGCGAGACTATCATCAGACATCAGGATGTTGGCGACACGGGCAACATTACCACTTTGACTGCGGTGATACACTTTGCGACGTTACTCGACAATGTCGGTGCAAATCCAGAGCTGGTGCACAAGGATACGATTGAGAGTGTTGTCAAGACTTGGCCTAGAGAAGGTTGGACTGGTTGCTTTGCTGCTACTGTCAGGAAGGAGACCAAACTCAAGCCATGGTCGCACACGACAAAGATCGAGGACTTTGCTGAAAAGGTCGAAGCCAACGAAACTATGCACCCTTACGATTGAAGAAGATATGCAGATGTGTTGATGAATCGATGAACCCATGGCCTTCCAGAGGCATATGCAGAGAGTTTGACTGACTTGTAGAACTTCAATTGTAGTAATGACAGAGAAAATGCTCTGTCGCTCTAAATTGTTGTATTTTTGTAGCCAAACATGCTACTCCCTGCCCTTCTAGGAGGACTGATCGACGAAAGAAAAAATAAGGATATATATACATTAACTTGAGAGCTCTGACATTTGCTCAAGTATATGGTAGAAAACCGGGAGAGTTTAGAAGGAGAATCCAAAAGGACAAAGAACGCCGATCGTGTATGCGATGATATGGTTTAGTTGACAAATGAAAGGCGAAAAGGAAATGATCATGATCTCGGGGCGGGCTTCTTGACGCTCAACTCGACTTTGCTGTACCATGCAGCACCGAGAAGAGTGACCAGCATACCGGCTCCGTTCTCGGGTCCAACGCGGACGTTGAAGAGAACGATGCCGAGCAGAATTGTGAGGCATTGCTTGAGGTTGCCGCAGACGCTCAATGTCAGGGCACCGGCAAGCTTGTTTGTCTGGAAGGAAGTGACGTTGAGCATGAAGGCGAGGATGCCGTTTCCGAGCAGGGCGAGAATGACTGATGAGTTGAGGCCACCCTCAGCAGCGAACTTGCCGAAACTGGTGACTTCTCCGGTGCAGTATGCGTAGACGAGCGATTGTACGGCGGCGAGAGGAGACATGCGCAGAAGGAGTTCGAGGGCGGGAAGCTTGAGGCTGCCGGTCAGGAGACGGTTGGTTGCGACGGNTCTGATATTCAGTCAGTAAGGATGTAAGGAGAGCAAAGTCTGTATCTGGGCACGTACCTTGATGGCAGCAAGGAAAACACCGAGGAAGGTCAGGGATGCGCCGACAAGAGAGAAATAGTAATCGCCGTATGTGCTAAGTCCAACGCCGAGAACGATGGGGATCAGAGCCATGTATGTGGCCTTTGCGTAGGAGCGGCCGTAGAACCAGCGGTAGATCAGAATGGTTGCGACGGGACAAGTCGAGCGCGCGATTTGGTGGAAGGGAACCGAAACCATCTCTAGCGAAACGTTCGAGATGGCAATGTTGATGGTGAAGAGGACAGAGAATGCCACCAGGACATAGTTGTCTTGTCGTGTGAGGTATGAAAGCTTGATGTGGCCTGCGAGCAGGAGGGTGTAGCATCCGATGGCTGCACATGTAGCGTGTAATGTGGTCATGAGCCATGGGAAAGCGAACTTGTCGAGGACGGCCTTGTTGTATAGCGTGAGGCCCAGGTTCATGGCGAAGTATAATCCGAGACAGATCATCTTGACGCGGGTCGAGACGAGGTATTCAGCTCCTTCCTGTGCGCTCTTTGCTTGTGTCTGTTCCTCGACTATCGACTGCTTCTCCACGTCGTCGTCGCCCAGCAGCTTCTGGCGCTGCTCTTCATGGTAGTCGCTGAACTCGGACTCGTCCATGGACAATTGTGGTTGCTTCTCCGAGATGGAAGCCATGACTGTAGTTGCTAAACAGGGAGCCGGCCACGAGGATTACTTGACACCAAGGGTATGCGGCAAAGTTAAAAGGAATGGAACAATGAACGAGTTTGGGGAAATAAGTTGGATACGGGCCCGGTACGAGGGACGATGTAATACGAAAGTATCTCGCAAGCCTCAAGACAGCCTACCCTAGCTAATATATCATCAGATAACCGCCTACGGACCTACGTAGTCATGTCATGCGAAGGGGCCCGCATGCAGCCGCCCCTCTCTAAAAGCGTCCATTGCCAAGCGTGTAATCGCAACAGAACATCCTCTAAACCAGGCCTCTTACCAAGCCCAAGTCGACAGTTGACAAGGGGGTAATTAGCATTCATTTCTTGAATGTGGAATAAGGCCATTTAGTCCAACGTCCTGCCTCCTCCAGCTCACGCCGTTTCACAAATTCTTGACCGTTGTGTCCAAACTCAGCTGTATGTTATTGTCCGTTGGAAAGGAGTTGCACCATGACTACAAGACCATCGACACCCCAGTGGCCAAGAGGTAAAGGATCTGCGCACGGAAAATATCTTGACATCGCCTATCATGGTGGGGTCTGTGGAGATTGCGCCAAAGCACCAGGGATCCAGAGCTTGTGTTTGAGAGTCGTCTCTTCTTCCGCTTCCCGAAAGTCAAGCGCGAGATCGGCATTCTCACGTGTGCTGGAGAGTTAAACTCCTATCAATATATCAAACGTTCTTATCGAGGATCCTACAAGCTCAGCTGCCCAACCATCGGAAGCCGAAGGTGAAATGCACAAGTCCTCAGTACATTGTGGTGATAGATGAAACGCAGGCTGAATCGATTCATGTGCGGTCCACGTATGCACCCGGAGGTTGGGTTTTGTCATTACCGTGACCGGAAAATAAGCAGGCCTATTCAGACGCCACCACCGCTTGTGGGCGTTCACGGCTGGCATCCACCCCGAGAGCTAATCAGAGCCACTTGAGGATGCCGGCTATCAATCAAACATGGATATGCATGTCCGACCAACTGCAAGCGGCAGTTCACAATCCGCAATCCGCAATCCTCGGGTCCTCGGCATGAGCTTGAGCATGGATCTCGAGTTCCTGAGCCGCATCACCGTATCAGATTGTACAGTACTGATCAAGGTACCCAGCCAAGTATGTGTGCTGTGCCATGTTTCCGTAGCGATGCAGAGGCATACATGCAAGCTACGAAAATGCACAGTCTGGTTCAAACCAGACATGAATGCAACGAAAGTTGGCGATCAAAAACTCAATAAATGTTACTCATTCGCTTGCATACTGCACATCCTTGTATCATACACGCGTCGCAAGACTTAGAAATTGGTGGCAAATGTTGCAGTGACATGAAGCGCATGGCGCTGATCAAATTGATCGAATATTACAAGAACGTATGTATAGACATGATGAAACCCACCCAACCAAACTCCCAGAAGTGCTCTATAGTTTTTGAACCATGCCGTGATCGTGTCCCAAGAAGGAAATAGTAAAAGGAATGCCAGAATCCTTTGTAGATTATTATTGGAACGAGTTGCCTTTGCCGATGCACTCGACGCGGAAGCCCAGCCGTTGCAACTTGCCAGCGTCAATCACTCTACGGCCGTCAAAAACGAATGCTGGACGTTCCATGATGTCGAAGATCTGCTCCCAATCGACCTTGGCGTTTTGTGCTTCGGCGTGCTTGAGAGCAGTCTTGGGGTTGTAGCGCTCGCGTGCAGATCTGTCTGCAGGTGTCATTTCCATTTCGTTGTCAGAGCCGTGCTCGGATGCGACAGGACTGGGCAGCAGTTGTTGAGGGTTATCGAGACCAGTCTTCTTGGCAGGGACAACATCCTTGTTGGAGAACTCGTCCCACTCGGTAAGGACAATGACGGCGTGAGACTCGGAAGCACAGTCGTATGGGTTTGGTGCAATCGAAACGTACTTCTCAACATCGTCAATGTGGCACCCACTGATGTCAAGCTCCTCCCAGATCTGTGCCTTGGTGACTTGAGGGTCGTAAATGCAGACCTTGGCTTGTTCGGCGATAAGGTCCTTGACAACGGAGATGGCAGCACTCTCACGAGTATCAGCAGTGTTCTTCTTGTATGAGAAACCGTAGACGGCGATCTTCTTGCCAGTCAGAGTTCCGTAGAGTGTTGAGATGATACGCTTGGTGAAGCGAGACTTCTGCCATTCGTTGATAGCGACAACAGACTGCCAGTATGCGGCGACCTCGGGGAGATGCAGGGTTTCGGCCATGTATGAAAGGTTGAGCACGTCCTTGCGGAAGCAGGAGCCTCCGAATCCGACTGAGGCTTGCAGCATGCGCGAGCCAATTCTGCTGTCCAGACCTGCGGCATATGCAATCTCGCCAACATCGGCACCAGTAGCCTCGCAGATTGCGCTCAGGGCGTTGATACTGCTGATACGCTGAGCCAACAGTGCGTTGGCAGCGAGTTTGGCGAGCTCCGAGGACCAGATGTTTGTCTTCAAGATGTTCTCCTTGGGCACCCAGCTGCCGTAGAGGTTTGCCAGGACCTCTGCTGCCTCAAGACCACTGGGTGTTTGCATAGAACCGATCAAGATACGGTCTGGTCTCATAAGATCGGCCACAGCAGTACCCTCAGCCAAGAACTCAGGGTTCGACAGGATCTCGAAATTGAGGCCAGGCTTGCCAATGGCCTTGAGAATCTCTCTCATGTTGGCTGCAGTTCTGCAGGGTACAGTGCTCTTCTCGACAATGATTGTGTCTTTCTCGGCCTCGGCAGCGATCATACGTGTGGCAGATTCGAAGTAGGCCATGTTAGGTGCCTTGCCGGCACCAATACCGGCGGTCTTTGTAGGGGTGTTGACACAGATGAAGACAATGTCGGCACGCTTGATGGTGCCTCTGACATCGGTGGTGAAGAAGAGGTTCTGGGNGCGGACTTCAGCATCACGCGCCTCCTTGACGACGGGAAGGAGACCAGGCTCGTAGATGGGGAGGGCGTCGGAGTTCCATGCTGCGATACGGGTTTCGCTCAAGTCGACAACGCTGACCTCGACGTCAGGGTTTTTGAGAGCAAGAACAGCACCGCTGGGACCGCCCTGTGATATAGAAAGCCTTGTTAGCCATGCTCGGTAAATTGTCTCGTGGCAGCTCGTATTCGAATAAGTTTAACTTACGACAAAGCCGGCGCCAATAAAGCAAACACTCTTCACAGGACTCATCATGTAATGTGCTAATTCGAAATTTGAAAGAATGTGGAAAAGTGAGTGAGAGTGATGAAGGAGAGTTTAATCGAAGCAAATATAAACACTAAGTACCTAGTAGTCCTTGGTATGGCGATAGGAGATGTCGCTTGGATCGGCCTTGGCCAGGGGGGACAGGCCGTTTACTAGAAAACGCCATAACCTCCGAGGCGGTACAACCCTTGCGAATGTAGGGTTGCCCGTTGGGAAAGGAGCTAGGCTTGGCTGCTCAATGCCTGTAGACACAAACCACATTCTTGCCCATCATGCGACTCACTGATCAACGATCCGACGGCACGTAAGAGCCGACTCTTGTCAGACAGACTTCAACTTTCGTAACAAAGTCATCAGATGACACGATGCTGTACCTTGGCACAAGGCTCAATCTTGGAGCCCAAGCCTTTGAGGTCGGGTACAGGAACCAGGAACCACTCGTGTAGAACGAGAACCTTGATCATGACTTGGCGCACGAGTCAGCGCCAAGGAATTTCCAAGCCACACGCATGATGCTCCTTTCTTTAGTGCTGTAGAGCGCTAAACACCGTCTTTCAGCTGTGAAATGCTGTCAGTAGTAACAGTGCCCACATCCCCAGCTATAGTGCCTTCATCTATGTAACCGTGCGATAAAGGAGCCTTCTACGCGATCGCCCTACTTCCGTCCCAGGGGTTTATCCACAATCCGCCAGTGCTCTGAGCATTCTCAGACTTGCCTTCCTTGCATCCTACGCCTACCCTACATGCGCCTGTGAGAGTGCGCCTCCTTCTTTTTTTTTTGTTTTGCTGCTACTATGAATCTCCCATCGCTGTCCAGATCCGACATGTCATACAGTGAAATGGGTCGCTCTATCCTAAGGCCGAGGTGGATCTTTGGTTTCGCTGTCGTGCTCGTAACCTTAATCACACTGTTTACACACACGGCATCTCACTCAGTCAATGGTCTGGTCACTTCGATCAGCACTACAGTAAGTGCCCTGCAGACTCATCGCCGCATACTTCTTCTTACCACGCTACCANNGAAATCCTCAACCTCCACATCATCGACCAGCAATGGCAAAGCCGGTCTCCACTACCTCATTCCTGCGACAAGTAGCAACCGAGACTTCTGCAAGCTGCTCCTCTCCTCCACCATCCTCGATTATCCCACTCCCGTCCTGATCAACTGGGGCGCTCATGAAGAAGCCAACCCGTACAAGCAGCATCTTGCCAAGGTCGAGACTCTGCTTGCTTACATGAAGAGGCTGAAGCCCATCAGCAAGGAAGATGATTTGGTCCTCATCCTGGACGGCTACGACGTCTGGTTCCAGTTGCGACCAGACGTTCTACTTAAGAGATATTTCGAGATGAATGCAAACCTCGACCAGCGAACCATTCAGGCATTCGGTCAAGACGCTTTCGACAATGGCGATCATCGTACCACTGTCATTTTCGGCCCCGACAAGATCTGTTGGCCCATCGACTTCAGTCGCCCCGCATGCTGGGCTGTTCCTCATACTGGTCTCTCCCCGACCGCTTTTGGCCCTGAAGAGAATGATTTCAGAGAGACACACAACGAACCTAGATGGTTGAACTCGGGAACAATCATGGGTCCTATTCAGGACATGATTGACGTCTTCCAGGCTACCCTCGACCTGATCCACTACAACCACACCACAGACTCTGATCAATTCTACTTCGCAAACGTTTTTGGTGATCAGGAGTTTGCTCGTCTATCCCTGGACCAAGAACTTCTCGAGAATCAGGCCAAGGAAAAATATAGGGAGGAGTTNTCAAAAGAAGAGGACCCTCCTCGCCAGATTCCTGAGTTCCACGAGGGACAGAGAACCGAATACCACATTGGCATCGACTATTTCTCGGCCATGTTCCAGACTTTGGCCTTCTACAAACAGTTCCTAGCCTGGATCCGTCCAAGTGATTCCTGGGCAACTATGACGAACGAGGCTGGCGATGTTTCTCAAGAGAGATACGGTTTCAAGGTGGCTGAAGATATCTCTGCTTCACTTTCACCTTATGCCGCATTCGAAGCCTCGCCTCCTTTGTCTAATGGCTCAGTGGAGTATCCCAAGTCATGGGAAGATGTCAATCTCTGCGTCAACACAGTGACCGACCTGGCTCCAGTCACTTTGCACTTTACTGGTGAGAAGGCACTGCGCGAGTTATGGTGGGATAAGTTATGGTTCTATGAGGACGCTGAAGAGCTTCGCAAAGCTAGTCTGAGACTGCCCGAGCGGCCTATCAGTGAGGAACCTATTGCAGGCAAGACGTGGTACAAGATTGAGTCCAGTGACCCAGAGGCAGGAAAAGGAGGAGCGTGGGCTGACAATGGCGGTTGGCACTCATGGACCAGTCTGTGCAAGACGTATGAGGATGAAATCTTCCCTCGAAAAACATTCAAGAAGAAGGGACCTCATCATCACTCATAGAAATGGGGTTGTTGGTCTCAGGTTCATACATAAATAATACATCTTTCTAATGCTACAATCTCATGTGACTACCTACCAAATTTGGTTTGTGTGTTGCGTAAAGGAGGAACATGGCTCTACAATGATTCGGTCACTCTTCCGAAACTCGGGTCAGCCACTATTGGGGCTCCGTAACGGCTCAGCTGAAGCATGGGGGTAGACATGCATAATCGGAGAGGAGTCAAGGACGGGAGCGCTGGCAATTTTGTTGGTTACTATGTTTTTAAGGGGCTTTCAACCAGTACGCTTATGGATAGGTACCCATGTTATTTCATTTTTTTTTTTTGGCACAGACGCAGCGGCTCATACTACTTCGGCGTGCGCAGCAAGCGTGGGCTCGCCCGCCGTTTTTGATCTACTTAGGAGTCAGGTTCGCACATGCGCGCGAAAACAAGTAGTGTTCTGATTTCCTACAACAAGTCCAGGGGTTGTGTGAATTTCTTCCGTCTTTTGCTTGCGATATTCATTCTTCACTTTTCTCAGCTGGGTTTTCTTTGTTTTCGGATTCTCGGCCCCATCGTGACAATCGCCTGACGATGTCGATCCAAGGAGTCATGAATAAGCTCAAGCAAAGCCTGTGGCAAGGCAGTGGGCCAAATTATGAGCGGGTTGACCTTGAGGATGGTTTCGAGAAAGAGCACACCACTAACAAGAGGCAATCTTCACGACATACTAAACCGGTGATCATAATCCTTGGGTCCTTGATCGCCATTTTTCTATTTCTATCTTCGGTATGTGACTTCGCATCCTTCTGATATTTTCTCCCGACCAATCTAACAACACAGGGTGGTCATGACTCTGCCAAAACCACTGTTTCCTCGGAGGAAGACATTGTTGCCACCAGCTTACCTCCGGATGATCTATCCGGTGAGGTATGCTGATGTCAACTATTGCAAAGCTGTTCTTAGTACCGCCATCCTGAACTATCCGGAACCCATGTTGATAGGATTCACGGGTAAGAAGCAGGAGGACGAAAATGCTGACTCCACTCTGGACTTGGCTCAACGCATTTCTCGCAAGACTAGTATCCTTGGCATCGACAAGCACCTTAGGAACATCTCAACAACTCGTGATGAGGATCTTGTGGTTATTGCCGATGGTTCAAACAGCTGGTTCCAATTGCGCCCCCAAACACTTCTTGACCGGTACTTTGAATCGAACAGGAACGCGGATGAACGCATCAGGAAGGAGCTCGGAGTAAATGCCGACGTCCTGGGCATTCGTCAACGAATCATCTTTGGTGCTCAAAGAGACTGCTCGCCTTGGAACGCAGAGGATCCAGCTTGCGCCGCGGTGCCCGGGTCAACATTGCCCAATGACATCTATGGACCCCAGACTGATGCTGAAGCTGGTGAGGGCAAGGATCCCTTCACGAAGCATCGCCCAAGATACATAAACTCTGGCTTCGCCATGGGTCCCGTCAAAGAAATGCGTAAGCTGTACGCCGAGGCTGCCAAACGCATCATGGGCGACCAGCATCTCCAAGATGGAGGTAAAGTTCTTGGTCAGCTCTTTGCCGAGCAAGAGATGGCTCGTGAATCATACAGAGTTCAATCAGGTTCACCCTTCGCACGTCTTGGCTCGTGGCTTTCATCATTTTGGGAAAGTGCCAGCGCAGTTCAGGATAGACAGGCACAGCAGCTGAGAGAGACTGACCTCTCACGAGAGTACGGAATCGGTTTGGACTATGCCAGTGGACTTGCCTTTGAGGCTGCCCATGCCGACGCTGATATGGAGTTCGTACAGTTTGGTGATGCAGCATCAGTGCACGCAGCCAGCGCTAAGCATGGTATCAGTGATAGCCGAATCAGTCAAATTGCGCCTGATGTTGGTGCATCTTTGCCACCATTCTGGACTTATAGTCAGGAGATCCTTCCNTCCCGCAACACATCTTGGACGAATGTTTCTCTCCTGACTAATGCCTGGACTGGCGTCACGCCCGCCGTTGTTCAGCACGACATGAACAATTACCGCAGCGGTTCTCAGCGTGAAGCATGGTGGTCTCATATGTGGTTCCAAAAGTATGCTCGCAAGTTGTTCGATGTCCATGTCCAGATGCCTATCGGCCCTGTCGCCATCTCTGGCTACGACGCTTCATCCCGTCGTCAATGGTGGGGTATCGAAGACTGGAAGGGCGGTGCAAGAAACGAGACCAAGTTCTGGTGGAGATATGAAGATGTGTGTGGAGGAACAGAGACCGAAGTCTTCAGAGACAACAAAGGTCCGTGGTACCTTCCATCTAACCATTAGATTTATTTCTTATATCTCCTTGATGTATTTGCACCTGTAATGTCAAAACTCACGTACAGACTTTCCACGATCATATTTTTTCGAGAAGTCTAAGAGTACAACACTCAATAAGCCGCCGAAGATGAAGACAACTCGTCTACGAGGGTAGATAGCATACGCCTTCAGAGCGGCTCAGGAGAAAGGGTCTGAGGTATTAAACTGCTCATGCGGATATGGAGACAATAACTATCTATTTGTACAATTCGTGATATTACTCCTGTCACTCTCGCGTTGTGTATGATGGAGCCACCGGACTGCTGCCATACCACTCGGTTGACGCCGTTGATGCCGAATCGAGATCATATGGTTGTGTGTTGATGCGCAACTTTCTGCTAGTGTCAGGTAGCTCCGCTATGGGCTCAGCTGGAAGTTCTACACGGCTTCCCTCAGGTAATTCCAAGATCCGTCCATCGGGAAGTTCTACCAATATCTTGGCCGGTAGTGCAGCTGGCATCTCGACTAGAGCGCTGTTTGGAAGCTCGGTTCGAGGAGAAGAGGTATCTGGAACCTCGACGTGTGAGGACACACCAGTGACCTCTGCCGCATCTGGAGTTGCTGAGGTTGTGCCTTGAAGCTCAACATCATCTGGTGCAACGTCAGGTTTAATAGACTCTGTCTTTGAACCAGCATCGCCGGCTTCAACATCGTCAGATCTGCTAAGCTTGCGCTGTTCTCGTGACATTCGCCGATGAACATGCACTTCCCAGATTTCAAGCAGGAACAGGATGCAATGTAGAACTCCCAGAATCAGACCGAACCACCAAGGTATCTGAAGCAGACCTAGCCCATCAGAAAATCCCGTACCAGACCAGTACTGGCCATTGATGGCCAGATCTAAGGCTAGTAGCAAGCCAGTGATGAGGTCCATACTAAGAAGCCATCCAGGATTAATGATAATCTTCCTCCGTGAGAGGAACAAAAGCGTGAGCGCGATTACACTGGTCACGAAAGACAGAAGAGGCTGTTGTTACTGACAGTAAGCTTCATGGTTTCCGTTGTGCTATGCTGCCATCTTGGGCGAATAAAGAAACAAATTACTTACAGCTACGATGAAGAGTATGGAACCCATGTAGAGGGTATGGATATTCCTATAGTCTGCCCAATCATGGTACACGATAGCAAACACGATCAAACCAGTCACAGCGGCGACGATGGATAGCCAACGGAGGGCAGACCTCAGATACCAGTATTTGCTGTAGCCGTCCGAGATGTACCGCCATCTAGCACTTCCTTTGGCGTGTCGTACGGGCGTAGTCATCCTGTGAGAATCCAGGTCTCTCGTAATGTGCTTCGTATTCCTTTATGGTGACCAACTCCCAGAGGTGTGGAGAAAGAGGACGAAAAGAGTGCCCGTGTGCCAAAAGGAGTCATTAATGCCGCATTCGGCATGCGTTCAACTCTGTCGTTCTTGCGGCTTGAAGTTTTGTTCAATTGTTTGGGAGCGGGGTGTGTCTCCGATGGTTTAGGAAGGACCGAAGAAGATCATAAAGCGAAGGATTTAGCGTCAAAATCCACCACAACTTTTTTTTTTTGGAGAAGCAGGAGACAAAATTAGACACACCCATCCACTGTTATCACCGAAACTGCGTCACAGCCTAGAGTATTATCAAGACTTCCAGAGGCTCTCGCGATCAGACTCTCTGCTCAACCAGAAGAGACCTTGCTGAAGCTTCCAACCACACTCTTGCAGCTTGAAAATCTCACAATCATGTGGACTCTGTCGATTTGCATGCACGATCATCGTCTAGAGCAAGGCAGATAATTGTTTACCACAGTGGTGAACTTCTTCGAGAGAATAGTCCCGTTTCCTCTGTCAGAAACGTATGGAAAGTTGCGTTTTGTTATCACGTCAGTCGTATGAGATATCTTGCAGAGCAAAGACTTCTACCTGCGTGATTTCCTGCAGTTGTTACCCTACAAGTACTGTCCTTTTCAATGCTCGCAACCCAAAGTTTCTTACCGCTACATGCTTGCTTAAAAGTGATAGGTACAGAATGCTTGGTTGCCTGATATCATTGAAATCTTTTCAGTGTGCAGTTCCACCTTTCCCTAGGCAAAGAAAATACATCGGACCTTGCTCATGCTTCCCACTTATTGTTAGGGACTCTTCTTGCTACAATTCTTGGTCCAATGCCTCTATGAAGTTTCCTGTCACAAGACTTGCACACACCCGAGGGTCCTAAGCTCTGTACATTTGCCACTAACACCGGTCCTAATATTACGCCTTTTACTCTTATACACTGGGCTTCGTTATCCTACGATGGTAGCCTACAGCTCAGCAGATCCGATAGTACTCGCTACGAGACGTGGGTTTCTTTCTCAACGACAAAGAACTCATTAACACTCATCGGGACTTCGACTATCTCCACAAAGCTGTCAACAAAAAGACCGTGAAGCGTATGGAGAATCTGATGCGCGGGCTTCAGAAGATGAGCACGAGGGAGAGCCTGAAAAATCATGATCAAGCCTGAGACCTCCGTCTGCATGTTTTGAACTGGCTTGTCAACTTTACCACGCATCGCACATGTCTCGGGAGCATGTCCGTCGAGGCTCGAAAGGTTGAACTCGCTAAGGCTTACCTCTCAGCCATGATCAATGGAAGGTTCGCTCGTTACGGACCACAGGCTGTTGAAATGTTATGCGACATTAGTAGAGTGGAAACAACTGCATTGTAGATAGCCGCTGATAGCGCAACGCAAGCAATGTAACAATCTTTGTTCAAGTGAATACTTCTCTCCTAATCCCAACCATGCGCGAACCCCCAGCTGTAGTCCTCAGCTCTGACTGCTTGTCATACCCGTCCATGTAGACATCGAGGCACTCCTTCCAAATACATACTCCGTCGCTCGTCCCGTCTCTGCCATGGTTGACGAAGTCTGTAGTAGTATAGAAACCGACTCTTCTGTAGTGTGTCCCTAGATGTGTTGGGCACATCACACGGCTGTCATCAGCATTTAAGGGATCTGAAGGATCCGCCGCCATCGGTATGCTCATCCAGATATCGAGCACGCCATGCCGCTCCTCATACTCCTGCGTAAAACGACGGAGCCTCTCCCAGTTGTGGCAGATGGCATTAATGCCCATCGAGATACAAATTGGGCGCCGCCCTAGGAGGTGTGCATATGTGATTTGTTCCTTAATCCTCGTGGTGTACCGAAAGGCTGCGCTTGCCCGTGAAGAAGCATGGGTTAGATTCCTCAATTTACCTCTCATAAACTCCATCTCTGTCGCAGTATCTTCGGCGAATGAGGGTAGAAGGCAGCCTCTGATCTTGCAACCATACACTAAGCCCACCGAGCTTACATGCGCCATGCCCACGCGATGTGCCTCCTGCGAGAATCTGATAGCATCTGCCTTAAGAACATCTTGAAAGTTGACAGAAGGTGTGTACGAGCTGCTCCTAAAGATAAACACCAGATGTTCTCCATTTGGACAAAGAAGATGTGGACCAGGCCCCCAGAGCATTGAACGACATAGGTACTTGTCTAGGTCGTTGTAGATGCGGGATACACCTATAGCGATAAAGCCATCTCTGGTATTGCTGCTGCTGTCTTCGTAGACTAAGGAGACCACTAGCTTTGGGCAACGCTCGCTTACACGGCCTGTGCGCTCAAAGATCTCCATGATAGAGCTAAGCCAGACATCTTCGCGACAAGCCGGCATGGCGGAAAGGGGAAGTCGTGGGCAACCAGCTAGGATGTAATGCTTGACTGACCGTGCCAGCGGATCAACGAATCCTTCTGGACACCCGAACTCACAGACATATTGACCCATGTTGAACAACTCAGTCCGATGATTCAACGTATGCTTGATGAAGGATTTACTTGTAGTCTTTCTTGGAAAGACCTCACCACAGAATCTTGCTGGACACTTGTAGAGAAATCTGCCACCATCTTCGTCCATGTACTCATGCACCCTCAACCAAGTGTCCTCATCTGGAGTATGAGAGCCGCCTGTGTCCAAGGTTGTTCCTTCAGTCTGACTGCCGTCATGCTCGGGAAACTCTCCAGTCTCGTAATCGACAAAATCGATGGCCGAGTTTTAAGGATTGAACGTACAGACTGCGTCTTCGTCCTGATAGCCCCACGCTTGAGCCGTGTCGTCAGGAATCTCACCTGTGACAAGTGGTGAAAGATCCTGGCCAACGTCGTGAGGTTGGTACAGTCCCACATGATCCAGAATCTGTCTCGTTTCGGTTGCGTCAAGTGTTAAGAGATCCTGGGCAACGTTGTTATGTTGGTGCAGTCCCATAGGGTTTAGACTCTGCCTCGTCTCAGTCGTGTCGGCGGCACGATGCTGGTATCCTTCTGGCATAATCGAAATCGAGTTGTCTGGAAGACTTGGACCCAGCATTCCCTGCGAAGGCCATGACACGGCTTGTGGGTGTTGGCCAAAGGCGTGAGCAGTGTAACCTCCCTGCGAAGGCCATGGTGGTTGGCCAGCAGCGAACGGATACTGGTTGAAGAACTGGGGTGCATATCCTCCTTGTGGAGGCCATGGCATGGCTTGTGCTGGTTGGCCAAAGGCGTGAGCAGTGTAACTCCCCCTGCAAAGGTCACGGTGGTTGAACATTGCCAATCGTGTGTGGAAGCTGGTTGGAGAACTGGGATGTATATCTTTCCTGCGAAGGCCACGATGGATGGAAATTGTCCGGCGGGTTCGTCGCAGAGCGCACATCTTGAGGCTCTGTTGGGTTGACCGCCGTTCGTGTGCGTTTCGAAGGAGCTGCTGTTGCCTCAACACACGTGTCCGACTGTCGCTTGGAAGGCTGTCGATGATACTGGCCAGAGGCGCCCGTCACTCCTGGTTGAGGCATGGTGACGTTGGCGTGTGATTGTTGCGGCTGCTGGCGGGCGTCGAATGCAGTGTTCTGTAGGATCATGTTCATGGACTGTCCTTGTTGAGGGTGAGGATGCGAGTTGGCTGCAGTGCTGTGAAGCGAACCACGATGATGAGGAGCAGCGTAGTCCTTTTTCTGTTGGTGTGATATCCTGTTCGGTTGATCTCTGAAGGGCTGGTGCTGGTCGACATATCCTTCATCTTGTGTCGAGTCTGTGAGCAGAAAACTGGCGGTCGGTCTTGCCTCCATCTCAGGCTGCCTTTGCTGAGGGAGGACGCGGTGATCTGGCATTGCACGTCTGGCAAGGCCCGATCCGCTGCGACTTTGATTGGGAAGGAGTAGAGAAGGCCTCAGAGGATGTACTTGCACCGGGTGCCGTCAAGGTTGGCGGTTGAGCCCTTCGGAGAATGCTGTTAGGCGGCAGATCGACTTGAGGACGTGCAGCGATTAGTCTATGTGAATTGTCATCTGTGGCCTCTGGTGGTATTACATTGTAGATGGGAGGTAGGTGCTTGTGTGGCGGCCATTGGGTTTGATCAAGCGCACCCATCTTGCAACGCAGAAGAGGGCATCTCTCGTACCAAACCCTAAGCGGCAAACATTGTCTTTGCATGGTATTCTGGGCTCCATGTACGCCTTAGCTCCATGTACACTAGTCCAGTGCGATCTTCCAGCATCGTTAGCAACTTGACGGTACTTGCAGTCCATGTATCCGCAAGTCTCCCCTCTCCCGGTCATGAGATCTGTTTCAAAGCATCTGTTGCCTTGATAGTGGTTTTAACACCGTGCCATTGTATCCATGGTACGAAGTTGGAGCGCTGAGGTGATAGCCATACAGCGGCTGGGTGTGGCTGGACGAGCCATGCTGTTAAAGTAGGCTATGGTTTGAAATTGTCGGATTGTCAACATGGCCGTACTGAGCCTGTGGGTGGCCGGTGTCCCCGTTCGGCTGAGAAGACTGCCGGTGTGAGAATGGGTGGTTGACACCAGTGGATGAGGTATAAGGGGGTCGTATGCCCCAGTCTCGGCAAGCACTCGTGCGCTGTGAATGATTGTGATTAGGGAAGTAGACAAGAGCCAGAAGACAATCCACTCACGCTTCTTTTGCTGCCGTCTTGGTGATAGCCTTGCATCGGCGCTCGATAACCTTTGCAAAAAGGTCGATCTAGGTTGATCGCTGATTAGATTGTGCGCATCGTCGTTTGTGAACCAAGAAGGCAGCATCAGACAGAGAAAGAGCAATTTACGTGCACCTTCCTTACAAGCCACCGCGCCGATGCTGCCCACCATCTCGCCATGTGTCTTTCTAGACCCGTGAAGAGAACGCAATAAACGCATTGCACAACTACAACGTCTAGCTTCCAGCATTGCGAATGCTGTAGCAAAGTCGACTGTTCTGAAATGATAGCAAGAGCTGTAAAGTCATTTGTAGAGAGTGGGCCAAGCTTCATCCTACTGCCAGAAATAACCCGCGACGACACGTTAATTATACACGGATTCTCTATACTTATGAGAGGACATGAAGTGTATCAGTAGTAATGAGGAGGTCGATGCAAAGAAACACAATCGTAGCAATGTTGATGCTGCTCGGGATCACCGTACGAACAAGATCCCTCCTGGTCCACGGCTACACTAATGATTTCTCCGAGGACATGTTGAGTCGACCTGAGAGTAGTCCGAGTGATCATCAACACACGTAATCGAGAGACCCTGGGTGTGAAATGTGCGACAAATCGGGTCCTCGGTGGTGGCACTCACCAAATGCGATTTTGGTTGTATCCCTAGCAAGATATGCGATCTTAGCGAGGAAGCATCGAGTTGTCCCAAAAGTACTTCGAGGATACATTAAGGACTATCCTCTGAACCATTCGGGTGTAGCATGGAGGGAAATCAATATCCTCGGCACTGTAGTAGAGGTAAGTCAGAATTTGGTGGTAAATGGTATTCTCAGCGAGAGCATATCGAGTGAGTCCGAATATATTACGAGTAGGTATTAGTAGCTATATCCTTGTAGACCTAAGTGCGAGATAGGTGATTATGCAGATCCTCGGGCGGAGCATGGGTAGTCGACTTTTGGTGGTGTCCTAGGTGAGGCTTAAGATATTGGCGAGAGCATGTCGAGTGAGCCCGAGTATATCAAGAGAAGACACTAACAGCTGTTCTCTACAAGATCCAAGTACGAAAAGTATAATTAGTCAAGTCCTCGGCCAGTGCGCGGGTAGTCGACTTTTGGTGGTCTCGCACGCGCGGCTGGTGTTCTCAGCGAGAGTATGTCGAGTCAGTCCAATTGTTTCGCGAGGAGGTGTTAGTAGCTATTCTCGCAAAGTTCTGAGTGCGAGATACATGATTAGTAAAGTCCTCGGACAGGATGGGTGCTCGACTTTTGGTGATACCCAAGGCAAGGCTTTGGATATTGGCGAGAGCATGTCGAGTAAGTCCAAGCGCATTACGAGAAGGGATCGACGAATATTATATCCAAGATCTAAGTGCGTTATGTATGATTAGTCAAATCCTCGGACAGAAAAAGGATGGTCAATTTTGGAGGTGAGCCGAGTTGATTCGAGGGCACCGCGAGAAGACATTTTATTGCGTCGGGTTGTCGCTTCTAAGACCGGCCGGCCCATCTTGACTGTATCTCGCTATGGAAGTGTGCCTCGCGCTGTGTGCGCTCATTGTGGTTATAGACCGTGTTGCTCTCGGGCTGTTGACTGGATCCAGCAGCGACATTGGTCCAAACCTGTGAATGCACGCTGTTATCAGGATATATCTGCTGTTACTGAGGGTGCGTATAGGTTATAGTGCCCCATAGGTCGACTGGTGGATGATTGTTCGTCAACAAACAGTATGTTGTGAGTGAAGTATCAAAAGCATCGCCCAAAACTTCTATTGTCCCCATCCTTACTGGAGACTATCGTAAGTAGCTGTAAAAAGTCACAATACTATCAAGAACCAGATGATGTCCACGGAGAGACATCTAGATTAGAGTATCTCAGCGGACAAAGCTCTGAATCGTTTAGAACTGTGCATTTTCATAGCGTACAATATCACCGTAAGTCATGGTGGGAGATACTAAACAACTTGTAAGCTTAACTCGATTCTTCTCAAATCTACTGGGGTATACAACAAGACAACCATCTCGATCATAACACTCCTAGAAGCCACTTGCGAACTTCTTCTTCAACCTCTCGTACTTTTCGATACTTCCAACACTCTTGTGTACGACGCTGATAGCGTACTCGAAGTCTTCTTGAGCTACCTTGCTGTCCTTGCGTTTCAAACAGTGCTGACCGGCTTGTCGTAGAAGTGACTCGAGATCAGCACCAGAGTAACCACTGCACTTCTCATCACGAGCGATCTCCTCAATACCTGCGGGCCAGACGCCAGCTCTGCCGTCCTTAGCTCTGGACTGGATCAGGGCTCTGAGAATCTCGACACGCTCTTCAGTACCAGGTAGGCCAACGTAAATCTTGGTCTCAAGGCGGCCAGGGCGCATCATAGCCTCGTCAATGATGTCAGGTCTGTTGGTTGCTGCAATGACATAGATACCAGCGCGGTGAGACAGACCGTCAAGCTCAGTGAGCAAAGTGTTGACAACACGTGCAGATGCTTCGGAGAGCGAGTCATCACGACGAGGCACAAGGGCATCGAGTTCATCGAAGAAGATGACACAAGGTGCAGAAGAGCGAGCGCGGTTGAAGAGCGTACGCACTGCACGTTCTGATTCTCCAACGTACTTGTTGAGGAGTTCTGGACCCTTAACACTGATGAAGTTGGCCTTTGACTCGGCGGCGACTGCTTTAGCAAGCAATGTCTTACCACAACCAGGAGGACCCCAGAGCAAGACACCAGTAGGCGCAGAGATACCAACAGCAGCATACAAATCGGGGGATTTGATGGGTTCCACAATGGCAGTCTGAAGCTCCTCTCTGACGCTTGTGAGTGCACCAATGTCTTCCCAGGTAGTGTCCGGTATCGTTGCGAAACCTTCACGCTTGGAAGAGGGTGTGATTGTGGGCAGGACAGTCAGGAAAGCTTCCATAGGAATGATTGTCTGCTCGAAGCCTTCGGGCTCTTCCATCTCGGTGTTCCTTGCACGGATGACTAAGCGGTCCCAGAGTTCGTCAACATTCGGTTCTGAATTGTCGTCAAGCTCCATTCCGTCCGTTGTTGCTTCTACCTGCTTGATCAAGGCGTCCTGGTAGCGATCCATGGCCCAAGTAGCAGCCTTGCCTACTAGATCTCTCAGATCAGCGCCCACGAAACCAGGGGTCATCTTTGCAAGTCTTGGGAAATCGACGTCGCCCGAGATGGGTGTGTTTCTTGTCTGTGTGCGCAGAATCTTCTCTCTCATGGGTTCGTTGGGCACGCCCATGTTGATTTCGGTATCGAAACGACCACCTCGTCGCAAGGCGGAATCGATGGTGTCTGGTCTGTTAGTGGCAGCGAGTACGATCACGGGCTTGCCGTTGTTCTCTTTGTTGTCCAAAGCTAAGCTGTCCATGCTGATCAAGAGCTGGGCGACAATACGCTTCTCCATCTGACTCTGCGAGCTTTCACGCTTTGGGGCAATGACATCGATCTCGTCAATGAAGATCAGACAAGGAGCGTGTTTGCGGGCTTCATCGAAGCGATCGCGAATTTGTTTTTCAGACTCGCCCGACATGCCNNTGGAAACGACTGATGGGCCTGCGATTTCGATGAAAGGAACGCCGAGCTTTGCAGCACTTGCTCTTGCCAGCATGGATTTACCGCATCCAGGAGGACCGTGGAGAAGAATACCGCGAGGAAGGGGGACGTTCAGATCGGCGTAGCGTTGAGGGCGAAGCAGAGGCAGAGTGAGGAGGTTCATGAGCTGGCGCTTGACATCGTTGACACCACCCAAGTCCTCGAGGGCAATGCCGGTAGGCGGAGACCGGTCGATCTCCTCATTCTTTTCACGCTTTAGGCGTTTCTTCACGGGTTCTCCGTTAGGCTCTCTTTTCTTGGTCTCTGCGCCGTTCACAGCAGGGGTGCCAGAGGCAGTTGTAGGAGTGGCAATCTTCCAGGAACCAGTGATGCTCTTATTCATGATGTTTGGTTCCTCTTCTCTTGCTGCTAGTGTATCGGCTTCAGCTTCTTCGTCTTCCTGCGCGTCGTCTTCCAGGGTATCAAGGATGCGTTCGAGACTGTCTTCGAGGGATCGCTTCGGCTTGCGTTTCAGACTGGAATTCGAGCGCTGAATGGCTTGATATAGGCTGCGCACATCAGGTCTATTCAGGGGGTCCTGTAGCAAATGAGTCACAGCCTGGTAAACTTCGTTATCCAGACCCTGGCGCAGGCGCGAGGCCGGTCTCCCAGGCATGGTGGTGTATGGAGGTAAGCGATTATGATTGGCTTCGATCAAATTGTTGATGGACTTTTTTTCAGGGAGATGCGACAATGTGGGGCTGCGCGTGGCCGGGGCACCCAAGTGTTTTCGGGGTCTCCGTGGGATCGTTGACATGCGCTTCACCTCTGTGCATTACTGCACATAGTTTCGGCAGTATCACTCAACATGAGATGGTTTGCACATATTGAGCCCCTTTACTCTTCTCAGGTCCCTCGCACCACGCAAACCAGGCAGCACCGCACCGAATGATTTCTCCCGGGAAAGAACCTCAGCAGCCGAAGCTTTCCCGAATGACATCAACACATTCACATGCTAATCCGCCATCCACCCCCGAGGGGCACGCGGTATAGACAATCTGCGCCCAAACTCGCCATATCTCTGCCAACATGGGCAACTCATCGAGTACACCCAAGATATCTGCCCAGGATAGGTCAGCCATCATGTCCCTGTCCGCCGTCGCCATCACCCCTCTGACACCCACACANAGGGCGATTCTTGACATGAAGAACCAGCGCGATAAGCTACACCAATACCAGAAGCGCATCACCATCATCACCAACAGAGAGAAAGAGATAGCCAAGGAATGCTTGCGGAATGGTGACAAGAGACGCGCTTTGCTCGCATTACGGAAGAAGAAGTACCAAGAGTCATTACTCGCCAAAACCGATCAGCAATTGGCCCAACTCGAGACCCTCACGAGCGACGTCGAATTTGCCCTTGTACAGAAAGATGTCGTCTTTGGCTTGCAGCAAGGCACGAAAGTCTTGAAAGAGATACACAAGGAGATGGGCGGCTTGGAACGCGTCGAGCTCATCTTGGGCGAGAATGAAGAGGCCCAGGCATATCAAAACGCACGTGGCTTCATGCTTCCAAACAGCTGTACATATGTACTAACAGTCCCTTAGGAGATTAACGAGATGCTCGGTACGAGGATGACCAACCAAGAGGAAGATGAAGTCGAGGATGAGCTCGAGGCTCTAGCGGCAGAAGCAAACAGGCATAAAATGCCGAGCACAGTCGAAGAGGGAGTCATCGAACCCATGCCAAATGCACCTACAGACGCGCCCAAAGAAACGGCAAAAGAACGAGCGGCAAGGAGAGCAAGAGAACGAGAGATGGACAATGGTGCCGAGCCTATACTTGCATGAGACACGAAGCATGAGGGAATAGTGGTGTTTTGTTTTTGGTTCTAGTTAAATACCCATAAGTCTGGTTTTCTTTCGACATACACCGAGTCTTGGACTTGTGTCACTCTTGTTGTGTTACTGTTTGTCACTCTCGTGCTCGTGCTGATTATGACGCACGGGCGACAATACCAATGACATGAATGGGCAGCTCCAATCTCGGAAACCCGCCAGTCGTAAACATGTGAAGAATTTATCAACCGTTCATCAGAACACTACAAGCACCATGTCGCACTGCCACGACGAACACGAAGGTCATGGCCACGGTCACGGCCATGCGCACGGCGCCCACGACCATTCAGACGACATTACGCCAGCTCTGCAAAACAGCCTCTACAGACAGATCGACTTTGACGCCATCAACACTCTGAACGAGAGCGCCTCGGGTTCTGGAAGCAACATCTGCAAAAAGACATGGGACGAGCGATTGAACCCCGAGCCTGAGCTCTGCAGCGATGCCGATGAGCAATTGCTGATGCATATCCCGTACGCCATCTACCACCCTCTCCAGACCTTTGTGCTAACATATCCATGCACAAAGNNCTTTACCGCCCAGATTCGCCTACACTCCATTATGATCCGCACATCCACGACCGACTCAGCACCTCTGACCCTCAAACTCTTCATCAACCGCGACGACCTCGACTTCAGCACCGCCTCGGAGGTCCAGCCAACCCAGACCCTGTCGCTGTCGCAAACCAACGATATTCAAGAAGTTCCTGTCAAGCGTGCTCTGTTCAACACGGTGCGCTCGTTAGATCTGTTCTTCGAAGACAACTGGGGAAGAGGCGATGAGGACGAGACACGCATTTCTTATCTGGGCTTCAAGGGTGAGTGGATGGCTTTGAACCGTGAGCCCATCAATTTCGTCTACGAAGCTGCTGCCAACCCGAGTGATCACAAGATGGTTTCTGGCGTCAGGGGTGAAGTGGGCAGCCGTCTGGGAGGAGCGGGTGGTCGAGGCAATGGCATGTAATCACAATAGGTCAACCAGGAAAGAGGGAAGAAAGACAAAAGTACTAGGGTATATTGCAAATATGAACTGCGGGCGAGTCCGCTACTTGCGTATCTGGTAATACGCAGGCGCATACTCTGTCAGCCAGCTCTTTTCTATCTTTGTTATATCTCTGATGAACGTCTTGTCTCCTGTCTGCATGACTTCGTGGAAGATGACCCAATCCGCCTTTCGATNTCTGTTTCGCCAGTTAGCGCTTTTGCATCGAGACACCAGAAAAGAAGAATTACTTACAAACATCAGAGAGCTGGGATGTGCGTGCAACGTCATGCTGCCATCCACAGTCTGGAATGTTCCATCTGCTTGCATTCTGGCCGCATGCACAAAGTAGCCTGCTGTCAGACATCGACGAATCTGCTCTGCCTTGTCCGGACCACCCACTGTCAATACGCCCTTCGAGCTCAACGACTCGTCTACGTTGATGCCGAACCGCTCCATGTATCGCTTGAGCTGGTTCCGCACACTGACAGCTTTGGTCATGCTCTTGAAGTTGAGGTGGTGATTGCGGCACCAAGAAGCATCTTTCTTGCCCTTAGTGACGAAGGCTTGATACACATTGAGCATTGTCAGATGATCGCCCTCTTCCACTGCGAACTTCCATCTTGATGACTCCATGGCCTTCTTTTCTCCTTCGTGTTGGAACCAGACTGCGCCTTGTAAAGTCGTCATAGCAGCAATTGTCAAGATCTCGCTAAGACATCCAAAATCCGGTGCGGAAAGCAAAACCTTCGCCATCATGGGTTCTACAGCCAGTTCTGCCATGCGAATACCCAGGGGTTTAGTAAGTCTTGCATAGTCGTCTAATGCGCCCAAAGAGTATAGCATTTCCAGTGCTCGGACAACGAGTTCTGATGGCGGTGGTGTTAGGTAGTCGAAGCGAACAATGTTGTCGATGCCCAAGCATTTGAGTTGTAAAATCACTGGAGCGAGGTTACTTCTTTGGATCTCAGGGACAGAGGCATCTTCCAGAGAATCATGTGCAGCTTCTGTGTATAGTCGATAACATTTACCAGACTTTGTTCGTCCGGCTCGACCAGCTCTCTGAGTTGCGGCAGCTTTGGACACCGCAGTCGCTGTCAAAGTCTCGATGCCTGTGCTCGGGTTGAATGCTCGTAATTTGACGAAACCAGAGTCGATGACGAAAACAATACCAGGGATGGTTACTGAAGCTTCTGCGATATTTGTAGCCACAATGACCTTTCGTGTCTCTTCTGCTGCAGGTTCGAAGACGTACATCTGCTGTTCGGTTGAGAGGCCAGCGTAAAGTGGTAGTGGTTGGAGCGCTTGTGGTCCACGAGGTAGGGAAGGCAAGCGATCAGCGATCATGGATATGCACGTATCGATTTCCTCGCGACCGGTCAGAAAGATCAATATGTCGCCTTCGCCCTCCTGTGTATGAATATCGAAGACAGTCTGGACAGCACGTTCAACGTAATCCTCGGCAGGAGCTGTCAGGTAATGAATGTCGACTGGAAACATTCTGCCTTCGAGATTCACGATGCGACCAATGTCGCCACCAGGTTCGTCTGTGTTTGTCGTTCTCTCTGGATTGCCTTCGTCGCGTGTGAAGAAGTCTAGGAAGTCTTCAGCTTGCAGAGTCGCACTGCTGACGATAACCCTCAAATCCGGTCGGCGTTTCCTGATCTNTTTCAAGACTCCCAGTAATATGTCTGAACTCAGAGAGCGTTCATGGGCTTCGTCAACCATGATTACCGAATATCGTGATAACAACGGATCTACGAGTGCTTCTCTCAAAAGTAAACCATCTGTCAGAAACTTGATCTTTGTGGCTGCTGAGGTTACGTCCTCGAATCTGATCGAGTATCCGACCTATATGGATTAGTCTCTCTCAGCTTGACTGGGGAAGGATATAGCCACCTCTTGACCAAGGTTGCATCTCATTTCTTCAGCGACTCTCGCAGCCACCGTAGTAGCAGCAACCCTACGGGGCTAAGATTCCTGTGAGTATGTGTCATGGTGGATGTTTGTAACGTTCTAGTACTCACCCACCTGAGTGACTGCAATCATCTTTCCCTCTTCGCACCATCCTGCTTGATGTAGAAACTGAGGGATTTGAGTTGTTTTACCGCTTCCAGTCTGACCGACAACGATGACAACAGGATATGTCTCTATCAAATAAAGAAGACTTTTGCGATGACGGGCAATTGGCAGTAGAGAAGAAGGCTTGTGAAGGGCAGGGATAAAGTCCCGAGACAAGTCGAAATCGGCCATGTCGACAATGCTTGTCTCAAACAACTACAACTTGTTAGCGGCGTTGAGAATCCATAATTTGGTACTCGTATTGATGGTGTTGGAAAACGAGTGAGTGGACATGACGCTGCGGATGCGCGTTGTCAGTGGCTTGCTTAAAACAGGGTCCATGCTACCCCTCGGCTCAGCAGCCTAAACATCATCTTAACTTCTACACACACAACACACGTCGACATGTCCGAAGGCTCGCACTCAGAGAAGCCCGTACGTTTCTTGTATACGTTTCATCCACACAGACTGATCCAAGTGGCACGCAGNAAAGCAGGCGCCGAATCGCCAACAACAGCACGCGAGCTCGATTTCGACGACGACCACCAAGAGAGCAGTCCCCTCAAGAGCCCTACCCCCAAGCAAGTCAGCTTCGTCGAAGTTGAGGACGAAGATGCTCCGGCCAAGTCTACGCGCCCCTTGAGTCCCAAGTCTCAGAACGAGAAGACACTCAAGGAGGCCTTTCCCACAATCGACTCCAAGGTCATCAGCGCCGTTTTGATAGCCAGTGGTGGCAATGTCGAGCCTGCGTTCAACGCTTTGCTGGGTATATTACTTGCAGTCGTCTTGCAGACCACCACTAACCCTTCGATAGCCATGTCCGACCCTGACTTCAAGCCCGAAGAGGCTCCACCACCGCGTCCTCCGAGACCTACCCAGGCTCAGCGCCAGCTCGACGCCGATGAGCAATACGCCCGCCAACTAGCTCAACACTTCCAGACCGAGTCGCGCTCTCAGCGATCCAGACGAGACGACGATGATCGTGGTCCTCCTCTTCCTAATCGCCCTAGACAACAGCGTCCAGGTCTTGCAGAGGATGACAGAGAATACAGCTTCTTCGACGGTACACTCTTACTCTGTCCGGGACCACGTCTTGTACACCGGTGACTAACTCGGCTGTANGATGACCTTCCCCAGATCAAGGAGAACGTGCGCAAGGGTTTCTTGGAGACACAAACCAAGGTCAACAAGTGGATCACCGATTTCAGAAAGAAGCTGGACGGAGACGATAACGAGGACCCATACGCCGGTCCTACCAGGCAGGACAGCCCCCCTCGTAGACAGAATTTCGGCCCTTCACAATCCGAACAACTCTACGGCATTCGCAGATCGGCCGATGTGAGCAGAAAGAGCACAGACAAGGACCGCTACGATTTGGACAACCGTGTCCTGGATGACGATTTCACAGCCCTCGAGCTCCGTGATGATGAAGGTGTGTCGGAGAAGCCAAATTCGGTGAATCTATAAATGCTAACCCTAAGACCAGCTCACCCTCGTGCTTCATCCTCGGGCAGTCGCCCTCTCGCCAACCCCGACCTTTTTAAGCCCAACGTTGCTCCTCCGCAATCCGGCCCAGTCGATGAAGTCGATGCCATAGACCGAAGGAACCAGCGCCAGCCATCTCCTGGTGCTGCATCCAAGTCAGCCAAGTGGCAGCCCTTGACCTCGATTGCGCCCAACCCAGAGTCGGACGAGAACGATCCTTTCAGCCTCGGGGACAGCGATGACGAGAAGGAGACAAAGACCAAGGATACCAGAGAGTCTGACACTGCGCGCCTGAAGGAGGCTGCCCGTAAAAGTGTCACAGCCGAGTCAGCAGATGCCCCTAAGAGTCTCCAAGCTAGCGAAAGATCTGGAAGCACCAACGTCAGAGACAAGGAAGCTGAAGCTCTATTGACTGGCAAGAAGCCTGCTTGAGAGGCAACTAGATTTTGTACTCTGGGAAGTTCTAAAGTCTCGCATGTATGCAAACTGAACGAAAGCGTTGACAACTATTGATATCACTGGTCTCCGTCACCATCACAATGCACGAAGCTTCCAGGGCAGGGATGTGATGATTGAGACGTTCCGAATGAACAGTCTTTCTTGGATGCCAACCGCTTATAGAAAATATTGTGCATGCTTGTGACTAGGAATATCACTATCTGTTGCCTTGAGAGAGGAATCCATCACGAAACTGTGACAACTGAATGTTTGACCAGACCATCAAAGTGGCTACGTCAGTCTCATCGCAAGGGCCTTCCTCTTTGGGCACGTTAATGTCTATGCGATAACCGAGCAACCATCGACCTCTGTCAGCACTTCGGATGATTGTTTAATGTTAGATAGCACCTCGTCTTTATACATTTGTCGCTCGTATATGTCTCATCTCCGTTAACATAGTTACCGTTTGCGTTACAATGATCTCTGCACTTTCGGTCTTACTGCTCGCTTCTACCGCTGCAGGCCGGGACATAACGTTCCCACCTGTAGCAGGATATCAATCTCCTATGATCCAAGTCTCAGGCCATGAGAGTATCGACATCACCGGAGCCAAGTTTGCAGGATTGACTACATTCGCCAATCTTCCTTATGTTCACTGCCTTGACCAGAGCGGCTCTGAGAAGTACGATATTGCCATTCTAGGTGCTCCATTCGACACTGGTGTGACCGCAAGGCCAGGTGCTAGATTCGGACCCAATGGAATCAGAGCAGGATCTCGTCGTATCCAACCGGAGTTTGCATACAGCATATACAATGGCAGAAATCTGTTCAAGGTAACGACTACATACTGGACATTGACTTCGAACATTTGGCTGACATTATGANNTAAGGAATGGGCCACAATCATCGACTGTGGAGACGCACCTTTGACAGTGTTGGATAACACAGTGGCTCTAAAGCAGCTCGATTTGGCACACAAGATGGTTTCAAGTCGAGCTACCAATTCGACTGATTACACCGTGCCACGACTTGTTACACTTGGCGGTGACCACACCACGACACTTTCTGCCTTGAGATCTACGTTCAAGCATTGGGGCGCCGTTAGCGTCATCCACTTCGACAGGTCAGAATGATTTTGGGTTAGGTGATACAATGGGACTAACGGAAATGCNAGCCACATTGATACCTGGGATCCTGAGATACTCGGAGGAGGCGTCTCACATTATGCAGGAGTCAACCACGGCACCTTCCTTCACATTGCTCACGAAGAAGGGCTGATCAGAAACACATCGATTCACGCGGGAATCAGGGCACCTGTTGGCAACAAGAAGCATGACCTCAGGAATGATCGCAACTGTGGCTTCGAAATGATCACAGCTCGAGATATCGACAGACTTACCCCTCAAGGAGTGATTGAGAAGCTCAAGCGTCGCGTTGCTGGAACGAAGGTATACATCAGCGTCGACATCGATGTGCTTGATCCAGCCTATGCCCCAGCCACCGGTACAGCAGAAGTCGGAGGATGGACTACGCGAGAACTCCTCACAATTCTCGATGGCTTGTCTGGGTTGGAAGTTATTGGCGGAGATGTTGTGGAAGTGGCACCGATCTATGACAATGCTGGGGAGCCGACTACTTTGGCAGCATCCGAGGTGGTCATGTCTTTTCTGCAATTGATGGTGGACCAACCTGTCAAGGCAGGGCAAGATTAGATAGTATATGATACAGTTGGTATATATTTTGGTAGAAGTCGGTTTGGTAGAAGGCGGTGTGGAGGCGGGAAGCCGCAAGCACAGGCCTCGCCGATCTGCCTCGGAAAGAAAGTCTCAGTTGCCAAAAGTTGGGCCCTGTTTGCTGCTGCTGCACTTTTTCCCAGTCCATACAACAAAACACACACAATTATGACGCCCCCACGCAAGAAGCAAAGATTGTCTTTGGACGCTGCAGAGGTCAAGGTCGCAGTCGAAACCGCCACCGAGGCTGCCGTCGAGAGCAATGCTGTCACCAAAGTTTCTGACAAGGAAAGCGAAATCGAAGCCGCTGCTCAGCGCCGCTCGCTCTTTGTCCGTTCGCTCCCTGAGTCTGCCACCTCCGAGTCCCTGACCGAGATCTTCTCCGCTTCCTTCCCCATCAAACACGCCGTCGCCGTTACCGACAAGGAGTCAAAGAAGTGCAAGGGCTATGGTTTCGTCACTTTCGCCGATGCTGAGGACTGTCAGAAGGCNAAGGAAGAGTTCAACGGCTTCGCTGTTGATGGCAAGAAGNNCTTGCGTTGCGAGGTCGCTGAACCCAGACACCGTGAGAAGGGTGCCGCTGCTGTTCAATCGGCTGGCGAGAAGTTCAGAGAGGGCCAAGCCAAGGAGAGGGCTGCTGCTCAGGTTCCAAGATTGATTGTTCGCAACCTTCCCTGGAGCATCAAGTACCCCGATCAACTGGCCAAGCTGTTCCAAAGCTACGGAAAGGTCAAGCACACCGTCCTTCCTAAGGGCAAGACTGGACTCCTTCGCGGTTTTGGTTTTGTCATCATGCGTGGCAGACCCAACGCTGAGAAGGCTATCGAAGGTGTTAACGGNAAAGAGATTGATGGAAGACAATTGGCTGTTGACTGGGCTGTTGACAAGGAGACCTGGGACAACACTGTTCAGGAGGAGACCAAAGAGACGGATGAAACTATGGAAGACGCTACCGAGGACGATGCCGCCGACGGTGCCAACGAACACATCATGGACGAGGACGTTGACGAGTCTGGTTCTGAGGATGAAGACGAAGATGAGGACATGGACGACATGGATGATGAGGATGAGGAGGATGCGAAGCCCAGAACAGAGGACAACTCATCCACCCTTTTCATTCGTAACCTGCCTTTCTCGTGCACCGACGAGGATCTCGAAGACCACTTTACCCAATTCGGCGCAGTCCGCTATGCAAGAATTGTCGTCGACCACGAGACCGAGCGCCCCAGAGGTACTGGTTTCGTCTGCTTCTACGAGCTTGAAGACGCCGACAATGTTCTCAAGAATGCACCTAGACACCAGCCTCCCCGCTTGAACGACCCCAAAGCCAAGGACGGTTCTATCCAAATGACACACTCGGTTCTCCAAAACGAAGACGCCGATCCCACTGGAAAGTTTACCCTGGACGGACGCGTTCTGCAGGTATCCCGTGCCGTCAACAAGAACGAAGCCAATCGCCTGACCGAGGAGGGCGCTGCCAACCGCTTCAAGCGTGACACAGACAGAAGACGTCTATACTTGCTGTCTGAGGGAACCATTCCTTCCAACTCACCTCTGTATGAGCAGCTCCCTCCTTCAGAGAGAACCATGAGAGAAGCCAGTGCCAAACAGAGAAAGACCCTCATCGAGAGCAACCCTTCTTTGCACTTGAGTCTGACCCGTCTTTCAGTTCGTAACATTCCCAGATCCATCACATCAAAAGACTTGAAGCAGCTTGCTAGAGAGGGTGTTGTTGGTTTCGCTACTGATGTCAAGGAGGGCAAGCGCCAACGTCTCAGCAGAGAAGAGATCAGCAGAGGTGGTGAAGAGGAGGCAAAGGCCGAGGCCGATCGCAAGAAGCGTGCCAAGGGTATTGTCAAGCAAGCAAAAATCGTCTTCGAAGGTCGCGAGGGCGCTAAAGTGGACGAGAAGAGCGGCGCAGGCCGCAGTCGTGGATACGGTTTCATCGAGTACTACACACATCGTTCAGCATTGATGGGTCTGCGCTGGTTGAACGGTCATGCCATCGGCTACCAAGCACAAGAACAGAAGGGCAAGGGCAAGATGTCGCAAGAGATGATTGCCGAGCGCAAGAAGAGATTGATCGTCGAGTTCGCCATTGAGAACGCACAAGTCGTCAAGCGAAGGAAGGAGATCGAGGAAAAGTCTCGCGAGCGTTCATACGCTGCTACCGCTCCTACCGCTGACGGCAAAAGACAGCCTTCGGGTCGTGACACCAAGTCTGGCGCTGGTGACCGCGGCAAAGGAGGCAAGTTCGATCGCAAGCGCAAGCGAGATGGAAAGGACGAGGCTCCTGTCGATGAGGAGAAGAACAAGAAGGCTCCTGCCGATGAGAAGTTGGCGAAGCGTCAGCAAATCATTCAGAAGAAGCGTATGGCTCGCCGTGCCCGCAAGCAGGGAGGGGCATAAAGGAAGTGTCAACGTTCATTCCCGTCGACACGACATGAAGCTCTGTGCGACTCCTGAGTCTTTTCCTTCGTCGTAGTCGGTCTTGCGGATTCATGCTGAACGCTCGGTCAGAGAGCTTGTCTGTCATACGCGGTGTTCGAGTGCTTTTTGTTGATAGGAGGAAGTGGCAGTGGGACAAATTACTGCATAGGCGTTGATTGAGTAATACTGACACAGTGTCGACCGACTAACATTTTTCGTACAATTTTCTTTCGTAATCATTCAAAAGCGAGCATGCTTCGATCATATCTCCATCCTGCTTTTCCCTGTGTGACTCGCCTATTGTGTGCGAATGCGTAGTGACTCAGTTGGTAGTATATTCATCGACTTCGAGTGTGTATCACAATACAACTTCAACAAGAAGCTGCAAGTACCCAGATTGTTGAGCGTCTATCTGGAGAGCTTCGATCTTGTTCTTAACCAGGTTCACAGACAACGGATAATGTGCAAGAGAACCCGGTTTTGTCTGTGGACCCAGCTCTGATTTTTGTGCAACCTTCGGGTCATCGCTGCCGTCGGTTAGTCACCCATCGTCACGGGTCTTTGTGCATACCGCAATCTAGAATGTTTCTCTTCCACTCATTCATGTGCAGCGTACGCGTGCGCGAATCGTGCCAAAATGGTCTCCTTGCTCCAATGTCATGGTTCGATACATCGAGGATTGAAAATGTGATCCCTTCCCAATTGGGAAGTGTATACAGCACACGGAAAGGCAGGAACAGTGCTTCTAACAAGCTCCACATTTCAGCAAACATCCGCATTTGGATTCTTGTACGCCGATGGCTCTTTCTTGTCAACGATTCCGAACTCGTCATTCTTTTCGAGGGTTTATCTTTCCTGTTGTCAACCGGCGACCCTGCATATTCATGTCGATAGCCTTTACGACTCCCATCTGTCATAAAATCAATTGGTATACCGCCCTCTTTCCCTGAGCTGCAAGTCATTGCTCAATTGACGTGCATGCTTCCTTTGTTTCTTGTGCTCAGGTAGTATAACCCATCACTTTTTGCAATGACAGGTCTCTCACATGCTTCTACATCATGGAGAACGAACAGTAAATCAAGCAAGAAGAAGCGTGATGGTTGAGAGAGCAGAACATCCAGGGTCTTGAGCATGATGTGATGGGAGCAACAGCTCAAGACATATAAGAGGTGTCAAACCTCTCGAGTCACCATAACAATCAAGCCGACTGCCTCTTCCATCAAGCATCAAGATCAGCATTACTCTGTCCATACTCCCGGACGTCTTACTGTTACATTCCTCAGAGCTCATTGATCTCAAACATCCTCCCGCTGTCAACGACAATCCCGCAGGACCACAACATTACCGTCTTCAGTCTCCCATCTACTACGTATCACCATTTCCCAAAACCCAAGTACTCATGTAAGCCCTCAATGCCCTCGACCATTTTCATAAGCATTGACTGACTCAAGAACAGCAACACTCAGCAACATTCAAGATGTGCCAATACGAAAACATCCACTATGGCTGCGGCCATGCCATCCGCCGTCTCATCAAACACTGCCACTTCGCTCGCAACGACCCCAACCATCAATGCTTCGGCGCCTGGTCCGTCAAGAGAGAGTGGTCAAACCCTACCGAGTACTGCCGCAACTGCGCGTATTACGCCAGACAGAGGGCTTACGGTCATGCTCGTTGAGACCTCCAATGTGTTCAAAAAGGATGGCATGCGGGGTTTTGGAAAGGATTGGTCCTCGCGGACATCTTACTTGTTTGGGGTCTGATTGGCATAGGGATGCAAAAGACAAGGCGTACAAAGGCTGAAGGGAAGGTAATTGGCTAATCGGAATGGACAAAAATTTTCTTGTGGTTTCTGAGTCGCTGGTCGATCATAGTATAATTAGTATCTTGTTGTCATGAGTTCCAACGAATTCTTTCTCCCAACCAATCCTTTTCGAGAAGTGGATGTTCCTTCGTCACACTGGGATTTTGCATGCGCTGTCTTTTCTCACTGGATGGACGCGGATATACATCGATCAGATCGTTACACCCGTATGTGTTGTGCACCATGAACGAGGCGAGATGGTTTTCTTGTAAGAGTGTGCGGATTCGTCGTTGCCAGCATCTCACAGCCTGCACCAGCAGACCTTTTCTGTCAATGCCAATCTTGTGAGATGGTCAGGTTGTAGAACCTGAATTTATGGCCCAAAACAGCCTCCAAGTTCTGTTTTCGATCAGAATGCAGCCATATCCTGTATTTAGGCCTCAGCAAGTCGTTGTCGTTCGTATATAATATCGCCTCTCTGTTGCACTCTCTTTCTTTTCTTCCCACATCTACAGCTCAGAAAGATAAAAGAACGCCCTCATTTAGTCGATCCACGTTGCAAAAATTCGTAGTCAAAATCGAGGCGCGATACCTCAGGTCGAACATTCATCCAGAAACGCCATACAAGCAATCACATAGTTGGAAAATGTGTACCTGGAACGCAGTCCACTACAGTTGCGGACACGATGCAAAGAAGCTTGAGCATGCGTGCAGATGGGCTGCATACGCAGAGTGTAAGCTGGTCAGACGTATCGGCAAACATCTGAGGATGCGAAGGAGTTGTCCAAACTGCTCGGGAAGAGTGGCAGCTTGGTGTCGTCAATGTTGATGGTGAGTTGGTTTGACTCTGGAGTGCCGTTGAGTGTTTCTCATGCTGACTTCTGAGCAGGATACAAATTGGGCAAATTCCATGTATTTGCAACGAAACCTGAAGGCTTGGTTAATGTTCGGGGGGCGCTTTGTTTGATTTTGTGTTGTGTCACAAGGTAGTGACTTTGGGGATTGATTGGCGTTATTCACATATCTGAATTACACTCTGGTCTGGAAGGGAAAATCAGTGTTCAAGGAAGTTATGAAGAGTCTTTCATGTTGGGGAATTATTCGTTATTGTCCGCAGCGCATCACAAGTTCGAGTTACCCGTGGCAACCTTGCCCTTGATGTTGTAGCGCTTGCTGAAGAAAGTAAACCAGTCGTCAAGCACTTTCTTGTGTTCTGGTTTCAGGTCTTCCCACTCGGGTCGGCACTCCTCTTNTTTCAACGAGGATTGTGCCAGAGCTCTGGAGGCGTCCTTGCCAGCAAAGANCTGTAGTAAAAAATTAGCAACAGTTCTTTTGGGATGTATTTTGGATAGAGTACCTGAGTATGAAGCTCCTGGTTCATATGCTTTGTTGCCAGTCACGTCGAAAACGGTTCCCTATCACATGTTAGCTTTTATGGTGCATCTAGCATTGTCGAGCATTACTTTGATGGCCACATATGTTGGATAACCTTCATGTGTTCCTTCCAACCCGGTCGTTAGTAAGAAGCTCAGTGCAAGCTGTCATGGCCTTATCAGCAACATACCATCGCATTTCGATAGGTAGTCCAAGCTGATAGGATCATCCTTTGGCGGGTCAAGCTCGACCTTCTGCTTTGGTTCAAACTTCCCAGACATTGCGAAAATGGCTTCCGGTTACAAATTTTTTGTGTGTTGTCGCTTGAGATTGACTAGTCCCTGATGTTGATTTGATGCTCGAGATACGGAGTGAAGTTGGGGAAGCGGCGGCTTGGCGCTGACCGAGGTTGTTTCTTTGTTCGATGCAACACTTGATCACTCCTTCCAATTCTCTCCTCCATCAAAATAAATGCTCTAATAGTGGTTGCAAGATGCTTCAAAGAAGAGCGTATACCAAATGATAACGGAACTCAAACACAAGATACATCTCTATGATTTTGCTGATTAGGCCACCCTGCTCGATTATGTCTGCAGTCAGGCGTCCCAGGTTGCCCAGACTCTGTCGAGAACTTCCAGACGTGAAGAGCATGTCTCGGCTCCTCACAATCAGTTCATTGCTACTTGAGTAGCATATTGGACTGAGTTGTCGGCTTTGATTTCCGATCTCCAGAGACTCTCGTTTTCCGCAACAACGCTTACTTTCACGACAAAGAGCTCGTCGCTCAGCCTCAACGACCATGCCTAGCTTCGGCGACGTCGAGATCCCTGGAGAGTTGTTCCAAGAAATCTTGTCCTACAACCCGAAGGAGTGCCTACCCGTGTTGTCGCTTGTCTCCAGAGACTGGCATGCCTCTGTGACCCCGATCTTATACCGAGATATAAAACTCGTCTGGCGCCGCACAAGATACCTTTGCCATATAAACTATCGTCGAAACCATCGTCGATCCTGTCTCAGAGCCCACCCTAGCCCTTGTCCTTGCGAGAAGACAGGCATATGCAAACTGAGCGATCACCCAGGGGATCTTCACAAAGGCCGAGCTTTTCCCCCATGCTTGAAAGAAGTGTCATCAAGTTCCTTCAACACATATCCATCTCTGTACCTGCTCGTAAGAACGTTTCTGCATTCACCCGTACGAGCCAGTTTCGTACGTTCTCTCAGTCTCATCGGTGCCGTTCCCTCATCTGTATGGACAGATGCTGAACAGACTGGGCTCTCGAATCACGACCGCGATCGAGTACAACACGTACTGCGAGAGTGTCCCCCAACAGTGTGTTCCAGGAAACGATGGATGGATGATCTAGACCAAGGCTGTCCAAGTGCTTTCGCTGCCTTTCTACTCGTATTCCTCGAACGGCTTGAAAAGGTCGAGATTGGTGCGGAGTTCTCGCGGTTGTTTTCATTCATTGGAATGTCAACCATTCGACAGTTGACCCGCCTTACTACGGCTTCAATAGGTACCTTCCGGGACGAGGTCTACATTGCACCAGGTCGGGTACCTCTGGATCGGTCTGCAAATTTGCACCATCCACTTTTATTCTTCAATCTGCCAAACGTTCATCATCTCTCGCTAAACGTGCCGAAACCTCCTGAAGATATGTGCTTTAGATGGCCAGTCGAGGGCTTGATCCCATTGACTACAAATCTTGAGTCGCTCGAGCTTACCTTCACATTCCTGAACGAACGGGAATTAGCTCATATTCTCAAGGCTTGTCCAAGACTGCGTACGCTTAGATACGATCTTTGGACGACTTCTGAAGACATTGAGTCACGAGAAGGGGGACGTGTCGATCTTCCGGCACTCCAACAGGCACTATTGCCTGTCAAATCGACTCTCGAGACCCTACACTTACATCTTGGAAAATTCCGGTGGGCTTCGGGATCCTGGAATCACGATTGGGACAACGTAGTCGGTCAGCTGACCTTCCATGACTATCCAAGGCTGAGAAGGATGCATGTACCCATAAGAGTTCTGATAGACACTCGCGGGTGGGAAATGGATGAGTCTTGGGAGATGAGGCTCAATTCAATTGCGATGGTGAACCTGGGAGTCGTACTGCCCAAGACTCTGATGTGTCTCTGGATCAACCTTGACGGCTTTGACTTCCCAGCGGAGGATTGTCCAGGAACTCCACCGCTACTTGATGAGGAAGGTCTTGTCCGAGTCATATCTGCATTTCTGCATGACCGACTTGCATATACGCCCGTGCTCAAGACGCTAAAGCTTCTGGTCTCTCAAGTCCCCTCTGTTGTTTGGGATCAATGGAACCCCGATGTGATATCCAATGCCTTAGTAGCTCAGGGCACTGAGACAGGTATGGATGTGTCTGTCGATACGGTCTTATATCGTTGCACTTCAACCATCCCTTTCTATATCTCTAGGCAACTGCCACCTTACTTTGACCAAGATACTGTCGACAACAACCGTATGCTCCTGAGAGGGGCAAACAGGTTCGATGAAGGGAGTTATGATCCAAACACCATCTCGGTACTTTATTGATGTCGATCATATATGTATATACACCACTTTGAACCTCATATTAAATTACTTTTCCATGCAAGACCTTTAGACGCCACCCATCTAATCGTGTTTACCAGCGGTGTAAGGCCCACTTCCGCGTCCTGACTGCTCTAGTTCGAGCATTCTCCTCACCTCAGGACTCTCTTCTCCCGGAGTGGAGCTGTCCTTCTCTTTGTCGCTCATATGTCCACTATCTCCTTCTTCCTCGGCAGTGAAACCTCGTCTCTTTCGCTCCAGCGCAACTTCGGGCATGACGGGCTTACCACCCAGACTACATAGCACAACATCAGAGTCTGCAGTGAGTGCATCCATAATCTCTAGTTCTCTGCGGGTGAACAAGTGTGGCATCAACGACCACCGCAGAGGGATAAGCGATATGATAATGACAGGGAACCCGATAGCGCCGATGGTTTGCGAGATGGCGACGCTGAACCCTACACCCAAGATCTGGAAGAGCAGGAACAGCATGATCTTTGTTCTTGGAACTTGTAAGAGTGGCTCAGACGGGTCGATGAAACGGTGTTCCTTGATAAGGAAGATGAGCTTTTGCGTCATGCCGTTGCCTTCGATAGAGCCCCAGCCGACGACGAAGAAGACACCGCAGAAGAGGCAGCGAGGCATCGTGTGGAGTACGATGAGGAGAGGACCAGTCATTGTGCCTACGATGGCGAGACCCATGAGGAAATGGCTGATACGTTGTTCAACCACCATCTCGGCAACAAAGACCTTTTNTCTGCGCTCCATGGGTCGGCCATCGTCATCTTCAGTTTCGTGACTGATGACGAGCTTGTCTTTGTATTCTGTCAAGGAGTCTGTGTGGACGGGAGCTTGAGGAACTAAACCGTTAGGCATGGGAATGCCGATGATGCCAGCGATGAAACATGTGGCGCCGAGGAGGGCAAAGTCCCAATGAAATCCGGCAGGCTTCTTGAGAGGGTATTGTCTTGCTTGAGCGCCGATACTGCTGACGTTGTGGTCATANNGGTAGAACAACAGGGTCACGAGTATGCCAATGGGTAGAGCAACGAACACCCACTTAACAGGAAGATTCCAGAATTGGATCAACCAGCTGCGATCTGTCGAGGGATAGAATGCTTTGGTAATAGGCAAGGTAAGCACGTCTGCCTGTTTGATGGTTCCTGGAATGTGAACAAAGCCAGTCCAGAACAGGGTGGCGATCTAGAAGGATGCCTGTTAGTCTTGTTTGCATATTATATAGAACGAGTCGCTTACAGGATACGCGTAATCAGATAGCACCTTGCGAACGACTGGGCTGAAGACCACGGTATGAGGGAGCATCTCCAATGCATAGACTGTGGCCCAGTAGCATAATGCGACCACAATGCTCAGGAAGCCGGCCTCATGTGTGCTCTCGTAAAATTGAGCGATAAGTTCTTGAACACCCTTGANCTGCAGAAGGATCAGCATTCTGCAATGTCGGCCTCGTTATGAACGATCTGACTTACTCATGTAGATGATACCAACATACATGCCGAAGGCATTACTTGAGAAATCGGTAATGAATCGCATGTAATCACAAAGATTTCCAAACGATGTGATCCAATGAGTAATGGCTGCCCAGATAGCAACCCATGCCAGAAATTCCGGGTACAAATCGCGGATTCCCTGCTTTACAGCAATGTCGTAGATTGTGTAGTTGAAAAGAGAAATCAGACCAGTAATACCAACAATGGTTAGCGGCTGAGCAGCCAAAGTGCTGAAGACAATTGCTGCAAGAGCGGAAGAGAACAGTGCCTCATTCACACCAAAGAAGCCATCAGTGTGACGATTCATATCTAATAAGAATGCTAGCGCGGGTAATAAACTNNTGGGATAGTTCGTCAGCGTTAAAGCTCTTGTGTTCTGATCGTGGCTTGAGACATACTTGACAAAGTACATTCGGACTGTGGCAGCGAATGTTCTATAGGTAACAGCATCTCTGATATCGCTCCAGTAGTATGGTAGTCGTCTTTTGATGTCGTAGTACATGCCACGGCCTGGTCTTAACATTCGATATTGCCGCCATCCAGTTGCACCTTCCCAGGTGTAGGGATCCTGTTTAACGTCCATGGCAGACTATGTCGACTTTCCAGTCTTGTCCAACGCTTGAAAATAAGAGGATTATTGACAGTAGATTTCTGCCAATTTGCCTTCTTACAGGCTTTCCAGGTATAGACGGATTCTCTTTGCCGAGGTTGTGTATGTTGTTCTCCAAAATTAAGGTATTTATTTTTCCTGCAATCAAAAACAACAGTCCAGGAAGGCAGAAAAATTAAGAGGTCGACACGCGAGTGTTGAACAAGAATGAAAAGTGATAGCACAAAAGTGAAGTATATGACGACCAGAGCATGGTCTGAGTTTGTATATTTATCCTTCGATCTCAAAGAGGTGATGAAATAGACGCACAGACCCAGCCGTTTGTTTGATGGGGCGCGGCTGATTTTTGGCGCCTTCCGCCTCAGACTTGTTCGAGCGCCAAGTCGAAGGTACAGTTGTACAAACACTGCAGTGAGATGTCTCAAGCACCTTGGTAGAAGAAATGTTTGTGCAGACCGAATGTGTTACAGCGAGAATTTGAGTGGCTATCACAGTCAAATCTTCCGGCTCTCTTCTTTCTAGGATCCAATGCTCGAGCATACTCCATGGCGTCCACGATTTGGTCAGCGCCAAGCCATCGAAAAGCATATCAATCAGTGTTGGATGGTGGACCCCAGTCATGATTTCTCAGACGGTCGTTGACGCAGAGCCCAAGTTGCCGTCGGCTACAGACGACAGTTGATGGTCCTGTTTCTCGGAGATGAGAAGATCCACAAAGGCTCGTAGCCGAGCAATGAGGCTTAACTTTCAAATTTGCTGCCCAGGCAGAAAAAGCCCAACGTCTTGCACAGTCTTGTCTGGGTAGGTCTCTGTTCTGATCTTTGTGATCAAATATTCATGCATGTTTCTTAACTCCTTGATTGGAAAGTTCACCTCTGCAACCACGTATTTGTACATCACATTCAACAGCAAAAAGTAAGAAAGGAGTGCGGCATGCCTTGAGAATCTCGTGTTGTCGGTTCATTTGGGACTCGTTGAGCGTTCGGAGTTGACTGCGCATTCTGATACTCCCGCCTTACACTGCATTGCTGCAATAGGCAAGGATTCGAAAGTCACAATATTGCGGTACTTGAACATCTGCCTAGTATGTCATAGCCTTCTTAGTTTGTGGGCTGCTCGGGTTGCACGGGCGTGAACTCTTTACGAGTCATTGAGGTGGCAGCAGTCTTGTAGCGGACGTAGAGACCCGCAAACACGCCGGTTGCAAGTCCGGAAAGATGGCCGGGATAGTCGATGTTGGTTCTCTTACCGCGCCAGGCTCTCAGAATCTCGAAACCAGCGATCATGCCCAAAACAGTCAGACCAGTTATGTCTGGGATCTCATAACCGAGGACTGTCACGTTGTTGCTGTGGCACGGGCGGTCAGTGGTACTGTCAAGAGAACGAAGGTGAAAGATCGCTTACTTTGCTCTGACCAAACAGGCTGCAGCCATGGTGCCGATAACCGCAGTAGATGAGCCAAAGCTGTAATTCATCCAACGCTTGGCGAACACGTTGAAAGCCAGAGAACCATACGTGCCTACAGTACCACAAGCGAGGTATACAGCTAGGAAGGTACCTCTTCCTACATCATCATGTACTGCATGACATTTAGTTAGTGCCAAATAGCTACAGCGGTGCATGACTCGAAACTTACAGACCCAACCGAAAGGCCACAGCATAGCCAAGTTGACGAACAGGTGACGGAAGCTTTGATGACTGAACTGTGCACCTAGGGTTCCGATAGCAAATGGGTATGCTGCGGTGACCTGGAAAGTCTTGTTCATGGTTCTCCACAAGGGCGGGATCCTCCAAGCGACAAATACGGCAAGATTGATGGCGGTGATGGCTCCTAGGGTAGCGATGGCAGGCGGCACATCAGGGAACATCCTCGCTGATCGTGGAGGAGGGTTATACGTCTCGTCAAGCATCCAACAACCAGCGAGGACAGCCAAAAGAACCAGAGCGGACGGGCCCAATCGGCGAAGATTAGAGAGGTTAGGAATCTTGTTGTCCTTGATAATGGTCGCTTGCTCTTCGTAGTACTTGACCCAGGGCTTACGCTCTACAGGCTCTAACCATGCCTTCTGGGTAGGCTGGGCCAGAGCGATCTCATCGAATGGACTGAAAATCTTTCCCGTTTCCTCTTTCGCTTCCACACCAGAGTCGTTGTTCTTGGCTCCGGCCTTGAGAGCAGCAACTTGATCTGCTTCCTGTTGCTTCTTGGCTTCTTCTTTCTTTCGGTCTTCTTCCATCCATCTTGCTTTGTTCGCCTTTCGCAGTTTATCCAAGGCGCTCTCTCCATAGATGTCGGATGTGCCGGCGGATGGCTGTGACTCGTCCGTCTGGCTATCGTCGGTACGCTTGTAGATGCCCAGCCTTTCAGCGCGAGCCATGTACTGTTGTTCCACTTTCATGATCTCTGACTCTGCCCAAGCAGCACCAGCCTCATTCTCATCAAAGGCGGGATCTAACGTTCTGATGTACTCCAAAGCCCTTGAAGCCATCTCAGGCGAGATGCCCGATTCTCTCGGGAAGTCAATACCGACATCAATGAGACTGCCTGAGAGTCTACGGTAATGCATCAAACGCAGAATGTGGTTTCCATCGTCACAATGCATATCCGGGCCGAAGATTTCCGTGATGGTGGTTTGATCGAGTTCTCCTGAGGGTAGAGGTATGCCGATTTCTGGATCGTAGTCTCTCCAAGTGGGAGGATCCCTACGTCTACGGACCAATCTCTGGCCATCTTGAGTCGAAGCACGGCCAGTCTTCTGGACAACAGGAGGCGATCTTGGAACGAAGCGATTACGAGCCGAGAAAGTCGTACAAGCGGAGAAGTTGCGCAAACCAGTATTTAGAGTAAATCGAGAGCGTAGAAGCGATTGTGAGAGGTTACGAGCTTCGTTACAAGCCAGGAAAGAAGTTAAGGGAGATGGCGCAAAAGGCAATGAGGACGTCGAGCATGAAGCCCGCATGACTACCGGACGAGCATGGTTCATGGCGTCTCAATCATCTACAGCAGCCACGTAGAGATGCCGAAGACGCAATTCGAGACAGATATCGAAGTGGCTAAATCAAAATCATCATGTCGTCGACGACAAACGGACCATGATGAGTTGCGGAGTTCGGCAGTGCTCGGACCATGTCGAAGCGGCGTCATGGTGCTGTTTGCCTGTGATTGATCTTGACCATCTTTTGTATTCTCATCAGATTCTATACACATAGTCCGACCAGTCATCATGTCGCACGAAGCGCTACCTATCGACCGGGCCAGGTTCGCTGAAGCTCTCGAATCGCTGCCTCTTGATGCACTGCACTCCAAGGTTGCCGAACTGCGCAACAACATGAACCATTTGAGATATTCCAACGAGCAAATGGTGCCCTTTGCCGACGAGGGTGATCAAGGTATGTCNACTTTTAGTTCTGGAAGATCAAAACTGATATTACGTTTTGAAGATTGCAAAGACGCCATGTACGAAAACCTCGTTGTCATCAGCCGCATGAACGAACGCATCGAACTGCTACGTGCCGAGGTCGAGAAGAGAGGCATGAGATGGTCAGAAGGCGAAGTTGAAGATCGCCAGGTCAGCGAGAGAATGGTCAACGGCGACTCTGCACCCGTAACTACATCACAATCACAACCTCAAAGCGGACGCTTGACAGACGAACAACTGAGAGCACAACTCGAGGCAAGATTGAACCAGGACACACAAGACGACCAGGAAGAAGAAGGCCTTCATCTCTGAAACCAACGTGTAGAGTCGCATTTCTTTTCCCGTACGATACCCTTATGCTTGAACAATCTCACAGCTTCATTTTGATTGCCTCAAACACACACATCTTCTTCTATGAACACGCCCAAAACTATTCGAAAGCCGACAGATCTAGCGGCACCGTACTGCCTCTGCCCGCTCGGTACATCTTGGTCACTCCCGAGAACTCTCGCGGTTTAGGTAGCGTCTCGTCGGGCTGGAACTTGAATCGAGTATCCTCGACTGTAATGCGCCCACCTCCCATCCTGCTCCCGCCTGTCCCTTGTGCCAGACTGGGTGATTTTGCTCCATTGCTCAATGTATATGATGAAGCATCCATGGTGGAGCGCGAAATGGATCCCGCGTGAGGTCGTGTAGGAGGTGCCGAGGGAGGCGGTGAAGGCGCTGCCAGTGGTGGACTAGGTGCTGCGATTGGTGGTCGTGGTGGTGAGGCGCAGCAGCAGGCGGCGGCGGCGGTGCGGGTGANTCTAGGAGGTGTAGCGCTCATACCAGGTGGAGGTGGAGGCGGTGGTGGAGCGGCGGGCGAGGCTCGTCCAAAGGCGTTGCGCGCAGCTGTCTCGGCCAAGGACGGGGCATTGCTCATGGGCGGTGGTGGTGCGCTGATCGAAGGAGGAGGAGGCGGTGGCCTAGGCGCTGAAGATGGAGGCAATGGAGGAGCGGCCGGAGGGGCTGGCGAGGCGGAGGATGGAGGAGGTGGAATGTTGCCTGAGGGTTTGCGCGAAGAGGGAGGTGGCATTGGAGGTTTCTTGCCAATCGGAGGAGGTTTGGGTTTGGATGGTACGGCAGGCGAAGAGCTTGTAGTCTGTGGTCCAGGTCGCACGCTGTTTCTGAGAGCTGATACAGCAGGATTTGGGGGCGGTGCTAATGGGGGAGCTGATGGCGGGACTGGCGGAGCAGAACTGGCGGGACGAGGAGGAGCGCCTGGTGGTCTAGGGGCGGCAGAAACAGGACGAGATGGAGCGTCTGGAGCTCCCAGGTATGACGAATCCTCATCTGCACCAGTCTTGACACCGCCTGACTTGCGCAGCTTGGGCATGCCGCCAGCGAAAAGGCCTCCCAGTTGAGGCGGCGCAGCTCCCACATCGCTCGAGGCACGATCTCTGTTGCCGCCGGAAGGAGGTGGAGGAGCAGAGCCTCCTGGTGGTTTCATCATTCCTGGTACTGGGGGAGCACCCATAGCTACGGGACCTGACGACTTCTTTTCATTTCCGACGATTGGAGCAGAACGATCGTTGATCTGGGTGACCTTCTTGAGTTTGGTGCCTTTTGTGATGTCTCCTAGCAGAGCGCCCTAGAATGGATTAGCTAAGATCAGGTTGAATCTTGGCTTGGTGGTTGTACGTACTCGACCTTTGGCAGCAGCAGCAGGGGGTCTACTAGGCAGGCCTCCAGGCGGTGGTGGAGGGGGAGGTGGTGGGCCTGGGCAATGCTGTCAGCGCAAGTGACGGCGATTATCATGATGAATATGTGCTTACCGCCTGACATGCCGGGCGGCATTGGGGGTGGAGGAGGGGGAGGTGGAGGCGGCATTGTCGTAGCCTAGACACTCAGACGGACAGAATGCGCGGGCGCGTGACGGGAGGCAGCGGGTAGGCGTGCGCGCCGGCAGAGATATGGACGGAACCAAGTCGGAGGGGCGTCCTGAGTATGGGGAGATGAGCAGAGGGATCGCAGACGTCAAGGGGTGGTCGAGGTGGGTTATGGTGGGTATGTGGTGGTTGGTATCGGGTGGAAATGTGTCGATGATGGCTGAGCCCAGCGTCGTCACTCGCAAGCTCGGCCCGAACCCTAAGATTCCATACTGTATCATTCGAACTTTGGAAGCTGCGACAGGCAGGCATTGACCAGTCGCCGACACAAACCCAAACATGAAGGCCTTTGCTCCACCTCGAACGGCATCCATATGCCACTTCTGTCGCCAGGCTAGCACGCGACAAGCTGCTGCACCATGGGTCTCTTCAAGCCGCCTCATTCAACAATCTCGTCCTGTCTCTTCCACCTCTATACGCACGCAAACCCGCCGTAGGAACCTCGGATCGAATCCTGTCTCAAGTCAAGAGTCGCGTAGATGGCTTGCATCATCTGCCGTCCCCATTGAAGGAGCATCCTCAGCTGCCACTGGAATTCCGCCGACTGAACCATCACAACAAGACTTGTCTGACTACAATGCACGAGTGCAAAAGTTGGCCAAGACTGTTCTCGACCACCCGGCCGTGCCTGCAGAGGAAGATGTCTTAAAGGCCCTGACAGAGTTCAATCTCATGGCGACGAGGCTTGTCAATACCAAAGATACCCAGCAAAAGCCAACAACGAGTCAACCTGGAAAGACAGCCACTTCTGCACTACTGAGCAACCTCGACGCTCCTTCGATGCCCTCCATCACAAGGATACGCCTTATGGATGCTCTGACTACAAACGCCTTCGACATGCTCCTCTACGATCCTGTCTTCATTACTCCTCGCATCCTCCAGCTCTACGTCGACCTGCAGTGCTTGTTGCAACGTCCTGAGTCCTTCCCTGCCGTATTCACCCTCTACCGCGAGAAGCCAGTGCCACGACCCTCTAGCAAAGCCGATCTCGTCACTTACGATAACCCCAATCCCAACAAGCCTGCTGCTGCTGTACAACCTGCTGTGGCTGACATGGCTATCGATGCTGCAATCGCTAGTCGCGATTTGTCACTTGCTCTAGCAACCATTGACGCCACTTACTGCACAACAGCATACAAGCGCTCCAAGTTCTTGCGAAGCGCTCTCTTTCCTCTGACTGGTTTCCTGCTGACTCCACCCGCCGCTTATACTCTCGCAACACGCTTCAGCGACTACCAGACCACAATGGACCCTGCAATGGCCACCAACATTGCCATGGCCGCTATGATGACATATAGTGTATGCGTTGGTAGTATTGGCTACGTTGCCCTTACTACTGCCAATGACCAAATGGTCAGAGTCACCTGGGCTCCTGGTGTGCCGTTGTGGGAACGTTGGGTGCGTGAGGAGGAACGAGCCGCTCTCGACAAGCTTTCCCAAGCTTGGGGTTTCGCAAGCACAGAAAAGTGGGGAGAGGAGGAAGGTGAGGAATGGGACTATCTCAAGGAGTTTTGCGGTCTGAGGGGAATGATGCTCGATCGTGTGGAGCTCATGGATGGCATGGAGTAGAGAAGATCTGACGCAAGCTGTCCGCGTCAATCATTGTACAGGAACCACTATATACCCCAATCTTTTACAGTCTCATTTCAGATCTACAGCTGCGTTAGCAGATTCTGAAGCCTCTGTTCAAGAGCACTCGAGACATCGCCACCACACTGCACCTCCTCCTTGATTCTCAGACGTCTACACTGTACCTCCACTTTACCCTCTGTCTTCCACGCCCTCCCCAACACGACAATTAAGGGATATCCTACCAAGTCTGCATCGTTCAACTTCCAACCCATGGGTTTCTTGCGATCATCCAGCACGGCATCAAAGCCACTCGACATTAGCTTCTTCGTGATATCCTCAGCAACATCTTCATTGCCGTTTGCAGGAACAACGACAGCCGAGAAAGGTGCAATAGCAGCAGGCCAGTTCAACCCCTTGGCATCAGATAGCATACTCGCGATGGCGCCAACAAGACGCGAAACACCGATGCCGTGGCAACCCATCTCAATTGTTTGGCGCACATCGTTGCTGCCGACAAATGTTGCTGAGAGAGGCAAGGAGTATCTAGTGCCGAGGTGGAATGTATGGCCAACCTCTATCGCACGGTTGACGGTGACTTTACCGTCGCCGCACTTCTGGCAGGGGTCGCCTGTTAGCGTACGGGTGAGTTGCATCGACTTCCCGTTCTTTCTTGGTCGCAATTGGAATTGCACGCTGTTGAACTTTCCAGAAGGAAGGAGGAGCTCGCGAGGCTGGAGTTTGTGTTGGATATCGGTGCAGGTCGAATTACTAAGGGGAAGACGTTCGTCGTTTATTTCGATGATTTGGGCCGAAGATGGACGGGACCCATTTTCTTGACGAGGGTTTGATTTGTCCCAGATCTCGAGTGGATTTTCGACTGAGAGGTCGATATCTGGGACGAGGGCTTTGATCACGTTTGGGTTGATCTCGTTCTTAGTGTTGTCGCTTCCTGAAGTTTGTTGTGTGACGGTTGGGAACCAGGCGACAACGAGGCTGTTTCGATCTTTGGTGATGCCAACCCAACGAGAAAGGTCTTTTTTGTGTTCGATGGTTGCTTGTTCTGGTTGATCGATCGAGGTGATGGCGAGTTCGTCGTTGATGGTGTAGCCACATGAGCCACAGCTGATGACATTATCCTCACCCTTTGCTGAAACAAAGTGGTACTCATGACTCAATGTGCCACCAATGTTTCCAGAGTCCGCTTCGGCAACCAGATAGGGTAGTTTGAGCTCATCGAGGAAAGCTCTGTATGCTTGTCGTACCTCCTCGTAGGTTTGTCGTGCTTGCTGTTCTGTGATGTCAAATGTGTAGAGGTCTTTCATGGTGAATTCTCGACCACGAAGAAGACCTTGTCGCGGACGTGCTTCGTCTCTGAATTTGCGTCCGATTTGGTATAGTCGAAGTGGAAGATCTTTGTAGGACTGGACAGTGCTTGCGACCAGAGATGTGATTTCTTCCTCGTGGGTTGGAGATAACAGAAACTTTGCATCCTTTCTGTCGTGGAAACCGAACAANNCTTGGAAAATAAGTGAATGATTCGAGAATTTGAAAGACATTGAAAAGATATTTGTATCAGAAACGAGAAAGAAAAAAGATGTACTTACTTCGCCGCCATGGCCCACGAACCTGCCAGTCTTCTTCCAAAGCTCCTCTGAGGAGATGGTAGACAGGGATACTTTGGCAGCACNCTACATATATCTCAGCCAATGGCGCCTACCTCTTCCTCATGATCAATGCATACCTATACTTTCCATGTGCTTATCTATCAAGGCTTCGAGTTTTTGTTGTACACGATTGCCAAGTGGCAGCATATGGAAAATACCAGCGTGGGCTTGTCTCAGGTAGCCTGCTCTGATGAGCAACTCGTGAGATTCATCTTTGGCGTCTTTAGATCTTTCAGCGCCCACGGTAGGGATCCAAAAGCGAGAAAGTCGTTGAATGGTGCTGCTGGATGATATTGACCTCGAACATGTCCTTGACAGATTGCGAGGCAATGTATGCACAACACGGCTAACACTTCGCGTCAAAGGCGCACATCTCGATAGCCTGACTTGAGAGTACATTCCCACACCGACTGCCATATGCTCTCCAACTTGCAAATATTGATGGATTGATGTTGGAGTCACTACCAAGTAGAGGAGACTCAAGTCTAGCCCAAAAGCCGGGGTTAGTCGGAGTTTGGGAAAATTCAAGCCGAGCGACTCCCGCAAAACTTCTGGTGCATGTGAACGCCAAAGACAGACGATCGTGTTTTCTCTCCAAGAAGACATTTTCAAACAAAACACCAGAAACATGGGTTTTGCCAGGAAGCGCTCTGCCGACGAGGCTCGCGCTGGAGGTTCGCGCCCGGAGAGGACATTCCCCAAGAAAGAGTATCCGAAAAAGAATACTCCAAGAAAGAAGGTGGTGAACAAAAGGCGAAGAAGACTCCTTTGGTATGCGACCTGCCATCTTGCTGTAATGAGCATGCTCTCTGATTACAATCTAGATATTCGAACCTAGACCCGACTGGTATGCCACTGCCTTGTCCGAGCTGCCCGCATCAACATCCGCCCAACCGCCCTCGCAAAGACTGGTCGAAGAGATTCACGATTATGCCTACACCCTGCTCGAGGCCGAGAACACAAACTATGCTGCCAACAACAACTCGGCATCGTCGTCACACAAGTTCTTGTCCACCATCATGGCCTCCGGTACCCTCGAGGATAAAATTTCAGCCCTGACCCTGCTGGTACAGGAGTCGCCGTTACACAACACAAAGGCCTTTGAGACATTGCTTGGTTTGGCAAGAAAGAAGAGCAGGAACCAGGCCCTCATGGCTGTCGCTGCCATCAAGGATTTGCTGGGCCAAGGTGATGTCCTTCCTGGTGACCGCAAGCTGCGCGCTTTCACGAAACAGCCTGCTTTGGCCAAGATTATCGAGGAGCACCACACCATCTGGAGAGTCGGCAGTCCCTTGCCAAAAGGTCTCGAGAAGACTCACCTCATCTACTGGGCATTCGAGGACTGGCTGAAGAAGCAATACTTTGAGCTTTTGAAGATTTTGGAAAGTTGGTGTAGTGACGAGGTTGAGTACGCAAGAAGCAGAGCAATCACATACGTCTGGGAGTTGTTGAGAGACAAGCCCGAACAAGAAGAGAACCTTTTGAGGTTGTTGGTGAACAAGCTCGGTGACAAGGACAAGAAGATTGCTTCTCGCACATCATACCTCCTGCTGCAACTGGAAAACACCCATCCGGCCATGAAGGGTATCATTGTTAATGCCATCGAGACCGAATCGCTTTTCCGTCCTGGACAAGCCGCTCACGCAAAGTACTACTCTATCATCACACTCAACCAGACCATTCTCAGCGTCAAGGAGCCTGAAGTCGCCAACAAGCTGCTCGACATCTACTTTGGACTCTTCATTCAATTCTTGAAGCCTAGATCGCATGCGAAGGTCAAGGCTCAGAAAGCTCAAGGTGGTGGTGGAAAGGCCGGCAAGATGGCTGCGAAGAAGGCAAAGGCTTTGGAGCAGGCTGATGCTGCTGACAGCGAACTCAATGAGAAGATGGTCACCGCAGTTTTGACTGGAGTCAACCGTGCTTTCCCCTTCGCCAAAACCGACGACCCTACTTTCGAACAGCATCTCGATACCATCTTCCGTGTCACCCACTCCTCCAACTTCAACACCAGTATTCAGGCTTTGATGCTGATCCAACAGATTTCTGCCACCAAGCACTTCTCGGCCGACCGATTTTACCGCACACTCTACGAGTCCCTTCTCGACCCTCGTCTCATCACCTCCTCCAAGCAAATCATGTATCTCAACCTCCTCTTCAAGTCACTGAAATCCGATGTCAACGTCAAGCGTGTACAGGCTTTCGTCAAGCGCTTGCTACAAACTATCACCTTGCACGAAGCACCATTCGTCTGCGGTGTCTTGTACCTGATTAGCGAGCTCGAAACCACTTTCCCTACAATCAGAAACATGATCCGTGAGCCGGAGGCCGATCCCGAGGATGAAGAGGAACACTTTGTCGATGCACCTGAGGATGGAGATGACAAGGCTGAGGAATCGACACGGGAACAAACAGCCCCTGCAGTACGCTACGATGCACGAAAGAGAAATCCGGAACACAGCAACGCCGACCGCAGTGCACTGTGGGAGGTCCTGCCATTACTTTCTCACTTCCATCCATCTGTTGCCATCTTCGCCGAGGCATTGGTAAACCAAACAACACTACCACCCAAGCCCGACCCTACGAAGCACACATTGATGCACTTCTTGGACCGATTTGTTTACCGCAACGCAAAGACCAAGGGAGCCACGACAACACGCGGCGCATCCATCATGCAACCTATGTCAGGATCGAATGCGGCAGACGTACTCATCAAGGACCGTGCCGACCCTACTCACCGCATTCCGCTCAACTCGGACGCTTTCTGGAANAAGAAGGTCGAAGACGTTGCAGCCGACGAGGTCTTCTTCCACGACTACTTCACCAAGATCAACAACGCTAAGCCTACCAAGAAGGACAAGAAGAAGCAGAAGGATGCCGCTGACAGCGATGCGGAGAGCGATGCTGACGAGGACGAAATCTGGAAGGCACTTGTCGAGTCAAGACCTGAGATTGAGGGTGATGATGACGACGATGACGACGATCTCGACATGGAAGATCTCGAAGAAGGCTACTCGGACAGCGAGGAGGGCGATGGTGGTGTCGAGATTGGCGAGTTTGCTGAAGACGACATGGATGAGGCAGACTTGGGAGAGGATATGGACGATGATCTGGAAGATGACGGCTTCGAAGGACTGGAGAGTGGTGATGAGGACGCCATGCTTGGCGACGATGCAGACCTACCATCAGACTTTGAAGGGCTGGGAGATGACACAGAAGAGAAGGACGAGAAGAAGGAGAAGTCGGACGACAAGAAGAAAAAGAAGAGAAAGCTCAAGCACCTGCCGACATTCGCGTCCATGGACGATTATGCCAAGCTGCTGGGTGCAGACGACGAGGACATGTAGATTTAGCATTATTTATACTACTGTGTTGCCCTCTGCGCAGGGCTTTTTCAAGTCGAGCAACTGTTTGTACTTTGGTACTTTCAGGTTGTGATAGATGAAATAGACTTTGACCCACACGGCGCGCCATGACGGTGAGCGGCACGTTGCAGATCCGGGGCGTGGGTGTTGAACGAGTCGAGCAGTGTTAGAATTGTAAACAGACGACAATTGACAGGCGCAGGCTCAGCAGCATGAATCGGTAGCGCCATGGGCCTGGAGAAGAAGGATGTGATCACGGCTGCAATCGCCGCTCTTGTCTCGTGGTTGCTGCTCACGCACTGGGTACCCTCGTTCCGCTGGATTCCCTACGCCTTTGTCACGGGCTGCATCGCGACTCTCATCGGCCTCGCATTCCTCCTCTTGACCTCGTCCAAAGGTTCCAACCACCGCTACAACCATGCCACTACCATCAGACCCCCAGCCTTTGTCACCCCAGCCCTGTGGAAGCAAGAGAAGGCTGCGCTCAAGGCTCGCTCGAGATACGACAAGACGCCCATCTATCCTTCCTCGGCAAACGTCTCGCTGAGCATTGACGGCCTGCTTGACTATGTCCTCCGCGACTTCATCACCGTCTGGTACAAGAATATCAGTCTCCGACCGCTGTTTCAGAATGAGGTGGATCGTGCAATCAGACAAGTCCTGGACAACGTGCGTAAGAGGACCCAGCAACTCGACATGGTCGAACTCGGTGTCGCCAGAATCGTCCCCATCTTGACCAACCACATGCGCGACTTCTACAATGCCGAACGAATCGTCAGAGGGAAGAATCTGTCTCGCGACATGACCGAGTCTGAAGAGTTGGACCTTGCTATAGCCGCCAAATTCAGAGACGGCAAACTTCATCCAGCTGCAGCTCTGGCCTTTTCCGATACAAAACTTCTGCAGCAAACTCATCTGCGTCGTCTGGTTTCTAAAATACTACCTCTCGTTATGCCCGAGTATATGAAGACTAGTGCGGCTGTGTCTACTCTGGTCAAGGAGATTGTCGCATGCGCTGTTCTCACCCCTATTGTCTTGATGCTTTCCGATCCTGACTTCTTTAACCAACTCATCGAGAACTCCGGACGTACCATGCTTCAAGATCGCAAATCCGTCCGCAAACTACGAGCTGCACTGGATGAACATGCTGTACCTACCCCTCAACATCCCAAAGCTGCTCAATTCCCTCGTCTCAGGCCAAACGATAACGAAAGGCAATTTGAGAGATTCATCCGTGCGACTCGCAATTGTGCCACTCTCTCTGACGCTAGACGCTTTAGAAGTGAAATTTCCAGTCAAGTACGAAAGGCTACTTCTGGCCCAGAGCAGGACCCTGTCTACCTCCGCCGTCTGGAATCCGGGCGTCGCATTCTGGATCAGAAGATCGCCCACTTCACCGCTGGCGGATCTGCCAGACCAAAGCTGACAGTGAAAGCTTCTACATCTAGTGTTGAGCATACCTCGAAGCTGAGCCAAGCTTCTCTGAACGAAATTCTCCACAGTGCATCAGGTCTCTCCTACTTCATGGAGTTCATGGACAGGAAAAGCCGCATGCGTCTAGTGCAGTTTTGGATTGTGGTAGATGGTTTCCGTAACCCTCTCGAGNNGGGGGACAACGATGAGCCAGAGCAAGAGTTACAAGATACTCCTTGGACGTCCTCAGATAGGATGGACCTGGAACAGATGTATGAAGCATATCTCACAAAGCCCGAACTCAACGTGCCAGATCACGACAGGCAGGCGGTACGAGATTTCCTGCGCGCCGGTCGATCAGCAGATGCTCGACTCTATGTTTCTGCTCGACGCGCTGTCCTTCGAGCGCAAACGTCTGTCTTCGAGGAGATGAAGCAACAGCATTTCGATCATTTTAGGAAGTCAGATCTGTTCTACAAGTGGCTTGCTACCGAGGAAAGTTCTATCATGTCAGCCACCTCAGATGGTCATCAGGAACTTTCGAGATCATTGTCAGTTGGTGGTGAGAGGGATCGACCGCTTCATCGAGAAGCTCGACCAGCGGCTGTGCTTTCTCCAAAGTCGCCCCTCGCACCTGAGCTCAGGCGGCCGGCAATGTCATCTAGCGATCTGAAAAGTTTCGTCAAGCCTAGTGTTGTCGCCAGCCCAGTGAGGCAATCAATGGACGGTGGACGACCTCGGCCTTTGTTCGATGACGATGTTGAGGATGAACGTATGACTCGATCTGTATCTGCACTCAGTAGCATGGACTTGGACATCGAGGGCGATCAACCTCACGATGACTCTGCCCAGGTGGTTGATGCTATGCAGGCCGCTTTGAACGAAATCATGGACGAGCCAGATAACGGCTCGATTTTCTCTTCGGAGAGTTTAGGTGTAAGCAATGACTCGCCAAGGACGTCCTTGGATGGTGCGAGACCTTCTCTGATCCAGACGAGATCGAAACCTAGTATTGCCTCGCTTGGCTTGGTAGGAGCCGTTTCAAGTAAAGGAGTCTTCGAGGATGATTTGTTCGGAGAAGAGGAAAAGTTCGCTGAAGACGAGAAAGAAGATTCGGATCTAGCTGACAAGTCAATCGAGGACGATATTCATGAAGCTGCACCTGGTGATCTTGGACTCACAGAAGCTATTAGCACTCTCAACGCAGATATCGATCGGCTAACCGCTCAAGATGCCATCTTGGACTCACTGACGAAGAAAGCTGAGTTGACCAACAACGCAGCTGAATTACGCATTCTACGCAAGTCGAAGCAAAGCTTAGCAAGGGAGATACACCGCAAGGAGATGCAAAAACAACAGTATACTATCCAGGAGAGTGATAATAGCTTGTATGGAAGAGCGGCTGTCAACATAAAGTCGATCATGGTCGGTAGAGAAGAAGATGGTCACGAGTTTGCGCTNTTGTGAGTCATGTTCATTTTTACCAGCTGGAAGCATCGCTAATAACTCCAAGACGTTATTGAAGTTCGACGTCAGGCAGGCGACCAGATGCCTGCTGCAGTATGGATGGTCACTAGACGGTATAGCGAGTTCCACGAGCTGAACAAGCGTCTTCGAGAGAGATTCCCTGCTGTCAGGAACTTTGAGTTCCCGCGTCGACAAACACTGTTCACATTGCAGAAGGACTTCTTGCAAAAGCGAAGGGTCATACTTGAGAAGTACCTCAAGGCAAGCGGTGGCTATAACATGACGATTCCAACAATTGCTAATGGTTTATAGGCATTACTTCTGATCCCGGCCATTTGCCGTAGTAGAGAGCTTCGTGCTTTCCTGTCCCAGTCACGAATCACAACGAGTGCTAATGGCAGTGGGATCGACGAGAAAGATTTTGTGACCAGAATCTATAACTCAGTCACAGACGGCATGGAAGAATTCTTGGGCAACATACCAGTCCTCGACCAGCTCTCGGTCGCTGGCCAGAACCTAATCTCGGCAGCGACTGCCCAAATGAGTGGAGTACCACTGAATCTCAACGCCCCTGAGTTCTCATCAGATCCGGCCTCTGCTGCAGAAGCCGAGGCCGAAATCAACGCTTTCGAAGATCGCGAGGCAGAACCCTTTGTTAAGCCCATCTGTGACATCTTCCTGGAGATATTCGAGTTACANAAAGGCACTAGCTGGCTGCGAGGTCGTGCCGTTGTTGTTGTGTTGCACCAACTTCTCGGGGGCACTATAGAGCGCAAAGTACGCGATGCAGCGAAAGGATTCGGACAGGAAGACACAATTATCCGCTATCTCGATCTTGTCAAGAATCTCATGTGGCCAGACGGTCAAATGAAGCAAGGCGGTGTCCCACGAACAGCGGCTCAGAAAGCAGCCAGTCAGAAGGAAGCAGGACTCTTGCTTGCGACGCTGGTGCCAGATTTGGCAGGCAGTGTGGTGGGAAGGCAGAACGCGCAGGCCGCGAGTAGGAAAGTGTTTGCCATGCTGAACAATCAGCGGCTGAAGTAAGTCTGCTCCTCTCATCGCTGGCACCTGTTATGAAAAGGTTATACTAACGTGTTCACNAGTACACATTTAGTATTCACACTACTAGATGAATTGATAGGGACCGTGTTCCCTNNGGAAGCAGTCACGCGATGATAGAAGAAACATAATGATACCACTTCACAAGCTAATGAGGCCCTCTTCAAAGTGCTAATGATAAGAAGTTGTGGAAAGTGTGTTAGTTACCCATTCTGGGATTCATCTGCCAAACGAATCTCAATGGCTAAATGATCATTTCTGACCCGCTGACAGTTCATATAACAACTTCTGCTAGTTCTGACAACAATCACATTTGGTCTGACGGTTAGCATTGCAATATCAAAGCTAACCATAGTCTTGGCAGTTCATCACAACAATCGCCAACTATCAACACCAGAACTGCTCGAGTTCGAATCTCTGCATCAGCTGATACTTTCGCCAGTCAATTCTGCCAACCAATCAGCTTTTCAGATGGTCTCTCGATAGACGCGCCCCTGTGAAAGGCGATCTGGTCACTATCAGAGGCTGGAGGAGAAGATGGACGGAAGGAAGGAAAGTGAAGGATGTGGACAACTTTGGGAGTGAGTGACAATCCCCAATCCGTCAGACCTGTGATTTCTCTTTTGCAGATGATTGATTAATCGATCGTCTTGGGCACAACTTTTCCTTGTTCACAACACCTTCATGCTCATGTCTGTCGGCTCCGGCATGTTCTATTTTCAGCCATTAGCCATTATTGCTGTGTCCCTTGTCACTAATTGAAGGCTAAGGTAGACTGGTCCGTTTGTTTTGTTCCCATCAGTGACAGACTTGGAAGTCTTCCTTCCGTTTGTCAATCGCGTCACTGCCACAAACAAAGCCAACACCACTAACAACGCACTTTCCTCCAGTTGCGTTTCCATCACCACTTCTTTTCAATCCTAAGACCATCACCATTTCTTCGATCCCAACCCCATCAACTCAACAATTCGTTCTAAGTGGGGTCGTCTGCAGCACGATTGCAAGCATGAATCCACGCGCTCCTCATTACAAATTTCGGTCGTCTGCTTCCTCCACCAGCAGTGGAAAGGACCTTGAGAGCATTTATGGCAGTCTGCGCAACTCGTTTGTGCCTGCCTCTAACTCCGTGAATGGCGCGTCTGAGGCTCCTTCTCCCACCACCACCACTAACAACACACGTGAACCCCCTACTCACAGTCGTTCGCTTGTCAAGTTCCAACCACACAAGAGCTCTGATGTAAGTGCTCACCATTTACTCTTTCTAAATCGTTGCTGATTTGCTTAGGATGAGCTGCTTGAACGCGCACGTAACGAACAACTGGAGCAGAATCAACTGGGAATGCAGATCAAACTCCTGCGCTTGTCCGATCAGGTCACTGAGTTGGTGGCCCAGCGCTCTGCCTTCGAAAAAGAGAAGGAACAGAGCGACAAGATCATCAAGGAACTCCGCCGTGAAGTCGATGAGCTGAAGACTCAGACTCAGAAACACCACGACAAGCTTGAAGTATGTAAGCGTGGCGCTGACGACAATGCCAGGGAGATCCAAAACATGGACCAGCGCATCAAGGCGGTTCCTGAAAGTCTGAGCTCGCGCTTTCAGCATCACACCACTCGTATCGACAAAGTTGAGAGTCTTGTACGTGGTGCTGGCGTTCAGGTCAAGCAGCACGATGTACGGCTGCGTGACAGTGAGGAACGCATCGGCCAGCTTGAGCACAAGGCCGGCGTCACTACTACAAACACCTCCAGTGGTCCACACTCGCAGGAGAATCATGGTGTTAATACCGGAGGTAAGTGAGTCCAAGTATTTGGTTTGTTTGCATCTCGTTGACAGTTAGTCCTAGTTACCCAGCTCAAGCTCGACATCAAGAAGATCCAGCAAACTCAAGAGTCACACAAGTCGTATTTGGAGAAGACTGGACAAGCCCTCATCGCCCACCAGACCAACATGAAGACCATTAGCACGACTGTTGACAATGTTCGTGCCGAACTTGGTAGACTGAGCACTAGCAGCGCATCGAACACTGGCAACGCTGGTTCGGTGGATGAAGTTCGCAACGAGATCGGTGCTCTTACCGACATGCATCGCTACATGGACCAGATTTCGCTTGCCAGCAAGATCAGTCTTGAGGCCATGTTCTACCAGCTCACGAAGGAGCTTGAGGGCAGATGCCACCCTGAAAACATCGAGTTCGGTCTAGATGAAGATCGTCTCTTCATTCTCAAAAAGCGTGTTCTTGAGCGCCTCTCGGTAGAGGATAGCGTTCAGTGCGAGTTTCTGCGCCTCAAGGCCTCACAGCAGATGTTCTCCTAGTCAAATTCAGGAGTATTTGGAGCTGCAAAAAGACACAATAGTTTCGGGAGGAACGTTAGCTCCACAGAGAGAACTCCATCGGAGGTTATCTCCATGGCCAAACTCGTTATCAGATCACAATTGTGCATTTCGATAGCCATTAATACCGTGATACATCTCAATGGGGATGGAAATGGGTCAATTCCACAAGATTGGGACAATGTTTAGTACACACAAGGTACTGCATGCTGGTCGTGAGATGCCATTTCATGAGGCCGCCAACAGCTGATAGACGGATGGAAACGTTTTTCTTGCAATCTTGCTCGCAAGAAGTGATCAGGCTGCTTACTTGACGTATAATAAGCAACAAAGCCCCCAGTTTTCTCCTTCTATCTGGCCTTATTCTTCCCCTGTCATTACTCCTTCCTCACCAACCCTGCCAAAGAATGTCACAGTCCTGCTCTTGATCTTCCAAACACCACTCGCTCCTGCCTCCGTTTCCACATTTCCCGCCTGACTAGCAGACACGCAGATCAATTCGTCAACGTACTTTCCGTATGCAGTTACTTGCTGGCCTTCCCATTTGCCTCTACCCAAATGCACGCCGGTGAAGTAGGTAGTTGCCTTTGCTGTGGTTTTGTCGAGGAGTAGGTGTTGAGTAGTTAATGCGTGTTGGGTGGTTACTGGCTTTAGCCTNNATTTTGATCGCATATTAGTACAAGTAACTCTCCACGTATAACCTCATCTTCCGCAGACCCATCATTTTACCACCTTGTCTGTTCCACCGCATGCTTGAATGCATACAACATACAAAAAAATGGTGTTTGAAGGACAACTAACTCACCGTTGTTGTATTCTCTTGCTCAAAGCATCGACACCTAGAATAGGCTCATCGTTAANAGGATATCTTGCAACCACGTCTTTATCAAAGACTCGTTCGAGCAGAGGCCAGTCTTTGTTGTCCAGCGCGATGCAGTAGAGTGATATCACGTTTCTTATGGCGTTGTAGTCGTGAGGGTTCGTTTGAGTAGACATTGCTGAGGGCACCAAAAGACGATCGTTCTCTTCAAGGGTCTTCCAGTTATTGGTGTCGGTCGCTCTAGTTTCTTGGGTGGTTGGGTGGTGATAGGTGCTTGATTGTGGGGTGTAGTAGGTTGAACGTTTTGCTTTGAGAAACATGTGAGAAGAGGATGAGGTTTAAGTATAGTGATTTCGGCAACCCCGCTCGGCTCCACAGCTCTCGGGATGGTAGATACTAAATAAGTTATGATAAGAGGCACATCTGGAGAGAGTTGGAGGATGCCTCTCCTGAGGTTACAGTCTGATGTACGGCGGAAGGCAGATGTGAGCAATGATTTTGTTCATGTGATAAATATACAAAGGCCTGGGCCTTATTTCTGGTTTTTATGTCCAATCCAATCTACTCCTTGTTAGCAGATGTACTACCCTGATAAGTCCAACTAGGCTGTTGAGTGGTGTTTGACTCCAGGTTCGACGCAGGCAATTGGCCATCGGCGGGCAATTCAAAGACACGCAACCTCGAAGTAATTCTGTCATCGACAACTACGTCATCCAACCACAATCTTTCCTTCTTCTCTTGTTGAACAGCGCCTTCTTCTGTCTCGGGGTCGGTCTTTGGCTTTCTGACGCTCTTGTGCCATTCCTTCTCTTCGTGTGACAGGTAGTCCACATCCGAAGCTTGGAACTCGCGATGTGACGCGAGGACGGCGGCTGCAGTGCGAGAGAAGATCTCCTCTGCAACATAGCGACGGGTGAGGAAACGGTAGATGCGAATGGGGAAGTTCCAGAAGCCCAGAAGGTGAGGGAAGGGAATGGCGATTGCTGGACCAAGAGTAGTGGGTGTCGATGCGGGCAGAAGGGCATTAGTGTAAGCAGAGGTGGAAATGTAAGGGTCGGGTTTTGTGAGTTTTGGCTTCGCGGGCTCTTCCTCTTTTGGTGGTTCGGGGAGGGACTCGGGAGTTGTGTTTGCAGAGTCGCTGGCGTTGGAATCGAAGACGATGGAGCTCGAGTCGGTGTTTGTGGATGAGCCTGAAGAAGCGGTGGGAGGTGTGTCCTTCATGGTCAAGTCGGTGGCTGCTTTGACAGCGGCATCGCCTAATGAAGGTGCGCCATCAATGTGCTGCTTGGTCTCTTGGACTTCTTCGACTTGTACAGGCTCTTTCAAAGGACCCAACCAGCCCTCGTGTGTGCCGCGCAGATACTCCTTCCACGCGTGTCTGCCGATGACCAGATCTCCCTTGACGCCCTCTTCATCCACGCAACCGACTCTTTCTCTCTGCTCGGCGACAATCTGCTCTTTCTTAGGCTCAGCAGCCTCGTCTTGGACGCCCTCGGCCTTCCGCCTGTATCTTCTGATCTTCTCTGCCGCTCCAAAGCGCAAATCTCCCTCTCTTCTGCCCTCAACAACATCCCAATCCATGGCTCCTGCGACCAAGACCGGCTTCACATATTCGTAAAAGTGTTCTCTCGCGCTTCTCAGACCGTCCGCTGGCGGTGCTTGTAGGTAGATGGTCATTTTCCTGGGCATGGTCGTCGTCGGCAGTATCTTTTCCGAGAGCGGTGCAACCATATCGCAGTATTTCTGTTGGAAACGAGCAGTCTCGCGTTTGTCGTAGTAGACTGCTGCAGCAAAGGATCCTGTGACGGAGAGGAAAATCATCCAGTTTCGCGAGGGGAGTTTGGCTTTGATGTTCGGCAGACCTGCATTGCTCCCATATCAGCGACACGCTCTCTGCTTCTCTTATTACAATATCTCTTCTTCACATGTGTATAATGATGTCTCATTGGGAAGGTTAGCCTGGTCACGTACCCATCATGCGAAAGGCGGGATTGCCCTCTGCTGCCTTGGGTGCAGCCTTTGCGCCATTGTTGACAATCTGCTCTGCTGTCTTTGCCAGGGGCACTCCAGCTACTTTGTCCGCCATGCTCGGATGGTTATGTCAAGACAAATCTTGTACAATCGTCACATGCTGCTGTCGCTCGAGAATTTCCCCAGCGTCTTCGGCTTTTGTCGGTCCTTGGCGACGGTCGTCTACAGGGTCATACGGCCGACATTGTTTCTAGAGACATGGTAATTTCTCACGCGAATGTTTGTGTTGACTTCCGGAAGAAGTTTCTTTCGAAGAAAACAAGAGGTTCTGAAGCTATCGTTGTGGAGAGTTGTGCTAGTAACTGCTCGCTTGAAGACTGTTAAGCATCGATGACCTTTTGAGATCTTGACCTGAAGCCTTAGCTATGAAGCGTCAGCTGCGGTGGATTCTTGTTATCACCCTTGAAAGAAATGCACACAAGCTTTGTAGAGACCTATGATCGTTGCATTGCAGGAGATACCCATGTCTTATCGGTGACAGCCCTGATCGCCTTCACCAGCTCCGTTCCCTTCTCCCACACCTCATCATGCAAGCAATCGATGACCGTTTTTAATACTTGTTTGCCCTCTTTGCCTGTCGAAGTCGTCGAAGTCCTTGTGAACCCTTGGGCGACCAACTTTTCCATCATTGAGTCTGTTTGCTGCATGTCCACCAACTCATCACTACTAGACTGTACGAGTAGAACATTTCCATGCCATTTGTCTAGTTTGTTGGTCAATTGACTTGCTGTGACCCATGTCTCCTCGTTCTGACCGAACGCAGCCGTGACAAACTCGCGATAGGCTGGATGCGTGTGTGTAGCGACCAAAGCGGCTACATCATAGATGCCTTCTATGCCTGACAACGCTACCGGAGGCCGTATAGCACCATGTTCAGCGCTCAGAACAGCAGTGGCTTGCATTGCAAGTGTTGCGCCACAACTATGTCCGCACAGAACGTAGCGGCCTACTGCAATAGACAAAGTATCTGGCAAGCGGATAGCACCGCCTTTCTTGAGGCCAATTTCCTCGCCAGCATTCGAGCCAAGGAAGGATAAAGCACCGAGGACATCATTCAGATGCTCTGGGTGCTGCACATTGCGACTGTCGTCATCTGGAGATGATGGAGAAGTAGGATGTGAAGGATATGGAGACAGGCGGTAATCAAGTGACACGAATCCGGCAATATTGTGCGATTGATCGTCCTTGATAAGCATATCCAGAGCAGTGTTGAAACTCCTGCGATTGATCAAGGGATCTCTCCAAGCTCCACCGTGGATATAGCTGAATGGTAAATCAGCCGTCGCAAGTCGTAATAGACATATCATGATAGGATTCGTTCTCGAGTGAGAAGGGGGTGTTTTCAATGAATTGGACGTCATGAGACAAGGTTCTGCGAGTTGCGAGAGACATGACCAGAAGGCAAGGAAGGACAGAAGAAAAAAGTATATCACCTACACAAGCCATACTGCCTGTTGTGGATCTTCAGGCTGTCTATTGGGTATGCATATGTCAAGCAAATTCAGACGAGTGCTCCCGTAGGGCACATCAGTCCAATGTCTGGCATGAGCAGACTCATGGTACTCGACGCTCCGAGTGTTGAGAAGTTGTCCAGTCGTCATGCAGTTGATCAGAGCAGGCTGTGGAGGATGATCAGTCAGAAAGACGGCAGGTTGTGCAGCTTGGTGGGGTCAAGGTTGATTAATAAGGTTGACCCTGACAGGAACGGATGTTTGGCAACGGGGCGGGCCCTTTCCACAAAACGAAACAAAGACGGGTTCAACGAGGATACCAACAACCATCCCTGCTGCTTACCATCAACTTGATGATTTCAGGCGGAAATCCAGACTGGTTGACTGTATGAATGTCCAAACAGAAGTCAGGCGTGAGTAGATTGGGCTGCGAAAGGCAGGCTCGACATGACGTCTTTGTGCATGGCTGGTGTGTGGGCTGCTGCTTGCCTGCCACGCCTTTAAACCTGAAGTTGCGACTTCTGCGAGACTTGGTTGGTCTGTACTGTAGGTAGCCGCCCGTGCTTTCCCTTCGATCACCTCTTCACTTGCCTTCCTCTCACTCTTTCCTGCTTTGTCGCGCAGCAAGATAAATCTGTGAATTCAAATCCTGCGAAACACGACGCAATCCCTATCCTATTCTTCACCTCAAACACGCAATAAACATATCCTTGAAAACGAACGGCCGGTCAAGGCGCTTGACACCTCTAACCCCACCACACCATCCGCAAGCCAAGGCCTTCTAGTAGCCACCCTTGTCGAGCTTGTCACGCCTATCTTCTTGACTGAGCGCTGCCCGTCGAGCCTCTCTCTTTCCTTTTCGACCGACCCTCGACCACTTACCGCACCATGTCCGACTACGGCGGATACGACGACCGCCGCCGCTACCGCGACACCCGCACTCGACCTCGCGAACGTGGCGATCCCGAATTTGTCCAGGAAACAACCTACATCGAGCGCGGCAAGGGCCCTCCCCCTCGTGATCTGGTCTACCGCCCTCGCGAAGAAAGCGTCGAGGACATCACACGGGACTTCCCTCCTCCCTCAAGTGATCGCTATGCTCCTCGCGGAGGAAGAAGAGAATACGACAACTACCCTCCACCCCGCCGTACACGCAGCCAGGTTGGCCGCAGAGACTACGATGATTACGACGATGATTATGATGTCCCTGTTGCTGCTGCAGCTGCTGCAGGCGCTGGATATGCCGCTGGACGCGCAAAGGATCGCCGCCGTCACCGTGACCGCCATGATCGTGACTACGACTCGGAAGAATACTCACCCCCTCGCCGCCGTCATACCGAACGACGCAAGTCTGGTGTCGGTGAGATCTTAGAAGGCCTCGGTCTTGGAGGAGTCGCCGCTGCTATCACAGGACGCTCCTGCAGTCGCAGCAGATCCAGAGATCGTGACTCCCGTCGTGACAGAGATGGCAGAGCCAGATCACGTCACGGTGGTCGCTACGACTCCGATGAAGACAGCCGCAGCCGCAGCAGATCCAAGGGACGCACCGAACGCAAATGGGCACAGGCTGCTCAAGCTGCTCTTGTTGCCGGTGCTGTCGAGGCTTTCCGCTCCCGCAAGGATCCTGGACCATGGACTGGAGAGAAGGGCCGTCGCATCGCCACTGCTGCTATCGGTGCTGGTGGTATCGATGGACTTGTTGACCGCAATCCCGACAANAAGACAAAGCGTCATCTGGCCGAAGCCGTGATCGGAGGTCTAGCAGCCAACCGCCTTGCCAATGGTCCTCGCAGTAGAAGTAGAGGTCCCGCTGGCGCTAGGGATGATCCTTATGGCCGCTCCCGCAGTCGTTCTCGATCCATCTTCGGCGGCCGTGGCAGAAGCCAGTCGCGTGGTCGTGATGGTCAAGGCGGTGGCGGTGGTGGGCTTGAAAAGCTCGCAGCTGGAGGAGCTCTGGCAGCAGCTGGCAAGGCCATCTATGACCGTGTGCGATCAAAATCACGTCGTAGGCGCTCTCCTTCGTCCAGCTCTGCAGACTCGTATGTCCCTTCCCGCAATCGCCGTCGCAACAAGGAGCGAAGCTCACCTGCTCAATCAGATACAGGCAGCCGCGCCGTCGCCCAGCGCGGCCGTGATCGTAACCTAGGCCCTGCCGCTGGTGCTGGTGCAGGTGCAGGCGCCCTCGCTGCTTCAACAAACAATCGCGGCATGCGTAGCGAGAGTTCGTCGAGCAGCAGCACTGATGTTGATGTTCGTCGTAAACGTATGCGAGGCAAGGAGCTATTAACAGCCGGCCTTGCCACAGTCGCTACAATCCACGCTGCTCATGGTGTTTACTCAAGTATGGAAGCCCATGAGAAGCGTCACAAGCTCGTTCAAGAGGGCGAAATGTCTCCAGCCGAAGCTCGCAAGAAGCAGACAAAGGCTTGGGTCCAGGATGCAGCTGCTGTTGGTATTGCTGCGCTGGGTATCAAGGGTGCTTTCAGCGAGTGGAAGGAGATGAACGAGCATAGGTTTGTTGATATGATTATGATCTTGCGGAACTTGACTAACTGTTTACCGGCAGACGCGAGATTCACGAGCTGGAGAAGAGAAAGGCTCTCAAACAGAAACGTCGCGAAAAACACGATCGAGAGGCACGTCGTGCACAAGAAGAGAGCCTCTACCGAATGCTTCCCCTTTGCAGCAGCAACAACAACAGCAGCAGCAACAGCAATTCGGGGCTCCTCAAGGGCCCATGCAACCTGGAAATCAGATGATGTACCCTGGCAACCTTCCACCCCCACCACCTGGGCCCCCTCCTGCTGCGAGGTATTAGGAGCGACCTCCGGCCATACGAGGGATCCTAAAGCCTACACCCGAGGACCGTCAAATAACAAAGCTCCGTTGACCATGTCTTCTGCCAGAAGACCAGATTCTGCACAACTCGATACCATTTCTCGTGGCACTTCTCGCTTTCGACCTTCTTACGTTCTTGCTTCTTTGGGTCTCCTTCTTTCGCTTCTCACGACCTTGATGACTTCGACGACGACGACAACACATTGCATTGATTTTCAGTTTCAGGCGAGCACATACACCAACGACACGGCAATGGGAATCAAGTTCAGCAGGCAGACTCAAACAGTTTCTTTTCCTTTTCCTTATCCCTTTCACGCTACGACCTCTATGATTAGCACGAGAAGCAGAAAAGCTTCGGCACACAAATACCTTTTTCTTTCTGAGCAGCGAGAGCATGATTATGAAACCACGAAATCAACTTTTCTTAGAATCATTTCCTCTATCCAGACCAAGTTCACGTGTATTGAAATTTTACGACGTGATGGTCATGTTGAACTTTAGAATTTAATTGAAAGGCTGGGTAAAAAGTTCAAAAGGTACAGTACAAAGAGTGAGACGAAGCTCTGTTGTCTATAGCTGAGACAATGATGGGTATAGCTTGAGCAATCGATGGCAGGTATGTCTGTCAGGAAAGCACCCTAGTGGTGAGGACACGGTGGCAGAGGTAGAAATGCAAGACGTCAAGACCACGCAGAGGAATGGCTGGTCGAGAGAGCATCGAAGCTTGTTGAGAGAAATGTTTTGGCCAAACCCCGCTACTCAGCACTTTTGGAAGGAACAATACGAACACTGACCACCCGGCGAAACGTGCTCTAGCTGTCGACCCTTCGAAAGCTGGGGGCAGAAAGATTGGAGGCGGTGAAGATCTGTAGACATTACGGCAATTGTCGAGATTGAGAGAGGGGTGGGGCCACTTTTGTTGGCTTGCTCTGCTAGCACTTTACATAGTCGTGCAGTCTGCTCTCCTTCCTTCCTTCCTTCCTCCTTCACATCTCTCTCCCACCCCATCTCCCATCCCCTCTTTTCACATCATCAACATGAGTGCTCCCGCCCAGAAGTTCAAGGTCGCCGACCTCAGCTTGGCCGCTTTCGGTCGTCGCGAGATCGAGCTCGCCGAGCACGAGATGCCTGGTCTCATGGAGACCCGCGCAAAGTACGCTGCGGAGCAGCCNCTCAAGGGTGCTCGCATCGCCGGTTGCTTGCACATGAGTACGCCAATCCATCCAAATTGTCGTCCAATTGAAGCTAACCCGCTCTTCCACAGCNNCATCCAGACTGCCGTCCTCATCGAGACCCTCAAGGCCCTTGGTGCCGAGCTCACCTGGACCTCCTGCAACATTTTCTCCACTCAGGACCACGCCGCTGCCGCCATTGCCGCCGGTGGTACCCCCGTCTTCGCCTGGAAGGGTGAGACCGAGGAGGAGTACGAGTGGTGTCTCGAGCAGCAGCTTACCGCTTTCCCCTCGGGCAAGTCTCTCAACTTGATCCTTGACGACGGTGGTGATCTTACCGCTCTCGTCCACAAGAAGTACCCCGAGATGCTCAAGGACTGCTACGGTGTCTCTGAGGAGACCACCACCGGTGTCCACCACCTCTACAAGATGCTCAAGAACAAGAGCCTCCTCGTTCCCGCCATCAACGTCAACGACTCCGTCACCAAGTCCAAGTTCGACAACCTTTACGGCTGCCGTGAGTCGCTCGTCGACGGTATCAAGCGTGCCACCGATGTCATGATCGCTGGTAAGGTCGCCGTTGTCGCCGGTTTCGGTGATGTCGGTAAGGGTTGCGCCCAGGCCCTCCACGCCATGGGTGCTCGCGTTCTCGTTACCGAGATTGACCCCATCAACGCTCTCCAGGCCGCCGTTTCTGGCTACCAGGTCACCACCATGGAGAAGGCCGCCTCTGTCGGTCAGATCTTCGTCACCACCACTGGCTGCCGTGACATTCTCGTTGGCAAGCACTTCGAGGCCATGCCCGAGAACGCCATTGTCTGCAACATTGGTCACTTCGACATTGAGATCGACGTTGCCTGGTTGAAGAAGAACGCCACCTCCGTCCAGAACATCAAGCCCCAGGTTGACCGCTTCCTCATGCCTTCCGGTCGTCACATCATCNNCCTCCTCGCCGAGGGCCGTCTCGTCAACCTTGGCTGTGCCACCGGCCACTCTTCCTTCGTCATGTCCTGCTCCTTCGCCAACCAGGTCCTTGCCCAGATCATGCTGTTCAAGGCTGGTGACGAGGCCTTCGGCAAGAAGTACGTCGAGTTCGCTCGCGCTGGCGAGGGTGAGGGTGTTGGTGAGCTCAAGAACGGTGTCATGCCCGTTGGTGTCTACGTCCTCCCCAAGATCCTCGACGAGCAGGTCGCTCTTCTCCACCTTGAGCACGTCAACGCCGAGCTCTCCACCCTCACCGACGTCCAGGCCGAGTACCTTGGTCTCCCCGTCGAGGGTCCCTTCAAGAGCGACATGTACAGATACTAGATGCTTCTCTAGTGCTGTTTGCCGTCCTCTTTCCTCTTTTCTCTCCACAGCATTTCCCGTTTCACAACTTTTCTGCATAGCATGAAGGGCGCTGTTTGTCATAACAGTGTTCCTCTCTGTTCTTCTTTGGTCTTTTCTCAACACAACAAGGGGTGCTTATGATGATTCAACATGTGCAATGATACCAGGCGGGAACAAAGTAACAATTTACAAGAAGGGGGAATTTCTGATGTGATGGATGGAACTTCGACTTTTGATTCAACCAAAAAGGCGATGGTGTCTGGGCGTTTTGTCTCTCTTTCTATGAGTTCTCATCAACATCATCTCAACTTTCCCCTTTCTAGAAGGATGGAACCCGCATTTCAACTGCGTGGTCAAAATTAAAACTCGATACAGATTACAATAGAAATCAAAACTTTCTTGCATCTGAAAACACTGTTCCCTTGCTCTGCCGCTGTTCCGCCTGTCCAGTTCTTATCTGATATGCTCTTGAGATTGGTGTGATCATCTCTCTTTGCTCGCATTGCTTTCACCGTCGTCTACTCATTCGTTGGAGGACGAAATCGATGAGAAGATGCAAGGTGTGAATTGTGTCTCTACTGTCTTCGCTCTATCTTCCAAGTCATCCGCAGGAAGGTTGATGTACAGTACGACAGCCTCGCAAAGCAAAGGGGAGGCAGAGTGTGAGGATGGAACAACTATCTAATCAACGACTGGCAAAGACAATGAAATGAATTCAGAGATAACAAATGCTTCAATTCATCAATTAGTTAAGTATGTATGGGGCTTTGTTCGTGTCCAGTAAAAGGGAGATACAAGAAAAGGAGATACAAATCATGGAAACGGACCAGTGGCGACCTCAGCCCTCCTGCCTTTGTGGACCATCCATCAACGCCGATATAAACAAAGGGAATGTGATCCAAGGAAAGATAGAAATGATAGTCGTTGGTCATTCTTCGTGCAGTCGTTTTGGTGTTGCCGATTGTGCTGGATAGATAAGAATATGTCATGATGGTCGTGGAATTCGTGATAGGTCTTGCTCTGAGTCTCGCCGTGAAGATGATGGTGAGAAGTGGGCATGAATGATGGTTGGTGCTGTTAGTCACTAGTAGTAGACGTCTCTCCGCCAACATCAGGCACGCTGGCGTCGACATTCCAGAATATGAAAGGGCCCGAGTACTCGTATTCGTCGTTTGAAGGATGCCACCAACGTCCGAGCATGACCATGCCTCCGGGCAGCACGACCCCCTCATAAGCCCACAAGGAGTTGTAGTCCATATGACCGTGCTCATCTTTCCAATACTTCATCATAGTCATGCGATGCCAGCCGGGGATGCCATGCTGAGGTGGCAGAGGATTGAAGTAGCCTGATGCCAGAAAGCCTTCGCGAGCGTCTTCACCTTCGCCCTTGAAGCAGAACGAAACAGGTTCGCCCTCAGGCAAGACGTGTGGACCGGTGACTCGTCTCTGAGCTCGTGTGGTAGCTGTACGGTATTGAATCTTGGTGCGGGACTTGAGGACCTCTTCGAAAATCTCGGGCCAGAAGTCAAGACCCTCTTTGGGAAAATCAAGGCAAAGGTCCTATGACTGAGTCAGATTGTTGTCATACGGGGTCCCACTTGGGATAGAACATACTTGAAACGGTTGATCGGTGCCATCGCCACTCATGTGGTCGGGAATTGGATAGTCCTCGTTTTGCCCATTGCGTATGGGAAGGATTTCCTCATGGTCGACGTAAGCATAGCTGCCCTTCCAGTGCTTGCCGAGCTTCAAAGGGGTCGTCGACAAGGGCTTCGTCCAGGACTGCGGGCGTTCTGGAGTACTCAGATCATCGTAGCGCAGATGAGTCAGCTCGTGCTGGTTAAGAAGATGGTTCTTGAAGAAGTTTGCGACGTGCAGAGTCCACTCGATGTCGATCTCCTGGCAGTTGGGACCCTTGAAGATAGGACGTATCGAAGTCTGTGCATACACCAAGGATTGCGAGTCGGAGAAGCCCCATGCTTTGGCAATCTTGGAGGTAGGCGAAGCAGTCAAGGAGAGGTGAGTGAGAATGAGTTGTATGGCGAGCAAGGCAGGGTTGGGTATTGACTTCTTGCCTCTGTTAACGTAGGGACGGCGAAATACGCATTCGAGCAGGCCAGTGGCCTTGACAATGGTTTCGAGACGAGTCATGTTGAGAGAGTGAGCTGTGACTTGCTTGGACTTGTGAGGATTGATGTTGAAGGATTCNNTAGTGGCTGTCAGCGAGGCCGCCTGCGAATGAAGCCGAACGCACGCACCGTTGATCAGATCCTTGAGCAATGACAAACACTCCATCTCCTTCTGGGTGTTTCCGGCTTGGAAGTCGAACCTTTGGCGTTCGATCCGCTTGCGGCATTGGTATTGCTNTTTGAACCACTCGTTCACGACAGAGCGTGTACTCGTGGGAGTGGACTTGGAATGATCGTAGGTATCAAGGAACCGGGTACGCCAGAATGAGCCCTCATCTTCATCAAGAGCATACTTAGTCGATCTGCAGATGAGTCGGTAGGATGTGATGGATTTATCGTCGAGATAGCTAGCGATAGATTGTCGGATCTGGAGTGCATGGTTAGCATGAGGAAGCATAAGAGAACAATGACTTTTCGAGTCAAGACAATAGACAACAGCATTAGAGACAAGACATACTTCGACTGGGAGGATCTCAAAGGCACGTGGTGAGTCTGGTCGTGCTTTTTGCCTTCTGACATGGACATGTCGAGATTTGCGTGTTGGTGTAGACATTGTGGATATGGTTTGGTATAAGAGTAGCAAGGTGGGTGTCGAAGGTCTTTGGTGTTTGAAATGTGTTGGAGTCCCGTGTTATGGCAGGGAGGAAGAAGGAAAGAGCCCGTGTTGAAGTATAAGTAAGAGCTGTGATAGTTGGCAGAAGTGAAAGTGAATTTGACGGTTGACGAGAGTGAAGCGTGCCTTCCAAGTCGACGACTCGTCATGTACGGAAGTGACCACCAAGTACCGAATTCGAAAAAGCTGCAACGATCACAATGATTGTCTTGAGTAAAATACTGTCCGAGTCCGATTTTGAAAGTGTCCAAGTATAGTGTTTGACCTTAGTCGCTTGGAGCAACTCTCGAAGGTCTATCTCCGGGATGGAAATAAGTCGGTTTCACAGAAAGGGAGAAACAGTCAGTAGTCGCTTCGTCAAGACCTTCCTTGTGAAACAAGTGTTTCTCAGTGTAGCGTCTTGTGAATATACGGTCCAGTCATGAAGGAATGGAGTTCAATATGCAGGACGAGAGAAGGCAGGCAATGCATACAAGAAAAGGAGAACACTGCTGGGTATTTTTGAGGGATACATAGCGAACACCAACATGGAAAAAGTATACCTACACTCATTTGCTCAGCTTCTCAAGCAAAATCTTCGCACCTGCGTTGCCCTTTGGCCCATCATTCGTCTTCTTCTTCTTTTTGTTTTGTTGGTCGTCTGACTCGACAGGTGCCTTTTTCGAAGGTGCATTTTCACCCTTGGCTGCCTTCTCCAGTGTCTTCTTGCCCTTTGACAGTTCATCGCGGACAACCTTCTTGTTGGCATCGCTGACATCTTCGCTCTCGAGCAACTGTACAACGACGAAACTTGAGGGGCTTGTGGCCCAGTCGACGAATTGGCCCTTGAGCGACTTGAACAGCATATCGCCGAAGCCAAGGCGAGGCTCGACCAACTTTACTGTCTTTGACTCGGGATCGAACTTGCCGCCACTGACCAGTGCTCTTAGCATCTTACCACCAGCTGCGCTCTGTGCGATATGTCCTTCTGATGTTACGTCGCCCTCGGTCAAAGCAACCACGGCCTCGCAAGCTGCCTTCTTATCACCTTGAGCTTCCAAGAGAACCTCGCTGATGTACTGACAACCAAAGCCGACACTTGCAAGGTCGGCAGCACGGCTCTGAATGATAGGTAGCAAGTAAGGTGACATGTATGCAATGAGTTCTGATCGACGAATCTCAGGGTTCTTCTTGGAGGTAACCTCGCGCACGGATTGTACCTCGGCGATAATGTTCTTCTGAACGTCCGAAACCAGCCACTTGGCTTGTCCAGCAAGAGGGTAGAGCAGCGGGATACGGGCGGTCAGATGAGAAATAAGATCAACGAGGCGGTTCTCGCGTTCGGCTTCATCCTTGATGTTCTCACCCAGCAACTCTGGGAACAGAGCCTTGGCGGTCATCTTGGTGTCGTCGACGGTGTCCATTGCGGCAAGCAAAACAGTGTGTGCGTTGGGGTCCAGAGCCATCATCTCGACGGCATCCTTGTAGACACGTAGAATGAGCTTACGGTCCTTTGCGGTTCCGTAACCAAGAGCCAAACACACGACACGGCTGCCGTTCTTTGTGAAAGCCAAGTTCTTGAGAAGATCGCCACCGTTCTCTTCGTCTAGATCAGATTTGAGCAGCTCAAGGAACTCGGCGGCTTCGGGAGTGCCAGGGGTTGTGTTGAGGAAGTACTGGAGCATGGCGTCGTGCAGCATAGTGAAACCAGTCATCTTCTTTTGAACAAGCTGGTTGATCAGTTGTTGGAGGTAGTTCATGATGGGCTTTTTNNTCTTCTCGGGGCTCTCGTCCAGGATGGCCTTGAGGTCAGCCGTGACCTTGTCGTCAGTCTGACCTTGGGCAGCCTTGGTCTTGCCGAAGATGGCGTACTCGGCACCGTACCACTCGCGGAGCATGAGAGCCTNTTGTGAAGAGGTAGCGACCTGGCGGTAGATATCATCGACGATCCAAGCAGCTTCGGGGTGGTTGATCAAGCGACGGATGTGACCGTAGAACTGAGGGACGACCATGTTGCGGATCTCGGCGTNCTCTGTAAGATGGGGTGTCAGCGTGGAAAGTAGTGAGGGAAGAGGAATCGAAACAAACCCTTCGACGACCATCTTGGCGACCAAGAACTTGCCGTACTTGCTCTCAGCCAGCTCGCGCATGTCGGTGCGGAGCTCTGTGACGATCTGCTTTCTTTGTTGCATGTTGGCGTATTTGAGGGCGCATTGGATGACACGCACACTGTCGTGCTTGAAGACAAAGTCACGGACTCTGCCAGTGATAATCTCAAACAGCTCGGCGACAAGAGCCTTGCGCTCGTCGTTGGGCACATGTGACTTCCTGCGCAGTCTCTCCCAGATCTTCTTGCTACGGCCAATGATGTCTGCGTTGGGTTTGGCGGCTTTGCGCTCTTTCGCCAGGGCACGCTGGGCAGCGTGTGCTTCTGCTGATGATTGACCNNAGCTGTGGGTTGTGTCAGCCGTGTGCCTTTTGTCTGTTCTCGTCCTTGACGCACTTCTGATCTTCTTGTCGTCCGACTCGCTGTTTCCACCCTCTTGCTCCACGCCGGACATGGCATCATCCTCTCCGTCTAGCTCATCTTCGTCCTCATCTTCATCCTCGCTCGACTCGTCGGATTCGGGAGTAGGTTCCTTGATCGGGGCGGCCTTCTTCTTGGACGAGCCTGTCGAGGCCAGCTTCTGCTTCTTCTCTGATCCGGACCGTACGGCAGCGACGGCCTTGGGTGCTTCCTTGCGCTTGACTCCGGCCATTGTGTAAGAATGAAAGTGTGTTGTGCAAATGTCTTTGGTGAGCGTCTCGACCCTGGCAAAAAAACATGGCGCATGGATTGGAGATTATCCTGACCGCCTTTTTCTGCCACGGCGATAAACTCCACATCTCCGCTCTACCACTCCCAAGGTCCTACTACTTTCATTCTACCATAACCACCTTCTGACTTTGGATCGTCCAGCGCATAGAAACCCATCACATATCATGTAAATGTCCGATTGTCTGCTTACGTAGTCATGTTCCTATGCACTGCTTGTCCTCCAGCTTATCACGTATCATTGTGTAGGCACGTCTCACGAATACCCATGTGCTGAAGCCTGTCACAATCTTCTGAACGATAGGTAATTTCTCTCGGGCTTCCACAGGAGTCTCTCCAAAAACTATGGCCTTTGCGAAAGCATCGTGCAATCCCGCAGCTAGCCTGTGACAGTTCCTTAGCACATGGAGAGGCAGGTATCCGCGGGCTTGCGATCGACCATCGCCAAGGAGAGCTCTGGAATGCACTTCGCAATCAATGATGCTGCCGACACTTTCAGGCACTTCTTGTTCAAGCGCGACCTTCATTCACAAGTCTGAAAGCGACTTCTATAAAAGATGAAAGACAAAAGAAGGTCGCCAAGCCGAAAAACTGTCCCAAAGAAGAAAGGGTTTGGGCGCAGCAGGGTCACACGTCAAGGGCTGATCTCTCTTGGTCTTCTTGTCTTGCTGTCCTCCGTGGAAAGGGACGGCCACCCACAACATCGATTTCAATTGGGCAAGAAGACCAAGCCCACGACGGGAGTCAAGACGAGCGAAAGATTTCAAATCGTCCAGAACCACGCCCCGCAGGAAGTTGGAACCCTTTCGATGGTTCAAACCGTCGCCAAGACGAACGCCTTGGTGCTTGCCCTGCTTCCCTTCTCCATCTTCTCCGCCTTCTCTCTTGAGAAATGCATCCTGAGTTGCAACGATGATCTCCTTGGTATGCTGGTATAGATCTTGGCTGCTTCCAGACATGAAGCCCTCCTGCTTAGCGCTGCATGTCTCATCGCCCCCAAGGCTTTGCTATCCTTCTTGACTTTCCACCTACGACATTGGCGAAAGCTGGTTCAGTAGACCGAGTAAGGTCAAAAATAGCATTATCCAGAATAAGGGTGCACTCGAAGACGTTCAACAAAAGATCGAGGTTACAATTTCATTGGAACCGCCGCGCTGATGAACAGGAGCAAAGAAGTGGTATCGCATCACCAAACTTTTGGTCGACTCCGTGCAACAACTGGTTCCTACAAATATATATCAATTTGTGCCTGGAATGTCAATGATGGATCAACCTCAGTTCTGAGAGTTCACGCTCGAATGCCGAGCATACCTCTCCTTCATGAATAAGCAGATCTAACGACCTTGGCAACTTCAATCCAGATGCCAAACCAACCGTGCATTCAGCAAGGGAATGCCGAGAAGCCACGATTCATGAGACACACCTCTTTCCGAGCAGATATAACTTGGCAAACATATTCTCATTGATCACGTCCAATCTCTGACGTGTGCCTCGGGAATGTCTTGTGTCAACAGCTGTCTTGGTATGGGCCTATCTCATCGGTGCTTGATACTGAAGTGCTTGGAGTGCTCGGCCATAGTGAGCATAGATGGTAGGTATGATGGCAGTGCAAAGAGGTTCTTGGAGACGATAGAGAGGTAAACATATAAATATGGGTGTCTGCCTGTCAGAGTAGCACTCCATCATCACAACAACTTGACAACAATCCAATACGATCAACCATCGAATAACAAGTCAATCAACACCACTAAAGAGACCAGTATCACAAATATCAAGATGAAGTTTACCGCCGCCACCCTTGCTGCTCTTGCAGTTGTCACTTCTGCACTGCCCACCGATGTCCATTACGAGGCTCCCAAAGGTAAGTCATGCAGCCCAGGATTCTACTTGGGTCAACTCCTTACTGACCATGACTANGGCGGTTGGGAATCCGTCGACTACCCTAAGGGCACTGGCGAGAACCTCCACGAGTACCCCCCTCCCCCTGGCGGCTGGGAATCTGTCGACTACTCCAATGGCGGCGCCGCACCTGCCAAATGCCCCGAAGCTCCCAAAACGGCAGGCTCGCCCTTCACATTCACCTCTTACTATGAAGTCAAGGCCGTTCCTGGTGAAGTCGTCAATGGCACAACCCCTACCGGGGGTCTCGAGGGCGCCTCAGGCCTGTTCAAGATCGGTATCAACAGCGACCTGAACCTGATCTGCTACAACATTGAGATCTACAACTTCCGTGGCGAGTACCAATCTCCTGCCGCAACAGCTACCCACATCCACGAGGCTGCAAAGGGCGCTTCCGGTCCTCCTAGAATTGCCTTCCCTAACCCTGTTGACGTTGGCAATGGTGTTCGCCGCTCTATTGGTTGTCAACAGGGTCCTTTCAAGACTGGCCTTTTGGCTAATGGAAAGGATACCGCTGAAGGCTTCCACATCAGCCAGATCGAGAAGAACCCTGCTGGTTTCTTCGCCGATACTCATTCCAACTTGGCTGTCCCCGGTGCTGTTCGTGGTCAGCTTGCTTAGATGTTTCTACTCACAATGGCCCTGAGATGTTTTTGCAACACTAATACTGCATTTTTGCCTGTATCTATTTCGTATGTCATCTGATCAGATCTATAATACAATGATGTTTCTCTTTGGTTGTCTCGCTTTTTCTCGCCTACCCTTGTGCAAAGTATGTAACGTGTGTGGCTATAAAAATGCACAATACTAGTTGACAACAGGATAGTGTCCACGGAGATGCAGTCTCTTAGCAGCTCTCTTTGGCCAATCTTCAATTCTGAATAGAACTGTGCGTTTTTATAGTATGTACTTTACTCACTGTTATAGTCGGAGTGCAGTGTAAGTTACGTCCTTTAGCACACATGGAGGCGGTGCATGTTGGGATCGGCTGTGACTTCAGAAATGGAGTACCTCTTTCCACGTCATGACCTCCCCGAGCATGCCATCCGGGTAAATCTCCCATGTAACATTGCAGGTACCACTTTCCCCTTCTGTAACGTCTCTGAGGGCCATGTCGTGAACACGAAAACGCTCTTCGATAGGGTTCTGTTGCGGTACTCTCACCTCTCCATCTGCGATCATGCGCATCAACGGTCCCGGTTCCATGTATACGGATTTTGCACCCTCGTAGATCAACACACCGGATTCTTCCACTTCTACCCATCTTCTGGCTGCTCTTGCGTGTAGCCGCGCATCCCAAAGGCCTTCGCGACCATCGGTCTCTTCGAGCATGGATATGGCTTCGCGTCTTATGATGGGATCGCGACATTTGATAGCCACCAGGTACAAACTGGGAATAAGTTTCATGTTGAGCGAGAATCTCGGTACTTTAGAAACTGAAAGGGAGGCCAGTCTTGAGTGCAAGCACCTTTCTTGTGCCTGTGGTCTCGGTTTGATCAGGGCTCGCGACCACTTGACGATGGATGCAAATTCAGGAAGATAATCATCGAAGCCAGTTTCTTCTAGCTCGGTGCATCGTGCTAGCCAGATAAACGAAGCGTTATGCTGTATGCGGAGGGTTTTCTCTATCCTGTTGTCGTCGTCTGTAAAATTGGTACATGACTTCACGAAGTTTGCCATGCTGTTGTTCCAGATGGAGAACTCGCTCAGCAGATGTATTTGCAGCGTCCTTCCGGAGAGAGAAATCGAACCATTTTCGGCATGTTTTCCATCGTGCACTGTGCGGATAAAGCCAAGACTNNTGGAAGCAACAAGCAGATTGAGGGAACTTTGGGCCTGCTCAAAACTGTTGAAAGATCTTGGTGTAGCGAAAGCTAGCAACTTATCCATGTGGTTGAACATATTGGATCCTGGAAAGCCCATCAAGGTTGTTTGAGAATCCAGTCGATGAAACAATGGACGAATCTCCTGCTTGATGGATTTGGCGATGGCATTCGAGGAGGCTTCTTTTCCTCNGTCCTGTGCCAGCGATGCTCTGAGCATGTTTAACCCGTTTTGTAGGTGGTCGATGACGATCAAACGATTTCCATAGATGCACTCCAGTGAGATGAACAGAAGACAACATAACAAAGCGATGTCAAGTGTGTGGGAACCCCTGCTGAGGTACAGATTCAGCTGCTTGATGGCTTCGTTGTAGTGGCGCAGGCTGAAATTAGAAGGTATTGCATCTTGTATGGCTCGATTGTTGGTGGCGTCAGCTTCAAAGCGTGCATGAGCGGAACCCAATGCTATCAAGGCATGTCGGATAGCTGGCTCCGACATGCTCAATTGAGGCAAGGAAAAGGACCAAAAGGAATGGCTCAAGACATTGGACAGTGCAGGGCTTGTTCGCGTACTGAAGAACTCAATCCATGGACTGTCTTGGCTTGATATTGCTGGCGACAGAAAGGCAGCATCAAGGGTCGGTATAGCTGGTGCTAATCGTCGAACAAGCCGGCCTGAGGTAGAATCTGGAGGTAGTGGCCTTTNTTGTGTCGAAGAATTGGTTATTTGCCCTGAGGTTTTGGCAGATTTTATGCATTCCCTTTCTGGCTGCGCAGCATAGCCGTCGCATTTGCGCCCAGTGTCGGTGCAGCGTTTACAGAATGGCTTCTCTTCATCACATTTCACCTTGCGTANTCTGTAGGATTGCATCAGCAGTGCCTCATCAGAATTGCAGTAAAATCTGTCGCATACCTTGCAGGTGATGCAGCCAGTGCGGACTTTGAGCTTCCGACTTGGTCGACTGCTGTCGGATGGACTTGTAGACATGGAAAACGGCAGCTCACGCGATGGACTCTATGATGAAACACTTGCTGCCGGTCTTACAACACAACCACGGCATTGCAATGATAATTGATACGATAAGATGGCGATGGTGCAAAGTTAACATGTCGTTGGTTGTGAAACCGGTGAGGATGATTGCTAAACAGCTGCCTGGGCATGTTTCTATTTGTGTTCAAAGTGGGCAGGTACAACCGACTGTGAAGGATTCCCCGCTTCAACTTACTCATATCAAGTCCCCTTTTAAACACCTGGTGGAGAGAAGGTCCCTCAGGGGTCAAATCTTTCTGTAGAATTCATAGCCCATCCATACATACTAACGCTATCTGTACATGATCTAGCTCTTGTCATCATCAAATTCTCTTCCGACAATTCTGCTATCTAGCTTGTATCCATCTCTCAATTTGAGTCCTCAAACGCTTGTCTTCGTGTAGGCAGCCTCGGTCATCTCACTCCCTGCGATCGAAGGTGTCGTAGTCTCTACGCTCGTCATTCTGATGTGGTTCTTGTCGCCTTTGTTGTTCTTCTTCCAGGTCCAATTTGCGGCTGCCCAAGCGGGTGCACTTCCAAATGCAATTCCAGGGTGACACACGGTCAAAGCGATTGTGGCAATAATAATCATCGGGCCTTCCAGAATCATGAATGCCGTTTGATCGTTAGCAAGCTTTCCTCCAAATCCGTCTTTGAGCTCTGCGACACGGAAGACACAACGAATGTAGATTGTGATAGTCGCAACCGCGATAGCGTACGGGAGCATGCGGAACATGGTGCGCTTTCTGAGGTCGAAGAAATCGAAGTTTAGGTCGCTCTCTCTTGCTTTGTATGCTCTGTAAACGAACTCCAAACTGAGTGCGATGAAGATTGTCAAGCTGACAACTTGAAAGGCAAGCCCAGCAATCATGATATTTATTCCAGTACGGGACGGGTCAGAGGCGTCTTGTGTAGCAGCGAGAGCCCCTCCAACAGCTTGGAGCAGAAGACTAATGAAGTCGCAGATCACAAATGTGAGGGTGTAGAATCTCGGAGTGAACCGTGAGATGTTTTGACCGTAGACGATGACAATGCGGCCGAGACAGAGGTAGATTGAGGCTGTGAGGAACGCTGGGCCAATAGTAAGGCATACAAGATACCTAAAGATGTCAGACAAGAACTCACAGCGCGAGGAGCTGAGTAGTGCTTACAAGACGAATTGATCAAAATTGAAAGGATTGCCGCTGAGGGTGATACGACCAGCGTAGCCAAGGATTTCAAGAAGAAGACCGCAGAACATTCCGATGAAGAAGCCCCAGGTGCGGTATTTCCAGACGAGGCCCATCTGAGCCAGAATAATGACGGAGAATATGATACAGTATGTTAGGTTGCCGCCATATGATGGAACGTATTCGATCTGTGCATAGTCCAAAGAACACACGCCGATTGCGCAGTCGTTTGGATCGATAAGGGTGCCATTGAGTGCTGGAATGAGCACAGTGCCATTCACGATTGTTGCCATATTGGACCCAGTGAAAAGCTGCGTAAGAAAGTAGGATCGTAGATGTGGATGGAGGTGCAGAAGTAGAGTGGTGTCTGACGATGATGATGATTTAGGAAACACAGAGGGCTTGATCGATGTTTATATCCCCACACCTACCATACTTGGGAAACATTGAGAGGATTCAAGAGCACAGCTTCTGCGGCTCAGCCTCCTCTGTCCTGTCAGATCCATGATAATCCGTCGACAAACAGTCGCAAAGCTTTCCTATTCGGCATGCAGCGCGTTGGAACACCCTCTCAGGTACAGCATACGTTTTTCGGTCTCCTCAATGATTGGCTAGCTCGCGACAATTACCAAAATGAGAGCCTACCAACACAGCGAAGCAACAGGGCTGCGGTCCGAAGAAGAAGAAGCACGGGCAGTGCAGGAGCGGAGGATTCTTTTTGGTCAGTCCCCACGTCTCGCATCGCATTCTGATTGGTCGATTCGCATTTTGCTTGGAGGATCGAGAGCTGCGCCAACGACAACTCCCATGTCTCTGCAGACTGCCTCTCTTGTTTGCCTGGAGTTTTGCACTCATCGATTTGACGAATATAATGTTGATCGAATTGATGCCTGTCTATGACGCGTCCTTGCCAAGACTTTTCTGATATACCCACCACATGGCAGTGCTGAGAGTGAGCCGTCGGGTGCCGCGAGAATGAGCGGATCCAAACACTGCAGCTTCGAATTGCAAAATCAACTTTCAGGTCCGCAGCACTATTTAAATATATACGAATCTCTACAGACTCAACACAATTGACAGCAGAGCGTCCAATAGATGAGTAGACATCGCAAACTGGTGAGTTTATTTCTGATTTGGCAGGTTGTTGGTGGAGACACCCTGGCATCGTATCACGAATAAATAAGTCTAAAGAAACGTGATCAGCCCAGCCCGAAAAATGACAACTTGTCGAGATAGTTTCGCGAGGTATCTTAGTTGTCTCCTTGCCATTTACATCTTCATGTGGTCTCGTCGTGGCACTATTGGCGCTTGAGGAGGCAGCAAGATGAATAGCAGTGTTGCTTACGTCGGTTGTTCGCAACAAGGGCGCCGGGAGTTTTGCACATTCCGAAAGCTTGCTCCGTTTGTGAATCAACTCGCCTTGCAGAGTGCATGTCTGAGAGTAACACTTCACCACGAGACGACTCGCAACCTGCGGCGGCGCCTGCAAGACGTCGTAAACCTCGTCCATCTCGAGGCAAAGGTCTCCGTACAACGACAGGATGGTTCGCTATGTCGCATTCCGACCACTAAGCCTCGGCTGATCTGGCATCTCGCAGTGTTGTATGCCGAACTCGTCATATGAAATGCGACGAGGTAAAACCAACTTGTTCAGCTTGCCTTAAGAGCAAGCGGCAATGTGTGTATGCCTCAACCACTGGTGTAAGTCTTGAATTTTGACCAAGCTACAATCGCTGTAACTTCCTGTATCTCGTGTTTGGTCATGGTCCATCTCCGTTCGCAACGTCTAAGCATTGATGCGCACGTAACTAATCAAGCACGTAGGAACCCCAAGGCAGACAAGGCTCCTCCGTGGCAGTCCCAAGCTCGGCCAGTTCACCTGTTCAAAGACCAAGTCTTGATGGTGCTGCTCAACAAGCAGAAGCTGGTGCTTTTGGACGACGACCAAATGTCCAGTATGAATCAACCTATTCAGAGAACAATGACACAGCTCTTCATGCCGCGCCTATCAGCATTCATGGCCCCGATTTTGCCAGGAAATTTGATGATAACCAAACGTCGAGTCCTCGATCAAGCCTAAGTGGCAGCACTGCGTATGCTGCCGACGTCGCACCTCTTCGATGGTTTGGCCTACTCGCTGGAGACGCAACAAACGCAGACTGGAGCTTCAACCCCATCTCGCCAAACCTTGTCACAACCCAAAACAATACCCCTACCAACCAAGTCCAGTATACTAGTGGAAGTTCCTACTCCCGCCCTTCAGGACTTATCCAAGGATCATACACGCCTTCTATCATCCCACACGAAGTAGTCGTCTTGTCGGATTTGGAAGTCTCTCTATTCAAGTATTTTGTCACACATTTCAGCCGCTGGATTGATCTTACAGACCCTCACCGTCACTTCTCGGTCATGGTACCTCATCTTGCCCTGCGTAACCAAGGCTTGATGAAGGCTATACTAGCGCTTTGCGCAAGACACCTGTCAATCAAACCGCTACCTGACCTGGCTCCTGACCGTACACTTGCAGTGCAATACTATTACGAAACCCTCCAATACCTTCAGCAGGCCATGAAGAGTGAAGCATATCTTCGTAGCGAAGAGCTCCTAGTCACGTGCTTGATAATCAGCACATACGAGATGATCGATGGCGAGGGTCAGAGTTGGGAGCGACATCTTAGGGGCATCTTTTGGGTCCAGAGATCTCGCGAAATCAATGGTGAATCTGGAGGTCTAAATCAGGCTATATGGTGGGCCTGGTTGCGTCAGGACGTCTGGGCCGCCTTCCGGGAAGGCCGCAAAGTGCTGAGCTTCTTTAAGCCTACAAAGCCATACTATGCGATGGATCACTGGGACATCGCTGCGAGATGTGTCTACTTAGTAGCTCAGTGTGTCAACTACAGCTCGCAGCAGGAAGTTGAAGCTGGTAAATCTGACTTGATCATGCGACTAGCAAAAGCAGACGAATTGTCAACGAAGCTGGAAGACTGGTATCAGCATCTGACAAGCCATTTCAACCCATTACCTTGTCTCAACACCTCCCGAGGACCATTCAAGCCTATCTGGATACACCCACCGGTGTTTGCAGCTGGCTTGCAGCTCTATCACTTCGCAAAGATCCTCCTACAAATATGTACCCCTGCAGCTGGAGGATTAAAGGAATACGTGATGAGAGAGCGTGCCCTTAACGAATCAGTTGATGTGATTTGTGGTATTGCGCTGGCCACTGAGGATGACGCGGCTATGGTTATCTCCACACAATGTATCTTCGCTGCAGGCTTGCACACACAAGATCCAGTCAAGAGAGCTGCCATTCTCGAAATGCTCGCACAACACCAAAAGCGTACTGGCTGGCCTGTCCAGGATCTTCGCGTAGACTTGGAGTCCGAGTGGACCAAGACGGACAAGCCAGCATGAATTCCAACCAGTCAACCTCAGAATTTCTCTTGCCGCATTTGTTATGGCAGCATGGAATCATTGGGGTCTATGTTGTGACTTGACTGCCGACTCAGCCATACTCCGCGGCGCCTCTCCTGACCACATCGTCGACTCCGTCTAGTAACGTCTCGATCTTACAGCATCCGTCGGTGCGATTCCCACCAACTTCAACATTCTAAATTCTGTTTCGCAAATCCTGGCACTGGAAGTCCATGGACGTACTGAGAGGCGTTGAGGCAGTTGGTCATAAAGCCATCTACTCCAATGGCACTATGGACAGATGCCTCGCTCACCTTGCGTCAACTCGTTAATGTCACTGCCAACAAAGGTGTATTGGCATTGCCAGCCTCTGTGACAACAGCACATATAACTTTGATATTGGTACTGTGTTCAACAAGGCTCTGAGTATCCAGAGAGCTATCGTTTCGCCTCTGCAGGAAACAGCTGCCGAATCGCTGCCGTTGGTACATGTAGCTTCGGGTAGAGCAAACCCGAGCTTCATCGTCAGTGCTGTTATTAATGTTGAAGAGGCGCCTGATTACTATACCAGGTTCCCTAGGCATGAGGAGGGTAAAGTGGTTATTAGATCTCAGATCCAGTAGTGGAAGATGATGTTGTAGGTGGAGAAGAGAATGAGGCATCTGATAGCAGGGAGATGCAGTTCATATCTTGTGTCGGGTAGATAAGATTATCATTCAATCTGATACACTTCTGCCTTGTCTTCAGAACGGCAGTATGGGTTGTCGCGCAACGTTCTGTGATGACATTCAAAGCTATCATCGATGTTGTCCCATGCGACGCATATAGGCTGAGGATACAAGCCCAAGATTCGAAGATTTGCTGTCAAGAGATACAGTTTCGATCCCGCTCAAACTGTATACGCGCCGAAAAGGGCCGGCAGGATAACCTTTTCCAGTTCAACATCGATATACATCGTACCGTTCGATCTTGTTCGGGCAGCGCTTGTCGTACAACGGAAACGTCACTCAACACCCAACACCTATCCTCTAAAGGAAGGTGAGTAAGAATTTATTTCCGCCGCCTACTTCGAGCCGCATTGTATATCTCGATAGATGATGAGTGTCTACGCCAGACCTCCAAAAGAAGAGGTGATTGCCTCCTCTACCATTACGCGTCCTTTCGCCCGTTTCTAGAAATTCGCTGAACCGGCTCAGCTTTCCGTCGCATCGGGAAAAGTGCACATTGACACAAGGCAACTCGAGGTATGATTTCAGCGACACGAGTCTTGCGCATGGCAGAGCGTGTTACCCGTTCGAGTTTCGAATGTTCAAGATGAGGTCATGGATCTTCGCTGTCAAGTCGTCTCCAAGCAGTGACATGCTGGGGTAGACAAAGCTTGTTTTAATGCTTCTCTAACTTCTCGATCGCCATACACGATTCATGCCTTTTCCTATACAGCCTCTCGATCACGATACGAGTTTCCTGACCACTTTAGACTTCTGACGGGTGAGAAAGACAGATGAGGCTTTAGGCATCGATGCAACAGCGGGATACAGCAGCGATCCAAAGCAAAAATGTAGAACGTGATCTTGGAACCAAACAAAGTGTAAGCATGGTATGATATAAAGATTAAGGTATACAGTTATTAGCTCATGACGAAGAAGAAAGATCAAACATATCGTGAATATTCGTCAACCGCACTCGTGATAATGCGCTTTCGAGACCTTCACCATGGCCTTCGAGATGCTCAGATGACAGCAGCCTCGTCGCTGCTGGAGCCCCTCCTCAGAACACCCTTCTCACTTCCCTCTCTCTTCGTCTCCCGTCTGTTTCTCCATAGCGCCCAGAAGCGAAGTGCCAAGTAAATAGCACCGAGAATGGCAACAACAATGATGTAGGCCGTGTTGTAGTTGCTGTCGCCCGACATGTTGAGACCTAAAGGCACGTTGACGATACCCAAAATCATCAAGCAAATACCGAGAACCATGTGGACCTTTCCAATGATGGTCTTGTGGCCGCGGCGGAAGAGAAGGTGGTGAATAAGGCCACCAAGCGCTTGAACAGCGAGAAGTGAGAAGACGACAAGTCCGATGATCTGATGAGGTGTGCTGTNATCCACCCTGGTCGCGCTGTTAGCAAATTGTATCACCAAACAAAACTCGCTCTGGAGGAGGCGAGGAGAAGGTCATAAGCTTACATAGCCGAATCTTGGTGACAAGTAGATTCCAGTACCCAGACCAACAATGACGAAGCAGTAGGCCGTGGCTTGGATGATACCATGGCCAATAACGCTGTGGCCTAGGCGCAGTACCAGAACACCCAGAGGGAACAGAATGACGAATGCAATGGCCATAAGAATACCGTGCACTCTGTTATAGACATTTTCGCTTTGTCCCTTGTTTCCGCCAGAGGACGCGCCAGTATGTGCCGAGCCAGAGTTACCACCAGAGTTCAATGCGGGAGTATTAGACCCGGTGAAAGCGGCTTGTGTCATGTCAATCGAGAAGGAGTTGTACAAGGTGTGTTGAGCAATATTCTCAGATGTCGAGTCGCTCGAGATTTTATCGCTAGAAGGTCCAAGGGCAAAGATGAAAGGCTGATCCGTGGATGTCGTGTCCATTGTGCCAAGAGACCACGCCGAGCAGTTGTAACACACGCCCATGAGTTGGTACATTCCGTTAGTGATAGAGCTGAATCTGACTTGGACCTCCTTCGAAGAGGTGTACTGTGGCTGTGAATGTCCAGTGGAGAGTCGCGGGCTCAGAGTTANCAGCTAATACAACCAATCAGCTCTGAATCAATCAAGATCCTTCGGGAAACTGCTTTTACCTGAGCCGTTGGAGCTAGGGTATCCAATGAACATGAGCGAATTCTTCATCTGGCCTCCGATGCCAAAGGCGAGCCACGAGTATGTCGAGGGAGCAGACATGTTGAAGTACAGGTCATTGCCCGTTGTGTTGAGTCCAAGGTCAAGGTGAAAAGCATTGGAACCTGATTTTTGATATGTGTAGGTCGAAGACCCATTGCCTGCAAGTGCAACCGCGAAGAAAGCAGATAGGAGTGCTATTGTATAGTCAGCATCGGTACCTGCATTATGTGCCAAGCGAGAAAGGAATGGGTACATACGGAACAAGAAGGGGACCATCATGGTATTAGACTGAGATCAATCTTGTATAGAAGAATATCCTCTTCAATCAATGGTGAGTGATTCAAAACAAAATGTGATTGTAGTTGCAGAGGAATGGTTGGGCAGACTCCTTTTATGATATGTTCGGATTGGGACAAGGCTTTGCCAATGTAAGATACACGCGTCGAAGTGGTACGAAGCTACCGGGTCGAGCGCCTCACTCAGCTAAAAGAACAAATATGCAGACGGGGCGCAGACGGGAGACAGACGGGAAATGGGAATCAGCAGCGAGTGTGGTTCTTCTTATCGTCTCTTACTCGTTTCGAAAGCTTCAACCCAAGCCGTGTGTCTTCGAGCCGCAACGTTGGTGAGCCATGACACTCGTGTTGCAAGCCAAAAAGCGGTGATGTGCAGGAGATGAGCAAAACGGGCTTATTTTGTCGAGGGCTGGCCATGCAGTCTGATTGGTAGACAAATGAATCATCGGGTGAGCTCATGCTTTTTTGGTCGGCAGTCAAACGTCTAGTAGTGAACTTAATGGTCAGAATCGTGAGTCGTTCATCGGAGATGAAACCAGCCAATGGCGGTGGAACATTTTAAGCTTCTTTTTAGCACGGCTGACTGAATCTGGGGAGCGACCCGTGCGCATGCAGGTGTTCTAGATTGGCCGTCAGCTCCTTCATCAATACGATGCAAAAAAGTCCATGATGGCATGGTGCGCTGGAAATGCGCTCACGCTGCTCTCGGTGATGGAGTTTGAAAGACTTAATCATCGCAGAAGCTCAAATTCTATCCTCCTTGCTGCAACAATCAATCAGCCTTTCGTGTTCCAACTTCCAAGAGAAGATGGCGGTGGCTTAGGCATGGGGTGAGGGAGCAGATCAACGACGCTGCCTGAGAGCTGTCTATTGCTTCAGCATCTCGCTTACGATGACCGGACGAGAGTGGAAAATCGAAGCGACTGCGCCATGGAGATATGCGAATCCATGTCGACAGTGCACTGGCTTGTCGTACAATCGCATCACAAGTCGACTGACCTTTGTATTGTCGGTATACATGACCAAGATGAACAAAATTCCCTCGGCCTCGAGCAGCGCCTGTTTGCCAAGGACATGGCGCCTACAGAATAACCTGTGAAGAACTTCAGTGATGTGGTTAGTCAGCAACAACATCTGGGTTCGAACTGCTCCAAGTACGACACCCGCCCAAGCTGCGGAAAGGCAATCGCATTGGTCATGCGCAGCGATTGACAGATCCGGTCGCTACGTCTTTGAGGAAATTTGAAGCTGTTCAATCAACAGCGTCTTGTTCAAGCAGTGTTACAAAGAGATGACAAAACAGCACAGTACTGTGTGGGTGTGTGTAAAATGAAAGAGCAATGGATTCTTGTATTCTTCTGGGTATCATGAAAAAGTGGTTGCGGACAGTGTTCCATCAGCAATGCTGGACCAAAAGGAGGATGTTCGTCTCATGCCGAACGACGGTGCTAGGACGGTGCAGAGTTGTCTGCTCATGCGCAGTTGTTCCAAGGGTGAGGCTCTGTCAGGCTCGTTTGGCTGACTTTGGGCGCGTTTGATGGATGGATCGGAAGGAGCGCATTCGGACGGATGATGGTGATGTGGCAGATGGACAGCAAAGGCTCACTTGAACTCGTTGGGCCAGCACTTCTCCTTGGTCCAGACGTCGGGGTGGGTGGATGCATGCTGCTCGAGGACGGCAAGGTTGGAGCTGGTNNCTAGAGTATGCTATGTCAGAACAAGTGTCGTCGGGACGCGAAGAGGGTGCAGACTCACCAACTCCTTCTTGCAGAAGGCGCAAATTGAAGTGGCCTTCTTGGGCTTGACAGGGGTGCCGTTGGCGTGGACGGGGACACGGGTGCCGGCGGCCTCGGCCTTCTTGTGCTCGCGGTGGATACGGTCCTTCTTGGAGATGGGCATCTTGACTGTGTGCGTTGTGCAGTGTGTGGCAGAAAGACGCGACAACAGGGACAGCGACAAAAGATTGTTGACTTTTGCTTGGCGAGACCCTGCTTTTTTTCTTCTTATCTTATCGCCGTTTAACACGTGCCTTCCTCCGAGGTACTGTACAACACGACGGGACCTCTCTCACTTACCATGTCACACAAGATCAGACCGTCGGGAGAAATAGCCTCTCGAATCCAAGGCGCAGTTTAAGTCTGCACTCTTGCTGGCTCTCGTTTGGCGAAGAAGTCCATTAATTGTTTTCATTTCGAAACCTTTCCCACAGATAAATACGACATTCCTACAACGCGTATCTATAGTCAGGATGATAGTCACCGTCCTTACCAGCAACAATCAAGCGTTCCCGCTCATCCTCAGTCATCGCCTCTCTCTTTTTGTTCTGGTGCCTCATATATGCCCACAAAGCAGCGTGACCAACTAACGCCAACAGCACAGCCCCCAAAGAGACGCTCAAGCCAGTCACGTACTTGCCATTGACCTTTTTGGCGAAAATCTGCCCGACGACAACACCCGCGCTGTTGCCAAAAGCCTGGTTCGTTCCGACAGCGGTAGCGCGCTTGTGGTAGCCGGCATGACTGTTCAACAACCATGCTGCGTTTAGACCCACGATGATATAGATGCCGGGTGCAATGAGGAAGATGGAGAAATATAGAGCTCCCCGTTGGACCTGTGGCACGCCGAGCTGAACCGCGTAACCGATAGCGGTCAACATTGCACCAGGTATCATGAAGTAAGCGCGTTTCTGGAACCTGTCGGACATCCAAGAAATAACCATGTATGCAATGGAAGCCCAGATGTATACCGGTACAGTGAGCAGCTGTGTCTCAACAGTGCCATAGCCGAAGCCGCGGATGATAGTCGGCATGAACGTGCTCAATCCGAAAGAGCAGATGTCCGCCATGAACTGACACCAGCAAGACATGTAGAGCTTAGGATCACGAAACGCTTTCCTAACTTCCTTCCAATCGAATTCGGGTGCTCCATTGTATCTGGCATTCAGAGCCAACCGTGTGCGCATCAGCTCCTTGTCTTCTTGGGTCAAGAACCTAGCCGTCTCGAAGTCGTTCGGCAGAAGGAAATAGACGATGACCGCGACAAGCACGCTGAGGCAGCCTTCCACGATAAACAACCATCTCCAACCTTCGAGACCCTGAACACCGTCCATCTTGAGCAGAGCAAACGCGAAGAGACCACCAAAAGCTCCACTCAAGGCGGCGCTTACAANAAGATAAGAGATTCTCAACGCCTGCTCTTGAGGCATGTAAAATGTACTCAAGTACAGAGCCAAGCATGGAAACATGGCAGACTCGAATAATCCAAGCAAGAGTCTCGAAGCGTAGAGTTGTTGAGCGTTGTGCATGAATCCAGTACCGATAAGGACGACCGACCAACAGAAGACAAGTGCTGGTATCATTCTGTTGGGTCGAAGCTTCTTCATGAGGATCGTGGAGGGGATCTCGCCAGCGACATAGAAGACGTAGAACAAGGTGACAGCATCNNTGTGAACCAATCAGTATCATCTCAGCACGCACACTTGTGCCAAATCGAGCTTACTGCCATATTGGTTACCAACCAGACCGAGATCGTCACCCATCCCAGCAGCTTGTGCATTGCCTATGTTTGACCGGTCAAGGTATGCACAGAGAAAGATGAGGGTGATAATGGGAGCGAGATAGAGATCAAGCTTCAGCAAAAGCTTCTTTTGTGCCTTTGTGTCGATATATGTTGATTCACCAAGGGTGTCATCAAGACTACCCTCGGCAGCAGAGACGTCTTGGAACGCCTTGGGCTTGTCATCAAGATTCATGGTGTAAATAGCTTGATCTTAGATTGTGTAAAAGAATTGAGATGATGGACATGGTGCACAATAAGGATATACTTCCATTATATGTTTAGCCAGGCCAGTAGTGAGAGGTACGAAAGATACCAGAGCCACAGGTCCGATCTTATCAAGGGTCGACGCTGATAGCAACTTCCTCCCAATTGGGTGCTTGGCCGCTTGCCGCCGTAGCGTCGGCGGACGAAAAGTAAGCCGCGATGCCAAGCGCCGTAGTGTTGATAGGTATTCGGGCAAGCAGTACTGAATACACGCTCATGATACTAGGCATGGTTGATAGGCATTGTCGTAGATAACAACAAACATTGGCCATTGGCCACTCGACGCATCCATGACTAGACCAGGTAGCTTGTTAAAAGGGCCGAAGCACCCGCCGCACCGAGAGGCTCTCAGAGACTCATCCTCTACTCATTGTGGTTTTACAATGCTGTCAAAGACACCCATAGCTGATTTTGAGGCGCCAATCTGGCACCGATTCGTCAGGTTCATTGCAGACGATGGTCTAGAGTATTGTGGACAACCAGCATCTGACGAAATTGATGGTGAGCGAGTTTATGGTCTTGTTCAACCAATTACTAATGAACTTTGGCANGTTGGTCTTGCGATGGCGAACAAAACACCTGTTGTAGTCGATATACTGGAAGCAAAATCGGCCCTTGATAATGACGCCACCTTCACCGGGGAGCAAAGGCTCATATCTNNGAGGTAGATTACGTCCAAAACGTGTGACAAACGGCATCGTTGACGGATGCTGCAGTTATTGCCACCAATCAGTGCTGTGCAAGCCGGAGCGATTCAGTGCATTGGACTGAACTACATTGACCATGCGGTAAGGTGATATCCGACATAACAAGGCGTGCAATACTGACTCTATTAGGCAGAGATGAAGGTTGCGACACCGGAATACCCGGAAGTCTTTCTCAAACCAGCAACTACAATCACCACCGCAACTGGGCCAATTGTCATCCCGAAAACATGCCACAACCAGGTCGATGGAGAAGTCGAGCTCGCGATCATCGTCGGAAAAGATTGCAAGGATCTCACGCTTCACAATGCGATGGATCATGTACTTGGTTACGCAGTCGCTAACGATGTGACAGCTCGCAAGTTCCAAGCGAGAGGCAGTCAATGGGGGTTTAGCAAAGGATTCGATACTTTCTGCCCACTAGGTCCTGTGATTGTCAACAAACAATCGTTGCCTGATCCTAAAGTGCTGGAACTAAAGACAACACTGAACGGAAAGGTCATGCAAGATGGCAAGGCGGAGAACATGATCTTCAGTATTGAGGAGATCTTGGTATATTTGTCTAGCGTGAGTAGAACCCAGAGGATGTTCTTGAAAGTGGCTAATTTGATGATCAGNGGACACACCCTGAAGAAGGGCACAGTAGTTTTGACGGGTACGCCAAGTGGTATTGGCGCGAGTTACGATCCTCCAATCTACCTCCAGACTGGCGCAGATCTGAAGGTGTCCATAAGTCATGGTTTGGGTACCTTGGTCAACCCTATCGTCTAGATTGCAGAAGCGACTGGTATGAAGGATTCAACTTGGGCCCGCAAGAATATCAAGGATATGTTAGTCAGGATTGGACGACATGCAACCGCTCAAGTTGTCAATCAATCCTTCCCAATAAGTGAAATCCATAAGTTCTGGAAACTCATTGAAAGACCAAGGCTCCTTCCCTGTCGCACCAAGTTCTGTAGAGCGTGTTGGATTCAAGTTCGAGTCATAAACCGCAACGGATGAATGTTGTGTCAAACTATTCAGAGCCGAAACATGACCCGAGACTGGTCTTGTCTGCGACCCCGGTTGCATCATTGTTGGTGGCTTGGGTTGAGAAGCAGCTGGCGATTGACGTGCTTGCAACGTTCTTTTGATGCAAAGTTCGACCACCCTCGCTTCTGCAAGACTGAACTCATTTGACCAGGGATCGTGATATTGCTGGTAACAGTAAGATTGCAGGTCACTCAATATACCCTCCGTCTGTTGTGCATAGGGCGACTGAACTGCGATGATACCGAGTATGAGTGCGCTGTTTGAGAGCTGTTGTGTACTCGAATATGCCTTGATGCGCTCTGACATGGTGGGATTGTGCAAAGATAGTCTGATCTGTAGATCCGCACAGGCAGAGGATATGCATGCATCACGGCTGCGCCTGAAGCGACCGGTGATACTAGGCTGGAAGAGGAAAGCGCGATGTAAGGTGATCCGCGCAAAGTGAAATGCTGTATGTAGATAGTGGCGATGCCAGCGAAGAAAGGTGTGTTGTTCGTCCATGCGCAAGTCTGCATCCAATTTGAAGTAAGAAGGTAAAGTGTCTTTCCATAGTTGGAGAAGATCTTCAATGTGTACGACTTCATCGTAAGACGCTGAAGAGCCTGTGGTGGAAGTGAGACTGAACTGCATGTCATATATCCGAGTGATAATCTGGGACAGGCGATGCTGGAAAATCAGCAGTGCACTCGGCGTGGGGTTTGCTTCCAAGTTCAGTGGCTGAGCTGAAGCAGCTTCTTCATTTGACATATCATCAACCCAGAGGTTATCTATTTCTTTGAACACGCAGTGTTTTTCGTTGATTGAGTTTGGTCTCCCAAGGGCAAGAGCAATACTGACATCGAGAAAGTATAGTTGACTCCATAGCCTTCGGCGGATCTCGATGACCTTTCTAGGAAGTTGCAGGTGTTCACCGTCAATATGCATTCCCTGAGCTTGAGCCATGCGAACAGCAAAGCTGCCAGTAAGCCAAGATTCAGAAATGCGTTTTGTATAGATCAGATAGCGAGTGATCAGAATACCAGCTCGGGTCAGATCCGGAGACTCCCCGTAGAACGATGGCGCGATTACCAGGCTCTTTCTTGCTGACCAGTGGAAATGCAGCGAAGAATCTTCGCACTCCCTCTGAGCTTCCACAGAGCATGGTTGAGGACAGTCCAACAATTCGCCGAAAGCAAGAATGATGAACAATACCGAGAGCCAGCGCAGGTTGAGGTTGGTCAAATCATCACAACCTGCCTTGCGATCCCAGAAGTCTTCATAATGCCGCATAAAGGTCTTCTCATGTACAGCATCGAAAGTGACATTTAGGTCGTTGAAGAAGAGTCGAACGAGCTTATCAACAATCGCTTTTCGACGTGGTAGACTTCCTAGGAGTTCCCAGAGCTGTGCATACGGCCCTCGCTCTGATCTGAAAGGCTGCGTGGAACCTCCTAGACGTGTTCGATGCGAGTAGCCGATATGAATGCCGTCCGAAAGGTCCGAAGTCGAGTCTCCCATGAGAGCTGCAGCAGAATGATGACCAAAGTATGAGTTACCATGGTAGGATGGCGCGTCTCTGACCTTGTAAAGCCGACCTGGTGGTGATCTCCCCCTGACNNTTACGACAGGCAATATAGCAGTCGTATCTTCTGGTTCACACGGCTGAAGGGCCTGAGCCGAGGCGAGATCTGACACAGGTGGAGCTGGTGATCGCTCGAGTGAGCTACCGAGTCTAGCCACTCGATGCCGTGTCGGGCTGGCCGGCCAGATGCAGTTATGTGCAATACCACGACGCACACAGTTCGAACAAGGCTGCTGTCGGTTGCACTTCTGTTTCTGCTTATGACATTCAAGACATGCTCGCCGAGAAAGCACATTCTGAGGTACTCGCGCGGGGAGGTTCCCATTGTTCATGGACTGCATGATTGAATATCACACTGTCTATCTGATCGGTCAAAGTCAGCGCAGAAGGCCACCGACCTGTGAGGTCTCGACATAGGTATGCGGCCAACTCTCAATGTCCTATCAGTACCGGCGGCCGAACCCCGATCCGCTTATCTTTGGCCGAATAGAATCACTTAAACCTGGGCATCGTCACAGCTTGGCGAGAGTCAAGCATAGGTAACCTTCTGACTCGTAGAATGAGATTGAACATAGCCAATAGATTCTTGCAGTATCCGCGCTCTCGACGATATCATGGTGGCAGTACAAAGCACGCGCTGGTCAAGACGTGTTGCAGCACATTGCAACGTCCTTCTTAATGACACGAACGCTTATTCGTGGTCGGCGTTGCTTGCGTGACCTTTGTTTAAGACGCTGCAGGTGAAGAGGGCATATCGTGCAAAGGCGTAGCAATTGGGCACGCATGTAGTAGTGTAAACCAAGAGAGCTGAGAAACGACTTCAACGACGAGCCTCTGAAAACGCACGATCCGTGCCAAGAACAATGTTGTTTTGGGCCTTTTGTACATCCAGCAAGAGCCATGGGCTAAAGGCACGCGTTGCCAACAGGATCGCGAAAGCCCGGCTGGGCCCGCATGGCGGTTGTACGGGCGTACGCACAGGCCTCGAGCCAACTACTGCCTGCTGTTTTCAAGTTTCTTGACGTCGCTTCATCCTCCTCCACGCTCCATCAAACCTTAACAAAGAGGCCAATATATCCACATCACGACATGGCTGTTCCAGCCAAGATGAAAACGTGGTGCGATGTGGTGCAGTCTCCACTACTTGACGTAAAAACCAGACGTGGTCGCAACTTGACCAAGCAAGGTATTGTCATGACAACTGATGGGATAAATACTACCAGGTAGGTAGGTTATCTCGCACATTGTTCTTATTCCTCTTCAACACTGTACGACGGCCATGTCAAAGACTTTCCGTCCTGGCCATATCTTGGCTGGCCTTGTCTGGCTCTCTGCCACTGCCTTGTGTGCAAACTCGACCCTCTTCCAAGGCGGAACTATCATCACCTTCGACGAGACATCTCAGCTTCCTGTGGCCCTTCACGGCTCTTCGCTACTTGTCACCGGAGACTCAATTGCCAAAATATTTGAGGGTTCCGACAATGTGACTCTGCCCATTGGTACTGAGATTGTCAACGTCCAAGGCAAGATTGTTTCGCCCGGCTTCATCGACACACATCGTCACAGTTGGCAAACCGCATACAAGACCCTCGGCTCCAACACCACATTGGCAGAATATTTCAGCCGCTACGGCGAGTTCACTCAAGCTGGAACTGTCTTCAGCCCTGACGATATCTATATTGGCACGCTTGCGGGACTTTACGAGCCACTCGATGCCGGAGTCACTACCGTTCTCGAGCATGCTCACGGTACCTTCTCTGAAGAGACATCTAAGGCATATCTCAACGCCGTCATGGATAGCGGTGTCAGAATGGCTTTCTGCTATGCCTTCCACGAGCTGAGCAATGGCTTTTCGTTCCAAGAACAACTTGCCAACTTTGCCGACCTGATGAAGGATCAGAGACTCAACTCTCAAGACCTGGTGCAGATTGGTATCGCGTATGATTCATTCATCACGGACAATAACAACACTCAAGCAATTGTCGATCTGGTCAACAACAACAATGTCTCTGCACTCACCATGCACTTTCTTGGCGGTCCTTGGAGTTACGCCAATAGCCCCTCCAAGCTCGATCAACTTGGTCTTATGAACGGCACCACTCCCATAGTCTTCTCCCACGCCAGCTATGTCACCAACGACGACGCTGAACTTCTTCGCAAGTACAACCAATACATTTCTACCACTCCCGAGTCCGAGATGCACTACGGTCACGGCCACCACAATAACCCTCTGATTCAAGATCAAAGCGCTCTTGGTGTCGACACACACTTCACTTTCTCGTCCGATATTGTTGGACAAGCCCGTATGTGGTTACAAAGCACTCGTCTTCGCTTCTTTTATCAATCGCTCGACAACTGGAACATTCCCCGTAATAACCCAATGTCAGCGAACCAAGCTTTCACCCTCGCTACACGCTCCGGAGCTCTTGCCATGCGTCGACCTGATCTCGGTGTACTAGCCACCGGCAACAAGGCTGACATAGTTGTCTTTGACGGCGACTCACCAAACATGCTTGGCTGGTCTGATCCTGTGGCCGCCATCATCCTCCACTCGCACGTCGGAGACATTCGCCATGTCATGGTCGGAGGTGAGTGGCGCAAGAGAGATGGTGAGCTCGTTACCAAGCAGAACAGAACAGAGGTGCAGAACAAGTTCCTCGAGTCTGCTAAGCGTATTCAGAAGATTTGGTTGGAGACTCCCTTGCCTGATCTACAGGGCGAATTTAATGGCTTGTCGCATGTTGATTATGTCAATGCTTATACCGTTGATGCTGTTCGTGGTAACGGTACTGGTTATTAGATTGCCGTTCTTTGTATTTGTACTCGAAGGATACTATCAGAAACACCATGGTCGTCTGAGCTTCTCAGTATAATCTTCCACCGGCCTTCATCACCTTGAATGTGTTTCGCTACTCTACTTTCCCTTCACTTGTAAAACGTCGGAAGTCTCCTGTTCAGCTACACTCAAATTCTTCTTATTCTTCTTCAAGATAGCCTTGCTGGTCCTATCCATCCCAGCTTCCATCGGCGCTCACCTGCCTACTAGCTTCGATTCATTCGCATCCTTCCTGATCTCTGCGCAAGGCCCTTCTTCTGCCTTCCACTGTTGGATCAACGCGTCTGATTAGCGACATCCTCTACCGCCACGACCTGGTCCTCTCAAGATCGTGCTCTTCCTGGCCTTGTCTACACTACCTCCCCCATCGACGCTATCTTTCTGTGTGTGGATTATGGCTCGGAGTTTCGATCTGTGATTTTACGAACCTCTGCTGCGCAAGACCTGCCATTCACTCTTACACCAATACCTTCGATCGGCGACTTTTTCCCCTGTCCCGGCCTGATTCCTTCAGTCAAGATCGTGCTGTGTCTGGCCCTTCAAGTTACAGCCCCCGTTCGATCTTTCATCATCTTCCGTCCAAGCAATCACTACTTCACCGATGTTTCCGACCAGCGATTATCTCTCTGAGAATGAGGTGATCTTTTCGATGAAGACCATGCTCTCCTTGGCTTTTTCCATCCTGGCTTCCATTGGCGCTGCCATTCTGTGTACGTGTGGTGGTTTGGAGTGTTTGTACAATCTCACTGATGCCTATGCAAGCTGCCCTTACTGAACTGTGGGATGCACTCTTTGGTGTTGGACCACTGTTTAGTGTGCACATTAGCTCGGCCGACGCCATCGAGCTCCGCGAATTGATCGATGCCATCAAGACCTTTGTCCTACCTTCCAAGAAGCTCGAGTGATGGGAGACTGAAGAATTTCACGCAGCCTTAGGACTTCTGGTGTTGCTACTGGCTACGTGGAGTCTGAGTTCCATCATGCACAGAAGAAGATGACCTTGACACGACTCTATTCAACACATCCGCTGCTGAGTGTTGGCTGTCTCCAACCAGCCGAACGTCAATTGAGAAACATCGCCAACTCCGTCAGTACTCCCACAGACAAGATTCATCGTTCCACCAACAGTCGAAAGCCTTGCTAATATGCGCACCAATCGACACAGCTACCCTATATCCGCCCATGCAAAATCACCAAATCATTTCTCACTGTGTCGATCGACTTGGTCGAGGGCGTCATAGTCGGCCTCTCCCAGACAAGACTTATCATTGTACCAATCACAACCAGACCCGCCGATCCTGCACACCATTCGACATAGCTACCGTCAAATCCGCCTTTATCACCGTACCGACGTTCATTGTGTACATCGGCTCGGCCGACGCCATCGCACTCAGCGAGTTGATCAATAGCATCAAGACACTTTCCTACCTTCTAAGAAGCTCGCGCGGCGGAAGACAAAAGAATTTTACGCAATGTTGGACTGTTTGTGCCGCTGTTACTTTCTATGTAGCTATGTGAAATCGTCGGAGCTGTTCGGGCACAAGACAGATGATGAGAAAGAGCCTGAACGGGTAAAGTCCTATTCCTAGACGCAGTCCCCTCTCGAACCTATCCTCACACCCAGTATTGCAAGGGCTCGTTGGAGGGACAAGCGGAGAAACGATATCTCTGATTGTTCCAAATCGCTCAAAGCACGTTGCCCAATGTCGATTGCAGAGATGCGGAAAGTTTTATTATCTTGTTGTTGCAGCCAATCGTCATTGTTTGCGCGTTATTTGACCCCATGTTGCGCCCCTGTTTTCCTCTAGCAAACCTGTCGTATAGTCCTTGACAACCACCACCACGAATATCTATATCACGTTGGGGAACCTCAGACGTTGACTTACTAACACTCGAGATGTATTGATCGCCGCATATTGCTTGTGTGCGTCCCGTCAGCCTCTCGATATGGTCATGCCAACTCTGCACTTGACTTCCTCTTGACATAGAAGTCCATTGATAACGGGGTTGAACCTTGGTGTGCTGCGATATCAGATCAAAGTGATGACTCTTGATTACTGGTATCTGTCGCCTCATATATACGTACTCTATTAAGTCCCAATTCAAGTACGAGATTTATGAGGTCGGCCGGTTTCTCCATCCGTTTGCATAAGCCTCTGTTGCACGCCTAGCATCAAAGATTCCATCATCGCCCAGAAATTGGTCACTACAATACTTGGGTAACGCCTCCAAAGTCCCCAATCCACCGATCAACTCGTCAACATCGGCGAAACGTACCCTCCAACTCCACCACACTTCCCTTGTCTTCGTCCTCGTCTTCTTCATCATCTGAGCTTGGTTCTCGGGTCAGACTTTCGTCTAGCAGTTGGTAGATAAGCACTGTCTCATCCTCGATGCTTCGTTGATCAAGTATAGCAAATTCCTCTCCGGTGATGTTTGTTTGCGGATCTAAAGCAGATTCTGAGAGTTGATCTCGGAGATACTGCTGGATCTGGGATGCGCTCCAACCCAGAAAGCCATTTTTGAACGGCGAAATTGGCGGATTGGTACGCCAGTGATCGAAACAGGTTTGTGAAGGGTCTCTAGCTAATACAAAACAGTTTATTTCTGGCTGTTTGAGAAGTTTGTTGATCGTCTGTTGNNAATCTCTCTCGTCAGTACTCTTCGAGGATTGATCTTGGTACGGACTTACCTCCGTAGAGACTTCGGCAGTGCAGAACAAGAGATATGTAGTCATTTCTGCAAACTTTGGTGATCGTGGTAGATGTACTGTTCACCGAAGAGATGAGATGTTGTCCTCTTGGTAAATGATGTCACATTGTCCTGAGTCATGTGTCCTAAATCCTTCCGAGGACTATGAAGTGCTGTGGTGTCTATCTCATGTAGCGTTGAGTTGCACATTCCGGTCTCCAACGACAACAAACTGAAGTTGCACTCTGGGGTGCCTATGGAATTCCATCTAAACGTCCTACATAAATTGAGCTTTCAGGTCTTGGCTCGCTGTGATATATCATCAATGAATTGAGACGTAGATGGAAGAAAGTGCTGTTCATATAGATACTGTACATCAGCTCAGGATATTTCTAAGGCCACTCCTCGTTTGAGAATGTGCATTTTGACAGCTATGGTATCACTACAACCTCTTGGAGAGGCGTCTAGAAATGGGGTTAGCCTGCGGCGCTGGAGGAGACTCTACTTGCAGGACCAAGTGTCCGCTGCGTTGACGTCTCCTTTGCCGCTCCACTTCTGCTTCTTCGGCCACATACAGAGAGGTCTTTGTCTCATGACCTTATCTTGCAACGTATCATTAACCCATTTAGTTGCGATGATCTCTGTTGGCGCGACACCCTTCTCAACCCACTCTATCATGGCAAGCAGCACATCATGTTTAGCATCTCTGAAGCCCGGCACGCCGGATAACGAAGTTGAAAGTGCTCCTGCTTGATTGGCACCAGCAAAGTACCAAGGTGCATTTATCGTGTTCGCTGTGCCGGAGCAATGTTGCATTCCCGGGACCAAGAAGAAGCGATAGAATGAGTCCAAATCCACGCCTTTAGGTGCCAGTGTCTCCAAGATCTTGGAATAGAGGTAGACGGAACTACCAGTGGCGATCAAGCCATCACCCATACCATGGTAATGAAGAAGTTTGCCACCGCGAGCGTTGAAAGCTGACAATGCGTCGAAGTCATCAGCGGTTGCGTTGCCAGGGTCTTCGGCATCGGCTTGTTGAACGACGCCGTAATCAAAGTCCTGCCACTGCCATTGAGGTCCGCGGTTCAAGAAGTACTTGACGTAGTCATCTCCAAGATTGTTTGGCTGATTGGTGAGGCCGGCTAGAAGCACAAACCACTGACTCTCGCTGCCGAGCCAGAGGTGAGGGAAAACGAACGTCTGATTGGTATCGACGTAGTCGCTGTAGATCTGACGGAGGGTATGGAGTTGGGGAGGAGTTAGGCAGGATGTGTTCTTGGCAGGAGTACACAGCAAGGAGTCTGGATTGAAGTCGCAAGCATTTGGATCAGAAATGATCGTGTCGACTACACCGTCTGCACCATCGCATTGACGCATCACTTCTGCGCCGATGACAGGGAATAGCGAGGGGTCGATGTGATGAGCAGATGTGTTTGGCAAGTTGTAGCTGCCCACTTTGGTTGTCCATGGCTGGAGGTGATTGGTCCACCAGGCAGGTGCTCCAGCGACCACACCATCGAAATCTTCAGGGAAGAGTTGAAGGTTACGAAGACCTTGTCCTGTGAAATGACATGTCAGACCCGTGATATTTCAGTGGGCACAAGAAGACTTACTGCCACCAGTAGAGCAACCGCTATAGTAGCTGTAGAGGATAGGGTTTGCATAGTACGCTGTGGTCAACTCCTTGGCCAAGACAGTGGAGCCATGCATAGCACGATAGCCCCAGTCGAGAAGAGCCCCTTCATTGTGGTACGCCCATTTTCCGTCAGAGGTGACGCTGTTGTGTCCAGTGTCTGTAGACATCACAGCGTGGCCATATGCAAGACCTGCAGCCTAATTCAAAGTCAACATTTGCGAGCACCTATGCAATACTCGGCGCTTTCCTACCATGTCCAACCAATTGATGCCACCTGCGAAGCCACCGTTTCCTACAGCGCTATCTCTCTGTCAGCATTCGTGAAGCCAACCACTGGACAGAACAGCACTTACAGGAAACGACCGTTCCAATCGTCAGGCAAAAAAACTCCGAAACCATAGTTTGAAGTACCGTTCTTGACGGAGACCTGAACAGCACATGCAGCCCGCAACCGGGTTGGGGAAATCGGGTATGCAACATTAGTTTTTGGCACATTGAAACTCGCATTAGCAGGCAGCCATTCCGCATAGTCGACTGTTGCGATGGAGGGGAATGCGGATTGTAGAGAGGCTTTGTCACAAGTGATTGCAACTGCGCTTGATGTCAAAGCCGCAGCAGCTGCTAAGCGGGCTTGGTTTGTCTTCATGGTGACTGTGAGTGAGTGCACCAGAGAACTCATCCAAGTAGCAGCGGATGCGCTTCTTATACTCTCAGCCAGATCGGCACGTCTCAATGGACAAATTGCCGGGTACGTGTCCCAGTCATCCCGTCAATGATGATCTGCAGGATACTCGCTCGAGGTGCAGCATCGATGGCTTGCAAAGTGGAGCACGATGGGGACTGCATGTGTGGGGATTGCGGAGAAGTGAGTGAACAGGGAAGTGTCCTTCGGTCTGCGATATTCGTGAACGAACAAGTGCGTGCTTTGGAAGCATCACTAGGACTCTCTCAACCTCGGGTCATTGTATTTAGAGGTCAGACCTGTCTGCCCACTCGTTAGAACAGACGCGCCCGGCTAACTTGGGGATCTTCGCCCGTAAAAGCTCGTGGCCACCCAGCTTTCCTGCGGGACTTATTTCGCTAAGCCACCCAGACTACAGTAGATTCACTGTTGTCACTCCCACTCAATGTGAGAAACATCTGCGCCCGCATGAATGGAGATTATGACGAACCGTGAGTGCTCTGAGCACGTCTGCAAGCCACGCGTACACAAATTATACAGCAAATTTAGCAGCACCTTCCAGTAGTCGAAATTCCGGGGAAGTCACGATTTTGAGCTAGCTTTTCCAGGCTAGCAGCTTTCAGACCTCTCGTTGTGCTCTGCTAGCTGATTCGAAGCTCTCGACACGCATATCATTCGATCTGTATAGCGGTCACCAATCTACGAAACTTCCTTCGGTTCAAGATAGTGGGCATTCCCGAATCATTCTCTCGAGCTCATGCTTTCTACAGTACCAACACGAAGCTTCATGAACTCAATGGCACCTTCTAACAAACTTTCAAAATGCCACCTCGTATAATTCATCACTGTTGAGTATGTCTAGTTATCATCGTTTCTGCATCGTTTCTGCAGTTGACGATGATGGCGCCGAGACCTCAACGGGCAGCGAGACCAGGCTGGTGGCTCGTTCGCCATGCTGAGGCGGAAATTCAGATAGTCGATTGATTGAGCGACTCCGGAAAGTGAGACAGTGTATGTTCCGATGCGTAAGAAGAATAGAGAAGGAAGCAGGAAGATGGGTCTGTTTGTATGTGTTGTAAGGCGTTGTGTTTGTTTGTGTCTTAAAGTGAAAGTCAAGTCTTGAATTTGCCTTTCACTCGATTCACTGCAAAGAAGACTCACTTCTATGTCGCAGTGGGCTTCTTAGGTGCACTGCACACATCATTGCTTCGCAGCGGTAAGACTGAGAAACACTCCCCAGACTAGTCCGACCAGACTGAGAAAGACGATTCTACGCTCGACACGAATTAATGTGAAGTTTGCGATGGAAGCTAGAGGCCATATGGTATAAGATGCGTAGATAATATGGAACAAATCNNCTGCGGAAAGAATTCGATGTGGTTAGCTAACGATGAAGAAACCAGGCCACTGTGCAGTTGATGCACAGCAGTTACTGGAGACGAGTAAACATACTATTCTCAATGTGCCTCCAATCTGTTGCATCGATCTTCCTTTCATGATGCCCATGATGATGATGAAAGCACCTACATTGAGCAAGGCCCCTAGCGTAATGCAGTCTAGGAACCACTTGATCATGGTGTTTTTCCAGTCCAACTGTGTCTCTGGCTCCTCGCGTTGCTGCAGTCCATCTTCTCCCAGAAGCCCATCGTGATCACGAACCTCGTAATGCGGCAGTGTTGCTTTGTTAGGATTTAGTGATTTGCGTCCGGGGAAGAGACGTTCGAGAGCATGTTGCCAGAGATAGTTTGGTGGTGCGGTGAGCAGTGTGAAGATGACGAAGCGTAGAAATTCTGGCATGGAGAACCTTGAAGTTGTCTGCTCCTAACGACATATGAGCGATTGCGTCTTCAAGGGGTGTGAAGATTGGGGACGTGCCTGTTTGCTGCGCTGTTCAAGCAGCTGTGCGATAACATTGGACACTGCAGCAATGGCAGTCGCCTGCAAAGTTGAACTAGCAATTGGTGATAGCATGGTGACCTTCAAGTGCTGTCGACATGTGAATGAGAAGGAAAAGGAAAAGAAGATGTCGTCTCACTCAAGTGTTGACGCGTTCATTCACTCGGCTTTTGCGGGGATGTTCCACCTTGATAACTATTTGCACCGCCACTTTCAGTCACAATTTCAGAACGGTAAAGGAGAAGATAGTAACCTTTGATTTGCTTAGTTCATCATGATAAGTTCGTAGCTCATTGTCGTGCTGATCAGGTCTTGTTGATCAGGGGAAGACCGGTACAAGGTCAATTGTGGTACAACCAGCTGCGGCCGTCATTGTAAAGTAGAGTGCTCCATCATCTCCACAGCTGGCAGCATGATACTGCACTCCATTCATATTGCAGCTGAGGACCCCACTTTCTCTCTGACAGTTGAGCCGTCCTTGGCTACTGCTTCCTCCGTATGCATTAAAGCCCACCTTCTGGGCATTGGTCATTGGGTCCAATGTGGCCACATAGCCTTGAGAAGGGCTTTGTTCCACAAGGTCTCCAGAAGAGTCGATTGTGAACTTCGTTGCTGAATCCTTGCTTGCAGTAAATGTGGCCAAGCCGCCAGCTCCGGCACTGACTGCAGCATAGAGCCCATCTGAGCTGCCACTCCCACTGCTTTGGAGATAGAAAGCATAGCTTGGTGGGGTGACAGGAACGAAAGAATTGACAGGAGCGACAAAAGGATTTGTCGAAGAAGGATTTCCAGTCGAAGAGGCCTGTGCTATGCGTACTGAAGTGATGAACGTCACAGGCGAAGGAGTAGTTGCGATAGATGGTTGGTAGATCAGAGGCGTTGCTGAGACTGTCGCTGTGGTTGGAATGGAGGAAGTGCTTTGTGTCGAATCGGCCTCGTCGTCCCATGGTTCACAGTCGAGGTCATCGTTGTCGAGCTGAGGGGATGGAAGTCCCGACACAATGGTATGGCCAATGGCCAGAAGAGCCCAGAGGTAGGTTGTCTTTCTAGAATACATGTTTTCTTCTCTTGCGTAAGACAGATCTGCATGTACAAGTACAAGCTGAGGGGCGGATAAGTATGCTTATATTTTGAGTTGTCCTCTTAGCCGTAGCGGCCGTATCTACGCGAACACATATTCTCCGAACATCTCCTGTCATCTGTCAAGGGGCAGTCGATAGTCTCGTTGATGTGGAGGAGGGACCAGAGCGAAGGATCAGACAGGGCGGTAGTGGCAGTTGACATTCAAACAGTCGGCTTGAAGCGATCGTTGACTGATCCTGCTGTCGGCGACGAACTGCGGCTCTTTCATGATTTTGAAGCGTACGCCAGATCAAATTCGCGGTCAAGTATTCTCTCTGATGTGACAGGTCGGATATGGGCCTCATGTGAAGGTTCGTGAAGTGATGAAGGTGAAAGTACGACTGGACGCCGCTAGGACCGTCGTCCGGTGCGACCACTCCGCCACTAAAACCCCATAACGTAGCTAATTACTTACTTTATAACTTCGACATAATGAGGTATGTTGAAATTACAAAGTAACTAATTAGCTACGTTATGGGGTTGTAGTGGCGGAGTGGTCGTACCGGACGACGGTCCCAAGAGATGAAGTTTGGGGTCTCCGAACAAGTCCTGCGACGGCCGTTGGCTCCCCTCGCTCCATCTCAAACGTCCATCCTCCACAGCTGCAAAAAATGTCCCTGCCACGGGATCGCCGTCTATGTTCGTGATACGGGGTGGCCTACTGGACGGTATGGTCTCAAATCGAGTACCATATACTAGTGAGAAGCTGCAATAGCGCCGACATCATGTTCTACGGAGTGACCGACAATGTCAAGCTCCTTTTCTTCGGCATCCCGAGCACACGCATCTCAACGTAGAATGATTGACACGTTAACCAAGCATTTACAAGACAACCCAGCACTTTGGAAAGCCCACCTCACACTAAATCGGATTTGTCCTCGAGCAGTGATGCCGGTGATTGATTGAGGCTTAGCTGAGCTTGACCGTCCAATGCCGAGCATTAACGAACCGACTTTCATGGATCCACTACAGGACGAATCCGCTGGTATGACTACCTGGTTTCGCTAGAACGGGGCAATGCTCTCCTACTAGATCGACCCAGGGACTTGCAGCGGCACATCGGTATCTGCACCATTGGGCATTGCAGACCGGAAGACACATTAATGGTACAGAATGGTTCTGACCTTCTTTTCTAACCATGCCAATTAACTTGTGCCACTCAAGTTCTTCTGAATCATCCGGTCCACTGCAGCAGTCAATGCATATACCGTCGCCAGCGTCGGTACATCCATTCCAAACTCTCTTGCGATTCTCATTGGTGTTCCGAGAATCACGTCCACTTCCAATCTCCTACCTTCCCTTGCATCAACCTGCATGCTACTCTCTATGCCTGGCATGCTTTGTATTCTCTCCATTAAGACGTCTACAAGACCATACTCCAAGGTGACTCCGGCTCTTCTCGCTACACCTATCACTTCTCGCATCAAGCGTTTTGTGACAGACACGCTCTCTTTTGAGGACGAGAGCCACTCTTGTGTGTTTTGTTGTGTTAGTGTGGTCAAAGGGTTCCATGCAACCTGAAAAGTTAGTATCATGCCTGCCGCTCGGACACTCGGATGGACTCACGTTCCAGACAACTTTTCCCATCGCTTGACCTGGATATTGTCTGAGGTAGTGTACGATGTTTCTCCCGCCCTCAACATAGCCGCAAACCCTTCCAGCCTCGCATCTTCCAAAGCAGGGTCGACTTCCGGATTAGGATACAGCCCTATGTCGGTGTGTTCAGACGCTGTATGTCTTATCACGCCAGGAGAATCTTGTGTCGCGCCGACCCATATCTGTTTTGCTTGTTAACCTCACGTTCCTGCCTTCTTCTCGTCGCAGATAGCAGGAAGTACGGCACTTACCACACAGCTAATGATTGTCGAGTAAGGGAATGACTGACGAAAAGGCTCCTCATTACCAACTCCATTCTGTAAGATCACAAAAGTCGTGTCCATGTTAGCGACAGATCGGAAGTCGTTGGGGTCCAAGCCAGGGGTGATTGCTTTATGAGCGCAAACAATATAGTCGTATTTTGTCGCAATCTTATGTGGGCAACTCAATACNNTGTAAGCCGAAGGTCAACATCAGTTCTTTCTTATCTTACCAGAAGCTATTATACCCAACATACCTCTATCGAAATGCACGTTATGTGAACCATGATTCAGTGTGTGTATCGTCATGCNCCTAAGCCCAAGTCAGAAAAACGGTCACCCTGACCTAGCTTAGCTGCATCGACGATCATGACCTACGTTTTTCTTGACGGCCTCTAGGTTAGATCTAGCAACCACACTGAGCTCTACGCTCGGATCACGGCTGAGAAGGAATGCATAGAACCCTCCTATACTGTTGTTCCGTTGAAGAAGCCCTCGTCAGCTTGTCTATCTCCGCAGAATCCCCGCGACCGAGGGGAGAAGGACTACTCACGCGCCTAGTCCATAGAGCAGGACTTTTGTCTNTTTGCTTTCGGTCATTGCGATGAGCGAATTCCCGGACTGAGAGGTTGCGTACAAATTTTCAGCGATTGGAGTGTTAACGAAGGGTTCGGCATGTAATGTCACTGCTTTGTTGACTGTGTCGAAAGTCGAGCACGTGTTTGCAAGAAAGCGGCCAGTGCAACGCAAAACTTGCTCCTTCGGGCATGGTCCCACCTTGCTGTAAATTGATTGCTCCCTACAAGGCGGGCCTCGATCTCCAGCTTCAATCACTCATGAAGAAATCGAGTGCCATCGTAAACTTCTGCTCATCGTCTTGTATTCACTGAATAGAGACCCTGAAGAGCGGGCAAGATGCACCCCGCCTTGAATCCGCGCTGACCACAAAATCAATCTAACCTCAATCGGATGGTACAAAGTGCTAATAGTGAGTTATGCTCTGATTCTTTGAAGACTCGTATCTGACACATCCTATAGCCCGTTGATGATCATCAAGCCAAACTCTCCAACGGTTTCAGAATCAGTCGACGCCGTATGTACAGCATCTCTAAGCACGCATAATCTGAGCAGGCTTGAGAACAAGTTCCTTGTCGACTGATCGTCAGTCTTACTCTGCAGTCAATCAAATCTCTGTCCTTTGGAAAGGCTGAGATAAGGACACGATTTCCAGTCACAAGTATCCTGNNTTAGCATGGTTAGCCTTTTGGAACAGGGAGAGTAAGAGCTAGCATCTTCGCTCTAGACGTTAACTACCTTGTAGACAGTCGTACCCCACCACGAGAAGCTCTTGTCTGCTCCAGTATAGAAAACTGTGAAGAATATAATGACGCCCGCGAGAGCGACCGAACTGTCTAATGCCGCGCTGAGGATAAAGTTGTACTTTTGCCACCAATCAAAGGCTCGCTTCTTGATCAGAAGTCCAAAGATGAGGCCTACGATGACCCAGCTTCCATAATTTGTACCTGTAGCAGGAGGCAGATAGTTCAGAGCTCCAAAGAAGAGCGGGACATGGCAATATCGCCAGAGACTGTTGGGATAGCGACGCTTCAGGAGGTACACCGGCACAGGCAGGAGGGCTCCGATGAGAAAAAANNACCAGAGTAGTGATCTGTAGATCGAGTCACTGGAGAAGAAGATATTTGGTCCAAGTGCTCCCCAGATCAGACTGGTGTTGAAATGGGTTCTCGAATACGGGCATGAGAATCCGTTAGGAGCATCAACTTGACAGACCTTCGGAATGTTGTTGAGCGCCCACCTCAGAACACCGACCTGAGTGAGAACAGAAGTGCCGATTCCAACTGTCTGTACAAGAAACAGATCTCGAGGTGGGATCTGTATTGCGTCAGAAATGAGTACACATTTCGAGGCCGGAAAGCATATACATACATTGCAGTAGATGCCGAGCTTCAGATCTTGAGCAAACGCAAGTCCCTTGATGCCTGTAACATATCCAATATCGANAAACCAGATGTTCGCTAGGATTTGGCCTTCAAACACGTAGCCAGCAATTAGTCGACATAACGCATCTATGCTGACTTTGACGTTCGCAGTAGCGTACACCATGGCTAACTGTGGGGGTCAGCTTGGACGACGGAACCGACATACAGACGGACACTTACTGGNGATGAAGAGAATGGAGGAGATGGCTAGAGCAAGAAGAACGCCATACCAACGCAACTGTACTGGCCAGTATTCACAAGACACTATCAGACAGAACAGAGAAAGCACTCCTGTCAAAGCGTACCACCATACAGGCACATCTTTGTATATGCCTTCCTTTGTGTCTTTGCGTGGAGACCTGATCCAAGATCTAAGCGTACAAGCGCCTCTTCGCAGGGCAGCATTTTNTTCTAGGATAAACCAAACAATCAAAGCCATGACAGCCGCAAATTGTAAACCAAAATTAGACAGGGCATATGTCACTGGTAAGTACACCTGCAAATGTTTAGCGCATTCCCAGACCGTAAGATCTAGCTTGCCCACCTGCGAATACGCGGCATATTTAGCGTGGTCAAATTTATCGTCATGCGTCAAGAGTTTCGACACGTCGTAAGGTTTGCCCGTACTGTCGTATANCTAAATAAGGGGGTCATGTCAGCTGGACAGGCGAAAGTTGACGTGGACAAACGCACCAGCTGTACTCTGGATAGGTAGGTAGGCACTGAACCAGGTGTTACTGTAGTACATCGCAGGAGTGATGATATAAATCCAGAACAGTAATGATGCACCAACATTCAAGATGGCCCAGGTAGGAACAACCAGTGGGGATCCAATGTAAGCGATCTGACTCCNCTGTTTACAATCAGGTCATGTTGTTCGTTTCACATGCAGGTGCTTACAATCTAACGTCAAAGGGACGATTCCTAGCCCACTTGACATACCGAACAACTGATTGACAACTGCGTTTTTCGGCCATATCCAACAGAGAAAAGTGAAATATCCTACTGCAGGAAAGATGAAATCGGGGAACCAATACCAGAAGAATGAGGCAGCGAAGACAACCATAAAGAAGGCATAACGAGAAATTTGCCAGGTGCNTTTAGTAGATGTAAGTAACCTTGTTAATGAACACGAGGCAGTGGCCTTGACTGACCTCCCATCTTCAGGCTTGTTTTTGTGATGTAGAGTCTGATTTAAAGCTGTATTGGCAAGGACTCCTGGCCATACCAAGTTCTCTGGCTCGACTATAAGAGATCGCGCTAGTCCAGCAAGAGTGAAGCCAGTCAATATGGTGCCTAGAGTGATGAGTATCTGAAAGCCCACTCCTACTTTAAGGCCAAAGAACATCTCCTGTTCGGTAAGGGTGTCTGCACTCAGGCGCGTTGAGTAGCTGAGATTACTCATAATATCTGAAGCGTTAACAGAACGAAGAATTCACGTTGACATTCAGACGGACTTACAAATCAGAATATGCTCCTAGACACCGGGACACTATCAGTATAGACTCGACACGAAGGTATTACGGATTGTTACTTTTTCATTAAAGGGGCCTGGATTGAGTCGTAGCTTCCTCCCAAAGACTGAAAAGGTCCAATCCGGCAGCAGCTTCTCCCATGCTCTACCTATCGGGAACGCTACCAATTGAACGACGGCTGAGGTGATGGTGACAGATGGTTTTCGCAAAGTGTATAGCGTATTCAACCCGGTTGCTAGTACAGTCAGAATGATAGAGATCGTCCACATCCTTAGTGTTAAGCAAGAAAGAGATGGATCGTCGTCATCATTGGATTCAATGCCAGCAGCAAGCAATAGTTCGTCATTTGACGAGTGTACAGAAGAGTGCTGACATGACGCATCTCTTAGTGTGTGCTCCTCAGTCACATTAACATTGTCAGCATTCTTGTTCGGCCTCAACTCGAATTCGAGATCCCGGACCCTGGAGTTTTGCTCAATCTTGGTCGCCATTAATGATTGAGATAAGAGGTCGCAGATCAATGATCAGATTAGACAAGACGGCAAGTGGCTGGTTTTTGAATCAAACAAGAAGCCAAAGTACCCGAGTTTGCCGATTATTTTTGACTTCGTATTGGTATCCGCTCTGTCAACGACTATACTCCACAGAGGCCGCGTACGCCCAGGGCTTCGTGGAATTGGTTGACTCATGAACCAGAATGGCAGCCATAGCTAACTTGTACGCACTAGCGTCTGTCTCGCGGCTTCTCTTTCCAGAGATGCTGCATCTCCATGACAGGAAAGACTTTACGTGAAAGGAGAAAGATGCTGTGTGCGTGTGGCCACAGACAACGAAAAATAGACTTGAGCGAGCGTTCTGCTCAAGGGCTCCTGTTTCTAAAAGTCATCAAGTCTAGGCCGTCCGCCTTTGTAGTACCAACACGATCCGGAAGATGAGGTTTTCAAAGCTCATGTGGCTTGTTTTTCTACTCTGATGCTGGCACTCGAATCGTGGTTCTGAGGATAGTTGGTGCCAAGACACCGGCAATCAGGACCCTGAATCTTCCGAAGGTCCCGGCCTGCCGCGAACCTCTCTCTCCAACATAAGTCACATATGCCGACGACATGCCCAAACAATGATGTCTTCATAATTCGAGAACACTGGAATTGCCTTACTGTGCCAACTCTACGCCCCATTCCTTTGCCCATGCCTTCACAAACTTAGCCACCAAACCCGACTCGATCAAGTCCGGAATTGCGGTCATTGTAGCACTATCCTTGCACGTCTCGATGGTGTCATAACGACCTGCAGTCTTCATCGGTGCATTCTCGACAACGTTTCCATATCTCTCAGCAANAAACTCGGTCAACTTGACTGGCGGATTGCTCTCTGGGTTTTGATCGCCAGCACGCAGCCTTTGTACCCATTCTTTGGGCGATACTTCATCNNAGAACTCCAAGCCTGCTTTGCGCAAAGCAGGCAAGATGTCACGGGTCCAGTGATATACCTTTGGATTTTGAATGTTGTAGACCAGATTGTCGTCATCCAAGCGAGTCTTGCTGATTGGCTGAGCTATACCAGAAAGCTCTACAACAATCGACGCCGCAAGATCTACCGGCAGCCATGAGAGCTCTTCGTTATGAGTCGGCAGGGCTTTGATGGTCGTGGCTGTCTGAATCATCAAGGCGATAGCTTCGGTCGTGTTCCAATACCCCAGTGCACTGTCACCAGCGATTTGGCCAAGACGCAATACTCTGGCATACATACCAGTAGTCCTCATGGCGGCGTGCACGATACGTTCGGTTACCAGTTTCGATCTGCCATAACCTGTTCCTTGGGCATATTCGAGTCTTGGTACAGGACTTTCTTTGACTCTCTGATCCAGAGGTGTACTTGCAGCCGACGAGACTGACGAGCNAAAGAAGAATTTCGCAGGCTTCGGTGTGCGGGTTGACAGGCACAGCTGAATGAGATTGTATGCGCCTCTGATATGCTGGTCTTCGAAACTTCTCACGCCAAGGTTGAAGTTCACTGCCCAAGCGCTGTGTATCACATGGGTGAGCTGTGACTTCAGCTTTTGCAGGCTGTCCTCGCTGAGTCCAAGGTCCACTCTGCTCAGATCCCCCAAGAAAGGAACGATCTTTGATCTTTCGTTCTCAGTGAGGTACAAGCCGCGTGAGCTTAAAGCTTCGGAGATCCGCTCACTTGCTTGTGTAACTGATGAAGCCCGCACGATCGCCCATACTGCACTCACATTGCTCTGTTTGACCAGCTTCGCGAGAATATGAACACCAACCGTGCCGGTTGCGCCTGTGAGAAGCACGACATCTTCTCCATTGTTGGTTGCCTCGCATGGCTCGTGTTGCTCGAAGGTAGAGTACTTAGTGACAAGCTGTTCCATAACAGTAATCTCATCCTCTTTCGTCTTTTTGTTGCCTGTTCTCGTCAAATAAAGATGCTGGGCAAGTCCACGGATGTTTGCTGTTTCGTAAAGTACGTTACGACTTAGTGAAGCATGGTTTCCTCCGAGATCGATTTGCTTCTTGATGCTAGACCACATTCTAGTTGACTGGAGACTGTCAATTCCAGCTTGATAAAAGTCTGTGTCAAGCTTCAGTGAGACACCGAGTTCCTTGCTAAACTCGCTGAGGAGCCATCTTTCGAGCTCGGGTACTTCAAGGGTCAAGTTGCCCAATGAGCCGTTCTCAAAGTCGCTATACTTGTTTCCGATCTCTTCCTTGAACTGGTCGTAAATCTTAGCTCGGATGAAGGTGCCCTTGTCAGTCTTTGGGTATTCAGTCTCAGCAGCAACAAGAACGACAAGTTCTTTTGGAATCCTGGAGAAGCTCTCTGCTCTAGCGTTGGCGTCTTCGACCGCAGGCCATACTGATTCGAAGAACTCGTTGTCTGACATGTCTTTGGCGTCGTGAGAACGGAAGATGATGACTCCAGGTACGCTTCGACCGATACCGAACACAGCAGCTTCCTGCACCAGCCGATCTTGACGAATGCGACCTTCTATAGGTAGAGGCAAAACCTTCTCGCCATTGACTAGTGTTAAGCGGTCGTCAAGTCTGCTAAGATACTTCCAAAGATTCGGCCGTGTCGGATGAGGTGCGAACAGATCTCGAGAGCGGAAGGAGTTCGGAGGGTTGTCTGAGTTGACGGCAACTCTCGTCTTTAGACTCTCCAAAGCGACACACTCGAACACACCAGGGGCTATCTCGTCCATCAGAACGTGTTCAGAGACTGGAGGATTCAGTCGGCAGTAGTTCCACTCGGTGTCTTCTGGTGATCTGAAAGAAGTCATGATGCGACCGATTTCAGTGCACCCGTAGTTTTGTACCAGATTCACGCCCCTGCTCACCAGCAGGTCTCCTACGTCGTCTGGGCAGCCACTACCAGCATAGAGCACTAGGCTAACTTTGGCTAGCTTATTGATGCCTTCCTCAGTTTCGCACAGCAACTTGAGCAGGTAAGGCACGCAATTAAAGATCTCGGGCTCCAAGAATTGCAACTGGGCTGTCAAGCCTTGCCGTGTATGTGGGATTGTATAGTTACACAGGTACAAAGGTTTCTTTGAGTAGATGGTTCTGAACATTTCGTAGAAGCCTTGGCTGTGGAACAGCGGTGATGCTAGAAAAGCACGCATGCCAAAATTCTGGGTGAACGTCGCAAGACATTGTGCGTGTCGGAGAAAGATTGGCTTAGGAAAGCCGGTCGATCCAGAGGAGTGGATGATCACAGCAATCTTGCTCGTCTCTTTGGCAGGAGTGTATTGACGTCGGAAAGCTGGTGCTTTTACGCCAACATAATCGGAGCGGTTGAGAAGAGGCAGGCAGGTCAGAGATTTCTCCATCTGAACCTCATCGAGGACAGCCTTGAAAGTATCCGTAGAGATCATAGTGGAACAGTTGACCATTGTCGTCAATCGGGCGTATGCTGGAGCTGCTAGCCTGGTCGAAAGCAACAAAACGCCATATCCTAATCGCAGCAGACCAAGAAGAGTAACAACCATATCGAGTCCCGAGATGCATAACATTCCGATGATAGGAGACTCGTCCAGATCTGGATCNNCTGTCAACAGTCAATGAGGATGCCATTTGCTCTATTGTCATACAAGTCTCACTGCAGGTTTCAACCCCATCTCTTGCAGCCGAGCCGCTGCTGCATCGGCGAACCCATCGACATCGCGAGCAGAATGTTCTTCGAAGTCTGTAAGGCCATTTATGGGGGCTCCGATTAAGGTAAAGTCTTCAGGTTCGGCAGCGTGCGATCTGATCAAGTCGTCTATCGTATAGAGAGAGTCATGGCTCTTCAGCCGCAGCTTGCCGAAGGACGCAGGGTCAAACGTCATCTTGGTATGAGTAGTAGTCGACATGGTGTATGTTTGGTCTCTGATGAAGAGGTCTCATGTTGCCAGGCGGAAGCTGAGCTATATATATGTGGCACATGGTGAATCAAGTAACCATACTTTTCCGACAAGGCGGGCGGAAAAACAGCAAGAATGGAGCACAAAAGGTCAATGCTCCTTGATATCCGACACGAGGCGGGGTACTGCGGGGCCAATTTCTCCGCTTCCCAATCGCTGCTGCTTATGCGACCCTGACTTCAGTACTTTTGTCAGACAAGAACACAAAAACAACATCTGGGTGGCATGAGAAGGCTTTCTACCATGGAGAGAAAAGTTTCCCTTAACCATGAATGCTCTAAAAGTCATTCATCACGAGTGAGGGTGGCACACTCCTTCCATTTTGTTAAATACTGTCACAATCTCTCGAACGACATTCTCCCACATCCGGACTACAAGGATTTCATGAGCTATCGAGATACATAACATCGGTTTAAAAATGAGTTTGGCCACAGAGAAAACCTTGCCATAAGATTGTCGTACCAGAGACCATGTCTTCTATGATGCTATTGTGCATTTCTACAGCCACGCTGTGACAGTATTTAGCACTGGGAGGATAGATTAAACCATCTACAAGCACCAGTAACAAATTATAATGTTTACATGGACCATGAACGAATAAGCAAAACACGCAGTCCCAGAGTCACATATTTTACAATAGTTGATACAAAGAGTAAACCAGTACACCGTTTTATGGCGTGCAAAATGACCATATATTGGATGGAAGCAAACCAGAATCACGAAATCACAGTTTGGCATGGGCTGCCGAAGCGATATTTTTGGTAGAGATGGATCAGATACATTTCATTTCGTATCGATTGAATATAGTATTACAGACATAGCATCCTTTTCGTCATGACATTTGTTGAGCGTCGATCATTATGAATTTAAAGAGGGTTGTCACCCTTGGCGAACTGACGAGCGGCAGCAGAGATGCTGTCAACGACGTCCTTGAAGGTCTGTTTGGTCTCTGAGGGAATGTCGGCAATCTCGTTGGCGGCAGGGTCGCTCTCCTGGTTGCACCAGTTGATCTCGAGAGTGTGAAGCTCGAGGATCTGGTCAAGACCGTACACGTCCTTGGTCTCGTGCGAAGGGAATCCGCGGAGTTGGGAGATGAGGCGCATCAACTCCTGGACGTCGTCACTNNAGAGTATAAATGTTAGTCGCGTGCTCATGTGTGCTCAGAAACAGAGAACATACGAGGCCATGGTGCCGACCTTCTCCTCGATGGTGTTGCCATGGTGGAAAGTCTGCTTGATGTTGGCAGAACGGTTGGGTTCGCCGGTGATGTCGATGGTGTGGGTGGGTGTGCCATTGAAGGGCTTGATCAGACGGACGAGAAATTCGCCGGACGGAGGAGGGGCCATGGAGCGAGGCATGTTGATATGTGTTTGGTAGTAGTGGTTTGAAGGTAGGGAAAGTTGTTGGAAGAGTCAATGAGTAGATTCCGATGAAGGAGAAGAAAAAGAGCTTCAAGCGTTCACAGCGAGGAGAATATAAAACAGAGAGCTTAAAGTGGAGCTCTGTATGTAGCTATGCAGATGACGATGTCTTTGCATCATCATGTTTAAGCTCGAGCTGTTCTGTTCCTGACGGCCAAGACACACGATCACCGATGCGTTGTGTTTTCGGTGCTTTTATGGTCTTCATAGCATTTTCTGCGTCCATCGAGAAATTGCTCTTGTCTTCGATCGTTCACTGCTTTGGTTGAAGCATGTGGCTGGAGATTCTATATCGAGTGCGTCATGCGGGGTGGATGACTTCCCCACCATGTCTTCAGCCTCATCTATCAATGCCTCTCCCTGAGGCATCACAACTCCAGCCAGCGACAGAGGCTCCGAATTGTTATCTCCACAGAGCAATTCCCAGATCGATGAGGTTTCTGAAGCAATCTGTTGATAGAGATCAGGCGACTCACCCAAGCTCAGTGCAATATAGCAGCCCGCCTGCAATTGCGCCGCAATGGCTCTTCATGTTCATCATACCTGATATCTTCCACAAACGAAGCCTGAGAACCGCTAGGGAATGGACACTCTGGTCGAACGATGCAAAGTCCATGCTCGTAGTTGCAGAGTACAACTACCGCGACCTGAATCAGGATAATCTCCTTCACGCGAACCCTGCGGACCCCGCACATGCGACATTCGGGTTATCACACACCGAGACTGAAATGTGTCAGTATACAGGATTTTGAAGGGATAGGAGCGACCTTATGCATAGAAGCCTCCACGCCAGGACACGCTCTGTCTTTCACTGAGGCTCAGAGGTCTAATGAACGATTCATGCATCCAGTCAAGGTTCGTCCAAACGGTGTGGACATCCGATGACAGATTGACTCTATGCTTACTCTACCGAGCCGGACCGCATAGTGTGGGGGCTATTAGGGAGACATGGTCTCAGCGATCTTGGAACCTCCAGATATCCAAGAGAGTATTCGTATCGAGAATTGACTTGTTGTCATGCACAATGTAGACGTGGAGCCGATACGCTGTCACCGGGGTATTACAAGCCGAATGAGGCGTATAAAGATGGTGATCGATACCTGGGAGTAGCAACCATCATCTCTGTTTGTCGAAAATGCAAAAGACAATATCGCTACTTCTAGGCCTTTCGTGGCAGGCTCTGGCCATGCCATTGTCTAGGTATCTATCATCTGCGTCAGCTTGTAAGGTCTGCAGGCATACACTGATACGAAGCAGCCTCAATGAGTTTTTTCCTTCTTCTATCGCCCTCGGCAATGCCACCAATAAAAATGACGCCACCTGCTCTTTCAAAACTTTCACTCTCGACAAAAACACCCCAGTCGCAACATTGGATTATGGATACGAGGTTGCTGGTTATCCCTTCTTCGAAGTATCCAGCTTCAAGGGCAAGGTTCAGCTTGAATTGAGGTCGGTTCTGTAGCCCGTCCTTGACTGGCCCTAGATTAACTCTNNCTGCAGATATACTGAAGATCTTGGAGACATAGATCTGCCTTTCTCTGATGGCCCGTTCTTCTTCGGTCAAGGGCTTACCAATACCTATAGAGTGGAAACGTTCGAGGTCACTTCGGCATGTCAATTTGAGTTCTACCTTGCCCAGGGTGGCCAACGCTGGCAAACTATGCGTTTGCTCACGCCAGGCTCCGTGACAATCTCGAAGGTTGGGTTCAAAGCGACTGTCGACAAGCTTGATTACAACAAACTTCCTGGGCAATTCACTTCAACGAATCCTCTGTATAATGAGATCTGGAAACTTGGTGCTAGAGCTGCTGCTGCTTCTTGTTTTGCAGCCGGTGCATACAAGACTATCTGGGAAACAACCTCAGACAGTGGTGTGTTTGTTAGAGGTTCGCGGGCCGGTCTCACCACAAGAGCGAACAATTTCACAAACTACAATCTCACCTTTTCCGCANNAAAAATTCAGCGAGGCGGGCTAGGGTGGACCATGGCTTATCCTGTGAGCACAAGATTTGGTGGTATTCAGCTGAACCTGGTCGGAAACTATCCTGAGTCCACTACCTATGTCAACGTCAACCGGACTCTGCTACCGCCCAATTCGATTGCTCTGGCCTATGGTTTCGGTCTTGTGAACCAGACGACACTTCCTTCATACTACCTCGACAATTTCAGGGTTCCCTTCCAAGTCAAAGAAGGGCAATGGTACTCTGTATCTGCAGCGATGTATGACAGGAATTACCTCGCTGTCTCGATCGACGGCGCCATAGTCTTCAATGTCACTCTGGACAACTATTACATAGGAACACCTGCCACTACCACTACTGGCTCTTTCGGCTTCGGAGGCTGGCAAGACCAAGCTGGTTACGTCAAGGATGTCAAAGTCATTTCAAGCAACGGAACTACCATTTACACTAACCCTATGACCAACTCATCTACCGTCCTACCTGAATTTGGCGTCCAGTCGAACACGGCAGATATCTGTATGGATGGTGCTAAACGTGATAGACTTGTGTGGCTCGGCGACTTCTACCATACAGCTGGAATCATCAGCACATCAACGAACCGCAAGGATTATTCTGCAGGTACTCTTCAGACTTTCCTAAATTGGCAGCTACCATCTGGTCAGCTTCCACTCAACACACCTATTGGTTATCCTGGATCTTCGACTCTCACTTTTGCTAGCTTCTCAGAAACCGAAGGCTACTACTATGCCCTCGAGGATTACCACATTCTTGGTCTTCTTGCCTTTGGTGCTCATATGCGCTACAACAACGATATCGACTTCGCCAAGAAGAATTGGGAGCAATGGAAGCTTGCAGTAAAATACCTCATCGGGAAGATCGACAACTCCACAGGCATTGTGACAGTGGGTTATGCTTTCTTTGGCGACGGCGCCGGCCTGGCAGTCAACGCTGCTTCTGTTCAAGCTTTCAAAGAACTGGCTGATGTTGCTGTCGCTGTTGGAGACAACGCCTCAGCCCAAGCTTGGTCTGCAGTTGCCAGGAACTTGACTTTGACCATTCAATCTAAGTTCTGGCAACCCAGCTTGGGCCATTTCAGCGACAATCCTCAGAATATCACCAAGCTCTCCGTCCAAGGGCTGTCATTCGTCATCACTTCCGGTATCGCATCGGCTTCTCAAGCATCCTCTTGCATCAATGCTTTGACGGCCCTGAAGCTCTCTCCTGGGTACAAAGACATAACGGACATATCCTCAGATGGTGTCGTCAACATCTCGCCCAACACAAATGGGTTCCTTCTTCCCGCGCTTTTGCAATCAAACCGCACAGCCGAAGTGAAGTATCTCTTCGAAAACCTCTGGGCCGCTATGATCAACAACAAAACAACACACAGCGGCGCTTCCTGGGAATACGTAGACACGAACTTGCAACCCGGACTTTCTCGCTACACCAGTCTTTCGCACCCCTGGGGAGGTGCACCAACCTACATCCTTACTNNGGAGTACATTGCTGGCATCAGACCGGTGACATTTGGATACAAAACTTGGGTCATTGCGCCAGCGTACACTGGCTTTGATCTCAAGTCTGCCAGTGCACAGGTGACCACACCATACGGTGTGCTGAAAGTTCAGTGGACCGTGGCAAACGGCAAGATGAATGCGGTTATTAACGCACCAGCTGGCACTTCTGGGTCTTTCGTCATCAACAGGGCATTGGCGAACTCGACAAAGGCCAATACGGTTGTGCAGATCCAAGGTGGCATCTCGCCCAAGCTTCTCTGCCTAGATCTATAGGGAAGCAACAAGCAACAAGCAGAAAAAAGTCTTTGTAGATTAGTAGAATTCACTTTGAGAATGATCTCCCAGTTTCTATTGGCCTCTTGCTTGTCAGATGCAAAAGACCAAGAGGCGCGTGCAGCCAGCTTTGCTAGAAGAAAAACACAATGGTAATAGAAAGTGCACAGCAGGACGAGTGACAGTGGAATGGTAGTTCGTGCTCCAAGTTCTTCCATTGAAACTATAGAGGGGATCTGAATCGCACTACCTCGTGAGAGTCACTCAAGCAGATTTCGCGGAGATAGCCACCGTTCACAATATCTTGAGCCATCGTGTGTTTGTATATTGGCCACCGTAGCAGGTTGTACGCCCCACTGCTTACAATGAACAACGTAATATCCTCTGAGAGAGGAAAGCCTGCTGCATATAAGCTGAGCATGAGCCTCTGGAAAGATGGCCAGCTGATCTGTCGATTGCGGGCAATGGCTCGCAGCACGAGTATTGTGATAGGGACTTTGTCCCACAGCTTGTGCAAAGAGCAGAGAAAACTTTCAAGCTGAAAGATTCTGCTATCAAGCTCACAGTGCTCTCCTGAATGGGGGTTGAGACTTTCCACTGTTTAATCAGCAGTGACAGAACTTTGTTTCTCGTGTACAGGTCAGACGAATTGAGTTTTTGAGTCTCGGCTCCAAGATATGACTTGGAAGCTTGATCAGGAGCAGCAATACCACCTTGGCGCATAGAGATCCCGACTTCCGTGACGCTAGGGTCGCAGTCGAATGCTACGATGGCCAAGAAGTTGCGCATCAGGGGTGCGCATGAATCTGATGAACTCCAAAACAAAAGCTGTCTGAAGACTTCTGGAGCAGCATACTCAATCGTCTGAGGATCAGAGGTGCTTAAGAAGAACCTGGTGACTTCGTATGCGCATGCGGTCAGCGCCACAAGCGCCACCAGTTCTTCGCTAACATTCGCTAACTTGATGTGATGTAGGAGACCATCCATCAGATCGTGCGTCCCCGCTTGTTTGCGAACCAAGAGACGCAATATCAGATCTTTGTAATGTAGCTGCGGCTGCCATCTATCAAAATTTGTGACGACGGCTGAAACCAACTTCGAACTGGTAACCGGAGTTCCTCGAGAAGATTCTGGAAAATGGATGGCCGTGCTAAGAAGAACTTCTAGCATCCCCAGACCTTCGAGATTGGCCATGTCTACAGAGAAGAGTGCTAGAGTCTGAGCTCCGTCTCTGAGCATGGACAAATCTGGACTCCCAAGCCAGCTCTTGCTGGCTGTCAGAGCCGGCTCCTTGGGGTCGATGCCCTGAAGTCCGATCTGTAGTAATGCATGCAAAGTTGCAGGGATCTCGTGACCCATGTCCTCCATGATCATGATCAAATCCAATGCGTCCACTATCTTATTGCAGCGTTTTGATAGCCAGATTGAGACATCTCCAAGTGTTATCTTGATGAAACGGTCAAAACCTTGATCACTTCCTGATAAGCCCTGTCCTTTCCAGGAGCTTACTACAATCTGCTTGAGTGAGAGCGGATCTGGTGCTTCGATTGCGCGGATAGACAACTTCCGATGTTTACGGCTGCAAAGCTTTTGAGCTCTAGAGCACACCAGGAATTGTAGGAGTCTATCGCGGGCCTCTTTGCTGAATAGGAGTTGGATCCTGGAGCGCACGCTTCCAGATTCGTCGGATTTGTTGCATTCTTCGAAATGCGCTGGCCAATACCACTGTGCATAGTCGTAAAGAATATGTGAATAAGGTGACCTCGTATCATCGAAAAGACAGTCAATGAGTTTAGTCGTGATATAGCGATGTGCGAGACTTGCTGTAAATCTGTACCATTGTGCGCATCTCTGTTGTTCGTTCTGGAGAATGAGGAATTCTTTAACCGAATAGTGTGCGAGCTTGATAGTGTCGCCTGCCTCTTCCTCGATGACAGTGATCAATATGCTTTTACACAGCTTAAACACATCGTCAGCAAAGGGAACGCTACAACCGCAGCGACCTCTGAAGCCCTCAATTCTCGGAGAGACGACGTGAGCCAAGCTAGAATATGCAGAACTCGCTCTCTGTCTCTTTCGGAGACAGTTTCTAGTGCTTCGCGATAGGTCGCCTCGAGTGACTCGGGAAGTGTGTTCAGAGCCATGCAAAAGTCATCTTCCGTCGAGCAATTTTGTAAACGTTTGATCTGCAGGTCCGCCCAACGAAAGCGTCTACAGCGGAATCAGCCAAGTGAGATGAATCGTCGACGGTACTCACCTACCTCTCTTCTAGCGAAAGTAACCTTTCTGCGGCAAAGACTCTAAGTTGAGAGGACCATCTTTGTATAGAGTCATGTTTGAGAGAGGAGGTGACGAAGAATTCTACGTCCTTCTCCAACAACGGGTCAGCATCTAGGGTATAGGTTGCAAGGCTTACCAAAGCCTTGCGGATGTCAGGCTCTCGCCTACTTGTCACCAGAATATGAAGTCGTGTTACGGCCGATCGCAATAGCTCTCCCAGAATGGCCAAGAACTCTGATCTGATCTCTAAAGGACACTCATCCAGAGCGTCGAATACAAGGTATACATCTTGGCTTGGACGGTTGATGAGTTCTGTAAGCACCGCCATCAACTCGGTGTTGGATGGTTCAGTCCCTGGTGGCCCATGCTCCTTCCAGAGGGTTTGCATACTCTTGGAAAGAGGCTTCGTAGCAAGCTGTCTGATGATCGACCGAAGCATACTTGGAATATGCTGGGTGTTTGGATTGCTGAACTGAAAGTACCAGTAGACAATATGCGTGTGTTTGCCTGAACAAAACTCATCGTGCAAATGATCAATGATTTTGGATCTAGGAGTTGTCAGAACTGACAGATTGAACCACATCAAACAAATTCTTACGTCAAGGTGGTCTTGCCACATCCAGCTATCGAGAGGGTCAGTACTGAGTATTCGAGTCGCTCTAGGCCAACTCACCAACACCATGCAACCATAATAGACCAGGTCCGCGGTCGCGCCAACCGATGAAATCAGAGTTACCGAGAACTCCCTCACCTGTCCCATGCATAAAATTGCTTCGAGTTGCGTTCTGAATTCTAGAGAAGTCTGACGATGGCGACAACCACCTCAAGAGGCTATCTTCATCAATTCCTTCCCTAGTTCGTGAGCTCTCTGCAGTTGCTCGTGTGCTCGTTACTCAGTACGTACTGTCCAGCCTACTTCCCACGTCTTCGATGAGGGTCTGGTTCCTTGCTATGCCTTGTGACAAATCTCCCATAAATTGATTGAGTGTTTCCGTTCCGTCCACCTTGGCAGAGGCGAGATGACCGAGCAGATCTTTCGCGTATGCGGCGGCTACAGCTGCCGCGTAGCGTTGCCATCCATCGTTCTTGTGGGAGTCGGAGTAATCTGATATTCCACGAATCACCAAGCAAGGAAAGTTATTCATCAAGCCAGCGGCCTCCATCTCGTAGCAAAGTACACCTCCAAGCTCGTGGCTAAGCTTATCTCGGGTATAAGCGTCTTTCATGACCTGATTCCCTGACGCAATAGTACCATAATGGATGACAGGGGTGTTGTTGTCTCTCTGTTCGCGTAGCACTTGATCTTCGGAGCCACCGCACTCTAAACAACTCTTTCCACCTTTGTGTGTGTGATGTGGTTGGTATAAGCAGTCTGTGAGTTTCGACGGAAATGCATATGCTGGTAGCTGATTAGCAAGTCTGGAGAGACAAGTATCGATCTGAAGCTCGCCCATTTCTTGGGCAGCGATCATCTCAGTCACAACATGGAGAAGTGCGTTGGGTGGGGAGTTTAAGGATCCTGTTCGCTCCAGCTGCCCGTTGGGACGAGTTTTGCCAAGGTCATATTGAACAACACCACCATGTTGGCCATTGGGACTGCTGACGACGATATCTCCAAGTCGTATATCTGTCTCCTGGCTGGGCACAGCGCNCCCTATGCCCACCATTAATCCTATGCGGATGTTGTCGAAGCTGTTTTTCATCTGTAGAGCAACACTAGCTGCAGATACGAGGCCGAGTCTGCCATGCGGCAGACAGCCAATGACGATATTGTGATTCCCGATACGCCCAAATCTGTAAGAGTTGTCATCTTTGGGATCCTGTGGTAGACGTGGATGTTCTTCGTCTAGCATCTTCACCGCTGCCACCAACTCGATTGGTAGAGCGCATATCCATCCGATGGTATACTGTGTTGCAGTGTTTATGTTCTCGTCCTTGGTTTTGTCAAGGTNAGCACGACTACTTTCTTGGGTAGTCGCCATGTTGGTAGTACTGTGCCCAGTCCTTCTGAGGTCTATCGGGTGAGAGATTAAGTTGAAAGTAAGACGAGTCTTGAGAGCGGACGAGGGAGCGGGGAAATGCAGCTTGAATGCAAGTCGCTAAATTTAGAAAAGGTGGCCGCCAGCAAGGCGAGCAGGCTGAAATCAATGACCGATAGCTCTGCCAACTCCATTGGCATCAAACATATCACTTTTGAAAACAAAGTTGGTCATGATTTCGACCGGACCATAGTCGCCGATGAGGTAGATATGCCCCATGGCGCAGGAAGCGTCCAATCGAAACTCGAACCACTTGGTAGTCTGATTTAACTCTTCGCCTTGAATCCAATCGTCAAGGCATCCTCTAGCCTCACTAGCTTGCTCGAAAACTCTAGTAGAGCCAGCAAGCTCGTAGAACTGCAAGGCCAATCTGTTCAACTCTGTATCTTCCCATGCAAGAAGATGGGCGCGAGATGCTGCCTTGGTCATGTTAGCCGTAGCGTTGTACTCGTGCGAGAGGTGCTCGAAAGGACTGATGTAAGTGGCGAGTATGCGATCGAGAGCTGTTTCTCCACCCCACATAGTGCGAATCTGAGCTTCTTGTATCGGATTCACTTCGTCCTGAGCCCAGTAGGAAATGGTATTGTCAAGAGCAGTACGCTCGTCAATGATTCCGAAAGGGGNCGGCAGCTCGTCCACTTCTCCATCATGCCCAAGAAGATCGATGGTGACAAAGTTCTGGAGGTAATTTGTCGAGGCATTGAGAAAGCCGGACTCGAATGGCTGAATGAGAGGCATTGTAGGGATGGAGAAGTTTCGATGATTGGGCTGTTCGATCAAGACCCAGTCGCTTCCCCAACGTTCACCAGGAGAGAATTCTTCATCCAGAGCGCTCTGCAAGACATGATTGACGACNNCTTGTTGTATGCTGAGTAAGAGAAGGGTTGGTGAAGTTACCCGGTTATAAGGGCTTACCTGGAGTGATACGTTGGCAGTGACAAAGAGTGGAGAGAAGGAATTCAGCATGTTGAACGATGTACCGCAGGGAGTGATTGAAAGAGAAGGAGGTACTTGGCCTTTGATAAGTTTCATATGCTGTGCCCAGGAAGGCAGCCTGATGCGCACGTGTAGGCGGCGGCTGTCTCAAGAAGCGCTTGGCTGCGAGACTTTGACCATAACAAGGCAGCAACCAGTCAACAGCCCAGCCATCGTATCGCAGCTTCTTATATCACAATAGTCAGCTTCAGGGACTCATGCTGCTTGTAAGAGAGAGACATGGGAGCTGCTCGATAAAATCAGTAACGCGTCATGACAATGCCAAGATGACGCGGAACATCCTCGGTATGCGGGCGCTGGGGAAGACGGCTATGGCGGGCAGATGAATGTTGTGCTTGCGATAGAGACGACGACGAGCATCGCTTGCCCACCTTGGCCATCTAGACCGGACCTTCTGATACATACGATTCTCGTCATCCTATAGAGTCGACTGTTCTCGCACTACCAAGCCCCGGCGACATCGAACCACACCTACAAGACAAGCACAAGTCACAGCCATGGCAGCAGTCGACCAGCGCGACATCTACGATTCAATGACTATGCAGTCAGACAGCGAGACATACGACCAGCCTGAGATCTCATCACCCTCATCGCCATCCTCAGACTCCGCATCACCTCTGATCCTGTACTCCCCACCCACCTTCTGGGGCTTGGTGCGGGGCGCCGCCATCAACCTGCTTCTACCTTTCGTCAACGGCCTGATGTTGGGCTTTGGTGAGCTGTTCGCAAACGAGCTCGCCTTCCGGTTTGGCTGGTCCAACACAAAGGTGCGTTATGCTGTCAGAGTTAAGATCGAAGCGATTCCTGACCCAAAACTANNGGTCTTCCCCACCCACAGACGAGTTGGACCCGGCGTCGAGATGCGAACAGATCCTGTCGAGAAGAGAAGACGCAACGGCCAAGAGCTGGATGCCTACACGAGCTTGGAATAGGAATGACATACAAGATACACACATCATATATGCCTGGGTTTCGCATCACAGCATGGGGAGGCGTTGGCGTTGTTCGATCATTTCATCTTTCTTTTCGTCTTTCTGTTTGTGTTTGTGTTCTCCCTCTTGCTGCATCTTGGCTTTCCACAAGTCAGACTAGCTACCAGGATGGAAGCATGTCAATATGCAAGAATACCCAAGCCATATCAACGTCTGCACATCAGATACTACATTCGACGCTGCTCATATGTTCTCATGTTGACGCTGCAAGGTTTGGCAATATATAAAGAGCTCTGCAGAGAAGCTGATGTATGTTCCAAGGTGATATGCTAGGAAAGGTGTTGCAAACTTGAGTGATGGTAGATTCTCATTGCGTTGAGTTCTGATCACTTCTGCCAGAATCGTAGCACACTGTTAACATGGGCACTTATCCAATCGATTGAAACGCAATCATCACTAAAGCCACACAAGTGCATAGGTAAAGTGAGAATCGAAGGAGCAGACAAAGGTCGCGGAAAAGATTCCGAAGAAGCGGGCCGAGCCTCCCGTGCTTCTTCCCGAGTCTCGGGCAATCGTTGCCGTCACAGCAGCTTCCTTCTTTGTCGAGATTCAAGAAATCTTTTGGAAACGACCCTCTTCGCGACATCAAACCAAAATCTCACGCTATAGTCGGTCAACCAATCCACACAACATGGCAGGCAAAAACATGTCGTCGCGACTGCTGAACATGAAGGTGCGCCATCTGCATGCTTATGCCACCTACAGAAATCTGACTTGAATACCANNGTTCATGCAACGCGCATCAGCCTCAACACCCACAACCCCTACAACTCCCGAGGGCACTCGACCTTCCAAACGCCTAAAGACGGAAACAGTAGTTGATCCTAACGTGCGCGCATTCCAAGAGGCCGCCGCCGCCGAAGAAGCGAAGAAGAACGCATTTATCGAACGCGCCGCCGCCGAAGCTGGAGAGACGAAATGGGTCCTCAGTGTCAGTGACGACAAGCCCAAGATTGCCGGACCAGGCCTGCGAATCGTGGAAGCTGGATATGGTGCCATTGACTCGGGTGCGCCGATACCTGAAAGCGACAACGATGAGGAAGAAGAGCAGAGTGCTGGAATGGCAGGCCGAAGGAGTTTTGGAAAGTTCAACAAGGCTGTTGAGGTAAGAATACTTGCCTGCCTCAAGAAGCAGTACACTTACTGACTTTCTCAGCGTCAACATAACCCGGATCTCTCATCCTCGGAATCTGAACACGACTCGGACGCCTCCTCAGACTCAGACTCAGAAGACGACGAAGACCTAGACGAAGCAGAACTACTCATAAAAGCAGAACGAAAAGAAGCAGCAGCTAAACTACGTGCCGAACGCAAAGCCCAACGAAAATCCGAAGAGATAAAGTCGAAACAGATGGCAGAGCGACGGAGGAGTAGAGACATCAATTTGAACAAAGTTGGTGGCATTTCGAATGCTGCTATCAGGAGCAAGCAGCCTAATGTGGCCAATATGGCTTGTCATATTTGCGGCCAGAAGGGACACTTGCAAAAGGACTGTCCAGACAAGAAGCAAAGAAGGGGTGACAAGAGGAAGAGTGGTGGTAGCATGATGGATTATTGAGAGCGGTCGCAATAGATTCAGGCCACTTCACTTTGTACTGACCATCATCTCAGGGACTGCAGCTGCCTGGAAGCGGGTCTCTATCTAGGAATTCTCGGTCTTTGGGGTCTTCCTCCCAACCATACAGATCTTCCTTCCAGTCCTCCACTACATTTCCCGTTTCGGCTTTCAGAAGTTCTGTCAAGGCCTTTGAGATGTCTTTCTTGCCTGTCAACTTCGCATCGTTAAATGTTTCGACTTTCCTGTCCCAACCACTAGTGAACTGTACACGACTCCATTCCAAGTGCTTTAGACAAAGTTCGTCCCTTAAGCATTTGAACATTGTGAATTTGTTACCAGGATTGATGTCCCAGCCATCTTCTCTGTGGAACGAGCCACCTTCGTCGCAGTCAACTGTGATGTTCAACAGTTCGATACGATGAAGTGTGTCTCTCTGTTTCCAAAGAAACAAACATAATGTTCGAAGGCTGACCTTGCAGTCTTCTATTCTCAGTTCGCAGAACACATTTTCCTTGAGCATCACGTACAAGATTCCATAGTCATCGTTGAGTCCTTGGAATCGTGTCTCCCTGAACCCTGGGAGGCCTTTGTCTGCGATGCCTCGGTACTCTAACCGTCTTGCGCTGGTCTTGATTCGGAGCGCTTTTTGGAAATCCCGGCGGCTCTTGGAGCAAACATCAAAATCGGGCTTTAGCTTGATTCCCCCTGCCAANNAAAGCAGCTTTGAGATGATCTTGTCGACTTGCGTTGTCGCCTTATCTTGAAAGCACGACATATATTCGTCGGAAATCGGATAAGAACGTCGGGCAATGAGGTTCAATTCAATGGATTTGCAAGTGAATTTGGCCTTGTTTGCTGCAGCCAGAACATCCCGCATTGTTTCTCCAAGCCTTGGTGTCCAGTCCTCGACGGGGTCCAACCCTGCTTGGAGCCAGGGCTGAAGATCTTCAAATACGCCAAAGTCTTTTTCGCATCCGTAGCCCGTGTCCCAGTACATAGCATTGTCATAAGCATACTTCTTGCCATGCAGAGTCGAGTGTTCACCTGTTTCATCATGGAATGCTATTGTGACTTGATTGCCATGTTTCTTGAGATTCTGCATCACCTGGTCGAGCAGGGACTTATACCGAACAGTCTTGCGAAAGAAAACATGTGCTTCTGTCAGAGGTTCAAAGCGTTCTCGAAGGCGCCAACCCTCATCAGAAATCCAGTCTGGGTCTCTAGGTCGACCAATATATCGATCAAGTCTCTGTGTGCCAAAGCTGATTTTGCGTACATAAGGGCCGAAAACTGGATGTCCAGTGAGATCTACAAGACCCTGGAGATTGTGGGGAGTCAAGTGGAACTTGCGACTCGACAGATGCTTTTGGGCAAAGTTGTGAATTATCTGAGAGCAAATCTCTTTGCAAGTTGATCGCAGACTGCCAAAGTCACGAGCATTGAGATGGCCAGTGATGTTGGCGAGAGCCTCCGGAGATATCTGTAAAAGCATTGAAGATGACATGTCTGAGGTTTTGCTCTATTCAGTAATCAGCAAATGATAGTCTTGCTACGAGTGAGCTCGAGGAAGGAGCAAAGCTGGGAGACGCGTCGAGACGCAAGATGTTCGCGCTTCTGGCAATCGAATCTCGATCCGGCACTAGCTCAAACCTTATTTGTGTTTATCCTCGCCATCTTCAAACACTTCCAAATGCACACAGCAACCACCTTCCTGCTGTATAACTACACGATGCCGCCAAATCTTCTCAGCCTACCTCCGGAGATAATCACACTTATCGTCAAATATGTAACACCCGATCATCTACCGCATGTCGCATATCGCAACCCAAATGATCTTCCCAACCTGCGTTTGACATGTCGAGCGATACATGCTATTGCAACGCCCGAATTGGGCCGAGTAATTATGCATATCAAGATGTAAATTCTTACTGTCCGAGTACAGTCTGCAAGGCCTGATCTCTCTGACTTCGCACCCCGTCTTGGCACCATACCTCAGGACTGTCAGCTTGGGCACTCATTTTCTGCTGTTGGATTTTGACCATCTGGCTAAAGGAATTGTCCAAGATTTGGAGTCTGGGGCTGAGGGATTTATGGAAGACGTAAGACATCTCTCGGACATGATGCAGGAGATGCATTCGAGAAGATCCAAGCAACTTGAGTTTCTCAAAGAGGGTCGAGGCGTTGAGCTTCTGACGCGAGCCATGACGAATTTGAAAGCCAGGTCCTTGGATGTAGCGATGGGCGTTCACGATGATGTATGCTTTCGAACAGGCGATCCGAACGAGGACGTCCATATGAAAGGTTACGGGTACGATGAGTTCCATGGCCCACTGTTGACCGATGAAGATAATTGGGATCGGGCTGGCTTCGACATATACTCGGACTGGGCTGTAGACCCGATGACTCCTCTAAGAACTATTCTGGAAGCTTCGAAACGCAGTGTTTACCAAGTACGCTGCTGGGACTTTGATCTAGGCTGCGACCGCTCGTTCCCATTGTCCGATAGCTGTGGGCCAGAAGCTATCAGGGACGGTAGCTTCCACCGTCGGATCCGGCAGATTCTGACTACTCAGACAACACTACCAAGGAAATGGACACTGAATCCCGGAATTGATCTTTCCTTGCGATGGTGGGATGAAAGTGATTATTCAGGCCTGGAGTTCGAGATGCGTTTCATTACCGACTTCCAGCGCTTCAAGTGTAAATCACCAAATGCACACGGCGGTCATATGGGGCAATTTGAACGCATCAACTCATCGTATGGCTCTCTCCGGGCGGCTCTAGGCCACGATATGTTTCGCGAGGCCCGCTTTCAAGATATCAAGACCCGATCTTATGAGGTGTTTGTGTTCCTCAAGAAGCATCAAAGGTCACTCCGACGTCTGGAGTTTTCTAATGTAGAGTTGGGGGTTCCCGCGAAGAGTTCCTGCAGCTGTTGAGAGACTGTATGAGTCTAGAACACCTAGAATGGCATGATTTCGTAGTCGACAATTCCAGGAAATTCGACCTCAACGTGCCAAAGACGAAGAAACACGAATCAGGAGTCTTCATAGGAAAGGAACAGATTTCGGTCGCCTTGAATGCTCTGGTATCGGATGTGCCAGAGATGGACTCAGATAATTCGGAAATCATGGAACTAGACTGGGAGGACGGTTGGGAGGGCGCGTCTGGAGCTGAAGGTTACTGGTCTGACCATTCACTCGAGCCTGGTGAGGAGTATGTTTGGGATGAACTCGATCAGTGATCTCGTCCATCTATGTATCGACAACGACATTGTATGTTCAGATTATCTGAAAACAATCAATGGCATGTCAAAACGAGAACGATCCGGATCTAAAAACTGCTGAATTAGGAAAGATTGGCTTTAGGACAAATAACCGCGCGCTTCCCTCTTCCCGCGGTCGGTGAGTAAACGTCTCTGATGTCTAGGTTGCCAAAAGTTTTGACCTTCGTCAGAATTGAGGAAGACGAATCTCAGTCGCGCTTGGTCAAAGATACGACGAACCTGCAAGCAGATCTGCAAGCAATATCGACTCGAATGTTCGCAGAATCGCAGATGCACCATGGATGGGACCTGGAGCCTCTCAACTATACGATATTGGAGCAGCTGGACCACCAGAGCTGGAACCACACAAACCAGAGAGTTAATCTGAGACTACGAACTGTAAAATTCATGCCGTGGAAAGGTATATCAATTGATCAGAGCTCTATCTCTAGCTAGATTTACGCGTCCTCTATCTTCAGGGAACTCAGGTTCGGAATATCGACAGCCGAGTCTAGACGTTTGGCTGCCATGGCTGGTACAAGCAAGTCCGCAGAAGTGTCCTCGGGTACATCGGCAATCAAGTCCCTCACTGCTTGAGCCAACTCTTGCAACAACTTTCCGTGTCGAGGAATAGTGTGACCACCAGCACTATCGAAGAAAACAGCCATGTTGTCATCAAAGAGATTGTACAATGCAAGCGCGCCGTCTTTGTATGGGTCTACGAGTGTCAGGAGTAGCTACAGTCGAGCAGAATGTCGTTCAAACATACCATTGGCACCGACGATGTGCAACGACGGGACCTCAAGGAGGTTTTCGACCTCGTCTGACAAGGCAGGCACGTTCTCGGCAGTCAGTGCAGGCCATCCCATGAAGAAGATGGCCGCCTTGATTCTTGGGATATAACCCTCAGACCTCATTCTCTCCTGCTCGTCGTAGACGAGTGTGGCCATGGCGGATGCGCCCTCGCTATACCCAATGATACCGGAGATCTCAGGGTCTGCATCGAGTGCTTCGTAGAGCTGTTCGAGGGCAAGTCCTCTGGCGTCAGCGAAGCCGACCTTCATGTCGTCTCTGGGCATGAGGGCACGCAGAGCATCTTCAGGGGTTTCGGCTTCAGGAAAGACTCGGATTCCCTCAACAGCTGACGCTTCGGCCTCTCCNNCCCTGTCTTTGAGGAAACGAAAGTGTGGTGCCGGGCCAAAGTACGACTCGAAGCNCTACAAGGGTTGTCAGATAGATCTTGGTCAATTGGCTTTGATAGGTCTACCTGGAGGTGGTGCTACTGAGACTCGGCCTTGAATGAACTCAAACGAGGCCGAGCCCTCAGACTCAAGAACGTCTATCATAGGTCCCAGCTGGACACGAAATGCCTGCGAAGACGTCAGCAGTCTGCATCAGAGTACTGTTAGCAACATATCGCTCACAGGGATGTTGCCATAGGCTCCATGCAAACACAAGAATTTCATCTTTGGTGGTCGTTGCGTTGTGGATACAAAGAATGCTGGATCATCAAGAGAAGAAGTTCAGGGATCATAAGAGACATAGACTGATTCTCGATATCCAGGATGTGCGTATCTTCTCGTCCCCGAAATCATTGATATGGATTCCTTCCGGCCGTTAAACCCACGCAGGAGACGAGGATGAGACACACGTATCGATGGTTGGTTAGCAAGAATCCCGTTCAGGATTGCTAGTTGGTTGTTGTTGTTGGGAAAGGTTAGATAAGATGACTCGGTGCTCGTTACTATCGGTCCTGTTTCTCAAAGCAAGCGTCTAGCAGGTTTATCCGTTTACGCACGTATATGGTCTTCGACGTGATTTGGCGATAAAAACTCCATATAAGATCAGCGAGTATGCCTAAAACAACCGAGTGAGCTTCCAATTGGTGGGAGATGTGGATAGATCCGGACGCTGCGCGTGCACGGTGCCGAGAACGGTCCGACTCACCGAGCCCCACTGTCTCTTTTCGACCTAAAGTTTACCCCTCGAGACCCTCAAACGTGTTTGCCCTCACGTTCATCCCACATGATCGGCGACCCTTTACGGACAATCAGAAGAACGGCCATGCATATTCATGTAGGTCCTTCTCTAAAGTCACTAAAGTGAAAGCTTATAGGCCCTTCGAGCCTAAAGCCGATCTTACCACAGTGCTGCGAGCCGACGACACGTGCTGCCCTGACTGTCAAAGTGCGACTCCGACGTTGGTATGTCTTGGGCCGTCATCGAAGAAGTTGTACTCGGCCGAGTCGATCACGTATGGCGATGCAGCTTTTGCATAGTCACAACTTTCATGTCCACGCTTACGAGATAGCTCATATCAGCGTTGGGGACCCAGCATAGATACCGTACTGAGTCGTATTGGTTGCTGTCCACTTCCGGCAGATGTATCACGCAAGACTAGCCAGCATTGAGACAGCTCATCTTCGAGTCAGCTTTTAATGGCAGTTGACACGATAGCAGAAATGACCTTGGTGGGTGGATCCATCACAGTGATCACACCAATCAGTGGCAACACGAACGGCCGTAGTGTGGTGGGATGAGAGATTCCGGCGACCTGCCCCTGCCTGTGGTTGCCCAAGGTGCTCATGGCGAAGAAGTCGCTCATCAAAGATGAGGTCTGCCTTGCAGCGTGCTACCAACAATGAGGAAGCGTGTACGGTTATGATAAAGTGCCGGTTCCCAGCACGCTGGAAGACTCTTTGCTCAACTTCCCAGCTATTCTCTTTCCCCAGCTTGACGATTAATACTTAATCCTTTTCTCGGGATCTCATCAATTCCGCTAACACAAACATGGCATCATCCACACTCACACCTGTTGCCATTGTGGGCTATGCCTGCAAACTCNNCCCTGGCGACGTCTCATCACCTGATGATCTTTGGGAGTTGTGCTCCCGAGGTCGTACTGGCTGGGGACCAATTCCCTCCACACGCTACGCCAAAGATGCATACTACCATCCTGCTCCCGGCAAGCATGGATGTATCAACACAGAGGGTGGTTACTTCCTCAAAGAAGACCCTGCTCGTTTCGATGCTCCTTTCTTCAACATGACTATCCAAGAGGCTACTGCACTCGACCCTCAACAGCGGCTCCTTCTTGAGTGCACCTTTGAAGCTTTCGAGGATTCAGGTATGACCAAGGAAGGAATTGCAGGCAAAGACATCGGTGTCTTTGTTGGTGGTTCTTTCGCAGACTATGAGGTCAACAATACCAGAGACATCGATACTGCACCTACATACCAAGCCACTGGCTGTGCACCAGCAATGCAATCCAACCGGCTGTCATACTACTTCGATCTTCGCGGTCCAAGTATGACTGTTGACACAGCATGCTCGTCCTCACTCGTGGCTCTGCACAGCGCCATGCAAAGTATCCGCAATGGTGAATCCTCATCGGCAGTCGTTGCTGCTGCTCATCTCAACTTGACACCAGACTTCTTTGTGACTATGTCGAACACACAGTAAGTCGTTGGTACCGAAGCTTTGGTTCAGTCTAACGGTTTGCAGNNATTACTCAACGACACTGGCAAGACTTTCGCTTTCGACCACCGTGCAATCTCCGGTTTTGCACGTGGCGAAGGTGCAGGCTCCATGATTTTGAAACGCCTTGATGATGCGATTCGTGACGGCGATGTTATCCGTGCCGTTATCCACAACTCTGGTGTCAACCAAGATGGCAAGACCAACGGCATCACAGTACCAAATGGCCGTGCACAATCAGATCTAATCAAACAGGTCTATGCCAAGGCAGAACTCGATCCAGCTGAATGTGGTTTCNNCAGTGAGTGTCACGGAACAGGTACCAAGGTTGGTGACCCAATTGAAGTTGCCGGCATTCACGAAGCGTTGGGTGCTGGTCGGAGTCCCAGAAATCCACTTTTCATCGGCTCCGTGAAGAGTAACGTCGGCCATCTCGAAGGCGCCAGTGGTATAGTTTCGGTTATCAAAGCCGCGATGATGCTGGAGAAGGGTATGATCCTGCCTAACGCGAACTTCGAAACGGCAAACCCAAACATTCCGCTTGACCAATACAACATGAAGGTATGTCGACTATCGTATAAGCTATTTTGTAACAGGTTGCTGACGACCACANNGGTTCCAACTTCAACCAGGCCCTGGCCGCGAGGCAAAAAGTACGTCTCGGTTTCTAACTACGGCTTCGGTGGCGCCAACGCCCATGTCGTCTTGGGCGCTGCCCCCAAGGGACTCAAAACTACAATGACCACCATCCGATTTCTTGATCATGCACCCGAGGAGCCTCTGTGCAAGCTGTTCGTTCTCTCTGCTCATGACTCCCAAGCTCTGCAGAAGAAAATCACCGATCTTGGTGTGTTCCTAGAACAACGTCCAGAGGTCTTCGAGAAGCTACTTGCAGGCAATGTAGCTTACACTCTCGGCGAGAGACGTTCTCACTTGCCTTGCAGACTTGCGATTGCGGCAACCTCCTCTGATGAGCTAGGCCAGAGTCTCGCAACCACGAAAGTTCCTACTTTCCGAGCTCGCAACGAACCCACGCTCGGCTTTGTCTTTACCGGGCAAGGAGCACAGTGGGCTACCATGGGAGCCGAGCTGGCTCGTGACTACCCGATCTTCGCTGCTGCGCTGAACACTGCAGATGACACATTGAAGGCCCTTGGAGCCGACTTCTCTTTGAAAGAAGAGATGCTGAAGCCCGCAGACACCTCGCTCATCAATGCTGCTCATATAAGTCAGCCTGCTTGTACCGCACTCCAGATTGCTCTCACTATGCTTCTGAGCTCTTGGGGCATTCACCCTGCTGCTGTGGTGGGCCACTCATCCGGCGAGATCGGCTGCGCTTTCGCTGCTGGCATCATTGGTCTCGAAGACGCGATGAAAATCGCTTATTACAGAGGCCAATGTATGCTTAGTCTCAAGAAAAAAGCTGTTGGCAAGCCACAAGGCACCATGATGGCGGTCGGTACCAGTGCTGAGAACGTCCGGCCTCTCATTGACGCTGTGATTAAAGGTTATGTCACTGTGGCTTGCATCAACAGTCCTTCTTCGGTGACTCTATCTGGTGATGTCGAGGCTGTCGAAGAACTTCAGCCAATCTTGACAGAGAAGAGCATCTTCAACGGACAGCTGAAGGTCGGAGTCGCTTATCACTCCGCACATCTCGAGCCTGTTGCAGACGAGTACTTGAACTTGATCAAGAACATTCAACCTGCTAGCACAGCCACAGCGATATTCTACTCGTCTCTCCTTGGACGTGTCGCTGAAGCTTCTGAGCTTACACCCGAATACTGGGTACAGAACTTGACCTCTCCCGTCAGATTTTCTGATGCTCTCACTGCCATGGCAAAGGAGACCGGATCCAAGAGCATCGATCAACTGGTAGAGCTTGGACCTCACTCAGCTCTGCAAGGTCCCATCAGAGATACTCTGGCTACTATCGATGCTGCAAAGGGCAAGATGCAGTATGTCTCTGTGCTTGCTAGAGGTCAGAATGCCAGCGAGTGTGCTCTACGCATGGCAGGTGCCCTTTATATGAAGGGGTTGCCACTGACTTTTGGCGAGATCAACTTCCCTCGTACAAAAAGTGCCAACCAAAAACTTATCACTGACCTTCCGAGATACCCATTCAACCACGAGACCAGATACTGGCATGAATCTCGTCTCGCTCAAAAGCACTGTTTCAAAGAAGGTGGCCGCAATGATCTCCTGGGATCGCTTGCTGATTGGTCCAACGATCTCGAGCCTACTTGGAGAAACATCGTCAAACTGGATGACTTGCCATTCCTTCGCGGTCACAAGATGCAGTCCATGCCGGTCTTCCCTATGGCAGGATACATGGGCATGGCTCTCGAAGCAGCTGCTAGACGTGCGAATTCTCGCGGCGTCCAATTTGATCGCTTTGAAATCCGCGAGTTTGTCGTCAGTAGCGCATTGGTCCTCAATGAGGACACTGATGTCGAGATGACTATCACTCTCAAGCCTTATAATGAAGGTCTCCGCGGCGCAGCATCTGATTTGTGGGACGACTTCAAGATCTGCTCCTGGGATGCAAAACGTGGTTGGCTACAGCACTGCCACGGCCTTGTCGGTGTCCGAAGCTCTCCAGCTGCCAACGCGGTTGATGCACACAAGACTCAGAGCGCTTCCAAGGCATTCGAGGCTCGTAAGTCAAGCATCATCAGTGCATCTACCGACAACGTTGACGTCAAGGCTATGTACGACACTCTTACTGCCATCGGCGCTGGATATGGACCCGTGTTTACCGGTCTGGAGCCTTGTCAAGCAAGTGACACCACTGCTCACGCTGAGCTCATTGTACCTGACACCAAATCTCTGATGCCCAAAGGCTATGAGACTGAGCTGATCGTTCATCCCGCTCTTCTTGACCAAATCATCCAGATCGTTTGGCCCATATTCGGTGCTGGTCGCCAAGGACTCGACACTCTCTACATGCCCACATTTGTCAAGAACTTCAGCATCTCTCGCAACTTTGCTTCGGCCCTCGGCAACCGACTCGAAGTGTTTGGCTCAGGTATTCCCAACAAGGAGGCTCCCGAGCCCACGAAGTTCGGTTTCTTCGTTGTGGATTCTGCCAACACTAGCGAACCTCTTGTCCAGTTTGACGGGCTGATCATGACTCCTCTTCGTGAATCCAGTGGAAGCTCTGGACCTCAAGCACGTGAGCTCTGTTACAAGATTGACTGGCAAACAGTGTCAGACGAAGAGACTGGATTGGAAAAATCCTCATCCGACGTTTCAGACACTCCGATCAAAGCCGATTCTCTTGTCAGCACGCCCTTCACAAGAGAGGAAGCTGTTTGTGTTGTCTACAGCGAAGCTAGTGAGAAAGATCTGGCAGCCGAGCTAGCTGACACCGTCTGGAAAACATCTGGCGTTCAAGCTGAGCTTCTCACACTTTCAAAGCTCGTACCTGCTGATAAGCGAGTTATCTTCGTGTCGACCGGCAAGAACGTTTTGAGTGGGGTTGACCAAGCGGTATTTGACTCCCTGCGCCAAATGTTGCTCTCTGCTCGTAGGGTCCTCTGGATCTACAAGGAAGGCCCTGATGCTGTTGATGTTGACGGAAGCATGATCGTCGGTTTCGCTCGTGCAATCCGCTCCGAAACTTCTGCCAACATTGTCACTCTTGGTCTGCAACAGGCCTCTGACAACAACTTGGTTGAGAACATCTTCACTGTTCTCGCAAAGATCAGTGCTGAATCGACCTCAGCTTTTAAAGACGACAAGGAATTCATTCTCAAGGGCGATACCCTGTTGGTACCTAAGGTGGTTGATGACGAGGAGCTGAATGTACGGCTCCACCAAGAGTCGCAAGACTCGGTCGTGTACCAGCAGCCTTTCGCACAGTCCGACCGTCGCCTCAAGATGGTCATTGCCACCCTTGGCTCTCTGGACTCGTTTTATTTCGTTGACGATGAACCCAAGCCACTGGGCGACAACGAAGTTGAAATTGAAGTCAGGGCTACTGGCATGAACTTCAAAGACGTGGTAGTCTCCATGGGCCAACTTAACCAGCCATACATCGGTGTGGAGTGCGCTGGCATCATCGCAGCGATTGGCAAGAATGTCACAGATGTCAAAATCGGACAATCTGTGATGGCTATGACGGAAGGTGCATACAGCACCTACGCTCGCTGTTTGTCGACCAGCGTTGCCCCACTCCCTGAGAAGATGGACTTCACCGCTGCATCGACCATTCCTGTTGTCTTTTGTACCGCCTACTATGGTCTGTTCGACCTCGGTCGTCTCACTGAAGGTGAGAGTGTGCTCATACATGCCGCCGCTGGTGGTGTGGGCCAGGCTGCAATCATGTTGGCACAGACCTGTGGTGCCGAGATCTTTGCCACTGTTGGCAGCCTTGACAAGAAGCAGCACATCATGAAGGAGTATGGCATCCCTGAAGATCACATCTTCTACAGTCGTGACACTACCTTCGGACCTGCCATTCGTCAAGTCACTGGCGGAAAGGGTGTCGATGTTGTACTCAACTCTCTTGGAGGTGACTTCCTGCGCGAGAGTTGGGATTGCTTGGCTCCCTTTGGACGCTTCATTGAGATTGGCAAGGCAGACATCACAAAGAACAGCAGACTCGAGATGGCTCAGTTCGAGTACAACGTGTCTTTCGCCTCTGTTGATTTGACCAAGGTAGCTGCATACCGACCTAAGCTTATGAAGAGACTCCTGAACGATGTTGAGAAGCTCATGAGCAGTGGCAGTATCAGACCAGTCGGTCCAATCACCAGCTATGGTATCAATGATGTTGAAGCTGCCTTCCGCAGTCTTCAGAGCGGCAAGAGTATGGGCAAACTAGTCATTGCTCCTCAACCTGGTGACCTGGTCCAAGCCATTGCGCCTAAGAAGACCGCAACCCTTTTCAAGGATCATGCCTCATACTTGATTGTCGGAGGTACTGGTGGTCTCGGTTGCAGCATTGCTAGATGGATGGCATCTCGTGGTGCAAAGCATATCTGCTTGTCATCCAGACGAGCTAACATTACACCAAGACTGGAAGCACTTATCAGCGATCTTGCCAAACTCGGAACCAAAGTGTCTGTTCGCGCCTGCGATGTCGCTAACGCCACTTCGGTCGAGACCTTGGTCGGAGACCTCAATAAAGAGGCTCCAATTCGCGGTGTCATTCAAGGCGCTATGGTTCTCAAGGATGTCCTCTACGAACAGATGACTTTGGATGACTTCAGTGCAGTCGTCAACCCCAAGGTTACCGGCACCCTCAACTTGCACAACAGTCTCGGCACATCCGAGCTCGACTTCTTCATCGCTCTTTCCTCGGTCGCTGGTATTGTTGGCAATCGTGGTCAAGCGGCCTATGCAGCTGCCAACGTCTTCCTAGACACTTTCATGGCTCATCGCAATGCTCAAGGACTTCCTGGCACATCTCTGGACCTCACTGCCGTCTCAGATGTTGGCTACCTGGCCGACAACAGCGAAAGAGCAGCTGATGTTCTCCGCAACCTGGGTGGCGAAACCATCGAAGAGAGTGAAATTCTTGGTCTACTCACTGCTGCCGTCACGGGCAAGATCACCGCAAGCAACAACCATGTCATCACTGGTCTGAAGATCAACCCTGGTTCGGAGCCCTTCTGGTGCCATGATGCCAAGTTCGGCAGTTTACTTGCTGCAGCTGCCTCGCAGAGCTCAGCAGAGGGCGGAAATGCAAACGTACCTTTGCCTCAAGCTCTGAAGGGTGCCGCTGACGGCGAGAAGGCTTTGGAAGTCTTGTACGGTGCTCTTGTTACCAAGCTGGCCGCAGTCCTTATGTTGTCCGTTGAGGAAATGGAGCCATCAGCCGCAGTCGCTTCATACAGTTTGGACTCTCTCGCTGCCATCGAGGTCCGCAACTGGATTGCAAGAGAGGCTGATGCGAATGTTCAAGTATTGGAGTTGCTCACCAGTCCCAGTCTGATGGAGCTGGCGAAGTTGATTTTGAAGAAGAGCAAATTGGTTTCGTTTGAGTGATCGTATACGTTATGATGTTCTAGCTGTTTCTTCGGGTTTCTGTATGGGTTGAGGTCGGCGCATAATTTTCGAGTATGTAACTGTCGTTTAATTCTGATTTCTCTCAAAATTTGGTCTTACAGAGTCACGATACTTTTCGAGAAGAAGCATTGTGCAAGGAGACGGCAACCCAGAGTATCTCTGTGACCACACTCACCTTGAGTGGGTCCCCTTTGGTCCGCCCTCACTTCTGTACATGCCCCATCTATTGTGACACAACTATGTCTGGTGCACCGACTCGCCTTGCCTCAGCATTCAAGGCTTCAATCTCGGCTGCGACATATGGTATACCGGACTGCTTCCTTTCTGCTTCCGTCAACTGTTCAATCTCACCCGGGAAATAAATCCGATCGACTCCTGCCATCTTCTCGCAATGCACGACCTGCCGTCTGTCAGCATTCAGGATATATGTTTTATCAATCGGAGAACTCACCCTATGATAAAGATACTCCATTCTCTGTTTAAACTCATCCGAGCTGAGGAAGAGGTCGGGTTTCAGAGCAATGAGGAAGTGGCCTACGTCTGCGGGCTTGGACGGATCATATGGGTTGGTGACATGACCAGCGAAGGCGGATCCAGACAGGACACCCGAGAACACGTCCATCATTATCGACAAGGCTGATCCCTTGGGGCCGCCCATGGGCAGCATGACACCCTCGAGAGCAGCACTCGGATCATCAGTCCTGTTTCCATCCTTGTCCAATGCCCAATCGACTGGTATCTTCTCGCCTCTCCGTTTGGCTTTGTAGATCTTGCCTCTCGCTGCCACCGACGGCGCCATATCCAAGATGAAGTCATGCTCAGAGCCAGGAGCTCCACAAGCAATCGGCGACACCCCCATGAGCTTTTCCTTACCGCCCCAAACAGGTAGTGCGGGAGATGAGTTGGTAAAAACCAAACTCATCATCCCAGCGTCGAGGGCTTGTTGCACCAGCCAAGCACTCATGCCGAAATGATTGCTGTGCTTCACACTGACCATACCAATCCCGTAGGTCTTGGCCATATCAATCGCTTTCTCCATACCCAGTTTGGCAGCTACAAAGCCGAAAGCGTTCTTGCCATCAACTTGAGCGACTACAGGAGTTTGGTTGACGATAGTGGGTTGAGCTGTGGGATCGAGGACTCCTTGGCGAACACGGGCGAGGTAGGACGGGATGCGGTTGACGCCATGAGTGTCTACGCCACGAAGGTCGGCAGCAACGAGACAATGAGCTATAGTCGTTGCATCTTTCTCAGAGACACCATTTGCCTGTAGGACAGCTTTGACGTAGGCATTGGCATTTTCTTGAGAAACCAAAGTCTTGTTGGTGGTTTGGAGTTCGCCCATGCTGATGTCTTTAAAAGTGTCAGAACTCAGTAGTGTCGCTTGATTAGATTGACCATATATAAGTTGGAAGGTTTTGATAGAAACCAGAAATCACGACCCTAGACGTGCAGTCGAGATGCTGTTTAAGGAAGTTGCGGTTCTTGCACAAGGTGGTCGCGGCTTTCCCGTCAAAAGGGCTCGGACTTTCCTTCCACGAAGTTCAACGTCTTGGCGGTTATTTCCCTCAACACAATTTGCACTATTTGCATTAGAAAGACATAGGAGCCAGTCCGTCAAAGAGATCCTGCAGGAATGTGTCGGTGTTCATGTCTCCCGTCCACAAGCCAGTGTTTGGGTCTGACATTTGTTCAAAAGCTGATGGAAGAAAGTCCAGCCCAGGTGTCCAGTTCCGACTGTACTGCTGCATGAACACATCGAGCTCATCGGCTTGGGGTTGTCCTGTTGTAACTCTAGCTTCAGGCTGGTTGTTGAGAGAAGCTGCATTGTAGCTACTCGAACCCGTGTTGAGGGAATTATCATGGCCAGGTGCTGTGCTCGGGTTGGAGTATCTGAGATCGCTGCGATTCTTGCGATCCATCATCCAGCTGATAGTTCTGTGCGACAACTCATCCAGAATATCGCGGCTTCGCTTCGCTCCAGGCCAGTGCTCACCTGTAGCACTCAGTATGTTGGATGCTGCGCGTAGATCAGATACGAGCTCATCGATCACAGCGTCTTGCGCTACTGAAGGACAGGTCCAGATACAGAAGAATGCTGTGACTGAACTCATCATAATTGAATGATATGATGCCCAGCTAAAGACCAGCGAGTTTTCGACATATAACTCATGGTAGAGCCTGATGGCTGTTATAGCACTTGTATAACATGCCACTAGATCATCTGAGCTCGGCTGGGGTATACCAGGACTCGGTCGTAGAAGAAGCGTCTTCAACACATGATAGCGAATATGACAGAGCTTCGTCACGTAATCTCTGGGGCTTGTTGTATCTGGTATGTCAGCAGCCCATTGGTCAAGGCGATTGGCCATATCTCTTTGCCAGGTCTTCATGCAGCGCACTGCTGGGTAAGCATAGGCTGGCGTTTCTCGTGAAATGCTATGGAGGATGTACTTCATCTCGGAGTTTAGCCTGGCAAGTTTGAATAGATGTATGGCATAACTCATGTGAGTGGGTGGTTCTTCTGCGGTCCTGGATATGCCACTCGTTCGTGCCAAACCTGTGTCATCGATATCTGCGGGAAACTGGACGACAGTAAGCCGATCAAGTTTTGTAACTACTCCATACTTCAGGCTTACCCTCAGATCACATGCTTCATCTCTTAAACCTATTGGTCGACCCATCATTGTACAGAGAGATCTATCCAAGCTGTACACAACCCAGAATAGTCTCGTTCGCATTTCCTGATCGAAACGCGAGATTGACAATGCAGACGTGACGTCTCTCTGCAGACCGAGATCTACGACCATTGCAATACATTGGTAGTTGAGATACCAAACATTCAATTTTGTTGCAGGGCTGTGCATACCCCAGACATGTAGTAGTAAGAGACATTGCAGCCCTCTGGTCGAACTTTCGAGTGGGGTCTTCTCAAAGTACGACATGGCCATCGCGGCCCAACCTTCGCTGGGCAGCACAATCCTGTCTCGGCGTGATAGCATGATTGACGAGATCGCAAGCACTATGTAGACTTGAAAAGCGACGACCGGGTCTGGTTCATTAGATGCGAACATTTCTTCTATCAGGCGCATATGTGTTGGCTCATGTAAGAACGGCAGATGTTGATGGACTGTTCTGAAGTACGTCCGAGTCAGCTCCTGTGTCAAGTCTTTGCTTGACGGAAGCGGGGTCTGAATATCACGAAGGAGCTTCTCAGTAAGGGCACTATCTCGCTGGAGGGCAGCATTGCCGCGATTGATGCGAGATGGATTCGTGGTCTTAGTCAATGCACTAGCTGTACACACAAGTTGGGTGAAGAAATGGCCACTGGATGGTCCGATGTAGCGCGGATTCTCTCCATTAGGAAGCGATACGAGGCCAATTTGGTGAGTCAGACTTGAATCCGTATGCTGCGGGTTGCTGATAGAAGCTTCGGTGTTATTCGCGGTTATACCAGTAGTGTTCATGGGTGCATCGTAAGCGATATTCGAGATATCTGCCTCCGTTGTGGGATTGTGGTACTCGTCTGATACAAAAGCTGGTGCGGCATCGAACATCGGACCCGAGATATCATCTAGGTCCCTGTCGTTTTCTGTGGTCGCATCCTGCGTTAGATCCACATCGGAACATCTTTCTTTGATGATACCCTCAAGCCAATGGACTCGATGCTCAAGATGCTGTGTATATCGTCTGAACCACAATTCAGCTGTGTTAGCATAATTGCAGGATTTAACCTACGCTCGTGCTTGGTTGTCAACAACGCTACCACCTTGATATTCGCACTCTTTGCTTGATTTACTGCATGAAGAACAACTCGGCAATATTCCGTCGCACTTGAGCAGTCAGCACGAGGACGGCAAGAAGTAAACAGTGGCGCCTTTACGCGAATTTTGCGCTGTTGACAGCGTAGGCAGGCAGTACGGATGCGCTGCGACCTTCGTGATTGCCGTCTCGCAGTTCTGTCGTCAGTCATGGTGTTCACGTTTAGCGCTTGAGGAAAGAGCTACGGATTTTCCGAGAACAAGGCATCCGTCTTGAGCTTGGACCACGGGAGTAGGAAGCCGTTCATCGGCCATCTCCAATCATTGTCTCCTTATTACTCGACACAACTATGGCATGTTTGTGCGTCTGCTCAAGCCTTCATCCTGATGCGCATGGTCCTTGACCTTGTATATCTTACTATCTATACAGAATTGCACATATCGTCAAGCCACCTTCGACGCGGCAAGAGGCAAGAATCCCAAGAGATGTTCATCCGCCTCATCAACCTCGAAGTCGTATCTCATCAGATCTTCTTTGTAAGGGAACATATATGTGCTCGTAANCACTGTCCGACGAACGTTAGCTGGTCCTCCAGCCGTCATTTTCGCGACTTACCTATGATGTTCATCAGATTTCTGATATTCCTCAAGCGCGGCTCTATCCTCGTGGAAGCTGAGAAGAGCGAATTCGAAACCTTTGCTTCGTTCAATGGGGTCGGTAATTGACGCTCCGCCGACCACGAGTCGTTGCTCTTTGACACATGGTAATGATTTGAGCTTCTTGAGTTCTGTCACGAACTTCTGCTTGTGCTCATCTGTCACTTCAGCACGGAATTTGAAAAGGACTGTGAACAGGTTAGGACAACGTTGAAGAAAGGATGACCAAATACGTGCCAATATGTACGATGGTCATGTTTTTCGACTCTCCTGACTTGATGCAATGATCAGATCACATTGGAGTGGAGACATATCCAGCATATGAACAACACCATGTGCGGAATTGCCGTGGCGGAGAAGCTGGCGGATGATCCGTTCATCGTTCCGATTGCTCTCAACTCTGTTGATGTTAACAATGCCTGAACGATGTTCCGAGTCAGGAGTCGGCCTTAGCCCACAACACATCATATCAGATGTCAGGCTGTGATTTTGCCAACAGATTGGAGCAAGTCGGCGATAACTCGAGCGTGTGAAGTCTCGGCCACGCCGGCGCGTGCGGCTGAGACCGACCTGCATATACTAAACACGGCTCCATGCAGACCACCAATCAGGGAGATCAGGCTGAGGCTGAAGAAGAGCATGGGCGACACCACTTCGCTTCTATCTTTGGTTCTATAATCTTCTACTGTCAAGTCATCTAGCTTCGTTGTACAGTTCCAGAGGTGTCGATAAGAAGATCCGACAATGTCATCTGCATGTCCTCAGGCTTCACCTCCCAAGACCCATCTACCGTTTTGCCTGGACCAACGGCCCGGGCCTTTGTGTGTGGTATACTCCTGTTAATACTCGTTTGGATTTCTCCAACTGCTAATGCTCACATAGATATCAGTGGAGAGGCCACTACATGGACTGATGAATCACAGCCACTGTTCACTTTATTACAAGTATGATACGGATTTACCTATTGGTTGGATCCGTCAAGCTAACATTTACATCAGAGATCTGAAAATAAAGCTTGTATAATGTAAGGTGTTTCCAGATGTGAGATTGTTTCATCATAGCACAGCAAGTACTGATCCAGTAGATAGCTTCGCCGCTACAAAAGACCTGAGCTCGAGCGTCGAGCGACAGAAAAAGCTGCAGGAGTGGTTCCCACATACACCAGCAGTATTCTGGTCAGACGCATGCGTGGATCATAATGGCTTCTTCGGCTGCCATACCTCTAGTACTCTAACTCCTAGGTCCACTGGATCCATTCCCACAGGCTCCTCCACCAACCAGACAGCAACTTCAGCAACTGCGGACCATCAAGAAGTTGTATCGACATACTTTCGTCTCATTGTGAAAATCCTACTACCTGCCAAAGCTCAAACTCAAGGATCTGCATCGAGCACGAGCAATACTGCTGATTACTCGTGGTTTGAGATGGGATTCATGTCGCTCTCATCTGGCACAAAGAGCCTGCTCCTCTGTTTCGACGTGCCCAAAGACTCGATTATAAGGCTATACCAAACGTTACCCAAGAACACGGATCAGATAAGAGGTCCATTCGGGTTGCACATACTCGTTTTGGAAGAGCTTGTGAAACTTTACGACCAGAGTGTTTGGGCCATGGCCAAAAAGGTCCGAGGTATCGAGAAGGTGAGTTTGAGCCACGAACTTGTTATCCTGTAGCCAAAGGACTGATAGAAGGCGCCATAGCAACGGCTCGCACAAACAGGAAGGCTGATTTCCAGGACTCCTTCCCTTCCGTCCAACATAGGTCCTCTGCCCGACGAAACATTTAAACTAACCGACTTTGGACAAACGGCCCAGAATTTCGAACACCTCTTCGAGATCTCTCGACACTTGGCTCATAGTGTAGAGACAACTCAGATAGCTACAGAAGTCGTGGAGCGCATGAAACATGCCTGCGAGTCTCTGCATCTCGCCCACGGGACTCCAATACTCCAGACGAGGGTGCAGAGACTAGGTTTCTTGCATAGTCTATTTAGAGGACTCTCTGCAAGGTCGGTGTCTAACGAGAAGAGACTGACTAGTGAGCAAGTGTTGGTGAGTCCTTGAGAGTTTCTCAGTGACAGAGTGGCCTGGCAGTTACTGACACGGCCTGCACATAAGCTTTCCAACATGATATCCCAACAAGACAGCAAGGTCAACAANAAGATGTCCAACTTCAGCTCTCAAATAGCAATGGCCGCCAGAGAAGATGGTGCGGCCATGAAGACCATCGCAGTTGTCACTTTGACGTTCTTGCCGGCGACGTTCGTCACGGTGCGTTCTACTGTTCCTTGCTCCTATCCTTCTTAGCCGAAGTTCTAATGCTCATTCTAGGCACTCCTCGGCATGAACTTTTTCACAGTCGATTCAGGAAGGCTGACTTCCACAAAAGACGTTTGGATCTTNTTTGTAATCGCAGTGCCGCTCACATTTTCCGTGTTGTGCTTTTGGTGGTGGTGGCAGAGGAAGGAGGCCAACAAGGCGATGAACCACAATGAAAAGGGTCACGAGAAAGATGTCGAGCTTGGGGACGAAAGTAGTTAATCTCTTCACACTTGATCACGCTGTAGAGAGTGGAGGCACTCGGATAAGAAACTTGGGTTTGCAATGCTATTACTTGCTTCCTAATCATGAATCTTCGTCATAGTTCGTAGCTGTGTCATGCTGGCATAGTTTAGGTACCGGTCTGGATCAGGTAGCCACCATCAACGGGGATGTTCTGTCCGTTCAAGTACTGGCAGCTTGCGGCGAACAAGATAGCAGCAGCCATGTCCTTGTCCTTGCCGGGTCTCTGCGAAGGCAGACCTTCCTTGTGTTCCTTGGGAAGTTCACTCTTCTGGTCGTCCTTGCTCTCACCAGTGGTCATTTCTGAAGGGAAGACACCAGGAGCAATACCGTTGACACGGATCTTGAGACCGCTGCTCTGAATCTCAGCCGAAAGCATCTTGTTGAGGTGAACGATAGCACCCTTAGAGGCGTTGTAGTTGAAGTGGCCTTGGGAGATGCGGACGAGACCGGAGATGGAGGTAATGTTGATGATGGTACCACTCCAGCCGTGTGTGCGCTCGGTAGCCTTCTGGATGAGAGGCAGGAAGGCAGTACTGAGGAAGTAAGGAGCAATGACGTTTGTAGTGTAGATGTTACTCCAGTCCTCGAAGCTNNGACACGGATGTTAGTCATAGTGTGGAAGAAAGATGGCAGTGACTTACGAGTCCTCGTCGAAGAGGTTCTTCTTCATCTCGTCAGCGTTCTTGCCATCAGGAGTGAGCTTGCCAGTGGCAATGCCGGCGTNCTGATGGATGATTAGCTGAGATGTATCTGAAGAGTGAGATGTTGACGTACTGTTGACAAGAATGTCAAGGTAGCCCTCCTTGGACTCGATCTCCTTGGCGAGCTTCTCAATCTCGCTCTTCTTGGTGACATCGCCAACGATGGGGATGATTTCACCAGAAATGTCCTTGCCGTAGGTCTGCTGGACCGTCTTGAGCTTGTCCTCAGTACGGCCGACGATGTAGACCTTGGCTCCGTTGATAGCAAGGGCTTGGGTGGCCATCAAGCCAATGCCAGAGCCACCGCCGGTGACCAAGGCGACCTTGCCCTTGACATCAAAGACCTCGCTGAGTTGGTAGTTGCTGTTCGACATTGTGTAGATTTTTGTTTTTGACAGAGTGAGGCAGGACGAGAGAAAGTATTTAAGCTCGAAATATGCGTACGATGATGATCTGTTTACGGATGTCGCATGGATGTGACGTTGTGGTGACGATCCTTCCTCAAAACTGGTGGGGCTTTGGGTGATCAGGGTTCCGCCGACATTGCGTACCTCATAAATGTATGCTCTTATATGTCTTATATAGGTACGTATCACGACTTCAATGCATGTGGAATCATGGGGCATCACGAAAGCTTTTGGGGCTGAAAGTGTTCGCATTATTGTTTGAGCTTCTTTCTTTCATACTCGGTCTTCTTTCCATCGAAGCATGACTAGCTGTACAATGACATGGTTGATATCATTTCTGCTAGTCCAGGTTCTCGTTCTAAGTAGGCTGGATTCTCGCATGAGGCATAGGCTGGCGCCAACGCCGGCAGTCGCATCAGCTAGCTTACTGCCTTCGGCTGTCGTCTTGCTCCCAGAGCTCTTCTTCTGCGAGATCAGTGAGTGGTGCAGGCGGGCAAACGTACTTGTGTCCTCGTCGGGTCCAAGTCATTTTATGCTCGGCGTTCCGCGTGGCTCCGTACTCCTGTACGTGCGCTTCTTGGTGTGAGGCCGTCTTTCTCGTTTGCTGAACTTTGATCAACGTTCAGCAATGGCACGCGACAAGCTCAAAGCTCTCCCAGCGCCATACACCACGCGCTCCTTCCACTGGCAGCATCAGACTCTTTGACTCCATCGTCCAGCACAGCCAATGCAGCGTTGAGTTCTGTCTCTTGCACATCCTTCATGCTCTCCACCTCTTGAACATCCTTCATCTGCGTATCCTCAAGTCCATTGGCTTCGAGCGTGTTGTCGTTTGTCTTGACTTTCTTTAGCGCGGGCGCGGCTTCTGCGATGGGTTCGATGTGGTCGTGTGATCGTTTGGCTGCGAGCACTGGAGAGTGTGGCATGGCGTTCTCGACGGCCGGTTCAGAGACGGAGATTTGTGTCGACTGAGCCATCTTGTCGACGTCAATTGGACGATGGGAAAGTGATGAAAGGGTTGATGAGAGACAGACGCGAACGGCCCTCGTCTCGCGTCTCGGACTGCACTCCATGACGCTGTGTTTGCTATCTGAGCAAACTGTCCCGCTCGATTTGCTAGTGCCATGACCCTGGTCTTGGTGAAGTTACGTCGCCGATGACCATATGCACGACTCTAGTAGGCAATTGAGAATCGATTAACCATAATATATCCCAGACTATATACCTGCATGGTTCACGAGATTATTTCGGGATTGATAGAGTTGATTGTTGCTATACAAGAGAATCAAGCTCTTAGCGTTCACTTCACAGAAGTGTCTACTTACTAAAGCACCACATTGAGACAGGCACGTCAGGACAGTAGGAAGAAACTGAACAAGACAAAGTACAGCTATTTACACTCAGACCTGCCTTTTCTCATAAGAACCCATAAGAACGCCAACAGCCAGCATGTGGATACCTAAACCCAGAAGAAACCTCTACAGAAAACAGATCAAAGTATTAACAGTATATAAAACCTTGGTAAAAGGCAACCCAGTACCGCTCTTTAGATGCTAAATCCACAAGAGGAAGATTGGTGCAAGGAACGACCAGATGGCTGAGTTAGTGAACGCAACAGCTGACGCGGCACCACTCTGCGTAGCAGCCGCCGAAGCAACATTCGCAGCGCCACTGACTGTGCCGGAACCAGAAGACGAGCTATTGCTATCGCCGTTGCTGCTTAAGACTTTCTTGCCACTTGAGCTACCAGATGGCGCAATAGCAGCAGAAGCAGTGAAATCAGATGCGGCAACAGCCTGTGTGGGGTTCCACTTGGATGCGCTTCCTTTAGCATTAGATTCAGATTCAGGTTCGGATCCAGATGCAGATTTGGACCCAGACCCGATGCCTCCGAGGCCACTAAGGATGGCCCCAGCCATACCAGTGACTGAATCAGGGCCGACATGCTGACCAGAGATCACAACCGCTGTCGTTACCGCATCTGGGGTCATCGTGACGGTCGAAGCACCTTCTGCTGACGCCGAAGGCTTAGCTGATTCGTAGACCGCAGTCACACCAGTGGTGACCGGTCTTGTAGTCGTTGTGCTAGGTGCACCGGTCTCAACGCTGGACGCTGGGCTAGCATCCCCATCTCCATTAAAGCGACCGCCCCATTGCGGTGTCGGGATAGCAAGTTCGGTACCGGTAAGCATTGGTGTCAACACTCTTGGAGGGTCATAAGCTCCACTCATTCCTGGCGCCGGTCCACATTGTGCATCAACCCAGGGCTGTTGCATACTGATTAACCTTGGAGGTAGCAATATGACAGGGTGACAGGGGTCATCGTGGTACATCGCGTTCGCCGCATTGATCGGGTTGTCAGGCCAGTAAACGTAACCAGAGATTGTAGAGCAATTCTGCCCTATATCGTTGTAATCCAAGGATTTTGGTGGAGGCTGTGTTGTCACAGCTGAGCCCATCTCTCTATATGTGAAGCCGTCGGATACATAGTCTGACTCGTATTGCGTCAAAGTGGTGACAGGCCGTGCAGTCGTGATCTCGGAAGCGTCGAAAGCTATCGTCGTATTGGTCCAAGCATCTCCTACTTGGCCGCATCTGTTGCTCGCGACCAGGGAGCTAAAGGCCATGTATACACTGGGTGATGTAAAGGTGAAGCCTTCTGCGTTGACACTCGTACTTGGTTGGCCTGGAACTGGTGCAGTCGGGGTTGCTTGGTCTGGCCAGAAGTAGAAGTCGATCGTCCCTGCTGTCATGTAGCATGAACTACAACACGGTGGTTTCGGTGTGTATGCGCGAATGGCATATTGCGTATCTAGCGAGGATCAGCACCTTACTGTACACGTTCATTTTCGAATGTGCATTTTGAAGCGCGTGATAGGTCATGGTCAAACATGTGGCGGAAGATCCCATTCGCAGGGAGTGGGAAGTGATCACGTAAACTTATAACAAGGCTGGCTGATCAAATCGAGAGCACGAAACAAAGAGCAAATGGCAAAACGCAAACGATGGTTGGAAGTAGCAGTGAAGAACATTGAATAAGGCACATTGAAAGGAAGCAGAACAGGTGTTCTGAGTGAGCACAACTTACATAAGAAAGTACTGGTCCAATAGGTTTGAGAAGTGACAGAGCCAGTCAAATCGCCCAGAGAATCAGTCGGTCCAAATCCTTCGTACCAAGTCCACCTGCTAGTAGCAATCTCGGTACTCTGATATGTCGCAATGAAACTGCTCAATTGAGCAGAGCAGTAGCTATCGAGAGACTCAGATCTGCTCTTGGCTGCTTGAGCGTCCGCGTCCGTGTCAGTGCCATTGCTGTTTTGCTCGGTCCCATTGGGGAATGTCGGGCTGATGGCGTCAGTCAAGCCCAGTAGGCTCGGCAACACCAGCAGAGGCGACAGCAACAGCGGCCGGCGCATTGATGGCTGAAGACAGAGCGGTGGGCAGCGCTCGCGCGCGTCGAGTGGAGGTGAAGAAGTTCTTCCCCACGAAAGTCGGGCCCGATCCTTGATCAATGGCTTCAATCCAGTATGACTATTGGATACGAGAAAGTGTCTGTTCGTGGGCGGGTTATGGCGTCGCAAATAGAACTCGGCCGAGTATGTGACGATCAAGGAACGTTAGTAGGCAACTCAGAACGGAGGCCAAGCAGATTCGGTGAGGTGAAGTGAAGAGGAGCCCCGGAGTAGTTGAATGCAACGACCTCGTGTCGTGAGTCGTGGCAATTGTTGAAGGGAAAAGGTAGGGCCGAGACTGTTTCAAGAAATCATGGGATTTGAGATTTGGAAAGGGTCCTATCGTTGAAACCAGCCGCGTTCTTTAAAGTTAAAATGCACGTCAACACGAGTGGTAGAGAGGATGACGAGACCATCAGACAGACTTATGTTGGTCGACCCTATCGGAAGCCAGTCAGAACCCCGTTCCCAGTTCGTGAGCGAGGCAGGACTGGCGTTCAACGGTGGAGCCTTGTATCTTGACTTCTAGCCCTAAGATCATGCGTCTACACGCAGAACAGAACCGAACCCCAGTCACATCAATCTTAGAGAAAGGACAATATAAGTGTTGGCTACAGTTTGCCACAACAACCAATATCAGCTCAGCTGGCTCATCTTCATTGGTCTAGTGGTCATGATTTCCGCTTGTCAAGAGTTACATCTCGTCAAGCGCGGGAGACCAGGGTTCGATTCCCTGATGGAGAGCACAATATTTTGCTTTTGCCCAATGACATCGATATCCTGTTATAACATGTCGGAGTCCGCGACGGCTAACTCAGAATCCTTTGCCCTATGCTACCATCTCCATTGAACGCGACTCTGGTTATTATTGTAAGCCAAGAGTCGCAGCTGCCGGACTGCCTTATACCCGAGAAGGATTGTTGGTCCTACCATTTCCAGACGATAATTGTCGATCACAAACTACTCTTGAATAAGTTATAAGGCAAGACGATGGCCAGTTTGAGGAATCGAATGGCTTTCTAATATACTCCGTTTTCTGCCCTCTTTCTCATCGCAACGATGCGATTAATTCCTGATTATTTCGTCCGGACAAGCATACGGATACTCCTTCTGCAAACCTTCGTCGCCTGGCTATGGATACAAGTCGACAAAATCCCGTTACCAACTCTATTCAATCTTGCCTTATGCAGCATATCTGGCATGACCATCAACGCTCTGAAGGACACACTAGATGTCAGACTCGGCTTTATTCTGCCTTGGGACACACCATATTTCTTGCCAATGCTTCTGGATGAATATATCATTACGACCATGCCCGAGCTAGCCGTCCTGCTGGGCGAGTCGCCGTGCTCGCGGCGCATAGCAAGAATTCATCCGGAGGCTGGGATTTGTGAGCATGAATTGGCTTATGCTTGCTCCCAGCATGCTGTAGGTTTCGAGGATGGAAAGCTCGGACTGGAATTCCTCCGTGCTTGCTACCAAGACTATGGTATCTCCCCAGCCATGGCCCAGAAGCATCAACACAGATGTCATCCAAAGGAGAAGCAAAACAGCAGAGTGGGCGTAAGTGCCTGTACTAGAGTAAAGCAGCAGATTGAGAGAAACAAGGAGGTTTGCTTCTATATACCACCGATAGTTGACTGCACGATCCAGTATTCGAGATGGGAGGATTTGAGGCCGTTGCTCAAGTCTGCTGGGTTTAGAGGCGATGAAAATCTAGAGCAAGGGACCTGCGACAAGAGGCTGTCTGGTGATACATACATAGACAATCGGTTTCGGGGTATGGGTGGGTCCAAAGTGAAAATTACGGCAGCAAAGGAGTGATGGCCTCTCTGCACACCTACAATCCATTCTGTTCCTCCAACCATCGCAGCAGTTGAACACAATCTTCAGAGGTTCGGAGTCGCGCGATCGTACAGGCAGGGGATCAATACTCTTCAATCACACATTGCAACAGCAACTCTTACCTGGAGTATCAGTATGGTCCACCTCTCCTGAATTCTTGAATGTCTATAAGTATTGATGAACAACATGCGTGTATCTGGGATATCAATCCTTCATCATGCCCTCAGAGCTCTCCTCACCCTCTTGAACTCCATACCCTCCCGCGGCTTCGCAGTCTTCCATACTGCCGCTCCTCCGGCCAGTAGCAGCAACACGAATTCCCATCCAAAGCCCCTTGCATACACAATGATCGAAGTCAAGACTGTAATGGCAAAGAAGAGGCGGATGTCTGTGGTGTAAGAGGTTGAAGATGTGCGTGTTACGTATGTGAAGAGTGGTATGCGATAGGAGTCGTAAGTTGGTGAAGACACTGACGGCGTGGGTTGGTAGGATGGCGAAGGTTGGTCGTCCATCATGAGTAGTGTCTTGGAAGACGGAGAGGAAGGCATCAGAAGTCTGCGTGGGTGATGTTTCGCAGTCGCTGCGATTCGATGTGTTTACACATGAGTTGCAAACGCCGGTTAACGCCGCTGTGACCACCGGAGCACCCCTCCATCCGAAGACAACAGCAATCAACTTGATTTACATACTAGTAAATCTCCGAGAACATTTCTAGATCATTTCCATACTACCCATCAATTGCCTGAACACATCTGCCAATCTTCAGGGGAGATTATATTCCATCACTTGATCACCATTATGGTTCTAGAAGCGGGCTATCCAAACACGACGGGATTTCGGAAAGTTGTCAAAGCAACAATTCTAGTCAAGAAGAAGCCAGGCCTGAGCGATGCAGACTTTATATCACACTACAACACCAAGCACGCCGAGATGGCCAAAGAAGTCTTGGTGAAGCACGGATGTATAACATACAGTCTTGTAAGCATGAGGTACCTTTCATACATAGCAAACCACCAGGACTAACATAAGCTATTACAGACATACCACCTTCAACGAGACAGAAACATAATGCAAGATATGCTCAAAGGAAAAGCGAATCTCTTACCTTATGACGCCATCTGCACGTTTGTGTTTCCTGATTACATGGCATTTGCACGCTTCATGTATGATCCAGCCAGCAAGGCTCTGACGGGTGATCATGATAACTTCATGGTCGAGGAGGAGATGAAAATGATGGTTGGAGACGAGTACATGGTCATCGAGGACGGAAGAATGGTCGCGTGAGGTCAGGCGTGTTCATCGAGGGAGGAGTTGAGTGATCGGCAGGGCATAACATGGCATGACAAGTTCGTAGACGTTACAATAGGAGGTGGTTGGTTGAAAGTGGGAAACAGCATGACGGGGCATGGCGAGCATATAAAGCGTTTCTTTTCTGTATACGTGTGTTCGCAAACTCGTATTCGGCGCGACTTCTCTAGAGATAACCTGGAGTGACAAAGTCAGTATTTTGACAGAACGAGTTAAGGCATTCCCGCAGCAACTCACCCTTGCGGCCGGTCTGGAAGAACATTCTGACGATAAAGACTTGCAGGCCAGCCATGCCGACCATCATCAAACTCTCAATGATGGAGAAGTTGAAGATTCTCTGCTCGGTGCTTCTGACGGTGGAGAAGTTTCTGTTCTCGCGAGTTCTGAAGTATTTCTGCTGACGGGTGATTGTGCTGAGCTGGCCGCTGAGCTTGAGGACCGAGTTCTCGAGGGCCGAAGTCTGTTCAATGTTGGCGCCCTGCTTGGAGGGAATGCTGGCGGCACGGGGCTCGTTCTCGATGGAGATCTCGAAGTCGATCATCTTGTCGGCAAAGGTGCTGATGCTGTTGTCGAAGCAGAAGCGGTACTCGCCGACCTCGTTGGCTGTGAAGACAAAGTCGCCCTGACGTTCCTTGGTGCCATCAAGAATGGTCTTTTCTCTTCCAGGCTCTGAGCTGGGTCCGTGGACTGCGTAGTCGACNNTGTGACAGAGTGTTAAACTTGGGTAACGGTTGGAGGAGTGGGCTAGTCAAGTACCATCGAAGGAGCCGCCTGATTGGACCTGTATGTCGCATTAGGATGAGAAGATTTCCAGCATGTTATTTGAACGTACAGCAAAGTNAAAGGCGACCTTTGCGCCCTTCTGCTCAATGTGTGAATAGAAGCACTCCTTTCCATTGGGTGGAAGCTTGTATGTCAAGGCTGTTGCCGAGACGAACGAGGTCAGGAAGCCCAATAGGCCGAGCAGGGCGAATAGAGGTGCCATGTCGAACGAGACTGCGACAAGTCGGTGCGATCTGCGACAGCGAAGTTGTTGTTGTTCAAATGTTGCTCCCGTGAGCTTTACGGACACGCTTCAGGGATGGCCCTTGTGCACAGACCCCCTGTCAAACTGTCCGGGGCAATTTATCTTTATTTTTCTTTTCTCTCACCCGAACTATCTTTCAGCATCCGTCTTTCGATGCATGAGCAGCCCATCTTTTCCCATTGCTTTTCACCTTCCAGTGTTCCAGAACGAGAAATTGTGCGGGTCCAGCTTCGGCCTGCGCGTCTGCTTTGCCGCGACAAGCACTTTGGTTTGTAATCGCGCAATCCTTCGTTCATGCCTGATTCAACACCACAATTGGCACAGCTGCCATGGCCTTCTCGGACCCGACGGCCATAAGGATGCTTGTGTTCGATACTGCGATCCAGCATCATGACACTTCAAGGGCTCGGAAATTGCGCATTTACATATGATTTATAATCGCCGAAATAGTGATTCAAGCCGATACATCGAGGCAGAGATGCATCTGCCTACCAAACATATCCTGATTATTAACGAGTGCGATTCCGAGTGTGGTCTCAGCAGCCTTATGTACTTATATAAGACAATGCTTTCCACTTCTCGAGACCTATCGTTCGGCAGTAACTGATAACACCATCTTACAAAGCTTGCAACAACTACTATGATTGTCCTCGCCCTTATTCTCTCCATTGCAAACCTGACATCTCCTTCGCCTCTTGCAGCAGTGCAAGAGCCGAATCCCATTGTCAGTCTTGACTATGCAGCCTACCAAGGAGCTGCTCTCGATACCGGCGTCACACAGTACCTTGGTATGAGATTCGGAGCACCACCTGTTGGGAATCTCCGATGGCGCGCACCTAAAGATTCAGCCACTGTTCCTGGTGTTCAAGACGCCACTCAGGTAGGCCAATGTAGCAGATCCTCGTTGCCACTGAATGCTGATATTGTCTAGNCCTCGAGCCATCTGCATCGGTATTGGTGAGACCATCAATGCGAATCGTACAGAAGATTGCCTGTTCATGAATGTCTATACACCCAACAATGCTACTCGATCATCTAAGCTACCAGTATGGGTATACATACAGGGCGGAGGCTATGCCACAAACTTAAACGGCAACTATAATGGAACCGATGTGATCAGAACCTCTGGTGGCAATATTGTCTTTGTCAACTTTAACAATTGAGTCTCCGCACATGGCTTCNNCCTTGCCAGCGAGAGGGTACGCGAGGATGGTAATTTGAATGTAGGACTGCTCGACCAGCGTAAAGCGTTGTGTTGGGTTCAGAAGTATATCACCGAGGTGAGTCAGCGATCGGTCTGAATCCATCCTTAATCAAGCACAGTTGACCCAGTCTTANNGTTTGGCGGCGACCCCAACCACGTCGTTATTCATGGTGTCTCCGCTGGGGCGGGCTCAGTCGGAACGCATCTCACTGCTTTCGGTGGCAGAGATGACAACCTGTTCTCTGGTGCCATCGGACAATCACCATTCTTCCCCTGCCAGAACAACGTGTCTCAGTCAGAATGGCAGTTCGATCGCTTTGTTTCTGCTGCTGGTTGTGGCAATGCTCTGGATCAAATGAGTTGCCTACGTGCACAGAATCTCAGTACTCTGCAGGTGGCTAGTACTCCTTCGCCTTTTCCTGGTCAGACTATTGAACCGCTTTTCTATTTCCTTCCCGTCATTGATGGCGATATGATCCAGGAAGCACCGTTTCTCCAATTCGAAAGAGGGAAGCACATCAAGGTACCGCTCATGATCGGACAAACAACAAATGAAGGGTCTATCTTTGGCGCAAACGCGTCCTCGCCAGCAGAAGTATCAGCCTTTCTTGCATCCAACTGCCCTCGGCTCCCTGCTTCCAGTNNCCTGGAGGAGGCAAACAAATTCTATCCTTTGATGAATCCACTGCCTCACCACGCAGCTTATTTTCCCTCGGCATCTGCTGCGATTGGCGAATCTACCTTCATATGTCCCGGCCTTCTGATGGCGGATTCATTGTCATTTGGTCAACGTAATAGTGTCTGGAACTACCGTTTTGATGTCTCGACCATTGAAGAAACTGCACTTGGGAACGGTCTTCCTCATACCTTCGATACTCCCGCCATTTTCGGACCTTACTATCAAGGTTCCACAGTAGAGGCGACCTCTCAAGTGCACCCCTTCAGCACCTACGACGCATCCATTGTGCCTACTGAGATGAGTTACTATATCTCATTCGTGCGAAGTCTGAACCCCAACACCTTCAAAGCTGAGCAAGCGCCCATCTGGGAACCTTTTGAAGGAAAGCATGGGAAGCAAAGACTGTTGTTTGAGATCAACAGCACTAGGATGGAAGAAGTGCGCAAGGCACAACAGGATAGGTGTGCTTTCTGGTATTCCNNCCTAGCGGCGATTGATGGAGATCGAGTATAATCGTTAGAACTAATAGTATACGTTGAGCCTAACAAGTTTGTTGTCGCAAGAGGATTAGAACAGAAAATGTCCGATCGTGGAAAGTGCGATGGTACATTGACCATGCCACGTGCTCGGCGACCTAATTCGAGCTTGCGGTGACTCAATACAACTTACTGCTCTAATTCTTTCTCTCTTTATCGCACTTTCGCAAAGAAACAAATCATCACCACAAAACTTTCCACGAAGTTGCTTTGAGGCCTCAGATAATCGGATTCACTGCGCTCTGAGAAATTCCGAGCCACCATGGTCAAAGGAAACAAGCAGCCTGCGAGACCAGCAAAAGCGCCACGGAAGTGAAACAGTCCAAATACGAAGACTCCACGAGACACACAGCAGTGGATACACAGAGCTCACCTTATGACGCGACAAAAGACTCAGTATTTCCTAGAGGCCGAGAAAAGCACAACAAGAAAAGCATTCGTCCACCAGTTCTCTTTCATCGCGAATACGAGGAACCCCATGGCTATCTCAGCCAGTGGTACATCTCCTCTTTCACAGACCCTTCAACTGGTCAAACATACAACTGCGCAGAGCAATATATGATGCATCAGAAAGCAGTCTTTCGTCATGACGATACAACAGCTGCATCTATCCTTGCCACACCATACCCTAAAGACCAGAAGGCGCTTGGTCGTTGTGTTGCCAACTGGGATGACGAGGCATGGGATGAAGTCAGAGAAAAGGTCGTCGAAGAAGGAAGTTATCTGAAGTTCTCACAGAACAAGGAGCTTAGGGAGAGGTTGTTGTTGACTGGCGAGAGAGAGCTTGTGGAAGCAAGTGCGAGTGATCGGGTTTGGGGTGTTGGGTTTAATGCTAAAGAAGCATTGTCAAGGNNGAGAGAGGAATGGGGTACTAATTTGCTAGGCAACTGTTTGATGAGAGCCAGAGAGAGGATCAAGGAGGAAGAGCGGGGGAGAAATGTCTCGCAAGCGTGACTCGTAGTCGAACACCACGTATGTACTCATGTCTTCCGCTCAAAGCTGAGTATCGCTATGAGTCCTGTATCACCCTTCCCTGAGAACCGTTGCAACAGGTCGTTGGTGAAAGAGTGATGAAAGTTGACGAAAGCGTGTTTTCTCGGTTTCGCACAGACCAGCGGTTCATTCGATGACGACCAACATCGAGTATTCTTTTCCTCCATCTCTTTCTATCAATCACCATAAACACAGTCTGCATATGGGTGCCGACAGTCGCGAAGCCTTTGGTATCCCAACAGCTATGTGAATCTCAAGCTGGACCGACTAAACGACATCTCTAAAGTGCAACTTTGCTTGCGTTGGGACGGGCGGCCTTGCTTGCTACGCGACAACCTGATGCTTTCGTCCGTCACGACTATTTTGAATTGGTTTGCTCTTGAGGAATTCATGGCAGGATTCGACTCGTAGAAGGATGAGATCGGCCCACTACTTTGATGGTGTGCATGCACGAGACCAGGCTATGGAGCGCCGCGTCGAAACCCCAGCCACCCAAGGCTGACTTGCATATATTAATAATTGAACGAAGTTCAACTGAAAAACAAATGTCTTCCTATCCACCGTGAGACATCTGCATCAGAGAAACATGTCAAGCCCTCCTGCGTCAATCGTGGCCGACCCCAAATACGCCAATCCGGTCGTTTGGGCTCTGATCTACGGTATCGTCAAGGATCTGTCTGGCATAGCGAGACATGCTGACAATTTCTGAAAACCCAGAGTCATCGAGTGATACCTGGCGATTAGTCGAGACGCGCATACTTGATTTGCTAGAGGTAACGACGAGTTGCAGATTTTTCGTGTTACAATCTGATATCGAACCANNGGATGATACAGTATCGACATGCGTGATGTAAGAATGTGAATTGTGTCAGGTACAGGTCAGAAAAACTGACAAGGCAAAGNNATTCTTGGGCATACAGCATTTCCTCGATGACATTCCGCTGCGGAAAGAGCTTTGCAAGCACTTTCCAAACATCCCACGTATGTTCTGGTCCAGGACATGCGTCCAACACAACGGCTTCTTCGGATCGAAGACCTCTACAGACTCTTCCTCTACCGCAAGTGTTCCCTCCAAAACGACCTCTATAGATGTGCAAACCTGGTTCCGGATGATAGTGGTCACGACGGTAAAAGCTCCGTCTCAACATGCTGGANNCACACGCAATCTTCGGAGTCACCGATGGTCAGAGATGTCGTTTCTCTCCTCATTCACCAAAGGACGTAATCTGTTACTGTGCTTCNNCGATACACCCAAGTATGTAGGCCGCAATATGCTCAATATGCTTGCCGAAGAAGAATACGACAATGTCGCCACCGGCCCGTATGGACTGCACCATCTTTTGCTCGAACAACTTATGCCATTATACAACTGGGGTGTTTGGAGTATCGCGAGGGCCATCCGCGAGTCCAATCGCGATCCAGAGGTATGCACTTTATCTTGATGACATCACACAGAAAAATGATTCATGGTTAGACAANNGAACGACAAGGGCACCGAACTATTCCTGAGGTTGGACGAAAATGCCCGACATTCAACTCACTCGATCGAAGCGACACAGGAGGCCACCAGGGTTGTCGCATGTATAGTGCAACATTGCGAGACCCTGGCCTCACGCTTAAGCGTGCATCAAGAAGTCCTCATGTCTCGATGTGAGATCTTCAGATTTTATCATACCTTGATGCAAGGATTTCTCGCCAGAGCCTTTGCTAACGAAAGACGGGTCGGTCACTCGAAGGATTTGGTAAGGTCACAATCGTATGATATCTCGCCGACATGCCTGACCTGTTAACACATCGCANNGACTCTAAATGTTTCGTCCGGACTCGACCGCAGATTCAACCAGATGATTGCAGCATTGGCTAGAGAAGACAGTGCATCTATGAAGGCCATCGCATACGTAACCATGATATTCTTACCAGCAACTTTTGTCTCTGTAAGCATACAACTCGTTTTTATTGCTATACCCACTGACAATCATCAAAGNGCGCTGCTCGGCATGAATTTCTTCAACTTTAGTCCGGACGAGCATAATGGCCATATCACATACTCCCACGACCTATGGATCTATTTCGTCATCTCGATCGTGTTCACGCTGATCTTGTTCGTGCTGTATTGGACATGGCAACAATACAGAAAGAAGGCCAGAGCAAGATCCAACATCGAGGATGAGAATGCTGCAGAGAGCGCTTACTCGACTGTGGAAATAGAGCATGCAGAGAAGATTCCTCCTCGAGGACGAGGACCTTCTTACCACTTCAAGGGATCCCAAAAGGTCTCGTAGCAGTAAGACTGGGCGGATGAAGTTCATGAAACGGTCGATTTGGACCATCTTCTTTGCAATCATCGCTTTTTAAAAGTCATGATGATGTGGCATTGTCCAAGTCTGAATAAACTATAACTGTAGCGGCTCTCTTCTGTCTTCGTTCCCTAATCAACTGAACAAAATGCTAGAAACGCTTGTCCGGACCAAGAAACTTACACATACCCCATCATCATCATTCCTCGGCTGAATTTATTGAATTCCACCTTGTTTCCATCGATATTAACATTGCTATTTAGATCTTGAAGACGATGCTCCAGTGCCAGCACTCTTGGCAGCCTCCTCAGTCTGATTCTCTGAGCTCTTGACCATTTCCACACGTCTCTGCCATACCCACCATGTAGTCAAAACTGCGGCTGTCAGCAGTATAGAGATGACAAAGTAGAGCCAGAGGTCCGGAGAATAGTTTATGTGGCCGCCATTAGCGTCTGGGCTGTAGCTGAAGAGATTCATGCCCAACAATGCGGAAACATAGGTTGCAGGCAGAAAAGTCAATGTGACAATTGCGATAGTCTTCATGGCCACGCTGTCAGCTTTGGTGGCGCGCGCAATTTCGAGATTGACATTGTTGTCTTTCTGGGCCATTGTGTTGAAGAGCTAGCAGAATATCAGTCAGCAAGTGACGTCTATTCTGACACAACTGATCTCACCAANGTTGATTTCGTTGCTTAGTCTCTTCTCGTTCGAGGTGGAGCGAGCCGCAATTCCAAGCATCATGCTGTGGTACATTCTCAAAGCCTCGAGTCGTTCATACATTGCCTGCTCCGCATCATCGTCATTCTGTCTTTGTGCCAGGGCCTCGCATTCAGACACCATACGCTCAATTACAGTGCCGGCCACCTGTGCGGTTTCCGTGGCGTGAGCTGCGTGACGGGCTACTTCGTGCAATCCAGGAAACCCTTTGTCTATTATGTGCTTGCGGTTCTTTGCATCATAGACAATTACAGTCAGTGCCTTGGAAACGCCATGAGCCACTCGGAAGTAGGTACCTTNCTCTATGTCACGGATCCTCTTGGACAAGTCCCAGATGCTTTGATCGTAGATGGAAACCAGAGAGTCCATCAAAATGACGTGGAATGCATATGGCTTATCGAGAGTTTCGCTCGTGTAGCTGGAACGAGCGTTCAGAGTAGCTACGAACTGCTTTGCAAAGTACTCTGGACTGTTGAAGCAGATGAGTAGATTACCATTATCTGTCCATAAAGAGAAATAGCTCGTCTCTAGCCATTCGTAACGCTCGGGTTCGTTCTCTGGTGGGAGTTTCTTGACAATAAGACGAAACATGGTATCTGTCAATGAGCAGCGGTCAATTGTGTCTCTCGGAAACGAAGTCCAAGTAGCTATAGGTCACAATGTACCATGTCGGGTCAAAGTCTTGCCCTTGTTGTGAGGGAATGTCGAACAACCAAAATATCCATTGTGACGAAAGCTTGTTTCCGACCAGAAAACGTCGGGTATTCCTAACCTTGAAGACCACTGGTCTTTAGCATTGGAATTTTCAAGTATCGGTTTCGATTTTGTGAAGCTAGTCTTGTGGTCAGAAATGCTTCTTATTAACCAGCAAGTAGAGATGAACCCACATCACATTCACTCCTTCGCGTAGGTTGTTCTGATCCAACAGTCAAAACCGAAAACACGAATTAGATCGCATGAGAGTACACCTACCGCAAACACAGCCGCGTCATCCAAATTGTTTCGTTTCTGCCATGATTTGGTTTTATCATCTGAAGTGCGTCAATACACTATTCATCGTCTTGAGTGATCTCTGACTGACCGAAGAAAACATGGGTCGAACCTGTAGTGTCAGTCATCTTTACAAATGCAGTCGAGGTATGTGATGGGAGAACGCATGATGAGTGGAGATGCGAGCGGTGTAAATATCTTGATTGAACTTCCGGGGCTTTGCCTGGATGCTCGAATTTGTCGGAGGATCACCAGTACGGGAAGTCGCATGCATGAGGCTTGCAGCTTCCGGCCCCAGCCACAGAATAGTAGCGTGTGCTGAGCCGAGAAAACAGTGATAAGATACGGTAGTCTGTTGATCGCGTTCGTAATTGATGAACCATCCGAGGGTTGTGTCCAAGGGTCGTGGAGTAGGTCGATGTCGAGATGAAAATGTGGTATATACGCGCAAAATATATATCTGGACAAGTTCCAGAGAGAAGACAAGAAACGCCAGATCCTTCATGCTTGAGTCTATAATCTAACTCTGTCCTTGAGGCTTCGAGACCTTCTTGACAGGATGCAACAACATACCAGGCAGACACATCTTGCCATTTCCTCCCACCATGCCAATCCCTCTGATATCTTTACCTTCTTCCTCGTCTTGCTTGCCACCCCAGTTGCCCAGACCGGTATCTTCAGCTTCCCAGCCCAACCAGCGCCAGAACAGCGTTTTCGGGAAGTCGGTCGAATAATACCAAGACCATGTCTTGAAGTTGACTTCGCGGTCGTGGGCGTACGCCGAGTCAAACTGTTGAGACCAGCGAGCAGGGATGCCAAAATCGGCGTTGAAAACAGCGTCTGCATACCACGCAGGCCAGTGGTGCGAAGACCAGATTGGGTGAGGTGCGTAGACGGCTTTCAAGCCGTGATGAAGAGCGACGGTCGCGGGCCACATTTCGGCTTGCATGGAGCGACCCTCGAGGTTTTCTGAGTGCATGGCGTGCAGCATTTTCTTGCTGAAGCGAGCTAGGGTATTAATGAAGACGCGTCTAGAAATCTTTTCAAAGCCTTCATGGTAGAAGCCTTCGGCTGCTCCGTTCTCGGCTGTAAAGATAGGACGCACGCCAGGAATGAAGTTCCAGATTTTGTGGCGGTAGGACCACTGGGTGTCGTTGGGGTCCCAGATTGGTTGAAGGGTGATCAAGTCAGCCTGTTCATCCACGCCCCAAGAGAAATTGTCGTCTTCTTGTTTGTGAGGTGGTGTTGGACCGAGAGGAATCTGCGTCGCAGCATATGGTTGAGCACCCCAAACAGGGGTCATAATGCCTCGCTCTGTTGCATTAATGATTGCTCCATCAGTATCCGCGAGGTAAGATTGAAAATCCCCGTGGGCTTCAGGAAGATAGAAACGAGCGTTTCTCTCCCAGAGATGCTTTCTCGGCATTTNTTGAGCAAAGTAGCTAACCTGCTCGAGGAAGTGATAAGGGTTTCCGGTGTATCTCGCATCTGTCTCCCAATTCCAGATGTAGTCGAACTCAGGATGAGTCTTGGAGAACCATTGCAGAGGCATGAATTGCATCCAGTAGACTTGCCAGTCGCCAACCTTGGGGTACCACTCTTCGCACACCTTTTCGGTCCAGAGGACGGAGATGTCGCGGAGTTCAGCAGGGACGACTTGGTGCAAGATACTGTTGTAAGTCTCTTCGTTGTCGTAGATGTCGGCATCACGTTGCTTGACGTTGACAAAGAGGTAGACTTGGTACTCTCCACCACTGAGAAGAGAGGTCTCGGTAACCAGGGATCGGATGGCTTGGAGATCGTTCTCGGTGTATGTGTATCCTTCCCAAGTGCGGATCAAGATAGCGGTGCGGTGGTGGGGCTTGGGACCGGTCGTAGATTGGGCCTTCTCGGAGGATTCCTCCTTGGGCATAGTCCTGCTCGGTCTGAGTTGCATCGACTTGCGCTGATGCTCGCCATATCTCTCCTTGTTCTTGCTCAAACAGTCGTTCTGGAGCTCGCCCCATTTGACCGTCTCCCACTCAGGGGCATTCTTGGAGGTGCTGTCGTAAGGAGCGTAGCGTGACTCGCGGTCAAAGCAAGAATGGATGTCGATGCCCAAATCGGAGCCAACACTGATGTTGGGAAAGTTTTGTGGGAGTTGTGACCAGGCCTTGACCAGGTCTTCCGGGCTCTTGTCTAGTGTTTGACCGCGAGGGCCATTGCAGGAAGCGTACTCGCCTGCCCATCGCTTCTTGTATTCGGACGAGTTATAGTCGGGGTAGGGGTTGTATACGGTAGCGTTGACGCCTATGTTCTGGAGCTGCTTGATGCCGTTGGACTTGTAGTAATCGACGTTNNCCTGTCACAGATTAGTTGAGGTGAAATTTGCGGACTGGCTGATTACGTACATGGGGAGACCCTCCCAGCGATTCGGATCATAGTCCTTGTCGACATAGTCGCCGTAGCCAGGCCAATGGTCACCCTTGTTCGGGCGGTCCCACTGGATGAATTCTTGGATCTTTGCTTGCAACTCCTTGTACGATGCATGTACGAAGGGTGTGATTTTGGCAGTCAAGGCCGTCTTTGAACCAGAGGCGCTGACAGATGTCGACGAAGACTTGGTAGACGAATGCGAGGACGAGGTGGGAATGCTTGTGACTTCGATCTTCTCTTCGTACTCTTCCTCCTTGGGTGGTGGAGGCGCCAATGGGCTGACCTTGTCCTGGTCGGGCTTGTACTCTTGCCAAAGGTCGCTCTGTGACGAGTCTTCCTTGAAGCTACTGCTGCCGGTTGATGTGTCTTGTGGGACTTTGCCGTTGGTGAATGATGGGAGGTCGTATTTAGGGAGATATTCGGAATATGTCGAATTGCGCACGAGTACGACAAGGGCAAGGAAGACGAGGACGGTCAGCAGTGCCAGCCGCCGAGGCGAGCCAANAGGTGAAAGCAGCATGTCTGCTGTGGGTTGCGAACAGAGGGGCCTGCTCTGCCTGGCGGTAGTTGGAATAAGGAGATGCTCAGTCGCGGACGAGCTGCCGACTATGTAGGTAGGTTACACGCGACGAGACGAGTTTCGTAAATTCATCAAGACCAGCTGCACGACTGTTGAACCATGAGATAAACCATCCCAGAATGTGCCGACACGTCGCCGCCCCCTTGTTACGTCTGCACGTTTACGCTTTACCTACATACATTTTTAACCTCTCTCCTGAATCAAAAATGTCCCGCTTGTTCACCAACGTTTCTTGCCAAGTCTCCACTCATCCCTCCCCTGTTGACCTTGGACACACATCTGATAGCAATTTCTTGCTGACCAGCAACTCCTACTATCTTTCTCGCAATCATTCTTCCTCCATTCTCTTGCTCCTAGCTCCCATCACCTGTCGCTGTTTTGCGTTGATAGACTTCCGGGTTGCTTGCCGCTGCCGTTTCAGAATACGCTCATCACGCCCATCATTTTTCCGCTTTCGACTCTCGAGGCTGTGCAATTCTCGAGTCTTGCCATTAATCCATGACTTGTCCGTTTCATCAGACCCTCTTCAGCAAGACCCTTCTTCAACAGACTGCTCTTGACGAGATAAGCGTTACATCCTTGGAGGATGAATGAAACGACTTCAGATCAACTCCAACAGTTCATCTCATGCTTCTCTCCATCTTTTGGGGTCATGACACTTTTCCCCACCTTGCCCACCTCTTTGACCCCAATTCATATAGCTATCGATAAGCACATGACATAAGTGCAGGGAACCATCTTACCACAGAACTAAGCACCCATACCATTTCTTTGATATCCTGAACAAAGTGATCTTCATATCCCAAAAGCTCAATCATGTCTTCCACTCTCTTTCCCGGTGTCGCTTTGATCACCGGCGCCTCCTCCGGTAAGCTCTACAACCCATGCATATCTACTTCCATCTCACCAACACCACATCCCTCANNAGGCATCGGCAAAGCAACAGCAACAGCATTTGCCCAAGAAGGCTGTCCCCGCATCGTCCTCGCCGACATCTCCGAAACCTCTTTGGACCAAACCCACTCTTCACTCACCAAAGCCTTTCCTTCTGTCCAGTTTCTCGCTGTCGTGACTGACATATCCTCTCCCTCTTCCGTCCGCGATCTGTTTCGTAAAACTCTAGACACATTCAAGAGGGTAGACTATGCAGTAAACTGTGCCGGTGTGCTAGGCTCTGCAAAGAAATCCCACGAAATGACTTTGGAGGAGTTTGATCATATTGTAAATGTAGATTACAGAGGGAGTTGGTTGTGTTCAAGGGAAGAGTTGAAGATTATGGTGAACCAAGAACCGCTTGAGAACAAAAATTCAAGGCAGGGAAACAGAGGCGTTATTGTCAATGTTGCTTCGCAGTTGGGTATTGTGGCTAGACCTCAAGCACGTAAGTTTACTGGTCTTCCTTTTTCTTTCCCTTCTCTCTTCACCAGAGCATCTTTGAGCAGGGATACTGACGGTGCTTCATANGCGGCATACTGTTCGGCAAAAGCTGCCATCATCGGACTGACCAAGTCAGATGCTTTGGACTATTCGGCTCACAACATCAGGGTTAATTGCGTGTGCCCTGGTGTCATTGAAACACCACTCATCAACGATGAGGTCAGGAAAGCCATATCTATTGCTCCCATGAACAGAGCAGGCACGCCAGAAGAGATAGCCGATTGCATTCTGTTCCTCTGCTCGCCCAAGTCTTCTTTTGTGCAGGGTGCTGCCTTGGTCGCTGACGGTGGTTACACTATAAACTAGAGCAAGGAATTTGAAAGGATATTTTTGTCATTTGTCATTTGTCGAGGTTGCAAGTCTATCTCGTGATCATCGAATGTTTGTTTGGTGAGCTGAGGCTTAGCCTCTCACCCATTCGACAACCCATGTCTCTGCTGTCTTTAGACCGCATGCAGCAAGTCCTTTATGCATCTCCGTCGTACACGTCCGTCAATGCTCCAGCTGAAAGAACTACCCCATTCTAAAGGATACGTCTAATTCCACTTTTGAACGACAACACCGCCACGCTTGAGCTCGGGCAGATCCTCGAGCTTGGCGCTCTTGTCTTCGAGATTCTTGTTGGGAAACGTAGTCATGAGGGTGAAAGCTCTGCTCTGGCTGGCGGTACTGCTGGCTGTGACGAAGTTGTAGATATCGCCAACCGTGTGGGTGGTGTTGAAGCGTGACACCAGGCGTGTGCCGTCACCAAGACGAATTTGAAGTTGCACGGCAGGCTGTGCCTCATCAATCTCGACCTTTGGTGCTGACGACGCAGGCGCTGAAGATGTGGAGGATGAAGCTGCAGCGGCAGGTGTGGTTGTAGAACCAGATGGACCAGGGGTAGGAGATCCCAGACGCTGACCAGAGCCACCAAAAGGCTTGTACTGCTTCTTGGGCTGAACGTACTTCTCATCCTTGTGAGGGTCGAGCTGGAGATCGACTTCCTGGCCTGGCTGAACACCAAGGAGGGCAAGCGGAGCACGGCCTTGGTTGATGAGGGCGAGGACAGGAGCATTCTGAGGATCGTCAAAGCGGTGCAACTCGCCGTCATCAATGCTGAAGCCGTCTTGCCAGAGATGAAGTGTGCGGCTCACACGAGGTAGCGAGGGTCTTGAAGGTGCGGCAGAAGCATTGGGGTCTTCGATAACACGCGAAGGAGCGTCGTCTCCTCCTAGGGTTTGGGCGCGGCCTTGGAAGGCGCTGGACTGAGNCGGGTGCTTGGTCTTCGTCGTCGTCGTCAGCGGGACGGTCGCGGTTCCTAGTCATGGATTAGCTTTGTTCAGAAGGTTTATGTCTCATACAACGCACTGTCTGGCTTGGTTCATGATGTTGCTGAAGTGGTCTTGGGGGCGCCTGTTAGGGTCCTGGACAGCTAGACCGGACTTCTCGCCTCCAGCGAAAAAGTCCTGCTGGGGATCGTGGTCGCTGTGGTCATCGTCGCCACGGTCCTCGTCGTTCTGAAGATCACGGAAGGTGCGCACCATGTTGGAACGGTTTGAGGGCGGAGGGCGGTTGGCCGACGATGAGGATTGGTTTGCGGCAGGGGTTAATGAAGGCAAGGATGGGGCGGCGGGTTCTTCTAGAGAAGCGTCGCTGTCTTCGGCAGGAGCGTCTTGAGAAGCGAAGTAGAGAGTGACGGCTTGTTCGATGTCCCAGTTGGATGCAGTGAGAGCGGTTTGTGCCTGTTCGGTAGTTTGTTAGATGGCGATGACTGAAAGGACAGAAAGGTGTCGAAGGTGCATAGAAGATGGTGACGGATGTGGGGTACTAAGAGTTCATTCCAGACTTACGGTTTCTGGCGATGCTCCTGTGATGCCACTGAACTGAGCAATGAGATCTTGTTGATTTGAATCCATGATGATTTCTGAGTCTACGAAAGAAAGCTCAGTGTCTGTTCTCGCAAATCTGTCTCTGAAAGGGTGCGGCGAAAAGACCGTCTACAAACAAACGCCTTGGCCGCACGTCATGCTCCAAACGGGTCTCCTCAGACATGTGCTTGATGGTCATAGCTTCAAAGACCCGCCTTTCACCATCGTGGATATCTCTCAGCACTCTTTCGACGTCCCATAAGTCATTCTGACTGGAATCAAAATCAGACATGTCTTTTGTCCGTACGAAAACAGCAGAGTCCGATTCGCTAGTCAGTTGTGACGGTGCCAGAACTACTAGATGGCATACCCCTCGCTCTGGAAATAGTGTCTTGGAGATCCAGACATATCCAGACTCATCCAAAATCACAAAGGCCCAACGAGAACAATTGGGTATACTAGCCCTTGGATTACCCTGTTCCTGCGACCAATATTGATGAATTTTAGCACCTCCCAAACATTGTAATTTCGACCCGAAGGTACAAATACCACGACTAGCGCTGGTGTTTTGTCTCAGTCTGCACGAAAGTCCCGTACGGTGTGTATCGAACCACCGTCCGGGACGGCGTTTCGCAGAGATGAGAGCGCACTCTACCAGCAAAGTCGTGGTGTTCTTGCCCATCCAACTTTGTAAGGTCATGCTAATCGTACCTTCGCTAGGGCATTGGTATCAAGAAGAGCACTTCACAGTTACACAAGGGTGCGTTGTCTTCTGATGTCTTGTATGCAAAATCTGACTTGCAACAGAACCTTCATCTTTACACTCAACGGCAAAGAGATCAAGATTTCTGCCACGGATCCCAACCCGCGTGTCTCCATAACACCCGGCGCTCCTCACACTTTCGTTCCAGACCCGGCTTACAAAGGTCCTTGTGTCATTGAGATCTCCGCCGAAACTTCACCTCTGTCATCAGAAACCACTGCCACCGATCTTGGTGTCAGCGAGCGTTTCTTCAGAAACTTGTACTCTTATCTCGAAGACTGCAGTCGTCAAAACGTTTCTCCAAGTCCTCCGCAACTTCTGTTATTCTTGGACTCGGCCGAAGTGAGTTTGGCTTGGGATGTAGGTCCGACATGGTTGATGCATTATCTGTCTTATGGTTTGGGAGTTGTGGTTGGCCGCTGGATCGGTGGAGGTCTATTGGGTTACAAAGGATCTTATCCTGAGTACTATAACCCTGAGCTTAACGAAACCAAGAAGGGAAAGTGAGGCAAAAGGCCCTCAAGTGATAGCCTGGGTTCCCTTTGAGCGACCCACCTCCATCTTGGCTGTACGAGCGCCAAACTGAATCTATGATCGTTGTCAGCATAGGTTGGTAAAGATGGCGACAAGTTTGCTTACTGCTCGCTTCTTTTCCGTAGCGACCTTTTNCATACCAAGTTTCCAGGCAAGGCATCGCAGTAATTTCTTCGCAGGTTCCAAAGAACCAGTCTCGCTATCCAAATTCTCCTTGTTCTCGCCGAATCCGCATCTCTCCCACACAGGAGCATTGACTGTCCATCTCACAAGATCCTCGTCCAAGAATGGAAATCTTGTCTCCCTTGCCCAATTGGACAGCACGCGATCATCACGACCAAGATTTCGTTTACCCAACCTGTCAACATCGAGATCAAGTTCATCCTTGAGTCCAGAGAGACCCTGGCGGCGAAACGCAGTATCATGTCGAGTGTAGCCACCGAACATTTCGTCGGCGCCCAAGCCAGACAGCAGCACTTTGGCTTCAGATGTGTAGTCTGTCAATTCTCCAGCTTTCGAATTCATCCGTCCCTCGCCTCGCGAAGTGAAATAAAGAGCAGAAGCGATGCTTAGATCCATCTCAGTGTTATGAGGATAGATTAAGCTAACAACCTCTGGTCTATGAGCAAGGAACTCTTTGTAAGGAATATCAATGGCGACAAAATTCCATGCACGGCCAGGACAGATCGCTTGGAGCTCAGCGAAAGAAGCACGTCCAGTGATTCGATCTGGGCAGAGTTCGTAGGGTGACCAGGGTTCGTCAGGATCTGCGTCTGCGGGTCGACGATGTACCCGAGGGTTCTCGAAGGCGACATTGAGGAGGTCGATTGGTTGTGTTGGATCGAGTATATCGTGTGAGAGTCGCGCCAGGAGAGTGCAATCTAGACCACCGGAAAAGAGAACAGCAAGACTCGCTGAAGGGTGTGATGGTAGGGAATATTGGTGGGCAGGAATGTTGGAGATGCGTAGATGCAGAGAGTCACGCAGCAAGGCTTCGACCTTCGCAACAGCAGGAGATGAAGAATTTAGCGGAGATGCAGGCAACTCGAGTGGTGAGTGTGTGGAGATGACAGTGTTTGGGGAGGAGGCGTAGGAAAGGCGTGTTGGAGTGCACTGCTCTTTCTTCTGAGCAGACACGTAGAAAGACTTGAGATTGAGCAAGTAAATACCATCAGCTTCTACTTCGTTCCAACCTTGTTCTTGAGAAGCAGAAATGGTAGAGAGAATGAAATTACCATTGTCATCAACACGGTGCATCAAGGAACGACGTCCAAGAGGATCTCTACCAAAGAACAAAGTGTCTGAGCGAGGGTCGTAGTAGGCAAAGGCATAGGGGCCAGTGATCAGATTCAAAGCATACTTCACGATTTTGGACGTGGAAGCAGGGGCATTAGAACCATCAGCTTTAAGCAGGCTTGAAATATTTGCAAAGACAACTTCTGAATCATTGCCTGAGATGGGAAAAGCATCATGCTTCCAAGCTTCACCATTCCAACAGAGGAAGGCGTCTGGGTAGTCTGCATGTTGTACAGGCTGGACAACGGTGTGACGACCTCTCAGAGCGAGGACGGTGCTGAAACAGGTCAAATAAACATTTTCAGACTTTTGCTCCAGCTCTCGGGAAGAGTCAGGACCTCGTTTCTCGAGGAGGCGGCGATGTCTTTCGTCAGGGCCTATGTGCCCGACAGCGCTGACAGAACAGAAGATGCCACACATGGTGCCCGGTAGCAAGCGGGCAGGATAAAAGAAGCGATGGTGAGTGGGAGATTGGCAGAAGGAAGGTGCCAAGGCGAGCGTCATGCTGCACGAGGGTCGCTCATGTGGCAGGAGCAAGAGCGCTGAGCCCCTCGCCATCGGCCTCCAGAAGCTCAAGGACTCGGACTTTTGAATCTGCAAGGAACATACCTAATATTTAATACTCGTCTCCTATCCTGGCCCCTTCCACGCCTTTCACACGCAGACCGTATCCGCCGAGCTTAACAAGGCTTGGACATAGCTGGGTGTTTATTGTATTCGTAAGCTGCCGACTTTTGAGAAGTTGGGCCTCCGTCAGCAGCACTGGAATGCAACTCGTAAATTAAGAAGACTACAACATGGAACAAGAGAAGGAGCAAAATGTCTTGATCGACCTCGGCATCCCTTCAGAAAATGCACAACCCACAACACAACCGACGGCGTCCTTGACAACAACAAACAACGACTTGGTGGAGAAGACGCAAGAGCTGGACTTGAACGAAAAACAACAAGAGCCAACACAACCACAACCCGCCAAAGAGAAAGAGAAGGAACGAGTGCGGTCGCCCACACCTCCTCCGCCGCCTCCAAAGGATGACAAGTTCCTGCGCCATCAATATGCCCAAGACGATGAGCTTGCCAACATCATGGACGAGATGGACGACGACGTGGCAGATCCAGCCTTGCAGAAGATCATGTCGCCCCGTCTCGACATGTCACAGCTGCCTATGCGCACCTCGAGTCTAGACCCCTCGCCCTCACCAAGCACAATGACCTCCCCAAAACTGCAGCGTACACAATCTCGCGACAGCTACATTTTCAGCCCCGCCGCTGCTCGTCCTGGCTCCATTTCCGGCGTTAGCATCCAGCAGCCCGACAGAACCGACTCTCCACGTCCTGCCTCGTCCATCTTCCAACCACCACCGCCCTCTCCCGATCCCGAGCCCGCTCTTCCTTTCGACTTCCACCGCTTCCTCGAACAACTCCGTCATCGCACAGCCGATCCCGTCGCCCGCTTCCTCAGATCCTTCCTTAATGAGTTCGGCAANAAGCAATGGGCCGTCCATGAGCAGGTCAAGATCATCTCCGACTTTCTCGAGTTCATTTCCAAGAAGATGGCTCAATGTGAGGTATGGAGGACCGTCAGCGATGCCGAATTCGACAATGCTAGGGAGGGTATGGAGAAGCTGGTCATGAACAGACTCTACTCGCAAACCTTTTCGCCTGCCATTCCCGCTCAAGAAGTCAGCTCTCCTACAAAGAAACGCTTCCGCCATCAAACACATTCACCGCACGGCCCAGGCAGGAGAGGCCAGCACCAAGAAGATGTCGAAAGAGACGAGGTCATTGCACAAAAGATAAGAATCTACGGCTGGATCCGAGAGGAACATCTTGACATTGCCCCCATCACCGACAAAGGCCGTCGCTTCCTCGTCCTTGCACAGCAGGAGTTGCTCAAGATCGGTTCATATCGCGCCCCACGCGACAAGGTCATCTGCATCCTCAACACATGCAAAGTCATCTTTGGTTACCTCAAGAACAACAAGAGCGATCAGTCCGCCGATGCATTCGTGCCCCTGCTCATCTATACCGTCCTCCGCGCGAATCCCGACCATCTCGTCAGCAATGTGCAATACATTTTGCGTTTCCGAAACCAGGATAAGCTTGGGGGTGAGGCCGGGTACTACATTTCCTCTTTGATGGGTGTTGTAACATTTATCGAGAACCTCGACCGAACCAATCTGACCATCACCGATGAGGAGTTCGAGAAGAACGTCGAGGCCGCTGTGAGTCAAATCGCCGAAGGTCACAAAGCAGATGAGTACGAAGCCTCGACCCATGACAAGGCCACCGCCAGCTCATCGCACTCCACACATCCTCACTTGAATGAGAAGAGCAGTTTAAGCAGGCCCGAAGTAAACACAAGAAATAGCACTGAAGGCGAGCGAACGCCATTGCACAGAGGAGGCAGCGTGCGGTCCAAAAACTCTGCTGGCGAGCCCGAAGACGAGAACGCGGCAGTCACAGGTCTCCTTCGCACAATCCAAAAACCGCTGTCCACCATAGGCCGCATGTTCAGCGACGAGAGCCAGCCTTCGTCTTCGTCTCCCCGACAACTCGCCACACCTCAACCTATCTCCACACCTAGATTATCTCCTGGTCTGCCAGCACTACCGCAACACCGTAAGAGTGCCGAAGATACTCGTAGATTACGCAGTCCAGAGCGAAGAGAAATGGACCGAGCAAGAAGCTTCGAGTCTAGTCGCGGCCGTAGCTCCCAGGACTCGGCCGCAAGACAGGCAAGCACTGATTTGGCAGAGGCTCAGCGGATACAAGCGCAGGAACACCAGGTTGTTGTTGAGTAAGTTCTATGAATTATTACCAACCACAAGGTCAATCTGCTAACACGATGACAGNNAACATTACAAGGCATGTTCCCAGGCTTGGACCGTGAGGTTATCAGTGATGTCGTGAGGATGAAGNNGGAAGGGCGGGTAGGGTCTGCTGTGGATGCGTGTCTTGCTCTCAATGGTTGAAGGCTCTTTGCTACCCAACATGAATACAAGCTACGGGGTTCGCCTCATACCGAAATTATTGGATATGCACCATGAAGTCTCGACAACACCTGCCGATCAGCTGAAGCTGTCCACCAGAGCTCGGTAGATTCTCTGACCCCGAGTTCCGACTGATCTCTACATGCAATTTTCACACTCTCTGGATTCTCGGACTGAATCCTCCATCACGTCTGTTTCCTCATGTAAACTTGATTTTCGCTCAAAACTGTCATCGCATGGTAGGCGAGATTCGAGAACAAACGAGCAGGGTTGTCCCGTCAGCAATATGAGGATGACGTCAATTTCGGTGCACTGAATCCATACCATGTTCTGAACTTCGAGAGATATAATCTCACACGATACCAGTCTGTTAGAACCTAACAGTTCCTGGAGATGGTTCAGGAAGTTTCAACACCACGAGCTTTGGCCATGAGTCCAAATGATTCATGCAATGAGAGACAGAGTGACTGAAACAAAAAAAAGGGAGTCGATACGTCATCAAGGTCAACAGAAGGACGGCGGTATGTTTCTTTCTCTTCTACATCTCTTGCCATTTTCCTATCCTACAAGCAGAATCAATACTCGAATTGAATATCTTGGAAAGACAGCACCTACCTTCCATCACAAATCCGCGATCATCACAAGCTCTCCCAAAATTCAAGACAAAATCCCATCATAAACATAACAACACAGACATGGCAACGATACCTTCCAGGACAATGGAGATATCAACCCGATCTGACAAGTCAACACCAATTTCCCTGCTCCAGAGGATAATCAAACCGTTCCGTCCTTACCTGATAAAGCCTAAGAAGGAGTTCCCAGCTGGATCACCATACCTCGACGTCCACAAGACAGCAAAGAAACGATGCAACATAACCGAACGACAAGCTGAGGGCATATGGCTCTACGACATGAAACCCAAAGTCCCATCATCGACAAAAGAAGGCAGCGTGACGAAGAGAAGGAGCATAATATACTTCGCAGGCGGAGGTTGGCAGATGCCACCAAGCCCCGAGCACTGGAAACTCTGCGCAGAGCTCTGCCATCGGATACCTAACACAGTTGTGACGATTGTGTCCTACCCTCTGGCTCCAAACTCACCAGCAAAGGACTCAATGCCCATGCTAGAAAGATTATACCCTCACCTCTTCCCGATCACCGAGGCGGAAAAGGAAACCACAGAAGTCATTTTTGCTGGCGACTCTGCAGGAGGAAATGTAGCCTTAGGGTTAGTGGTCAAGATTCTGTCATCTACACCCTCAGCACCAGTTCCTCGAAAGCTGGTCTTGGTCTCTCCAGCAGTGGATTTGAGAAAACAGCCTGTGGCTTCGTCACCATTTGAGAAGGATTTGCTAGCGGCAGACAAGAAGGATCCGCTCTTGGGCATCAAGTTCACGAATGGTACGGCCGAAAACTGGAGTCGTGGGGCTGATGCTGAAGCGCCTTGGATTTCACCTGTTCTGGCAGATGTGAATATGTTCAGGGAGAGAGGAGTTGTGATTTATGGTGTTACTGCAGGTGCGGATGTGTTAGCACCACCTGCGAGGTGTTTTGCGGAGCTTTGTAAGGAACAGGGCGTTGCGGGTCGATGGCTGCATTGGGAGGGTCTGATGCATTGTTTTGTTCTAGCATGGTGCTATGGAATCAAGGAGGGCAAGGAAGGATTGGACTGGATGATTAAAGTTATGGAAGAATAATCAATTATCGGTGAGACAAAATTGATTTATGGTATGCAAAGCATTGGCTCTTGGGGACAGAAACATAATTGTTGGTAATTGATCTCGATTGTCTGATCGTTGTTTCCTCTATTCTGTTGCATTATGGTTGTTGAACAGACTGGCTTCAGACGCCCTTTCCTGATAGCCGGCCTGATCTTCTTCTTGTTCCTTCTTCGTCAACAGCTTTCTCGGTTTTGACTTCCTTCTTCTCGGTCTTGGGTTTCGTGGGTTTGTTACCATTTGCCTGACTTGCTTTAGTTTGTCTTTTCTTCGTCGGCTTGACCTCTTCTTCGTCCTTGACAGCCGTATCTGATTCTTCATCCTCAGGCTCTACCTTGCGCTTCGTTGTTCGCGTACGCTTAGGCTTAGAATCTGCTTCGACTTCCCCGTCTTTGCTGGCAGCCTCTGCCTTCTTCGCCTTTGTTTTTGTTGCCTTTGTCTTCTTCGGAGTCGCTTCTTCTTGCGAGTCTGCTGCGTCCTCTGACACCTCATCCGCAGACCCCACGTCACCAGCCACTTTTCCAGTCTTCTTCTGCAACCTCGGTACAATCGCCGAAGTCCTGCCACCGACCTTCAGATGCACAATCTTGTCGCCATTAGGTAACACGTTCTTATCCTTTTACCCTTATCCCAGCGATACCTCATCAACCAAGTCTCTGGGAACTGACTGCTGTCTGCTAATACACCAACCGCAGTGCCACAGACATCCATCATTGCTTTGTGCAATGCTGTGATCTGGGCAGAGGAGAAGGTATAGCTGTATTGTTCGGGGTGGATCCTGGCCTGATACAAGATCTCATCGGCAACCCAGTTGCCTATACCGGAGATGTTGGCTTGATCAAGCATCAATGCTTTGACAGGCACCTTCTTGCTCTTCAACTTTTTCTCCAGCCAGGCTTCCGTTAAAATATCCTTGTCGATCACGGGATCAGGTCCGTTTTCCTTTAGCGGTGTAGTATTGCGTAACTCCTGTGCTTCGGCTTCCACAAGTCTGATACGAGCCAATCTTCTCGGATCGACAAACGCAATCTCATTACTGTCATTCTCCAGCTGCAGGATGAACTTCCAGAACCTTGGTGGCCATTCTTGAGGTTTATTTTCATCCTCTGGTTTGCGATAATAATGGCTCGTCTCGTCGTTTTTGAACTTGATCCAGCCAGTCATGCCCAAATGCATCACAGGATGCACTTTTCCTTCCATTTCCAGCCAGAAGTACTTGCCCTGCTGCTTTGCGTCCAGAATCTTCTTGCCGGTCATTGCTTTTTGGAAGGCTGTTGCTGAGGTTCCGACTTTGCCGTATACGATGTTGTCTTCTTGAACTTGGACGGCAGAGATGACTTTGTTGGCGCAGTGCTTGCGCAGAAAGTGCACTATACGCGCTACTTCACCGATCTGGGACGCGTTAGCTCTTGAGTGGGTTGTTACTATGATGAGAGAGACGTACCTCAGGCATGGTGGCTGACTTTACGACGGCCCTTGTTAGAAATTTTAGTGAAAGATAGGAGAGAGCAAAAATTGTATGTGAGAAGAATGTCGAGGTGTTTGAAATGGCGATGCGCGTGGTTGATTAGATGACGTAGTGATTTTGGCCGTGGAAGGGGTCACCCTGCTCTTTTGGACTGTCCATTCATATCGTCTTCCCAAAGTATTACTTGATTAGCTGCAGAGATCTCAGGATGCATTTAAGCGAGAGTCGAATCTGGGTCTACTTAAAGCTTGTCTTTTCTTGGTCATACTTCAGTATGGGTCTCTGCACCTTTTCGCTCTCATCGTTCACATGCATCTCTAGTGTTGGAGAACGTGAAGTGGTCATCTGTATCGTCGACTAGACCTTTAACGTAGTATCATGATCAAATTCAAGTATGACCCAAGAAATAGACTTTTGCAACTAGTGATTCCAAAACCTCAAACAACAAATCACAGCTCATCCTTGACGACCTCTTGCTTCGTTCTTGCCAACTCCATCAAGCCCCTTCTGACCATAGAAGTCACAACCTCATAGACAACCTGAGCTGCCGCAAGTGCTGTAGTTTCTGCCTGAGAATCGTACGCTGGAGATACTTCCACAACATCTGCACCAACAACATTGAGTCCTTCGATACCTCTCAGGATGCGAATCAACTCTCTTGTAGTCCAACCGCCGGGCTCAGGAGTACCAGTACCAGGAGCAAGACCAGGATCAATAACATCGATATCGATGGAGAGATACACAGGATAGTCTGCAGGAACTGTAGACAAGATCTTCGAGATGACTCCCTTGGTGCCGATATCGTCAATATCGTCTGCCGAGATGCGGACGAAACCTTGCTCTGAGTCGTTTGTGTAGTCGTCTTCGTCGGACAGTCTAGTGCGGAGACCAGCATGGATGGATGAGCCGTTTGCGATTAAGCCTTCTGTTGCAGCCATCCAGAACATGTTTCCATGGGTGAAGAAGGATTGAGTCGATGGGTCATCGAGGTCGAGCCAGTAAGAAGGGTACTTGGATGGGTGCCAGGTGTCCAAATGGGCATCGAAGTGCACTACTGCAACAGGCTTGCCGTACTTCTTGTTCAGAGCTCTCAATGCTGGAAGAGCGATGCTGTGATCGCCGCCCAGAGTGACAATCTTTGCTGTTTGCAAATAGGTCGCAGCCGAGTCTGCATTTGCAGGAACGGCTTGTCTGGTCGCAAGCTCGTTGTAGCCTTCACTCATCTGGCGCAATGCTAATCCATTGTCGAAAGGTGTGATGGGGATATCACCACAATCGACCACATTGGCCCAGGAAGTGTACGGGTTCAGACTTGCCCTCGGGTTGTATCCACGCAGAGCAGTCTGTCTCGCTGAGGCCGCACGAATGGCACGAGGACCAAAGCGAGCACCAGGTCTATAAGAAACAGCAGTATCGAATGGCGCTCCGATGATACCGATATCAAATGGTGTTTGCGGATGCGTCAAGCATTTGTGATGAGGCAGATGCGCAAAGGTGCTGATGCCACCGAAACCAAAGTCAGTACCCCATTTGTCCTGAAGCTCCTTGAGTTCAGCGGGAGTAAAGTCCCGTTGGGCGTGGTGATGGTGGTCGCCATGTGCTGAGATCAATGGGGTTGTGGCTGCCAGGAGCAGCGAGGCTGCTGCTACAGTACGCATGATGTGGACGATGGAGCAGAGACACAAAACTTAGAAAGCAAAAACATGGCAGAGGTCGCTGGAGCTACTTATACTCGATATCGCCGTGATTGCAGGTTGTACTTGCTTCTTTTGGTATCTCTTCAACCTGCCTAGTTGGGAAGATGTGGAGCGGACAGCTCATATCTGCACAAATTCTGGTGCGATAATGTTAATTTATGCACAATGCTTATGCATTCTATCATGCTGCTTCTTTCTATGCTAATTTCTTCTCTTCCCATATCATTCAACTCATAACAATCATCAACCATGCATCTGGCGACTCGTATCAGAAAATTGCCATATCGGCTTTACAATCCAGCGACTTTCTTGAACCACCCCTGGGTACGTCTAGCAATCTCTTCTTTGACTCCTCCTCTTGTTTCACCCCCAACGACTCTTCCATCCCATGTCCTCTGCGTCTCAAAATCGTCATACCCAAGACTGTTGTGGGCTTTGTTGCTTCCCCTATCCCTTCGGGTTTCACCATCGCGATCGCGGAAGGCAAGCTCCTCTTCACGTCGACGCAGTTCCTTGCGTTTGCGTCTTTTACGATCTTCCTCTGTTTCCACTCCCCGTGATTCGCGATCCCGGCGATGACGACGGCGAAGCTCACGCGCCGTGCTTTCATCATCGTGTATGTCAGCATCATCGACAGCTGGATCGGTAGGAGGGAGATCCAGTATTGTAGGTTGGAGAGGTGGAGGTAACGGAGGTGAAGAAGTTACACTGTGGACCCAAGAGGATGTTTTGTCTTTGGGAGGACTGCGAGGGTCTCGACCATTGGCATCGCGGCCGGGTGCGCGCGCATCGAAGTAGGACTGTACAGGTGCTGTAGAAGAGCGGTGCAGGCGCGGTTTGCGATCCGCATCAATAGCGCTGGAGCGGCGTGAGGCATGTCGTTCTGCCCGTCGTTGACGTCTCTGTTGATCTTCCAAACCCTGTCTATCGCGTTCGGCTTCTTCGCGTTCTCTATGTCTCGAAGCCTTTTCCCGTGCACGTAGGTCTTCTTCCGCCGCTTCCAGTGCCGCACGCTTGGCTCTACGCTCTGCACGCCTGCGTTCGCGATCTTCAGATTCAGTGTTGTCTGCTGGCGGCGTTGGTGCGTGTTCGTCTAATGGAGTAGATGGAACGTCTTCAGGTCGACGAACACGCCTGTGCTCGCGGCGGAGATGGCGCTTGGAGTCGTCATCCTCGTCGCGGTGTGAAGAGTGTGGTGTGCGGTGTCTGCGATGACGTGCGGAATTATCCTCGCTGTCATATGCCTGACTACTACGGTGACGACGTGAGAAGTCCTCTGCGGGTTTTGATTTAAGGGAGTCGATGATGTTGCTGAAGAGACCGCCTGCTGGCTTTCTGGCGCTAGTCGTCGCTGAGCGTTTGAGCATTGGTCGAGATGGAGCCACAAACGGTGTGTCTTCTGGCGCTGTTATTGGATCTGCTCCATCGCCGACTGCAGGACCTAAGCCGCCAGACATCATCGCCGAATCGCGCTTGTCGTGTTTATGGTCACTTCGGCTGGATCTCCTCGTGCGATGGCTGCTGGACCTGTCCACAGACGCAGAGTGAGTCGCATCGTCGGGTGTGTTGTCGAGGTCAATGGCGTAGGGGTCCGGGACAGTACGCGACTTGCGCTTTTCGCGTGTAGATTGACTACGACTTAGTGATGGTCGAGGACCAAGTCCCATCAACTTTGCTGCTTTACTCGCGATGTCGCCGGGTGGGGAAGACACATCGAAAGAACGGCGTGACTCTCTGACCTGAGCGGGTCGCTGCGCAGAACTTGATTGTCGCATCGAGCGTGATCTCGTAGGTGTAGGGCCGAATATACTGAATCCCATGCCTTTAGCTGGAGTCGCAGGATCCTTGATGTTTTTTCTTGATTGTTTGTCGTCACTGGAAGTCTTGTCGACTTTTTCCAAGAAATCGCGTTCGTTAGGCTTGCGTGCTGATTTTGACCGTGTGAGTCCTGGAGCAGCAGATCGCTTGACGGCAGGAGTTGTCGTATCTTTGCTGGGCCTGCGTTCCTTCTTTGATTCTGCTTTGGGCGTTGTCCCCCACAGACCCCAGTGTGAACTACCCGTCGGGTCGCGAACAACCTTTGGTCGTTCCTTCTTGACAGACTTACTCTCGGCAGCAGGTGTACTTGGTACGGAAAGATCAACAATCGCCGGGCGCGAGGATTTTGTAGATTTCTTGACTTCCTNTTTAGCAGAAGCCCCTTTGTCCTTGACCAGCTTCTTGTCTGAGGAAGGCTTGGGTATTATTACCTCATGTGGTTTGACCGCATCAATTGGAGGTGGCTCGACAGGTGCATCGACCGAGGTGTCAGCGACAATGGCTGGTGGTACAACAGGTACATGAGCCAACACATCAACTTNCGACGTCATCCTCAGGAAAGCCACCCGGAATCGGGCTCAGAGAAGGAGGCACCTCGACAACAGGAGGCGGAATCTCGATGGCAGCTGGCGGAGGTGGAGGTGGAGGTGATGGCTCTTTCTCCTTGCCTTTTTCTTCTTCTTGTCCTTTGATGATTTCTTGGCTGGTGCTTCTTCGACCATGGGTGGTTCAGGCACGACGATGACCTCAGGTTCCATGACAACCTCGGGCTCTGGAAGTGGCTCAGGTGCAGGAGAGGGAGGTGGTACAACGACCACTTGATCCTTGGTGTTCTCGCCTTGCAAACGCTTGATTCTATCCTTGACGGACTCCTTGGCACCGGTATCGACCTTGCCTTTAGAAACGATGGGTTCCTCCACGGTCTTGCTAACGGCGGTTGGCTTCAGGAACGTACCCCAGTAACCTGTAGAAATAGGCTCCTCGACCACAGGTCCAGGCTCGGGGAGCAAATCGACCGGCTCGCTGGCGAGAGCTGCTGCGAATGCTGCTTCTTCATCCGCTTTGCGCTGTTCTTCTGCTTCCCGTTCCTGACGATCCTTTTCCTCCTTCTCCTTCTTTTCTCTCTCCTTCTCCTTCTCTTTCTCCTTGTCTTTGTCCTTGGAAGAAGACTTCGACTTGCTCGAACTACCCCACAGACTGCTACNCCCAGCCAGAAGAGGTCTTGACTTCTTTCTTCTTGACCTCTTTGACAGGCTCTTCGGCAGGTGGAGACTCAAGCACAACAATGGGTTCAGACTCGATTTCAGGCTCTTGTAAATCAACAAGTTGTTCAGGTTCGGGAGGCGGAGGCGGTACTTCAACAACCGGCTGCGGTTCTTCGATGCTCGAGCTTTTCTTTTCTTGTCTTTCTTACTCTTCCTGGTTGAGAACGAAGCCCAAGGGTCATCGGCTGGAGGTTCAACAGGAGCTTGAACTTCAGGTGGAGGGGCAGGTACTTCCACTACAGGCTCAATCACTTCGACGGGTGGTGGCTCAATTGCCGGCAACGGAGGTGGAGGAATATCATCAATCTTCTTACCTTTCTTCTTCTCCTTCTTGCCGACACTCCACCCAGCCCATGCATCTTCTTCAGCAGGTGCAGGGTCGGGTTGCTGAACAGGAACATCGTATACAGGCTCCACAATCTCGACAGGCATGTTTTTACTCCCCTTCTTCTTTGACTTCTTTCCAGTAGCCCAACCTGCCCAGTCATCTTCTTCTGCTTTTGGCTCGTCGATAGCTTCGGGGACCATGACGACTGGATCTTCAAGCACAGGCTCGGGTTCGGGAGACTTGCTCTTTTCTTGTCTTTCTTCGAGGATGAACCCCAGCCAAATGACCATGAACTACTGCTCTCCTCGACAGCAGGCTTGGGCGCAGCGGGCGGAGGTGGGGGTACCTCTGGTGGAACCTCCTCAGCGTCTTTCTTGCCTTTCTTCTTGCCCGCAGTGCCCCAGCCAAACCAGTCGTCTTGTGGGGGCTCTGGAATAGCNAAGGGCGGTGGACTCGTCAGGAGCAGCTTGTGCTTCTTCGACCGGAGGAGGTTCTAGCGCAGCAGGAGGGTCGGGTTCCGACCAGTCAAAAGCGCTCTNTTTAGCTGCCTTCTTTGCCTTCTTTTTGTCCTTTGCGCTCATTCCCCAGGAAAAATCATCCACTGGAGCTGGTTCGGACTCGGCAGGAGAGGCTTCAGGCTCGGGCGGTGATTCTTCGACAACAACGATAGGTTCTGGCTCGGGCTCAGCAAGGACAGCGGCTTGGGCGGCGGCTTTGGCGGCCTTCTTCGCCTTCTTCTTGTCTTTGGCACTCATGCCCCAAGAGAAGTCGTCAGCAGGATCATCTGGACTTTGCACGGCGATGGCCTCCGGCTCGGGCTCAGGAGACGCAAGTGGAGGTTCTTCAACAGCACCACCTTTGTTCTTCTTCTTTTCCGAACCAAAAGCAGCCCAAGGATTGTCGTCCGCCTTTGGCTCTTCCTCTGCCGGTTGGGGCGCGGATTCTCCAGGCATCGCTCCATCGTCCGCATCTTCGAAACCGAAATTGAAAGCATTCGTTTTCTTCTTCTTGTCCTTCTTGCTGCCGCCAAAGGTAGCCCATCCGTCGTCCCCTGCCGGTTTGGTTCCCCAAGCCCCATTACTGCCGAAGCTGAAACTATTGCTATTGCCAAAGTCGACATNCAACCTTTGGCGGTTCGTCGTCGGGCTTGGGGTCATCAGGTGGAGGTTCAGGGTCGGCATTTTGCCCTTCTTTTTCTTCTTCTTGCTGGAGGCGGTTGTGAAGCCCCAATCGTCTTCTTCTGCAGGGGCTTCCTCGACAGGAGGTGGATCGTCCGTCTTCTCTTCCCTCGTCCTTGTTGTCCTCATCTTCTAGAGCGTCCCAGCTGAAAGCGCTTTTCTTCTTGTCTTTTTGCCCTTCTTCTTACCGTCGTCCCAGTCATCATCATCGTTGCCTTCACCTCCCTCTCCGCCAGCACCATCTGCCCCTCCACTACCACCAGCATCGTTTGGCTGGTCACCGTTGTTGTCGCCATCAGGCTTCTTCTCTTCTTCATTGTCGCTGTCCCACTTGTTCTTGGCTGCTGCACCTTTTTTCTTCTTCTTGTGCTCGCGCAAGTTCTCGCGGTATCCGAAGTCGACCTTCGGATCAGTCGGGCAGGGTGACTCTTTNNTGCGTTCTCGAGAAGGGCATTTTGGAGTAGAAGATGATGGTGCATAAGCAGGCGGATCGAGATTCAACGTCGCAAGAGCATCGCTATTCGTATAGTCTGGTGGGCAATCATTTATGCAGTCGTTGTAAGTAGGAAGTGCTTCTTCGAGATCGAGGGATGGTAGAGCTGATAGTCTTACGATCTTCGTAAACGTTTCATCGTGATAGTCGTGATTGTCGTGATATGCATGGCCAACGCATTTCTGCAGCAGTCGTGGCATCGACTCGCTGGTTGGCGGAATCAAGAAGTGCAGAAGACGCGCCGACAACGCGCGCGCGACAGGAACCGCCATTTCGTTGCAATTCACTGCATCAGATCCTCTTTGATCTGTAAAAGGTCCAAGTAAGAGCAGAAGCGATTCGTGTTCNNCAGGTCCAGATTCTGAGTACGTTCTGAAGTGTAGAGGGACGGTGTTGAGTAAGTTACCTCGCACCTCCAAGCAGGGAAATAATTGCGGCGGCTGGGAAGGTGCAATCAAAGGACACCAAGTCAATCAGGGAAGCTGATGATTCGCTGCGAATCGAGCAGCAGTCACAAGACTATATCAAGATGTGATGCACGCCTTCCAAGACCTTTGTATCTCCCCCTCTTGATATGCAGTACGCTAGGTCAAAGAGGCAGCAAGGGTTCTGTTCAGATTCCCCCTGCCGTCGACTTGCTCAAGGTATCAGCAGAAGGGAGAGACGCCTTACCAGAGCGTGTCGAATGCCACACTTGTACCTACTTTGATCGATCACATCTAGCCGGGGATACTCGTTCGTATAGGACAACACGCCATAGCTGCCGCTCGCCCCGCTGCATGAAGAGGGGCAAAATGCAATCAACTTGTCGTGAATCGCCAGAGCCGACCCAGGGGACTGACCGCCAATTCAGCAAAGAGAGAGGGTGTGGGGCTTCTCCGTCCTCGCCGAAAACACCCCCAGAGCGGGTGTCACTTTGCATAGCGGCCGTCACGACAGCAGCTTCTCTAGCCGACCACTTCTTTGTCCAGATGCTTCTGTTCTTGCAAGACACTACCGCGCAACATTTTTGAGCCTCAGAAGCCAAACAATGAGAGGGCTGACGGGATCACTGCAGGGCGATACGAAGAAGTATGCGCATGAGCGAGACCCTGCATGCATATGTATATCGACATCTCTGAAGCCTAGACGGTTACACATGGCGGTGTGCAAAATCGCAGACAGAGCGAGATGCTGTCACAACTCCTGTCGCTATCACGCATATACTTGCTTGCATCGGCTCTCAACAGTGAAAGAGCATACCTCATTTGTGTAACTACTCGGCTTTCTACAGTGATACTAACAACGAGGCCCCTCAATAATGCAGGGCATCGAACGCATTGTTGGGAATATTTGATATGTCTCATATTCATCGTCATCATTGTCTGTTTCCTAGTTTATGTACCCCATGTCCGTTTGTCGTATACCGTTGTTGTTTCGTGGTCTTCATGATAGGGTTCTTGATCGTCGGGCGAGCTTTGAGGGATAGCTTAACCGTGAGTGACCTTGTGCACGGTACCGTCATCGCCAACATGGATGTTGANGGCTATGTCTTTGTCAGTCCTTTTGCATCACTCATGCATCCTTTCCTTATGCTCTCACCGATCGGGGTTGTGGTCCATGGTCATCATCGAGTCACCCTGGACAACGCGGTGTTGCTGGGGAAGATCCTTCTTTGCGAATGTNNCTGTACTGTTGCGTCAGAGACTACTTCTCAGATTGTCATAGGCATAAAGGCTGACGCATACCATGTTGTCATTGCTATCGCCGAGCTTCTTGCCCATGAGCTGTTCCATCCACTTGGAGGTCTTGTCGTCGCCGCCGCTGGACTGCATTCCGGGAACTACGAGAGGCATGGTTGAATATGTGATTGGTATGTCGTGATTTGGTGCAGGTTTATTGGATGTCTAGGTCAGAGAGTTGTGAGAGCTTTATGAAGTTTGTGAGTGAGGAGGGGCAGGAAGCCACAAAGATGTTGCCTTGGATTCCTGCCACCAAAACGGCTGGCCCTATGACGTCGGTCTCGACAACACAAGAAGGCTGGAGATAGGCCGATTGAATGTTGATCCCATGACCTTTTACGTCTGAACTTCGATGTTCGGCAGTTGCTTTATCATGTCGACTACGCCTTTGTTTATGTACAGTCATACAGTCAGAGGTAGACCAGGAAACGTGATGAATATGAGGTTTTCCTTCTCAGACGTCCCCAATTATCTATCACTTTTTGAGTAAATATTCCTTGCTGACCAACGTCTGCAGAACACCATAAACACCAGAGATCGGCCAGATAGACCATAACTTCTGAGTAGCCCGCTCTCCCCATCCCTGTGGGGTTTCACCAATACTATTTATGCAAGCCTTGTCGAAAGCACTGGGCAAATGCTCAGCCTTGTACTTGCTTCTCAAACCTCGATATGACTTCTCATCGTAGATATCCCAAAACTCTGACTCTGAGTAATATGCTTGAGCATATAGCCATTTTCTACCTCCGTGCTGTCTCACAAGACTCTCGAGCTGGCGATTACGCTGAATCACTTCTGACGGACTGTTTGCTCCATTCGGACCCCAGACACCGACATTGATGAGAAGGTCAGTCTCGATGGCGTGTGGATGGAAGGAGGATTGTTGTGTCCATGATTTCATTGGGCATAGCCAAAGCGGGTAGAACCCGAACGTCTGGTCGACTGCAACGATAAAGTCCTTGACGCTGGAAGCAGGGATGGCCAGGTCTTGAATGATGTATTGCTGCATGTGTCCGCTAGCATGCAAAGCATGATACATTGTGCTTGTTTGCATAAAGTCGTCCAGAGCCCATCGAGTTATGCGGTTGAAGGGAACCATGAAGTAATTAAAGGCATACTTGCCCATCCAGAAAGCACCACGATCATAACGGAAGAGATAGTCCGCTAGAGGCACAGCTTCCGTAACTGGACCGCCAGCTCTCTGTGTTGTCCTATCCGTATGCATGTAGAACCAAGGATCACGAGGTCCTTGGAATCTCTGTATGCGTGTTTCACGGGATACAGAAGAGGTAAGGTGGCCGGTGACGACTATACCTCGATGTAGAGAAACAAGAAATCCATCAACATAGTCGTTTGCGGGGTCCCTGCTAGCAGTCTCTACCTTGTTCAGGGTTTCTTCCAATGATACGCATGGGGTATATGTGGTTTCAACATATCTTGCTGCATCAACGAGTTGAATTTCCATCAAGGTCGTCACGCCCAACGTACCCAATGAGCTGGTCGAACCATAGAAAAGGTCAGCTTTCAATTCAGGAGAAGCTTTCATGATCTCTCCATCGGCCAGCACAATCTCAATCCAATTGACAGTACAATCGAACGAGCCATGCTTAAAGCTTGAACTCTCGCCTCCGGTCCCGCTAAATCCTCCGCCAGCAGTGATACCCTTAAATTCCATAACCACAGGTGGTACTAGACCAAGGGGCAGTGTTGCTTCAACCAGTTTGTCCATCGGCACATTGGGTTCTACCAATGCGGTTTTCGTTGACTTGTTCACAGAAAGAACATGATTTAGTGAGCTAGTATCAATCATTCTGTTCTGATCGACTGAATACTTTCTCGTCGAGTTGGTAGAGCCATGAAAGATTCGAAATCTCTCTTTCCGTGAGTACAGATCCTTCAGACGGGCTGATATATGTTTGACGGTCTCATTGTGGTTGTCCATGGCGTTCACTGCTGGTGGGGTGTTTCCTCCAGAACCGGGTATGTTATTCTTTGACAACAACAATCAGTGTTTTTATCCAGTGGTACGTAGGAAACAACTCGATCACGACCAGTGTAGAAGCTACCTGAGGTAACGAAGTGTATGTGACGATTAAGAGCAAGTTGGTCGCTCCTTCCGCAGACATCCGCCAAGCCCACTTCCGAGCAACCATTTTTTCTCCATACCTCAACGTCCTCCATCAAGCAACGTGCAGCTGAACCAAAACAATCACTTCGATATGGACGCTGAACAGGAGCGTCCGGCCAAGCGTCAGCGTATTGGAAAAGCATGCAAATCATGTCGCACATCCAAAGCACGGTGCGAAGTGCAGCAGAACGCTGACGCATGCCACCGATGTCAAGTACTCGAGTTCGTTTCCACGAGACCGTCATGACATATCTCCTAACATCTATTCGACTCAAGTCTCGAATGTGAATTGCCAAAGCGTAGCTCAAATCGCATCTCGGTGCCAGCTCCTTCTGACTCAGCCAACGACAATGATGTTGAAACCCGGCTCAAACGCGTCGAACAGATGATTGCCAAGTTGTCTGAAGCGGTCTTTCCTCACTCCGAGTCCACCTTGAACCGAGCCGGCGGTAATTCGAACAGTCCTGATGCTCCTGCAGAAGGACATAACCCGGACATAGTGATCGCACACAACTACCCCAAACCAGTCGAAATTCTCCAAGACCTGCAATCCGAGTTGTATGCTCAGTCAAACCAAGTCTCTTCAGAAGAGACCAATCATCTTGATGTGGTCTCTGTAGGTCTGTTGTCTTTCGAGACTGCAGTCCAGCTCCTTCGAACGTGAGTACCACAACAGAATTTCTGCCTCAGGAGGCATCTGCGGCAGAGTTAACCACCGGACAGGTCGATCGACAGGTACAGCAAGTGGATTCCTCTAGCTGATGTTGTCAAGTTTGTCAGCAACGTGTCGCGGGATTTCTCTCGGAGCTCACCCTTGTTGATGAATGTACTCTGCTTACTGGCAACTCGTTACCACCCTGAGATCCCTTCGCAGACAATACAGGACATCTACAAACACGTCAAGCGCCTTGTTGCGGATGCAGTCATCGAGACACCCCCAGTCGCAAGTAGTGTCGTGCAATCATTGACCTTGCTTTGCCTCTTCAGCCCTGCTGTACAAACCGACAAGCCTCTGGACAGTTGGCATCTGAGTGCTAGTACCGCGAACCATGCAGTCGTCGCATTTGGACCGAGCAACGTCAAGCAACCAGGTGCAATCGAAGAACGTACTGTCGAGCAGTTGCGCGTGTGGAGTAGCCTGTGTCTTACTCATTTACAATACTCAATTGGCAGTGGCCGACCTCTCAGCATTTCGGTTCGACTCATGGATGGTTGTCGCCGTCTACTGGAACAACCCACGATCATGCCATTCGACACGCCATTGATAGCCGAACTGCAGTTCTACATCTGTCTCCACACAACTCTACAAAATCCCACAGCGACCCCAGAATCTGCTTTCACTCCTTGGGACTTTGCATGGAGCCGCTTTCTTGCCAGCTCGGGGCCACCGAGAACCCTCGAGTTGTCCCACTGGTTTGGGCACTTGCTGCTGCACCGTCGCAATGCTTCTTCTCAGCAAGGCTTGTCACCTCAAGTTATGCACGAGAAGAATATACCTGCTTGGCGAGAAAGTGCAAACATTGTCTCTCAGTTCGTGCGCCACTCTTCAGACCAGGCGCCTGACCTACCCGATTTCGCTTTCTTTATTGCATCATACGCAGCGCTAGTCCTCTGTGAAAGCGCGATCGATCATCACCTGGTCGAGAACTTGCGGGCGTATCTCTTCAAGGTTGCATGCGGCGAATCGCACATTGCATTCAAGCATGGATACATCATACAACGCGCACTGGAAAGATCGAGGCACGCAGAATCAAATGGAGAAGATAGCACAAGTGCTGGTGCTGACATTTTGCCCCAAATCCACACTGCCGGAACGCCTTTGCCGTCTCAAGCTATGGGCATGGGAGACTTTGATGCCTTGGTTGGCTTTGACATTTTCGGCGAATATTTCACTGTTGAGAGTCTGCTGTGATTGCTAATGATTTGCCATGGACGTCTCGAGTCAAGTATCCAAACGCTTTCTAACAATGGGTTTGTCGAATGCGTAAATGACGAACGACAATCGGTAAGTTGTTAGTTTTCCTTCCCGCTTCTACACATACAATACGGCCATGAAGACACAACAGACAACAGATACTTATGAGTCCCAAAAAATCCTGCTTTCTTGACCCTCTACCCTCCCAGAGTCTACGGGTAAGGAGTAAGGAGGGATATGATTGCAACAAAAGGCAAATCTGAGCCCTGAACCACCACTTTGCATCAGCAGGATAAAGAAACTTTTGATCTCAGTGCTGACTACTATATATAGGAGTGCTTATAGCATCATGACCATAAAAATCTCCTCTTCTCAACTGACATCGGCACCAGAATGACCAAACCGACTCGAGAAGTACTCAGTAGTGGTCGGCTCACTAGGTCTACTCGAAGATGGTGGTCAGTTTACCGACAAGTTTCCCGGCTTCGACAAGTTTTCCGAAAACCGGCTGCGTCGGCCTTCCGTTGGACTTCCGCGTCTGAAAGTTCACAGTCGATTCACCACAACTTTACTTCCGACGGTGTCCGACGGAAGCCGACTATACTAAGTAGTGTATTGAACTGATTCCCTTGTCTCTATATCTGCAGTCATCCTCGAGTCGGTCTTAATCTTGTATTCTATATCTCTTGTTTGTCACAATGCCTCTTCGATTTGAGTCGCCAGAAAGACCTTCGCTGCGAAGACCTACATGGGTTCGCGAGACATCACCGAGTCCTTCAATCCATACAGCCGATCCTGCTGTTCAGTACAATTTTCATAAGGCACTCAACGGATACAAGCCTACAGCTCTTCTTTCCTTGGATCCTCTTGCTGCAGAGCTAGGTCTCGCTGGCATCTACATCAAAGACGAATCATCACGCTTCGGGTTACCTTCATTCAAAGCCTCGGGAGCTTCGTGGGGCTGTTTCCGCGCTCTCATATCGCACTTATCATTGGATCTCGAGTCTGCTACTCTGGAGCAGGTAGCTTTTTCTGCTCAAGATCACCAATGCAAGCTGTTAGCTGCTACAGATGGCAACCATGGTAGAGCAATCGCGTGGATGGCACGATCACTTGGTATCGAGTCCACCATCTATGTACCTCATGACTTGCATCCTAATTTTCTGCGCTTGATCGCTGCCGAAGGAGCTGAAGTAGTTGTGGTCCAAGGAGATTACGATTTTGCTGTTTCGAGTGCTGCTTCTGCCGCCGCCGCATCGAAGAATAACATACTCGTGCAAGACACAGCTTTCGAAGGCTACGAGAATATTCCAACCTGGATCATCGATGGATATGCGACAATCTTCGCCGAGATGGAGGAGCAGTTGCAGGAGCTGGATGTACAACCAACAACCATCATCACACCTGTTGGTGTGGGCTCTCTAGCCCAAGCAGTAATCACATATGCAAAAGGACACCGAAACCTCAAGACTGTGGCTGTGGAGCCAGACACAGCGGCATGTTTACACGCTTCGCTTCTTGCTGGAGAAGCTACATCCATCATCACATCCAACACCATCAATGCTGGATGCAACTGTGGGACGCTAAGTTCCATTTCTTGGCCATACCTTCGTGACTACGTCGATTTGAGCACCACGGTGTCTGACTTTGAGACTCACATCGCGGTGCAAGACATGCATCGCCATCATGTTAATGCCGGGCCCTGTGGTGCTTCCGGCCTGGCAGCCTTGAAAAGACTTGTAGCTGAGGGACACATTGCCAAAGGATCGTCGGTGATATTGATCAACACTGAAGCGAAGAGACCTTACGATATACCTCTCGATGTCAGTAACGACGATGTCGTGGCTTTGACTCAACAACTCATCCAGATAGATAGTTCAAGCCCATCACTAGATACGACAGGCTCTGCGCCAGGAGAAACAAGGATCGCAGCATTTATCACACAATGGCTACACTATCGTGGTATCGAGACTCATGTGGTCGAGTCTGTGCCAGGTCGCCCATCTGTAGTGGGCGTGGTTCGTGGCAGCGATCCCAATGCCAAATCGTTTATGTTGAATGGACACATCGACACAGTATCCTTGTCTACCTATGGCTCCGATCCTCTCAGCGGCAGCCTTGTGGACGGCAAGATCTATGGCCGAGGTGTATTGGACATGAAGGCTGGGGTCGCAGCTGCCATGACCACACTTTTGTATTTCTCTGTGCATGGCAGCAANGGCGATGTCGTCTTCACCGCAGTGGCTGATGAAGAAGACAAAAGCATGGGTACTGCTGCTGTCCTTGCAGCAGGATGGAAAGCAGATGCTGCACTCATTCCCGAACCGACCTCTCTACAACTCCACCACGCACACAAGGGGTTTGTGTGGGTTGGAGTGACCATTCTCGGAATTGCTGCACATGGCTCCGATGCACGAACCGGCGTAGATTCTATCATGTCTACTGCCAGTTTCTTGAAAGCTGTGGAACGGTATGCCGAAACATTGCCCAAAGATGATGTCTTAGGACAAGCGACAATGCATTGTGGTACCATCAGAGGCGGAGAGGAGAATAGCAGCTACGCTGGTTCTTGCACACTGACCCTCGAGTTTCGCACTGTGAACGACAGCAGCAACTTGCAGTCGACTGCCGCCATCGTCAGGGATATCACAAACATCCTCGATAAACTTGCTGCTGCAGACAAGAAGTTCGACTTTGAGGCGCCAAAAGTGCTTTTCGAGCGTAAGCCTTTGCCACCCATGGTCGAGACACATCCTTTGCTCGTTGCTGCAACTCAGACAATCGCGGATGTGCGAGGCGAAAAAGAAGTACGGCCTACAGCGGCAAAGTTCTGGACAGATGCGGCACTGCTGAGTGAAGCTGGCATTCCTTCTTTGATCTTTGGGCCTGCAGGCGAGGGACTGCATGGCAAGAATGAATGGGTTGACGTCAAGAGTATAATGGCTGTGGAGCAAGTGATGAGAGAGACCATTGAGAGATTCCAAGATTGTTGATTGTAGTCAATCTCGTTCTTTCCTGTAGCAGATTGTAAGAGTATTCTGCATTCTTGCAACTCTTTATTTTCGAGATGTGGCAGTCGCGAATGATCAACTTTGTCCGTCTCACGCCCCAGGTACAACTCACCTTGGCTCTTTCCTTCTAGCCTTCGCATATCAACAACAAAGCCTTGCATTATGACAGTCATCTGTTCTCGGGCGTCACAACTTCGGGAAACGACAAAGAAAAGTCTAGCCGCATCACTGAATCATCGGGTTTCACAACAAACATGGATCTTTCGTCCATTGCTGTGTCCACTGCCAACCTTCGTGCACAACCTCAATGGCTCAAAAGAAGCAGCGAGGTCTACACTACACCGTACGCGTTCGGAACCCGGAGCAAGTCGTTCGAGTCGGATACTTACAGGTGTCGACGATGTGGTCAGACAAGTACACACACTTCCTGGTTCGCCATCTTCGTTCGTATCCTTGGCAGTGTCCTCGTTATCGGACGAGTGCCCGTTGGCCATGGTCTTCTCTTTGACCGCTGAGATCTCCTTGAACCAGAATGCTGGGGTTTTATAGAACGAAAGTGAGGTGATTTGGAGGTGAAGTGATTGGAAGTGAAGTAAAATCTTGGATTCAAAAGTTCCGTTGGTCAGTTCTGATCGTACATCGAGCTCTCCGATGTGCTGAGCTTGGGTTGTCTACTTGTAAAAATGCATGATATTGTCGAGGAATAGAACTGCGTCCAGAGAGAGCCCATCTGATGTGAAGTCTCACTGGACACAACTCCACCCAGAACTCAACTGTGCATTTTTACAGCTCAAAATCGCGCTTGATGCTGTCGTGAGAGAGGCCAAGCAAGTTGAGAAGGAAACGGCATGCTCGATATAGAGGGGTATCATACGAAAAGGATCAAACTTTTACCACATGGACATTATGAACAGCCATGCTCTTTGCCCCAATTCCACACCTTGCTTTCCATATCAGGCGCAATAAACAGCCAGGCGATAGCCGTCACCCAGCCGAAAAGGACATCCACAACACCCCAGCCATTTCTGGGGGAGCCACCTAGAGCAGAGACTCTCATAGCATGGCCCAACCATTGCGTGGTGATGACATAGTCACCTCGTTGCAAGCCCTTCAGAGCGGCATCTGCAACTTGATCCTCAGTCTGTTTGGGATCGCCAGACTCTAGGATCTTGGTAACAGGGTGTTTCGTAGCATTTTCTGCTTCGTAGCCAGGCGTTAATATAGTGCCAGGGCAGACCAGATGGATATTGGTAGCAGCAGCGGGAGAAGGCAGCGTAGACTTCATGCTGCCATTGTATAGGTTCAATTCCATGCGCAGCGAGTCGGCCAGAGACTTTAAAGCAGCTTTGGCAGGAGCGTAGGGTGAATAGCCTGCTACGCCTACAAAGGCAACACTGCTGGATGTAATGATGAAGTGTCTTGTCTTGTGTTCTTCCTTCTTTTGCTGTGGTGTAAGCCAAAGTTTGAGGGTCGCATGGGCGAGGTAGAAGGAAGCCCAGTAGTTTGTGTCCATCTGAGCGCGATGTGTCTCAAGAGGAGTGTCGATGAAGAGGCCAGGGGATGACGAGCCAGCGTTTGCCCAGACTATGTCGGGTGCTTGGTCGTTGTTCCATGAGGTGGTCTCGGTGAGGATGCGGGAGTTGTCTTCGGGTGAGGTGCAATCGGCGCTGATGGCAAGAAATCGCTGGTTCGGAGATTTTGCGTGTGACTGAGTGATATAGTTAGTTCGAAACCGGCAGTTGGGAAATGTAGAAGGAAGTACCTTGATGTGAGCGATTGCTTGGTCGAGTTTGGCTTGATTTCTTGCAACAATGCAGACATTGGCACCTTGCTGAGCGAGCTTTGTCGCAAGAGCCTTTCCCATACCACTCGAACCTCCGGTGATCAAGACAGTNNCTGAGTAAAGTCATGTCAGCATGCATACCTTCAACCCGAGTGGGTAGACCAAATTTACCCTGCCCTCAACGGGGAAGTGCTTGTTGGATGAGAACAAACCCATTGCAGCACTGCCAACGATGATAGCAATAAGACCAATCGCTACAGGATGAGCCAACAGCTCTGTTATCGTCATGATCGGATAGCCGAAGGTGCGTGAACGACAAGGTTGTATCTATCGCATCACATCCATGGACCTCCAAAGCAAACAAGCCAAACACGACCCTGTCCCTCCTCCAGCGTCATTCTTGTCTTTCTCTGGCTGCTCATCTCACTACACCACAACACAAGACAATAAAACACACATGTCGCAAGAAGTCATCCACGCATACCGCCATCTCCTCCGAACATCGCTTCAGGCAATCCGCTACGCAAAACCCGCCCGCTTCACCCTGCAAGCCCATCTCCGCTCCTCGTTCCGCAATCCCACATCCTCCTTTGACTCACGACAAATATCTCAGACGTTAGAGTTCCTAGATAATGCCGCAAAGTACAAAGGACTCGAAGACAAGATAGTGAGAAACTTGTTGCACGTATGGGGCTGTAAGCATAAAAACGTGTCGGGTTCGTTGTAAGTGACAAAACAGGTAAGAGCTAAGAGCACGCGAATTGATACAAGAGTATAGNNACGGCGTGACAAGGAGAGTATGAGGCTGAGGGGCGCTGCCTATGAGGCTTTTGATGACCATGTGAGAATGCTGGAACGGACTCTGGGCATACGACTTGGATGAACAAACTTGCAACAACAACTTTTGTAATGACATGTACATATTTATATGCGGTTCCGTGTTGAATTCGTGTCTCATGTCAAGCTCCATCCTCGGTCTTCGCATCCTCTACTTCCGCCTGACACCAGACCGCTTCATGTTGAATCTCTCCCGTCTAGCAACTATAGTCTCTGGCAACGCAGCTCTGTTCTCTGCTCCCCACTCCCTTCCCTTCCCGCCCTGTTCTTCAACAAGGACTTCCGTCTTCGACATGATAGCCTCGAGACGATCAACAGACCTTCTTGCCCTCGGCCTTCTGCTTTCTCTCCCTCTCGGCATAGATACCGGCAGTGAATGGATCCTCGTATGTCAAGGCGACTTTGTAAACCAAGAATACCAATCCCGTCAAGACCACTCCTGCAGGCTTACCGAACCACAATGCCGATCCCAGGAAGCTGAGGGTAGAGCCGTAGTACATGGGTGCCGAAGACACGTTGAACGGGAAGCCAGTGACCATGTCATCCATGAGAATGCCGAAGTAGTCACCGAGGTAGGTGCCAGTGATACCGAGAGCGTACATGGAGGTAAGAACGAGGACGTTGCCGGATGCAANAAGAGCGATAGCTAAGGCCTCGGAGACGGGACCAACGAGGAGCGGGTGAGTGGGCTGACTGCGCAGAGCGCGTTCGTANNGCTTTGGTTCTGTTAGCAAGATCTCATAGTCTGGTGCCTCTCGATATCGTGTGTCGCTTTGGGAAGGTTGGTGCTTTGTGGGACGAGATCGACGAGTTTGGCGCGTAATGGGTGGTTGCTTCTTTGATCAAAACAATAAAAGAGATGCATACATGCTGTCTCGAACAATTCCAAGGGTGAAGATTGTCACGGCGAGGGCATAGCAGCCGTAAAGCGAGTTGCCGCCAAACAGCTTGGTGATGGTCTTGTTGTGGTACTCTGGAAGATGTGCAAAACATGTCAATTTTCTGTTCTTTTCTTCCTCTTCTGGCTGCTTGATTCCACGGTGGCTTCNTGCAATCCTTTGTCGTCGTGCTTGTAGACATTCGAATAGTGAACCTTACCTGATCTTGCGGCTGTGCTAAAAGGTTGTTAGTATGGCTGTTCTAAGACAGGGTCCCCCGCCGAGATATGCTTACTTCCAGAACGTAGGGTTGAAACAAATGCTAGCTGCAGACANCTGTGTTGCATCTCGGATCAGCTTGTTTCCTTTAACGACTCCATCTTTGCATGGTCGGCAACGCGTTTCCAACTCACACCAGAACATAGGCTGTCCAAGGTCGACGAAGTCAGAGATAGAAGACATCATGCTTGAGAATGATGGATAGTCAAGCGCAGTGCAGAAAATCGTTAATGAATCGGGTCTATTGTCAAACGGTGATACAGGTTGGAGGAAGTGGAAAGCAAGAACACATGGCAGAAGCTCGTGCGGCTCAACGGGACAACCGCTCTCGTCATTTCTCTTGGCATCTATCACATGCAATCACCAGCCGGACTGACCTCGAACGCGGTATCTGCGAGGATGGTATTCAATGGAAAAGGGTGGAAAACAACGAAATCTCAATTAAAATAAGCTATCAATTTGGTTAAAGAAAATATCCAACGTTTACCCATTTCCAGTTTACGTTCGTATCATGGTAGTCATTCTGTGTTAGAGTGTTTCCCACACGCAGACTGTCAGCGTCTCCCAGCACTTCTAAAGGCCGTTGTCGACGCAGGAGAAGGCTGTACCGTATAACGACGAATTGTATCCGTCAACGATGCTCTGTACAGAGGCATATGTGCCTCCAGTGAGGAACAACAATCCAATGGCAATAAGAGCCAGGTTGAGGAAGAATCCAAGATATCCTCTAGCTCCTCTGGTCTTCCAGAAATCCGGTCCATAATCGGCGCGGCGCATACGAAGATATGCCATACCCCAGAAGATGAATCCAAAGAAACTGTCAAAGAGCGAGCTCATGAGTGACAGCAAGTCACTGAAGAAGGGAATGACTTCAGCAATGATAAAGGCCAGGATCCAGGTGCAAAGCAGGATAGCAGCCCAACTCGCCCAGCCAACAACGGTATGGCTGCCCATGTGTCTAGTTCCAGCAAAGAGTCTGAAGAAGACAAAGCGGGCAGACACCGAAGCGTAGAGCACGCCGAGGAAGATGATGGTCGGAATCATGAACGAGAAACTGACTTTCTTGTACACTTCGTTACTCAAGGATCCGAAGGCAGGTGCAGTGTAGTACTGAGTACCCGTGTAGGCGTAGATGACGGAGCCGACAAGCGAGAAAAGAATGACTTCGGCAATGGTGACAGCCCAGAGAGCCTTGGGGAAGTCACGAGGATCCTTCATCTCAGCAATGAAAGAAGGCAGGGTGATTTGACCAATGAATGTGTAGCTGATGTTCATGAACGCGGACATTCCAGCAACGAAAGTGGTACCTGCCTCTGGAATGGCAAGCACGCGAGGCTCTCCCTGCTTGGGATATCCAGCAGGATGGTCCTCGATACCAGAGAAGATGGTGGCCAAGATAACCGAGATGAAGGTAAAGAACGCAGATGCGGTGCCCAACAAAGCAAGAGTGTTGAAAGTACGAGGAAGCGATGCGAAGAAGGAAACGGAAGCAACAATAGCGCTGAAGCCGATTGTGCAAAGACCGTGATTAGTCATAGTGTTGAGGTATTTGGCACCGGTCAAGCAATGCAGGCCCTGGATGAAAGTGTTGTTCAGGATGAACATGAAGGCAGTAGCCCACCATGCCCATCTTTGACCCCAGAATAGCATTTGACCAATGTCGCAGACATCCTTTACTTCAGGGTGGCGCAGGCAGAACTNCCCTACAACTTTGTCAGATACGGCCTTCAGGACGGGCTTCGCGTTGACATACCAGAGAACAAGAGAGGTGTACAGGACCAGTCCGGCGATGACTACGGTCAAGATGAGGCCAGGCACCAAACCCAAAATGGCGTACGAGTAAGGGAAAGACATGATAGCCAAGCAAATGTACTCAGAGAACAACAATGCGGCAGTCTAGAAGATGGATTAGGTCGGTTCTTGTACGCTCGGCGGCAGAGCCGGGTTTTCGAGTTTCAGACGAGTCATTGGGCAAGGAGAGGGAGTGGTACAAGGGTTTTGCTGCATGAGGAAGTTGAGAAAGGAAATGACGGGTTGTCGCATTGGGCAGAGAGTCGACTCGCTCCATGTCGCAAGTGGGAGGGTAGGAAAACAAAACATGCGCGATAGGGTCACACCTTNTGGCCAACTGCAAGTTCTGTACTTGATGGCATTTCCAGCCTCCATCTCCATCTGCTTTCCCACGGTCAAGCCGGAGCTGTCATCGCTGAGATCGCCTTGTTGGCTGATGGATTTGGTAATAGGACCGTCGATTCTGTTCATTTTCATGCCCCTGGGACCAGTCTTCTCAGGATCGTATGCTGCAGACTGATCGCCATATCCCTCGTTGCCGAACATGGGCTTCTCAACTTCGGGCGCATTTGGGAGAGGAGGTGCATCGGCAACGACAGTAGGCTTCTGCTTGAAGAAATTTCCTAACGCCATTTTATCGAACGAATGCTCCGGACGAGCGTGAAGTAGGTGAAAAGGTCGCGTCGGTTGAATTCAGGCAGCATTAACCACCAGCTTGAGAACAGGTGATGGACAGTCGAGTCGATTTGGTGTACTAAGACTGAGTGGAAGAAAAGATGCGCGTTGCGGCTAGCAAGCAGTTTATAAATGACGGGAGTGGTCCTGGAGGATCAGAGCTTAATCGCAGAGACAAATCAAGTAAGCTACTGTGGCGGCCGCGGCTAAGGCGAAGGGTGTGGTCAGAGGAAAGGTCGAAGCATCTACGCATGTCGTACGCCGAGATGGATGTGGCGTGCGGCGTGCCGTTGGTGTCCAGCCTCTGAGCTTGTTCGCGGGCCTCTCCACACGCTCATCTTTCAACGCTTTCCAACTTTGGACTCCATCTACCGGGAATGAGTTGATTATCGTATGAACCGGTGCATTATCGTCACGTAAATAGCGAAGAATAGAACAACCTACAAACGAGGTTGGCTCATACCGATACAACCTTCTCACCGTGCAAGCTTTGAAGCCTCCGTTCAAATCCTCACATCCAACTGTCGAATCCTTGCGCGGCAGCAAAAACAAAGAGTGGACCCAAGCAAGCACGTAATCTCCAGATTGTCTGGCAATTGGTTGGAGACGTTTGCATCGATTTTGACTACGACGACTTTTGCCCTGCAGCCGTCTGCAAGTCGATCTCATCGTAAGCACGCCTGTACGTGTAGAACGTCTGGCCCAAGAATCTTCGACCAGAGACGGTTCGTTCAAAGGCTGAGTAACTACCTTACCGTAACTAGATGCGCTTTGATGTCATTCCAGCAAGCCGTCTAAGTTTCATCATCAGGTACGTCCATACCAAGCCCGTGAATACAATGAAAACAAGAAGAATCTGAAAACTCCGTTCGCCTCGCTACCGCTATGTATCCAATCCAAAGTTGTGTCCGTGTCCATGTCAAAATACAATAATGCCCTTGTCATCCCGCTGCCCGTAACCCCACTCTCGTCAATGCGATCGGCCCTTCGGTGTACTCCGGCCTCCCTAGTTTCTCTCTTTTGACAAACAACACCCCTTACCATACGAGGTCTTCTGGCTGGCCGCTGTCTCTACGCTTGTCGTGCTCACTCTTGATCTCTTCTCCGCCGACATACCATGCTGCGGCGCGCACGATCTCCAGCACCACTTTGAGCTCGTCGTCGTTGCGGGGCGCATAGATCATGACGAATCCTCCAGGAACGAATCTTTCTAGCCATCCACCTCTTGCTAGAGGATGTCTCTCACCCCAACCGCCCTCGAGCATAATCTTCGCGTCTGCAGGATGTAGTGTCAAATGCAGAGAGCCATCTGAAGGATGAGCATGGCAGATTTCTCCTCCGCAGGTCCGTCGTTGTGGGGCCTCGCTGAACAAGCCAGTGCCGTGCTTCTCGAAACACGACGTTCCTTCGTGGAGCTTTGTGTTGTCCTGCGCAAACCTGTGTATCGCATCGGCTAGCTTCTCGTACAGTTCTTGCGGCGGCTTCTGGTTGGTTTGACGATGGGGCGCTATTCCAAGAGTTGATGGACGAGGGCCTTCTCGCTGTGGTAGGGTTGACAAACAGCCTTCCTTCTGGGTCATCGACCATGGAACCTTCGGTGGTGCGTATGGGTCACGAAGAGCAAACATGCCCAGTGCCTTGACTTTGCAGTAGCCCATGATCGTCTTTGGCGTGCCTCCAGGTCCCAACGCGATGAAGCTTCGGTAGTCGAGGTAGAGGTGTCGTATCGTTGGCACGAGGATGCTGATGGCCGCGAGGTGGGTGTAAGAGAAGGTCAGACTGCCCATCGTTGCTTTAGAATTGTTGTTGAAGGTCTTGAGTACGTCCATGATGTCCACAGGCAGATTCCATCAACAAAGGTATGGTTCAATAGAGAATTTGCACTAGAGTTATGCGAGATTCGAAAAGTGAGGTAGGTGATGAATGGGTATACGAAAATGAGGCTCTGGGGATCGACTCTATATGGGATTCTACCTTTGCGACCCCTCAATGCAGTTTCCGCACAGAGCAAACATATGTGGAGATACCTTCGTCAGGGCCACCGCATTGTGACCCTTGGCGCCTCTCTTTGCGTCCGAATTTGTGCTTTTAGGAGGTACACGTGCAATTATACGTAGGTATGATCTCACATTCTTCGCGGCAGGCTTGCATTTGTGCAGGAATTGATAGGCAAGCAACAGAAACGTCTCCTGAAAATCATGCAAGAAAGGGAATTCCGAGAGGACAAGCTTTTGTTTTCTTTGCGAGCCTTGCGCTTGCTGTGACAGCTGTTGACGTGGTTGTTGATCCGGAGGTGCTGTGTGGGGAGAATTGAAACGTCTATCGACGTGCGCTTGTCCTTCCTCTCGATGGACTTTTCTTTTGTTCACCGACCAACATATCTTCACAGTCTTTTAGTTGATGTAGTTTCACCGTTGAAGTACGCAGATGCTATATTTCCGCTGTTGTCGGTCACACAAGCTCAGTATCACCGACCACGATATGCGCTTCTCTCAACCTACATCATATCATATCACATCACATCACATACACGGCATGTATCCTGCCCGACTAAGCCAGATCCTGCTTGACTAAGTCACATTTTGTTATTTTGACTGTCGCTGCCTGGCAATTGATGCAATGCATACCTCCCTAGAAGCCCACTCAACAGATGATGAAGACGAGGACGATGACAGCAACACCCAATCTGCTGAGATGGGCCTGGGAATCAGGGCTGAACTTTACAAGCTCAACATCTACAGCGGACCTTCTGGCAAATTCAGAGCGCACGTAGATACTCCTCGTAGTGAGACTCAGATCGGCAGCCTGGTTGTGTGCTTGCCCTCTGCGTTCGAAGGCGGCATTCTGTCTGTGTCTCATCAGGCAAATACGGTCGGATTCGACTGGTCAGCTTCCTCCCCGGCTAGCCAGACACCTTCCATCCAATGGGCAGCATTCTATTCTGATTGCTGCCACGAGGTACAAGAAGTCACCGCTGGTCACCGTGTCACCTTGACGTACAACTTGTATGCCTCGCGTGGTAGTGGCTTCCTGGCTGGACAAAAGCACAGCATGGATGCTACCCACCTTCCAACATACCAACCTCTCATCAATCTGCTCCGATCTCGCACTTTCATGGCCGAAGGTGGATCCATGGCAATTGGACTTGCCCATGCTTATCCTTATACACATGCTCTCATGCATCGACAACTGCCTAGCGCTCTCAAAGGAGCAGACATGATGCTTTACGAGGTCTTACTGGCACTGAACTTACGGGCCGAGTTGATCCGTGTAATGGACTTGCCTGAGGAGGCTGCTGCAAAGCGTGAGTTCGACGCTTACTGTCGTGACAGTGATCAAAGTGATGATGAGTCCATGGACGAGCCTTGTGACGGAGATACCTTCTACCAGCTTGGATTCGAGGCAATGCAAGTTTGGGACGACGAAATGACAGAGGAGAATGAGTTTCTGGAAAGATTGGATGGGATCCTCTTGGACCTGTGCAATGGGTTAGACAACCTCGACACTCTCAGTTGGAGTTTGCGTATCTTGCAGTAAGTCTGGAGCTAGTGATAGATGTACTTTTGACTGACGTGCACAAAGTACGGGAACAACGCATCCATGGCGACCAAATACAGCAGGGCTGCTATCGTTGTCAGCATTCCCTCCTTGCAACAGAGGCTCCGCATGCTTGGAAACCAGAACAAGGGGCTATCTATGTAAGCAATTGGCTTATCAGTAAATCCTGAATGCTACTTTGAGTTGGGATTTAGGAGCCTAGCTAGACATTCTTTTCCGACAGTATGGGGGATAATTGCGGATGAACACAAGTTTGAGTATTTTTGATCATCGATGTCGCTTCTCTACACTGCTGCCTCCCTGACCAACGGGCAATGTCTTGTTCAGACGTGAATGATGTTTCGAGAAACTTTCTCGTTCGCTTCGCATTCGCAAAGATTACTGCATTGGGCAGGGTCGGCCATCGGAGTCCCCAAGTCGCGGCAGCGGGATAGCGTTGGACCTCGGACGACTTGGTCTTGGCCTTGAACAATTTCAAAGCAATAGGCGATACCGCAAAGGATATCTCGACTCGGCACTGGTTGGCAAACGAATTACTTGAAGTTCGTCACAAGCCGAAGTAACAATGGCCACGGTTTCAGGAGCGGCTCTAGCTCGGAGGGCTCTCTGGGGTGCCGGCAATCGTTGTATATATAGAGCCCGCCAGCCCGCAATTCAGAAGCGTTTCCAGACCATTCAATCCGGTGAGTGCTATCTTGACCTTTTCCCCTTGCATTGCACTGAACTGACGTTCTTGTGTCCGAANGCACCTTCTACCACGCCTCCTCTCAACAACCCTTCAGATCCGACACCTCCTCCGCCTCGCTCCCGTACCTCTCGTGTCCTCGGCGCAACCGCTCTTTTCGTAGTCGCAACAGCCGCCGGTCTAGCAATGTCTGTCGCTCCAGCCATGGAGACAGCCAATGGCTTCCTCCAGCCTCCTACCAATGCTGAGACACTCTCTCTGTTCGTACCTGCCGGCCCCGAGGCCGAAGAGATCAACAAGCGCATCGTCTCGAACCCTCTCGCCGAGTCTCTGCGCGCAAACCCCCAATGGATCGAGTCCAGACCGCACATGAAGATTCCCGCCAACATGAGATCGCATAACCTGACGGCGGGTACTTTGCAAGGAGACGACAAGATTGCTTCGCCGCCTCTGACTTTTGCAAACACAAAGGCCGAGCTGCCTTCGATTGTGCAGATTGCTCACCTCGGTGAAAAGCTGTGCGGACACCCTACAATTATTCACGGAGGTCTGCTCGCTACTCTTCTGGACGAGGGTCTCGCTCGCGCCTGTTTCCCTGCTCTGCCCAACAAGGTGGGCGTTACAGCGAGCTTGAACATCACATATAAGAAGCCTTGCCCGGCGAACAGCTTTATTGTGCTCAGAGCAGAGACTACCAAGGTCGACGGTAGAAAAGCCTGGGTCAAGGGTTGGATCGAGATCCTGGGCGACGGTGTCGAAGAGAGCGAGCATTTGGTCGAGGCTGAAGCCTTGTTCATTGAGCCTAGAGGCGCAAAGAACATGGCCAGACTCTACTCCAGCGACGAGTAATGCATGCTTTCTACGATATTTTTAATATAAGATTCGGAGCTTGGAGTTCTGGGATGCATTTGAGAGCATTGGGAGGCTTTTATTTCATGCGATCGATCAGCGGATGATGATTATAGATGGCGATTCACTTGTCGTAGATGGGCACATAAATATAAAGTTGGATGTGTATATTGAAAAGGTTCTCTTGATGCGCCGAGCGCCAATGCTATGCCAGTAGAAGTATGGGACAGAAGAGTGGATCATGTTGAACGTCATGTCGTTGGTCGGGTACGTTGTGCCCAAAGATGTATTCATTTTCGTCAAGAGCTGTGGAACAAGAAGTGCGCAATGGCCATCTAGAAGTTGGTACCCTCCGGGGGCTGCGGCAGCTTCTTGTGTGCGGGTGCGGCCATGAATCTNNGTAACAGTATAAGAAAACGAGAGTGGTGTATGCGACTACAGGTGCAAGCTTGCCTTCTGATTTCGATCAAGATGGTCTCCATGGTGAAGTCGCGCTTCCACTGGCTCAGGCTGGGAATCTTGGAGAGGTCGACNNCTGATTGATTGTGTCTCAGCAAGCATGTTACAAGTGTCCATGTCCTACAAAGACATACTCTGCCGTTTCTCTGATCCACACATGGCAGGTTGACCTTGGAGATGAAGGTAACCTCAGGAGGGACGTCGGGGTAATTCTCGCCGCAGCGGATCTTCAGACTGTAAATGCGGTTCTCGTGTACACTCTGTCGGGTAGCGAGTCAATGCCTGTTTCATTGGAAGCGGAAGAAATGGGGTCATATACGTGAGGGGGGACCGAGGATGGTGCCGTTCCAGTTGGTCATGAGGAGGTCGTCGCCCTCGTCGAGACCGTATGAGCATGCCTCNNTGGAGTCCTGTCAGTCACTTTGCCTCAGGCACAATCGGATATCCATGTCCATACCAGCACCGAGGCCCTTCTCGCCCTTCTCGAGCTCCTCCAATAAGCGGAAGTTACGGGGGACTTTGGCCATGTTGCTTTGCACTCAATTGTTGTTGATGCTAGGTTGCAAGACGTGGCTGTGGCAAATTTGAAATAGTCAACGAGTTGGAGCAAAAGTGCAAAAGACGTGATTATCTTCACAAGATGGGCATCAACACAGCAATCATCAGCGTCACAAAGAGCTCGACCAACGTCGCATGCCCACATGTTTGTCTTGGCAAACTCTAGTCGGAAACCACCCGTGTCCTCCGCTCCTCGGTACCCCTTTGGATAGTCTCTACCACATATACTGTTCTTTGGTTCTAGTCAGTTGCTTGACGCGACTCTGCATTCAACTGGAAAAGGAATCAAGTAATTTTGCAATGCCTCTTCCGTCAATTGAAATCTAGAGAATTATGAGCGGACAAGCTCTCCAGGCCGAATTAACGAGCCTCGCCCAAGAGGCCAAACGCAAGAATCCGGAAATCCGTACCGTATGTTGTTTTAGATGTGAACTACTAAGTGATTTGTTCTAACGTGGTATANNGGCTGCGGAGAAATCATTACAAGATCTCAAATCCCTACCTTCAACATCAGAACAACAACTAGCTGCTGGTGAGGTGCACCTACTTAACCCTTATCACGCTCGCTAACGAACAAGAGATCTGAGCAGACGACCAACTTTCATTGATCCTTTTCTGCTTGCATGCAACACCCAAAATGCCAAGTACGCTGCCAGTGCTACCGTGTGTCTGCAGCGTCTGGTCATAATTCGAGGTCTACCAAAGTCACGGCTAAAAGATGTCTTGAATGCTTTCAACGCATGTACCTCGCTCGGCCTCGACATTCAACTGAAGGTCTTGCAGGCTCTCCCAGCTCTCGCTCAAAACTATGCAGATGATCTGAAAGGAGACCATCTTGCTGCTGCCTTGCAAGTCTGTGCAGCTCTCCAAAACGTCAAGGCCGCCACAGTCAGTGGCGTGGCCGCTGCCACTCTCCAACAACTTGTTGTTTCGGTCTTCGACAGGGTCGCCGCTGAGGACGAAGCTGGTGATAAAATCCCAATAGTCACTCGAATATCTGGTGGAGATGGTCCGATACCTTTGAGAGAGGCTGCTTACGATGCCTACCGTGTGTTCCTTGATATTTGCTTTGCCACAGAAGGCCAGAACACAAGATTCGTGCGCTTCTCTGGACTTTCAGCAGTTTCTGGCTTGGAGCTTATGGGCACATGCCTCGGCAGTCACCCCAAGATATTCGCCTCGCATCCCGAGCAGACGAATATTCTTCGAACAGTCGTTATGCCGCATCTAATCCGGGTGATTTCAGAGCGTCAACCCTTTGGCGTTACTCTTCGAGCTCTCCGAGTTGCATCTTTCATCTTCCGCCGTCACCTTCAAGCTATGCCCGATGAGTGCGAGGTCATCTTAGGCTTGTTGACACACATGATAGATTCGGAAGCGACAGCCTGGAAACGTGCTATGTGTATGGAAATCTTCCGTCTTGTCTATACCGAGCCTGGTCTAGCTGTGCAGATCTATCTGCAGTATGATGCCAAAGACGGCAAAAAATCGATCATTCGAGACAACATTGCTTCGTTCGTCAAGATTTCCACAGAAAAGCCTTCTATCATCGGGTTGGGACAACACTCGAGTGTTCCTACCGATCAAGCGAGAGATACCATTGCTGAGCAGGTTGCAATGGAAGCTGCCGGTGGCGTTGCCGGTGTGATTGCTCCTTCCTCGAATGTGGCAGATGCCAATGTTCCAGGTATCAGTACGCGATGGAGCGTGCCTAAGACTCAATGTATGGATCAGCTTGACAAAACAGACCCTCCCGCTCTGCCAGAAACCTATATTTACAGCCTTGTACTGGAGTGCCTCAATGGTTTGTCTGAGAATTTGGCCAAGGTTGTGCTCCCATTGACTGTCCAGCAACACACGAATGACCAAGAGCAAGAATCGGATGANGAATGTCGAAGATCAAGAACCCACCACGAGTACACAGAAGACGAGAAACAGAAAAAGAGGTCTCAGTCTTATCGCTCCCGCACTGTACCACTCAACCCACTTTCTACAGATGAGAGCACACAAGCTGTCCGCATCAGAGCTATTGCAAAGCTCGTAGAGCAGTGTTGGCCTGCATTGCTTGCAACATATTCGACCTTCCTCAACGCATCTTTGGACAACGATTACTACCGAGCACTCATCAGGTCATACCAGAGATTTGTGCAGGTTTCTGGTCTACTCAGATTATCTACCTCTCGAGACGCTTTCCTGACCACACTAGGCAAAGCTGCAGTTCCTCCAAGCATTGTAACATCCAGCATATCCACCATCTCGTCGCCAACGGCGGAGGCTCCTGGAATATACTCTAATAGCAAAGGTCTGCTAAGTGTGGAGAGCTTCTCAACTCAGACATCGGGAAATGATAGATCAAGACGAACAACATACGATCCAGCGTCAAAGCCTACATTGTCCACACGCAATCTTCTTTGTCTGAGGGCTCTTTTGAATGTGGCTATTGCTATTGGTCCGACCCTAGAGTCTTCATTCAACATTGTCTTCGAAGCGCTTTTCCAAGCTGGAGTTGTTCTTAACGCTTCTCAAGCAAAGTCAACTGGAATTGGCCCAGAGATCTCAGCTGTGGAAGGCGCAGTTTTACGTCTTTTGGAAAGCACAGCAGATTATCCGAACGATGCTTTCCTCCATGTGCTCACAACTCTCTGCAGGCTACTGAACGGAAGAACTGAGAATGGATCATCGTCTCCCATCCAAACGAAGCCTTCAAGCATCACGCGTAGGATATCCAGCCTGCCTGGCATTACGACAGATATTGCACTTTCGACTCAAGACTACATGTTCGTATTGACAAGGATCAATGATCTGGCAGAGCACAATATCTCAAGATTTGCAAGTTATACCGGTTCGGAAAGTGGGTGGACAGTTTTGGTTGATCGCCTTGTGGACTTGAGCATTACCACGAGCATACCAGATGATGCTCGCCGTCTTGCTGCCGACATTCTGGCTCGGTGCTCCGCCGCGGTCGCCGAAGCAAGTACCGCCGATGAGCCGGAGGATGCAGCACTGGCTCAAAAGATGGTTCTTTCGTCTTTACATCTGCTTGTTCGTCAAGTTCACGAACAGGGTGGTGACCTTGGTAACGTCGATATCGACATACACAATAGAGTCCTCGAGTCTGTCAGAGCTGTGCTTGAGAAGTCTGGAGAGGCTCTCACTGCTGGCTGGGAAACCATTCTTGCCATCATAGGTAGCGTCTTCGATACTGACGACGCTGAGAAGCAACAGCAACATGACGAGCAAGATAGAAAAGAAGGTTGGTTGAGGTTGTCAAGTCAGTTTGTTGCTCCGTATCTAGGTCGATCAGCATTCGGCGTGATGCAGTTGGTCTGCTCCGACTTCCTTGCGCCCCTTCCGCAGATATGTCTCAGTCCACTAGTAGAGATCCTGTTCCGTTTCGCTTCCCAGAACTCCGATCTCAATATTGCCCTCACGGTAAGTTGTCTGTAACAGGCTTAGATCTTCACACTGATAATTTTTAGNGCTATCACATTGTTTTGGGATGTCTCCGACTTCCTTGTCAAACAACAAGTGGTTTCTGGACTCAACGAGCTTACCAGCGGTATCACTGAAGAGCGATTGGTTCTGGGACACGAGCGTATCGTGACTAGAAGCAAAGAATCTCGGCCTGCTCAATGGGTGCTCCTTATGTATCGACTTACAGATATCATTTCCGATGAACGTCTAGAAGTCAGGAACAGTGCTTTCCAGACACTCTTGAGAATCTTTAAGAACCACAGTGCTGATTTCTCGAACCCGGCATGGCAGTTGGCAATCGAGACACTCTTATTCAAGGTCCTTCGGGAGAACGCGGAAAAGCAAAGAATTCTTCGTTCGAGCAAAGCATCTTCGAATGTCATCATTGGCCTCGACAACACTTCGAGTGAGATCATAGGCGACATTACCAGCCTCCTTGTTGGACAATTTGAACAGATGGCCTCACTCGATGCTTTTGATCGGTTGTGGTCAGATCTGATGGAGATTTTCGAGACGCTTTTGTCCTTCCATTCGTCAGTCATCAATGCACCCGTGTATGATGGTATCAGCGCTTTGCTGGGTGCGTTTGGACTTGGCAACCAGATGTTGGATCGGGCAGTCTCGCGTACAGAGCTTCTGTGGTCGTCTGCCATACCCGACTGTTCTGCAGACGTCAAAGGTCAGAATGCTGAACAAGAGCAATACATTGCATACGTCAACTGCGGAAGAAGCGTCTATGGTCTCATTGAGAAAAGTGCCTCAGCAGATCGACTTGAGAAGTTGGTACAGAACATGGTTGATTGTGTCAGATCCTCGACTGGAGCGGCTTACAGCTCTGATGTCAACGATCTCACCATGCTCCAGCAGAAAGTTCTTGAGCATCTACAAGCGCTGCATGGCAACATCGAACTCGTTTCCTCGACGCTAGTCAACGCCGCCTCACAGCTGGTGTCTTTACCATTCGCATCACACGAAAAGCCTAAAACGAATCTTACGTTCGTTGCCTTGTCAAAAGCAAGCATGGATTGGCTAGTTGAGTTGATAGCTAAAGATTTATCAACGCCAGAAATGTTCCGCTCTGTGGCTGTAGCAAAAGCTCTGGAAGATCTGGCGACACCAATGAGCCTCAAGTATCGTTGGACGCAACCGGGCAAGGCACCAGCGTTGTGGCANAAAGCAAGCTCTGCATCTTTGTCTATCATCGACAAGACACTAGCACAGATGAAAGAGCTCGGTATCGAGAACGAGATGAAGACACGTATCTGGACAGCTATCATCAATATTACCCATGCTGTCATGCATGCAGATATCGATGAAGCATCGCCACAGCCTACATTCGAGACTGTCGAGAAGGACGAGGTCTTCGATTGTGAAGCCATGCGACAACTCAAAACTATGATCACGCCAGTTCTGGGCTCTGCAGATATCCCCGACGCAGTTCGGCAAACATATGTGTCTTCACTGTTCAATGCATCACTCATCCATTCCGTGGAGCGTGGAGATATTCCTCAAGATGCTGATCGACTTGACAAACTCGATACATTGCGGATGGGTCGAGTCCGCGATCCAGAGCCAAGCTTGAGGGAGGACATGGCGTATCTTTGCTTCAGAGAGCTAATCTCCTTGGTCGGTGACTCCAGCAAAGATCAAGTCAAACTCTCGCAAGCCGCGGCTTCCTATCTAGTGTTACGCTTCGCACTTCCCTTGAAGGCGTATGTTGTCGACCAACCTCTTCGTGGTTCGCTGCCGCAGCCACTGTCGCAAGTCGAGGAATTGCTCTTCTGCTTGACTGAAATCGAAAAGCTCCAAGGCCTGTTAGCTCCCATGAACAAAACAGATGGTACTGGCCCAGCTGGCCACCAGGCACACTTGGAGTTGCTCTTCCCGCTGGTGGTCAAGGCAGTTGGTGTAGCTGGCGACAAGCGTTATGGTAACAAGAAGGCCTTGGCTCTGCTCGAGAGAGTTCTGGTAGCTATCAGATAGCATGTGTCAAGTTAGACGTTTGAATACAAATCAATTACACAAGGGCTATCAGCTCACAAGCAGAAAAATTGGTCAAAAGTGGTGATACATTAGATAGAATTATATGCAGAGCCCCAATATTCGTGACTTTCGTGGTCATTATGACCATTAGACCACTCGTCACTTTGCAATCGACTTCATGTTGATTTAAGCACCTCCCTCGCGCTTGGCGTACTCCTCCCTTTGAGATATGTTAGTGTCTCTCTGATACCATAGACTTGACTCCAAGTTCGCTTACCTCCATTCTCTCCTCATACAGCTTCTCTGCCGCTCTTTCGGCGTCTCCCTGGCCACCGCCCATGGCACCTCCAGCCAGGTCCGAGGTATTCGTGGCACCGAGCGAACTGCTTTGTGTGCTGACGTCGGCGGCAGGGATAGAGTCGGTAGTGGTCTCTGCCGTCTCGGAAGTCGAAGGCTTCTCGATGGGAGTGTTTGTTTGTTGAGGAAGACCCATTGTTGTGTTGGTTTGTGTGATGGTTGAAAGGATTCAGATGGTTGTTGTGCTAGTGGTTCGTGGTGAGGAAGATGGCTGCCTTGACTTTATTGTATGGAGCAGCAAGGTGTTCGACGCCACCGAATGACGAGTTATGGAAGCTTAGTGTGGCGGTGTGGCGGTGCAAGGATGGTCCTACGATCACGTGGAGTGATATCTCTTTCCATAACATTCTTTCTTAGTGCTCGAAAGGTCTATTCGTGACCATAACTGTCTACTATGAGCAAATATTTTAGGCATTCCTGTACTCTCTGGAGATAGCATTGGCTGTCCTAGTCTTTCAACATTTCTACCCATCTAGGCTCACTTACGCACTGGTTGCAGACAAGTTCTCAAGACCCAAGGATTGCTGATCAGTGTGCAGAATACCTATCTATCTGACCTTAGCCCCCTACTCGGGTACGCAATCCCATAGATAGAGACTCGAGCTCAAATAGGCATTCGCGTACTGGTTTGTCCAGAAAGTTCCTCAGTAAGGCTGAGTCCTGACTCGAGAAAGTGTTACCCCAGGTTCTTGTCTGAAAAGAGAATAAAAACTTGTCGATCGGACGGTGCGTGCCTCCGCGATGCTTCTGTCATGGTGTGTTTCAGTATGAAAGCTGCGCCCTAATTACCTACTCGCTCTCGACCCGAATGCCTTGGTAATTTGGGTCATTACCTTGGTTATCGAAGCTGAACTGACGAAGCAAGCAACTGCCGAGTTCAAGAAGGATGCAGGCCGTTGAAGAAGGGCGCCCTAATTCAAACTCTTAGCTTACCACCAAAGCTTACAGGGCGTCTGGGCGGCGTCAGGGTTCAGAAAAGGGAGTTCCTGAGCAAATTTGACGTAGGTGGTTGCTCGGCTGGTCAGGTATCCTAGACAAACAACGCAGAGATAAGCTGCTGCCACCTCTCGTCTGACACCTACTCAAAGCCCCGCTGGAACAGAAAAGCAAGCACACGCGAATGGGCAGGGAGCAGAGGATTCGATCCTCTTCTATTGATCAGCAAATTTTGATAACCCCTTCGTGATCGCGGAATTGTTCGAGTCCAGGCAGTCAAGGATTGCCGGACAGCCGCTTCTTTGACCGTTGGTGGCTCCACTTCTGTTGGTTTTCTGCCCCGTGCTCGCGAGCATTTCATCTCATTTATTGATCTGACGCCGCCTGCTTATTATTGTTGCTTCTGACTCTTTCCTAGTCTCCCTTGTATACCTATTACACCTCTTCCAGGCTTCAAGGCTGGTCGACCTGCCATTATGAACGCGCAAGACAGGTTCATGGCCGACAGTGAGCGCGATGCTTCACCTGAGAGATTCGGTCCCATCGAACGCCATGAATCCCACGAGATACCCATAGCAACAAGACGACGTTCTTCAGCATCATCGCACTCTGGAAGCTCGGTCAGGCTACAAGAGATGGGCAGAAGCATTTCTAGAATTGAAACACAACACGAGAACGAGGCGGATCTTGAAAGACATCCCACTGCATTGAGCAGAATCCAAACTGGCAGAAGTCAACACAGCGCTACTGTTGGAGCGAATGGCGCAGAGGGTTCAGGATTTGGAGTTTTCCGCACAAGATCTTCCAAGGCAAGCAAACCTTTGCCTGCCTTTGGTGGTGGCAAGCCTTATCCTCCTCCGTTGCCAGAAAGAGAAGAATACGTAGTAGAATTTGATGGTCCGAATGATCCAATGCATGCTCAGAACTGGCCTTTCAAGAAGAAGTGAGTTTTGTACGAGTAAATGTGATGATAGCATATTGACTCGTCTTGCAGGCTTCCTGTCGCTGCTTCGCTAGGCTTCGTTACTTTGACTGCTGCATTCGGCTCATCTATCTTCTCCTCCGCTACTGGTGCTGTCGCTCTCGAGTATGGTGTTTCAAGAGAAGTTGGCATTCTTGGTATCTCACTTTACGTTCTCGGTTTTGCTACTGGTCCTATGTAAGTCTTCATCTGTCTAGAAAAAAAAACACATTTTGCTAACAATTTCCAGNNTCTCTGGGCTCCTATGTCAGAACTTTATGGCCGCCGTCTTCCTCTTCTTGTCGCCTCGTTCGGTTTCTCAATCTTCTCTATCGCTGTAGCTGTTGGAAAGGACCTTCAGACCATCCTCATCTGCAGATTCTTTGGCGGTTTCATGGGTGCTTGTCCGCTTACCGTCGTTGGAGCCGTTTTCGCCGATATGTTTAACAACGCTCAGAGAGGTGTCGCCGTCACTGTCTTCAGTATTGCCGTCTTCTCTGGACCTTTACTCGCGCCCTTCATCGGTGGCTTCATCACGACTTCCTATCTCGGATGGCGCTGGTGCGAATACATCACCGCCATTATGGGCTTCACTGGACTCGCCCTCCTGATTTTCCTCCTCGAAGAGACATATCCACCCGTCATTCTCGTCAACAAGGCTGCCGAGCTTAGACGCAGAACCAAGAACTGGGGCATTCACGCAAAGCAGGAGGAAATCGAGATCAATCTGCGCGAACTGGTTGAGAAGAACTTGGGCAGACCTATGCGTATGCTTTTCACAGAGCCGATTGTGCTGCTGCTGTCAATCTATATGGTATGTTCTTCTGGCATAGTTCAAATGATCCCTGCTAATCAAGTCAGNGCATTCGTTTACGGACTGCTCTACCTGTTCCTGACTTTCTACCCGATCGTGTTCCAACAAGTACACGGCATGTCTCCTGGTGTTGGCGGATTGCCATACTTCGGTATGATTCTGGGTGAAGTTTTCGCTGGTCTCTACATTGTTATCGACGTACCATCATACAACCGCAAGCTGAAGGCTAACAACAACATCCCTATCCCGGAGTGGCGTCTTCCCCCGGTCATTATCGGTGGAGTACTCTTTGGAATCGGTTTGCTGTGGTTTGGCTGGACAGGTTTCCGTGCAGACATTCCCTGGATTGCTCCGACTCTGAGTGGATTATTTACCGGATTTGGCATCATGTCCATCTTCCTCCAGTGTCTCAACTATCTCATCGACAGCTACCTGATGTTCGCTGCTTCCGCTATCGCTGCAAACACATTNTTGCGTTCGCTTTGCGGTGCTGGATTCCCTCTNTTCGCAACATACATGATCGAAGGTATGGGCATTCAGTGGGCAGGCACTTTGCTCGGATGTTTCGCCTTCTTGCTTGTTCCACTACCAATTCTCTTCTACCTGAGAGGAGCTCAGATCAGAGGCAAGAGCAAGTTTGCACCTACTTTCCCTATCGCCAACAAAGCATCAGCCAACCCAGACGACGAGCCTGTCTCATCTGGCAGCGGTTCTGATGCTTCAAAAGATATCGAGAAACAAGCATAATACTCATGTCTTGTCTTATGAGTCTTTTGAGCCTTCTTTATTTTCTTGAGAGCGAATTTCGAAGCATAGCGTCTGGAGCTGGTGGTTGATATTCTGCGTTATACCTACGATTCTTCATTTTAATTGACTTTCAATTACATATTACCATATAGATCATTTTGCTTATCCTTTCGAAAGATATGCAGTCATCCGCACATATCCGATCAACGACCCTTTGCGACGTTTCCTGTCAGATATGCAAGCTCATGCCTTGGCGCATGAAACATCACGACCGGTGTGACCACTTCTACAGAGACAGATCTGCAGTCATATACACTGTCTATCTGGTGATCTCGCGAAGTGCGGGTGTTCAAATTTGCCAGCACCGCGAGATTGGCTCGCTTATACCTAGGGTTGGGTTATACTTCCGTACATCGTATAGTACCGTTGCACGCATATCGATTGGCTGCGAGTCGAGAACTTGTCCACGAACAGGCGTTGATCGGCTCCTACGCAACGAAATTCAGGAGCCGGAAATGTATATAATGGAAGGTAGGAAGCAACCATTGCTCTTTCCTCGCCGTCTTGTTCGCGTATCGTCGCGACTATACTGAACCATCGGACACCATCATGGGCCTCTTTCGCTCGCGCAAAAATAAGTCTTTGGGAGAACCGAGCACTGTACCGCTCGAGGATTACGAGCATGCAGACGAGTCGGTGAGCAAAGCCGACACAGTGGCTGCTGTCCGAGAAGCGTCGCTCGACAAAGACGCAGAAGCAAAATTAGAAGGAGAGGCCAGCGCTGTTGCTGCTGAAGCCGAAGATGAATCGAAGTATCCGACTGGTCCAAAACTCTGGTTGCTTGTGTTGGGTCTTTGCCTTGCGATTTGGGTAATTGCTTTGGACAACTCAAGTAAGTCTGCTTTCGTTGGTCACTGCCAGAAACACGTTGTTGCCTTGGATCCCAATCGAGATACGACTTGCCAAAGGAAACCATGCTGATAATGCTCCTTCCTTTAGTCATTGCTACAGCGAGTAAGTCGAACAATACTGACATGAGAATCACCAACTTATCTGAGCAGTTCCAAAAATCACGACTCAATGGCCTGACGCGCTAAATGATGTCGGATGGATTGGATCTTCTTACTTGCTTACTACCACATCGCTCCAACCGTCCTTCGGCAAGGTTTATACCTACTTTGATGTCAAATGGACCTATCTGTCGGCGCTGATCATCTTCGAGGCCGGTTCGGTCATTTGTGCAGCAGCCACTAGCTCCACGATGCTCATCGTTGGAAGAGCAGTTGCTGGTGTTGGAGCAGCTGCTCTCTTTTCTGGAGGCATGACTATCATTGGATTTATTGCTCCTTTGCGAAAGCGTGCTATTTACATTGCATCGCTGTCTAGCATGTTTGGAATTGCCAGTGTGGTTGGGCCCCTGCTTGGAGGAGTTTTCACTGATAATGGTATGTTCATCTTGTGAATTGTCCCAATACTAGGCTAACAGCTTGCAGCAACATGGAGATGGGTATGTGATATAATCTCCTCGTGTGTTTGAGACAGTCACAATTCTGCAACCAACTCCTTCTCCATCCCGAGTTGCAAGAGTTATCATAAGCTATTGAAGTGCACAGTTACGATTCGAACATAACTCTGGCCATTGAGATAACCTTCATTGAGGTTCTCTCAGTGGAAGCCATGGTTTTCGCGAAAATACTGTGCATTTTGACAGCTACGCTATGACCATCTTTAGCACATGAGGAGGTAAGAAGGTTTTCTTTGTGTTTTACTGATCTGTATACAGTGCTTCTGGATCAACCTCCCCTTCGGTGGCATAGGTCTCGTAGCAGTGTTTTTCTTCTTCGAGAATCCTGAGAGAAGACACACAAACATGACCTTCAAGGAAAAGATCAAGCAGATTGATCTCTTGGGCGCCTTCCTCTTGATCTGTGCCATCGTCTGCCTTCTACTCGCCCTGCAATGGGGTGGTACAACATATCCGTGGAGTAACAGCAAGGTTTGGGGATGTCTACTTGGTTTCGGACTGTTGATCTCATTCTTCATCGCTTTGCAAATCAAGCTAGGAGACCGAGCCACTCTGCCGCCTCGTATCCTGGTCAAGAACCGTACAGTACTGGTCTCTGCGCTCTACGCGGCTTTCTTCGCCATGGGAATGTACACGTAAGTCGATCATTGAACCTCAACTGGAGGACTGTTCTAACTGTCATAGCCATATATTCTATCTGCCATTCTACTTCCAAGCAGTCAAGGACACCTCTGCAGAAGGCTCCGGTATCAGATGTATTGCGTACCTCGTTTCCAATACGATCGCTTCTATTATCGTTGGAGGTACAATCACTGTCATCGGCTACTACGCACCATTCATGTGGTTTGGAGCCGCCATCTTCACCGTCGGTGCTGGCATGCTATATACTCTGCAAGTCGCCTCTCCTGCTGCCAAATGGATCGGCTACCAACTGCTTGCTGGTATCGGTGCCGGTTCTGCGATTCAGATTCCGTTTATTGCCGTACAAGTGGTCTTGGACGAAAAGGACATGCCTTCAGGAAACGCCATTGCGATCTTCTTCAACAGCTTGGGAGGTGCTATCTCCATCTCAATTGCACAAAACATCTTTGCCAACACGCTGGTCAAAGACATTATCAAGAATGCACCTGGAGTAAATCCAGCTGCTGTTGTGGCTGCTGGTGCTACTCACGTCAGAGACGTGGTTTCGGCTGCGCAATCGCCAGGTGTATTGCAGGCATATAGTCATGCCGTGACGTCTGCGTTTGTCTTGCCTATTGCAACCAGCGGGTTGGCCTTTATTGTCAGCCTGTTCATCGAGTGGAAAAGTATCAAGGGCAAGAACATCATGGGTGGTGGCGCTGCTTGAGTATTGCTTTGCAATCAGACAGCCAAGGGGGTCCAAGGAAACATGAGCCATTCACCACCTCCCGTGTGCGAAGATATGTAACGTACACACTATAAAAATGCACAGTTCTATCCAGAGATAAGGATATGGCCAAAGAGAGCTGATGAGAGATATCGCTTCTTAGCGGACACTATCCTATTTTATAACAGTATTGTGCATCTTCAAAGCGTGCACTTCACTGTCCTTTAGTACTCGGAGAGGTAGCAAAAACTCAATGTGGGGCTGGCTCATGTTTGCTTGGAGCCACTTGAGCGTACAAGTCGAGTCCGTCATGAGCTACCACCCAGCTTAGAAGTATATTCTATAGTACCTCAAAAACATCGTTCTAGCTAACCAAGTGATGCTGGTGACGGTGGCACAGAGCTCTCCTGCCCTTGTCCACTTCTACTCTCGCTTTGCCGCTCATGTCCCAAGATAGCCGTATCGATATCCGTGCTCTGGTCCCTAGCGATACCATCTTCCTCGTCTTGCTGTGATCGAGTTCTCGCTTCGAGTTCAATGGCTTCTTCCGGTCCCTCTCCCAAGTCTGCCACAAACTTTGGAAGATACGTCCTGGACGAGGCATGGTAACCATATTTCTCCCTCGCCCAAGCGTGATATTGCACAAGACTTAGATTGTGGGCTACTCTCTCGGCATCCATCATTTTTAGAACCTTTTTGGTGGTTTCGGCCTTGTCTCCGCCTATCTCGACGATTCGACGTAGGGCAATGTCGATGATGCAGCGGCGCTTGAGGTAAATGTTGTACTCTGGCGTGGTGAACTGACGCCATGTATTTCCGAACTTGTGGTTTAGTTGCACAATCGATGGGAACGTGGCATAGCCGTTGTAATTCAACTTTCCAGAAAACCACTCAGTCCAGAGCTTTTGTACTGACGGTGTTGAGCGCGACAAAACTGGAGGAGGAGGTGGATGAGGATCGTCCGGATCCCACTTTTNTGTCACAGGGACAGGGACCGGTTTGTCCTGGCGCTTTAATTCAAAGATGTATTGGTTGAGGGTGAATTGCATGTTTACTCGTTCGGCGTCCATTTCTTCACATACGGCGATCCAGACATCGCCAGTCGCGCCTGTGAAATTGGGACAGCGTGCTTCGACGCGGGCTTGTATCTCGTCGATGACAACGCGGCGCATGCTGTAGTAAACGCCTCCTTTGTTGTCCTTCCAGCGCCAGGCACTACCATATTTGTGGTCTAATTCGTTGATGGCGGGCTTGTCGGCAGAACCGACGAAGAACTCGTGCCATAGCTGCATTACACTTTCGACACCTCTCTGCAGGCGGTATTGTGGAGCGTCTTCTGTAGCTAGGTCGGCGGTGCCATTGGATGTGGTCTGTGCGTTGGGTGCAAAGCCTGGAGTTGCCATTTGACGATGGCGTCGAGCCATGAAGGGCACACGGCGATTGCTGGTTGGGCCGATGATTGCGGGACTGTCTGCGGCTTGGGCAGCTTCTTGGAAGAAAGTGTGCAAGGCATCATCGGGACGAGAAGAATTGATCGTGTCTTGTTTGAGGACAGTGATGGGCGGAGCTTGTGTTCGTCCATAGTATTGCTGTACCGCAGATTGATGGCGGTTTCCGAATTGGTTTTGGTGTCCTGCGGATTGTTGGTTCCTAGTGTCTTGTCGCTTGAGATGGGTGAGAGGTGTTCCGGTGCTTCTCTTCCACTCGTTGTGCATCTCATCCATACGCGACTCGAGTCTGGCGAGTTTCTGGCCCAGGACATCCAGCATACGCATGGCTGCGCTGTTCACCAGTTGCTGCATCTGAGCTTCCAATCGGGATGCCATGAGCTCGACAACCTTGTCGGCGATGTCATGTCCCTCCGTCTGGTCGTTCTTTTCCTTTGGCTCCTCCTCTCTGGCAATGGGACTCGTTTCTCGTAGGCGCTTTGGTTGGGGTTCGACTAGCTCTTCCTCATCCTCGCTTCCATCAAAGTCGTCAAAGTCGTCCAGATCCTCTAGGTCGTCCAGCGTGCGCTTCATCAGCAGAATTGGCGGCATCGTAATGGCTCAACCTCAGAAGGCCCGTCTACCAGTCAAGCAATCGATTGTAAGTGGTCTCTAATGAGCAGAGTCCAAGACACCTCGGGCATCCAGACCCTTGCCGGTAGCCTGCTTTGCCCTAAGCCGAGAGGCTGCCGTGCGTCAACCAATCACGTTCGACTTCCATACCATCACTTCCGAGAACAAGCAGTTTGTGATTCAAGAGAGCGGGTTTTTGACTAAAGTCCATCTCGCGGTTCCAGCGCGCACCAAATCCTCTTAATTTCTAAACAGCCATCGGAACGCCAGGGCGTCCTGTCTGCCCAAGTCTTGTGACCAATCGTACCGAGACAATACTATCAAATCATCACCGTCTCTCTGACGACTTTGTTGCTCTATGCTGTGTTATTCTTCATGCTTGTGCCTTACACCATCCCTTCAAACTGTCGACAAGCAGGAGACGACACTTTCAATTGCTCAACTACCACGGAAAGCATCGAAACGCTTGTAAGTGTAACCAATGAAGGGCAAGCTCATGCTGGCTTCCTCTCCACCCATTGCCTCGTTCTGCGCGCGAAGTGCAGCGCTGTTGTCTGTCTGCGGGATCTCGTCGATGGGGAAGTTCTGTGTGTCGATTGCGGATGAGAGCTTGGGCTCGAACGGAGCACGGATGCGACGAAGTTGGTCCCAGACAACACCTCGGAAGAAGGGATGCTGCTTGATCTCGGTACCACCTCCGAGGCGACCAAGGCGATTGTCGGCATCACAGATCAAGCTACATCGAGTCAGTAAAGTACTTCTTACATGTCAGTGGGGTCCAGCTTACCTGCGGATAAAGTGTTCTGCTTCGGCACCAATCTGTTGGTCAGGAGGGAAGTGCAAGTTTCTTGGCCAGTCGACAATCTTGCGGTATGTATCGTGAGGTTCCTCTGCACAGAATGGAGGCCATCCAATAAGACATTCAAACATAATAGTGCCTACGCTCCACCAGTCGCAACGGTAGTCGTAACCTTTGCCACTGAAAATCTCGGGAGCGATGTAATCAGGAGTGCCGACGGTCGAGTATGCGAGCTGGCGACGGGACTTGCGCCAGGTGTTTACTTGGTGGCGATTGCTGACAGTCAACTGGATCTGGTCGAGTGAGACGGACTGGCGATTGGCGGCCGTCGCGCGTGAGCGAGCGTTTGACATGAGTTGTTGATAGTATGAGGCATTGTGTTCCTTGTGGAAGCCGGTCGACAGACCAAAATCAGTGAGCTTGATATGACCACCTCGGTCGAGCAAGATGTTGTCAGGTTTGATATNCACTGGGGCCTTGTCAGTTGTGTACAGTCTCGAGGTCTAAGGGCAAGCATACCGATGGATAAAGCCGAGTTTGTGCACAGCTTCCAGAGCCAGTGTGATCTCGGCCATGTAGAAACGAGTAATGTCTTCGGAGAAAATTTCGTATTTGATCAGCATTGTCATGAGATCACCGCCAGGCAAGAACTCCATGAGCATGTAAAGGAAGGTTGAGTCCTGGAACGAGGTGTGCAACTTGACGAGCCAGGGACTGTCGGCGTTTGCAAGGATGTCGCGTTCGGCACGCACGTGAGCGAGTTGATCTTTCTTGAACTGTGGCAGCAGTGTCAGTACGGCTCATGGGTCCACTGTGGCTCAACGCACCATTTCAGCCTTGACAAGAGACTTGAGAGCGTAGATCTTGCCATCGTGCTTGCGCTGCACGAGCTTGACTTCACCAAAGGCTCCCTTTCCAATGATCTTGAGTGTCGAGTAGTTCTGAGGTCTCTCGCTGGTACGAAGGAAACGCAGGAAGTTCGCTTCGGAGCGACGCATGCTAGTCGTCTTCTGCTGTTTGCGAGAGTCTGATACTGTGGCATCCTTCATAATCGTCTCGAGCTCTTGAGNCACTAGTGAAACAGTCAGCAGTCGGATCAAACAGTCCAGATATGGGCTGACAGCTTACCGAGCATTTCGGTCGCGAGCTCGCTCTACACTGTCACGGAAGAAAGTGCTAACGAGCTCCGTCTGCAACTTCGCACGGTTACCAATGCTGGTGGAGAAGCGCTCTGGGTTCTTCGGTGGGGGTTCTTCATCTGACAGAGATGGTCCCGAATAGTGTTGGTGCTGTTGATGGGTCGAATTGGCGGTACGTGGTCGGTTGGGGTTGGGGTTGGGATTGGGATTGGGCGAAACTTGACGAGCATATGGGCTCTGAGCGCGAGGCGGACCACCAAGATTCTGGTTGGAGAACTGGTGCACCAGGCCGTTGGTAGCGGCATCGTGATATTGTTGCTGTTGTGGCTGCTGGGCTTGATTTGGCTGAGGCCTGTAGGCTTGCTGGGCGTGCAGGTTGGCCTGCTGTTGCTGGACGGCAGAAGTGTATGGGTTGTTTGCAAAATAGCCTTGGTTGGTGAAGCCAGAGTTCATACCAGGCTGTGCGGTACCCCATACCTCTTGTTGTCCCTGGGGATTGGGAAAGGGTTGCGGGAAGGTCGAGGGGGTGGTGGGATAGGCGCGGCCCTGGTCAGCTCCGAAGTTCTGAGCTCCCTGGAAGCCAAAGTTGAGTTGCAGCCGGTTGGACTGCTGCTGGTTGTTGGGGTTCATGCTTGCTACTGTTGACACGAGCGTGTTAGTTTTGACCAAGAGGCTCAGGATTGCAGCTCGCCTGGAGATCTTGGAGAAACGCACTGTCGACCGCGCAGCGGCAGAAGGCTCACGAATGCGTGCAGCAATTGGCAAGGGGCTAGCCGATGCGGAAGAGGCGCTGTTCGTGGATGAGAGGTCGAAAGGCGGTAGGGAGGTAGCAGAAGATAGAGGGGAAGCTGCAAAACAGAGACCGAGTCGGTGTGCTATGTAGATGAGAGCACGCACGCCAATAGTGCCGAGAGCGGTCAATCACTCAGTTGCAAACACAGCCTCGCAACTAGACACTGTCCGGACTGACTGAGGTTGGGAGAACCTTTTGATTCCACGATATTCAGCTTGAGGCCGCCGCCCCTTGCTGCCGCGCTAAGGGTACACGAGTCTGGGGTCTGAAACACGTCCACAGCTCCACCCGCTACCCAGTCCTCTGCCCGTGCCAAACTCTACCGCTATCAACACTGTCACCACGTTGTGCCCACGTTACACGACTTTCATTCCACGCGCTTGCACCGCTATGCCATTGCTTCTATTCATGCTGTCTAAACGCTATGCATACTAGCAATCCTAGTATTCCCACATTCCAACAAACACTCCTTCAGGGTATAATAAAATCCAAAAATAAACTACCTCGATCAGAAAAATCATGCCAATTGTCTGGGCTCGCAACAAGAACGCGAACAAGAAACTTCCGCGTCATAACACCTATCCAAGTGCATCAACATCCTGTAGGCTTTCTATGCCATCAATAGTGCCTGCGCCTTTTGCTTCTCGGCTGAAATTGATGCTTGTAGGCGTCTCATCGATCTGTGTGCTTCATCCCNTGTGTATGAAATTAGCTTATGATTTGTCCATGTCAACTCTGTGGACACATACCTTTCGCCTTGTAACTCAGCGATCTCATATTGGGAGCTTTCGATTCTTGCAACGACAGATTGCATCTCTGAATCGGCTTCTACGAGGGCTGCTTCCAGCTCCTTGACCCGGCGCTCCAGGGTGTCCGTCTTTGTTTGATCAAATAAGCTCTCTGCCATGTTTTCGTTGGTGGTACCAATCCTGGGGCTCTTGACAGCGAACAGCGGTGATGCCTGTAACGAAGACGCTGCCGTCATGGCAGTAACGTTGAGACGTTGGAGTTTGGGCGAGTTGGCATCCTCTATCTGCTTTGCTTCCTCTTCGTGATTTACCAGTGCTCGCTCAGACAAAGCTTGCGCTGCAACAACGTTATCCTCCATTTCCTTTAGACGAGATTGCATGCCCACGATAAGAGCAGTGGACTCGCTTTGTGATTGTTCTCCTTTACCGACCGCCTGATCAAGGCGCTCACGCAGTTGCATGTTGGCCTGCAGATGTTCCTGGACTTGCGATGCTAATTGTTCCATGCGCGTTGCGGCTTCAAGCAGCTGATGTGCGAGATTGTTCTGTGTATCGATGTGCTCGTCCTCGGATTGTTGAAGCATATATGCCTTTTGGCGGTACTCCTCTGCCTCGCGAAGAGCAGCGTCGCGTTCTGTCTCTGCTAGAGTGATACTTTGTCTGAGAACTTTGATCATAGTCTTGCGGTCCTCTTCTCCGAGCTCGATAGTCTCATCAGCAATATCGATGCCGAGTCCCTCAAAGGTCGACTTGCGCGAGGATCCGCTCATAGTTCGGCCGTTGAGATATTCGCGCATAGACTGTGTCTCTTGCTGAGCTCTATCGAGAGCCATCTTGACACCGCCAATGTTGCTTTCGCATTGCCACTTTTGCTCGAGAGCATCGTCGGCACGCTTTCTAAGCTCACCGATCTCATAGCGAACAAGGTTTACTTCACGTGTGAAGGGGGTTCTGCCGGTAGTCTCCTTTCTAGCACGATCGCGATCGGTGGTCAGCTTACGCATAATCTTTGCGTGCTCTCTCTTCTCGCTTTCGTATCTACGGAGGAGATTCTTGAGAGCCTGGTGCAGCGCATCGCGTTGGTCCTCAAGATCCTTGTGACGGTCGCCAGAGATTGAGTCAGATCGTTGGCGAGTCTCACTTCGCTCTCTGACCGAGCCAGATCTTGCCAGAGAGTTGCTTCGGCGAAGATTGCCATTCGAAGAGGGCCTAGCCAAGGAGTTCGATCGTGACAAGCCTGCTTTGGGGAATCGCGGTGGTGCGAAGACATCCTCATTGAATCCAGAGTCTCTGTCTTGTGCCTCTTGNNGAAGCATTGAGACTTCNNGAGGGCGGAGTGCTTGCAGCTGCTGCTGCATGCTAGCGTTCTCATAACGAAGTGATTGCATCTCGGCAGCTTCAGCTTCGAGACCTTCAACCCTGGCCTTGAGCTCCGGGACTACTTCGTCACGGAGGTTGTCGCGCTCATTGCGGTGCTTTACACTTTCATCCTTGAGGGCTGCGAAGAGGTCTTCAAAGTTATCCTTCGATTGACGCTCTTGACTCAAGCGACGACGGGTTTCATCGAGGAAGACCTCGAGTTCACGAACGCGTTCGTCTTTGTGGCCTTCTTCCACTGGTGCACCATCCTTGTTGTGATGCAATTGCTCTTCTAGCTGCTGGACTTGCGCTTCCAAACTCTTCCTCAGCTTCAACTCTTCGGAGAGTTTCTGAGCATAGTCGACCTGCATCTGTGCCTTCTCTTGCTCTGCCTTTCTCTTGAGACGCTCTAGCTCATCAATCTTGGCCTCGCTATCCACAAGGGGGTATCTCAAAGAGCTAGTGCCAGAATCCGAGAAGTAATCGCTTGTTCTTCGACCGAGCTCGCTCGAGCCAGCAGGCATCTCGCTACGGAAGCGATCGATTTCGTCCTCAAGCTCCATCTCTCGCCGAATGGAACCAGCAAGTTCGGAACTCACCTGCTGGAGCTCGCGTTCCAATTCCTCTACATGGGCGTTGATGGTCGACGAGGTGGACATGGGATGGTGGTTGCCAATGTCGAAGTATTGCGATTGAGAGCCAGCGCGATGGTGACTGTGGAAATCGAGTGCGGGTGGTGTGAGACCCATGTTTGTGTGTGTAGCATCGATGTGACTAGTGTTGCGAGAGTGAGCTGGCGAGGCTGACACGTCTGAGAAGGATGTCGCTGGCGAGTGTGCTTCGAGGTTTGGAGAGGATGACTTCCATCCAAAGAAAGAACCGAGCTTGCGGCCAGGAGATTTGGATCTCCTTTGTGGAGATGACGAGGCGAACGACTCGGTAGACTCGTCGGTGAATGATCTGGGTATGCCGTCGAGCTGCACAGTCATGACAGGGGCGTGGATTGGGGCACTCATGGTAGAAGAGCGACCTCTGCGCGGAGAGGCTGGGACTGACGTCTGACTCGACAGGCTGGAATTTCTGTGGTGGCCGGGAGCGGTTGTGTTATCATATCTTAACGGTACCGGCAAACGACTGTCGATTATGCTGCGACGTTGTGCACCGGAGGGAGAGAGAGCGAGAGACGAAACGGGTGGAAGGTGTCCAGGACTGGCGGTATCCCNTTTAACAAAGAGTCAGCCATGCACGCGACATTAAGGTAGATGCTATCCCCTATTCAACGGTGCATCGACATACTTTTGCGGGATCGAAACTTGGGTTTGGTGGCTCTGATGCTCTGACGCGCGAGGGGGCACGTTAACGTCCGTTAAAGCCGTTTCCTGCAGCAGCAACGACTGGTCTATGGAAGAAGGCCTCGTTCGCAGAGGAGCATCGTGGGGCTGGGGCGGACAGGCTATGTAGGAGAAGGAAACGGCTCTAGGTGAAGGTTTATCTGGCACGGGCTTCCTCCTTACAGGCGACGAGGCTATCGCCAGTGGGATCTGCGAGGTTCGCTTCTTGAATGATGNAAAGGAGGGCACGCTGACAGGCTCATCAACCAAAGTAGACTGCTCCCTCAGCTTTGACCGACTGTGAGATTGCGAGGTCTCATTTGCGCCGTCCGGGGAATGCCAACCATCATCTGCCATTGTGAGCTCAGCTTAACCCTGTCCAAATGGCATAGCAAGGGAGCCGACAGATTGAGAAAATACGAGACTCTGGTCGGCGGACGTGTTTAACGGTTCCAGGGGTAAGATAGTGATAAAGTTTCGGCAAGGGCTTGAGAAGGTTGGAAGAAGGAGCTTCCAGCAACTGTCGCTATCCTCGGTTTTCTAATACCAGCAAAAGACGAATTCTTCCTTGTCTTTCCCAATGCTCCTCCAGCGCCAAATGGCACAAGCAATTTCGACCAAGAGCTGCATTGCAGTGATCATTATGAGCGCGTCCACCCACGATCACCATTGGAGCCGCCATGAATTTCCGGGCCGCGCCAGGGACGCCACTCGTCATTGGCCGACCCTGTTTCTTCTAGTCACCCCCTGACTAGCAGCCCTTCGAGACCGGGGACCTCGAGACAACGCAACCGAAAGAACGTGTAGTCATTCCCGATTCGATGTTGTGATTGTGGACAGTAAGTGCCTTCGACTGTTTCTTGATGCTGCGAGCCAGACGTTCTGCATATATTCCCTTGCAGCAAGTCTGCAGGGCAAGTTATTGTTTGCCTTTGCCGCGCTGTCAACGCATTCTTGCCTTAAATTCAAGTATAAACAGTAATATGCGGTTCATTACTCGCCATAAGTGGTTCGCAGCAGCCACGTTGGACAGTTTGTATGAGGTTCATTACGTGCTACAAGGTCAATCGGCAACAAGCCGATCTATTCACAGCGAATGCGCTCGCTTGGCTGGAGGACGTAAAGATCTGTATTAGGGATCATCAATTCGCAATATACTGCATGGCCCGTCCACATAAACAGCGAAATCGAGCCTACTTAGCAACCAGCGACGACTCAAGCCTCCTTTCCTTCGAGATCCTGATAGAAGTTCCACCCGAAGTTTGCACTGGGATCGTTGAAGCGCAGTTTTCTGTCGATAGCATCCACCTTCTTGACGTCCTCAGCAGACAACTCGAAATCTCCTTCAACATTCTGCTGGATCCTCGCAGGAGTCTTGCTCTTGGGAATGACACTTCGGCCATGAGCGATTCCCCAGGCCAATGCTACTTGCGCTCCAGACTTGCCATACTTCTTTCCGATTTCGACCAGAGTTGGGTCTTCAATCAGCTTGCTGAGGTTCTGGCCCTTGGAGTANNCTAACATCGGGATCTGGTTAGCTCGATTCCTATTCAACTAGCATCATATGGGAGTATTGAGAAAATCGTGACGCTCGAGCTATCGAGATATACTTACAACTTCATTGCTGTTTCCAAAAGGCGAGTATTGGGTAACGTGGACACCCTGAGACTTATGCCACTCGGCGAAGTCGTGCTGCTGCAAGTATGGATGAAGTTCGAGCTGGTGGACTGCTGGGACAACGCTCGTCTCCTTGATCAGTCTTTCCATCTCAGCCTTGCTGAAGTTCGAGACGCCAATAGCTCTGGCTTTGCCAGACTTGTAGACCTNTTCCATTGCCTTGTAGGTCTCAACGTAGTCCGAGGTTCCAGGCTTAACCTTGCCATTAGAGTCTTTTGGGAAGAGCGACGAACCACTGGCGAAGGCAGATGGCCAGTGCATTAACCAAAGATCGACGTAGTCAGTTCCAAGGTTAGAAAGAGATGTGTCGAGAGCAGCCTCGACATCTTCTGGAGCATGCGAATTGTTCCAAATCTTGGTGACGAGGAAGATCTCAGAGCGTGGAACACCAGACTTCTTGATTGCAGAGCCAACCGCAGGCTCCGTCCCGTACACAGCTGCGGTATCAATGTGTCTCACACCAGCTTGCAGGGCAGCAACTACTGCAGGCTCTTGTGCATCTTTGTCTTGCCAGGTTCCAAATCCGAGTGCCGGAATGCTTGCTCTACGATAGCTATTAGCGAGCAGGTTTCCAATGCATACCACTTCATGTCGGGCATGTCAAATTATGACTTAAATCAAAGCAAGAACCTACCCAGTGTTCAGCTTGTGCATAGTACCTCTATGGACCATTCTTGCTTGCTGCTGTTTAAGCGGAGCCTGGGACGAAAACTGCTGGGATACTTGCGCCAAACGCGAAGTGGCAGTAGCAACACTCTTTGGTAGCTTCGACATCATGTTGGCCTTGGATGATAATTGTGTATTGAGCTGAAGAAGAATGAAGGTCCTCATCAAGGTTGTCGAACTCGAGAAAGTTGGTGACGTCAACTACCTCGGTTAAACACTCGATACACTGCATATGAGTACGTATATTCAGCCTTCAAAGCATGCACGCTGATAGCGCAATCAAAGATGTGGCGAGTACAAGTACTCAGGAGGTCCGGTCAACCTCTAAGCACATTCAATCCGAGCTAGACTTGAAGAGCATAGTAATCAGAGATGTGGTAAGAAAGTTATGCGCGTTGTGAACGGATGCAATAACGTATGATATGTGACATTACAAAGGGCCTAGTCTAAACTTTTGATACAATCCCGCGCGAAAGTCCTGAAGTGAGGCCTGCGCAGTTAACGGGGATCATGAGAATCATATGCTCAGGTATGAAAAGCCGAAACTTAGAGAACGAAGACACCAACGAGACCGACGGCACCAGCGAGACCCATGCCGAAAGCTGTGGGGAGAGATGCGCCTCCAGTGGAAGTGGAAGAAGCACCAGCGCTGGAACCAGAGCCACGAGAGCTTGAGCCAGCACCAGAGCCAGAGCCAGAGCCAGAGCTGCTAGTAGAAGAAGAACCAGCAGAGCCAGTGCGAGATGAAGTTCCGGTCACAATAGCAGTACCGTTGGCGATAGCAGTGCCATTGACAATGACGGTTCCGTTTCCGAGAGCGGTGCCGTTGACGATAGCGGTACCGTTCTGTGCAATGGTAGCAGGGACAGTGCCGTTAATGAGAGCTGTGCCATTCTGGGCGACGACAGCAGGGGCAGTCTGGTTGGCGACAGCAGTGCCGTTGTTTGCGATGATGACTGGGGCAGATGTGACGGAAGCAGCAGCAGCAGAGGTGGCGTTTGCAATGGCCGAGCTAACTGCAGAGGGAGACTCGGCAGCACCGACAAGGTACGACTTTACGTCGGTAGGGAGGCCGGCGATCCAGGAAGGAGTGGAGCTGGCGGCCAATTCAGCTGCGACGGAAGAGTAGACACCAGCAGAGTTGGTGAGGAACTCGAGGGCAAGAGAGGTAGGAACAGCAGTCTGGAGGACCTCAATGATGGAAGCACTATGCATGTCAGTACGTGAGGTGCAGCATGCTAGATTTGCGCAGCTTACAGGTTGGCATCAGTGGCCTGTCTCTTCTCGGGAGCAGCGAGGGCTCCAGCAGAGAGGGCGAAGACAGCGAGAGACTTAAACTGCATCTTGATGGCGAGTGTGATTTGATGGTAGTTGATTCTTGGTGCTGTAGGAAAGATGTACAGGTAGGAGGATGGAACGAGGGTGCTGAGACGAAATGCACAAGACTCGATTAATAAATGCTGCACGACGAGAAGGAGCGATCCTTCATGTACTTTCCAACCGATCTAAACATGCATCCACACAACGAAAAAAAGATCCCGCTCTCGTGTTTTGATCAGCACAGCCATCGGTGGCCATGCCTGTTTGGGTAGCGAGCAAGGCACCACCTTCTTCTCCCATGCAACAGGATCACGCTAATGACAGCATGGCACTGGTAGGATCCAGGAACAAACGCTGGACAACGAGGGTGGTCTCAGTGGTCTGGGCAAGGGGGACGCGCGTTGAGCGGGAGCAGCCTCTTAGAGTTTGACGTCGATGGCGGCGGCGGCGGTGGTCGTTGAGCTCGCGACTCTCGGGGGTCGGGCCAACGACGTGCAGGTACAGTACCTGCTTTTGCCACTCTATTGGTCCTGGCCTGTCACGCTGGGCTGCTCCCTGAGAGTGTTGAGAGTCAGGCAACTCGACGAGCAGCAAGCGGAGTTGGTTGCCAAACATGGAGACTCCACGCACTTCGTAACGCTCCACGCAACACCCACATTCCTTCTACGTACGTACTCGACTACGTTGCTAACTCGCAATCACTGTTGGCATGATTGTACCAAGCCCAGCTCTGGGAGCTTACCATACACACATATGTTAGCAGTACGAAGTCAAGCAGAATGCCTACGACAGGTAGTGTAGAACTTGGGCCGACGCTTGGAGACATGTCCACGCTTAAGGCCCTCATGTCTCTGGAGTGACCCTGGTCAAAGTTGTACAACCTTCTAATGCGGTTATTCAAGGTGCAGCAATGGGGGTTTCGATGTTTCCAGAGATGTGTTTGACGGTGCTTGTAGACAGACAGACTTTCAATCGTTCATGGGTTTCCTTTGCGGTCTGATATTTGTTCACCCATCCTGCATGAAGATTGGCTACGTTCCTGTGTGGATTGAGTAGTTGCCGCATGAGCTCCAACATCCATTTGCATGTGGCATCCGCAACTGTTGGTTTATGTAGACACACGATATTCATGAAGACACACTCGTCGAGTACTCGATCCCGTACATTCACACAGTGTGTAAAGTAGATACCTACCTAGACATGTTTCGAGATTCGATAGTCTTGACCGAGTCAACAAATTTCCCTGACTCCTGAGGCCAAACTACCTACCCCACAGTTTGACGCCAAGCGATGACGGTGTGTTTCGACGCGACCATGGGCAGCAGTTGGAAGCTCTGGTGTAAACAGAAACCTACCAGCAACACATTCCTGGCATAGGCAGCATGTCAATTACAGCAGGTGAGCCTTGTGATGTGGAGGTTTACACGAGGACCAACAGCTAACAAAGAAGCCAACAGACGGCATCTGGGCGGCCTCACCGTCGACAACTCGAGGTCAATCGACNCCCCTTAGTTCAAGCTCCGATGGCCAGTCAATAGCCTACGCCGCCAACAAGTCCATCTTCGTCCGCAACATCGATGACCCGAGTATCGCAAGACAGTACACCGAGCATGTCACTCAAACCACCGTCGCTCGTTTCTCCCCCAGTGGCTTCTACGTAGCTAGTGGTGATGTCTCTGGTACCGTGCGTTTGTGGGATTGCAAGGGTGAGGGCGCCACCAAGGGAGAATATCACATCATTGCTGGCCGAATCAACGACATTGCCTGGGATGGAGACTCCCAGCGCATCATCGCTGTAGGAGACGGTAAAGAGCGCTTCGGTCACTGCATCACTGCCGACAGCGGAAACAGCGTGGGAGAGATCTCAGGACACAGCTCTCAGATCAACTCCGTGTCAATTCGTCAACAACGTCCTCTTCGTGCTGCCACTGGCTCCGACGACACCAGCCTGGTCTTCTACCACGGTGCTCCTTTCAAGTTCAACACCAGTCTTCGCGGGAAACACGACAAGTTCATCTACGGAACCGCATTCAGTCCGGATGGTGCTTCTCTGGTCAGTGTCGGCAGCGACAAGCGTATCTGGTTGTACGACGGCAAGACTGGTGAGGCCAAGAACCAGATTGGCGAAGGCGAGCACAAGGGCAGTATCTTTGGTGTTTCATGGGCCAAAGACTCGAAGAAGCTCGTCACCGCTAGTGCTGACCAGACTGTCAAGATCTGGGACGTCGAGGCTGCCAAATGTGTCCAGACCTGGCGCATGGGCGAGGAGGGCGCAGTGAGCATTGCCAACCAACAAGTTGGTGTCACCTGGCCCAGTGGACGTAGCGATGGGCTCGTCATCAGTGTCGATTTGGATGGCAACCTCAACTACTTGCAAGAAGGCAACGACAAGCCTGTCCGTGTCGTTCACGGTCACCAAAAGGCGATCACCGCTGCTGGATACACACCCAAGGATAAGACGCTGTGGACAGGAAGTTATGACGGCCGTGTACGTGCTTGGGACCTCTCCACAGCGGAGGCCAAGAACGTCGATGGCGAGTCTCCCAAGAACTATGTCAGCGCCTTCGCACCATCACAAAGCGATGGCCGTATCTACTCCGTCTCGTGGGACGACACCCTGAGAACCATCGATGCCCCTACACGTTCCTTCATTGGCTCTTCCAGCAAGACTGATGGCCAGCCCAAGAGTGTCACCGTCGCTGCATCGGGTTCGAAGCCTGTGACATTGGTGGCCACCAATTCTGCCATTACTCTTTACAATGAAGGTGAACAAAACGGCTCTCTACCAATCTCATTCACACCTACCAGCATTGCTGCTAAGGACGACATCGTCGCCGTCGGAGCGGAAGACAAGGTTGTCCGCATCTACACTCTCTCGGGCAACTCACTATCTGCTGCAGCAGAGATTCGTGATGCCACAGCTGCTGTCTCGACCCTTGCCTTCTCACCTTCATCAACATGCCGTCTCGCCGTCGGTCTCAGCAACGGCAAAATCTACGTCTACACCTCATCCNNCTCACCATCAGAGTGGGCATTGACTACTAACCGCTGGTCTGCTCACACTGCCCGCGTCACTTGTATCACCTGGTCACCTGATGGCGAGAAGGCCGCCAGTGGTGGTCTTGATACAAACGTCTTTGTCTGGAGTCTCGCCGACCCAGGCAAACGCGTAAAGGCCATGAACGCCCACAAGGACGGTGTGGGTGGCATCGCCTGGACTGAGCCCTCGAAGATCATTAGTTGCGGTGCTGATGCTGCAGTCAAGGTCTGGAAGGTTGAGAACGTGCAGTAAATTAGCGATTTCATAACAACATCTGCATAGACAAAATTCATAAATCACGTGTGACGCCCTCGCGCTAGCCGCTACGGGCTATCTATAGATGCAGTCTTCTCGTTCGCTCGAAAGTGTTCTATTATGCTCGTTTACATATGCGAGAGATGGTCGACAATATCGTTCGACACCCAACCACGGCACGTAAGACGCCGCACTGATAAGATGACTTAGGACGTTCTCTGCTCATATTGCGACTCTCTAGAGCAGTTTATTCAATCAGGAATTACTAAGCCGAGTAGAAGATCAATTTCTGATCTCGGAACCATCTTCTCTATATCGAAGAAGATAATAGTTACATGTGCTTATCACAAGAGATATGCAAGGTAAAAGACTGCGCTACAAGAGATATCGGAAGGTTGGGGGCTAAGGAAGCCTTATTCATCCATGGGCATTCATATTGAAAGACCGAGATTAATATGATGAAGTTACAGATAATCAAGCAAGAGAACAGATAACGACAACTAAAGACCGATAATACATTAGGTGTACGACTTATACAACAAGGGTTTACTAAGAAGATACAAAATCTATATGGTGTATTATGATATGAAAATACTGTACCACATCCTAGTAAGTTACTAGGACCCTTTAGAACACAACCATCAGACTATAGGCTTCTAAATAAAGAATGTATAATAGCATGGAATGAATTAACTTGAACTCTAGGGATCGTACATCGAAGCCTAGTCAGAACTCCCCTACTGCTATTGTGCGAGGAGGTAACCATAGGTCAAGGGCTGAGACAAGTTATACAGATAATTAGCTACGTATCAGTATGAAGATCGTCTCAGAGTGACATCTCGTTGTTAGGTTATCGATATTTGAAGTTGAAGGAATTGGTACGGCTGGCTGCGTGGCTGGCGTCGAACTACATAGCCAATGTGGAGGAAGACTTTTGAAACAGTGAGTGCTACTATGATATGTTGTCGTACCAGGACTTCGTATCTAACAGTCTACACCCATCCGAAAGGGCAAAAGGACAACAATAATGAGTTAAGGTCAAAGTACAGGAAGAACGTTTAATGAATGATGGAAAGGGGTATTTTGATTATGATCAAAGCATCAGCCGGAACGCCAACCGACACCGAAGTTGCAAAGCTACGTAGCTAAGAAGCTTTTGCTCAGAATGAATTAAAAGTACAGAAAACGCAAGGGCTGTTCAGAGCGCCATTCTTGTTTGCAAGAGAAATGAACATCTCTCCCTTACAGAGCAAAGACAGCGATACCGCCGAGAACAGCAGCAAGAGCGCCGTTGGCCAGAACCTGAGAAGCGGCACCGGTGCTAGTAGCGACGCCTGAAGTAGAGCTGGCAGAACCGCTGGTCTTGGAGCCACTGGTCTTCGAACCGCTGCTGCCAGTGGCAGAGGAGGAGGAACCACTGTGAGTGGATGAGCCAGAGGCGACCGAGGATCCGTTGGTCGAGCTTGAGACATTGGCGCCGGCGGTGCCGTTGGTGTAGTCGACGAAGTTGGCGCAAGCGATGCGTGTCTTGTTGGCATAGTGGATCACGACACTGCGGTTGCCCATGAAGGCGCCATCGCCGGCAACGGTGGAGACGTACTGGTCAACGTAGCTGTTCTTCATGTTAGTGGTAAAGCAATTGCTGATGTCGAGATGCGCATCTTACGTGGCTGAGAAAGTCATGTTGGTGGGCTTGCCGTGCTTGCCGGAAAGGTCACCGACCTGGCAGGTAGCAGGGGCAGAAGCGTCGCAGGGAGGGGCCTCGCCGCGCAAGAAGGGATCAACATGTGCGCCTAGTCTTGTTAGTACGATGTTTTGCTCCCTCTAGATAACCAAGCAAAACTCACCTGTGGCAGTGCAGTTGCCATCGCTAGGGACGGGGTAGTCGTGGATGTGGTACACTGAGAATCTCAATTAGCAATGCGTGGATCCACAGTCGCGAACTCTTCAACATACGGAAAGGACCACCCTCGGCAGGCAGACCGGTCAGGGCAATCTGGAAGTTGACCCCGACATTGTCAGAGCTAGTAAGAGCGAGGACAGTGCCCGAGATGTTGCTCTTGCTAGTAGGGTTGAGGCTGGCGATGTAGGCAACACCGGCGGGGTTGTTCTTCTGGACGGTAGCGTTACCCAGCTTGCCTGTGACAGGAGTGGTGTCGGACTGAGCGGTCACGGCAGTGGCCAGCACAGCAATGGCTGCAACAGTCTTGAGGATCGAAGGCATGGTGAGACTGGTGATAGGTGGATTGAATGTAGGTAGCGTGTGTGTCAAATGCGCGTAAGAGAGAGTTTGCGAGGGTTTGAGAGAATTCGAGAAACCGTGGATGCAAGGGAGAGGGACAGTGGATGTAAAGAAGGTGCCGGAAACACGACAAACACAGCAATCCGGGGGTATTTTGAGCGACAACGACTGAACGAAACGAACCAAGAGATGAAAATAGACTTGTACCTCAGCTGTTTGAATCGCTCACAGTGTGACTTAGGCTTTTATAAGTATGGTATGGTTTGGCGACATGTGAGTAGCCGTTTTTGGTGCCGTTGGACACGACCAGTAGGTGAGGTTTGTTAGATTGCACCACGTCTAATTTCCCCCTCACAGAGTCACAGTCGACGCTGAAACTACAGCGCCAACTGTCTGTCCTCATAGGCCAGTCTCACCTTGACCTTAGCAACGTCCTGCCAGCCACAGGGGCGCTGCATTCCCGGAAGATGAAACACTCGAGGCGTGGCGGGCGGCATGGCACTTCTCTACCTCTGACTGCGAAGCCTTTCTTTATTCGATGCCAACCAACATCGCCATCGACGGCAGCCCAGCAAGCCAAGTAACTCGATCCCTCAGAGGACCGGAGCAGGAAAGGAAAAGAAAGAAGAACAAAAAAGCACAGCAGCAAACGAGCATGAAAGGTCACACTGATTTCGGCCTAGGCAGCTAGCTTCGGAACAACCGGAAGTACAGCCAATCAGAAACGCTGTCATCGTGTTCTGTGTATATACTCTCAGCTGCCACTTCCAGGAGAGTCCCCATAGAGACAATCGCATCAACAGACACTGTCTAAGAATGGCGCTTGCCCATTGGAGTGACCGATATATACGCTCTCTCTGTACAAGGTCTAGTAGGTCCGAAGATGTGCATCTCAGACTACAGGCTGCTCAGCACTTCCTGCAAACAATTGTCTCCAGTACGATACCTTCTATGAATCAGGCGCAAGCCTTGAGATCATGATTCTTACGTGTCTGGAAGTTTGATCAATGTGTTCGATGGCTGAACCAGAGATTGCCTGGCCTATCATTCTGTTTGAGGGAATATTGCCAGTCTCGGAGCTGCAAGATGTACACAGGCCTGCCATCATGGTGAGCAGTCATATTGCTGAAAGTGGTCAACACGGTGGCTGCATACTTGTGCTGCAACCACTGCCACCAGCTTTGTTTCTGTCAATGTGAGTTTGCCTACAAGTTTTGTTACGTCTCTTATGGCAGCTTGGTCTCGACTACCCATTATCTTTCACACAGGATCTGAATTGGAGGTCGGCCTCCATCAGCTGAGTTGCAGCATCTCTTCCCTTTGGGCATCTGAGGGCTGAGACCGCGAAAGAAAAAATTAGTCGAAGGTGTCTCTAAACGCGTAAAGATCATGACTTGGTTCGTCACTCACCACGCAACCGCATGTGTCGCAGATTCGCCCTCCAAAATATCAACTCGTGGAGACAACCAGACACCAGCCGTGGAACATAGTCTTCAGAAGGACAAGTAAGACAGACATGATGATTCCGGTGTTTGAAGCCGTAGAACTTGGATTTTCTGCCTTACCGCGTGCGAAGACCGTCACGTTCAATCCGAACTCCTTTCCCAGGGCGACAAGTAGTGATATTCAGGCCATAGAAATGCACAATACTTTCAAGGAATGGTTGCTATCTACTGAGAGACCGTCCCCTCAAGTCTTCTCTGTGGCCGTACTTTTGCTTCGAACAGTATTGTGCATTTCAATAGCTACACTGCAACAATATTTAGCACATGAGGAGGTACTCGATGTTTTACTGTTTCAATTTAAATTGAGTGGTCGTCGGTTATCACTCAAGTCTCCGGAAGTGAAGTACCGCTGAGGCTGATCAAGTTCATGCAGCCTGCGCCTCTTGCATACACAAGGCTGCAATAACACCTCACCAGCGCAACCAAAGCGCGCGCCTCACTCAGTCTCGGACACACCAGAACTTTCAGTTTGAACCTGACCCTTGGTACTATTCACCTACCAACTCCACCTTACTAACTTTACAACTCGTACACACCTGACTTCCACCATCCCGCAAGATGGCTGGTCAAAATGCCGCGCCGAGTCTGGATGGTCTAGTTCCCGAACTGCAAGCCAACATTTTCAGACATGTAAGTTGATTTCATAAATTCTGAACCACAGAACTTCTAAACGGCCTTAGNATCTCTCGTCCATCAGATCTCAAATCACTATGCCGCACGTCGAAACGACTTTACGATGTCGCCGTCAAAGAGCTCTACCATACTGTGAACCTCGAGATCGGTAAGAGGTCAGACATGAGTTTAAGCGCCATGCTGCACCCTGGAAATGCCGGGTTGAAATGGATCAGAATCCTTCGTATCCAGTTCACTCCTCAGCATGCCGACCTCTCTGAAGCTGATACTTCGCGTGTTCAAACCATCGTTCGGATGCTCATTGACTTCTTACCCATAAACATTCTCGACGACTTTGAGTGGTCTCCTTGGCTTGCCTTTGATCAAGAGACTTTTCTCATCCTTCTTGATCGCCAGAGGCGACTGCAGTGGCTTACTGCCTTCAGACTCGATGGAGCAGATGCTGTTGAGAAGCTCGAAGCTAGGGCTAGTGCAGGCGAAGATGCGTATCTTTACAACAACTGCCAGAAGCTTGCCATCTATCCTGACTCCGTGTCAACCCTGGAACTTGGTCAATTCCTGCTCTCCAAAATGTCAACTCTGACAGAACTGATCGTGCACACCAACTTTTCACATGGCCCAATCCATTACACCACGAGAGAGCTCAACGACACACCTACAGGACCAGGACTGGTAAACAGGCTTATGTTTCGTCATCTCCTTCCATTTGACAAGATTACCAACCCACCCTTTGCCCATCTCCGAACTCTACGTCTGGTAGATGTTGGTCTTCGACACTGTGCAGAAACATATGGCCGCCTCATCGACTTTACCCAAATCGAAGCATTACGTGTCGTCAGATGCTCCGGAGCAGACGCATTGTTTTCGTTGCTTTGCAAGAGTGCCTACCTTCCTCGCAAGCTGCGTTGTTTGGAAATTCAGCACAACGACAACTTAGACAACGATGCTCTGACGGCCGTGGACGACTTCTTGTGTCTTGTCGAGGGGATTGAAGACCTCTATATCGATCTGACGAACGTCAAGTCCATGCCTAACGTCGATGGAATCATCAAGCATGGCAAGACTTTGGACGTGCTCCTCGTGCACGCTTCAGAAGCCTCAACCGACGAGCTTGTCTGGGTCAGCGACGACTTTCAGCGCCTCTGCTCAAGCGTGACCAAATTGCGTCAACTCAGCTGTGCCTGGCCAGCTTCTAGTATCCTGAGGGCTAGCAGTCCTTCCTGGGATTCGTACCAGTTCAGTATCAGCTCACTTACCCGTATCGTGACCTTGCATATCAGCACATTTCCCAGTTGCAAAGCCAATCTGGAGAAACCTATATACACCGAGTTGCTTCGTTGGCAATCAAGTAAACTGTTCCTTCACACACCCTTCACAACTTCCAGCCTCAAACTCGTCGCTTTTGGCGTTTCAGACAAAATCCCTACTCGCCAAGACAGCAACAATCAGCTCATCTTCCTCCGCTCCACGCTAATCAACGCTGATGGNAAAGAAGAACCTACAGCAGTGCCGGTCAGTTGGGCTCTTAGACAGTACATCGAGNNCCCAGAAGCGATGTCCTGGACTTCGAGCTTACTAGACGACCAAAGATGCCCATCAGAGACTATGCAAGCTACATGGACGAGGATGACGATGATGACATGGTATGAAACCCACGGAGGAGACGATCAGAATGTTACTGACAATCTTGCTGGAGACGATTCCGATCATTACTAACTGACATGACCAACGAGGAGACTGCGAACGACGAAGAATGAGGGCTCATAGTCGATATGGTCACCACAAGAGATCAAGAGCTCAATCAAATGCTTTACGATAGCTATCACTATGTTTATCAGTCATAATTAGCTATAATATACAGGCCGAATTCACAATTTGAAAACACATACGATCTGCAAGAATTTTCTCGACAGTATGCCTCCCCGTGTGCTAAAGACAGTTACAGTTGTAGCTGCCGAAATGCACAGTGTGTTCACGAAAACTATGGTCTCCACTGAGAGAACCTTGATGAAGGCTATCTCAATGGCCAGACTTGTATTCGAGTTAGAACTATGCATTTCAGCAGCTACATTATGACTGCCTACAGCACATGGGAGGTGGAAGGAGGAGGTAGAAATTAGAAGTGGCCAGAGCTTTGAGGAAGGATGTAATTTGATTGACTATTCAATGCCAAACAGCCAATGATCTACTCTTCCCGCCATCTGATGGACCAGTCTCCTTTGGCGTAGGATGGTTCGACAACAGCCCCATGCATAACTGCCTCACACATTCGTCTTCCTTCCTGCTTAGTTTCTCCGTCCTCATCGTCCTTTCCTTTCTTTCCCCTTTTGCCTTCTCCGGTAAGCACTCTGCTGCTCGCGAGACCAAAGACCACAGCTCTTCTCGCGGCACATTTGACCATCTCTTTCTCCTCTGCTCTTCTCTGTCCTTCTCTTCGTTTCTGCAGCATCTCGGGCGTTTCGTTGATACGCTCGGCCCATCCCTTCTCTCCACCCACTGAGCCATTGACTTCGGATTCTGACTGTGGGGGCCTTACACGGCCCTTGATCTTGACCACGTCTGCTTCTGCATCGCCCTCTAGAGCTTCAGCCAGGGGAACACCTCTATTGTCCAAGAGCTTAACGCCGCCAGCCTCCATGGCATCTTCGTCTGCAGAGACGGTCTCTGCAGTCCCGGTATCTGTGTCTGAGTCCACCATGTCGATACTCTTCCATACATCGTCATCCGCGACACCACGTCTAGCTCTGTTCTTCTTGCGGCCAAATGTCTTTTCTGGATCTTCGCGCGAACCAAAAACCAAAGTCTCCACCTCGCTGCATGACACGAGGATACGAGGATCGCCCTTGACTTTCTGCTGCTTCTTCTTGCTGTTGCTTTTGCTTTTGCTGTAGTCGTATTTGTCGTGTGGTTTCTCGATGTCTTGGTTAGATATAGTCTTGGTGATTTCTCCTCCAGACGCTGCTGGGTCTCCTTGCACAGCAGCGAATTGAGAAGCGTCCTGGCCGTCAAGGAGGGCGGCGAAGGCTGCTTCGATGCGTTTATCCGCTGGTCGCAGTTTGTGTCTCTTGCATCTGTCCGAGCAGAACTTCACTTCTGTAGCTGCTGATTTTGCAGAGTTTGACTTCCTGGAGCCNNTAGAGTATCCAATCAGCTTTAGTTTCGTGATACAAACATTCATATGAGCGAATGATTGACAAGAGTAGTAGTAAAGTCTGGTCTCATGGTGCATTACTTCAACATCGTGATACTGAGTAGCAAGACCACCTTAATGTCCACCAGTTTACAGTAAAGCTCGGATTTATGCACAAACTCCTGCGTAGAACTTACCAATAACTCTTCCGCAAGTATGGCAATAGCGCACTTGGTCCGATGTCAAATATAGTGGAGGCGGTGTAGCGGCATTCTTCTTCGGCCTTGACCCTAGACGCTGATCAGGAACAATATGTATTTCAGATGGCACAAGCTACGAACATGAGTCCATCCAAGACATGATGATTCAGAAGTCTGAGCGTGCGTCTGCGACCAAGAAACGCTGATGAGATACAGAGGGTTGTGTGAAAGGTGGTCGTGGTCGTGGTTGTGGAATTGATCTCCCATACGTCATCAACACACCGCGCGCGCCTGCCTCAAAAGAAGCAATGTGAGCCGAGCACTACATGCGATTTTCAAACACCACAATGGTCTTTTCCAAATGAGTATTATTATTTATATTTTACAAATGTATAGTCTCTAGGAAGTATGCGATATATGCCAAACAACTGATGGTGAGCATCATACTCCAAATTCTTCTTCAATGTCGTCAGGTTCCAGGGTATCGACAAATGCTCGCCTGACGAATGTGTACCATGGCTTGTTATCCTTGGGCGACTTCTTCTTCTTCTTTTATCGCCCTTCTTCTTGTGTTTCTTCTTGGTGATTTTCATNATCGTTATCGTCCTCGTCAGTGTCGAAGGCTTCGTCTGCTTCGATCCCTTCAGAATCCGCACCTGACGTCTGCACATCGCTCTTCCTCGGCCTGACACCAGCGATACGTTGTGCTAGGCGGAGGTAACTTCTCGTTGTAAGATCTTCCAACTCATAGACCTTGTCACTACGAGTGTCGTACAGCACTTCATAGGTAAAGTTTGTTGGGTGAGGCGTACGATCATCGTCGAAAGGCTTCTTGCCATGGTGCTTGCCATCCTTCCACCTCTGTTGTTCGGCATCGTCTTCGAAGGAGTCGTTGTTGATGCGAGTCAGGTTGGCGTAGTACTGAACGAATCCCAAAAGAGTCAGCGACTGGGGTGAGTATGCAGGTCCAGGAGGTGCAGATTTTGAAGGCGGCTTAGGCACTGTGAACCTGTGCTTCTTGGGCTTCTTCTTCTTCTTTTCTTGCGTTCAGCTTCCAGATCTTCNGTCCTCGGCTACCATGTATTCCTCGAGGCCTTGTTCGTCCTCTGAAGTCTCCGTCGCATATAGGTCAAAGATATCCTCATTGGCACGGGGCAACTTTCTGTCGAGTCCAGTAATGTTGTACTCGTAGACACGGATGGTCGGAAAGTAGTTGGGCACAACACTCGGCGAGACATGGGAAATGCTGAACCTTTCAGCAAATCGGCCTCCAATCTCGGCATCATAGTCATCCGGATTGTGTGGCTTCTTTCCCTTGTGTTTCTTGCCCTTCTTGAGGGCTTCTGCATCCTCATCTGCTTGAGGCTTGGGTAGTTTGGTCCAGCTCTTTCTCAGATCCTTAAGGTAACTGGTGGCAGATTGAATGCCAAACTGCTGGTCAGCAGCTGCAACCATGCCTCTCTTGTTGTTGCTCTTGATGATCTCATAACCATCGACAACATTCTCATCCACCTCCTCGAAATCTTGGACAATGAAATGGTCGGTATTCATGTGGCCGTAGAGTGTAGCGACTATGACATCTCTGTACTGGTGCATCCACAAGGTGTATTTCTGCCAGCAAGTCTCATCCCAGTTACTCTTGTTGGCTGTGCGAGCAGGAGGAACGTGACCAGTAATGATGGCCTTCATGTTGCGATCGCGCAAGTATTGTAGCTGAATACGGAGCCAGTCAAGTTGACGGTATCCAGGCTCTGATTTGGCGGCGCATCCATCGACGGCTGAGTTGGAGTTGAAAAGTAACTTCAATAACATATTAGCACGGCATATTCACAGTCAGGCACAGGAAAGAATGTACAGAGAATTGAGCGAGACGACGGCGAGGTGGTTCGGAATGGCTTCTACGTAAAACCAACCGCCCTGGTCGAAAGAGTGTTTCTGCACTTCGGGAATGAAGGTACGCCAGATGTCAAGGTAACGGCGTGTCCAGATATTTGGGCCTCTCTCGAAGATGTTGTGCGGCAGGATGTCGTTGTTGCCAAAGGTAGGGATGACAGGCACGACGAGGTCGTTGGTCGGGTCGTCGTCAGGCTCATCTTGGTTCTTTGCAAAGACCTCGTAGAACTTTTCGACGAGCAGTTGGTTCAGCTGAGTGACTTGTTGTACGTTTCTCGGTATCTTCTCGTCGTTGTCATGGCGCGCCGAATCGCCAGTCCAGATGACAAAGTCGATCGAGTCCTTGAGCTCGTCGCGGATCCAGTCGAATGTGGCATTGATGAGCGAGATAGGCGAGTCGCAGTCGGACGTCTCGGCACCGTAGTAACCTGCTGGGCCGTGACCTCTATGGCATGCGCCGGTCTCGTCGATAGATGAATAAACCTTGTAGAAGGGATCCGGATGGAAATNCTGCAGCATGGCAAGGGATCAGTCGGTGACATTTCGAGTGGAGCGGTCTGTACGAGTAGATTAACACTCACCCGTCACCTGCAGGAAGCGGCCGTGCAATTGCCGTCTTTTGGTGATTGACACGCCATTGTCGACCAGAGGCTCTTGCCATGCCGACACGGGCTCGAGAGCCGCCAGAACCAGTGCCGACACGATTGAAGCCCGCCAGCAGAACATTGTGTATGCCAGTCGTCTTGCTGACCTCACACGCAGAAGTCCAGCCGACCAAGTCGTCGACCTTGAGAAGTTGACAAAATGGTTGGCTGCAACGGCCCGTCGATCTTTGTCTCAGAGTCTACGTCACTGCCAAAAGAAAAGCTGGAGTAGATTTGGACAGGGTCGCGAGAAATAGACAGACTCGTGTGCTCGGCTGCCTTTTTGTTGCGAGTCAAACGATTTTATTCAAGAGCGCAAAGGCGGAGACGACGGTGCTTGTATGCTGAAAATGGAGGCAATCGTTTTTGGTGATACGTGATCTGTTCTCTAGCCCATCAAGGTACTGTCGACGACTCTGCCCAATCATACGACGCAGCCCGCCCACGGGACGCAAAAGTCAGTCATGCGTTCGACTGCTCGTCCTCCTGACACGAACACTAATGCATCCTCAAAGGTCTGCTGTTCTGTCTTCGCTCTCTCTGATCCACTTGTCCAGCTGCTGCCTGTTGCGTACGCGAAGTCCCACCTTGAAAGGCTTCGGTTCCATCTGCGAAAATGTCAATTTTTGATATGAGAGATGACAAAGGAATATACTCACAGTAAGACTAGTGGGAAGAGCATTTGCACCTAGTGCGTCCAGAACAGGCTTGTCCTTGGGATCCTTCGGTGCAACGAACTCGAAGGCTGTGATGAGCCTCAAAAATGCTGTGTACAGCTCACGGTTGCTCAAGTGGCTGCCCACACACATTCGACTACCTGCTCCGTAGCCGAAGTGTTCGATACCTGTCATCTCCTTGTCCAGATAACGTTCCGGCTCGAACTTGAAGGGGTTCTTGAAGTGCGACTCATCGTAATTGGCCGCCCAAGCATTCATGTAGAATGTGGTGCCAGCAGGAATCACTGCACCTTGCCACTCGATATCCTTGATGCTTACTCTTGGCAAGCAGATTGGGATAACTGACCAGAAACGAAGAGTCTCTTTCACGAGAGCTGTAATGTACGGCACCTTCTCTTCGCTCAAGCACTTCTCCCAAGCGTCGCCATCTGGATAAACTCTGTTGATCTCATCCAGAGCTTTTCGCTGAATTCTCTGGCCATCCTCGGAAGACAGATACGCCAAACACATGACCAAGTTGCCTGGAACAGTATCCAAACCGGCGCTCACCATTGTCAAGCAGATGGACATGATCTCGGCATCGTTTAGCTTTGCTTCCGGGTCCTTGAGGATGTTGCCAGTGATGCATGGTCTGTCGGTACCAGCCTTGATCTTCTCTTTCAGCATGTTCAGCAACTTGGTCATATATGCTGTTCTACGTTTCTTGTACTCGAGTGGCTTCACGTTGTTCGTTGGCCACAGTCGCATGAGTGGGATATAGTCCTGCCAGTTGTTTGATGTTGATCGAAAGTTACTGATCTCACGCTCAACATGTGTAATCTCTTTGAGCATCTCGTTGTCGATACTGCCTTCGATCTGGATGCCGTAGTTGAGGGTAAGACTTGTGCTCAAGGCGTATCGCTGGAAGTAAGGATTCGGATCGACATCGAAAGTGCCGTCTTTTGAGTCTGCAAGCATCTCCTTGATTGATCTTGTGGATTCAAAGTCGATGAAAGGCATGTAGCTTTGCACTGCTGGACGGTTGAGAGCTGTTGCGGCTGCCTTTCTTCTCTCTTTACAACTAGGATCCCAAGGAGAGGTGCCGATGGTGAATCCACTGGATGATGAGACCACAGTGTGGAAAGTGTGCAAGGTTGGTCGAGAAATCAGCGCCGACTGGTTCGTGACCCAGATGTGCTTGACAGAATCGAATGTATTGGCGAATACGATACGNNCTGTCACAAGTCTCAGTATGCTTTCACCTGGGCGCTTGACATATGATGTGCTTACCCTGTTTCCAAGACGAGTCTGGAACACTGGTCCATACTGCTTCGCCCATTTCCGAGCAACGAGAGCATGATCAGTACCCAATTGGAGCAAGTTGCCAAAGAGAGGAACGCCAGGGATCTCGGGAAGATTCTTGATTTTTGGAATATCAGATGAGTTGAGGTACCGGATAACGAAGAAAACGACAAGAGCAGCTACACCAAGTACTACAGGCGAGGCCATGTTGAAGAGTGATGAAGAATGTCAATGCCAGAAAGTTGCTTGGAAACAGAACAGGACCAACTTTTTCGCTCCTTCTTACCAAGTCTTATACTCTTACTGGTTCAGCAAAGACCAAGGCCTTCGCGCCCCGCTCCGTCCCTGTGGAACGTCAAAAGCCAGTTGTCTTGTGATCGCTAGCTTCTCTACACAACCAAAACTATACGCGGGAGTGTTCCCCGCCTTCGTCTTGGTATGGAATATGGTGCTTCGGATGTCGAGCCGTGCGGCCAGTTTCCGCACCATAGCGGAACCTAGTAAAAGGTTCATTTTACGTACGAGATATGCAAGAGCACAGGGGGTTCGCTTCAGTAGCGGAGCCGATCAAGGAGAGATCGATATGCATGCTGCTCCAATTCTAGCGTTGTGGTTGTGGCTCATCACTCTCTCTCTCTCTCCGAGGAACACACACATGATATAATGTTCGTTCAGACGAGTGTTATATTGGTGAAGAGGTTCATGATGAGCGAGTTTAGGAGATAAATACACAGCTCTTTCATCCTCGCGTATTGCTTTGCTACGTTACTGCACTTGAACAGCTAGATGCTTACAGCAGGGACAATTTTGCCTTTGCACTCTCCAAAGCCAATTCTCACGCCGTCTTCTCCCATGCAGAGTCCGCTGATGATTATCTCGTCTCCATCTTCTAAGAAAACACGCTGCTCACCGCCTTCCAACTTAATGACTGTTTTGCTGTTTCTGTTCTGCTCCAAAAGACTGCCACGCTCAGATGCCTCCTTTCCTGAGATAGTACCAGATCCGAGCATATCTCCCACGCGCATAGGGCAACCAGTGATCGAGTGGTGAGTCAGCATCTGGTTGAATGAGAACAGGAGATTTTTTCCTGATGTGCGAGTGATCGTAGTGGTTGCACCCGAAGAAGCTGAGATCGTGTGTGGTTAGCATGCTGGTCGGGTCTGAATTCAACAAAATCACTTACTCTTGAGGACGACCTCCAGCTTGATATCGAACACATTCTTCTTGCTTTTCTCTTTGAGATAATCCAGAACTTCCACGTCACTGTCCAGACCAGTGGTACGATATGGCTCGAGCGCATCAGTCAACACAACCCAAGGGCTTATAGAGGATGCAAAGTTTTTTGCAGTAAAGGGCCCCAAAGGTACATACTCCCAGGCCTGGATATCACGAGCAGACCAATCGTTGAGCAGAACGACACCAAAAATGTAATTTTCGGCCTCATCAATAGGAATTGGCTCACCCATCTTGTTGTTCTTGCAGATGAAAGCACCAAGTTCGAGCTCCATATCAAGTTTCCTGCAAGCAGATAGGATGGGCTTCTTGACTTCGGCCGTCGGATCTTCTAGTATCTGTCCAAGCGGTCGGCGGACTGGGGTTCCTGATACGACGATGCTCGAGGCTCTCCCATGATATCCCACTGGTAAGTGCTTGTAGTTGGGCTGCAGAGCGTTTGCTGCTCCGCGGAAGAGCTCGCCTACGGTAAAGGCATGGTTCAAGCCAGCGTAGAAGTCGGTATAGTCTCCTATCTGCATAGGCAGGTGGTTCTCGACGTCTTTTAGAGGAATAAGACAAGCTTCCTGAACTGACTTGTTGTCTTTCAGGACATTTGGGAAGGGAGTTGACTCTAAGAAGATCGACTGAAGGTATTTTCTGACGGCTGTGTGCATTGGTCTACCGAGTGCAGCGAATGCATTCAAAGTGGTATCAGAAAAGACATGTTGATGTGGCTGGATCAGAGACAGAGCCGAGAAACCATTGTGAGATGCGAAGAGATCCAGATCCAGAGCATAGTCTCCGATAGCAATTGCAGGTCTTGGTGTAGGTCTCGTTCGAGTACTGATGATGCCGAATGGAATGTTTGCCAGTGAGAAATGGCAGTCAGCAGCGATAGAGAGCCAGCTCTTGAGAGACATGATACCAGAAGTAGCAAGACGATGATGCAGGGATAGCAGCTTGGAGCAAGCAGTCCAGTTTTGATCAAGACGAGTCTTCAGTTGTGTTTGCGAGACTAATGGGTGTTAGCCCGTACGCATACAACAGTCGATACAATTCTGGAAGGTGACAGTGGATACCTAGTGCGGACGTTTTCCGCCCTCCCCATGTTCAGAAGTATGTAACATCTATCGTACTCCGAGCACAACATAGAGTATGGGACACGCTATGAAAAGGCACAATCTCATTCGAAGACAAATGCTGTCCACAGAGAGGCCATATTTTGTTGCTTCTCAGCGGGAACCGTCCATTTTCCTGGTAGTATCATGCATTTCTACAGCTACACGCATTACATACTTTCGAACACGGGGAGGGCGGTAGCTCTGCCCCCTCCAACCCCTCAACAGCTACCCCTCACAACAGCGCGGCGCCGGTTCCGTGTGCAACTGAATTATCATGTCGTAGCTCTTGATGCGCCGCGGATTACAAGATCATCTGATGACTGGGTAGCATTCATCTGTCTACTTAATTCTACATCCTGCCACATAGCACTTGAGCCAACGACAGTGTGCCAGTCTTCGAAATGCCAACCACGCAATTCAACGTCAAAGAGAAGTATCAATACCAGAATGGCTTTGGTAGCTATCATGAGTAAGACATTCACGTCGACCTGTATGGACTGTGACACTGAAGTCTTCTCCAGNNAACCGAAGCAGTAGATGGTGCGTTGCCCGTAGGAACAAACTCGCCCCAAAAGCCGCCATATGGACTCTACGCCGAGAAGCTGTCTGGCACAGCATTCACTGCACCAAGACACGAGAATCAACAGACTTGGCTGTACAGGATACTACCCGCGTCGGCTCATTCGAACTTCGAACCACGAGAACACGCTACATTCAACACGAACCCAGAGAACCAACCAGGACAGAAGATCCATCAAATCCCCAACCAGCTTAGATGGGATCCCTTTGATCTTGACGAGACGGTGGACTGGGTCCACGGCCTCCATTTGGTCGCTGGAGCTGGCGATCCAACCATGAAGACAGGCGTTGGAATCTACATATTCGCAGCTGGAAAGAACATGGATGCTCATGAAGCTTTCTACAGCGCAGATGGCGACTTCTTGATCGTCCCTCAGCATGGAGTGCTGGACATCAGGACTGAACTTGGAAGATTGCTCGTGCGACCGAACGAGATTTGCATTATTCCCAGGGGTATCAGATACCGTGTTGAGCTTCCAGAGGGTCCGGTGCGAGGCTATATCCTCGAATTATACCAAGGACACTTTACGCTCCCAGAACTTGGACCCATTGGATCTAATTGTCTGGCCAATGCGCGAGACTTCCAGGCACCTGTGGCCGACTTCGATGAAGATACAGATTCGCAGTGGACATTGATGGCCAAATTCGCGGGTCACCTGTTTGCTGCGAAGCAGAATCACACACCTTTCGATGTGGTAGCCTGGCATGGCTTGTATTACCCTTACAAATATGACTTGGGTCGATTCTGTACTATCGGATCAGTCAGCTTCGATCACCCTGATCCGTCCATATTTACAGTGCTCACGGCACAGAGCGATCATCCTGGTACAGCGGTTGCCGACTTCGTTATATTCCCTCCTCGCTGGCTGGTTCAAGAGGTACTTAGCATGAGAAAATTGGACCGGGGCTGCGCAGGCTAACGTGGTATANNGGATACTTTCAGACCGCCTTGGTACCACCGCAACACGATGAGCGAGTTCATGGGATTGATCCATGGACAGTATGACGCAAAAACAGGAGGTGGCTTCCAACCAGCAGGAGCATCACTCCACAATGTCATGTCAGCTCATGGACCAGACGCTAGCACTCATGAGAAGGCATCAAACGCGGACCTGNNGAAGCCAATGAAGGTTGGAGAAGGGTCAATGGCGTTCATGTTTGAGAGTTGCTTCATGGTGGGTGTGACCGAATGGGGACTCAAGAAGTGCGCCAAGGTGCAGGAAGACTACAACGAGGAGAGCTGGACACCACTCAAAGCACACTTCGAGCGACCACAAAAGGAGGTAGGAGAGATCAAGAACGGAGGCGATAGTGAGCAAGGAGCGATTGGAAGCACAAAGCAGGTTCCGCACTGGACGTGATGAAGCGAGACAGAACAGACAGATAGTCAGCGTGCCGCAATGCAAAAGTCCCAAGGAATTTCTTGATCTCTATGAGGCCAAATGTTGTCGGGAGCTGGTGAGGAATGAAAGATGGTGGGCACGCGAGGAGACAGCCAAACAGCTGCCAGCAAAGGCAGTGACGGCGCCAAGCGTCCGAGCTTCTTCGAGGCACCCGCACGGGTGTGGGCTGTGGAGAGGTTGTGATGCTTCTCCAGCATTTGATGATAAAAGAAAGCAGTCGTCCCTCGCGCAATTCCGTCGTCACCAGCTTCCATCACTCGATAGCCTCCTGGAAACCCCTAACCCCTCGTCGCCATCGCTTCCCACAGCATCTAATATCGATATTCTGCTGTCACTGCCTCAAACCAGGACAGACCGGCGATTGGCCCACATCACCAAACGAGAAGCACCCAAGACGACGCGCCATGCTCGTGGCCTAAACTGCTCCTACACCAATGCGCATCATCACTCCCGAGAACCTGCACTATCCCATCACCGTCACGAGGCTACTCCGCAAGCCCCAAGACCAGGTCGACTACAATGCGCCTCTCTTCGCCTACCACTATAAGACCAAGGTCCTAGAAGGTGATGAGGAGACGCGCGAGAACAAGCTGGTCGAGCGTATTTGTCCCTCCACTTTCGAGAGCACTGCAGAAGGCATCTTGACCGAATGGCACATCGCCGAAGGACGCGTCATAAGCAGGCCTNNGGGTGAGCGAGCCAAACCCCAAGCACTTGTCTAAGCTAACCAGCCTTGCAGCGTGCCTCTTGTCGATGTCGAAGAGGCCTGCAAACATGAAGTGCAATTCGGAAACCTCTGCGCCGACTGTGGCAAGGACATGACAACCGTCACCTACAACACCGTCACGCGCGACACGGCCAGAGCCACTGTCAATGCTGTCCATGGCCACACCTCGCTACTCGTTTCACGTGCAGAGGCCTCCAAATCCGATGAAGAAGCAAAGCGCCGCCTCCTCTCGTCGCGTAAACTTTCGCTTGTCGTCGATCTCGACCAGACCATCATACAGGCCACTGTCGACCCCACTGTCGCCGAATGGCAGAAAGACCCCCAAAACCCAAACTACCCTGCTGTCAAGGACGTCCGCGCTTTCCAGCTCATAGATGATGGCCCTGGCGCAAGAGGTTGTTGGTACTACATCAAGTTGCGCCCTGGTCTTGAGGAGTTCCTGTCCACCATATCCAAGTACTACGAGCTGCACATCTACACCATGGGTACTCGTACCTATGCTCAGAACATTGCCAAAATCGTGGACCCTGATCGCAAGATCTTCGCCGATCGCATTCTCAGCAGAGACGAAAGCGGAAGTCTGACTGTCAAGAACCTCAAGCGCCTGTTCCCTGTCGACACAAAAATGGTCGTTATTATCGATGACAGAGGCGATGTTTGGCACTGGTGCCACAACCTCGTGAAGGTCACTCCTTACGACTTCTTTGTCGGCATCGGCGACATTAACTCCAGCTTCCTTCCTAAACGACCTGGTCTGGAGCCGAGACCTTCTCAATCTGCTAGTCCCGACGCACCAGACCCTTCAGTCGATGCACAATCAGCCGTCACTTCGCCAGCCGACTCGACAGGAAGTAAGGTCTCTGCCATTGACCAGTTAGTCTCCATGGGTGGTGGCAACGACCCTACCAAGCTCAAGGAACAGACATCGGAGCAAGGAGAAGCCATCACCGCTCAACTCACCGACCGTCCTTTGCTGCAGAAGCAGAAAATTCTGGACGCTGCAGAAGAAGATAGCAACGGCACAAACGAACAATCCTCAGAGAATGATGCAGCATCTGTACCCGATGCACCTGTCGAGACACACAAGTATCGCCATAACCTTCTGCAAGACAACGACACCGAGCTTCGCTACCTTCAGCGTAGCCTGCAATCGGTTCACTCGGCCTTCTTCGAGGAGTATGACCGCAGGACTGCTGGCCCCAAGGATGGTCGTGTTGCCGAATTACGCTCTGGCCCCAATGTCAACCTCACAACAGACAAACTCGATAGTCTTCCTGACGTAACAAGCATAATGGCAGCCATGAAGATGAAGGTACTCAAAGGTGTGCATATAGTCTTCTCCGGAGTTATGCCATTAGGGGTTCAACCCCAAAAGTAAGTGTAACTGACAACGGTTTGACATTTCCGGGCTGACCTTGATTCTAGTCACGATTTTGCCATTTGGGCAAAGAGCTTTGGAGCAACCGTAAGCGAGAACATCACCAAGCGTACATCTCACGTGGTTGCTTCGCCCTTACGGAAGACAGCTAAAGTCCGACAAGCCGCCAAGAAGGCCGACAAGATCAAGATTGTGTCTCAAGATTGGCTTTTCGCCTGCTTGGTTCAATGGCGAAAGGTGGATGAAGCCCCTTTCCGCTTGCACGCCGATCTAGAGAACGAGCCAATCGAGCCAGCCGCTAACGGCCAGGGTTCGCCTTTCGACGAACCTGATCAGAACGCTCAGTTGTCATCTTCCGATGAGGAGGCTGCAATCACTGAAGAAGAGGATGCCGCTGAAACTGATAATACTGGAAATGATACAGATTCACAAGAGCAGGCCGAACTCGAACGTTACATGCCCAGTTTGCCACGTGAAGCAAGCTCCGTGGAAACCTCTGCTGATAGAGCTGACTGGGATGCCGAACTTAATGAATTCTTGGATGGCGAGCTCGACAGCGAAAGCGAAGCTAGCAACAACCAGTCGGATACAGATGATACCNNGAATCACTGCCCTCCAGTGCTAGGGAAGAGGAAGAGAGACGAAGACGGCCAGTCTACGGACAACGACGACGAGAGCGACTCAAGCCAGATAGGGTCTAGCAGACTCGAGCGAAGGAAGAGAAAAGCACTCGCCAGAACAACGAGTCTTGCCAGCGTTTCTGCAGTTGATGATGCGCANAGGGTCAAGGCTGAAGCCCACACCAGTGCGCCTCAGCAAGATACCCCTACGGGCGCCAAGCATGATGTCGTTGAAGAAGAAGACGACGACGACCTTGAAGCTCAGATGGAGGCAGAAATGCTGAGACAAGCCGAGGAGGAAGGATACGCGTGAATGGAGATCTCTTCTGGAATTGCTTAAAACAAACAAGGCATAGCAAGGCGTTTTTGGCGAACATCCTGGACATGCATAAGGGGACAAAGGAGTTGGCGCTTGTAAGACTGTCGTCCAAGTAGAGTCCCACACACTATCATATGCCTACGTTGATGACATGATCAGTAGATGAGAGCCACAGAGTCTCAACATTTGTCCGATGTCGAATTTCGCTGAGAGTGATTGATTTTAATACGTAGTGAGGTGCCAACGATAGTCCCTGGTACGAGGGCTTTAGGTCAGGGTCATATCACTGACGATGATTTATCCGATGAATATCACCTTTATCCAGCCGTCTTGTGTCTTACATACACAAAAGCTTGTCTGACATATCCTATAATGTGCTTCTCGCTCCGAGTGTGTTTAAGAATAATGATTGATGTGTTGGGGTGGAGCTATGTCACTTTGAGTGCTATCGAATTCCGAAGCTCGAGATGGGCAAACACGACACACCATCTCTACAGCAGCTGTCGCTCAAGCATGTGATGCTTCTCGAAATTTGTGGTAGACTCTTATGATCTCGTTCACACGAAATTCGATGGCTCTGTCACTGATGTCGATGCTATCGATGTTCTTGATGAGTCTTCTCACCATGTCCCGCAGGTAGTTACTGCCAGGAAGGTGGTCCTGGATGTGAAGAATGACCTTCATGGCTGTAATGCTCGCTTATTATATCCGGTATATACAGCTCACGAAAGAAACAAGTGGTGTAAAGGAACACACGTAGGCTTGAAATACTGCCTCCCCGTGTGCTAAAGGATGTAACTTCTACTGTACTCCGACTACAGCGGTGTGTAAGGTACACGCTACAAAAATGCACAATTCTATTTAGAAACGAAGATTGGCCAAAGAGAGCTGCTAGGAGTTCGCTTCTCAGTGGTCACTATCCTGGTTTCTAATGGTATTGTGCATTTTTAGGGCTATATGCGTTATATACTTCTACACACGGGGAGGTGTGAAGAAGTGTAACAGGTGCGGTGATGGTATGGAAGTACGCGGAAGAGAGGAAAGGAGGAGATTGTCTTGGAAAAACAACGTGGAAGGCACCAACAGACCTTGAGGGCACTACCGGACTTGCGCCTCTCCCTGCGACCATCCTCTACCAGGGAAAGGTCGAAGTGGAGGGCACAAGCAGGACTGACTGACGGTATGGAACTAGCAGACGTCCAAGGACTCTAAGTCTGCCATCTGCGTCAAACTATACACAATCTCAACCGAAACTGTTGACTATATCCTAAAAATACACTTTGTATCTCACCGAGGACATCTACCATTTTGTGCACATACATAGTTGTTATTTGGTGACTAGAACGTCGGGCAATTCCGTGATCTGAGTCGTCTCGCGCGAATCCAAATCTACAACGTGTACTGCAGCAAGGCCCACTAGACCTGTCGAGAGCGTCAAGAACTCCAACTGTACATTATGACAAGCTCCAGGGGGTAAAGGACTAGGGGATTATTAGCGAAGACAAGGAGTATATGGAAGATCAGACTCACCNNCAACTCGCACGTCTGCATTCAAACAGACGACTTCCGCCATCTGGGCCTCGCGCTGATCCTGCATGTGATATATCGTGCGATCATCCATTACCGCATCGGCAGTATGATGACTGTCCTGTCGCGAAATGTTGGGAAAACGCAGGGCGTGTTGCGATTGTGCTGATTTGACAGACTTGGGAATGGCCACAATTGCGAGCCTCTTCTTCCTCGTGCTGCGATTTACCACGAACACATCAAGAAGAAATGTCTCGCCTTCTTTCACCTTGTCCGGAGCAGTGAATGCAAACGTTACACCTGCAGAGTCGACTTGAGTCATGCCGCTCATAGGTCGAGTTGTCATTGTGCTCATCCGCTTGCTCAATGGCCGCGAGTTGAGGTCTTGAGACGTCGATGCCACGCTTTGTGGTCGTATTGACGTGGACTTGTTTGGTTGAAGTGGAGGAAAATTTACGTTTCCGTGCCAGCGAGCCTGTATCTGCGCACTAAATGTGTCACTGACCTGAGCGACAGCACGAATCTGGAATGTGACACTACTCGACCTGCTTGCATGGTGACTTGGAGCACCAGCCGCATCTTTAGGTCGTCCCAATTTATACAGGAAAGTACTCTTATCTCCAGTTTGTAAGGTTGTTGGTATGTTCAAAGCTGCCAGATCAGCCGAGAGGGGCTCCACAGTAAGACTGCTCCCTTCTGCCTTGATCTCGTCTATTTGTATGCCACCATATCCGGTATGGCGTGTTGATTCCAGATCTAAGCACAACAGCACATCCGAAACTTGCTCAGGAGTAATGTGAACTTTGAGCGCCAAAGCTGGAGAGACGTTGAAGAGCCTCGATGATGTCCTTAGCGGACGAGCCTCTTGGGTTGTGGGAGCCGCCTGGGGTGCCACCTTGTGGATCCGTGAGGATGGAAGATATGGTTGGCTCGAAACAGTCTGTGAGCTGTGTTGTAAAGATTGAAGCAAGTTTTCGGAGGTTGGAGGTGCACAACTAGTCATGTATTCATCTTTGATTGTTGCTTTGAATACTTCAGCAGGCTTCGAAATAGCGGACGCTGTAAGATGAATGGATGGTCGATGAAGCCTTTGAGGCGGAAATCGAAGATAAAGCGTTGCCTTCCAAACAGCATATGATTGACTTCCTTCATCAGGAAGACGAATGAAACTTGGTTTGTGTTCGGGTGTGATGGTGACGGAATCCAGAGGCAGTTTTACAGGCTGCTGTGNGGGAGCTGGAGCACCGCCTGATTGTAGACGCGGAGGTGGTGAGGGCTGGGTGGCATATGCGGTTATGTACAACTCAAGATTTTGTATTACTTCGTGAAACGACGGTAATGAGCTGCGAAGGATAACATATACAGGTAGCAATTCCTCNNTAATGGACATTAACAACAAGGTCAGAATCGAGACAGGAGCCGGGTGCATACCAAAGAACAGGACATCTCTAGAAACAAGTTGATTGTCAGTCTTCAAATGGGTCTCGACATCAAAGTCTGATGAGTTTGGGATTATGAGATCAAGAGTGCAAGCATCAGGAAAGGACAGCGTAGGCTGTGATTCAGCGGTAGTAGATGTCATTGAACCCTCTCCATGTACAATCCTGCGAGTCCTCTGATACCAAAGTGACTCGCGAAGTGAGATTTCGAACAATCACAAGCAATTGAAAATAGTCGAGTGACCATTGATTGGGGACCATCACATGCAGGGCGACAATCAGGAGTCGGAGGTCGAAAGCGGAAAGTGCCGATGCAGCTCTAGACTTTCCAGCGCGCGCTCTCAGAAAGAAAGAACAAAGACAACTCGATCCAATCAATTGCTATCGCGCAGAATGAGCGGCCTCCAGAGCCATCCGGCATGGCAGATTCTGCTCGACAACAAGACAAACAAGCCGTATTACTACAATCGTTCCGCCAACATCAACACTTACACAGTGCCCGATGATCTTTTGACTCCGGCCCAGGTGAGTAACGCTGTTGTTGTCTTCACCATACCTGAATCTGACAGAATCGTGAATAGNAAAGCTACTGGATGGGCGCAAACCACAGCCGAAGGAGGCAGAGTTTACTTCTTCCGCAAGGACGACAAGACAAAGACATCATGGACACCTCCACCTGGCTGGGAAACTCCTGCCGCTCCTGCCCCCGAAGCTCCGCAGTTCGTCTCATCTAGCTTCCAGACCCATCCTCCTGCTCGCGAACAACGAGGCCCTAGAGAAAGCAGACCCTTCCACGACCGTCGCGAGGAGAGCAACTACCGTGGCCCTATCGCCGTTGCCGCTACTGGCCCCGAATATGGTTCCCGCGAAGAAGCTGAGGCAGCCTTTACCAAGCTGCTGAGGAAGTCCGGTGTTCAGCCTGGCTGGTCATGGGAGCGCGCCATGCGTGCCACTATTCAAGATCCTCAATACCGTGCCATCAAGGAACCTAGCGAAAGAAAAGCTGCCTTCGAAAAATACCTTGACGATGTTGTGCGCGAAGATCAAGAGCGCGAGAAGGAGCGTGTCAAGAAACTGCGCTCAGATTTTCGTTCTATGCTGCAGACACACCCCGAGATCAAGCATTACACACGCTGGAAGACCGCCCGCCCTATGCTGGAGAACGAAGCCATCTTCCGTGCTACTGACAACGAAGACGAGAAGCGCCGCATGTTTGACGAATACATCGTAGATCTCAGGAAAGCCGCTGAAGACAAGCGCCAGCGCGACTATGATGCTGCAATGACTGGCGTCGCCGATATTCTTCAAGATCTCGATCTTAACGCAAAGTCGCAGTGGATGGACACGCGTGAACGCCTGCACTCCCACGCAAACTTCCAGGAAGACCCCAAGTACAAGATTCTGTCACCCTCCGAGCCTCTGCAGATATTCGACCGCTATATGCGTAGGCTATGGAACGACGCACACAATGAGAAGCAGCGCGCAGCTCAGCTCAAGGCTCGTGAACAGCGCAAGGCTAGGGAGGGCTTTGCAGCTCTGCTAGCAGAGCTCAGAGAAGCAGAGACGATCAAACCTGGTACTATGTGGAAGGAAGTTTACCCATTGATCGAGAACGAGCCTCGCTACATCAAATTGATGGACAATCTAGGTCACAAGGACCGCATCACTGACGGTTCCACTCCTCAGGACATCTTCTTCGACTTCCTCGATGACTTTGACAAGGAGGTTCATGACATTCGCCCTGCTGTTGAAGCCACTTTGAAGGAAGAGCACTTCCGCTTTACCCCCTCGACCACTCTTGAAGAATTCCTACACGCTATTAGACACGACCGACGCATTTCTTCCATGAATCCCCACCTTTTAGAAGAGGTCTACAAAAGACTGCACAGAAACGCTCTAGACAGGGAAGAAGACATCGAGCGTGACGCTAAACGCCAACAACGCAAGGCCGTCGATGCATTGCGTTCTCGCATCAAGCATCTAGAACCTCCAGTTTTGATTGGAGACACATGGGAGCAGGTGCGTCCACGTGTAGAGCGCAGCGAAGAGTACAAGGCCGTGACCAGCGACGAGGACCGCCAACTCGCCTATGACAAATTCATGAACAGGCTCAAGGAAGACGCTGCCGAGCGAGAGCGCATGCGCCGCCATGACAGAGAACGCGAAAGGGACCGTGATAGACGCCGAGACCGTGACCGTCGTCGTAGCCGCTCACCTCCCTCCCGCGAGGTTGACGCCTACGAGGCCGATCGTCGCCGTGCGGCATCTGAACGTGAACGTCAGTACCGCCATTCTAGCATCGGCGGTCTCTCACCACCACCTCGCGAGCGTCCGAGAGTCCGTGATGACCGCTATGAGAGAGACGTGGGCGACCCGAGAAGAGAGAGACAAGTCAGCTTGTCCATCTACGATCGCGAAAGAAGAGAACGCGAGGCTGAACGTGAGAGGTCGTACATTAGTCGTGCCGACCCACGCACCAAGGCCAGCGAACTCGACTACGGCGATGGCGGAGACAGCCCCAAGCCAGAGAGCACCTCGGGCGGAAACAACAAAAGATCTGCAACCAGCAATGGCGACGACGATGCTAAGAGACAGGCCAAGCGCCCCCGTGTCGGTGAGCACTCTTCCCGTAATGGTGGTTCTGTTACTCCAGCTCTTTCGGCCGCAGGGAACGACGAGCCCGCACTGCAGTCTGGCAGTGAGGAAGGCGAGATCGAAGAGGTATAGAAAGCCATCGTGGTGGAAATCAGACGGCTCAGATTGGAAACTTAAGCATTGCATGCGGTACGTTCTTCTTTCTCAAAGGATGACATACTAGCACCAAGGCAGATTTTCACCAGACCCTCTTCTGTTACCTTCATCCTTTCTTTCGTCAATGCCACAGGTGCGTTTTCGTGCAAAACTACTGCTCTCCTAACGATAGTCTCATGTATCAAGAAAATGAAAATAAAATCAAAGTGAAAGGTCAAACTTTTGTGATTCCTTGTTTCTACTTTGCTTCTTGTGCCGTAGCTTCGTTCGTCAAAATGTCATGTAATGTGAATGGCGCTCCATGGTTCCCTTGTGCCGCTCCTTACTTTTTGCTCAAGCCGTATGCGCACGACCTGAGGAATTGTTTGCCCAAAAGTTTCTCCAGCTGCAACCAAGTGTGCGATCGACCAGAGCGCCATAACTTGCCCAAAGGCCGCCCTCGTCCTCATCCTGATCGCCCACTCCTGCATCTTCTATGTCCTCATCCGCACCGGATCGCGAGCACTGCATGCGGCGGCGATAGGAGCGGTTGCGTCGGAGCAGAGCGGCGCGTGAGGAACCTTTGCCGAGCGCCAAGAGGGCCATTGTTGTGAGTCTAGAAAAACGCCTTTCAAGACTCTTCTTCCATGAAGAACTGTCGTTGCTGTTAGCATTTTGCAGATTGTTGACATGAGTACGATGATAAGACTTACGTAGTTTCCACCGTTCTTCTGTTCCTGGTCAAGCTGGGAGTCAAGCTTGTTGATACGAGGACGGTACGAGTTGGGGTCACGTCTGAAGGTAACGTCCAAGTTCTTCAAGAACTTGTTGCAACCAGTCAAGAGAGACTCGGGCTTGTTAGCGCGAGCATCGACGGATGGGATACCATCAAAGACGATGACACGGTCGGCAAGGTAAGTGGCCATGATGAAATCGTGCTCGACGATGAAGGCAGTCTTCTTGGAGTGCATGATGAAACGCTTGATGACACGGGCAGCAATGATACGCTGCTCGGAATCAAGGTAGGCACTAGGCTCATCGATGAGGTAGATGTCGGCAGGGATACCGAGGGCCAAGACAATAGCGACACGCTGCAATTCACCACCAGACAAGTTCTGAACTTCCTGGTCGATAAAGTCGTCCATCTTCAGGGGCTTGTAGACATCGGTCTGGAACTGAGGGTTGAGGAAAGCGGCCTTGATCTTCTTGAAGAAGAGTTGACGAACGGTACCCTTGAACTTGGGGGTAATCTTCTGAGGCTTCATGGAGATGTTCATGGGAGGAACACTCTTAGTGCCATCGGGCTTCTCGGCACCAGCCAGCATTCTACAGAAGGTGGTCTTTCCGGTACCGTTTTCACCCATCATGACAAGAATCTCCGAATCGGTGAACTCACCAGGCTCAATCTTCAGCTTGAAACCAGAAGCGGGTTGTGTCTTGGTCATGGCAGGGTATCCGTATTGGCGAGATTGGTCGACGAGGAACTCTTCTCCAGCTTCACCGATGCGGAACTGCAGAGACTCCTCTCTGAAACGCAAGTTCTCGCTAGGAATGTGACCGTCAAGGAAGATGTTGATACCCTCACGGACCGAGGAAGGCAGAGTGACGACACCGTAGACGGCGGGCTTACCGTAAAGCAAGCAAATGAAATCGGACAGGTAGTCGAGAATGGACAAATCGTGCTCGACGACAATGACGTACGAGGTAGGGCCGAGCAGACTGCGGATCAGACGACCAGCGGCAAGACGTTGCTTGACATCCAAGAAGGATGAAGGCTCGTCAAACATGTAGACATCGGCCTTTTGTACGCAGACAATGGCGATGGCGAAACGTTGCAGCTCACCACCGGAGAGGAGATCAATGTCACGGTCGAGAATGGCGTCAAGTTCTGTTCACTAGGTCAGCTGGAGCTCGGAAGTGTTCAAGTGCTACCCTCACGTACCGAGTGTCTTGATAATCTCCTCGACTCTGGCCTCGTCAACCTCGGCACGCTGCTTGACAAGGAAGCCAACAGTTCTGTTGTCGCCCTTGACGGCTCTGGGAATTTGATCGACGTATTGGGGCTTGACAACAGCCTTAAGGTTGTCCTCGAGAACCTTTGTGAAGTAGTTTTGGAGCTCGGAACCGCGGAAGTACTTGAGGATCTCCTCCCAGTCAGGGGGGTTGTCGTAGCGGCCGAGGTTGGGCTTCAGCTTGCCGCTCAGAATCTTCAGGGCAGTACTCTTTCCGGTACCGTTACCACCAACGAGACCCAGGACTTGACCAGGTCTGGGCATGGGCAGTCTGTGAAGCTTGAAGCTGTTGGCCGAGTAACGGTGGGTGACTTGCGACTCGAGGTTGGTGGGCAAGTTGATAATGTTGATGGCATCGAAGGGACATTTCTTGGGGCAGATACCGCAACCGATACAGAGACGCTCCGAGATGAAGGCGATTTTGGACTCATTGGTGACTTCGATACAGAGCTTGCCGGTACGGACGACAGGGCAGGATTTCTTGCACTCTTGACGACATTTCTTTACAGGCGGTTAGGAAGTGTNTGCTGTGGCTTGTCGCGTGAGGAGATCCGAGCATACCTTGGGCTTGCACTATAGCGGTTGTCAGTAATCGAATTTTAGAGCGGAGAAAGCAGCAAACGCACCTTGTCGCTGTTGACAATGGCAATACTGTGGACAGCAGGTTAGAAAGCGGATTCACCAGAATTTTTCTCGATGCGCAAGCGTCAGCGCGAGACATACCGAGTCAACTTGTCCGACATGTTGGGCGGTTGTAGTGGTGTCGCAGGAGCTGACAAGGAACTGCGAGACAGTGAATGTCAAACGAGGACGTCTTACGCAGAGTGAAGACACAAAGACGGCGCGAAGTGGCAGGAGCGAAGCCTGACGGAACAAAGTGCTTGCCCAGGCTGACCAGCTGCCCTCTCATTGGTCAGTGCGAGAGCGGGCAGTCGCTGAAGCCCGCTCTCTCGTCGGAGTCGTTCAATCTCAAGGAAGAAGTCGCATCTCCATCCATCCAACACTCCACCACCCACTCGACCGACAACTTATACCACCCGTCTGGACATGGTCTCACATGGCCGGTAAGCTCATCATCTCGTTTCTGTCACTTTTCCTGCACTGTTCCTCAACCACACCGGTCTTGGCATAATCCTCGTCTCTGGAGCCGATCGCCTATACCACGAGATATTGTCACTCTCCTGTCGTCTGTAACGCCAAAATCACCTTCGGACCACGTCGTATGCCTTCTATCGCCGTGTTTCCACGTCTATAACGCCTCTACTGTCCATCCTTCGCCTCGTATCGCGTCAATCAACCATCCAAGACTCGCGTCCACCCTCGATCTATTCCATCAAGATATCATCTCGATCCATTTTCAAAGCCTTGTACAAGACCTATCGTGCCATATTTGGGGGAAACCAGTCGCCTGGGCTAGGCGCTCACCCTCTTCAAACCTCAACTCCGCCCGACTCATGTGTCTCGAGCAATCTTGCTGACTGCTCACTATATCCAGCCGGCCAGACATCTCTGCTACCTTCTCATCTATCTCTCTCCACCATGTCTCTCGAGAATGGCCATTTGTCGTCCGCTGATGAGCCAGCTTACGCGACTCTGGACACCAAACCTTCTCGTAGCGAAAGCGAACTTTCAGATGTCAATGATATCCCCGACCAAGCTGTCACCGAGTCTACCGATCACGTCATGCAAGACGTCGCTAGTCCTCAGTCAGACGAAGATGAAGATGCAGACGGTTCCGATGATGGCGATTACGACGCCCCATCTCCTCCCTCAAGAGCGAGCGTCGACTCCCGTCATAGTAGCGTATCCTCCGATGCCTCGTCGGTGCCCCGCAAGCGCAAGGCCGAGCCAGATGTAGACGATGATCAATATATGCAAGAAAACCCAGAACTATACGGCCTTCGTCGAAGCGTGAGTCAAGCTGTTGTCCTGCTTATCTTGCTCTTGCTGACCAGTCTCAGNGGTCGTGCTCGTCCAACTCGCCGAATCGTGTGTCTCACTATGCCTTCTGATGGCGCGTTGAATACTGATATCCACTCGTAGATCGAAAGCAGCGATGAAGAGCAAGACGATGATGACTCTGGCTCAGACGTCAACCCCGGCCGCGCCCGCAAACGCTTACGGCCGGCCACCTCCCGCAATGGTACCTCGGTCCTTGTCCCTTACATGCTTTCATTGCTAACGTATATGTGCTTGTANGCTTCAGTCCGTCAATCCGACTCCGAATCTGGATCAGACAGCGATACTTACGGCGGTGCACGTGGTCGTGAATTTGCAAAGAAGCACCGTCGCAGGCTGCAAGGAGCTTCATCTCGCTCTGCATCGGGACTTGCAGGTGACCTTCGTTTCTCTACAAGACAAGCTGGCAAAGTCACGACATACAATGAGGAGGATGGCGACGACTTTAGTGAAGAGGATACCGAGAACATGACACCCAACTACTGGGTTGCCGCTGAAGACAACTCTCCTGCCATAGACATTGTTCTCAATCACAGAGTTGGCGAGGGCAAAGGTTTGTTCTTCTACGTCTTTAGTCGTGTCAAAGCATACGCTTACAATCCCCGCCTGCANGATACCGAGTATCCCGAAAAGCAAGACTACGAATTCTTCGTCAGTATCCTACAACGATCATTGCTTGCTTCTGCTAACATCATTCTANNGATCAAATGGCAGGGCAAAGCACATTACCATGCTACATGGGAGCCTTGGACCGAGCTTACTTCTGTCCGTGGCTTCCGTCGTCTTGAAAACTACTACCGCAAAGTAGTCGAGGCTGAACAATTTTTGGCTCAAGATCCTGATGTCGCCCCGGAAGAGCGCGAAAAGTACACACTCGACCGCGAGACGTATCTCGATGCTCTAGACGACTATATGAAGGTCGAAAGAGTAATCGGAGAACAAGTCGGCAACGACGGCAGAGAGTACTTTGTCAAGTGGAAGTCTCTTCCCTACGATTGCTGCACTTGGGAATCAGAGTCGCTTGTCAGTGAGCTGGCACAAAACGAGATCGACCGCTACCTCGATCGCTCATCACGACTGCCCACCTCTGATAAACGCGAGTCAAACTTGGCTACCCGCTCGCCATACAAGCCTTTCCGCACACAACCTGACTACATCAAGTTTGGTCAGCTCAGGGACTTCCAACTGGCAGGCATCAACTTCCTTGCACACAACTGGTGCAAGGGCAACAATGTCATCCTTGCAGACGAGATGGGTTTAGGAAAGACTGTTCAATCAGTCTCTTTCATGAGCTGGCTCATTCATGACCGTCGTCAAGAAGGACCTTTCTTGGTTGTCGTACCGCTGTCGACTATGCCTGCTTGGGCCGACACATTTAACAACTGGACGCCGGACCTTAACTACATTGTCTACAATGGCAACGAGGCTTCTCGTAAGATTCTGCGTGAACACGAACTCCTTGTTGATGGCAACCCAAGAAAAACTAAATTCAACGTCATGCTCACGACCTACGAATACATTCTCCTCGACTCCGCCTTNTTGTCTCAGATGAAGTGGCAATTCATGGCTGTAGACGAGGCACATCGGTTGAAGAATCGAGACTCACAGCTATATGTCAAGCTCATGGACTTTGGCGCCCCAAGTCGTCTGCTCATCACGGGTACGCCTCTGCAGAATGAGCTCAAAGAGCTGTCTGCCCTCATGGACTTCCTCATGCCTGGCTTGATTAACATCAACGATGATATTCCGATCGACGATTCTGAAGCTACCAGGCAAGCTCTTGACGAACTGATGAAAGCAATCTCGCCGTATATGATCCGTCGCGTGAAGGAGAATGTCACTAGCGATTTGCCGGGCAAGACTGAAAAGATTATCCGAGTTGAGTTGTCAGATGTTCAGTTGGAGTACTACAAGAATATCCTCACACGCAACTACGCCGCTTTGAATTCCGGCACCAAAGGACAGAAGCAGTCGTTACTGAATATCATGATGGAACTCAAGAAGGCCAGTAACCATCCTTTCATGTTCCCTAACGCCGAAGATCGAATCCTCGAAGGCAAGACTGGTAGGGAGGACCAACTCAAGGCTCTCGTGACAAGCAGTGGAAAGATGATGCTTCTTGACCGTCTCTTGACCAGATTGAAGGCTGATGGTCATCGTGTCCTCATCTTCAGTCAAATGGTCAAGATGCTTGACATTGTTGGCGATTATCTGCATCTTCGTGGACATCAATACCAACGTCTTGATGGTACCATCGCAGCCGGTCCGAGACGTCAAGCGATCGACCACTTCAATGCTCCTGACAGCAAGGACTTCTGTTTTATCCTTTCTACCCGTGCTGGTGGTCTCGGTATCAACCTTATGACAGCTGACACGGTCATTCTGTTCGATTCAGACTGGAATCCTCAAGCGGATCTCCAAGCCATGGCACGTGCCCACCGTATCGGTCAGAAGAACCCTGTCACAATCTACCGCTTCGTATCGAAAGATACGGTTGAGGAAGAAGTCTTGGAGCGCGCTCGTAACAAGCTCATCTTGGAGCACATCACCATTCACCAAGCCATGACAGAGAAGGAAGCCAAGGCGCTTAGAAACAAGCTGGATTCTGCTGGTGTATCCACCGCCGAGCCTGTAGCGCATGACGATCTGTCCCGTATCCTCAAGCGTCGTGGACAAAAGATGTTCGAGCAGTCTGGTAACCAGAAGAAGCTTGAAGAACTTGATATTGATGCTGTCCTTGAGAATGCCGAGATTCATCAAACCGAACAGGCAGGTGCCGGCATCACAGCAAGTGGTGGCGCAGACTTCTTGAAGAGTTTCGAGTACACCGATGTTAAGCTTGATCTCGAATGGGATGACATCATCCCCAAGGAGCACCTCGAGGCCATCAAGGCTGAAGAGCAAGCAAAGAATGAAGCGCAATACCTGGAATCCGTCATCGAAGAGAACCAACCCAGAAACGCAAAGCGGAAGTCTAGNAGAAGACGATGCCCGAGAACAGCGTGCCGCCAAAAGCGAGCTCGAGACCTCGCAGCTCAAGCAGCGGCTGATATCGAGTCTGACAACGAGTCCAACGCTGGCGCAGATCCTGAGCGCCCCATGAGTGAGAAGGACATTCGTAACTTGATCCGCGCTTACGAAAAGTATGGTTCGATCGAAGAACGTCAAGACGAGATCATCAAAGAAGCCAGACTTGTTGGTCGTAATGTCGACCTTCTCAAAGCCACTCTTGATGAGGTTGTGGGCATCAGCAAGAAACTCCTCCAGGAGGAGCAAGACCGTGTCTTGGCCCTTGAACGTGAGACTAACAAGCCAATCACCAAGAAGGACAAGAAGGCTGTTCTTTTCGATTTCAAGGGTGTCAAGCGTTTGAACGCCGAGACCTTGACCGAGCGTCCTCTGGAGATGCGCATGCTTCGGGACGTCGAGAAAACCCTCGGTCAAAACTGGCGCAACTTCCGTATCCCAGAGGCTTCCAAGCCTGCTCACTACACTTGTCCCTGGGGAGCTCGCGAGGATGGCATGCTGTGCATTGGTATCGCAAAACACGGTTATGGTGCTTGGGTGGCCATTCGTGATGACCCTGATCTTGGTATGGGCGACAAGTTCTACCTCGAAGAACACCGTGTGGGCATCAAAGAAGAGCGCACCAAGGCTGACGAGAAGAATGCCAAGTCGCCCGGAGCCGTGCATCTCGTAAGACGTGCAAACTACCTCCTCAGTGTTCTCAAGGACAAGACGAGCAACGGTACCAACCTTGCAGCAAAGAGAGCGCTTGAAAACCACCACCGCAACAACAAGAAGGCTCTCGGCTCTAGCAGTCGCCGCCCTACCAGTGTATCGGCAAGTCCAGCTCCTGGCGCGGCTCGTAAGCTGAACCGCGAGGAGTCTTACCGCTCGCGTCTCCACAATGACCATCGTGGCTCATCCGACCGTCGCCAATCATCCAACAACGTTGGCCACAGAGCATCACCTGGCGGAGCCGAGCGTACTGATAGAAACAGACACCACCGCGACTCTGAAACCAGAAAGCTGCCGCGTCATGCTGGTTCTCCTCTGGCTACCTCTAACGGAGAACGCTCAGCATCTGATGACCACATGAGGCGTATTGTTGAACCCATCCGTGACTGTCTGGGTCGCATCAGAAAGGCCACGAAGAGTCACATCCCGGACGACAAGGAGCGTGCAAACAGTCTGAAGGAATCCTTGCAAACAGCTGGCAAGTTCTTCAAACAGAAGGCGGCCGAGAAGGGGAAGACGGTCGAGGACAAACTTTGGTAGGTTTTCGAGGCGCATTCTCGATGACTTATGCTTACAACATATAGGGACTATCTTGCCGAGACATGGTGGCCGCAGGCTAAGAATGTCGACAAACGCACATCGGGTCAAAAGCTCCGAACGTTGTATGAGAAGATCGCAGCCGCAAACAAGGCGGCCTAGGCACACAGTTGTAAGTGAGCAATACACGGTCACGAAACAAAAGTTGAAACGCATTGTGTGGACGAAGAAGTGTCAAGCAGCATGATTTTCAAAACCACGATGACACATGCATTAAGTGGTACTATGAGTATCTCTGGGAAGCATTGGATTATTGAAGCTGTTCTTTTGCGACAGGCGTTAGAAATCGACAAAAGGGGTCGAGGGGACAAAATCTCAGCATGGGTCGGCCAGCAGGAGTTATGTTGCTACATTCGCTATTGCCTTTCTTGTGCATTACCGCTCGCTGAAAGCGTGCTATACGGAGTTCTGAGAAACGAAGAAGCCATATGCTAATGTTGGCTCGGAGAGATAAACTACAATAATGAAGAGAGTCAACTCGTCTCAGTATGCATGTCTGCCACTTGAAGATGCGAAGCGAAACCAAATAGCATGAAACGTCTTCGAGACGAGGCGACCATTGGCTGATGGACAGTTTGCGGATCGAAAGCTTCGCGGCAATTCCTCCTCTCGGATGCTGCGGCCGGCCACCAGAACAGGCGCGGGACGCAGGGTGCTGATCGATGGCGACTGACGACGGCTGGCTGGGAGACAAACCTAGACGCTCCTTCAACATGACCAGTCTTGCCAAAATTAGCCATAATATCTCCAACCTCCTATCTTGACAGCATTCGTTGAGCACAATAGCACGAGAAACAAAGCGCTGAGAAGCTCTCTCTGACGATAAGACGTCCATTCGCGTGTGCCCCACTGCAGCTGACCCTGATCCCGATCGACTCGGCTTTGAATCGACGTCAGAGCCCCCAGAAGAGTGCGGGCGTCATTCACATTTTCCTTCTCTCAATCATGCCTTCTTTCAAAAGCATTCGCAGGCAGGTCCTGTGGAATTTGAACTCGAGATACATTTACGGGCGCTATGTGAGTCTCACTTGGCTGTTGTCTCACTTATGTGTCCTTTCGACGCTGACCTGCTTGTTTCCGCGACAGCCTCTCCTACACACCTTAGTATTCATCACCGAAATAATCATGGTTTCTTTTCTGGTGTCCAAGTTCAACAGCTACTATGCTGCGAGACCAGGTATGATTGACCGATCGCGATATGTTCTTGTGAATTTACGCTGACTATTGTATCANGTGCTCACGACTATGGTCACCAACGCCGTAAGCCCGTCAACGATTACACACTAGCACATGTTTCTGACGTCTCCTTCANNGGTGCTTGGTGGTGTAGCCGACACTGTCGCCCAGTCTCTCACAGCAGTCAGAGAACGCGCCGTTCGCAAACCTGGTGGCCCTGACCCCAAGACCGATCGATTGGCTATCGAGATTCATGAGGTGGACCGCAGAATCTCAGAGGAAGAGCTCATTCCTGATTCCAAGGTGCTGCCTCCGCCGTTCGACTTTGAGAGGTACAGAGAACCAAGAGCAAGACACAAGGAATCAAAAGTGCTGATACGCTGGGCNAGATTGACAAGATTCATGGCATACGGTTTTATCATGGCCCCCATTCAACACAAGTGGTTCGGCTTCCTCAATCGCATCTTCCCTCTTACCGCTGGAGCTGGTACCAGCGCAGCAGCCAAGAGAACCGCCTTTGACCAACTTCTGTTTGCACCAGTTGGTCTCGGAGCCTTCTTCACCTTCATGACTGTGGCAGAAGGAGGTGGTCGTAAGGAGATCCAGAAGAAGTTCCAGGATATCTACATTCCTTCGCTGAAGGCCAACTACTTGGTCTGGCCCGCCGTACAGCTGATCAACTTCAGACTGATGCCGCGTCAATTCCAGATTGTAAGTTGATCTGTTGTCAGTTCAAGAGTTGAGGAGCAGAAACTAATACTGTTACAGCCATTTGTCTCAACAATTGGTATTGCATGGACAGCCTACCTTTCCCTGACCAACTCGGCAGAAGAGGCTTAGAAAGCCATTCACAAGGAACAAATCGGGAGAATGTGTTGATTACCTTCAAGCATCCATCGGACAGCGGGACAGGCAGGCGTTCTGGCAACTTCACGGGGCGTTACGGGCCGATCGATAGACATCGTGTGGTGCAAGGCATCCTGAATAATAAACTGATCAAGATGAGCGACTTGAAGAAGAATACATGGTGCGATTTCGAGTGAAGCAGGTGATCCAAGGGCAGTTTGTATATAGAGATGGGTCATGATTGGTGATATCAGTTGATGGGCAAACACGAGAGGGCACGAAGATCTCGGTAGCACGTCGGTGACGCGGTTTTTTGAGCTGCCCCTCATGCCGAGCGTCGGAAGCTGTTGGGGAAAGATTCAAGCCCCTCACACACCACAACAACCCATCAAGCTCTGTTGTATATAACTCTGTGCGTCTTTCTCTGTTGCTGTCGTTCACATCAATCTGTCTAACACATCCAATTCAGTCACAATGTCGCTCTCCAACAAGCTCTCCATCGCCGACGTCGACCTCAAGGGCAAGCGTGTCTTGATCCGTGTATGTTGACTTTGACTATCAAGCTGTGCTTGGCCACCATTACTGACATTGTCCAGNGTCGACTTCAACGTCCCCCTCGACGCTGACAAGAACATCACCAACAACCAGCGCATCGCCGGTGCTGTCCCCACCATCAAGTACGCTGTCGACAATGGCGCCAAGGCCGTCATCCTTATGTCCCACTTGGGTCGCCCCGACGGCAAGGTCAACCAGAAGTACTCGCTGAAGCCCGTTGTTGCCGAGCTCGAGAAGCTCGTCGGCAAGAAGGTCACCTTCACCAACGACTGTGTCGGCCCCGAGGTCGAGAAGACCGTCAACAGCACCACCGATGGCGGCATTGTTCTCCTCGAGAACTTGCGTTTCCACGCCGAGGAGGAGGGCAGCAGCAAGGATGCTGAGGGCAAGAAGGTTAAGGCCGACAAGGCCAAGGTCGAAGAGTTCCGCAAGGGCCTGACCGCTCTTGGTGACGTTTACATCAGTGAGTTGCAACATGTCCGCACATTCGCTATGCCACGCATACTAACAAATCTTTCANNAGACGACGCTTTCGGTACCGCTCACCGTGCCCACAGCTCCATGGTCGGTGTCGACCTTCCCCAGAAGGCCTCTGGTTTCCTCGTCAAGAAGGAGCTTGACTACTTCGCTCAGGCCCTCGAGGAGCCCAAGCGTCCTTTCCTGGCCATCCTCGGTGGTGCCAAGGTCTCGGACAAGATTCAGCTCATTGACAACCTCCTCGGCAAGGTCAACAGCCTTATTGTCTGCGGTGGTATGGCCTTCACCTTCAAGAAGACCCTCGAGGACATGAAGATTGGTGACTCGCTCTTCGACGAGGCTGGTAGCAAGACCGTCAAGGACCTTGTTGAGAAGGCCAAGAAGAACAACGTCAAGATTGTCCTTCCCACTGACTTCATCACCGCCGACAAGTTCGACAAGGACGCCACCACTGGCAAGGCTACCGACAAGGAGGGCATTCCCGACGGCTGGATGGGTCTCGACTGCGGTGAAGAGTCGATCAAGCTCTTCAAGGAGACCATTGACGAGGCCAAGACCATCCTGTGGAACGGCCCCTGCGGTGTCTTCGAGTTCGAGAAGTTCGCCCGCGGCACCAAGGCCACTCTTGACAACGCTGTTGCCGCTGCCCAGGCTGGCAAGGTTGTCATTATTGGTGGTGGTGACACTGCCACCGTTGCTGCCAAGTACGGTGTCGAGGACAAGCTTAGCCACGTCTCGACCGGTGGTGGTGCTTCGCTCGAGCTGCTCGAGGGCAAGGAGCTCCCTGGTGTTACTGCTCTTTCGAGTAAGTAAACTCATTAGAGTGTTTTTCAAAGTCGCAAATGGGAGATATCCAGGATCTGATTTATACCACGGGCAAGGCAAGCAGAGCAAGTCTTTAGAAACGTCCGAAATGCATTATGTTACGACTCATCTTCTATAACCAGTTTCCTCGCGTATCCTTGTGATGAGTAGCTTTGAAAGGAGCTTGATTTGCTTGTATATGCTTTCTCCGCTCTCTCGTTGATAAAGGTGTGATATTCAGTACTCCGAGACGCCGTGCCATGCCATGCCGTTTCCGTGTCAAGGCCATAATATAAGCCACTTATCGAAGTCGTATATGCCCGAGGTAGGCTGATTGCTATGGGTTCAACGCTTCTCCATCTTCTTGAGCTCGTTTCTGGACCAAGAGTTAGACTGCGATCAAACAAGGTGTGGGGAGTAGAATCAACATACTGAAGCTGGACCGAGAACTCGTCGCTTGTGTCATCATCATCCCAGCTCTCCTCCCACAGATGTGTGGTTCCTGCGCCGGCTCCCGATGCGCCGAGTTCTTCCTCTGCGGGCCAGTCTATGCGGCGCAATGATTAGTTCTGTGTCCGTCATTCAAATATGGCAGCGGCAGGGGCGATTCACCTTCTACAGGAAAGTCCTCNGAACTCGTCATCCTCCTCGAGTTGGGCGACTTGCTTCTGGGCAGCCAGCGGTTGCGAGTCGTCCTTGCGGTCTGAAACGATGGCCTTTGTGGTGTTGGCGTCTCCTTGTGCTGCGCCGGACATGATTGCAGGTCGTGTGTATGCGTCGAAGAGGGGAGATTTGTGTGTGTCGGGTTTATAGTAAGGCGATGATGATGTTGACAAGCGGCGATTGACTGATGGCTGGTGATGGTAACGGTGCTCTCTCACTCAGTGGTGGGCTGTCGGTGTTGCCATCATTGCAGGCAAACAGAGCAAACACGAAGCTCTCTCGGTCGCTCCTCCGCAAAGTGCATACGAGTACGACAGCGATGATATCACGGTTGGGGTGCCGCATGGCAGTGCATGTCCGCAATGTTTTGACAGTACCGTGCCGTGCCATGACTTTGCTTCCTCTTCGCATATGCTTGTTTCAACTTGTCGTCCTTGTCCCAATTCACTAGCCACCAAGACATAATCAAACATGAAGAAATGGCTGGGGGCTGCAAAGCAGAGTGCCTCGAGCTCGACACACTCGCTGAGTGCTCAAGAAGAGCCTCAGGCACGTATGTTATCTATTAATGCATACATATCTTGCATGGCACGTGGGCTGATCAACATGCTCNNAGTCGAAAATGCTATGGCTGCTGTGTCATATATACTTAATGATGGTATCGTCACACTGCATCAAGGCTCACTATACTAAGCTTATCCATGTCCAGATGTCGAGACAGCAGAAGCAGAATTGTCCAAGGGCAACTCGCCTTTCCACAAGGTGCGCCTAATGCCAGCATTCTATTCAAGCTCAACACATGACTCACCACATATCTGAAGTAGNTTGGGCCAAGGTGTAGTGTCTTTCTTGCGAGCAGCCCTCGGCTTCGAGCAGGATATCATGCGAGAGGCTTCCGACCGTCTAGCACAAGCCGAGTCTGCCGCTTACGACCATCAACGCCATGCCGACAAGAATGCATATCAATCCAAAATCTATCCGTCTGGAAGCGAATATGCACTTGTTTTGGCCGAAGCTCAACTCATGAGTGCCGTCGTTGCCGTCTTGAACGAGAGTCTGTCTGAGAGCATCAAGGGCTTCTACAAGATGAGGAAAGCTTATGTGGCTTTGCAAGAGATAGCAGATGCTGAAAAGAGATATATGAAAGGGAGAAGCTCTGCTTCCGTTGCCAGTATAAGCACCAGGTCGACCATCAACTCGGCTCCTTCAATCGCCTCGGAAGCTCCTTCAATCTCAGGCCAGACTCTAGTCGCTGCAGACGAGGATGACGACGACGATTTTGTGGACGCCGATGAGAGTATTGCTGCACCTGCCACCCCCACAACCTACCAAGGCCATCTCGAGTCTAAGGAGCTCGAATCCAAGCTCGAGAACCTGTCTATTCGTCTTGGCTCATCCTCCACACAGACCCAGGTAGCACCCGTCGTAGAAGAAGACGATTTTGGTGATTTCAGCAATCATCCTGTCGACCTCTTTATCCATTCAGGCTCCAATCTGTGTTTTGGTCTATTGCAATTGATGCTCTCTCTGATCCCGCCAGCCTTTTCGAAACTCCTTTATATCATCGGTTTTAAGGGTGATCGCGAGCTCGGCATCCAGATGTTATGGCGAGCTACCCAATACTCAAACATCAACGGCGCCATGGCGGGACTGACAACACTAGGATACTACAATCTCACCGTTGGATTCTGCGACATTGTTACCTCGGACGCTTATCCCAAAGAACGTTTGACGACTCTGCTGGTTCAGATGCGCAAACGTTATCCTCAATCTCGCCTTTGGAGGCTTGAAGAAGCAAGAATGCTGGCTGCCAACAAACAGCTGGAAGATGCTGTTACTATGTGCGGCACTCATGAAAAGAGTCCGCTCAAGCAGGTCGAGGCATTGCAGTGGTTCGAGAAGAGTTTGAACTGCATGTACTTGCACAGATATGAAGAATGTGCTACTTCGTTCTTGACGGTCGGTATTGTATTACCTGTTCGCTCAAGAGGATTTACTGACGTTCCTGAATAGTGTGTCGAACTCAACAACTGGTCTCATGGTTTGTACTACTATATTGCTGGTGCTTGCTACGTCGAACTGTATCGTGAAGCCAAGTCAGTCGATGCAGGCCGAGCACAGAAGTATGCCGCTCGCGCGACAGAACTTTTACGCAAAGTGCCCGTCCACGCAGGCAAGAAGCGCTTCATGGCACGTCAACTGCCCTTTGACGCTTTCGTGACTCGCAAGATTACCAAGTGGGAAGAACGATCCAAGGCTCGCGGTATCTCTTTCGTCGATGCTGTGGGCATCGCCCCTGTCGAAGAAATCATCTACTTCTGGGCCGGTTTCAAGAGAATGAGAAAAGAGCACCTCGTCCACAGTCTCGAGCGTCTAGCCTGGAGCGAGCAAAACGGTTGCCATGACAATGCAGTCGACGAGCTAGCCACACTATCACTTCTGCGAGCTACAGTAACCCGATGGCTCGGCGATACAAAGACGGCCCGCCAAATTCTGGAGACGCAAGTCCTGAAACACGAGTGGAGCGAGTTCAAGGGCGGAAGCAAAGACAACTGGTCGCTACCAGTAGCGCATTACGAAATGTCCGTCATTGAGTGGATAGACGCTGGCGGTGAGAGAGGCAGCAGACAACAACTGGAAAGTTGCTCGAGATGGGTGGAAAAAGCTGCGAAGTGGGAGGCTTATGATTTGGATGCTAGGTGAGTGTTTTCTTTTCCCCTTTTCCCTTCTTCATCTTACCTGGTTTGGTGTTGCTGCACACCAATTCTGCTGCACCCCTCCTGCCATCCGAGGGTTGCTTCGCACCCGAGAACCTGGTCTCGCTACCCCTGCCTACCTTATCGGATCTGCAAGTTGTTCGGTTATTCGGTAACATATGCTAATTTGTCTCGCAGGGTTGGTCTCAAAGTAACGACAGCAAGGGAGACACTGAAGAAATGCGGCATCACTCCTGCTGTTGCTTAATAATGATGCCCCGAAAAAAGCAGACTGCATATCTGCATGACTTTGAAACGGCGTTTGCATGTTTCAAGAGACGAGGACACTGCAATTCTTTGGGATGGACCTTCTGAGTTTGGAAGAGAACCGTGTGTCTATACTACCTGTAGTCAATACTCGAACCAAGCATACTTCTCTCCTAGCTATTATCCATTGATTGTTTCGTCCGTGATTTGAAGCGGTTTGGCAAATGAAGAGGAGACAATTGATAATTGACCTTGGTCATGTGAATGGTTCATTCGCTCTTTCCTTGCTGCTGTTGTCTCTTGCGCACTCGGTATCCAACCGGCTACTTAATCACATCCCCCTCCCGCATCGGTCATCATCTACCTCTTCGCCTATCGTTTCCAAGAAGGGTTGCTTGACATCCAGGTTCTTGGGTTCTGCATGCCGGAACAGTGTGTCGGGTCATGGTCACTCACTCGTCCTTTTCCTGCAGAGTGTGATTGCCTTTTCTGTCGATGAAGCTCCCTCTGCTTCGCTTGGAGCTAGATCGCCCCTTCATCATGATGATGTCCTTGCCTTGCTAGCATGTTTCCTCTCTATTCAGCATGTTGCTAGCCTCCAAGGATGACCAGCACTTGCACTTGATGTGATCTAGCCAATGGTTTAGGAAGGCAACAAAAGTCTCAAATTCGGATAAAAGTTAAAAACAGAGAAGGTCAAAAAAAAAAGAGGTTTGGAAGAGAAAAAGGGGGCGAGTACGCAACAGTACAAAGTAATAGAAGGGTTAATAAGTAAAAGAGCAAAGGGGTATTGTTCCAGAGTTTCATCAAAAGCCGCCGATAGTAGTAGTAGTAGCAGTCAGACCCAAACGTTGTTGTGTTTCTCTCCACCGGACTAACATTTCAAAAGCAACCAGCAGCCAGTTTTATACCAAACGCATTTCTTCTTCTTCGTAATGGTAACTTTGGTATAATGAACCCATGTCATGAGGGGACAGAAAAGGAAATAATAAAAAAGCAAGAATGGAAAGGTATAAAGCGGGGTGAAGAACAGAAAACGAGACCGAAAGAACGCCAGGGCAGGGTGGGTAGTGGGAATTTCGTGAGGCGAGTAAACAAACAAGGGGGGTAATGGGGAAAAGGTGCGAGGACAAATGCAGTGATGCATCAAGGGGAATCCATGAGTGGTAAGAGCCACAACAAAAAGACAAGGAAAAGGGTATGGAGGCGATGCACCGAGCTGGCCATATTCCAAAGACGACATGCTTTGCTCACCAAGCATCGGTTACACTAATTCCATGTAATCGACGCATCAGCTCTTTTGAAATTCTCCACTTTGCCAGATTAACATCCTCGAGGTAGTGAGGCAAGAGCTGCAGGGTTGCAAGTAAAAACTGGAGTCGAGCTGTAGTAACGCAAAGATTGGTCCGTGAAGCAGAAGCTCCTGCTCCAAAGTCAAGCATTGGGAATTCTATTGGTAGCGTTGCCAGTCTTGAGGAGTCATGCCGGTAGCGGGGTTTGTAGAGGGAGGTGCCCATCCATGCATCTGCTGGGGTGGCGCAGGTGTCGCCTGCTGTTGCTGTTGCATGGCAAAGTGCTGCGGGCTCGGGCTAGCTTGATACATGTTACGGTTCATTCCAGCAAAGGCGCCAGCTGCGCCCATGGGGTGGTTTATGGATGGGTAGCCAGCCATGGCAGCCATCTGAGGAGGATGCATGGACGTTTGCTGAGTCGGCTGTTGGAACTGAGCCATGTTATGGGCTTGGGACAAGGGAGAAGGTTGAGGCTGCGACGGCGGCCACATTTGACCCTGCTGGTAGCCGTACGAAGGTGTTTGCTGGCGCATAGAAGCCATAGCCATAGCGGGAGATGTCTGGTGCATCTGCGATGAGGGAAGCTGCTGGTGCATGGAGCGGACGGGTGACTGCATGGGGTTCTGTTGGTTGGGCTGGTGGAACTGAGAAGGCATCATGTGAGCGGCTGCTTGTTGGTGACCCATCATGGAAGGCTGCGAGAGAGACGGCAGGCGACTTTGGGGTGACTGCAGGTTATGAGGAGCGACAGTTCCCATGTCTGTAGTGTCGGGCATATGCGGCTGAGGAGGAGGAGTTGGAGGTTCGTGAGGACGTTTCCAGTAATCTTCGTAATATTGGCTGCGGACAACACGCTGTTGAGTCAGGGACTTGTTAAACTCAGCCGCCTGGTTTGCCTGGTTGAAGACATCCTGGGGGTTGCTGGGTTGAGTACGATCTTGGTAGGCAGGTCCAGTGAGTTCCTGTCGAGGACGAGCGATGCCACGGAAGTCGGCGACCCTGGGATCATCAGATGGCATGTTAATCATGCTGAGAGGAGCAAGCGTGACAGGATGGATGCCTGCCGGGACAGCGGGCTGGTCGAGGCCCGGACCGTTGGTATATATTATGTCGGTGTGAGGCATAGCAGTCAAAGCAGTCGTGTTAGTGCTGGCTTCGGCAGCCGCTGCTTCCCTCTGCTTGGCAGCACCGGGTCGCTTCTCTCCAGCTGCATCTTCTTCGGTAAAGCCCTGACTTCTTGCCTTGGACTCCCAATAATCGTCGCGAACTCGTCTTCCATTCGTGATGACGCGACTTCCAAACTGGCGGAACATCGACCTTGCTGTTACAATGGCTATTTGCCTTGAACGGTAAGAGTATGGCAGAATCTCCTGGTGAATGAGATTGTCCTTCTCCGGTTGGTTCGCGATGATCTTAAACAACGATCGGTTCTTGTTGAAAAGCAGGTACGAATCACGGTACCCTAATGCGCGCGCGCACTCAGTGGCGAGCATAAACAGCTTTTCGCCCCTGTTGGGCACGGTGAAGGTTCTGATGCGATACTCGCGACCTTCGAGTGGATAGCCATTGCTTGACACCTTTTTCTCGCCAGCTTCGTCGATTTCACGGGNGATGTATTCATCACCCTCGGCGCCGAGCTGATCTGTAGTGTGATCTCGGACGGTAGGCAGGGCCTTGACGACTGTTGTCTTCTGACCGGAAGCTGGAGTTTGTCGCTGAGGTGAAGCCTGCGAGGGCGAAGATTGGTTTCCGCCTTGCTTGATTTGGGGAGTCTGTACGGCAAGCGGCGACGATAGGTGGACAGGATGGGATGCCATTTGTGGGCTGTCGGCAGTCTTCTGCTTAGGTGGGCGACCGCGCTTTCGTGGTTTGAAGTCGTCTAACACGTCAGCATATTGACGCGCAAAGTTGATAGAAACGTTGGCAGCGGACGTACCGGCGTCGGCGGGTTCGGCCGGGGAGCGGCTGCGCTTCAAGCCTCGATTGTTATATGCCGAGTTGTCGAGNNGGCTACGCGACCGTGTTAGTGGGAGGATGTAGGGCAGAGAGGGTGGTATAGCGCTCGAGCGCAGCTGGGGTGGATGCGGCGACGTACTTGAGTTGAGCGCAGCAGGGTTGATTGTGCCATGACCGTCCATGGTACGGTAGCATAACCCAGCGGCGGGCTTCGGTATGCTGGGAGTTTGCGGACTGGCGCAGGAGCGGTGAATGCAAACTTGGCCGTGTTACTCGATGTGCAGAATTACAGACTCATTGGCGGCGCGAAACAGGTCGGCGGAGTCGCTTGAGCCCAGGGATTCCAGATAAGCTTGCCTGTCGGATCCTGCGTGTCGGGAGGCGGCGCAAGATCTAGCAATGGTTGGATGCTGGCAAGCAAGGGAGCGACGCGTCTTTGTGTGCAGAGGTGCTAGCGGAGGTAGGGTGATGATGCGATGAGGTCGGCCTGGTCGAGCGCATCGATCTCAGTCTGAAGACTTGGCTCGGGCTTTTGTTCGGCTACAGAAAAGCGTTCCAGTCAGCGGCGCCCAAGACGTTCAGCGAGCACAGGTCCACAGGAAAGCGACGCGAGAAGGACGCTGCTTCATCAATGCCGCGTCGCCACTCTCGCCAGTGCAGCCAATAAGACAGCGTTAAACTCACTTTTTTCGATTCGCCTTGGAATGTATGTCAGCTCGAGGCTCGAGGCAAGGGATGGCGATCGAGGCAGGAGTACCTGGGTAAGCAGGTGCAAGTGCAAGCTTAACTTAGAAGGACGAAACACTGGGACAGACGCGGCCACGCGTAGCACAGAAACTTGTCCAAAGAGCAGTCCCCAGAGCGGCGGGAAAAGAGATCAAACAGAGTCTTAAGGATCAGATGCGCCCGTCATGAAGCGACAAAGTCGTGTCGACCGGCGATCTTGCTGCCTCTTCACGCTTATGCCCGACCAACCAGCTCTTGCCGCNCGGCTTGCCACACGTCACCTGCTCCTTCTTCACCTGCACCAGCTTTCAGCCAAAGCCCTCCCAGCCCGAGAATACGGTCCGCGNGTTTCCCTCGAAAAGTCATCCCTCGAGTCCTGGATTCCCGTCACGCGCCATCTCGCTGACTTATAAACACTATTTTCTCCATCTCACTCTATCCGCGCCATGCTTTTACTCGACTTGATCCATCAGTTCAAGAGTCGTCCACGATCTTCAAAGCAACGCCGGTAATCGCGCGTATTATGCACCGGCCTCGTAAGTCTTTTAATATTTGCAATGCCNAACTCCGATCCTTCAATTCCCCTAGTCGCANNGCTAGGAATCTCCTCAATCTCCGTTTCGCTTCTTGTCAACTCAAAAATTCTNCCGTTTTCTGTTTGCATTGCCCTTTCACANTCGACCCTGTCTTCAACGCCCTTGTTCACCCTGGTATCCCTCCTGCAAGATCTGCTGCAAGTATCCGCTGCGCTTCCTGCGTGGCCCGACACACGCCAGGTCGCGCAGTGCCATGTGTCCCTCCGCTTTCTTCAAGAGCCTTCACACAGCTGTTCGAAGCCTTGTCTTCACTAAACAAGACTTCCTGATTATCAAGTCATCGATTTGCATCATTCTTCAGAATTCAGCATGCTCAGTAAAAGCAGGCTTGTCTAACGCTCCTGCAGCTATGCACCTGAGCTCCTAACTGATCATAACCCCAAAATCTGCACCTAACGCGCGAAGATCGCGTGCATGACGCGTACTACTGTGCCCTGCGCTGACTCACCTTTTCTAATGGAGCTCCAACATCTTGTTCTCGGCCTCTTTCGATGCACGAAATAACAAATGCTCGAACCAAAACAAGTTGTTGCAGCCCACTGACGAAAGAGTCGATGCGGCCCGTCTGGTCAGAAAGGAACATTGTTTTCAAAATAGGTCGCACATGGCTAGGCCGGCACTTTGCCTGTATCGAATGGTAACATTGTCCATTGTTTCTTTAAGCCATCGGCGTATCCGGGAGCTGATGGTTGCCAATATCTGATCTTCTCCTTGCGTTATCTGGTAGGTTGCCGCATTGAGGCTCTCTCAGCCACCCGGCCCCGCATAATGTTGCAAGTGTGCCTTCGATACATCACGAGCCTTCAGTTATCGATTATGTATGATTGGATGAGATGATCAATGTCTCGATACAGCCGAGGTTCAATACAGTTGAGAGCTAAATCTCTAACAGCAATATACCTTCTTGAGCCTAAATCTTTACACTGCCTCTGCTCTACCTGTTTGAAGGAGACTTATCCGGACGAATTGGAAATGTTTCCGGCGATGTAGATATATGCCCAAATCTAGAGTATCCACCGAGAGCTGTCTGGCCGTGGTCTACGTGGTAGTATCTACTCTACTTTCAAGCCTACACTAGTCTGTTCATTCCCACGTTGATCTTCTCCTAAGGCATCCACGAGTTCACTCTCGCCATAGTTCACATCAGAGAGCAAAGAGCAGAGGCTCCGAGGATGATAGCAGATGTGAAATATTGCTGAATTTCTTATGAGAGTCGGTACAGGATTGCCGAAGTTGTAGACAGCAAAAACGGCAAGTGACAATGACAAGCTCGATAGCAAGTTTCAAAGTGTGAAAAATATGTATGTTGATCCTCAGCTTTTGTACTGGCTGTAGTGCTGCAACAGCCAGTCTTCCATGCTCCAAACAACGTCTCGACCTCAAAAGATGGTGTTTCGTGAAATCGATGTATCCCGGCCTTGAAACTCCTAAAATGCTGTCATGATAGGTATCGTCGCACCCAACTCTCAAAAGACCATTGCTTCTTCGACGCAGCAGACTTGTAGCCACCACCATAGCCGTGCTTGCCACCATATCCATGGCTGTGCTGGTATGCAATCTGCTCTGCCTGGCTCTTGTAGTGTTCGAGTTCGCCTTTCCACAGCCTGATCCAATAGCTCACATCCTCAGCCGCGCCGTCAACACCTCTTTGCGAAAGCCAGAAGGCTAGAACGACCAGACCGCCCCAGAAGGTGATTCGGAAGGCCAGTCGCACCCAGAAGAGCACGCTTTGAACCAGCATGTTGACGAGTTTGAGCGAGATGTAGAGGATCACGAGCATCAGAGCGATCTTGGTGAGGTCGGGCTTTTCGAGCAGCGACTGGAAGGTGGGGACGAGGTATTTGTGGAAGACATTGTTGAGAGACGACAGAGGACCGAAGATGCCGGGAGTGAGGTATCCATTGCGGAAGAGGTAGCTTGCCCAGTCTGCATGGTTGTTTGTTAGCGGTGGTCGTGACGATTTGCATGTGATCGTGTGCCTCACCTTGTACGGCTTCCATGATGGCGACTTGCAGTGAGAAGAGATGCGTGTGTTGTCAGGTACTGAAGATGAGATGATGGAGCGAACTGTCCTTAAATAACTCTTGTGGGTATAGCAGAGATGATGACAGGTTTATGTAGTTGAAAGACATGTAAACACATAGCTCAACCTCAGACCCCAAGCTTCAAATGCTCCGAGACATGCATCGCCTTAGTCAAGTTTCGAATTGTGGCATATCCAACGAAGATCTGCCACCAGTCTCTGCAGATATGTGGAATGAGATACAACGATTCATATTGAACTTCTCGTTTGCTACTCTCCTGGTGATTACCGGCTTGTCTGCGTTGATCGCGCCGTCTTGGAGCTGATCTTGTCAAGAACGCAGGGTTATAGTGATGCATACCAAAAATTTCAAGCATCGCCGCTTTAGCTCATCTGGGAGAGCGCCAGACTGAAGTCAACTTCTGTCCTTCTTGTTTCGACAAGAGTATTCTGGAGGCACTGTGTTCGATCCACAGAAGCGGCATTTCGTTTTGTCATTGAGCAACATGACCTTTTGGACCTCAAGGAGCGAATTGATTTTGTGCGCACAAATTCTTCCAGCTTGCGACTTCATTCAACTTTTAGTTCTCACTCCATCTTCCAGACCACCTTTCACCCATTCAAGTAGGTTCACTTCTACGCTCGAGATGTCTACTCGGCTCTCGGCAACTAGACATGACTATGATGAGAGATTTCTTTCTTTGGCTCCTGTGCGAAAGTGGGACTTGGTCTCCGCACGTAAATATATGCCTCTGCAAAACGGCAACATGTTGAAGAGGCAGGATCACATGAAGAGACATAGGAGATTATCGCTCAACCAGTTGCAAGAGCGAAGCAAAGTCAGTTTCTCACTGAGTCCGCACGTGCTCCCTTGAAGGCCTCTGGGAGGAGGTGGTAGGCTTCACAGCCATATGCGGTTGGAATGCAGCCAATGAACGATGCGGAGGGAGCGCACGAGGGCAAGTCGACGACTCTCAGCTTTACAGTTGAGGCACACGACACCAAACGACGAGCCCCTCGTGCACCTGTTGATAGGGAAGGTGCCATTCTGCAAGTAGTATCAAATATGTCGTCGTCTCCTAGCCCACGCCTCCGATTCCTTTTTCCTGTCCACGTCTATTCCCTTGCCTGCACAGTATCCCCTTTCCTGCTACGGCATACTCGATAGCCTGTGATACCATCAGGGTGCCGCGTTTGTCATACCCTTCTGCATACAATGGCGTCTTCACACCTGCCTCCTACCCCGGCCTCGTCGACGGACATCCGGGGCAAAGAGAAGCTTGTGCCTCTTGCTCCAGCTTTCAACCTCCCTCCCTCGGCCTATGCGGATGGCAGCGATAGAGCCACCTCGTCACCTCTTTCAAGTCATGGCTCTGATTCATCGTACCACCCTCATTCGCCCGTGTCCTTGAACAATGGAAGACGTAAGTCCACGGCTGCTCAATCAAGCTCGGCGAAAGCAGACGACACATTCGCTCTGCCTCCACCACCAACTCGCAATCGCAAGATCATCCAGATGAAGCCAAAGACTGCTGCTAGCGAGAAGCAGCCAGACCTGGAAGTCGAGGCAGCGCCAGCAAAGGCCACTGGTGGTAGAAAGAAGGGTGGTGCCAATGCAAACAGCACAGCCGCCAGCCGCAAGGTAGCTCGCAAGACAGCACACAGCTTGATCGAAAGGCGACGACGCTCCAAGATGAACGAGGAGTTCGGTGTCTTGAAGGACATGATTCCTGCCTGTCAGGGCCAAGAAATGCACAAGTTGGCAATCCTCCAGGTTAGTCGTGATTTACCCCTTGATGATCCATCGACTCGCTAACATGATTCAAGNGCAAGCATCGAATATCTTCGCTACCTCGAGCGTTGCATCACCGACCTCCAAGCCGACAATACAGCTGCGAGACAGGGTTCAGTATCACAGCCTGCCGTTTCTGCTGTGCCTACCCCACAACCTGCTGATGTCGTCGACCAGCCTATGGAGCATGAGGAAGACGATGACCAGGAGATGTCGGACACACACCACTCTACCGGTGCTTCAACACCCAACGGCCCACTCCTATCTCATACACAATCTCGGGAATCTATCCCATCCCTGGCCTCTCTGCCCTCCATGTCTCATTACGGATACAAGTCGCCTGCCATCGCACCATCCGAGGCCTCATCCTCACGACACTACAGTATCTCGTCTGCATCTGCTCCTTCCTTCTCTCCTTACATCCACTCGCAACAAGCATCACCCTTCTTCGCTCCGACTGCAGGTCTACACGAACCAGCTCCCTTCGCACTTACAAGTCCTGCGCTACGACCCCAAGACTCATCCATGCACCAAAGACCTGGTGTCGTNGGGGAGGATGCAAAACTCCGTGACCGTAGAGANAAAGACTTGGACCGCGAGGCCATGGCTGCTCTGCTCATGTTGAATTCGGACAGAAGAACCTTCAAGGACAAGTCTGGTCGCGGCATGAGTGTGCAAGATCTGCTGAGCAATTGATCTGTGGGTAAACTTTGGTCGTGAAAAGGTCTATAAATTGCATTGGCAAGGGACGATGATGGTAATGAATTTGATGATTGGCGGTGTACAGGACGTTATAGGTTTCTTTAGTGATCAGATCCAAAAAGCATTCTTGTTTTCTATCTTGCTAGTACTTATCGTGTGCCCAATGTATTCTACCTATGGTCACGTGTCGGGTATACCAGCAGCTTTCATTGTCAATCACAATTCGATGCAAGCTTTGAAGAGAAACATGGCTTGTCTCGCATGTCACTATCTCTCAACCAGAAGTAATACATGCTTTCTAAAGATTGTGCAGCCAGACATTCTCGCAACTAGACAAATGTGCAACATGTTAATATCTGACAAACCTCTTGAGACCAATCACAGACCATCTTCTAAAAAACAGGTAAGAAGCAGAGCACAGAGCCAAGAGACAGATAGGCAGATAATCGTAAAACCATGGCAGGATCGATGTGTGTTAGGAGAAATTCTATATACTCAACTCTCAATGATTGGTAGCTTGACTCTCAGCCGTCCCAATACTGTCTCGAATCAAGGAAGGAGCGAGGCACAAGACAAAAAGCAAATCCGAGTGATGACGAGTATGAACTTTTGTAAATACAATCTACAACAAAGGTATCGAAATGATAAAACAGATTATATACAAAGTTGCAAGACACGAAAAGTGCTTCAATAGAACCGAACCAAAACCAAAACGAGAAAGCCGTACTGTATGCCGTCTATGATCCCATGTCGCTTAAATGCCAAAAGAAATATCATCATTATTGTTCATGTGCTTCATCCAGTCCATGTCCATGAACCCATCATCAGTAGAGTCGAAAGCAGGCATAGTGGGGAAAGTGCCATCGTCGAAAGTGAACGACTCTCCAGCCGCATCTAGATTGATCAGGGTATCGAAATCAGCATCCAGAGCGGGAATGTTGAAGGCGGCTGCTGTGGTATCATCAATCTGGCTGTCGGTCGTGTGCTCGGAACCTGGAGGTGTAGAGGCAAGGAAGTTGTTGAGGTGTTGAGCCAAGTCATTCTCTGAGACTTGCGGTTCATTCTGATCGGGTTGCTGCTGGCGAGATTGCGATCGTTGGTCGTTGTTTGTGCTGGCAGCAAGCTCTGGTGGTGGTGTGAGACGACTGACATTTGCAAGTCCTGTTCTTGCCGCTTTCATGACGTTGGACATGTTGGCAACTTGCGATGGTCGCGGTGGTGGGCCCATCTTGGATGGAAGCGTGATTTCTGCTTTGCGGATTGCTGCTTCCAAAAACGCGGTCGAATAGTCTGCTGCGGCGTAGATGTCGCGGAGCTTGTTGAGAATCTGCATGCATTGACAGAACCCTTGCAGACTTGCACGGCGAGTTGTCTCATCTGGTGCTTTGATATCGAGGAGATGGATAATAATAGCCGGTAATAAAACAGTAATACCAGAGGTAGGCAAGCAGCGGATAAGATCAAGCTCGTTCAAGTTCTGAGCTACCGCAGTGAGTCTATTAGCTGCAAATCTGACGGTCCTTCTAGAGGTATCTAGAACTTCGGAAGCCATCTTTCGAGACGGTGCGGCTGTTGATGGGAGCACTTGGGGTCTATGCAGAGCCGACAAGGTAGCCAGGTAGATCATGTGCAAAAGTGAGCGATGAAGTGCGATTATTCCTTTGCCAGCTGTAAGGTCGAACAACGACGAGGGTTTGTACTTGGCTTCGGGTGCAATTGATGCTTTCCACTGTTTAAGCTCCTCGTCGCATGCCTTAACAGAGCACTTTTCTGGATCGTCCTTACGTGCTACAAGCATCATGGTGGTACGCGTAGTTCCTTCATGACTTTGAACGCCATGATTGTTGTGCAAGACAGAATATTGCGTAGACAAGACGTGACTAATGCAAATACACAGCTTGGCCTTCTCGATGCACATGATGGCCAGTTCCCTTTGCATGGATGTATCCTGCATAATTTTGCAGCTAGGCGGAATGCAAGATGATTGGCTGGACAAAACAGAGAAGTCGAAGTCGTCTAACGTCAACATGGGTACGTCGAAGTCCTCATTCTTTATCCTTGTTGGACGGCGCATTCCCAGGGCAATGAGGCGGTCACGCATGTAGGTTGCCCACCAGATGCGCTTCCAGAGACGTTTTTGTTTGAGGTTCATGTTGGAGCGTTCCGGATTGCGGTGAAGACCGATAGTGTGTGAGAGAGACACAGCAATACCCATCCAGTGATGGCTATCTTNTTGATCATCCGGTGTTTCATACCAGAAAGTCATGAGAAGCAGAGATTGAATCAGGGAGATTCGATCAGCTTCATAGTCAAAATCATACAAAAGCTGTATTTAGGTTAGTATCGAAAGTGCAGATGACAACTGTAAAATACTCACTCTAGTCTTCTGGAAGAAGTCGCGTCTGGCGGCTCTTCTATTGGTGTAGCCAGCAGTTTGTAAATACGCCATGTCGACCGAAGCCACGCCTGCGAACATGATGGCCTGGAACAACAGAAGACTGACAGCGGTAGTGGAATCATTGTTGTCCACAGTATTAATGAGTTCATGGATGTCCAGTAGCGGCATATACGGGTGGATGTTTTCTACGAAGCATCGCAGTAGAGCAGCACGCAAGGCGGGTGGTGGTAATGTAAGTGCCCCCTTCTTGCCCAGATACGCGAGATCATCCGGACCAAAAGTAGAAGGAAGGGTTCTGATAAAGGCCGGGAGTGCCTGATGGGGAGGTGGGGGAGTACGAGTTTGCAGGCCAAACAGAGCGTTGGGGTCAACACCTGATAGAGAGATGCTGTCTGTCGGGTCGTGAGGTATAGAGATTGATCTTGCTAGACTCTGGCGGCGGGCAGAGTCGAAAGTTTGAGGGTCGAGATCTTGGTCTGAGCATAAAAATCAGCTTGTTGTACAGAGATGGCGATATGGAAGTTACGAACAAAGCGAATGAGGCAGGTGCCCCGGTGAGTCAAAGTTAAGACTGGAATGTTGTATCGAGGGAGGAACGGGAGGAGAGCAGCCTCCTTCTGCCTGTCCCTCTTCATCTGCCTTTGTCCATTTNNCCTTTACACAACCAATTAGCATCATATTTCTTTGAACACGATCGTTACGTGGCACTGACTTCTTGCGCTTGCTCTCTGAGACTATACACTCGACCTCGTCGAGTCTGCAATTGGTGCAAGGACTCTGCTCGACGACATTGCAGCGTACTTTGCGAGCTCTGCATGACTGACAGGCCTTTGAAGCACGTCTCTTGACACTCTTGTGGGTCCTGGTGCCAGTAGCGGGCAGGCCGGCGTCGCTGGCTTTCCGTTTCGAGTTGGGAGAGCTCGAGGGTCTGGCCGGAGCCAGAAGGTCGCCATTGACAGATGAGTCCGACATGGTGTATGGTCGATGGTCAAGGGATACTCCAGGAAAAGCGCTCGCGCGGGAGGTCGCGGGGGACTGCTTGCCTTTGTATTTAATCTACTCAGCGGCCACCAATGCTCTTTTGGTTAATCAGCCACCGCGGCCTTCAATTCTCCTCCCCATGATCCACCGCCCCACGCTGTGGAGACTCCACGAACTGTCTTCTGCGCGGTGACAAACCGTCTGCCAAGCAGCCCTCCGCGTCTACTTCGTTCCATTCAGGGATGGCGCAAACCTACCCTCGTTAGACCGCCATTCTCATTCGTCAATGTGTCATCCTCTCCCGATCGTCGGTCCAGCGGCTCATGGGTAGAGTACACCACGTCGAGAACTCCACGAGGTCGCAACGACACCGAGATCGTCGCCTTGTCCATGAACCACGCGACTTGATTTCCTAGGGACTTAAGCCACCCCCAGTCTTACGGAGCCAACGACGGGAAGAGGGCGCGGGCTAACTCCTTCACTTGAGACTGTCTGTCCGGGACATTCTAGATTGGAAACGGGCACGAGCGCATACGAATGTGTAAGACCTGAGCGTCGTTCCGATCTATACCGAGTCGGGCATCTCTCGCGAGTGAGCCGGAACTCGGAAGAGCATGTGAACTGGTCTCACTCGCAAAGATGCGAGCATGATGCATCTACGGTCTGCACAGTACGTAGCCGACTCCGCAGACACGGCATCTGTCTCGGGATGCCGGGGCCACCTTATCCGCAATACCCGTTTGTTGTCTATTTGAGAAAGAGTTCTCGTTCCCCTGCTTCAAGGGATTCCTTGGGTTGTTCGTTCAATGAGCAGGCGACCCTATGATACATACATCAAGATGAGGGGGAGCTCATGTGACTCTTCCAAGAAGGCGCCTTCTACTTCGGGCGCGTCATTAAAGTGACAAAACCACGCGCCCTACCTGTAGGGCGTTCACTTCTTCTAAAACTGACGGTTCGTATGGTGTCGCACTTCTGGCTACGAACAAAAACGACAAGTGAGATCCGGCATTAGCCAAGTCTTGTACAGGGGATTGCCAGAACATACACAAGCGGCTCCTAATACTCACATTGCGTTCGATGGTCATATGCAACTATGCGCAACAGTCATTAAGCGGCAATTCTCTATTCTGAAGGTGCCATTCTGGGTAGCCACGCGTTAAACTTTCGCAACAATAAGGAGACTGCCTCGTGCCTTGAACGCTAACTACATGTTCCAGATGAATCGGAGATCTTTCTCGAACGTTACTCCCCTGCATCTGCAAAATTGTGGTTGCAGATTCTCGTTCGAGATGAGAGTGTCGAATATTAGCTGTCTACCTACTGACTCGGCAATAGTTGTGGAATTAACACGTCCTCTCTGTATTCAAGTTGTCGTCGCTACACTGAATGTCGTTTCTGGCATTTCTGCTGTACTTTTGCGTAATGTCCCGCCAAACCAGGTAGTTGTCGGCAAAGCTGCAAAGCTGATCTTGTGCCGTAAGACTACTTACGAAGTAAAGTGCGAATGACCAGGTATGAATGCGATAACAATAGCCCCAGGGTCGATGACATAGAGAAGAACACTGAGCCAATGACAGGCATGGCCCAGTGGATATTAGCTCTTTCACTCCGTCCAAACTATTCAAGGCAAATATCAATCAGCAATGGACAGAACATATAAGAGCAAAAGGTAAGAAAATACTCAGAACAAACAGATGAGGATCATATCAGCGCCCACACGGGCCGGTCTTCTTGATCCGGGTACTGAAGTGATTTGTCCTTGGAAGCCATTGAAATATCTGTCGGACGGGAGCATCTTGGAATAGGTCCGACATACCTAGTCTTGATGCTTCAAATCTAGATCAGCCAAAGCCATGTTCAAGTTTATCACATTTGCTCAATTGTCTCGCATGAGGCCACAAGTCCACAAGCGTGAGAAGTGACAAACTCTGATCCATCATCGCGGTGGATAGTCTGTCATCACGATGGGCTTTATCCCGCGGAGCCGCATGTCACACCGCAAATCTCTTCGTCGGCATCATCCCTAAACGTTGCTTCTCGAGACGTAATATGCAAGCTTTGTGTGTAAGGGAAGCAGGTTAGAGCGACTGGCTGTTTGATATGCGCTCGTCGCGCTCAACCCCAGTTGGTGATGATTGTGGTCCCATACAGCCGCCACAAGAGTGACAAGGTCCAGTGGGCAGTGGAGATTCGCCCTTGTCTACAAGACTCTAGAGAGTAAGTTGCCATGAACTTGATATCTGGACATGTGGGACATGAAGAGACTTTCAACAGCAACCTCCGTGTTATGGGATTTGTAAGATATCCGGGATCGAAAATCTCAAACGTACGACCATCAAGGTGATTTGACCTTGTCATTCGGAGCCGCACACGAACTTTCTTTGACCACAAACGACACTTGGATATTGGAAACTATGCTGGTCTTCATGATTTGATTTTCGCATCGAAATGCTAGTATCCCACGAGGATTGACTGAGGCAGCATCCTATCCATCATCGTCGAAGTTCTTCATGCTTATCAAAGCAAGACTCTTTGATGAGACAACGGATCATTTTTTCCCCCTTGGATAACTACTCCGTCCCCGTGCGCTAAAGACAGTCACACTTGTTGCTGTCGAAATGCACGATGTTTTCGCAAAACTCTGGTCTCCATTGAGAGAGCCTTGGTGGGGCTATCTCAATGGTCAGACTGTATTCGAGCCAGAACTGTGCATCTCGATAGCTCGTAACAATTCTTAGAGCTCGGGGTGGAGAAGGGATCAGTTGTAAATTGTGACTGTCATTAGCACACGGTGAGGTCTCATAAGGGACCTCTATTCTGGCTAGAATGAGCAGGCACGTGGATCGTACCTTCCAAAGGCAAGATCTGACCATCAAGGTGCTCAATCGAAGCATTGTGGTGACCTTCTCCACATCATCGATCCATCAAGGTACCACGAAAGCCACCCATCGTTATAATGCAGGACAGTCTAAGTACTCGTCGAATCTATGGTCCTGCCTACTATCGTCACATTCATCGTTGCATCAATCTAAATGGCTACACTCGTAGAACAAAGGCCGTTACTACTTTATCTACCCTCGGAGCTCATACTCGACTCGCTAAGCCGCTTACACTATACGCCACGTTGTCTCGACAGTCTCCGTCTCGTATGTCGCGAGTTCAATAGTATCCTGCAGCAGTTCGAACACAGTCTGACAGTCGAGATCATTCGCCTGCAATTCCCTTCAGGTATCCTAGCTAAATACCCTGGCCTTGAGACTTCAGAAATCAACTTCAAGACCCTTGATGAGCTTTGTATGAGGTCGTACGCGTTGTCCCGTCTAGATCGAAATTGCCATAACATCCGGAGACGTGAGGGCAAAGAGGCAGCTTGGATGAGGCCTGAATGGATAAACTTGCAACAAGCGGGATTCCATCTTCTCTATCGCCTTCAGGATGTTGGTAAGTTTTCGTGTACCATGTACTGTAAGCCGAAGTGTCAGGCTCACGTTCGACGNACAGGCAATCACGACAACAAATCGCAGGTCATCAGATCACTGCCTGCCACATCCCTCGCCATCCTTCTCCTTACCCTTTACCTCTGTATACAACAACTCCGTGCCGACGGTCCTAGCCTTCTTATCCCGACCTCACCACTTCTCCACGGCATGCTACGCTTCGAAGTTGAACTCTGCTGTCAAGAGCTTATCCTCCAGCATGGTCCCAGTTTCTTAGACGCTCTACTCTGCCACTGTCCAAACGCCATCTCACTTCTAGAAACCGAAGTTCGAAACATGGAAGCCAGACAATTACCGTCAGAGGATGGGAAAGCAAGAGAAAAGACGTTGATTGCAGAGTGCAGATGTCGATTAGCAGACAGTCTGGGAACGAATGTGGAGGACAACAGAAGAGACATGTGGAGTATTTTGGGAAGAATTGGCACGTTGGACGAAGAAGATGTTGTCAAAGTCATCAGAGGAGAAGAACTTGCCATTAGGGAGCGACAAGATTCTGGTGCTGGATTGTACGTCCTCCCCGTGTACTAAAGTATGTAACGCATATACCTGTAGAAATGCAGAATAGTAATACAAAACAAGATAGTATCCACTGAGAGGCAACAAGTTGTCGACTCTCTGTGGACACGCTCTGTTTCTAATAACAATTGTGCCTTTTCATAGTCTAGATTTTGCTCTGAACTACAATCGGATTACGGTGAAGTTACAGACTTTAGTACACGGGGAGGGTGTGTAAAGGACAGTGGACACACACACGTCCAACAATCGCTACTATTCTTAGAGGGTTGCATCTACCTTGTCACAATCTCTAAACCATTATTCAGCAAATTCAACCTTTCTGTTGAGGCTTTTGGTTGACTTTATGGACTTTATGTTTTCGGACCGACCACTTCTCAAAAGAAAGGGTTGCATCAAGCCCCAGTGCCACAGATAGAAATCGATCTGATTGCATGTGAAACGATATCGTAGTATGTAACAGAAGATAGGAGATTTTTTAGCAATGCCACCAAAGAACTTTATCATAGTTTTCCTCCAGGCATCATGACTCGTGTGATTAACCACGTGTGATCACAGTTCAGCCATCGTACAGTTTCAGTCAAAGGGGGTAGAAGACTTGATTCCAGAGTCTGTAGGTTGGATGCTCCATCGTGATGAATTCTTCTCTTGGACTGGAAGTTGATGATAGGGATGTTTGGACTTTTGAGGTTTGGAGATATGAACAGGGTGACCCTTTTATTCTTGGACTTCTCATCTACAATATGATGTTACGTCTTCATTCCCTCGCACTTATGCTTCTTGATATCTTTGTCAATAATATTCCTTCTGGCCTTCCCCTCCGCCGTTTGTACGCTTGGTTCTCTCCTAAATCCTTCAATTCCTACACTCGATCGTTGGCGTCGGAGTACACTCCCAAAACAGTTTCTCTCCGAAAGTTTATATAGCAACCCCACCGCCCTAACGGAGAGATCAACCCGAAACACATCATCGTTGAGCATATGATACATTTTTCGTTACTTTTGCAACAAATCCAAGTCTCCGTTGTGTTTACCGTATTGCATAAACTCAAAAGAATGGTATTCGACAAAACAAAACAGAGTGACAGACGTTTGAGTTGATGCGGCGGACTGGGCTGCAGAGGTGATCAGCCGTCAGACCGCACTATCAAAACCGCGCTATGATTCCTTGCATGCAGCAACTGAAGGGTTCAAAGGATCGATTGGCTTTTCTGTGATCACGGTCGGACGGATTGGCTGGTTGTTGGCGGTGGTCTGACAGAAGCAAGCTGCCTTGGATGATGGGTTGTTTGGTGAAGCGAGTGTATATTATTGGAGGCTGGGACTGTTGTACCTCTGTATCCTCCATGGTGTTGTGAGACTCCAGTATTACTTCCAGTTCCTTCTATCTGATGGCTTGCGTCAGGATACGGGCGGTCGACTGTCTTGGCTGGCTGACCTAGATCAGGAGGGCTGGACTGATATATTGTTGAAGCCGAGTTTCGTAAGGATGGGTCGATCATCTTACAGCTCCCGTGGTGGTTCCTGCGATGTACCATCTTCCATGGTCGTATACCCACTGGCCTTCAGGGTGGGTGGCAGTACCAGAAGCATTGTGTGAGACGCCAGCGTTGGTATCACTACCAAAGTAGTACTCCCCGTCAAAAGATCTGTCATCAACCTTCTTGGGCACAGAGTTATAAGTGGGTATATCGCCAGCAAATTCTGGATATACGGCGATGAAGGATGCATCAATACGCCAGCAGCTCAGGTTGTTGAAGCGCTTGAACAGTTCATCTGAAAACTGGAACAGCTGCTTGTCATTCTGGACAAAGGTGGCGGCGAAGTCCGCATTCCACATGAAGCGCGTGCTGGAGTTGAAGAGCTGGAGGAAGGTGTCATTGTCGTACTTGTGGCCCTCGAAGACAAAGCGCTCGCGCATACCGGNGCCTATTTGCACATTGCTGTTAGTGCGTGTTGCTTCTTGAGGTGACTTGTATTCGTCTTACCAGGGGAAGTAATCGCCATTGGGTATGTGAGGAACATGTATCTGAGACGGGCGGGGTCGCATGAACGCTGGCTCTATACTGGCCATAGTTTGAGGACCCATAGCCATACCCTTCATCATGATTCGGAAGGAAAGCAAGCCCACCATGCGGTCCGCCTTCCTCCATTGTGAACAAGCATTCCCATCAATCTGCCGTAAGAGTTGCCACAGCGGATCGAGTTGCATATAAGCGGCGACAGCGTCCCAACCGTGGATCATGACCATGACGATGATGTGTTGGTCGAATGCTTCGTCTGTATAGGCCGCCGCCGTGCCTGGGACTGCAGACATGGCATCTGTGATTGTGCTGATTACCTGATTCTCAGGCGGCGATGATGGCATTGCTGGCATGGTTGGCATGGTTGGTTGTGATTGTTGAGGTGGCATGCTGAGAGGGATCGTCATGGGGTATTGAGATGCCAGCAAGGCAGGGTTGTTGATGGGCATGGCCATCGAAGTAACTGTAGCTGTCGGCATAGGAGCGGTCTGCACGGTCGTGTACATGGGCACCTCTGTCGGAGGATTGGGGACTGTTGGCAAGCTGGTAGCGGGTTTGGCATCCGGCTTTGCATCCACAACGCTATCATTTGGGGTGGATGAAGATGCTAGTTCGTTGCCAATGTCGCTCAGGGAACTTCGGATGAGAGATTCGATCTGACGCAGTCGTTCGGCTTGACGATTCAGTCTCTCCTGGTCTTGTTCATGGCGTAAGATTAGGTCAAGGACGACCTTGGGTTCATCCGGATTTTGCAATCCATTTAGTCGAGCTTCGAGTCGTCGCAGATTTTCGCGGTCCTTTTCTCTCTTTCGTCGCTGGCAGAGACGGTCCTGTTCCCTCTTTCTGGCCTTCTTCATTTCAATATCGTCCTGCTGGGTTGGAGTCTCGCTACTCCTCGAGACGGTAGATCGATTCCCCGCTGCTTCGCCAACATCGTTGGATATGTATTGACGAGACGCCATGATCAGGTTGTGGGAAAGGTTGGGGTTTCCCTCTGACGTTCTTTGTCGTGGCAAGAGTTTTATTTATTTTTGTGGCAGGCCAAACCTTGGGAGCATTCAAATGCACTTAATGTTGAGGACAGAAGGCCTTAGCGATAACAAAGTGACACACCCGTGCGCCATTTGACGGATTGCAATATCACGGCATCCAACTGGGTTTAAAGCAGTCAGGTTCCCCTCGCACTGTCAAGTAAGTTTGAACGTAGGATCAAGCTGAGGCCCGCACCATGTCGATCGGAGCAGCAACGACATGGCGAAAAGCTGTGTGAAGAGCAACTTGGATTAATAATGTACCCTTCCCCGTATCTGCGTCAAACTCTCTTGCGCGGCTGCGACCACTGCCGGTCCTTGATGGCAGCGGCGCTAGACAAAATCGTGCGGACCGGTAAGCTCCTGCCATCTATATGACTCGTGGAACCACCAAAAATGGTATGTGGAGCAGCGGCCGTGATTTGTGTACATTGCGGTAACCAGCGGGCGAGTTCGGGGCAGATCACATTGAAGGAACCACAAACATCGTTCAGCAATAATAGGGGTGGCTTTCTCTTTAAGCTTTGGTAAAACAACATGTTCTCGAATCACAGATGGTCCAGCACCATATCCCGTGGACGATGATGATGGTTGAGAGGTTCATCGTCATTATCAGGCCGCCCATTCATTGCCTGAGTACTGTCTATCTTTCCATTTGTTCAACATGGAGCCATCGAAAATAGATCGGACACGACTTTGATGGCTGGATCTGGCCGGCTCCTGTCGTTCTTTCTGTTGTTTCGGGTGGCGTCCATTGCACTTCTTCTGGAAGCAGTTCTATGAGCTCCGGCTTGCGGCTTGCCTGAATAGGTAGTGGTATATACTTTGATGAGATTGGTGTGTAGAAGTGAGCTTGGAGCTATCATGAGCTTACTTGAAATTCTGGTTAGGGCGCCTGTCTGTGTGTAGGATACAAAGCGTAACATACACGGCTGGCTCGTCATCATCTTCTCCAATGCCAGCGAGGGACACACTGCTTCTCTGGGTATCTTTGTACCGCATCATTTCGATGATGCTGGTCAGCCTTAATTCGATGCGGGTTGCGCTGTGATATCGAATGTGACCTTGATGTGACCGTCCCATGTGCCCAATGGATCCGATCCGATCTTTTTGTGGTTGGCCATAGCAACCTCTTCCTTCCGTGGCCTCTTTTGTTCCTTGTTCTTGGTCAACTCTTGCCGGCAGAGGATTCCATCACACGTGTTTGGTGGACCCAATGACCTCTCCTCGGACCTTTGTCCAGTCAATGCTTGAATCCATGGCTTCGTCTACCAAGCCACAGACAACCACATTGTCGCCTCGGATCATGTACAGTCCATGCGGTGTCTCTGAGCTCTCTTCCGGGTCGTCTTGTGGTCTAATGACGCGCTCGACAGTGTCTTTGAGAACGAGGTTGGTGACTTGGTCGCAAGACACGAGCGTGCCTATCAGTGTTCGTCCGTCAACAGTGATGATGAGGATCTTCTCTGCAGGTGTGGTCAGCTACTTTTCATGGTCGAGAATGAGCCTACAAANCTCACTGTTCATGTACTGATTGAGCGACATTGCGGTGGCAGGTTGCCGAAGCGCGCGTTTGCGCCTGGCTACAGTCTCCTTTCTAGATCGATGCGCGTAAGGACGGGAAGCAAGTGCTTGTACGCGATGAGTCGCAGAAGGATGCGCCGAAGTCGAGAGTTGAGCGAGTGTAGTGAGACAGTGTTTTGCTTGGTGTAGATAGCTTCTGAAATGTGTTACTCGTACTGAAGCTCAAAGATCGAAACATGCAAGGTCGTATGGTCTGTGCGTCGATACCATCTTCGAAGGGAGCACCCTGTCCATTGACTCCTTTGGAGCCTACCGACGCTTGTCTCACATTTTCATATCGGAGACCATCTACTTATATTGTCGGAACACTGGATCGGTTCGGCTAACTTAATAATCAACACTCCTCAAAGAAACCCCTGTTGTTCAGGAAGGAATTGATTCAAGCTGCGGTTTTCTACTCGATACGCCAAACTCCTCCCAATGACCAAATGATACAAAGTGAATAAGCGCTCCGTCTAACACCACAACCTAATAGTTCCATCGGCACCTGCACTGACCAGCCATGGCTCACGAGGGTGCCATTCCACATCCAACACTCCGAGTTCTCCCGTAACCTTGTGTCCCTTCAACACCTTCAGAGGCACAATCAATGCGTTCTCCAAGCTGTCACCCACAACCTTGCCGTGGAAGATTTGCAAGCTACCGTCGTCACTGGCGTCTGCGAACAATGGGTATTGGCCAGAGTTGGGGTGGTAGCGTACACTTCTGATAGCCTTCTGGTGGTATCTCAGAGTCTTGTATGGCGTAGCGGCAAGGTCCATATCGTGCCACAACAGTCTTCTGTCATAAGAACCAACCAGCAAGTTGTCACCGCCAGGGTGTACATCGATGGAACTGATCCATCGAGCACCAGGCTTGAGTTCCTTGTCAAGCTTCTGCTGTTGAAGATCGTAAAGACGAATAGATTGTCTTGTGGCAACAAAGAACAGAGGCTTAGTAGGATGGAACGAACAGGTTTGCGCGATACCCTTCAAGCGGCGGAAGGGATGTTGTGTGAGGTGTTTGGTAAGTGTGTGAATGGCTACAGCAGTAGAAGTAGCGGCTGGCGAAACTGTGCTGAGGTAGTCACCACGGCGGTGCCAGTTGATGACCTTGATCGTAGAACGCATAGTGCAAGCAAGGAGGACACCCTGGTCTTGCAGCTTTTGTGACTCTGGTCTGGACCAGACAGCCGAAGGAATCTTCCTCTCAGCACCGGCATTGGTGGTAGCGGGCTTAGCGGCATATCCGAACCCAGCGTCGATAACATCCTTGCTGGCTTGCTCAATCTCGGGTGAGCAAAGAGAGAAGGGAGTGATGAAGTAGACCGTTTCACCACAAGCTGCAGCGATGATGAGTGTGTCACGAGTAGGTCTCCACTTAACAGCATTAACAGCTTCGTCCGAAGAAAGCTTGACGCTGTAGAGTTGACGACCAGAAAGCAATTCCCAAACTCTGACGGTTCCATCATCGCCACCACTAGCAATCAAAGTACCAGTAGGACTGACCGAGACGCAGCGCACACGGCCTTGGTGACCTCTGTACAGAGTAGCGCAAACAGTCGGGAAAGGCCTAAGATCATCGGGAGATGGAAGCTTGGGGAGAAGGGATTCGGGATCGATGTTGAGCTTGCTTCTGCGGACACGAGGAGCAAGATACAGGTCCAGACAGCGCTCAAATCTCTCCTTGATGAATTTGTCGTAACCAGGGACTCTGCGAAGAGCGGAGTGGTCGGTGGGCAAGTATTCTCTGTCGCGGTCCTCCTCATCAGCCTGCTCCCAAGCCTTTCTCTCCTTAGCGTCAGGGAGATACTCCGGTGGGGGATGGTAAGACTCGGCATATCCTGGAGGCGGTAGCTTGGGAGCGGGCATGTTCATGGCGTGGTCGGCTCTGGGTGTCTCATCTGCCCATACGTCGTATGTCTGTACGTCGTCGTCCTGTTGTTCTTCCTCGCTAGGCTCCTTCCAGGGCTTGATTCTTCCTTCTCTGATGGCTCTGACGATCTTCATGACACGCTTAGCCTCGTGCTTACTGGGTACAAATCTTCGCTTGGGCTCGGGAGCGGCACTCAAAGGCATGATCTCGGTCTTGCTTGTGAACCACTCAACCATGTCGGGGTATGGATCGTAGCCTTCGCCAGGGGCTTCGTTTCTTGTCAATTTCCTCAGAACCTCCAACTCGTCTCTGCTGAGCTCCAGAGGCTTGCCAGTCTGAGGATCGGTCAAACCAGTCCAGCCTTCAGGAAGCTCAATACTGTCGAGCAGAGCATCCAGAGCCTCGCCCTTAGCAGGGCGCATAATTTTCTTGCCATTGATATCGTAACCGATATGGGGGTATGAGTCGTAGAAAGAGAGAGGGATGTTTCCGATTGTGTTTTTGGCATCACCAGCATCCGAGTCGTCCGAGTCGTAGACGGGATCAATCTCACGGTAGACGTATCGCTCGTTACCATTTGCATCTGTGGTGACGGTATAGTTGGGCTTGAGGTCCTCGTCGTCCTCATCGACGGCAGATCGTTTTGAGTCGGTGGTTTTGAGGTTGCGTAGTTGGTCGCGGATATCTTCTTCGTCGTCCTCGGAAGGAATCTCATCGCTGTCTAGCTCCTCCTCTTGATCTTCGTCATCCTCCTCGTCCTCGTCCTCTCCATCGAACTCCACCTCTTCACTGTCGTCGGACTCGTCGCCTTCGGACAGAATGCCTTCGAGGTTGCCGTTTGCAAGCTCCTCACGCGGAGGCAGTGTAGGCTCCTCGCGGGCAGCAGCCTTGCGTTTGCGGCTCTGAGTGGCAAGAACCATGTTGATTGTTTGCGACAAGAAAATGTGCCAAAGTTGTTTGAAGCCGCTCGGACTTTGGAGAAAAAGTTCAAAAGTTCCTTCCCCAAATTCTCAAAGAGGAATTTGAGATTATCTCTTATCTGATTTGATCTAGCTTCTCTTGGCTCTGTCCCTCACTCTACCCGAGCCATTCCAGTCAGCGTCACCCTCATTCCTGGACTTGCAACCATACATATCATGGAGCGTAAGAGAATCGCTTGTGACGAGTGCAGTACGACTCATTGCAATTCCAAGAAAAGGCTTGGGACTAACGGTTCAGGAAATCGCAAACTCAAATGCCCGGGAGAACAACCCCAATGTTCGCGGTGTGTGAATGACAGCATCACCTGTATATACTCTGCTCAAAAAGCCATGGGTCGACCTAGGAAACGCAAAATAGGAGAGAGCGGCCAGCCAGCCAATGGATCTACCCAGGAAGCAAGCCAACAGACATCTTCTGTCGAGTCTAGTGTCTTTGACAGTGCAGTTGAATTCAATTCGCTTGCCGACCAGATCAACTTTCCCGATATGGACTTGCCTAGTCTGGACACCATCAACGATAATATTCTCCTCGCTGCATCTGCTATAGTTCCTACGCCGGTCCAGTCATGCGCCTGCCTTTCCAGCATATATCTAACGCTTGAGAACTTACGTTCTATGGATACTATCGACTTTCCTTCCAGCCTACACTGTCTTCGCGATGCGCTGCATACAAGCAAACTGTGTGTTGATTGTCAGGTCTGTCCATTGCAATACCTCACAGCTACACAGAACGCACAGCTCCTTGGCACTTTGTTACTTTCCATGTCTGAGCGATACCATAAAGTCCTCAAGGCAATTGCCTTGGAAACGACGGATGCCCAAGAGACAGGTCGAATGAAGAGTCTTCACATCAGTAGTCCCGAAACACCCAAGACAAGACATGAAAATGTTGGCGGCATAGATTCGAATGACCCTCTAGTGCTCGAGCTGCCACCTTTGGAGTGGAGAAAGCTAGCAAGAAGGGTTGTGCACGCCGAGATTTATGGCACTTCTGATACCGGCCGTATCAGCTTCATGTCGGTCTTGACAAGTTTGGAAGAAAGACAGGCTCGTTGGCACACGATGGAGCCAACTGAGGATTGCCCTGATCCAGATCGAAGAAGACACGATATGCATGACCATAACAATAATCCCATGTGCCTGATGATGGCGCGTGAAGCGAAGAAGCTTGCAAACCGCTTCGACTTCAGCTGAGGAAGGTTGGAGCTGGCAGTATTCGTCTCTTGACCAAGACAATTGAGATATCCGGTGGAGACTGTAATGATGGCGATGCTCGCAGAGCACTTGAAATTGCTTCATGTCTGTCTTAGCCTGGCCAGCGCAGCCATCATGCCCTCGCTAAGGTTTTCATCGGTCTGCAGCGTGTCGGCGGGTGGGGGAACTGCTGCTCTTGGTGTAACAGACGTTTGAGGTGGAAGTGCAANAGCTTCTGCCATGGCCTCTTCCTCGTCAACGCCAGGCTCGTAATCGTCGGCGAGTCTAACATCGGGCCTCTTGTCTGCGTCGGAAGTGCCGACGGAAGTGCTGGGTCCAGCAGGAATGTCGACCGAAGTATGTGTACCAATGCCGAGTCTGGCAGCCACGCGACTGTCTTGCTCAGTAGTGTTTTGAGTTGGTCTCGAGTCTTCTCGATTCATGCGACGCTTGGTCTTTGTCACACGGAAAGGCTCACGGACAGACTGACACCAAGCCTTGACTTTCTTGTCACCCCAGCCAGCGATGTGGGACAGGTCCTCTGGGCGGGCATTGACTGAGGTGCGCACACTTCCAAAGTTAGAGACGATACCGACAGCATCAGTCTTGTTGATACTGCGAGGAACAGTGATGAACTCGACAAGGTTGTCGGCAAAGGTGGCTGCTTTTTGGGCCTTGATGCCAGTCGGGGCAGCATTCTCGCATGATTTGAACAGCTCCAGATAACGGCCAGCCTCGTTGGCGCTCCAGGTAAGCATCAGGGTAACATTGTTGATGAGGGATGTCTTGGACAGCTCTTTCAGGGGATCTTGATGGTTCTCTATGTCTACCATGACCAGGACTATGCGAAGGAGGTACTTTTGACCCAATTGGCGAATGCGGGCATAGATGTATTCAGGATGCAGGCGATGATATTTGAGAGACAGGAAGAGAGCACATGTTGTCTGACCAAGAACAAAGTCGGCAGGGATGTCAGAATACTCCCAGGGCAGAGACTTGATGCTGTTCAAGATGGGGTTTCCCTTCTGGCGTGGAGAGACAAGGATGGACGAAGCGGATTTACGTGCAGGTAGGGCTTGAGGTGTGGGTTGGACGACCTTGCGGGCATTGTCCGAGGCAGGAGCAGGTGGAGGCGGACGAGGTTTGGGCGCGGCAGTAGTGCGATCAACAATCTCGAACAAGTCGGACTCGTCGCCGTACTCGTCGGGCATGGTGGTGTATTAAGCTGGACAGGCAAACATAGAAGATGAAAGCTACAAGCACACGCGAGCTTCAGCCAGTGCAAGTGATCGGCAGAGGCTATGACGAGGGGTGGTTTAATGCCAAGGCCGCGGTTCCTGCGCTCCCTCAGAAAGAGCGAGCGCGGCCGGGATTCGAGTGACAGGAAAGCGTCGAGAGACAAGCAACCACGACACATCCCACTAACCGCCATCCTCACGCTCAAATACACGGATCCGCAGGTCGGCAACAGCGCATGAAACGTAGGGTGTAAACAAAGCAGGCTTTCACTAGCTCTCGTACACACACGCCTACGCCCACAGACGAGCAAACAAAGACGTCGGCAATCACCCTCACTCCTTTGACCCACCCGGACAAGCCCTCATCATCATCATCACCAGCGCCGCCATCACCTATCCTCTTCGACACCACCCGCCGACGACAGACTTCGTCGCCCGTATGCCGACGTCGCCCGTCTCGCCGCCTTATTACTACCAGAACCAGCCCGTGATTCACAAGCCTGCGCCTGTCTCAGTCGCACCACACACTCCGCCCTCGCCTGCGTCGGTGCGCATGTCTTCGTCGGCGCATAATGGCAAAGACCAATCTTTTCCCACGCCGCCGTCGTCCTACGTCCCGACCATCTCGCATCCTACCCTTGACATGAACATGATGGATACCGATATGCCCGATGCGCAGCCGCCGTCATCGCGGCCGGCTCTGCCGCTGCTCTGTCAGTCCCGTAAGGCTTGACCCCTTGTTGTTTGTTCANNAATGTGCTTTATTTGGTTAACACAAAGTCCACGGATAGCTCACCCTATCTCGCGGCCTCATCCAAATGAAGATCTCATCAACCTTTACGGCCTGCAAAGCATCGCCAACTCGGTTCGCCGAACAGACCCCGTTACCGGCGAGAAGATCAACAAGTTGCGCAAGTCTTACGAGGGAAAGGTCAAGAATTTCGGCCTTAGCGGCAAAAACAAGCCCACCGATGTCGAAGGCGAGTTGGGCGGTTTCATGCAATGGGACGAAGGCTCGTGGTATGATCAGCGTATTCACGGCAGAGAACTCGACAAGGCAGAGTCGTCGTCCCTCATGGCCAACTTGGGTCGTGCTTTGACTATGAATCCCGGCACCCTCCCTGCTGACGAACACAACAAATGGAAAGCCATTCTCGGCCTCGATGATGGCAACAAGACCCCTTCTCAGCCTGCAAACAAGATTGGCGCCCACCCGCAAATGCTCAAGGCTCAAGCCTCGTCCATGCGCGCCTCTGCTCCTGCTTCGCCACGCGCCTCACACCCCAATGGCGTCCGTCCCGATCGCTCCAACAAGAAGCGCCGTTACGATGAGAGCAGTTATACTGGTTACAATGAGGGCTATCAAGACGATGATGGCTACTCGACCGGTGGCTTGGACGACAAGCGAAACTCTGCCACTAAAAAGCGCCGAAAAGTATGATGTCTCGCTTACAGTTTCTCTTCTCTTTTGCTGATCATTTTGGACAGGACTTCCCGACGAACTTTGAAACGTCTGGAGGCGCTTCGGCCTTCAACAATGGGATGCTGGGTGTTGGTGTCAAGAGCTCATGACCCAATCCTGCACATTAATCCCTCTCTCTTTCCATTCATACGGATTTTCTCTGATACCACACGGCGAAAGGTCTCGTACCATCGCTATCTCTTTTATCTCTATTGCGGTCCAGTTTGCTGTACCATCAAATCCCCCCGTGCATACCCCAAACTTTGGCTTTTGCCTTTTGCTGTTCTCTCTTTTTTGCTTGCTGGCGTTATTACAAAAATTGATGCTTCGCGCTGGATGGATGTGTCTTTAGCAGGCGTCGACTAATCGGATGGGGGTTGGGAGAAAAGAAAGACACGAACGAAAACTGGTTCACAAGGAGGAATTGACTTTCTCTTCTTGCACATTGAACCAAGAAGACACCGAGCAGGGGGAGACAAAAACAGCGAGGAAGAGCTTACCATGATGAATGCTGATTGAGATGGTGGCAACCTCTCACATTCAAGTATTCAAGACTACGATATAGAGATCTTTCTGACAGAAATGGACACAAAAAAAAAAAGAACAATGACAAAAGATTATAGACTACACAAGATGTTATGTGAGGTTTCAAGGCTATTAGTGTTTTGTCGTTTACTTTAGTCACGTTTTGCAAGTCACACGAGAAGTAATGATGTAGAAAGTTGAGAATAAGATAAAACAATGTATTGGATTGGATTCAATAAGACAAGAAATGCATCTAAGCAAAAAACTGATCAATAACCCAGACCATTCTTCCTCTGCAACGCTTTCCCAACCACAGATTCAACTACAGAAGACCAGTCTTCTAAGCTTTGCTCGTCCATCTCGTTGCTTAAGTACTTTGCATCCTTGTCAGCTGCCTNTTTGACTTCTTCAGGAANGGACTTTTTCAGGAAGGAGAGAGGAAATTGGCCATAGCGACCAGAGATCAGTTTCTGAGTTATGCGGGCAGAGATGGCGGAAGCAGAAGTTTGGGTGGCTGTGACGGTTAGATTGTGAGTGTATAGAGCAGTGAGGGAGTCTTTAGGCTGAACAGAATTGTTTTGTTGGAAGCGTTGCGAGGCATAGTCGGCAGAGAGGATGTTGGTATAGTGAGTAATGGTGGCTGGAGAAGCATTAACCAGTCTTGCTATATCCACAATCGACAGCGAGGGATTTGCATACGTAGACTCAAGGGTAGCAGTTACAGCAGTAGTGGTATTAGTCTCAGCATAAACCGACAAATTGCACAAGAAATCTATCCATGCAAGAATCTCACTTACTTCTAGAGTACCGGGATGTAAACGGATCTCTACGGTGGGCTTTTTGGTGTGGTTGTGGACCAAGTGCTCGAGGTTTACTGATGATTGATGTGCTGTGCTATACAAACCTAATCCTGCAAAGGTGGTGGTGGAGTCGAGGCGGTGCAGCCAGTAGGGGATAGAGGCACCGCGTTTGACAAGTTTTTCCAGTCGAANGAAGTTGTGCGCTTCATAGGCAGTCATCAAGTCATGACCTAGGTGTTCGAGAAAGCGGATGGATAGGGGCAGACTGTATTTCCAACCAGCGGAGGCTGTCCAGGGGGTAATTGAGCTGTTTGGGTCGACTGTTTTCAGAGCAGGCAAGGCAGCGTGATCGTCTTCGTAGCCGGCAATCCTGTCAATAGTGAGTAGAGAATCAAAGCAGCGTTCATAGGCAGTAAAGATACCCATCACGTTTTTGGCAGTGGCAAGATTGAAGCCAGACTTGTCACGACCAATATGAATGTGCATTCCACAAGTCTCGTTGGTAAAGATTCTGAAGCCAGGTTTGATACACTTCTGCTTGAGGGTATTGATAATCGCAGTGACCTCATCACGCCAGTACCACATGAGAGGCTGACCATTGCAAGGCCAAACCTGACGGTGCGGACAGGGGCTCGGGTTGAAGAAGTCCAAGATACGGGAGGGGATCTCCACATCACTTACCACAGCATCATCAGGGTAGAGTTCCTTCTCATCGCTAGTAAGCTTGACACTGCAGTCACGAGTAACAACCCAGGTGTTATAATTATTGTCTTCGTCGTGATATTCCCAATAGGAGGGCGGTCCATCGTCAACAGGCAGTCTGAGGTCGTGCTCGCCCTTTTCACAGTTGAACGGGCAAGGAAGGGTTACTTTCTCCCTAAGCATCTCAAACACAGCATGATGAGGTGTATAGCGGTACTCACCAGGGGCTAAAACGAGAAATTCAAGCTCAACACCAAAAGTAGACTTACCTGAAGTCTTGGATGAGAAGGCCATTCTCGCGTGTTGTGATTGTTGTTGTTTGTTACTGTTCTTTGTTCGTCTTTTGAGGGGGTGATTCTGTAAGAAGGGTTAAAAATACTCTGAGGGCTACTTATGTAACAACTTCAGAGTCGTCTGACAGCGAGGATAAACCTAGAGGCTGTTTGAGAAAGGGACTACGAGCTGTTGAAGAACAAGGAACGACATCAATGGTCAAAGAAAAACATTTTGTTCATTCATAGCAACTCAAAGGACATCTCAAAAGAAAGTATTCTTGTCTCTTTGTCGCATTGTGCATTGTGTTTCGTACAGCAAAGGCTCAATGAGCCTTGGTTCTCTTGGCTTCAGGGGCATCCTCGAGATCCTGGACGGTAGTATGTCAGTAATGGTGGAGCAAGTAGCATGTTGAAGGCTGGGGACATACCTCCTCAGTGCTCTTTCTCTTGGAAGTGGTTGGCAGTACAGCTTGTGTCTTGTAGCCGATGACGTTCTTGTCGCCAACAACAGTGATACCGCAGTTGATGGTGAGGTTGACCTGCAACACGGGCGTAGGCGAACCAGATTCTGTAGCACTTGTCTTTGCAGCATTGAGGCTTTGTACTGCAGCGAGAAGGAGTGTTGACAGGCGGGTTGCGTCGGCGAGTGGTGGTGTTGCGATCATGTTGCCAGTGCCCTGAACTTTTGTGTCGGCGTTGAGGATCAGTGTGACTGGTGATGGGTCCTCGTCCTCTTCTACATCTTCCAAGTCGCTCAAGGTTTCTTCGGCGCAATAGGCAGGTGGTGGAATGTCTGAGATTTGCTGAGGATGATGTTCGCCATCTTCTTCCGCAGAGGCTCGCTCGAGCATGATTTTGTGGCAGGAGTGCATGAGAGAATCCATGATGATGATGGTTGTGTAGGATGACTCTTGAGGCACTTGATTTTGTAGGACAGAGATGAATTGGTAGGGAGTGTGGGAAGGTGCAACACGCGGTTGCTGGAGAGAGTAGAAGAAAGTTCTGGACGAGAAGGATGATGGAAGAAAGATGGTTTGTTGTTGCAAAGTAACTTCTTGAAGTCTCTTGTTTATGGATGGACAAGTAGTCGAACAGATAGATCAAACAACAAACGGAGCGGGAGGACAACAGAAGGACAACACGAGACAGTTACTCTGGTACCTACTGCAAGTCTATTCATTTGGTACATCAATAGGAAGGGACACATGACGCGGTCTGGTAGGCGCGCAGGCCATCGTATTGTCAGCCTCCCAACAGCATTGCAGTTCCTATTGTCGGACTCTATTGACACTCGGGCCGAAGGAGAAGCCGATTGTTGTACAACCGTGCCGAGTGTAGTTGCTGATGGGACTTGCTATTGTCAAAGACAGCTTTGTTTTCCTATTGTTGTCTTGTCTGTCTGTGCGCACATTGGGCGTCCACCATCTCTTCGGCTAGAGTTCTGCCCGCCTCGAGACACACGTGATGACTTGCATGAGTATTTCTTGAGACGACACTCTTGACAAGAGTACACAAACGACAGCCTGGCAAGGAAGTCTTGTACTCTGTTCATGACATGGCCGAAGGATGGCCAGCCCTTGCCTTTGCGGCTGAGGAAGAGTGCGGGGCAGCAACCATGATGTGAACGAGACCCTTGGGCGCGACTGCCTGTTTAATCTCTGATCAGCTTACCGCCTTGGTTGACGTCTTTCACTATAATATTTTAGTTGCTCGCCGGTCGCTGAGTGTCCTTCTATCGCTACTCATAACTGCAACTCAAGAAACCGCCTTCCAGCGCGCCAATTGCCATGACGCCGTCATCCTCAAAGCACAAGCGACAGTCGTCATCAATCCATCGCTCATCTCTGGCCGCTCAAAAGACCGAAGTCAAGATCCATGTTTACGACCTGTTACCAGTTAGATCATCTTCCGAGTCGCTTTACTTTCGACTGAACTAACAGAAACCANNGCCCGGTCGTCTCTCCAACCTTCTCTGGCACATCGGCGGCTCTCTCCTACATTCCGGCGTCGTCATCAACGAACGAGAATACGCATACGGCGGCCACGATCGCAAAGGTGTCAGCGGAGTATACTGGACGAAACCAAAACTCGAACCCCCAGGCGGCACGTTTCGTTGCGAGATAATCCACGGCTTTTCTGTCCTGTCCCAAGAAGAAATCACCGATATCATCAATGACACTTCAAGGATATTCCAGGGTACTCGGTACAATCTGCTCAGCAACAATTGCAATCACTTCTCTTCGTATCTATGCGAGAGATTGACCGGTAGACCAGGACCTGCGTGGCTGAACCGAGCTGCTAGCGTTGGTCTTGCCCTGCCCTGCGTGGTCCCTAAAGAATGGATCACACCACCCGATCACGAAACCGCAGACGGAGAATTGGTTGACGAGGAAGAGGAAGACCATGACGACGATGAGAGAGCAGCCATGTTGCCGCGAGATAAACGAAGGAAACGCGACCGAATTAGCAATCAGCGCATTACTTCCAGAAACAAGACACCTCCACCACGACTTGTGTCTGTCAAAGACACCAGTGGCAGGNNGGAGATGCCTGTCAGCGAGAGGGCACCGATGCCTAAGAGATGACGGTGCCTTGGTTGGCGCAGCAGGAAAAGCAACAGACTGTCGTTAAAACATAGACATTCACATCCAGACTAATGCATACCAAGATCTGCATGTTCGAGCACAGAGCATTCAGCACGGCATCACGACTTGACATGTCTGATCTCAGGATATCTGAGGTACCCACCTGGGAACGAAGTCATGGCATGAAGAAGACACCTATCGCAAACCATGATGAACAGTGGGACAAGACAACGAAGGCATGAGGAACGAGAGTGATGCACGCGTAGGAGCAAGGGAAGAAGAATCAAATGGCATATTGGGAAGGGCATAACGGCTTCCCATCTAAAGGGAGAGGAAGTGATATTGTAATGCTTCGTTGTGAAGTAAAAAGAACCATCCCAGCAAACCCATCAAGGTATCTATCTTTTCCGTCGAGCAAAACCGATAGTGAAAATGAAAACCTCCATCCCAAAATGCTGCTATCGATAGCAGAACGTGCGTCTTCAGAAATCTCCTTTCCCGGTCCATCTTTCTCGCTTCGGTTTAGGAAAATGCCGCCTCCCAATTGATCATAACCTCAATAAAGCAAAGAGCTAAACTTGACCGCCCCAGCCAAATCCCTATGCGGAGGATCCTATCTCATAGGCGCAGGACTAGCCCCCGCCGCAAGCGCAGCAGCAGCCTCGGCAGCCAACCTCCTCTCGCGATACTTTCTGCCGTTGATGATGTTCTGCAGGCGTTTTCTCTCGCGCGGGTCCGTCACTTTGGTCCAGTCCAGGTCTTCGCCTTCGACGGCGTAGTCTTCGAACATGCTGGGTCCGCCTCCGCGCACTGTTGCTGCGTATGCGTCTGGAAGGTCGGAGAGATTTTGGCGCAGGTGGGGGCTGTTGGGGTTGTTGAGGGAGATTTGCCTTTCTAGTTGGCGGTGGGGGTTTGGGATGAAGCCTGAGGGGGTGTGGGGAAGGGGTGCGTGGTGGTGAGCATGTGGTGGAGGGTCGGGTCNTGAGAGAGCTGAAGTTAGCATGCTGAGAAGCAGATGAAAGGGGTAGTTGGCTGGGAAGACTTACCTGCTGGGTTTGGGCTGTTCGATCAAGTAGAGATCCTTAGCCCAGGGTGGCAGACGCTTGTCGCGTTCGTATAGAAGACCGCAGTTGTTGCAGAGTGACTGAAAAGGCTTGTTAGCGTTGTGAAATGCACTCGATACCAGGCAGAAACTTACTCTAGGTCCGTTGGGACCATCGCGAACAGCCCAGACAGCGTTGCCACCAATACGACAATGACTACACTGCCAGACAGGACGCTCCGACTCGGTCAACTTGCCCTGCTCACCCCCAAAGGCAGCAGTAAAGTCAGGCGTTTCACGACCTGTAGGACTAAGACTGCGGAATCGTCTCTTCTTCTTGCTTCTCTCTCCTCTGCCCATTCTCTCCTCATCACCAGCGCCAGCCTGAGAACCAAAGTAGTCGTTTGCCAAAGCAGGCGGTGGCGCGAAGCCAGCGTTAGCGCGAGCAGCCATCTCACGTCTCTGTCTGCGGATCTGTCGTTCGCGGTCGCCTTCGCGCTTTTCGATCTCGTCCTTGCTCAACACTTCAACACGCGGTTGCCATTCAGCTCCCAGATCGTCGTTGTCGAAACGCCAGCCAGCGGCTTCTCCTATTGCCAGTGAACCATCACCATGTACCTCTGCAGCCTCGTTGTCGATTTGACCCCAAGCATCGATACCACTGCCAATGACCGCAAGCAATGAGCCGTTGTTCTCACAGTATTCTTTCTTCAGCTTCAAGACAGCCTCGTAGATGGCGTGGGCGAGCGCAGGGACCCATTCGCCTGATAGACCCAGGTCGGCGCAGGTCTGTTTGGCGAAGATCTCTGGGAAACCAGCCGGGTGCATCAGTGACCATTCGAACTTGTCAGTATAAAGTCTATTCATAAGGTTGATCGAGAGCGAGATGATGCAGCGGTGGGCGTCGTCAGGGTTGTGTACAGAGGAAGGCGGCAGAGGTTGAGCAACGGCGGAAACATTAGCGTCGTTGGGCAAGGGTGTTTGAGCGGCATTAGGAGTGTTGACACCGTTTGTTTGCGGCTGTTGTGCGGAAGGGGTTTGTGCGAAGGGTGTGGATGAGATTTCGCGCGAGATGGGAGGGCGCGTCGAAATGTTGCGATTTTCGGTGGTGGAGGAGGTAGGATTGAACAGCGGGTGCATGACAACGGCAGCATGTTCTTCTAGTTGTGTGCGGATCTGCTGAGAAACTTGAATGGCCAGGGCAGGACGACGCTCCAAGGGGAAATCCAGCTCGTCGACAAAGACCTTCGCGAATTGGTCAGGCGTCATGAGAGACTCGTGTAGATTCCAGAGGAAGCTGTCCTTGATGCGAAACTCGGGAGTCATATCAGGTGCCTTGTATGCAGGCGAGTTCTCGTCGACACCAAGCTCGCGCGCATTGTTAGGCTTAGGCAGAGGAGCTTCTGGTTGAAAAGGACTGACACTCAAGTCGATGCGGATGGGTACGAGGTTGAGGGGAAGTTGTGCTTGCAGCATGACCTGTCTTTCCGTCATGGCTTTCTTGGGCTTGCCCATCCACTCGCGCCAGATACCTTGGACGTCGACGGCACTTGTCAATTCAGTCGACTGCACAGGTCCGGTGGTTACGACTGTCTGGGACTCGTTCTGGCGCAAACTGCGCAAACCGGTGGGTCTTCGGGGTGCGTCACTGTCTTCGACCAGGCTGTCGTTTTCAAAGTCTTCGGAGTAGTTGATGGCGGTGGTGCCGCGTTTTGTTGTGCGCAGAGGAGGGATGGCATTTTGCGGTTGGATGGCCGGCGTCAGGAGCGAGTTCTGGTATGTGCGAACGCGCGGGGCGAAACTCGAGACGAAAGCTTGGGGACTCTCGGTCCTCGATAGGGAGAAGGCGGACATGATGTCGTTGGTATAGTGCTGTATAGGCTGTGCGGAGGAGTAACAAGCCAGTCGTCGTGCGTCGTGTCGTGTCGCGTCTCAATCCATGCGCTGAGCGTCGCTTTGACTCCAGGTCACGCTTATTTCATCCAAAGAGGTTTGCGATCGTATTCATCTACTTTGGATCCATGTGCTTGCACTGACAGAGTGGCTTTTGTGAGTGAACAATAAAGTCGTATAGCTTCACCAAGGGATCTCCAAGCCTCAGAAAGACGCGGCTTCGCGAACTTCCGCAATCACGTGTCATACCAATCTCTCCTCCATCGCCAGGTCATACCATCATCATACATCTCTCTGGACATTGTGCCTCATTATCACATATTGCTGCATTGCTACAACTCTTTTTTGTCTCTGAGTAGTTCCAGACATCCAATTCAGCTAGCCAACATGCCTGGTGCATCTCTTTGGATCATCCCGCCCAAGGACAGCTCCTTCTCCCAAGCTCTCCAGACCCTCATATCCACAACCATACCCCCTCACTTCCCAGACACAAAGACCTACGACTTCATCCCTCATGTCACCATAACCTCAAACATCGATCAGTCCCTCTATGGCTCTGACCCTCAAACCTGGCTGGGAGGCTTGCATCTACCTTCTAGCGACCAGCATGACCCTGTCTTTGTGACACTAGATTTGCTCGAAGCTGGCGATGCTTTTGTCAAGAAGTTGACTTTGAGAGCCGGCAANAGTGCTCAATTGCTACAGCTAGCTGCTGCTTGCCGTGCAGAGGCTGTTGAAGGGGGTGACCAGGGAAAGGCTGAGAATTGGGCTCGCGACGATTATCTGCCTCACCTCTCTCTCATGTAGTAAGTTCTATCTTTGTTACTCGATCAACTGACAACAATGCTGAGACCTGCTCTCAGCGCCGACCTGCCCAAGACCGAGGTCGAAAAACTCGTCCCAGAGATACAGGAGGATTGCCGCAAGGCTGGTCGCAGCGTCGAAGCTCATGATGACGGTTCCGTTGCTACTGGAGGTAACATCATCTTGGTTGATACAAGCAAACCCATTGATCAATGGCATCCCATTGCTACAAGAGCCTTGCCTTACATTAGATGGGAGTGGCCATGGTCAAAGTCGAGATTCGATGATTAATTGATATCATTTTCGCTAGCAATTGATATGACATGCTCTGCGGGAATGACTACTCTAATAAGAACCATAACAAAAAAAATGAAACATCGCTGCGGATCGTCAGAAATCCTTAGTCCATCTACAAAGTCGCTTTACCACCTGCCTCCCATCTTTTTTGTGTGTGCGAGTCTCCTGCATTTTGTTGTCTCCAGCCCGACTGAATATTCTGTCCATGGGCTCTCATTTAAGAATTGTTGATACATGTGCAGAAATGCAATTGCGTTAGTGACATCTGACAAGGATGCCAATTTTCGCTTGGAAGCAAGCCTCCAGAGCTGTCGTGTGTGCGGAGCCGTGCAGGATGATATCCGATGAGGATTTACAGGGCATAGGGATTGAGCGATCTAATGGTCAAGCATCTGCAATTCGAGTTAGTATCTCGTAGTCGTTGTGAATAGATAGAGTATGAAACTTACGGCGGGCTCTTGGTCATGTCCGTCTTAAGGATGACTGGCACTCTCGACATCTCTCTAACATCTTGGATGTAGTTGCCATCCGACTCACGAAGGTTGAACAGCTTCAGGTACTTATCCTTGTTGCTGAGCTTGGCCTCGGGAGTGGTGTGTAGGATCTTGGAGTCTGACTTGGTGCGTTGAGGACCCTGCTGAGAAGAGATGCCGTTGCGAGTGGGCGAAGGAGGCATGCTCTGGGTGTTGCGGTCTGTGTTCAAAGAGACACCGGCAGTCTGCTCGGTAATCTCGGAAACAGCATCGTCATCGTCGTCGAAGAGAGCATCGGCGTCGTCGGTAGAGATTGTTGCAGTGTCCATCTGTTTGCGCTGAGTCTCCTCCTCCTTTGCACGAGTAGCAGCAGAGTCGCGAGCAGCGGCGGCTGCAGACCAGTTGTTAGCTCGGCTAGCCTTGGGCTTCTCGTCTTCGGGAACGAAGGCAGAAGATGGGACACCCTTCTCCCAGTAGAGCTCAAGCAGACGCTTGTTCTTGTCAAATTCGGCCTTCTTGAGAGGAAGCTGGTCACAGTGGACACGCTTCTCGAAGCCATATTCGGGGATCAAGACATCAAAGGCTGATTCGTAGACGCAAAGGACGATACCCTCACTGATCAGGTCACCACCAAGTTCCTGACTCTTTCTGTCGAGAGCGCGGCAAGACTCGATATGCACACTCTGTTCCTGTGCAGCATGAGCAGAGTCTTTCTTTGTGTTTGCAGTCTCGGCAGTCTTTGCCAAAGCTTCGACATCCTCTGTGAACTCTACAGCACCGTTGGTGAGGACGTGCTCAAGCTGGCGGTGAACAACAATGTCCGCATAGCGGCGCGAAGGGTTAGTGAAGTGGGTGTACAGAGGCAGGTTGAGTGCGTAATGCGAGTATTGATCAACGGGGGCCTTGGACGGGATGAAGTACTTCGCACGACGCATGGCCTTGATCAGAAGAGTTTCAACACCCTTGCGGACATCAGCATCTTCGATCTGGAAGAGACTGTTCTGAAGAGCGCCACTGCTGGAAGTGTCCACATCGACACCAATGTTGGCCATACGCTCGCTCAAGGTTACCAAGCGGCGAGGGTTAGNGGGTGCCTGCTTGCGCAGCAGAGCCTTCTCGGGCAAGCCGGCAAAGATCTTTTGAGCAACAAACGAGTTGGTCTTGTGGCTCAATTCTTCGATCAGCTCGTGAGCGGGCGAAGAATCAAAGATGTTGTGCTCAACAGGCACGTTTTCGTCGTCGAGTTGGTAGATCAAGCGAAGGGGTTGGTTGTTGGTGGTACCGTCACCAAATCTGGCTTGACGAAGCTTCTGAGAGATGCTGTGGAGCATTTCGATCTGGCTAGCGCGTTCATTGTCGAGCCCAGAGTTTCCTTGTCCGTTAACGATGCTGTCGACTTGATCGTAAGAGACCTTTCCAGTACTCTTGATGATAGCCTTGCCAATCCAGGTATCCTCGTCAAGGACACGACCAGTGTCAGGGTTGATCTTGAAGACAACACTGACAGTGTATCTCTCCTCACCAGGGCTCAAAGAGCAGATTTCGGAGCTGATCTTGGGAGGGAGCATCTTGACGGTACGGTTCATCAGATAGACACCGCTACCGCGCTTTTTGGCCTCACGATCAACCATGGATGAAGGCTTGACGAAGTGTGAGACGTCAGCAACGTGGACACCAATCTCAACATGACCATCGCTAAGAGTCTTGAAGTGAATTGCGTCGTCGAGTTCCTCGCTTCCATTGGGGTCGATGGTGAAGGTTTGCTCGTTACGGAAGTCGCGACGAGACTCCAAAGCGGCCTCGCCATCCTTGGCCACAGACCAGTCTTCAAAGCCGACGTTCTTAAGGACAGCATCGGAGAAGTCATCGGGACCAAAGTTGTTGTCACGCAGAAGGGCGTCGGTCTCCACCTTAAGATCACCGGCATCGCCAAGCTGCTCAACAAGGGTACCGAAGGGGTGCAAAGAGGTGATGGGCCAGCGCTTGATGCAAGCGACGAAGATCTTGTTGGCGTAGTCCTGGTGCTTCTCAACGAAGTCCTTGGGTGCCTGCTCGGTAGGGATGGCGATCAGCGGCACACGCTTGTCAGTGGGCTTGAACCAGACGATCTTGGGTCTGTCCTGCTGTCTATCGGGTTGGTTGCGTTGGTTTCCACCATCGCGACCTTGGCGCTCAGCCTCCTGTCTTTCCTTGGTGGCTTGACTGCTGGGACGGAGAAGACCAAGAGTACCAGAAAACATCTGACCGGCAACGCGCTCGATGACGGCCACAATATGACCGGCGTAAAGAGGCTTCTGCTCGTCGTTGATTTCATCCTCCTCCATAAGGAGCAAGCTCTGACCTTCGACCTCAACATCGTCGTTCTTCTTCTGAGTGGGACGCTGCTTCAAGCTACCACGTCTGCGAATACCTCCCTCAGCAGCAGAGGATTCTGGCTGAGTGGTGGCGTCGTTGACAGCGGTCATGGACGTACCGCGGCTATCGGTCATGTCCTTACGCTTCTTCTTTTCTTCCTTCTCGCGCTTTTGACCCCAGACTTCATCGACGTCAAGAAGCTCAACAGCAACGAGATCACCCTCCAAAGCACGGTTACGGTCCTTGCTACCACAGATGAAGATGTCGGCGTCGAGGTCATTAGTGGTGACATAGGCGTCACTTCTGTTCTTCTTGTTGACACGAAGGATACCCGCAACGAGCTGACCGTCGCCGAGAAGAGCAGGGAGGGTGGCCTGAGGAAGGTAGGGAGTGAAGAGAGTCTTGCGCTGCTGTTGCTGCTGCTGCATGGTCATCTGCTGACCACCTTGCTGTCCTTGAAGACCTGCAATTGGGGGCTGAAGTCCAGCAGCCTGATAAGCCTGGATCTGAGCGAGCTGCAGGGCGTTCAAGCCTTGAGTAGCAAACATGTTCGGCTGCATGAGGACCTGGCCCTGAGGNNGGAGCTGAACGAGCTGCGGCTGCTGAGGGAACTGGAAGTTGCTGATCGAACTGATCGATTGGCTGTTGACAGAGCCGCGCTGGCGGTGACCCGGCTGGAATGGCTGGGCTCCAGCATGCTGGTTCATCTGGAAGTTACCCATGTTGGTAGCATGCTGTTCCTGGATCGTGGGTTGTTGCTGGCGCCAGTTGCCATCGAAGTTACGCGATTGAGTTCTTCCATGTCCCTGGCTGCCACGGCGCTCAGGAGCATTGTTAATCTCGGCAGGAGGCGGGAACTGGAAAGCGGGACCACCGCGCTGGTTTCTCTGGTTGCCAACAGCAAGACTCTGACTGCGTCCGTGTCCGCCACGGCCAGAATTGCGTGCAGAGAAGTTGTTAGCAGGGGGAGGCATGTCATTGTTGGCGTTACCGGGGCTCACGGAACGGTCGGGTGTGGCACCGGCAGCACCGGGGATGGGGAATTGGAAGCCTGACTGCTTGCGTTTCTGCTCAGCAATCTCGGCAGCCTTCTTTGCCTCAGGCAGGGCAAGCGAGTGTCTTCTGCTGTGACCGCTACCACCACTAACCGAACCACTGTTACGAGGNNTCTGGGGTTGACGTTTTCAGATTTGGCACCAGGGAAACTGAACTCGCCAAATGCACCAGAGCCGGCGGATGGAGCCGGTGGAGGGCCCATGGTCATAGTNGGGCATGGCGGACTGGTTGCGACGGTGGCCTGTTGGAGGACCCATAGAACCAGGCAGCTGCAGGTGCTGCTGTTGTTGCTGCTGTTGTTGGGGGAACTGGAAAGCATTGTTGTTGGGCATCTGGCCTTGCATCTGGGCGAAGGCTTGATTGGGGAGCTGCTGCTGGGGTTGGATCATGCCCAGGTTAACGTACTGTTGGTGCGTTGCAGCAATCTGCTGCTGTTGCTGCTGAAGGAGTTCGATCTGCTGGGCGAGAGCGAGTTGCTCCANCTGTATTAATGTTAGCAAAGCAATCCCGACAGACGAGCACGGTGGGGTCGAAACGCCAGGATATGGGGACGACGTACTCATCAAAGGAGTGAGCTCAGAAGGACTACGTCTGTGTGCGATGTGAAAGCGACGACCTCCAGGGCCGGAGGGACCATTCTGTCCGTGTTGATCCATTGTCGTTTGGTCGAGAAGATGATTAGGCGGCGTGGAAGGATGGCGGAAGGATGTCAGACGACAGTGGTGGGGGTGGTGGATGACAGAAGCTCGATGAGGCTAGGCTATCTGCAGGACAGGCGTCAGAAATGAGTGTGGACGCGAAGAACACGATGTGAGTACCTGACACGCGAGAGGGAATGGTATTTTAGAGCGCTGGACAGCTAGACTTGGTGAAGTGGACCTCGGAGCTAGCGTAAAAGCTATGACAACGACGACGACGGCACAAGTAGGAGCGAGCCTCTATTAGTGTAGGTGGCAATGTAGTCAGGAAGAGTTGAGATGCCAGATGATGAGCTGCTTCTAAAGGAGGGCGGGTGCCACAAGCAAGATGATGGNNTATGGAGAGTGGTGTTGGTTCGTGTTGGACGAGAAAAGACTGGTGAAGCCTGGACGGGCTCCGGCGGACGAGCAGAGGTCGTGCTTTCCCCAAAAGCAAGAAGCGTTGGGCGGGCGATGTCAAGGCTCTTTTCACTTGCACGTCTCGAAATGATTGAAGAGACGAGAGAAGGCAGTAACAGTGTGTTACAGAAAGGGAAGGAAGGGTAGGAGGGAGGGCAGAGNNAGAGGTAGATATGAAGTCCAGAAANAGCACAAGGGGAAAGGCGGGAGGAGGTNNCCACGGTGTTGGACGTGGAGAGGGCNNCAGGTATTCTACGAACTGCGTCATGCCGCTTGGATTCGTGGACAGCTGGACAAAGGATTGCCCATTTGCGGGCTTTCCATCTATCTACAACACTTGGAGCACTAGAGTTGTTGATCGTCTTGCGAGCCTCTGTCTGCTCGGACTGCATATCAATGGCTCAATCAATCGCCATGCTATCCTTTCATCTAACAACAGCATCCACTTCCTTGCTATCTGAGAGCTATCCTGCCAAGTATGACCGGATACAAGGCCGTTTGTACAGCAGGATTACGCGATGAAACCTTTGTTAAACCTGTTGGACTGTCGATGGACAATAATAGCCAGTCAGATCGGTCGTATCCGCTCGTATATTGTTTGTGCATATCGTCTTATGCCCTGATGCAGTTCTGTTGATTGTTCCTTCGCTGTCTTCAAGCATGATCACAAATGACATGGAGTTTACTTGATAAAGGGGCAGCTTGGAGTCAGTCCTTCACTTTTGGTTCCATCCCGCCTTGCCCGCTTCGGAGCTCGGGCACAGTCAATCTTTGTTTCATGACTCGACAAAAGCTGGAGCAAGAACCGTCACTTGAACTTCTTGCTTGTGAACTTTTGATGCTTCAACTACAGTCTGTTTTCGCGCTTGATTGAGGTACTCTGTTCTCTGCCCCAACAACCTCGGGCATGCCGTGTGCTGGAACATAGCCGCTTTCTTGCACCTCGTGGCTCAGCTGCAAGCTCTACAATCAATCGTTGCGACTCAATCTTGACGCCGTTTTCGCACCTTGTCCGTACCACCGTACTTCAATGGCAACTCCTCATAGGGAAAGAGCTGGTACAGCAAGTCTTGCATCGCGCACACCTCGTAACGACCACACATACGCCAGAAAGAGTCACAACTCGCCATATCGTCATAGCCCCCGTCGTTCGGAGGTCTTGGTTGAGGAAATTGGCGCGCTTCACATTCGCGAGGAACGTGCCTGGAGACAAAGACAAGATGAGAGAGATGCTGAACAAGAACGCCGACATCAAGAGGCTCTAGCGCAAGCTGCCGCTGAGCACGAGCGGATCTTGCGCAATGCTATCGAGGCAGCTGAGACTGAAGCACTGAAGCAGGAACGCGAGCGAAAGCAGAAGGAAGAGGAAGAGCATCGTGCACTTGAAGCTGAGCGCTCAGCAAAAGCTGCAAGAGAGGCTGCTGATAGGCAGCGGAGGAAGGAAGAGCTCGAACGACAAGAGCAGGAGCAACAGAAACGCGCGGCCGAAGAAAGAGAGATACGGGAACAGGAAGCTCGTCTTGCACAACAAAAGCGACAGCATGANAGCCGACGCTTTACGGAGGAAGCAAGAACAGGAGGCTTCAGATCGCAAAGCAAAGAAGAGGCTGATGCTGCCGCTGCCGCCGCCGCCTCTGCTGCTGCGAAAACTGCTGCTGCTGCTGCTCCCAAAATCCAACAATCTCAACCACAGCCCGCGTCAACTCCTGCTACACAACCCAGTACTGCACCTGCAGCGCAGCCCATCTCCAAGCCTGCAACTCAGACTGTCGCGCTGTCTTCTGCATCCGGAACACAATCAGCACTCAAGTCTACACCCGCACAGCTAGAAGCAGTGCACAAGCGATATCGCGAGATTCATCATCAGCTGAAAGCCATGAGGAGAACCGCCAGGACGCAGCTCTCAAAAGCCCCATGCAGCATTAGCGATTATCGTCGAAAGATCAACACGGTGATGGGCCAGTTTACCCCTGACAAGATCAAAAACAGAGTGGCGGTAAGTCTTGACCTATGTAGGCTACAAAGGTACGACATTCACTGACTGATTCGTGTACAGCTTAAGAGAGTGCTCGAGATCCTCAACGACGTCCTGAAGCATTCCGAACCGACTATCGACGTGACTCCCTTCCTCGCCAATCCGCCAGACAACTCGGAAAGACGGATGCCGTTGGCTCTGGTATACTTACTGAATTTGATCTCCAAGTTGGTCATCAGTCAGTTTTGCAGCGACAACCTAGCGACAGTGGATGCTCTTGCAATTGTGTTGGTCACTGTNTTTTCGAAGCCTGAGTATCTTTACAACGGCACCACTTCGCTGATCGACATCCTCCTGGCCAAATACCATGTGGTGTGCCCCGTGCTGTTCGGCATATATGGCAATGAGAACACTAAAGCTGGACGGGATAGAATAGGTTGGTGGAGGTTCGGCGAGGATTATGTTGGTCTCGAGGCGCACAAGAATCGCATGCTTGGTCTGGCTACAGGGTACGGATGTCTTTCCTTGCGAGACTTCAGCAAGTCAAAAGCGAACAACCCCTTTCCGCCACCGAACTACTGGCGCGCACTGAGTTACTTTGCCAACACTCCGCCGGCGCAACTACAACCAACTCACTTCNNCCTTGTCCTTAAGGGATTGGTGGATACACACGTTGAAAAGTTCTTGAAGTTCTACGGTCAGGCAGGTCTAGCAGCATTGAGAAAGGTACTGGTGGAGCTTCCCAAGGACGCGCCCAAGAGTGCAGCCAAAGACTCAGTTGCAGTTCTCCCAGAAATGCTGCGGACGACTAGATGCTTGACGTTATGATTGTAGCATTTGTTGACTGCAATGGTGGTGCATGGACTAGATAGACGATGTCGCTAATTGAACTTTCCGTTCGACATACCCTAGTCCCAAGGGTGTGTTTCCCTAGCAGAACAGGATTGACCTTTTCCATTCAATACAAACACGATGTGGTAGTGAGAAAGTGAAGTGAGAATCAAGAGAGATCCATATCTCCCTCCCTCTGCGATGGTTCAGTGATGAAATGTGGGAAGAAGCTCCGAAGTTGGTTTCGACAAGAAAGTTGCACTTGGAATCACGACAAGCCATCTTCCATACACAACCAAACATGACAACCACAATAGACTCAGCACCATCGGAATTGGTACACAAATCAGCCAAACGTACTCGAGAAATCTTCGCCGCCGACTTTGGCGCACCCACAGCGCTCGACAATTCTCCTCGACCCGCCATCGCTCCACCTATCGCGTCGCCTGCAGAACGCGCCCAGAAGATCGCCTTGAGGTCGCGAATCGACAAAGAATATGCCGACGTGAAAGAGCTACCNCCCGTACTTGCGGCCAAGCAGGCAAGCGCTGCTGCGTCGCGATCAAGCCTTCGCAAGAAGCCCAAGACCGAGGAGCAAGCATCTAATCCAAAGATGGCAAAAATGATTGAAGGAGTCTCTGCGCAAACATCGTCTGCTACGACTGGGACCTCGAATGCTCTTGCATTGCGCACCAACGGTGCTGGAAAGCTGCCNCCCAACGCGAATGGCCCTACACCACAAAGAAACCTGCCTGGCTCCTCGAGTTTGGTGCGCAGAGACGTCATACGTCAACCAAAGCCCGAATGGAAGGCACCCTGGAAGCTTATGCGTGTTATCTCTGGTCACCTGGGTTGGGTTCGTGCACTGGCTGTAGAACCGGGAAATCAATATTTCGCAACTGGAAGTGGTGACAGGACCATCAAGATTTGGGACCTTGCTTCTGGCACATTGAAGCTCACACTGACTGGTCATATCTCTACCGTGCGAGGTCTTGCTTTCAGTCCTAGNACATCCATACTTGTTTTCGTGTGCCGAAGACAAAAAGTAAAATGCTGGGATCTGGAAACTAACAAGGTCATCCGTGATTATCATGGTCACTTGAGTGGTGTCTATACTCTAAGTCTGCATCCCACTCTCGATGTGCTCTGTACTGGAGGTAGAGATGGTGTCGTCCGTGTGTGGGATATGCGAACAAGATCGAACATCCACGTGCTTAGTGGTCACAAGCAAACCGTCTCCGACATTGTCACACAAGAAGCCGATCCGCAAATCATTTCATCGTCACTCGATAGTACTGTCCGCATGTACGATCTTGCAGCTGGAAAGACGATGGGTGTCTTGACACATCACAAGAAGGGTGTAAGAGCACTTTGCACGGCACCTCACGAGTTCACATTCGCATCTGCCTCGACTGGTCAAATCAAGCAGTGGAAGTGCCCAGAAGGTGCTTTCATGCAGAACTTCGACGGTCACAACGCCATCATCAACACCTTGTCAGTCAACGAGGACAACGTCTTGTTCTCTGGCGGTGATAACGGATCAGCTGCCTTCTTTGACTGGAAGACTGGCTACAAATACCAGTCGCTTGACTCCATTGCCCAGCCTGGTAGTCTTGACGCCGAGGCCGGTATAATGAGTTCAACGTTCGACAAGACAGGATTACGCCTTAGTAAGTCAACACATGCAAATTACATAACTTGAAGAAACATCGCTAACTAGCCCTCAGTCACTGGAGAAGCAGATAAGACCATAAAGATCTGGCGCGAGGACGAGAACGCCACACCTGAGACACATCCCCTCGAGTGGAAACCTACGCTAGGGAAGACAAAAGTTCTGAAGGACCGGAGAGAATCAAGTAGAATTTGGAGATAACGAACGATGATTGATACCCACGAATTTTTGGTCAGGTTGTTGTTTTGTTTGCCCTGTACATTATGTCCCTGCTCTGTGTCTTTGTTGTTATCAGCGCGCGGCCAAGGCTGATCTGGCAGGGGTGAGTTTCGTTCCCACTTGCGTTGCGTTGCGTTTGTCCATCTGTGGTGTTGCATGCAGGTTGGATGCGGCTTCCCTTGCGCTCGATCAACTTTTTCTCACTTCATCCTTCCCAGATATTCAACCAACAGATTTACGACGACTCAAAGGGACTATCGTTCTTCTTCTCAGCTGCGCTAATCTGACGAGAGTATTCATTCTTTCCTACATCACATTACAACGTTGTCCACCATGCCGCCAAAACACAATCACAGGACTCCGCTACAGTCCAGGCCCAGCAGATCCAATGCGCCTGCACCTGTCAACGATAGCCTTGCTGCTAAGCAGAGAGGCGAAGATCCCATCGACATCTTCAAACTCGCAAAGAACATGACAATCAAGAACCCTTCGCAGACCCTTATGGCCATCGGAAGAGTCACAAACACGCACATCGCCTACGATGGCAAGTTCGAGTTCCGCTTCTGGGGATCTCCTGACAATGTTTGATGCCCCTGACCTTGCATTTAACTGATCTATGCTCATCTCTACCAGGTGAAACGCGCCAGAGTCGACCTCAGAACCAACATTTTGCAAGACAACCCCACTTTTCCACACCAGCAAAGAACTATTGGCCCCCATCGTGATGCCCAGTTTGAAGCNAATGGTAAGTGTCCGAAGACTGCATGTGTCGCCGTTGTTGATTAGAAACAGGGCTCCTTCCTATGGCCCTCTGGGGAGTACGAACCAGACAAGGTCCTCGGACAACGTAACTTCGAAAGCCTGAACCAGATTCGCAGGGAAAACAACTGTTTCATTGAATACGATAGCCACAGATCGTCCTTCATGGTCAAAGGCAATGTCGAGAACGTGCAAGAAGCTCTTTTACGTATCAGAGGTCTCCTTTGCAAGGTCGTTGCTCAGAACAGCCCAGTCCAGAGACTCTACCTGGTCCAAAACGATTGTCAGAAGGTCATTCTTACAGAACTTTACCTACCTGTGGTCAATCAAGCAGGTACATTGCTAGAGCCACGGGTNGAAAAGACAGTGGAGAGTGTCGGAGCCACATTGAGAGTGGAGGATGTTGCTCTCAACGCAAAACGTATGAAGGATCTTGTCATTCAGACTCTGAGAAAGGTACACTGGCACCAAGGTCATATTGACTTCAGAGCACACCTTGGAAACCTCATCCTGGAGACCTACGAGCCTTTCGGCGATAACAGCAAGAGTTTGTGCGACTATAAGGAGATGATCTCGGACTCAAATTTCCGAGCTAGAATCACCGAAGAGTAAGTCAACGTTCTGGAAAACTGCTAGGGTTATCACTGACAGCGAGCAAGACTTGGAGATAAGGTCTTGGAGGAAAGTCTGCTCCTTCGATTCTTGAGCGCTACGAACTCGCTCCAACCTTGCGATCGTTTTGTCCACGATCTTGCCGATACTAAACCCGAGTATACAGCCTCCATCGAGGTTGACATCAAGGACGGTCGCGGCAACGTCCTGATCACAAAGAGGTGGCACGAAGGGAATGGTTCATTCTCCGCATCGAACCCTGAATTCAAGAGGGTGATCGAGAAGACAGGTCGTACCAGATTCCTTGAGGTGTATCTTACGGACACACTGAGCGACATGACTTGGCTTCTCGACATGTCGGCACTCGGAGTCCCAGATTCGTCTCACCTACCGGAATGGGTTCGAGACCACGCTGAGTTCTACGTCAACTTGAATCCCAAGAAGGCACGTAATGCGGAATCGTTCTGTGACTTCGAGGCGTTTGATGGTCAACCAAAGCCTCTAGCCCACAAAAGAGCCATTAGGGAGAAGATCGCCTGGAAGTTCGAAATGAAAGAGCCCTACTCTGGGTACGAAGTGGAAGTAGCCAAAGTCTTCAACAAGCATTACACGGCATGTGCGATTGGAGGCAGAGAACCTGTCACATCGTTCGAAGGACGCTGGACAGTCGAAGTAAAGCACCGTCAGTGGTCCAGCTTGCTCTCGGAGAACCATGAACTTCGCGCTGGGAAAGGAGCGGAATGGAAGGCAGACATCCAGAGTTGGTTCCCGGTTGATTCCAATGACACAAACGAGAAGCTCAAGGGTCATGTCGAGCTTTTGTATGCGCTGCAGCGCGTGCAGGATATCGTTCTAGGCAAGAGCCAATGAAAGAGAGATAAAGGTGGAAGATGAATTTTGATGGTTTTCTAGTACTTGCTTTCGTTTCTTTCCTTGTAGCCCTTAGGCGGTTAGACTAGCATGAGAGAAGCGATGTCTCGACTTTCCACGGCTCGTCCGCCAGAATTACCTCTCACGAATCACATGTTGACAATAATTCTGCGAGATCTTCACAACCTGAAATGTACCGAGTTTTCTTCCCAAGATAAAGTGCCCTTCTCTCGGTGTGTCAAGCCCTTGCTCTTCTAAAGCAAAGGTAGCTTCCAGTGTTGCTCCTCCAAGCCGATGGCTCCGCCCAACCTAAGCTGAAGTGGAAGCTGACGTCCCGTAATCAAGTTCGGGACGTGTAAGGCTTGATTTTGAACGTGTAGAAGGTGGATGGTGTTTGCTGATGCCAGAGGAAAATTGTCTATGACGAGGCGGAAGCGCTTCCTGAGGCCTGGTTGCTTGCGAGGACCTTTTGACGCATGANCTGCAATTCGTGTTAGCTACCGTTTGTTGCGCAAATGAGTGGCAAGTCTTCTTGTTCATGCGTACCTTCTTCAATCAACCTCAAGTTCTGGTTCTTGCCCTGGACAATAGTTTCGAGATCCTTGACATTCTTTCCCAACTCTTCCGCCTTTGCCTCGTAGAACTTCTTTGCCTGCTCGGTTGTTTTTTCGACATAGAAACCAGTTCCGACATCTACCAGAACAGTCTCGGTGCTTGCTAGTGTGCCAGGGACGTAGAGCGAAGAAGTCAAGGGAACCAGCAATGGCTTGTCGGCGACCGAGTTTGCGACACCGGCGGTAATTGAGGCAATGCAGTCGCGGAACTTTTGCTGGGCGGCGCGCAGTTGGGCGTATGAGTTTGTCAGGGATTGTGTTTCTTCATCGAGCTGTTTCTTGACTTGGGAGAGTTGTTGGACTGAGAGCGATCCGAGGTCGACNNTAGCGAGCGCTATTAGTTTCTGTTGTGGTTGAGTCTTTGAGAGGAGCTCCAATATGCTTCACGCACTCTGTTGACCTTGTTCTGCTGGTTTCGACATCTTTCTGGAAAGGAATGTGATATTTCTGGCTCTGACGTTGCGTGCTCGAACGACCAACACAAAGTTGCACCCCACCCTGGCCCATACAAGTCCACATTCGGATTTGATTGCTTCCACGAAACCACGCGCCAAGACGTGTCTATCCAACGCGTGCACCTCCAACGACAGCAAAGGGTCAATATACCCAATTGTCCGAAAATCAAGTCTGAACATGGCTCAAAAACAGAAACGCTCAAGGGCCGAGCAAGCACGACAATTCCTCCAGAGCGGCGGTGTCTTACGAGAAGATTCGGACGATGAACTAGGCACTGAAGATCTCCCCTGGGAATGGATATACGGACCCAACAAAACCATCATCGGTGCCCAGATGGGCGATTTCAAATGTCACATAGGAGATACTGTCTTGCTCAAAGCTGCCGGAAACGAAGCTTGGGTAGCCATCATCCAAGATTTTTCAGAAGGCGAGATTGAAGACGATGATGGAGAAATGATCAATGACATGAAAGCCTCTTTCTTATGGTTCTCTTCCGAGAAGGAGATTGTCAACAAGAACAAGAAAAGACAAGACTTTCTGGAGAATGAATTATACATTACTACTGGTCTGGATGAGAATTCCTTGAAGACCATCAATGGCAAGGCTGCTGTTCTCTCTGAAGAAGGCTTCAACGCAAGGTATCCAAGCGGCAAGATCCCAAAAGGCTCAAAAGATCATGGGAAAGTCTTCATTTGTCGAAGAGGCTGTAACACTCGCACTACCACTTACACTGACGAGTTCATATGGGAGGATGTATACCGTGGAGCCGAGGACTTGCAACCTCTTTGCGAATTGATCGACAGCCAAACTGTACGGACTCGCAAGCGGAAGTCAACCATCAGAGCAACCACACCAGGAGATCTGGATGAATTCGTGGTGCCTGACGACGAAGATGGCGAAACAGCTACGCCGCGAAAACGACGAAGATTGACCTCTGCTACACCGACATCAAGGAGCAAGCATCCTGCGCCTCGCAAGCTCACCACTCCCACACATCGTCGCATTATCGCGAAGAAACCCCTCGAGTTCACACCGCTAGGTACTCGTATGCTCTCACCTTCTCATACAACCGCCTCACCCCATCAGCTCGCTCGAAGCACGTTACACGTATCTGCTGTACCAAACGCACTTCCCTGTCGTGAAGATGAATTCGGCGAGGTCTATGCACATCTGGAGACCGCCATCTCAGCTGGCACAGGATCTTGTATTTACATCTCTGGCACTCCCGGTACAGGCAAAACCGCCACGGTGCGAGAGGTAGTGGCTGCACTCAATGTCGCCGTCTCCGCCGACGAACTCGACGACTTTGTGTTTGTCGAGATCAACGGCATGAAAGTCACCGACCCACACCAATCATACTCTCTGCTGTGGGAAGCTCTCAAAGGCCAACGTGTCAGCGCCACACATGCTCTCGAATTGCTAGAACGCGAATTTAGCACACCGAGTCCGAGAAGAGTTCCTTGTGTGGTCCTAATGGATGAGCTCGATCAATTAGTCACCAAATCGCAGGGTGTCATGTACAATTTCTTCAACTGGCCTCAATTGCGGCATTCACGTCTTATTGTGCTGGCTGTAGCAAACACCATGGATCTGCCCGAACGCACACTCAGCAACAAGATTAGTTCACGTCTGGGGCTTACTCGCATCACATTCCCTGGCTACACACATCAACAGCTCATCAAAATCATCGAGAGCAGACTCGAAGGCATAGGTCAAGTAGTAGTCGAACCCGACGCCGTCCAATTCGCGAGCAGGAAAGTGGCAGCAGTATCAGGAGACGCACGTCGCGCCCTCGATATCTGTCGTCGCGCAGTCGAAATCGCCGAATTTGACAAGGCAGCCGCCGAAAAAGCAGCTTTGGAAGCCACTACAGAAGAGCCCAATGATGAGACAACAACGATAGCGCCAGCCAAAGCGGCAGTGATGAAGAAAGGCGTCGTCACCATTGCTACTATCAAACGCGCTATCAATGAAGCTACTTCTACACCTTTGGCTGCTTATCTGCGCTCTCTGCCACTGGCTTCGAAACTCTTCCTTGCTGCCCTTCTTGGTCGTTTTCGCAGAACTGGATTGACAGAGAGCACACTCGGCGACATTATTGACGAGGCAGCTCGTATGGCAGCTTTGTCGTCTTTGGTACCTCTCCATGATATCTTACTCGCACCAGACACATTCCAACCTATTCCCTCATTGAATGGAGTTTCTACGCCNGGGAAAAGAGGTAGAGCGGCTGGAAAGAAAGAGGGTAAAGTAGCGAGGTTGAGGGGTATGGGTGTTGCAGCTGAGGAATTGGCAGAGGCTGGTATCGTGGGCTTGGAAGTTAGAAGGGGCGAGAGAGTGGGTAGAGTGAGGTTGGGCGTTGGTGAGGAGGAGATCAGAGGAGCTCTGAGAGAAGATGAAGAGTGTAGAGGGCTTGGGTTCAATGGATAGGTGTGGTGGAGTCTTAGGAAGAGAGTTGTCGAGATGTTGTCTCCAAGAATTGCAGAATTGCCGACGCCTGTTGCTACGCACCGGATCTCTCACCTGTAGATTCGCTCAAGCATGTACGGTCAATCATCAGCGGGATGGTATACGTGCTCCAAGCATGAACACGGTACACGACCGATCATCTCTATATCGTGAACAACCATTGCTGTTCCCACATTCCTTTGAAACTTCCAACAAACCATCTACCAAGTCTCCATAACATCCTCTTAAGCAATACACTTTTATAAAACCTAGTATACCCAGTCACCCTGTCCTCATACCAAAGCATCTACAAACCAACCTTCGTCACAGCCAACCCGGCTACTTACGGCAACCGAACCAAAAACGCCTGTATCGATCCCCAAACCTCCCACCGACAAACCACCGCATCGCCCAGCTTCATGCCCAGCAAAGAGAAGAGAAGAGAAGATCATCAAAGCACTGATGGGTTGATATCTCCCACTCTGGTCTGCGTGACTAATTTTTATTTGTGTTTCAAATACGTCTTGCACTGTTCCAGCGGGTTTGGCCTCTGGAGAACCAAGGCGTTGCGTCGGTTTTGCTCGGCCACATACATGTCGCGATGCCGAAGTCGGGGTGTGCAGCGAGTCGGCAAGGTTTGTAGAATTTTTCTTGCAACAGGTGGTGATGAGCGATCTGTAAGGGAAAGGGCAGAGGGTGGACAGGCTATGCTTGTGTGAACGAAAGTAAAGAAGACTTGTGTGCGAAGGTGAATGGTGTGAAGTATAAGGACAGGGTGACTTGATAATACTTGGTAAAGCTTGAGAAGAGCGACAATATCATTGTCTCTCTTATACAGTGCCAGCATGATTGCAAGCTGTAAAAATGCACAATCAGTTGCGACATCAGAGTTGTGTCCACAGAGAGCCGTCAATACAAGACATCTCACTGGATACTGCTCTGCATCCGAATAATATTGTGTATTTTGATAGTTGTAGCGTTGAAGACGTTGGAAGAGCAGAGAGGACAAACATCTTCTGAGGTTCGACGATGACGAATACCACGCGACATGACGTTAGCAGTTTCCCAAAGCAGAACGAAGATACCGTGACTGCGTGCAATCCCAAGATCAGGCAGACGCGCCTCGTCGTAGGCAGCAGCGCTGCTCAGCCAGCAGCAACAACTCCAAACCCGGCGGCAGCAACGTCTATACTATGAACACACCACATTTTGAATCACATCACAGTAGACACAAGAGGCACAAAAAGTGTTTGTAGTAATAGCGCATAATATTCGCATTTCAAGTATTAATCCCAAGTAAAAAGAAATTTCTAACAGTAAAAAACCCATTCCCAAAAAAACAGCTTCCTGTCCTATTCTTCCCAAACTCTGAATCTGCAAGAAGAAAGACTAACAGGAATATATATATATATATATAACCAGGGAAAGGGAAAAAGGCCCACGAGTCAACCACAATATATATGAGATTGGGGACTTCAGAACTGGCCGTAGAAATAAAAGAATTGTATGAAAACGCGATGGGTATGAAGAACTTTTGGTATCTCAATGGAGCGCAATGGAAATTTTTGTGCCGTGTGCATTTCTACAGCTGGTGATGAGAGCTGGGTGCACAGAGGGAGATGGCGAGAGATGAGGTGTGACGGGCCTCGAGAGAGTAGTAAAAGAGGTGTGACGGGCCTCAGGAGATAGAGAGAGAGGTGTGACAGGCCTCAGGAGAGAAGGAGAGAGGAGGAGTTGTTGATGGAGCCCTAGAAGGGCTGAGGAGGGAGCCCGTTGATGTAGGCTTGGAGTTGCGCGCTTTTGGCCTTCTCGGCCTCGAGCTGTGCCTTGAGCTCCTCGATTTTGTTCTCGAGCTCAGCCTCTTTGGCATCCCTCTTTGCACGAGACCTGCGAGCGGCCTCGGTGTTCTTAGCCTTCTTCCTCTCCTTTTCGTCGGTGATCTCGTCCAGGTTGATCTCCTTGAGGGGTCTGTTGGACTTTCTGGCCCTCTTGGAAACCCCCGAAGGGGCCGGACCAAGTACAGCTGGCTTGGGAGTAGGAGGAGGGATGGAGTCGGTGTGGCGGGCGCCGAGGTCTGCGCCAGTAGGCACATAGGGCTCCTCACCGGGGAACAGAGACCCCAGGTCTTGATAAGCACTCGAAGGTGCCATGTTGTCCTGCAGGAGAGGAGACGGATCAGCCGAGCTGGGGTTCGAGAACAGAGCGAACCGCTCCTCTGGTGAAAACTCGCCGAAGAACGACTCGGCAGGAGTCAGCTCAGGGATGCTGGCTGAAGAGGGGATGTACCCCGACTGTGGTGGCGCCATGGTAATTTCCTGCGGCGAGACAGTGGCAGGAGCGGCGCTGTCGCCCAAGGCGGAGAAGAGACGACTCTCAACAGGTTCAGGAGGCCCGAACAAGGGCATGTCAACCCNCTGCTTCATGAACTCGAAACCTCCGAACTGGAGGTCCTCGCTGGTGCCGAAGTAGGCGACGTTGCTCTCCTCGCTGAAGTCCATGTTGTAAGACATTTTTGTGATGTTTGATGGAGTTGTTTTTGTGGTTAAGTCGGTCTGAGAGACGAAAAGTTGACTGTGACTGTGAAGATCGTTGGTGGAAGAAGAAATGACGGTTGGAAAGACTGGTCCGATTTTTATATTCGAGCGCACTGCTGCCTGGGAGCTCTGCAGTGAAAATTCGAGCAAGTTAAACGTAGGCTGCTGCGTCGAATCTGGCAAGGGCTGCACACGCGGAGTATGAGCAGGTTTCACGGGCGCGAAGAGGGCAAAGTCCTGTTCGAATACTGGTTGTGGGGGCGTATGCCTGGGGGAGTTCTTGTGAGGAAGACATGGTTGTGATATAAAAGCCGTGGTTGGCTGTAGTTTCTGTTGCTGAAGGTCCGAAGACGACGACGAGGTGTTGGAGAAACTCAAGGGCAATTGCTCTTGAGAGTGCTTGGGGAGAAGTGGACGAAGTTGTCTTATTGCTGGTATGCTGGGCGACGGTATGGGGGGGTTTATGCAGCCATTTTGAGTGCGTAAACCTGGAATGAATATGTGTATGAAGAGTGCGTATGATAGAGAAAGGAAACCAACCGCAAGAGGGCTTGGGGAAACACCCTTTACATACTGCCTGAGAAGCACCCTCGAACCATCATCCAGTGTGGTGGGTCTGCTGCTCCGTGCACCAGGTGTGAGTCACCCAACTCCGCAGCACGCTAGCTTCACTCTAATCCCGCTCGTTCATACGCACTCATCTTCGAGCATCCACTTACCTCCAATTCCGATGCTGTAAACTCCCTCAGATAGGACTCTCAGACCTGCGCATCCTACCGGCACTGAGAGCGCTCAAATCGACCTACTCTCTGCTGCACAGTGTTGCTCAGAAGTTGTCCAAAAGCGCATTTGTCCGATCTCGGCATCCTGCTTATCTTGCCGCGAGCCGCTAGTCCTGCGCCCTTCGAAGGACATACAACCCCGGATTGGTTGGGGTTGACTGCCCTGCTGCCTGCCATTTCCCAGGCAGTTGCTGCATGTGAGACGCTGCCTTGACATGAACGCGTGAATAACAACTTCGCCGGAAGACCCTGTATCGCATTCAACAAAGGCATGACTTCGGACCCTGTTGTCCATGTCGAGAGTTCAAAAGATGACACCGGCGACAACGTCTTGGCTAACCATATAGCGATGATGTGTTGAATCGTACGTTGCGCACGCTGAAAATCATGAGGCAGCAGTTGTGTGTCTACATCTGGCCCTTCTAGTAAGTCGGACGTAGTTGTGGCCAGTTCTGTATCCAGGACACTTGACTTGAAGGAGAGACGCGTGTTAGGTATGTAATGTACTTGATGAACGATCATCATTGTCATCTCAAGAAGATATATATCGCTGTATGAGTCAAGGTTGACCAATGACCAAACTCCGAGGAACAAGTACACGTCTGATTTTCTGGTTAGACGTGAGAGAGCAAGAGCTGTGCATGAGCGCCGTACTTTGTTGGTTGTGAAGCTCTCTGAAGGCAAGCTTAGCATAATTGGTAGGCTCCTATTTATTGTGCATGAATTGTATTCAGAGGTTTGCGAGGGATGGACACGTGGTGTCAGCAGCTGATGTCAGACAGGTAAACTGTCTTGGGACGATAGATTGCGCGACTGGAGATACTAAGAGTGTGCGAAGACTCAAGTAGATGCTTGAATGACGAGCTCGTCCGAATAACGTCAAGTACCTTGGACGAGGAAGCAACCACACGCGCTCAAAAATCCGCTCCTTCCGAATGCTCAACATAACAGGACTTGACAGCGAACTTGTATAGAAAAAGCCCACTGTGAGTCTTTTATACTTGTCCTCCGGCAATCGATCGTCAGGAAGACCGAGTTTCGCTCAGATACACTTTCATACAAGTATGGAGAACAATGGAAGACATGCAAGGCTTTTGAGGGAAGAGAGCAATCAGAGGAAGGAAGCGGTATCAGAACATGTTCTCATTGGAAACGTAAAGGTCTGTTTTGGGTATATGAAAGTTTTTGAGGAGGGTGAAGAAGGACATCTAAACAACGTGCTTGACCTGTACAAGACCAATATCAGCACCTGAAGTCGAGAAAATGCATCAAGAAGACAGGACTATGAGCGTACCTCGAAGAAACGCTTGAGCCACCAGACCTGGAAGATGCCCTCGCCAATCAAGACACCGAGCTGGAAGATGCTCCACCACTTGACTCTGGCGTTGGTACTCTCGGCAGTGTTGCGGTGGGTGCGTTCGCGGACAACAATGTAACCCTGCTCATCCTTGACCTGTGCTAGCATCTCACCAAGAGTGCGCACTTCCCTCTCGAGAGGATCTTGAGGAGCCTCGCTCTCGGGGACGTAGACGATGCCGTGGACGTTGAAGCTGACTTCCTTTGTGTTTGCCGACCAGTGTTCGTTGCTGAAGCAGTAGAGGTAGCGACCATCCATGTGGGCAGTGAAGCTGTGATCGCCGCTGCTGACGGAGCGTTCGTGAACTTGGTATGCGTTGGCGGGGTTTTGGATNNCTGTCAAGTCGGGTCAGCTTGTGTCGCAACAGCACATTGGCAGGAACTAAGAACATACCCAGAAGTCAATGTCAAGGTTTCCACTGCCACCAAACTCGCGATCGCCGACTTGGAAGGTGACGGTCATTTTGTCATCCGAGTGCAGCTCCTCGTGGAAGCACTCGCGTGAGTGGGCCTTCAGCTGAATGTTGTGTGCCGAGCTGACGGCAAAGAGGCCGCAAAGGGCTGCATAGAGGAAGGCGAGGACGAGCATGTTTGCTGTCTGTCGAGAATCGTGACACACAAAGGAAGACTTGGAGCGACGACAATAATTGTTTGGTCGAGATGTTGCGCTGTCCCTTGAATATGGAGGTGCACGGTCCCTGAGCTCTTGCAGCCCCCTATCCAAAACACGAACGGGTACTTGTACTCTGCAGACCTGATCTTGAACAATAATTTCGTAGTTATATGAATCTACATGTAGTTCTATGTTCGTCTAGATAGCCCATAACTTCGATAATTAGAATCATGTACCGGCCATCTGCAAGTGTATCCAAGACAGCTTGTCGCTGTTACCTTCGGTATACCTTCCTGTCCTTGAAGCTTGCTGCTTGCCAAGTTTTGTGGCCCGGGCTCATCGAACCTCACTCCATGCTGTACCTCTGCTTGTTCTTTCCTCTTGCAAGATACAAACGTATATCCGGTAGCTTAATACGACAACTCAACTTCGGATCCTGTACCGAGGCCATTATATCCAGGAGGAGCGAAGGGGGATCGAGGAGTCCGCTTGACCTGCCTTCCGTCTGGACGGCAGTATGCACTGGAAATCTCTTCTTCTGTGTTCTTCTCTGCATCTGGATGCCTGGAGAACTTACACATCCTTGTCACTATCTATGATACAGCTTTGTGTGTCTGGAAAGGCTTCCATAAATACTGGCTCCAGAACTGGACTGAAAATTGACGTGAAATGGAGACTGAAAGAGACAAAAGTCAACTGGTTGCAATAGATGATACGCACCTGGATCAAGCTGGATCTTCTAGACGGCCTTGATTTGGTTCTTGTAGCTCGGACAAGACAGGAATTCATGTCTACCAGGTATTCAACAATATTCGACAAGCCTTGATGGGATCAGGCCATCTGGTGTCTGGACGTAGGACCACACAAACCTTTGTGCCCTCTCAGAGTCTTTTAGGCCCCTGTGCCATCTCGACGATGATGACAGGTGTCAAGTAAATCTGCTGTAGGCCTGCAAGGATGACTCTGGTAGGCCTGTCCAGTGCCCAAGTGCACAAATCCCAGGTCTGGACGACACTACTTACCTTGCTGGCGATGGATTGCACATACATCGCGTGCATTATCGAGGTCGCTTGTGCACTGCACTGGATGACGCTGATAACACTGACACGGCCCATGGTTTGGTGATGGTAGTGGTGTCTTTGTGTCAGTTGTGTTGGCGTTTTAGTGCTGCAGCTGCAATGAAGACGCGCAAAGCTCGCGCCAGACCTGCAATCATGATGTGTGGTCGAAGCAAGCCGCATAAATGAGATGAGGTTAGTGTCAGCACGCCCATAAAATAGGTAAGCCATGCCTCCTCAAGCAACATGCACTTGCAATGGAAACATTACCAATGCAAAGTGACAATGTGCTTGAATCATTTGTGTGAGGGAGGGCACTATAGAGGTAGGCTATATAATTCAAGAAGTTTGAATTTCCTTCACCCGAGTGGGAAGGATGGCGCAGTGGTCTCGGACTAAACTGGCACTCAGTGCTGGGGTCCCGCCCTGCGGGAGGCGGGATAGAGACTGCTCACACGGCCATCCGGAAGGCTCCTCCTTCGGGAGGAGTTCAGGGATAACCATTCATTTTTGCTTCTTCTAATTCCTCTTTTTTTGCGGTATAGCAAGCCTCTGTGGGGTTGGTATAGGGAGATGTGTTGTTGCTGCAAAAGAGCAGCTCGTAATATACACGGAGTCGAACAATTTGTTACGCGTAGTGATACGCGCGCTTTGTTATAGCCAGTGTTCAATTCTCCTCGAGGCCAACACGTTTCGCACTTCTCTTGTCTTTCACACCACAACACTTTCACTACCTCACTTTCATCAAACTCGACACAACAAGACTCATACGTGACATGCAGAGATCTTTCTGCTCCTCTTCTCATACCCTTGAATCTCACACCAAGGCCCTCCTCTGATTGTCTGCCCATACTCAGCTACGCGCACACTCTTCTCATCTCTGTGTCAGGGCGCCAAGATGGCACGCTCCAAATCTCCAGTCCTCCCCATATCTCTTTTCGACATCTTCCTGGGCTCTGGACGTACCATTCGCAGACCAACTGGCCCACCAGGAGTAAGCACTATGTACACAACTCCATCGTCTGAGAATGCTGACTCACGCAGCTACCTTTTCTACAGNGTTCCTGGCAAGACCGAACTCGTTCGCGTGCGCAGACGTGTCAGCGGCCAGAAGAACGACGACGAGGAACCCAAGGCCGCCAGTNNGCTAAAGGCAGCAACAAAGAGAACGCGCAATCTAGCTCCAAGCACAGCAGCAAGAAGGACGGCAAGAAAGACGACAAAAGTCCAACTCCAAACCTTCCAACGACAAGCTGCGGATGCAAAGAAGGCAGCCGAAGAACCCAAGACCAACGGCGACAAACCTCAAGCTGCTGCNAAAAATCTTCCAGACCCTGTCTTTACTGCCGAGGACGACGCAAAGATCTTGCTCTTGCATTCTGAAGGCAAGAAAATGAATGAGATCGCAAAGGTCATCGGCAAAACCAGAAAACAGACTATCAATCGTTTCAACGAGATCCAGCCCAAGGATGGAAAGCAGCAGAAGGGAGGCAAGCAAGGCAACGAAAAGGCTGTAGCTGTTGACAAGAACGAAAAGGTTGACGACAAGCAAATTGTTAAGGCGGACAAGAAGGTTGAGGATCGCAAGAGCAAGTCCAACGCCATCGATGTGNNAGGGAAGCAGGAGCAGACCTCACCCGCCGCCATTCTTCTGGCTGGTAAGCACGAGCACGCTCATGCCCATCGCCATGAAGTCCGTCACGACCACCATCATGACCACCACGTCCACCTTCACGACTCTCATCCTCGCCGCTCTACCCACGACACTCCTCACGCCCGCCACGACTCAGCCCACGCCCCTCACCACTCTCGCACCCGCCCCCACAGATCCCATTACCGCCCTGCAGCCTCCATCACTCCCTCCTCACGCACAGCCTACACGATCAAAACCATGCCTTCCCTTGCCGAAGACGACCTCTTCTCTTTTGGCGAACTCCAAGCCCTCTCTGAACTGATCGGCAAGGACGTGGACGGAATGTGGCACCGTGTCAGTGCTGCCTTTTTCGGTATGACTGGTAGAAGAATTGCTGCCGAGGATATTAAGGAGAAGTTTGCTGGTTTGGAAGTTGAGTAGATGGGTAGGGTTCAAAAGAAAGGAAGGAAAGAGATAGAGACAGGGAAGTAACGATCAAAGACGGCTATTTCTTGCTTGTGGTGAGCAACTATGCTCTAGACTTTCTTGCTTGCCAACACAAAAGCAGAGAAGGATGAGAACAACGAGAGGGCCAAGGATGGAACATGGCGAACCTCTCTGATTATTCGCTTTGGCCTAATAGAGGCCAGTACAACGTTCATTTATTTTTGCTTTCATGATGCTCCTTACTCACCGTTGTGTCTTCCTTCAACCAAGAAGGCAACATGAAACGCTTGAAGCTTGCTTCCCTCACCGATACAGAAGCTGCTCGACCGCTCGTTCCCCTTACGAATCGTAACGATTGAAATGTCTCGCTACCCTACAGCTCTGTCTCTTTTGTGTGTGAAAAGGCATGCTGAACCCAGATCGTTTTGACATGGAAGCCGATATATTCCATGCATCTGCATTGGAACAACACTTCGCCCCTTATGAAAACGATTGAGCTGATACTTCGGCTAGAAGACGATACAGATAGCTTGTCGAGACACGGATAAGATGCTATTGTTCAGGCAAGCTGACAACGACACACTGGCTCCAGTGCAATTCGATAGAGCGATCAAAATCCATCTACGACATCGCCAATGATATAAAGGCCAAGGAAGAGTTCAGCGAAGTATGTGGATAATCAGAAGGTCACAGAAAAGAAATCGAAGGCTGACAAGGCTGATGAGCACGATGGAAACAGAGACACAGGAACTGAGACGAAGACAGTATTTGGTAAGAAGGAGAACAAATGTCTATGCTGTGTGTGGCTGGCTAATGAGAGAAATGAAAGAACTAACAAAAGTGGTGATACACAAACGCTTTTTTTCGTGTATGCCTTTGCTTGAACGCTTGCGCGAGGAAACAGAAAAAGAGAAATGCAGTGATTTTCCTGTCTTGCTTGCAACTCCCCTGTGTTCCAACCCTTCAACCACAAAAAGAGAAAGGATACAGTTTGGGAGCAAGAAAACGACGAGGTGTGAGAGAGATATGCGACAAATTCCAAGTCCGCTCAAAACGCTTTGCCAAAAGAAAAACTTTGTAGTTTAAAAAAAGAGTAGAAGAAGGCCGTTCGCTGAACCGGAATGAAAAGAGCTGATCACAAGAATGTGTGGAGGAAAACAAAAAAACGGAAGAAGAGACATTAGTAGTACAAAGAGGAAAAATCGTTGCCAGCCCTTTTGCATACGTAACAAGAGGTTTCTGTTATTTGGTGGATCAGAAACTTGTGTATTGGACAGTCGTAAAGTGATAACCAGCTTTTTATGTCATGGCCATGAGACGTAGTCGGGCATTTAGTTCTTCGGTTGGCGTCGCTAACCCATCATCTGAAGATGTACGTTCGATAGCGTTAGTCGAGCGTCGACTTCGACGATGGACGGTTGGTGACTCAGGGGGCTCGCGTAACCGGCGGCGCACTGATCGACTTCCATGCGAACCTATACTGCCTCCGAGACTTTTCGGGCTCGGTAAAAGATCTTCTGCATCTCTGATGACCTTCTTAACTCTGTCACGTAATTCCTGAACGTAAGGAATGATTCGCTTCAGTGTTGCTGTATCGAAATGAACCTTGTCTCGCCATTCAGCATTGAGACCAGCGTTGGAAAGACGCTTCTGTTGCAGAGCTTCTATCACGGAACGAGCGACTGCTTCCGAGTTCTTCCGGGGTCTTCGTGGGGTTGCTGGAATGATGTTGATGCTGTTATCAGTCCTACTTGGAGAAACGGTCGCATCCTCGCTGANAAAGTCGAATTCACCATCGGCTGGAGATTCAGGCAAACCGAACAAAGGAGGTGGTATGAGATGTTCTGTTGTCGGAAGCGCTGGAAGTGGGTCGTCGAAAGCATCGTAATTGAAAGACGGCGATGATGACGGTGAGAAGCGAGGAGCGAGTGTTTGTTCGTCAGATTCCTGGTCCGCAAGATCAATCATAGCGTCAACCTCGCTCCACATCTNTTCGTTGGCCCCACCAAGCACTTCCAGCATGACAGCCCGCATTTTATGTTCCTTCAGTTCCTCAATCAGAAGGCCCCAGTCCCGAAGAAGAGCGATGTTGGCGAGCACCTTGGTCTGCTGATTCCGAATGGGTTCGGGTACCCCCAACATCGAAACACCGCTGTCGAGCCTCTTCTCTTCTGGACCACTTTCGTCTGCAAAGTCGAAATCCTCGTTCCAGTCTTCTGTAACGCCCTTGCTGCCAATGCCCCATGTGCCGAATTTGTTGGTGCCTGTTCGTTTTCCATCACCTTCTTGGGCGACTGGTACACTTTGGCTGCGGACATGAAGTCCACTCGGCGCTCTCCTTCCAACTGACCTGCTGCCACGAGTTTCGGCGTCCTTCTTGCCGTGCACCGTCTTAGGACGCGGAGGAGAGCGATTGTTTGGGCTTTNTTCCAGGGGTGGCTGTTCTGAATAATCGAAAATACTGCTGCGTGTGACTCTATCAGTGCTCCTAACAGTTGGTCGTTGTGGAGTTGTGTTTGCAGAACTCGAAGCATGTCCGTGGGGTGACAAGAGATCGGGGGNGATACCAAGGTGGGCAAAGCGATTTTTGCGTGGAACTTGAGGCTCATCATCATCGTCTTCGGTAAAGACCAAGAGCTTTCCTCATCGTCACCAGCATCTGCAAAATCAGGGAAATGCTCGGCATGCTGACGAAGATCNGGAAAGGGAGGGCATGGTAGGAGGTGAGGATGGAACGTGAGTTCGTGCAGGTGATTGCTTCATGTGAAGAATGGGCGAACTGCCTAAGGAATGATTTCGAGCGGAGCGAGCTGGAGTAGAAATGGCGTCTTCTTCGTGTATGATGCTGTGTCGTGGCTTAAGTGAATATCCCTGATCATGTAAAGGTCCTGTTTGGAGGTAGTCCCTGAGCATGGTATGCTTGCCATGAATGTGGAATGGTGGTGAATCGCCAAAAATGGTTTCTATAGAAGGACCTCGCCTGCCTGGGCTCGACTTTGGCGCCCGCGTCCGGACAGAGTCATAAATGGAGTCGCTCTGTGAGTCAAGCCCCTCATCCTCACCTAACCTGATCTCGCGATCTGTACCGGTCAGATGTGATGCAGAATCGGCATGATGTGTCGCTTGGTGAATAGGCCGCGAAGGTGAAGGTAACGTGTCGAAATATTCACTGTCGTCGCTCTGTGGGTTTGATAGGTCGGCATGGCTGCGTGGTGCACTCGAAGCGGATTGCGTCTGGTGCGATGGTAATCTAAGGTCTATTTCAGTAACGGGGCTGCTAACAGATGGCGGCTTTGTGAACTGCGTAATGTCATCCAAGTCACGATGTCTCGCGGCGGTCTCGGATGGTTCATCGTGAGAAAGGCTTTGTCTGTTGCCCATACTTGTGGGCGTGTTGGATCGAGCTCGCGCACCCGGTCGACGATATTTAGCGACGGGTGCTGCTTTGATAGGAGGTGGTTCCTTCCAAATCTGTGGCTCTGCGGGGAGCATGTCACTGGCAGAGAAGGAGCTCGACGCCGACTCGATTCTAGACATTTCGGCCACGTCTTGTCTGTCCAATTCGTCCTCAATACTTTNTCGCTCATCTATTCTCGAATCAAATGAGGTACTTTGAAAATCAACAGTTGCTCGTGAAAGTCGGTTCGATGCAAGGGGCGTCTGCTGAGATGAGGAATAAAAACGGTCGGCTATCGGGACATTGGACACGACATTCGAATCGGATACAGCTTCGAGATCATTGGCATCATCATCAAACTCAATGGGAGCAGCTTTGATATTCTCTCTAGCAGACACCAAGACAGGCCGATATTTCCTATCCGCGTACACCTTTTTGATAGGGTTGGGAATGCTGGTCGAGTTGCGACGCCGTGTCGATTCCGGGGCAACTACAGCCTGTCGGGGAGCAAAATAGTTACGCCATTGAACGTCCACGGGCATGGACTCTGCTGGAGAACCGTAGAAGGAGTGCCTGAAAGCTTCTTCTGCTTTGGGAACAACGGNGGTACGTCTTTCTTGCAGAGTGGCACTCCTTTTGTGGCTCGTTGCTGGGCGTCTCAATGTCGGGATTGGAATCTTGGTGGTTGAGCCGCCATACGAGGCGGAAGTGGGCACTTTGCTCACCGAGGTGGAGCGTTTGACGAGCTTGTTCGGGGCTGTGTTGATGGGTGGAGTGTGGCTGGGGATCATCGGGGTAGTGGATCCCGAGGCTGAAGGAGCGACAGAAATGACGGAAGAATCTGGGCGAGAAGTTGAAGATTGCGTCGAGTCGCGCGAAGAGAAGGAAAATCNTTTGAGCCATGATGGCGTCTGGTGGGAAGCGAAAGTGGGAGATATGGGAGGTGAGGCTTCTGCACCGTGTGGAAAGGACGGGGTCGCGCCGCGAGGCATTGTATGGCCGTCTCTTTTCTTTAGCACCGTTCTTGCATGATCCGGCGCATTCCTCTTCGATGGAGCAGTGGCAGGTTTGTTGCTTGCGGAGCGAAGGGCCTGACGAGCCGAGAAGGCGAAGGGAGGACAGAAGGAGGTCGAGGTCGCGTAGGTGTCGACGGTCTGTACCGTGCAGGTTGCCGTCGATGTCATGTCACTCGTAGGTGGAACGAGCGAGGGTGCTCGAGAGTTGGACCGCGGTCGAGGACTGACCGGGTCGAGTGAAGAAGGAACGGAATGAGGGTGGAGAAAGGTAGAGGATCTATGCGAGTCCGAGCGATGGGTGAGGTTGTTGGGAGGGCGTTGTTGACGGTCGAGCCGTGTGTCGTGGTCGGGTCGGGCAAGCACAAGGCCCAGGGCAGACACGCCAATGCCAGTGCTCGTTGCACAGAGCTGTATAGGATTGGTGGTCAGTCGGGAGTTGAGCAATCGAGACTGCAAGGGGGAAAGAGAAAGGACGGTCAATGCTGCATGACGAAGAGTGCAGCCGCTGTACGAAGAGGTTTAGGCTTCGTAGAGCGAGCAACAGGGGGGAGACACAAGCAGCAGCAGGTGCAGTCAGGGACGTAGACAGGATAGCGAGGGCAGGCCCGTCGCATATCAAGCAGTGGACGGCGGCAGGAGCGTAGCGGCTGGGGACATTATAGTGAAAGCGGGTCTCTGGTGCAGCTTACCGTGGGGATCGTTTTCATGCTTTGGCCGGTGCCATGCGCCCATCAGCGAGACACACAACTCGAGGACGTCGGAAGGGGGAGTGCAATTGGACGGACTGCTCAACGTGTATCCCGTCCTCGTCGTCTTCATAGTGGAGTAGGCTCGTCGCTCTACTGATCAGTCAAAGAGTCAAGGCCCGCAGTGCAAAGCCCCACAAACAAGGCACAGACACAGACAGCAGAGGAAGGCTGGTTAGGATCGTGGACGGCGACCACTCGGCATCGTCTAAACTTTGGATGCCCAGTTTTTCCAGGATGGCATTGTTATGACCTGCGTTTCAAGCGCCTACCACTACCCCTCAGCTCAGACGCCACCACCACGAGTCCGCTGAACGCTCATGCAACAAGAGATCAAACTCCAACGGCGTGCCAAACATTTACTGAAATGTTCCCGCGACATCATCAAACCCTTTCGAGAAGGAATGCCGCTGTCCACAACAATTTGCTAGCTGCCTCTTCTTTGCCAACAACTTTGCGAGCCACAATAATGCCAGCCATGTCTTCGTCTCCCAGCCATGCATAGGCCTGCATTCGTCGACTCTATTTCTGCCCTCAGTACGTAAATACACGCACGTCGCTCTGTTTCATCTTTTNCTGCAGTCTGTTGTCAAATCTCTCTCCTTGCACAGCGCCCTCAACCGCCANAACGTTGTGCGACTCCTCCAATAGCCGTCACCTATCGACCATTATCCTTGTAAATAGCAATCAATCCTTACGGCACATAGCTTGTCCNNCATACGCCTCGGCCTGCAACGCCGTTTCCTCATCCATGCACCCGTATTATGCCATTACTCGAGAAACTAACTTCTTGCTCACTTGCCGTGAAACCCGACGTGATCATCTAGTTAACCCTAGAGTAGAATGCTGAGACTCCTCCAGTACATACCAAGCATTATTGTACAAGTTGAGGAATTGCAGTTTATCCTCGACCAACAAGACCCGTGGGTCCAGCTCAAACTCAACAACCGAAATGTCCACCACTAAAGCAGCCGCATGCTGCTTTGTATCAGCTGCAGGGTGTTTAGCGTCTTCTTGTCGGTCCCTTTGATCCTTTGGAAGCCCGGACAATGTTGCAACTCGCAGCGGCGTCTTTCCTAAGGCGTTCCACGCAAGCGCTTGGATCGNTTTGGGGTTCTGTCACTTTTGAACCGCCGTGCATCGAGCNNATCTGAGATCTAGCATCATGGTACACATGTACTCACACGACTCGTACGTGTATATAAAACGAAACTGAGCCCGACTTCCATGCATATATCGCGTGCCTGCGTGCAAAGGTAACAACGAAAAGGCATGTAACGATGCACCAAAACATGACACATCTAGGCTTCAGCAAGCAACTTGAAACGCTAACAAGCATGGCAGACGGATCATCCGCTTGGGCTTCGTCTGGATCGACTCGGTCCGCCTGAGCTGTGGAGTTCAAATCCATGATATCGCGTAAGTGTTCAGCCGTGTGCAGCAACAGAAAGAAGAAGGGCTTGTGTAAATCCTTCAACACGTCAAATTCTCAAAGTTACACAATCGACCTCGACTGACAGGCAGGGACTGAACGATCCCTTGAAAGTTACTCGTAGCTGGTCCAAGAAGATCACGGCTGGTCTCACGCAACGTCGGCTCGAGGGAGACCGGGGAAAGGTGATCGCCAATCTACNCTCGTCAGGTCCGGGAGTTTGGTACTGCTCACTAANCCTTCCAGTTCTGTTCTTGTATCGTGGCTTGTCNNTGTGAAACGGCACGGTCCTCTTCTTCCACATGCGCAAGCCCAATTCGGATTTGACGGAGGTTGACACCGCTTGGCGAGTCATCAGGTTCGTCCAGACGACGGGGGTAAATAGCAGAATGTCACTCTGTACATTGAATATACAGGGATGTATTTGTCGATCAAAGAATACTGGAGAAGAACTCAGGAGTCCGGTGGTATTCTCAACCTTGTTCAAACATAACCCTATGCTATNAGTTCTGCCCTACAGGAATAGAACTTCAGTTTCAACATGATTAATCACCTTACTGAAGTTTGCTCGGGCACCAACATGCACAGATACTCTTCTCAACCNCGGATTCCAGCTCATTCCACTTTAAACGCGCTTTGCTGATCCGCCCAATCGTACTTTGGCTTTCCGTACCTTTTACTCAGGTAGTACAACTATTCGTGACTGTCTGGGGAATAAGCAGATCGATTGAAGCCAAGGTCCTTTCTCCGCGGTTGATTGGTCACTAATCCAAAATAGCTTGACTTCCTGCGAGGACGGACAGGGAATGAACCATCGGCTGGCTATGCTCGCTTCTCGTGCAGCTGGTCTGTGGTGATCTAGCAGGCACAGCAGGTATTGTATATGGCGTAAGCCAAGCAGGCCGCTTTCAACACGGCACTTCGAGCATACGGCAAAATTAGGATGCATTACCAGTCTGCATGACCCTTTTCGATTATTGAGAAAAGACAAATCTCATTGGTAGTTCTGTTGTGCTTTTATGCTGAGTGTTCCGTGTTATCGAGCGTGTTGGGAATTCCAGAAGCGTGGTGGTCGAATTAGTGATATCACGCCGCTCGTTTTCATCACAAAGACGTTCGGTAAGCTATACGTACAAGATTTCTCATCCGCATCTCTTCCGTAACGCCCCTCACTGGTTTGACGGACAAGAGCTGGAAAGACACGCAAGGGCATCGGATCACCGAACAACAAAGCCTCTTCCGTAAAAGCGTGAATTTTGTTTCTTTCCCACGAAGGATTCGAAGCTCCACAAGGACGAACATAGCGGTGAAGTCCCTACAGCCGCCACTCTAACCAAACACGCAAAAACTCACATCACCGAATCTTCTGTGATACCATGGAAGCCGAGATCAGAGCCCAGATCCCTGGAATCGACCCTGTCGTGTCTGAGTATTCTGTTGGATATCTCAACCATGCTTCGCAGGCATACAGCGCGGAGGGCGACCCACTGTCCGATGCCGCGGCTGCTGTGACAGCTCTGTTGCTTTCCGCTTCCGGTGACCTGTCTAACCAGAACGAATTGACAATTCAGAACCTGGTTGAAAAGTTTGTCTCCAAGCTCTCGGCGCAGTCTGGTCTTGATGGTGAAAAGCGTCAACAGGCACCTTCTGCCAGAAAGCTGGATCAAACCATTCAAGTCGGATCTGCAAGAAACATCTCTTCCACTCTTGGCTTGACTGGTGGTGTCAACTTGGAGCACACTGGTAGACAAATTGAGTCTCGTGTTGACAAGAAGAAGCTTGAGAAGGCTGAAAAGAAGCTCCGTGCAAAGCAAGACAGGAAGGAATTCAAGACTGTCGAGTATGAAGCTTCTAAGCTTTTGGACCAGCCCGACGATGCTGCATCTTACGAAGAATTCTTTATGAAGGTGAACCCTCTGCAACTTGGTTCTGACAACCAAGGCAAGAGTAAGGACATCAAGGTCGATGGCATTGATATCACTATTGGTGGCAAGAGAATTCTGAGTGATACCAACTTGACTTTGGCCTACGGCCGCAGATATGGTTTGGTCGGTCAGAACGGTATCGGTAAATCTACTCTGCTCAGAGCATTGAGTAAGAGAGAAGTCGCCATTCCTACTCATATTTCCATTCTTCACGTTGAGCAAGAGGTAAGATTTCTTTTGAAACGCACAATTCGATCCATAGCTGATTCACATAGNATTATGGGAGACGACACTCCCGCTCTCCAGGCCGTTTTGGATGCTGATGTCTGGCGTAAGCATCTGCTCAAGGAGCAAGATAAGATCACCAAGGAGCTCGCAGAACTGGAAGCCACCAGATCGCAAATGGCAGACACATCAACAGACGCTGCTAAGCTTGACACACAACGAGAGGGTCTTGATATCACGCTCAGTGATGTCCAAGCCAAGCTTGCCGAGATGGACTCTGACAGAGCCGAGTCTCGTGCTGCCAGTATTCTGGCCGGTCTTGGTTTCTCACACGAGAGACAGCAGTTCGCCACAAAGACCTTCTCTGGTGGTTGGCGTATGAGATTGGCATTGGCTCGTGCTCTGTTCTGCGAACCTGATCTTCTCATGCTCGATGAACCTTCCAACATGTTGGATGTCCCTTCCATTACCTTCTTGTCAAACTACCTGCAAACATATCCCAGCACTGTTTTGGTGGTTTCTCACGACAGAGCCTTCCTTGACGAAGTCGCTACAGATATCATTCACCAGCACTCAGAACGCCTCGACTACTACAAGGGTGCCAATTTCCAGTCCTTCTACAACACCAAGGAGGAGAGAAGAAAGACTGCCAAGAGAGAGTACGAAAAGCAAATGGGCGAACGTGCACACTTGCAAGCCTTCATCGACAAGTTCCGTTACAACGCAGCCAAGTCGTCTGAAGCACAATCACGTATCAAGAAGCTGGAGAAGATGCCCATCCTGGAGGCTCCTGAGGCCGAGTACTCAGTCAAGTTCACGTTCCCCGACGTGGAGAAGATGTCGCCTCCTATCATTCAAATGAGCGGTGTCTCTTTCGGTTACACTCCAGACAAGCCATTGCTCAAGAACGTTGATCTCGATGTACAGCTCGACTCGCGTATCGGTATTGTTGGACCCAACGGTGCTGGTAAAACGACAGTGCTCAAACTTCTTATCGGTGCACTACAGCCAACAACTGGTCTTATTTCTCAGAACCCTCGTCTGCGTATCGGTTTCTTCGCTCAACATCACGTCGATGCCCTCGACTTGAATATGAGTGCTGTTGGCTTCATGTCCAAGATGTACCCTGGCAAGACTGACGAGGAGTACCGCAGACATCTCGGTGCCTTCGGTATTACTGGCATGACTGGTCTGCAGAAGATGGAGATCCTTTCAGGAGGTCAAAAGTCCCGTGTCGCTTTTGCTATCCTGTCTCTTCAAAACCCTCACATCCTGGTTCTTGATGAACCTTCTAACCACTTGGATATTNNGGAAGCCATGGACGCCTTGGCAGATGCTTTGAAGAACTTTGGTGGTGGTGTGCTCATGGTCTCGTAAGTCTCTCTTCCCCCCGTCCCAAACGTTCATCCTCCATATTGTGTACCTGTACTGACTCGCCCTCTCCGCAGGCACGACGTGACAATCTTATCCAGCGTCTGTACAAGTCTATGGGTCTGTGACCAGGGAAGTGTTGAGCACTTTGATGGCGATGTCAACGACTACAAGCGCAGAATCACAGCCCAGGCTGATGCAGCCGGTGTGGCCACCACTCATCACTAGTTTCCCCACGGCAACAAGGTCATCACAGATATATAGCAGAGCTCATGTCAATATGAAGCAAATTGACAACATTTGTATATTTGATACGATCCGCCGAGCCGTGTTCCTGAGATCCTTCTTTGTACAGCATATCTACCCACTTCGTCTGACCATTGATGACTATATGACAATGCTAGAACATTCGTATCCTCGATTCGAAGAGACAGGTTATTGTATTCAATAATAACAAATAAATGTAGTCCTCGAGCTATACCAATGCACGTGCTTCAGCTTCCCTTCCACATTAGGTAATCGGCATTCTCCGTGCACAGAAAAAATGAGACGTTCAACGCCAGGGCATGTCGCACATCCCACCATCCCACTTGCAATCTTCTTACTCCCTCTCTCTCATACACTACATTTCCTTGGGGTCGGCCAGTCACAGCCCACTCCTTCATATTTGCGACCATTTCCTCCGCACTCGCCCCACTCTCCTTCCTTTCTCGAGTATCCGCAGCAGGCCCTGCGTTCGCGACAGCTCACTTGCGCATCTGCTGGTCCGCAAGCACTAAAGCTCAAAGCTTCACTTTAGTCCGAACTTACGCCAAAGGAAGAGGGAAGAATGCCTCCCAAGAAGGTCGTCAAGGAGGAGAAGATCCCTTTGGGTCGTCCCGGAAACAACCTGAAGAGTGGTATCGTATGTAGGGAATAGTCCGCCAGAGTGCACATGCAACTGTCGCTAACCTCAATTGCAGGTTGGTCTGGCTAACGTCGGAAAATCTACCCTCTTCCAAGCCATTACCAAGTGTTCTCTCGGTAACCCTGCTGTACGCATCACCGCACTCAGTCCAATGCTTCCTTCACTGACTCCTATTTCAGAACTTCCCCTACGCCACTATCGACCCTGAGGAGTCTCGTGTCATTGTTCCCGATGAGCGTTACGACTGGCTGTGCGAGCACTACAACCCCAAGTCGAGAGTTCCTGCTCACCTTACCATCTACGACATTGCTGGTCTGACCCGTGGTGCCTCTACTGGTGCTGGTCTCGGAAACGCTTTCTTGTCTCACATTCGCGCCGTCGATGCCATCTTCCAGGTCGTCAGATGTTTTGATGATGCCGAGATTATCCACGTCGAGGGTGATGTCGACCCCGTCCGTGATCTTGAGATTATCAGCGAGGAGCTTCGCATCAAGGATATCGAGTTCGTCGAGAAGGCTCTTGAGAACTTGAAGAAGCAGACTCGCCGTGGAGGCCAGTCTCTTGAGATGAAGAAGCTCAAGGAGGAAGAAGCTACTACCGAGAAGATTCTCGCTCTGCTTCAGGACGGCAAGGACGTCCGTCACCAGCACTGGACCCCCAAGGAGGTACGTTACTCTGCTTTACACACTTCCATCACACACCGCCCCCTTTGCAATGATGATCCAACTTTTATACCCAGCTCTCAGAATAACGGTTCATCGGAGAAAGGCTTAACCTGTTGGGATTGGACCCAACAGGGAGCTGGATCCAGAATCCTTTGCTGTCAAGTCCCTTCTGAAACACACCTCAACTACCACATTCGCTCAAATTCGATCTTCCATGTTCATGGCTAACAAGATCCAATAGATCGAGGTCATCAACCCTCTCTTCCTTCTTACCGCCAAGCCTGTTGTCTACCTAACCAACCTCAGCGAGAGAGACTACCTTCGCCAGAAGAACAAGCACTTGCCCAAGGTTGTCGAGTGGATCAAGGCCCACTCGCCTGGCGAGCCCATTCTTCCCATCTCCATTTCCCTCGAGGAGCGTCTTTCCCGCTTCGAGACCGATGCCGAGGTTGAGGAGGAGTGCAAGAACATTGGTGGCAAGTCTGCCCTTCCCAAGGCCATCACTACCATGCGCAAGGCTCTTGACCTTGGTAGTTTCTTCACAACTGGTACTGACGAGGTCCGTCAATGGACTATCCGTAACGGTACCAAGGCTCCTCAAGCTGCTGGTGTCATTCACGGTGACTTTGAGAAGACCTTCATTCAGGCCATTGTGTACAACTTCAACCTCCTCAAGGAGTTGAAGACTGAAGCTGAAGTCAAGTCCCAAGGAAAGATCATGACCAAGGGCAAGGACTACGTTGTTGAGGACGGGGACATCGTTCTCATTAAGGCCGGTGCCGCCAAGGCTTAAACAAGAAATTGTCGACGTCTTGGTTCTCAAAACCGTTGGATGAATGATGAGTGGGACTGTTTCTGGTCACTCTCCCAGGCTTCCTGTTTCCACTTTACTGCTCGACAGTAAAACGTTAGTAGCACTGGCCGACTGAGGCGGTGCTGAAGCAGCTTGCTGCGAAGAGTTGATACCCGGCCTGTTTTAGGGCCAGCACATATAGATGGGGCTCCTCGATATATGTTGCGCACTCGCGCCATGCCCCGTTAGCATATGCTTGATAATGAAAAGTAAATGACTTTAACATGATGAATATCCTTGCATCCCTTCCTTGCTGTCAATGTGACCAGTATGTGTTTTATATTGCCCCGGATGTGAAGTGTCAAGCGACCATGACAAGGATGGTTGTTGATCAATCCTTAGGGAATTTAGCTGGCTGCGGCCTTATGCGCATGTCGGCATCCGAGGGATACCTTGCAAACCCTAGGCTATATGTGAATGGGTGTGCGCGTCCTTTGGTCAGCGTCGTATGGTTAGACGGATGTCAAGGTTGGCGCTTGGCGGGCAGAATCAGATTCCGGCAGCCGGTGACGTTGTGAGCCGGCGACAGTCACATGTTGAAACACACATTCGAGGCGGAGCTCTAGGCACGCAAGCAGATCAGGCTAGGTTCACGACGTTTGCAGGGATCCGAGACAGCAGACATTGCAATAACAGTCCAGAAGTTGGATCAAGCCCATGACTTTGTGCGCCGACGGAACCTGAGGAACAAGACCATCTCGCCCGGCTGTGGGCGCTTTCGCATACGACCTTGCCATGACCCAAAGACTACCGATTGAATGCACCCTCTAAACCCCTTTCTGCGGGCCTTCTTCAGAAGCACCCTCNNCCCCTCGCAGTGTCTCCCTGTAAATCACCACATTCTCTTGGTCCCCACGACTGAATCGCTATTACAAGGCCGCGACCGCGAAACGACTGCGCCATATTCCGACCTCGCCGTATCTGAAGAATTTCTCTCGAGCCATGTCATCCGTATACCTGGAGGCATTCCACCTGGATCCACGTCAAAAGATGGAGGAAATATCCGCGAGTCTAAAGGCAAGGCCAAGCAGTATAACACACTCAATGGCAGGACCGTAGTTGTCAAGGATACCTATGTATACAGCAACAAAGGTTCGCATCTTCTGCTACTGTCCAGCGACACTGCTGACACGCGCCTGTANGGCTTCAAGAGCTTGACTCAGGCTCAACTTTTGACCGACGCACTATTTTGTCCCGACATCCCAGAAGCCCAGCAATGGCTCGTCTACTACATCTCGAGACCTCTGGTAGGCTCTTACGATTCCGTTCGCATCACACCAGCAACTATCAGGACGGCCGCGCAGCGCGCTGCAGACAAACCGAAATCTACCGTTCCCTCAGCATCCGACGTCAAGAAGAAGGATATTGCATCGTTTACTGAACTGCTGACCGCATTTCCTCTGATTGCTCGACAGCTGCAGAATGGCTTGGACAGAACACTCAAGGAATTTGCAGCACAATTTGAAGGTCCCGTACCTAACAAGTCATCACGGGCACCATCTGTAAGCTCGCAAAGGTCGGATTACTCTTCAACTTCATTAGAGGATTCACTAGCTTCGCTCAGGTCTTCGGTTTCTGGAAGTGATAGCAGTATGCGTCTTTCGTCACTGACTATAGAACCGGAAGAGGACTCTATGCGCTTTGCACTCGAAAGTGCGACTACTGCTGCTATCGATTTGTTCCAAGGCGTTGACAGACAACAATTATCTCTCCTTGGCGCTACAACTGACTTGTCAGGTCCGGTGGTTGAGCGCATGATTGAACGTCATGTCGCTGAGCAGCTACATGAAACAATTCTATTCCCGCGGATATGCAATATTCGCCGTTCAGAGGACCTCGAGCTCGAACATCGTCTACGGAAGATGGCAAATATTGACATTGCACAAGTCGGCATACCCATAGAGGATGGCATGAGAGGAAAGCGAGACATGGCAATCCGGATCGACAGGGCTGTAGGCATTTTCAAGAAAATGGGCGTGGCCAGTAGTCCACAGGAGATGATTGAAGTTTTACTAGAGACAGCAAAGACTGTTACCGCAACTCCAGCCACCAACGTAGGGAAGCCAGGAACGCGACCAGATGGGACGTCTGAGAAACCAAGCATAGCCATGACTATCAATGCCGATGCACTGGTTTCTATGCTTTTGATTGTGGTTATCAGAAGCTCTGTTCGTTATTTGCACGCCAGACTCTCCTACATGAGGCACTTTGTTTTCATTGACGACGTGGACAGTGGAGAGATGGGCTATGTGCTAAGCACTTTTGAAGCTGTACTGCTTTATCTCTCCAGGGACTCGGATGCCTTACGGATAGCTGCAAAGAAGAATGCACGACTATGGAAAGCAACAAGGAATGGAAACACGTCGGAACTGCGGAAGATGCTTCAACCAGACGCTCCTTGGATTGCAGGTGGTCAGGTCATAGAGGAAGCGCCATCATTCGACGAAAGCTTCCGGGACCAGGACGCTTCAAGTCTTAGTTCGCGACTGAACGACATAAACATCGAACGAGAACAGCAATCGGCAATGTCCGGTAGCGATTTTGCTGCTGTCGGTGGGTCTTTGTCTCACGTGTTCCCTTTTCAGAAACCGCCAACACCACCTCCGGAAGCGAGTCAGCCGAAACGAAAACGTGTGACTATGGCCAAGTTACGCAGTGCATCTGTCTCATCCGGATATTCATCCCCATCTCGATCAAGGTCTAAGAGTATCGACTCGACGATGAGCAGTGCTTCAGCAGGTGACAGCTCTCTCGATAAGATCTCACAGTCGCAAGGATTGGGCGGAGATTCCATCTTGATGATGGCTATCGAAAATGGGCAGCTTGCATCTCTAGAATACCTTCTGAGTCTGGATCAGTATTTCCCTATTGAATTTGTTCTGGAGGACTCAAACAATGAGGGTGTGACTCTGCTTGTTGCTGCTGTACAGGGCGATGACAAGAATCTAACAAACACCTTGCTCAACCACATTATTCGAAACGCTCCTTCCGATAGCACTTTACGATCGTACTTCCTTCGTCAAGACAGCAAAGGGAGAACGTTTGCCCACTATCTCTTCAATCAGCCACATCTAATGGAGACGGTTGGCGAAATGCTGCCGTGGCGGCTCAAAGACAAAAACGGACAAACACCATTGTTTGCTTTATGCAGGTCATACGATCACCAGGAATATCGTTGGATGGTCGAAACTGCATTGAAGCTTGCCACAAATACTCAACCAGACCAAGAGCCACTCCATCTTGCTGATCACATAGACAGCAAGGGTAACACTTTACTACATATTGTCAATGATCCTCATCTCACGGCGTGGCTCCTTCGCCACTGCGATTCGGATGTGAATGCGGCCAATGACAAACGGTTCACACCGCTGATGATGGCGAGCAAATACGGTAGACTCGACTTGGTTCGAACATTCTTCGGTGACGCTCGAGTAGACCTGCAAATAAAGGACATCAGAGGCCTAACGGCTGTTGAGCTGGCCAAGGACGACGAAGTAAGAAACCGAATTGATGATTTGGTGTTGCTTTCAACACGGCCTGCAGCAGATGGTCGAATCACTTCTGTTGTTCGCTCATTCTTCGTAGAGGATGCCACTGTTCGACTAGTGCTGAAGTCTGGAGGCCCGAATCCAAATGGCACGATCACAGTTACCACCTGTCGTCGCTCTGTTGCCGATTTCGAACACCTCGCAAAATGGCTCTCAATTGAGCAGCCCGCATCTTGGATACCGACACATTTCAACCTGACATCCCCTTTCTTGATACCGTCAAAGCCGTCAAGGGCTGTGTTGCGTGACATCCAACTCCGCCTTGATGCGTTCTTGCAATGTCTTTTGACACACTCTACCTTCTCCACACATGAGATGGTATGGGAATTCTTCCTTGTTCCCGATATCGATCCTGCCATGTTGGCCGAGCGAGCGAAACATAAGGCAGAGATTCGTGTCGAAAATGTTCGGGATGACTACGACCCGATCACAGATACACGAGAGGTTGAATCGTTCGTGACGCATGCGAAAGATCAACTCCGCGGAGTCTCTCATGCTGTGAAGTCCCTCATCAGACGCACTAATGCTCAGCGCATGATTAATTCGGACTTGTATGATGCGCGAACGCTAAATAGTACTGGCGTCGCAACCCTGCAATTCCTTCCTCGAAAATACCTTACAGCATTCGACATGTATACGAAAGCTCTGACGCCTTCTGAGTCTGATCCGTTGGCAAGCTTCTACTACTCTCTGCACTCGATCGCAAATTCATCGACAGCGGTTCTCGTTGCTCTCGGGCGACCAACAAGCCTGATTGGCAGCATGAACCAAGCCAGGAGAAACATCGAGAGAGCTTTGGGTTCGCTTAGCAGGCAATCCCGCTGGACGCCGAACATAGGACTGTTTGACGAGACAAGGCGGTCAATTGCAGCCGAAGCCGAAGAGAAAGCAACAAAGGCACAAGGTGAGCTTGACTCTCTCGGTAGCGAACTACGCTACACGCAACAGACCGTTGCAGCTGAGCTGGCTGGTTGGCAAGAACAGCACGTCAAGTTCAGCAAGATGATGCTGAAAGATCTGGCCAAGGGTATGGTTGTGAAAGAAAAAGCCAGGCTCGAGAGCATGAAGAGAGCACTAAGGGAGTTGCAAAGGTGAAACAAGCGTAGGCATATCCACGGTACGTGTACATAGGCGTTTCATGGACTCAAGGGTCGTTCTACTGTACATTTAGCAGGAACTCGTGTCTCAGCCGGCGTTCGCAGGTCATGTAGCATTAGCAAGGCTTTGATACAAGCATAACGACGATCTGAATTGTTGATCTATCCATCACAGATTTGATTCGATGTTGTAGATCTCGTACAGCTGTGAACGTATCTCTCCCTCTTCGAGTGATGTATGTCGTTCTTCGAGATTAACTCAATGCCAGAAGCAGTTCGAGGAAGGTACACCTCGTCGCCGAGAACTATCATACGGGGTAGCTCCTTCCTCTTTAGGCAGGGAAGTGGTCTCGTTGCCTAAAGCGTGGACCTCCTCGACAGAAGACTCGGCAGCTTCTCAACTTCAACACCTCATTGCGTCAACCAACACCTTTCTCCCACATCTTCTTCATCGCACTTCTTTGACACGTTCATCCTACGTGTTCTTTGATACTACCTGTCTGTTCTCTTCTTTCACTACGTGTTTCAAGTCACTCAACACGTCCAACCTCTTCAAAGATGCCTCCTAAGATTGCGAAGAAGCTCACTGCTGCTCAGACCCAGCGTGCAATCGCTCAGACACAGCGTGTTGGAGAGTCTCAAGACAACCAGGAGGACGCCGTCCAACCTGATCAAGAGACTCAAGTCGACGACGCAACCCAGCCTGACCAGGACACCCAAGTCGAAGACAACACCCAACCCGATGCAGATGTGCCTACCAGCAGTGCTGATAGCAACGCTGTCAACGATGTTGTGGACTCGACTGCTGATGGCGCCGATGCTACTACGCCTGACACTCCTGCTTCTTCCACTCATGAGACTGAGACCAAGCCTGCCATCAAGACTGCAGCCAAGAAACCTGCTGGCAAGAAAGTTGCTGCAGCTGCTGGTAAGACTGTTGATGGCACCAAGAAGAAGCGCCGTCGCAAGTATGACCCTACAAACTTCAAGGCATACATCTTCAAAGGTTTGTCTATCTGGCATGGCTTTTTTTGTGTATCAAAGGCTGACCCACTCTCTCCCAGTTCAGAAACAGGTCAACCCAGAGGGTGGCATTGGCAAGACGGCTATGCAGATCTTGAATGACTTCATCAAAGGCAAGCAACAGCTGTTTTTGCACTCAGGATCTCATGTCTAACACCATACACAGACATCTGTACTCGTATCGCAGACCTAGCTTCCGACCTGTGCAAGAAGTTGAAGAAGCCTACTCTTCAAGCTCACGACATCCAAACTGCGTAAGAGACATCGCTCTTCTGTTCTGATCCTCCCTATCAATTCCATTGACGCCCCCATCCATTTCCTTATATCAATGCATGTTGTAACCTCTTTACTCATTTGCCGTTGCTGACACCTCGTTGTATAGTACAAAGCTCATTCTCGGCGGACAGTTGGCAAAACATGCTCAGAGTGAAGGTGCAAAGGCCCTTCACCGCTTCAACAAGGCTACCGACAAAGGCCTACGCTAGGATCTTGCACTCTGATCCTGCACTCTTGTCCAACGACGCCCGACACATACACATGTACGATACACAACCACGACATTACGAGACACGCCATGGATGGCTTAGACACGAACTGTAACGACCAAGATGATGGAACGATGAAGTGCATTCTCAATTTGCTTTTTACTACAGAGGAATAGCTATGGACGGATAACCTTTGATGTTGCTGGGGATATGGAAATACAACATGCTATGGTGCTACAATTGCTTTCGCTATTCAGAACATCCAATTCAAGACATTTTTAGCTTTCGATCAAAGGCTTGCACGTTTACAAAGGTTGCCGAACGTGTTCACGTGTATCAGAGGTGTATATGCGTATGTGAGGAGGGAGGTCTTGTCTGCTATCAGAATCTTCAGTGACTGACAGAACTTCGAACTGCATTATCGAGACAGTTCTGTGCTCTTGGGACACGCAAATTTCGCGGAGGTTCGAGATCGATACTGTGGACACAATGTACTTTCAAGCATACCTACGTTTCCTGCTGCACTCGAAAAGCTAGCCGGACCTTTGTTAGACAACGTTGTGTCTTCGCGAGAGGGACAGTCCAGGCTCTAGATTAGACTTGAGGCCTATACGAAAATGTACAGAATAAAGGTAATAAAGGTATCAGTCCTATGCAGATTTTCAATCTGAGCTTCCATTAAACGTACAGGCAGCAAAGAAGCCTCAAATCACAGCACCTGGACCTTAAAGCCATAACCCTCCTTACCACCAATCCAATTCTTCTTCTTTCCAACCTTTTCAATCTTTTCCATTTCCTCATGAACGATTGAGCGTAGAGAAGAAGCTTGTTTATCCCTGGTTTGCAGCACTAGCATCTTATCTCCTTTGTGCGAAACACTCCACTGAGAACTCAAACCCATGAATTCGTTGCCGCGGCCGGAAGGATAGATTGCACCGATCAAAGCACCTACAGCACCGAGATAGGCACACCACCAAGATGCCTTTGAGCCGATTAAAGCTTGCATGCTGTGCAGGAAGGGGACGTCTGTGGGAGGCAGGTCTTNTTTGCCGCCCCAGCGGTTGCAGAGCAGTAATGCGAGACAGCCGCGTTCGGTGTGTGAGAGGCCATGCGCTTGAGCTAGGAGGCCAGTAGTCGTGGATCGCAGAGCAGCAGCAGCGCGGATATCCTTGGGATGGGACGAAAAGTGCGGAGACAAGTTTGCAAAAGCTTGGATCAAAGGGGTACTCAAGCCCGTCTCGGGGATGGAGCCAGAAGGAATAGAGGACAGAAGTAACTCTGCATGGTGAGCAGATCCAGGCGTTGCGGCAGCAGAAGTGGCAACAACCACAGGAGATTGCTTGCGGATTTCTTGAGGCAAGGTGGAGAAGAGATAGCCTTCTCTGACGCCTCCTTGACAGAAACGGACTTCTTTGATGTGTGGAAGTGCTTCTGAGAGTGCGGTGACCAAGAATGCAACAGCGGGGACTTGTGTTGCTCGTCGTTGGGAGATGCGGAAGATTGCGCTGTCGTCTTCAGAGTCTAAGTGTGAGACAGCTGCCTGCTTCACAGAAGCCGTATCCAAAAACGAACTTCTGTCAGCGCAGAAACCGTTGATGAGNNGGGAGATTGGGTAGGGAGACACGGCGTGCTCGCTCATAAGCACAAAGCCCCAACCCCTAAACCCACCACCAGAAAGGTACAAAGCAAACCCACCCTGCTGTTTCGCCAACTCCTTTAGCTCGGTAGGGATATCCAAGCTGTTGTACGCATCAGTAATGGTCTGCTTGACATCCTCAGCCAACCGCCTCTTTGCTTTTTCTCCTTGCTTTTCAGCCTCTGCGATCCGGCGGGAAAGTGCCGCAGCCCCAAAAGGCATACTAACAGCACCCCTCTCAGGCATCTTAATCTCACCCGTTTCAGCATCACTGACCAACCAAGTCAACTGCGTACTCCCACCTCCCAAATCCATAACCAAACCCTTGACCTCTCCCAAAGACGTCGCAACCCCTAACGCACCAACCCTACCCTCGTCCTCTTTGGCAAGCATCCTAACCTCCCATCCGGTAGCTTTCTTAATCCCATCTCTGCACTCTTGAGAGTTGACAGCAGTTCTGGTGGCTTCAGTAGCCAAAACGGTAATATTCTGCTCAGGGACGCAGAAATCGGCACAGGTGCGTTTGAAGTGTGTTAGTTTGTCGACTACTGATTTGATCACTTCGTCCGGGATGGGGACGCGCGTGCCACTAGACGAATACTGTGCATCGTAGAGAGAAATCCCAGCGCGTGAAGTGTACATTGTAGGCAAAATCCTTGTTGTTGGTGGTGAAAGATCGGTGATGGAGAAGCGGATGCCATTGCTAATCAGTGGTTTCAACTGTCAGTACTTTGTCTGGATGTGGCTGCTCTTTCTCTGCTTTTCGTTCTTTGTGATGGAGGATCGTTCTATACCACTAGATACGTTTTTCGAGCGTGTTCAATCTCTTCTTTGTTTTTTCCATTGGTTTTGTGAGAGCAAGAGATAAGGAAAAAAGATGATTTACCTTCCCATATCAACCAGACCGTAAAGATGTTCGGAATCGGGTGTGGTCAACGCCATGGTGGTCGTCAGATTTGTGTGAGGAGATCAATGGACGTTGGTTTCAGCTGTCTAGCAGGTTCTGTTCTTCTCGTAGTTTCGTAAGGAAAGGTGGTCTTTGATATGGAAAGACTCGTAAAAAGAATCGAGGCTTGCTTACCAGCCACTAAGCTGTTTGCGATGACGTAATTTATAGATTGCTGCCTCGCCAGTGACATTCACTATTCAAGAAAGAAGAGAGCGAGAATATGTTATGACAGTTGTGCTTGCTACTGACTATGATCAGATACTTTGAATTACAATACGATTCATTCTGTTGGTTCTCGTGGCTCGTTTCAACCGTCTGCAATTCCTTGCAGACTATCCATCTCCTTCGAAAGCATGTCCTTCGTAAGTCATCAATGTCGTGGTTCAAATCTAGACAGCCAACAAGCTGAAGACATCGTTTCTCCAGCCTCTGACCTCAGAGCCATCCTGGATTCTCTCCTCCGCATGAGCAGCCTCTTCGTTCCAAAGCTTGACCACACTTCCAGGTGCGTACTTGCCCTTGAAGACACCCTTGCCAGGCTGAGCAACGCCAATGCGAGTGTAGAGGTCTGGGTCTTCCTCGGGCTGCAGGCGTGCTGCAATCGCCTTGAAGAAGGTGACGAGGTCGTTAGGGTCGGCAACGCGAGTAGCACGCAGGCGCTCGCGAGCGTAGAGCAGTTCGCGATTGGCGGTGTGCAAGGCGTCTGCGATAGCGGTAGCAATCTGCTTCTCCATGACCTTACGAACAATGGGTCGAAGGATAGGCTTGACGAGCCAAGCGACCCAGGAGAATTTGCTCTTGCGCAAAGTGTAGTCGAGCTTGTGAACATTAACGCGAACAGCCTTAAGGCTGAGAATCGACTCCATTCTATCCTTTGCAATCTCGACATCAAGGTGGATATCCAGGCCCTTCTCATCAAGAGCGAAGGATGTGATACCCTCATCAGCTAGTCTGAAGAGACCGGAGTGGGCGCGCATCCAGAAGCCAACTTCCTCAGCACGGGCAGAGATACCATCAATCTTTATGGTGACCAGATGAGACGAGGTAGAAGTAGTACGGAATCTGGCCTTGCGGATCTCAAAGTCGTTGTAAGTCTCCACGCGGAGCTTGTAAGGCAAGAACGAGGAGTGGTTGACCGTCTTGCCGGGCTCAATGATCAGGTTCTCAAGCAAGAGATCAATGTCGGGATTGCTGATCTCCACACGAGGAATGGGTACATATTGGATAGCGGCGATCATCAGAGGAATGAAAATGTTGATGGCATCAGTAATGAGCTCCGGGTTTGTAGCGTTATGAAGAGGCGACAGAATGTGGAAGATCTTGAGACTGTGCTGCATGAGCTTGGCCACATCTTCGTCGTGCAAGACAGAGACCAAAGTCTCTTGAAGCTGTCCAAGGAAGTTGTCGATGTCGGTACGGAGGTCGGATTCTGAGCCAACCTTGCGAGACTTCTCACGAAGCTCATCGAACTTCTCGCGAGCAGTGTCGAAAAAGTCAGGGTCAGTAAGAAGAGTCTGGAGCGAGTTGCCAATATCCACCATGAGGTTCTCGAAGTCAGGGTCCTTCTCAGAGTGCGAAACAACCTTCTTGAATGCCTCTTCAAGCTTCTTCCAAGCCTCACGGTCTCCGAAGGATGAGAGCAAAGACCAGAAGTTCTTACTAGCCTTATCCATCTCAGCATTCTCATGCACATCCTCTTCGAGAGCATTGACAGTCTCCTCAACAGAGCGTGAGTAAGCAACGGCGTAACGCTTGAGCAGGGTGGAGAGAGTCGAGACGGATTCGTTGTAATCGGGGCGCTTTCTGAGTTGCATGACTGCCTGCTTCAAACGGTTCATCATGACCTGACCTTCATCACCAGAAAGCTTCTCCTCAGCACTTTGCTCAGTGTCTTGAGCGACCTGAGCAACTCCATTTGCTACAACCTTGGAGACATCTGCAACATCGTTTCCAAGATCCTTGCCTGAAGGTGGCGGTCCAGAGTCGGCGCCGGGTTTTGTCAGTTTGGCTTGTTCTTGTTGCGATGGCTCAATCTTCTTGCCCGCCTCTTCTGCGACGTTTGACAGCGAGAAGGCAGCATCCTTGAAAACTTCACGACCAACAGTGTTCAAGTCAGAGAGGAAGATGCGGAAATCCGAGTTAGTAAGAAGAAGTGATCCGACTGTTTGCAGGCTTTGGTAGGCNNTATATAGTGTTAGCATAATTCAGGAACAGAACCACTCACAGCAGTACTTACCAGCAGCAGTCTTGGCCTTCGACTGGGCCTTGTAGGCTCTTTGTGCTAGATCCTCTACGTCGACGTGAACTCTGGATTGGGTCAATGACCAGATGAAATCCTGAATCTGGTCCTCGCTGTTCTTGTGTACAAGCAACTCGATGAAGTCCTTCAGCCACTGTTTTGTGAATTTGGATAGACGTCTTCCCGAATCACTGAGGTTAGGATCAGTGGGGTTCAGGACATCGGAAGAGAGCAAAGATCTGAGGTTGATGACCAGCTGTTCATTTGAGGGCATGTATCCATCGGCCAGGGCTCTGATCATCTGATACGAGTGCAGCTTCTGATGAAGCTCACGCTGGAGGACCGTGTCATCGCGGTACTGGGGTAGTAAGGGCTCCGTATCGTCGGACTTTGACTTGCGGAATCCGAGGCAGGACGACATGGTGGCTGCAGAAATGACCGGAGAACAATTAAGTGCAGCGAACGCGAGGTCAAAGTGTGTCAATTGAAGGTGGACAAGTGAAGACTATGGGAGATTCTAATGTGTAGTGAGCATGCGGCAGGCAGCCGCGAGCACGAGAGCAAACGTAGAAAGTCCGTCATGATATCGTCGTCATTGCGGGGAAACCAAGCATGTGAGAACAGGCTTGAGAGAGGATTCGGTGACATGCAACGGCTGGCTAGTTCCTCACCATATGTGCTAAAGACTGTCACAAAGCAGCTGTAGAAATGCACAATACCTTTTACAAAGAATGTGGTCTCTCCAGGAAACTCCTTTGAGGCTATCTCTATGGCTAGAGTTACGTTTGGAATGCAGCTATGCATGTGAGAAGAGATCAATCGCAAGATTGTGACAATCTCAAGCACACGGGGAGGTTTGAGATGGATGGCGATATGGGACAGGGTTCCTTGTTATGGCATCTTTGCTCCAAAAGCCTCGACCAACGCAAAAAGTTCTGGAGATGGACACGATAGAAAGTGGAACTCAATAAACATCAGGGGAAGAGCAGAGCAAGAGTCAGTCACGGGCTGGGAAGAAGACCGACTCGGGACGCGACGACCGACCGGTGGCTAGTCTGAAAATATCCCTTCAGCGGAAAAAATCGGAGGCGTGGGGGTTGCTGCTACGGTTGCGCACGGCTTTGCGACTTCGGAAAACAGATAGCGGCAATTAAGACGACGAAGATGCGAACTTTTCAATTGATTGCAGAGAACAAAGCAAAAGGAAGCGACCAAAACCATTCATAAACTTGACGACAAGTCGCGAACGAGAATCCAGTTGAGGCGGTTGCAGCGAGGTTTGGGAAGAAGGACAGGCTGGGCACTCGGCGTAGGGCAGTCGCGACCGGGCCGATGATTCGGCACCCACACAGGCTGGGGATGGTATAAGTTTTGGTGGAGCTTTATTGTCCAGAATGTAACTGCCCGACGTGCTATGAGGCTCGCGTTTTCGTAGCGTCACATATGCCGAACAAAACTTCTTCCGGCATGGGGCGACCTTTTCTTCAGTTCCATCAAAGATTATAAATTGCTGACCGCTGGCTGCTTTAGCCTGAATTCCTTGTCTCTATGTCTCTATCCTCGTCTCGCGTGCTCCGTTACCTACTTAAACGCCCTCTCGCCTCGACCTCTGCCCGACGACCATCTGCATTCATTCACACCTCTTCCACCATGTCTTCCTCAGCATCAATTGCCCCTGCTCCCGCAGCAAACATCTCTCAGAGCCANCCCCCTGCCGTCTCATCAAGGCAGACGTAAGTACTCTCTTCTTCAGCAGCCATTGAAGCCTCCCCTGACTCTGACCTTTCTCAGNNGAGCGCCGACTACGACACCGCATACCCCATTGAGGTCCGCAAGTACCTCCGCACATACGGCCTCACCCCTCCCGCTGTCGAGAGCTTCGAGACACAAGAAAAGAGATGCCTACAGCTCCTCGAGAACAAGCAGACTCCCATTGACAAGTACCAATACCTCACCCACCTGAGAAACACAAACGTCAACCTCTTCTACCGTCTCTTGTCTGGCAACGTCAAGGAGATCACTCCCGTCATCTACACTCCCACCGTCGGCGAGGCCTGCCAGCGATGGTCAGAACTCTACACCCAGCCCGAGGGTAAGTTTGTTCTGTCTAGCTATCATAATTGCTTCTTTCTGACTCGTTCTNNAGGCATGTACCTTTCATACTCGGACAAGGGCAACCTCCACTCCATCATCCAGAACTGGCCTCACAACGTCGAGATCACCGTCGTCACTGATGGCTCGCGCATCCTTGGTCTCGGTGACCTTGGTATTAACGGCATGGGTATCCCTGTCGGCAAGCTCGCTCTCTACACTGCCTGCGCCGGTATCAGACCCGATGCTACTCTCCCCCTGACCCTCGACTTGGGTACCAGCAACGAGCAGCTCCGCAACGACCCTCTGTACATGGGTAGCAGACGTGACAAGGTTACCGCCGATGAGGAGCGTGAGTTCCTTGACGAGCTCATGGCTGCCCTCACCGAGCGTTGGCCCGGTATTGTCATCCAGTACGAGGACTTCAAGAACCCCTTCCCCTCGCTCGAGCGCTACCAGAACACCTACACTATGTTCAACGACGACATCCAAGGTACCGGTGCTGTCATCCTTGGTGGTTTCATCAACGGTGTCAAGCAGTCCAAGGTTGCCGCTGCTGACCAGCGTGCCGTCTTCTTCGGTGCTGGCTCTGCCGGTGTTGGTGTCGCCAAGCAGCTCGTCGAGTTCTTCATGAACGAGGGTCTCACTGAGGACCAGGCTAGAAAGTGCTTCTGGCTGGTCGACTCCAAGGGTCTCATCACCAACGACCGTGGTGACAAGCTTGCTGAGCACAAGCTCTACTTCTCTCGCGACGACAACGAGGGCAAGCAGTACAAGACCCTCGAGGATGTCATCGAGTACGTCAAGCCCACCATTCTCATGGGTCTCAGCACTATCGGCGGTGCCTTCACTCCCGAGATCATCAAGCGCATGGCTGAGTTGAACAAGATGCCCGTCATCTTCCCTCTGTCCAACCCCAGCAGCAAGTCCGAGTGCACCTTCGAGGATGCCATCAAGCACACCGAAGGCCGTGTCCTCTTCGCTTCTGGCTCGCCTTTCCCTGCCCTCGAGTACAACGGCCAGACTCTTGAGCCTGGCCAAGGCAACAACATGTACGTCTTCCCTGGTATTGGACTCGGTGCCATCTTGTCCAAGGCCGTCAACGTCACTCAGTCCATGATCTACGCCTCCGGCAAGGCCCTCTCGGAGTCTCTCACTCCTGAGGAGATTGAGAAGAACTGGATGTACCCTGACATCCGCCGTATTCGCGAAGTCAGCGTTGTTGTTACCTGCGGTGTCATCCGCGCTGCCCAGAAGGCTGGTGTCGACCGTGAGCTCGGCCTGCGCAACATGGACGACAAGGCTTTGACCGAGTACGTCCAGCAGCGCATGTACGACCCCTTCACCGAGGGCAAGAAGGTTCAGGATGAGGTCAAGGAGCTCGCTTCCCACCTCTCCAAGCTTTAAACGAACACGACCGTACCAGAGTTGTTTGATGTTTTCTTTTCGAGAAGGTCTTCTGAGACCATTTGCATATACACGGGCCAGGTTAGGCCGAGACCGTTTTGACATAGACGCCACCGAACAGGCGTTCGTGGCATGACAGCAGGATACAAGGACGTTTTTGAAGCGATAAGATGTATTGTCGCTCACGTCCAACAAAAGGAGAGCCGACCCTCGGCGCTAGGGTCTGGCAAGCATTGTTGTTTATCTTTATGACCAGCGAAGGAGTTTTATTGTCTTTGGATCAGAAATTGATATACCTAATGAATGACATATTTCTATATTTCTACTGCGTGTTCATCCGATTCTCTCATGTGTCTTGTATTGCAAATATCGACCTTCTCACCGCGTTGAAGGTCTGCTATCTATACTTGCATCGCCTCGTCTAGTGAATGGATGCTATTGTAGTGATAGCCGTTTTCAGCATGTCAGCTGCGCTGGGAGCAACCAAGTCGGTTTTGTATGAGGTGCCACCCTGTCATGTAATCTCCAAGCCATCTACAACCATATCCAGCACACCAACACAGTCTTGAATCCAGCTAACGCTAGCTACACGATAACAGGGGTAGCTCATCTATCTTGAACAGGTCAAAAGAGTTGATATCATAGTGTTGGCTTGCGATATCCATTTTGGTGTTTGGCTTACACGAAGCCTGTGGGAATTGCTTCGAATGATCGTGTGAGCATCCAGCCAGCAGCCTTCATGGAAGTGATAGGATAACCCAGTTTGCTATACGAGAGGAGGTTGACGAGGAAAGCAAAGGACATGATTGTATCAACTTTTCTTCTTATAATATCAACCCCAAGCAGCCAAGCACAGGAGCAGGGAGACCAAAGTAGTGACAGGGTGGATGAAGTTAGATAATGTCAATTGCATAGTTTTTGGATATCAGTGTGAGAGCAGTAGTTTAGAACAAGCTTGGATCAGGAAAGCAAAGGAACATGGACACCTCCAGTTGGCCTAGAACACCCACAAGCCACAGTAACGCCTGCTTTTCCTCTGCGGAAAGCCACAATGATATCTTTCTGCTCTTTTTCTCCTTTCGAAACGATGCTTGACAGCAATGCTACAACAGCCTTGCCCGTTTGCAATCATGACAAGGACTTGCAATCAGTTGTAGTCTGCCTCCTCATGCTCGGATTCAGGAACTTCGGGTTCTTGCTCCTCCTCGATTTCCTCTGCTTGCTCGGCATATCCATTGCCATTTCCATTGGTCTCTACCTCTTCAGCACCCATTGTAGCATCGTTGTCGCCAGCATGGGCAACAGCATCAGCCAACTCGTCGTCAATCTGCTGCTCAACACCAACAGAAGGCATAGTCAAATCTCCTTCTTCATCAGACTCTTGCACCTTCTCCTCGCTACGGAAAGTGCCCGTGCTTCTTCTGCCGCCGTGGGAAGCGCGGTGTCTAGGTGCCGAACGTACAGCCAGTGCTGCAGGGTCGAAGTGGCTTTCGAGCCAGGCGACCTGGTTTTCGAGGTTGAGCTTGAAGTCGTGGGTATCGCCAACAGATTCGCGAAGTTTTCTGTATACGACTTTGCGGTCGGCGGTGCTCCAGGGAGAGCCTCCGTGCAAGCGCGTCACCACAGCCCAGAAGGTGTTTTTGCTGGAAAAGGCACCCATCTGTGCGCCATAGAGTGTTTCGCGGGTGACGTCGAGCATATCACCGACAGTCATTTCGTCGAAGCGGCGTGAAGCTTCATTCTTCCAGCGCGTGGTTGTGTGGGGAGAGGTCATGCCGTCGTCGTAGAGTTCCTCCTCGTCTCTGACGATTTCTCCACGTGCGATTGCTTCTTCGCGTTCGCGCTGGGCGGTCTCTTCGCGGATCACGCGGGCCTTGATTTTGCGCCATTTCATGCTGCATTGCAGACGGTTGCGCGAGCCGTTCATCTNTTGCACGACCACGTTCCAGGCAATGTAGTCGTCTTCGATCTCGCGGCTGAGTTCGGTCTCCATGGTTGCTTGGACGGCTTTGAGACACTCGCTCACGGCTTGAGCCAAACGCTGTTCTTCGTCCTGGGTCCAGACATCGGTGTGGCGTTGGTCGAGCGAGACGTGGTTGCGCCAGCGGTCACGGCAGTCCTCTGGCATGCGGCCCACGCGTTCGCCAATCTTGACCCATTTGTTGGGGGTTTCGGCGTATGCGGTGCGCAGTAGCTCGTCTTGCTCTTCGGTCCAGCGTCCGCGTTGGAAGTTGTTGTAATGACGGCGGCAGTAGCGTTGCACGGCGCGGCGGTTGCGGTGAGGGAGGATGTCGGTAGAAAGATCAACGTAGACTTTGCTCATTTCGCGTGATGATGACTGGATCAAGCCAATGAGTTGATCGCGCGACAATTCATGATCGCGTTCGAAAGTCAACATGTGAGTCTCGATCAGGTCGCACTCGACGGGTGTGAAAGGACCTTGCTCGGGGTAATCGCCAACTGATGCTCGAGGCATTGAGGATCGCTTGACGCGTTTGACTGCCGGTGCAGGCGAACNCGTTCTCGGTGGACTGTCTCTTGCGTTTCGTCTTGGGCTTTGCTGAAGAGGACTGGGGTTGCGCCTCGTCGTTGTCCGAGTNNCTGGTGGAACCTCGAATTGGCTCATATCGCCCTCGGTATTGTCCATGGGCTCCTCGGGTTCCTCGGGCTCTGCGTCCAAAGCACCAGCCTCAGCCTCCGCCTCCTCTTCTACCACATCTTCCTGGGTTTGCTCGGGCTCGGCTGGCTGATCCTCAGGGTTCTCGTCGGGTTGTTCCTCGCTAGGCTCCTGTGTCTCGGGCACCTCGACCTCCTGTTCCTCTTCAGGTTGGATAGACTGCTTCTTCGAACGACGCTTGCGCGTCTTGGCTGGCTTCTCAGTAGGCACCTCGGCGGCGTCGTCTGCCATAACTTCTTCAACAGCAGGCGCAGCAGCGTCAGCCTTGCGCTTGCGAGTCGACCTGGCAGCCTTTGCCTGTACAGGAGTCTCGTCAATGGTTTGCGGAATGTTGGGTCGTGCAGGGGTCTGCTGCTCTCCAATCTCCTCGGACGCTGCGCGAATGCGCGCGCTGCTTCTCATTCCCTTGGAGGCCGAGCTGGCGCGTTGTTTTGCATAGGTCTTGAGTTTGCCGGCTTTGCTCTTAGATGTGCCTGGCGTTTGGACAGCGGTTGTGTCGGCCTGTGGTGACTCCATGGTAAAGGTGGATGTGATTACTGTGACGCGTCGTTAGTTGACCAAAAGCGCGCCGCGATCGGCAAAGTAGGGTTGCGCAGAAAGTACCTCGATCAAGTTGTTTAGATGGACTCGAGGACGAACTGTGCGATTCGACAGCAGCGTGTTGGTTCCTGGCTGCGACGAGATGAGAAGAATTAATTTGATGTAAAGAAATAATTGCACTATCTCGCGTCTTGGCACCCTGTCTTCCCCAGCTCCTCGGTTGGAGCCCGTCCCCAGCTTGCTCTCGCTTCGACTTGCTCCTAACAGGCACAACGAGAATGATACTCATGTCTTTCATATTGTGGTTCTTCTAATTCATCAAATGCTGCCCAGCCACGCTCAATGCACCATGCACGATCATTAACATATCAAGCCATAATCCCATATCCTTCAACAAGCATTTCGCCAACTAATGGCTGATGTACTGGAACACAGCACTGACTGCGTCCTCCGAACACTCCTGTCTGAGCAGCAAGTCTTGGATTCTGCCCATCGCTCCCTTCTCGCCATCGTTGGTGAAGTGGTTCCATGTGCTGGTATCACCGTAGAGCATTGCAGGTGCTTTGATGAACTGCTTGCCGTCCTTGCAACGCTTACACTTGATTGTGTCGTGCGTGTCACTTGCAGTGTCGGGGCGGTACTGGAAAAGCTCACGGAGACTGTCCAGCGAGAAATGACGTTCCACATCTTCTGCCGAATCCACGACACAAGACGACAGTGACTGCTTGTGTGATTGTCTCTGGAAGATCTTCTCCTCAATCGTTCCAGTTGCGATGAAGCGGTACACGAAACAGTCCTTCTTCTGTCCGTCACGCCAGACACGCGCAAGTGCCTGCTGATCTGCTGCTGGATTCCAGTCGGGGTCGAACAACACAAGACGGTTGGCGCCAATCAAGTTGAGACCACATCCACCAGCCTTTGAAGATAACAGGAAGACGAACTCGTTGCCTTCGGGGTCGTTGAATTTGTCTACCAGCTTGGCACGCTTGTTGACAGTCATGGTACCGTCGAGTCTGAGACTGCCGTAGTTTCTGGCGCGACAAAGCTTTTCGAAGACGTCGAGGGTCTGCGTGTAGTTCGAGATCAAGACAATCTTGTCGTTGGTCTCGGTTCTGATTCGAGCAAGCATGCGATCGAGCACTTGCATCTTGCCCGAGTACCATGACTTAACATCTCTGTCGCGACCACGAGCATCCTTGGGTACAAAGTCTGAGGGGAACGTGTTTTCGCAACCGGGCAAATCTTCTGGAAGGTTCAATAGATCAGGGTGGTTGCAAAGTTTCTTGAGCAAACCGATGGCTTTGAGAGGCTGGCTACCTTTGCCCTTCAGTAGACTCTTGATGTCGGGAGACTGCAGGAAGTGGTTATAGAGATCCTTCTGGAAAGGTGCCATGTTGCAGAAGACAACGTGCTCATACTTGACGGGCAAGTACTTGCTCAAAATATCGTTGGTACGGCGGATGATGAACTTGTTGACCAAGGTCAAGAGCTCACTTAGTCGCTCATCACCCTTTTGACGGTCGGCATCGGAACCACCTGCATCGCGACCACGCAAAATAGGAAGCTCGAACTTCTTGCGGAAGTCCATTCTCGTACCAAGGTAGTTGGGGTTGGCGAAGTTGAGTAGCGAGAAGTATTCCGAAAGATCGTTCTGGATGGGTGTACCAGACAAGATAACTCGCTTCTGCACGTTGAGACCGTTCAAAGCCTGGAAAGTCTGACTGTCCGCGTTCTTGAGTTTGTGGCCTTCGTCACAGAGCAAGAGGCCAATTGGTGTGTCTCTGAACTCGTCCACATAGAGTCTCAGCGTGTCGTAAGATACAATAATAACAGGACGAATGATTGCGCGACCTGATGCAATTGACCACTGTCGAATTTGCTGGATGAGCTCTTCCTTGGTGGCCTTGCCATCGATAGCGAATGGATTAATGGCATCCTTGCCTAGCCACTTGACCAATTCGTTGGCCCAGTTGCGAACCAAACTCGAAGGACAAACGATGATAGCCTTGTTGATCGAGGGTTTGCCGGCATCTGGTGATTGCTTGAGAAGAGTCCACATGAGGGCGATACACTGTAGCGTTTTGCCGAGACCCATTTCATCTGCCATGATGCATCCTTGTGCCTTCTCGTCTATAAGTCCAGTTGTAGCACGATACAAGANACTGTCAACAAGGATTAGTTTCTGGCGGAAAGACATGCTCATTGAACATACCTTGACACCCTCAATCTGATGAGGACGCAACACCTTAGCCAACCTGGGATCTATAACGACGGGTACACGAGGACGTTCCTCAACGACCTTCTTCTTCAATCCTAGGATATCTGCCAAGCTCTTGTGCATGATCGGTTCGTCCACCTTCTCCTTGGTCTCTTCTTGGTTTTCCTCGGATGCATCTTCTATTGGTTTCGCAGGTTTATCGTCAACAGTAGGGTCGTAGAGAACGATGGCAAACTCTCCACTGGGATCATGAAGTGGTTTGGCAACGAAGACTGCACCCTGTCGCAATCCTAAAAGAGGTGGGGNGCGAGACGCATTGTAGGCCGAGGAATCCTTGTTGAGAAATGGTACGGAGAAGCGTTGACGCATCGACTGGTCTTTGTCTTTGGGCTTGAAAACAGGAAAGCGATTGACATCTCGAGTAGCGAGGGCGAGTCGGTCTTCGTTGCTGTAGGGCTTGTCGGCGTCGTCTGCCTCGCCATCGGCACCAGAGTAATTGACCTTTCTTCTCTTGCGTGCGGGTTTCTCAGAGGCTCTTGTGGGCGTTGCAGATCCAGGGCATTTGAAAGGCTTCATCAATCGGTCGGCAGTAATAGGAGTGCCGCCATGCATGCGAGCACGCTTTTGGGTGGGCAGTGGCGTTGGCGCGACATTCTCCTTCTCGATGACGGCGATCCTGGCAAAGCACTGTCAGGATGGTTCAATTGATGTATCAGAGACGAGTAACCTACATTACGAATGGCTGTTATCTGGTCTGGTTGCCACTTACAATCGAGAAGAATCGTGTTAGGGTCTAGGACTTACCCTAGGATTTAAGGGTTGTAGGGGCACCGGGTTTGTAGCCTAGAAGACGTGTTCGAGGGTGGCGTTCTGAACGCGCGCGACCCCGTGACCGAGGCAGTTTCGAAAATTGAGAAGGCACGACCATCTTGCTATTTGGTCTTCTACGGCAGATAATGTTATACTACGATAGAATAACCAATACTTGAGCTATGGTACAGCGATCTTGTCGGAAGCCTTCGCAGTAACAACCCACCCCAATGACCAGTTGCTTCGAAGAAGATTCATACCATGATGGTCAGCAGAATAGAGGCATCTTTAACCGGCCGCAGAACTCGGAAGGAGCTCCCCATGTGCAAACAAGACAAACAACCATCTTGGAATGACATGTGGCTATACTCTTGCACATCTTCCACAGTTCGTGAGCGAATGAAGAGCCTGTCTCTATTAGATTGGCATCTCGATTGCTTACAACTGAGTCGGAGCGACATACAAGCGCGCTGATCTCAGCAATATCTGAGATTGACTGTCTGGTTCATAAACGTATTCAAGACTAAACTTTCCAGCCGAACGGCAGTCAACCATATACATTGCTTTGCGACTAACAGGATGGTGCGTTACCAGCACCTGGCAGTCAACACTGCTTTCGTTCTCGGACTGCAGGCCATCTGCACCAACGCCGCTCCTTCGGTGAATGTAGCACTCAAAACTTCGTTCAATTCGGCTCCTTACCTAGTAGAACTATTGTAAGCCGCCTTTGCAACCAATCAATTGAAAACGGCGCTGACGAAACTTAGAGAGACAGCTGCAGACGAGAATGCGACCGCTTACTTTCCACTACTCGACCGAATCGCAGAAGGTCACTTCGACCATGCCTCGACGGACCAAGATCTGTACAAGCTATTCAANAAGACGTTGCAAGAGGAAGGTCATCTCGCCAGAGCAGAAGACATCTCTTCGTTTGAATATGCCCTGTCTATACATGCTGCTGCACCCACNAGAATCGAGGCACACTATCAGTTTTACAACACTACGGTAGAGCCTACACTTAAGAGTCGTTTGGATACAAGCTGTGAAACTTGGTTACACTTCAATGCCCAACAGTATTGTGATCCTGACCTATCAAGCTCATCAGCCAATTCAGTAGATCAAGAGTATGCATTCAAATTCTGCTCGCAGCTTTCTCAGAATGCTGACGCTCTACAGNNACGTATTCTGGACCTTCCCTTTGATCGCATCATGGGTGACAAGCAGAGCAAGACACCCGCTATCCTCTATGCAGACCTCATGTCTCCATCGTTCCGCCAATTCCACAAGACAGTCAGTTTGACCGCCAGGGCTGGAAAGACATCATACAGAGTGAGATACAGACCTTCTCTCAGCATACCACGCTTCCCGCTCGCTGTCAGTGGATACGGTATTGCGCTTGACCTGAAGCGAACCGACTACATTGTCATCGACGATCGCAAAGCTGAGGACTCGGATGATATAAACGTTGAGGCCTCCGGTGCCAAGTTGGCAGATGAGGATGTGGCAGACCTCAAGCCGCTGTCCTCTAAAGAACTGCTGAGACTGGACATGAAAGCGTCTAGCTTCGTCATGGACAGTGCAGATCCCTTCGATACCTTGTTGAAACTCACTCAGGACTTCCCGAAGCACTCAGCAGCCATGTCTACTCATGAAGTGTCCGAGCAGTTTAGGAAGGAGCATCTGGCTAACCGTGAAGTTTTCCTGCCATCAGGATACAACGTCATTTGGGTGAACGGTCTTCAAATTCTGGCTCGTGATCTTGATGCTTACGCTATGCTTGAGCATATGCGCCGTGAGCGTAAGCTGATCAACAGTGCTGGCGAACTTGGCTTGACCGGGAAGGAGGCCGTGCAACTCCTGTCACACTCTTCTATCTCTGAAGCTGCTTCGACCCAAGAGCCGCAGCGTTATGACTGGAGAGATGAGCTTGAAGGTGGCAAAGTCATCATCTGGATGAATGATATCGAGCATGACAAGCGGTATGCGGAATGGCCAGATCAAGTCCGAGCAGTAAGTCATGTCTCGTAGCCTACATGAAACTCACTAACAGCAACANNGTTGTTGCAACGAACATACCCTGGACAACTGCCTCCTGTCCGAAAAGAAATCCACAATCTTGTTCTGCCCATCGACTTTGCCGACTACAAGGATGTAGAAATGGTTGTGGAGAGTTTGCAAAGCTTCGTGAAGAGGAAAGTGCCAATCCGATTTGGTCTTGTGCCCAAGACGTCTTCTACGGGCTCCTCTGAGCAAGCCAAGGCTGTATATCACCTGCTTGACACTTATGGTCTTGGTGTCGCTCTTGAGTATCTCCAAAAGGTTTGTTAATCTGTGCCAAACGTCGTTGAACCCTGCTGACTTTATCAGCTCTCGTCCAACCAAGGTCGAAAACTTTCTGGTCCAGTGCAGTCAGTCTTCGAAAACACTATCAAGGGTCGTAAACTTCGTAAGGATCGTGTCTCAGCGTCTTTGCAAGAAGTCTTGAAGAATGACGATTTCGATGTACGTGTCGCATCTTCACGCAAGTATCTGATCCGTCTAGGGGCATCTGGACCCAATCCGCCCTTCTTCGTCAACGGTATTCCTCTGCCGATGTCTGATGAATGGCTCCAAGAGATGAGCCAGCGAGTAAGCACTGATTTACGTACTGTTCAGAAGGCAGTGTTTGAAGAATTACTTGACGACGAAAGTTACGTTCCTGAGGTATTTTTGTCTCGCGCATCCGCTCGCCGCAACCCATGGATTATTCCTGAGGACGAAAACAGCATTCGACAAGTCAATCTGGCGTCTATCTCCGATCTGTCTGAAGGCGCGATAGGGTCGATCCCTAGCCTGCCAGCCAGCAAGGACACCATTTCAAGCGAATTGATCCACCTTGTCATCGTTGCAGACTTTGACTCTGAAGCTGGTCAGAGTATGCTTTCTGACCTCATTGCCTTGCGCAAGGAAGAATATGATCAGGTCGAGATTCTGCTCATCCACAACGCTGACAAAGAGTTGTCAACCTCGAGCTTTGCAGTTGACTTGTTTAAGACTATGATGTTGGGCCCTGTCGTCTCTTTGGATGCCTTGGAAGCACTGATGTCGAAGAAGAAGGTTGATGTTTCTGAAGAAGACGTTGTCGCAGCCCAGGCATTCTGGTCATCAGCTGACAGATTCATCAATGATATCGGCTTCAGAAGAGGCGAGCAAGGTATCTTGGTGGCAGGTAGGGTTGTTGGACCACTGCCATCATTTGAAGGATTCGACCGCGATGACTTCATGACGCTGTTGTCGTATGAGCGCATGAAGCGTCTGATGCCAGCAGCGCAAGCCATTAAGGGTGTCAACATATTAGACAAGGCTAACACTGCTTTGTCATTCTCAAAATTGTCGAACCTGATTGCGCTGTCATCGAAATCAGATATCCCTGAAGGCATGTTTGATGCTTCTCCTCCTGCTAGAGCAGACATCTTTAATGGCTGGACTGGCTCGCACACGCTCATCGAGCGTGGTGATCCTGAGACTGCAACCATCCAAATTGTTGCCGCTGTAGACCCAGCATCCGAGATTGCTCAACGTTGGGTGCCCATTCTCAAGGTCCTTTCTGAGCTCTCTGGTGTTCATCTGCGTCTATATCTCAATCCCAAGGAAAGACTTGACGAGCTACCTGTCAAGCGTTTCTACCGACATGTGCTGGAGTCGAAGCCTAGATTCGATAAGCAAGGCTCTCTCGAAGGTTCTCTGGCTCGCTTTGAAGGTCTTCCAGCAGATGCTCTTCTTACAATGGCCATGGACATGCCGCCTGCATGGCTTGTTGCGCCCAAGGACAGTATTCATGACCTCGACAACATCAAGTTGAGCTCGACACAAGGAAGGGACATTGAGGCAACCTATGAGCTTGAGAGCATTTTGATTGAAGGTCACTCCAGGGATGTCACTATTGGAACTGCACCTAGAGGAGCTCAGCTTGTGCTCGGTACGAACAAAGACCAGCACTTTGCCGACACCATCATCATGGCAAACCTTGGATACTTCCAATTCAAGGCGAACCCAGGCTTCTACAACCTCACTTTACAGAAAGGAAGAAGCGAGGAAATCTTCAAGATCGATAGTGCTGGAACTCTAGGCTACAGTCCCCAGACAGGTGATGAGACGACCGAGATTGCTCTTACCAGTTTCCGAGGTGCTACCATCTTCCCTCGGCTTTCTCGCAGAGCTGGCATGGAAGATGAAGATGTTCTGGAAAGTGCAAAGACGACCACAGACCATCTTACCGACAAGGCCGATAAACTTCTTGCCAAAGTTGGTCTAGGCAGCGTGAAATCCAGCGATGTCCTCTCCAAAGCCCAGAAATTTGGATCTGGCTTGCTTTCCGGATCGACTGGCTCTACCACCGACATCTCGACTCTGCCACATGCCGACATCAACATTTTCTCAGTCGCCTCTGGCCATCTTTACGAACGCATGCTCAACATCATGATGCTCTCCGTCACCAAGCACACTTCCCACACCGTAAAATTCTGGTTCATCGAACAATTCCTGTCTCCCTCATTCAAAGCCTTTTTGCCCATCATGGCCGAAGAATACAACTTCCGCTACGAAATGGTAACCTACAAATGGCCACACTGGCTACGATCCCAAAAAGAAAAACAACGCGAGATTTGGGGTTACAAAATCTTGTTTCTGGACGTGCTGTTTCCGCTAGACCTCGACAAGGTGATTTTCGTGGATGCGGATCAGATTGTCAGGACAGATATGTATGAACTCGTGACTTGGGATTTACAAGGCGCGCCTTATGGCTTTACTCCCATGTGCGACTCCCGCACCTCGATGGAAGGGTTCCGCTTCTGGAAACAAGGATACTGGAAAAACTTCCTCAGGGGCTTGCCTTACCACATCTCTGCTTTATACGTTGTGGATTTGGTGCGGTTCCGTCAAATGGCAGCCGGAGACCGTTTACGCCAACAATACCATCAGTTATCCGCAGACCCAAACTCTCTGTCCAACTTGGACCAGGACTTGCCGAATCACATGCAACATGTTCTTCCCATCCACAGTTTACCTCAAGAATGGCTATGGTGCGAAACCTGGTGTAGCGACGAAACCCTCAGCGTAGCACGCACCATCGACCTGTGCAACAATCCCCAAACCAAAGAACCCAAGCTTGAAAGAGCGAGACGACAGGTTCCAGAATGGACGATCTATGATGATGAGATTGCGGCTCTGGCGCAGAGGAAGGTTGGAGATGGCAAAAGTCCTATTGCTGGAGACGCGAGTGGTAAGGGTATTCAGGCGGAGATGCAGGAGGCGGATGCTCGTGCTCAGAAGGAAGAAAATGAGAGGAAGGAGAAGCAGAAGGGGCATGATGAGTTGTAGAGATGGAAAGAAAGAAGCAACAAGTAGATTAGAAACTTCAAGTATGAGAGAGAGACTTTACATGAAGAAGAGAAATGTTTTGAAACACCAAGAGACATCTATCTCCAAGAGGTAGATCTGGTACAATAGGAGCGATGATACACGAAGAAAGAGACTGTTGTGACAAACCAAAGACCCCTACTCCTATGAGATGGTGATTCTTTACACAAAAAAGATTGCAAGATGAATATTGCAAGATTACAACAATGAAAAAAGGAAAAAATGTATTCGGCTGGCCTCGAAAATAATTACTCCTATCAAGACCCTCCTCCCATGGCAAATGCAGTCCGCTGATGTCGATCAAACCATTCCAACACCACCGACCACGGCAACGGCACATTCTAATTGCCCGCACCGCCTTGCGCACCAGCACCATCAGCACCGCTAGCAGCCAACCTAGCATCAACCATAGCCTTGTGCTTCCTGTTCTTGATGTGCAGTTCGAACTTTTCAATCGTGTCTTTCCTCATTGCTGTATACAGTTTGCCGGGGCAATCGTCACAGCGGATACGTGGTTGCCACATCCACTTGACTTCTTGTTTCTCGCCGGTGGCGCGGTTGGTGTAGTTGGCGGGTGGAGGCGAGCCGGGCGGTAACGAGGCGTGGTCGATGGGGATGGGTTTGTCGGTGGCGGGGTCGACGGCGGCGAAGCGCATCAGACCAGAGAAGCGACCGGTTGGGTACATGCGGTGCATTTCCGCGAGTGCGGTTGTCAGCCAGGGTGGAATGTCAGGCTGAAGCAGAGGATGTGTCAGATTTTGCGACATGATTCCCAGAGAGCAGAATTCTCAAAAGCGTTCACTTACTGTGGCACTATCTGGCAAAGGTGTAGTGGCGGCTTCGACTCGCCCTTGCTCATCGTACTCGACATCTTTTGTGATCTTGGTTGGTGTAGGTGCTGGGAGCTTGGTCGTTGGTGTTGGTGCCTGAGGTTGAGCTTGGCGAGCAGGAGTGACTGCAGCTGCTGGAAGGGATTTGTTTTGCATTGACGGCGTCGATGAACCTGCTACTTGCCTCGCTGGTGTAGCAATAGGTTTGGCAATTGGCATGGTGAAAGATGTAGGGAAGCCCGATAGAGGAGGTGCCGCACTACGGCCAAACTTCTTTCTGGCCAAAAACTGCTTGAACTTGTCAGGATTGAGACGAAGCTTGACGATCATCGAAGTAGGTTCTGCCGTATCTTCACGAGCTGTTGCTTCTTGGACACGTCTAGACGCTCTGGTCGATTCTGGTTGTGAAAGCATAGCGATATCAGGGGTAGCCGATCTGCCGTACGTCTGACGCATAGCAATTTGTGCAGCACTGGCGGCACCCCTCATACCTCTGGTTCTTGCCGTGCCACTTGGTAGAGCAGAGGGTGCAGGTGACTCGCCGCCGGACTCCTCATCTTCCAGCTCATCAGAATCACTTCCATCATTCAGGCGAGCACCAGGTCTACGGCCTCTACCAGTTGCAGTACGACGGATCTTAAAGATACCGCTGGCTTCCATAGTTTCTGCAGCACCCGGAATGACAGTCGATACAACCAATGACCGTACAGTCCTTTGACGTTCCTTGAGATCTGGCAAAGCAGGACCACCACGTCTGTTGAGTTGTCGCTTCTGTGCTCTCTGCTCACGCAGCATGGACAACTCAGTCTTCTCCAGTTCCGTCTCAGTCAGCTCGTACATGTAAGGCGTCCAATCCTTCTGACTCTGTTGCTGTCTGAATACATTGGGCACGGGTGACGGAAGCATGTTTTCACGGATGTCAGGATCCTCTATCGGTCGTCCATCGAATTCGTAGTTGGTCACGAACAAGCTCTTAGTATAGAGCTGGCATTGCTCGCGAATTGAGTGGGCAATGGCTGTGGTAAATTCACCAGAGAGCGATAGATCCAAAGACATTTGTCTAGCAAATTCCTCGGGCGAGTTGAGAGGGTTGTTGATGTCCCATTCGAATTGATCCACCAGAGTAATATGTCCAATGGTAATATTGAGCTTAACAGTAATGCGCATGTCATCGTTCTTGTGTGCATTGTAGGGGGTCTCGGGCTCCGCAGCTTGACCAGCAGGATAAACGTGGGGGTAGTAATTGTTCAACTGATCGAGCAATTCCTGATGGACTTGACGAGCAAGCATTTGGCTATGTTCGGTGGGCATCTTTAGATCCTCGATAAGGTTCTCGGCGAAGAGCTGTGGGGAGACCAGGCGATCATTGAGATTCCAGGTGAATGTGTCGCGCAGCCTCAGCTTCTCAAGCTCGAGATCGAGTCGCACGGGTACGAGTTCCTCCAGATATTCGGCTTGCTGTCCTGCGTCTTTTCGGGCGACGCGCAGTTCGCGCGTCCTCCTGTTGCCAGCTCTACGGCGCGTGGCCGGATACTCCAGCCGTGTCCTGTCATCGGTTCGGCCATTGCCGTAGCCAGCATACCCATATCCAAAGACAGCTCCAGGATGTTGTTGTCGCTGTTGTCTTCCCTCGTGGAGATACCATTCCTTCTCCTGCTCCTTGAGCCTCAGAAGCTTGCGCGACTTCTCAGCCTGATCGTTAATGGCAGCGACATATAGCGAGTCGCGTTGGATGTAGCGCTCGAGAAGAAGTTCCTGGTGTGGAGGATTGTTTGGCGATCGAGGACGCGCGGGAATGCGCGAGCCGGAGCGCGAACGCTTCCTCGACATGGCGACTCCGTTGGAAGATTGTGAAGGCGACGAGGTCACGTCGATACCTGATGCGGCCATGATGTCTTTGGCGCGCTGCTTTCCGTCACGAATGGCATCACCAGTGTCCGAGGGAGGGTTTGGAGGAGGATCGATCGAGGCGTTGGTAGGGGGAGCGGCACTTCTCCGACCTGGCGGGGGCTGAGCGAGATTGAAGGGCTGGCCGCTGTTTGGAAAGGGTGATGCGGCAGGGTTGGTCGAGGGCGATTGCATGGTTCAGGGAGAGTTTATCGCGAAGTGACTGAGTTGGGGATTAGCAGGCGCGTGGGTGGTCGCGTCGAGTGGAGGTGGTGAGTGGGAGGGGAGGCCATGACAGAGTGATGGCGCGTCAAACTCGACAGCAGTTGGGAAAAGACAGGAAAAGGTCGCAAGGAGGAGAAAAGCAACAGAGTTATCAATGACATACCTTGGTCGAACATGCCCCTCTAAGGGCAGTTGGTCTGGCCGAGCGGGAAAGGACGGTGCCTGAACCAAGCGGTGTGCGGCTCAGATGGCAGTACAAGGCCTTTGTTTCACGCCCTGTCAGCGCTGAGATGGTCGACGAGTATTGCGCACCGATGATTGGTGATTAACAAATGGCTATTTAGTTAAATCATGCACTTTCTATATGAACAGCTCATTCGGCGCGTCTCTCTCCAGTCTCTCGACAACCCGGGTGCACGGGCCGCCGACCAAGAGTCATTGCTTAGGTGCCCACCTACTCGGAGTATTCCCATCAACCGTTCTATCATCTTCTACGAACGATTCACGTACATGAGGCCGAGTAACCGTAAGATGTCCATTTCTTGATTCATGAACATGATGCCCGTCGCTTGCATTTTCTTCAACTCCTGCTGCTATAATAAAACGCCTCCTCAGAATGTAATCACTTTGCTGCCCTTTGGTATCCCTTTGCTGTCCTCAATCGTGCTTCCAACAATGCTCTAAAGTAGGGAATCCAATCTCGTAAACACGCTCAGGCAAGCAGCCACCACNNCTGTATCAAGTCAGTATACTTTGCTACTGCAAGTTTCCATCGAATCACATACCTCAAGTTGCAACTCCTTGTCCTTTGCGTTGTTGACCTCATCCATAATCACTTGTCCCAGATTAGCTCCAATGCTACCGGGTCCTCCTGTCCTTCGGGCAAAGGGATATTGTGAGTACTCGGCCAACAACTCGTCCACCTGTGCAAATGCCCTCTCGCGTGCCTCGTGTTGCAGCGTTGTCAATGCGTTCTCCAGCACGTTGGCAGCGTATGCTCCACAAACCATGGCAATGGTTCGCAGATATCTGAATTCCATCTCTTCGGGCAGGTATTCTGTGGGTGGTAGGACAACGGTACGGTTAGTCAGAACGTTACGGACGCGACGGCGAATCTCGTCTTNTGCACCACCATCGGCCACGGGGTGAGTTGCCATATCGAACAACANAAAGTTACGCTTTTCGGTGCGCAGAATGCCCTTGTCGACCAGTCCCTTTGCCAAACGTTCTCGGACTTGCTTGAGTTGGTAGCCGATCTTCATGAGATTCCATGTCTCGCCNNTTGTGTATGTGTTAGCCGTGTGCTCTTCAGGGGTTCGTGTTGAGCCAGGAGAAGTAATACCACTCATAAGATCTATCCACGAGCTCACGCTCATCTTTTCGCTGCTCTTCATCATCTTGAGTGCCTCATCAAGCAGAACCTCGCCAGTCAGCGAGTCGTCAATGACCTCAATGACTCTATCAGCCAGCGGGAAGCGTCTCCTGTTGGAATCCTTTTGCATGCTGATTCGTCCACGGAAAGCCAATTCGATTACGATACAGCCTCTGAGAGCATACGAGATGTTATCGTTCCAGAAAGAGAGGTAACCCTNGTGTAGTTAAGGTTAGAAGCAGTCCAGGACTTGTTAACCTAGGGGGCGCAAAGCTACCTGCTTGTCCTTGAGACCCATGAGCAGAATCTCCTCCATTAGTGTCAACTTGGGTTGTTTCAGTCTTTCGGCACTTTCGCTGATATCGCGAGGGTCGAAGGCAATCTTGTGTCCATTTGCACCGCTTTCGTATGATGTCTCGAGACCTCCGGCTCTGTTCTCATCGTTGCGCTTGTTGGTAGGCGCGGGAGAGCTGACACGGCTTCCATCTTCACTCTCAAGACCGGCAGCAGGACCAGCACCACCTCTTCTTCTTGTCAAGCCCGAGCTGGAGGCCATGTTGGGATTGTGTGATGATGTCGTGTGTTTGGTGCTTCGCGAGGCGCCGAGGGGGTGTTTCGTGGCCGTTGAGTTCAGCTGTATGGAGGGGGACGCGGCAAGGAGCGATGAATAGGTACCAGCTGAGTCGGCGGTGTGTGGCAACCCTGGGGACTCTACCACAGGCGACAAGGTCGAATACAAAAGGAGATAATCAGGCAGCGCAAGGTGAATTGATCAGGCCAATTGTTGTCGCATGTTTGGAGGATCAACCTTCCCCACCTAAAGCCTGCCTGCCTCCCTTAAACACTGCAAGTAATCTTGGCACTTGGGTTGTTATCACCACGACACAGCTAACATATATCAATTCCATTTCATTTCGCAATATTGCTCTCAATCTCCAGCTGCTTATGACCAAAGAAAATTTCATAGTACAGGGGCGCAGGACCTAGTGGCTCAATACCTCTACAGTGGCATGTGTAACAGTTCGGATTTCTTAATAACATTCCATTCCATGCACTTTTAGATGGCGCATCTAGTGGGCTATGTACAAGTCAGAGGCGAGCCAATATATCGTCTGCACGAGAAGACTTACCGTCAGGCTGGCTGAGGATGTACTCAACAGCTTGGTTCACTATCAATCGAGTCAGCAACAGTCCAGGTAATGTAGGATACGGACGCAGCATACCGCTGTGGATGGCATCGGCCTCCTTGTCAGGGATCTCAATGCTGAACTCNNCTGTGGTATATGTGAGCATACGAACTCGTTGTGTGGCACAGCGCATGTGACGAACCTCCTCGATGGCCATAACAACCTCGACAGTGTCCAGAGAGTCGAGACCGAGGTCGTTGGTGAAGTGTGACTGAGCCGAGAGCTGCGATGAATGTAAGTTGGTGTGCAGGAGCTGATGGCGCAGTGAATTGGTAGTACCTTGGAGGCGTCCGAGACCTGGTATCGAGAATTAGTCGATGGATGCGGCAAATGTAGGCATCAATGGGTTGCGCACCTTGTCGAAGTTCTTCAAGAGGTCAAGAATACGGCCCTGAACCTCATCTTTTGAAAGACCAGCGTGTGCCGAGTAGCATCTGACGGCCGAGACAAAGGTCGAAGGAGCGGCGGTGGTCGAAGGCAAGAAGGATGAGGGAGCGACGCGGCGGGTGATGGGGGCCTGAACTCTAGGAGCAGCCTGGGCGAGGCATCTGGCGGATCTGGCGACAGCGAAGCGGAACATTGTGAGGGGCGGAGTGGTATGGATCGAGTTGAATGGACGAGTAGTAGCTAAGCCGTCGATGTTGGAAATCGTTCGTCACCGAAGCTGCGGCGGACGAAAGAAGCCTTGGCACTGAGCGCGCCTTCCTTCCAATCGTGAAGGCCGGGGTAAGCAGCTCCTCATTGGCTGTAGAAAAGACCAACGCTGACCTACCCGCGTCTGGCTGCTTGTAAGTTGTACCTACTCAAGGCCGCCACTACCACCTAATACAACCTTCGCCTCTCTTCTTCTCGCCTACACACAGCGCTATCATGGCAAACACAAGGACCATGGCTGCAGCAGTCCTGCGCAACTCGGCTCGCCCTCTCGTCGCCTCGCCCCGTCTCTTCACACCCGCCTCTACCTCGCTCTTCTCGACATCGACCGCCCGCCTCGCCTCTGGCTCCGGTGCTCCTGCCCAGGGCTACCGCATGCCTGCCCCTGCACGATGGGACCAACAGAAGGAGAGCACCGCCGATAGACTTGGCAACTACTTCCTGCTTACCGAGATGATGCGCGGCATGTACGTCGTACTCGAGCAGTTCTTCAGACCTCCGTGAGTCGACCCGCCACCAAGACATATCCCTGTCCAATTGTTGACATCGATTCAAGTNTACACCATCTACTATCCCTTCGAGAAGGGTCCCATCAGTCCTCGTTTCCGTGGCGAGCACGCCCTCCGCCGCTACCCCACTGGTGAAGAGCGATGCATTGCCTGCAAGCTGTGCGAGGCCATTTGCCCCGCCCAGGCCATTACCATCGAGGCCGAGGAGCGTGAGGACGGAAGCAGAAGAACTACTCGCTACGATATCGACATGACAAAGTGCATCTACTGCGGTTTCTGCCAGGAGTCCTGCCCCGTTGACGCCATTGTCGAATCACCAAACGCCGAATACGCTACCGAGAGTATGTCTTCCTATCAAATAACCGCCAAGAGTGTTTCACTAACTGAATGTAGCNNCCGCGAGGAGCTGCTTTACAACAAGGAGAAGCTTTTGATGAAGTGAGTTTCATGCGACTTTACGAATAGAAACATTAACTGACACGAATCCAGCGGTGACAAGTGGGAGCCCGAACTGGCTGCTGTTGCCAGAGCTGATGCCCCTTACCGATAAACGGTTCACTTATGAAGATACCCTCCCGCATACATCCAGGTTATACTGGTCCTTGCAGCCATGACAAGCAGGCACCATGGGCGACCATCAGCTGCCAAATCTGATCCGCATGTACTCCAGATGGGTTGTAGCCATGGACATGGTCGCTGGCGATTACCTTTCGATAACCCGACAGAGGTTAATGTATACCTGCTTGCATTGTACAGTTCACGTTTTTCTACCTTTCACTTTTTTCTTGAGCATCAAAATCGGAGCACTTTCTCTTTTGTCCCTTTTGCCATCTTTTTCATGTGTCAAGACCTTTCGCTTCAAATTCTCCAGCAGTGGCATAGAACGACAGGTAGGCTATAGAACTATACAACCCATCAAGCTAAATAGTACGTACAGTGAATGTGAGTGGTCTTCGCATAAAGCGTAATATCTTATCTGTAGGTATGAATATTGCTTACAGCGAAGCTTTGGGATTGGGAAGCTTAACGATATTAAAACTCGTATATAAAACAGCGCATCCTGCAAGCCATTCCATCATCCGGCCGTAGAGGATGCAGATAAGCCTCGCCAGGTCACATGCCGTGTTCCAAGATGACTGCATCGTAAGGCAGCAACTTCCAGTCAGCCATATCGGCCCGCTTGGTTGCAGTATTTATATAAACCACTGCCATTACCACAAACACTCTTGTCGTTCATACCGAGTCATTCCATCAACCATGACAGAGAAGCAGCCCAGTACATCAGAAATTACTGAGACCTCTCCTTCCCACATCAAGTGTGAAGTCAAAACATGGCATCTGCATCAAAAAGAAGACGGCACGGAAGAGAAGACTTCTGTTGAAGGCTTTGGTCACGTCGAGCCGTCAACAGATCACTTCGCCCTGGTTGTGACCCGGACGATAGATAAGAATCACAAACTCGAAAAGACAACACTCGACGTCAATTCTCCTTACATCTTGAAGGCATTCCGAGATGTCGTCAAGTCACACCCGACTATCCCTTCCGACTTCTCATCGCCCGTATCAATACCTGTTCCCTCGGAGATGTTGTTCCACCACTGGGACGACTTGCACAGCTACAGTTCTGATCTGGAAGACGATACTGCCCGTTCGCATCTTGAGTTGCTACTGAAGTTCATGGACTTTGACATGGGCGCTGCAAGAAAGAGCTATCAAGTACAGGTCCGTAGCGGCCTCGTCGAGTTCGCTAGACTAGGCATCCTCTTCCGCCCGGGGGATACAGTCGTCACCTACGTCAAATCTCACCCGTGGCTCCTCAAAGTGGACAAGACTGCATTCGAGACGCACGACAAAAGAGGCAAGTACTGTGAAATTCAATGTTCATACTCTGACTACGACGGCGACAAGTACGGAGTTTCCAAACACACCTTCCGCCTCTTTAAGAAGNNGGAAGACTTTGGTTCGGATCATCCCTCCAAGATCCTAGATCTCAAGCTCTATCCTCGGACTTGTGCACCTGATGATAAGGAACTTGAGCAGAGCTTGCGTAAAAGAGGTCAGCTTTTCTTGTCCATCACTGGTATCTTAGTCCGCCAATACGATGGCGGCGCTCAATATCTGAAAACGCCTCCTCTTTCCTTTTTCCACCCTGAAGAGGACGACTGGCCCCAACTGTGGATGCCCTTCACCGAAACAGGACGAGTCATCATTGACCGCAAGACCTTCGAGCAAGACCACCCCAGCGGCATCATCAGCAAGAGACCCCTTGAATCTCTCGATACTGCTCTGTGTCCNCCTTACGTGCTCGGCTTCTCTTGCAGCCGCAAAGATTGGTGTCGTTTCTTCATCACCAACATCAGCGAAGTCGCGTGGAAGCCTAATGCATTCGATGAACTCATCTTGCCCCAGAGTCAACTCAATCTCGTTCGTGCACTTGTTACCTCCCACACCTTCCCCGCCGATGCTCGCGACGAAGACCAGCAGAAAGGGAAAGGTCTAGTCTGTCTACTCCACGGCCCTCCCGGCTCTGGAAAGACCTTGACAGCAGAATGCGCCGCCGAAACAACCCANAAAGCACTCATCCGCGCCTCCATCTCCGAACTCAACAAACACGACTCTGCCTGGTTTTTCGAATACGAGTTAACCCGCGTGCTCCGCCTAGCCACAACCTGGAAAGCCATTGTCCTTCTCGACGAAGCAGACGTATTCCTAGAAGCCCGTGGAGACGATTCCCACGATGCAGCCAATAGAAATGCTTTAGTTGCTGTGTTTCTCCGCCACTTGGAATACTTTTCGGGCATTGTGTTTTTGACTACCAATCGCATTCAGGTGTTTGATGCTGCGATGAAGTCGAGAGTGCATTTGGCTTTGGGATACCATGAACCGTCTCAAGACTCTCGACGCAAAATCTGGAAACAGAGTTTGGAGAGACAGGCTCAGGTGCTCTTGGGCAGTGCTGGAGAAGAGGTTGATGTAGATGGTGCTGCAGACTTGTTGTGTGGAGAGCAGTTGAATGGCAGAGAGATCTCTAATGCTATTCATACCGCAAGCACGTTGGCGAGGTATGCAGAGGAACAACTGGCTCTGAGGCATATCCAGGAGGTGCTAGGTGTGAGAAGAGACTTTGAGGCTACGTTGGAGAAGATGAAGAAAGGGACCTTGGAGCATGCTTCTGAGAGTAGCTCTGCCATCAAGCGGAACTCGATTATTGATTGAGATGATTAGACGATTGAGAAGTTCTACACGATATGATATGGTAGAGATGAACAACAACCTTCCTGTGTGCTAAAGACAGTCACAATTTACAACTAACGTTTTCTATATCTCCAGCTACAAAGGCTCAATATAAGCCATCGAAATGCACAGTTCTTGACTCGAATACAAGTCTGGCCATTGAGATAGCCTTCATCAAGGTTCTCTCAGCGGAACCCACAGCTTTCGTGAAACCACTGGGCATCTCGACAGCTACACTGTGACTATCCCTAGCACATCGGGAGGAAGGAGATCATGTCTGAAAGTCTCGTTTCCATATCACTTCAGTGATTTCATCCATATCCAGCTTTTGGTTGCTCAGATGTATATGTTCAACGACATATCAAAAAGCCACGATAGCATGAGATGATACTGACTTACGCATCTGTGGAAGGTGGCCCCTTGTGCTATTGATGTAGCTCTTGATTCGATAAGATAGTTATCAACGCTCTTACTACTGCTCTTTTGTAGGTAATAGACACAGCAAAAGATCATGCTGTAACAAGTGACTTTCGTTCGATCCATACACATTTCACACACAACCATGCGATTAGGAAAGGTAGGTAGGAGGTCTTCATGCTATAAGGAATTCCTTGGTCTATACTTCTCGAGTGTCGTTTCGCATATTTGGAGACACTGGTACATAGCAACGATAGAAGTAATCCAAGTTGAAAAGTGTGTTGCTACCAAGTCACAGCAAAGCCTCTATCTATTCTTCCTCGTCCAGGCTCTTTAAAACTGGCCACTGTGACTCCACTTCACGCTGCTGTTGCGACGAAAGCTTAGCCTAAGCAGCACGCGACTCCTCGGTGCCGAGAGCGGCTGCCATCTAAACCCTACTGTTATGAATGCTGTCGTCCATGTCACTGCCAGGTCTTTTCTAGCCACGGGTATAAACTGTATCAGCATTAGGTTTGGGTGGGCTACTTTAGTGAGGCTGTTGAAGGGGGCTTAAGAGTTGACTGTGGGAAGGCTCTAGTAATAAGTTGATGGGAGGGTCTGGCGAAGGGCTTTGTGAACGGTTTTGGGCTGGACGATTCTTTTGCTTAAGAATACGATCGGCCTGCTTAGCCTGTCTGGACGATATGACTACGACGAACGAAGGAGAAGCACAGCTCACGGTTGCAGGAGGCAATGGATCGTTAAGGTGGATGGGCAATGTTCCGAGAGATTGATGGAGCTATCCTGCTTTTACCGTACTTTATGTACTAGGAAAAGAGGTCTGATACGTGTATCCAAAGTAACAAGCGCTATATTGATGAATGATATATGCACCTCTTCGGTCATAACACGAACCTTTAGTCAAGTCAAGACAGCTTCTTCGACCCCAGCGCGAATCGAGGGGGAGGACCAATAGCACCCTATCCCCTTCGAGAGGGAAAGCAAGACTCAAGTTTTGTGCAAGATTTAACCATAAAGACGCTACACGGAAAGATGTAATCCTCTGTGAAGAAACAGGGTGGGGAAACAAAAGAACCAGCAGTCTATTTGACTTGAAGTGTCGAAAGCCATCTCCTTGCGGGCTCAGGTGGTATTTGTCTTTGAATAAATGCATGGTGGATGAAACGAATTCTCTAGCATTAATTGCATCACCTTTGAGACACCACTTACTTGAAATATAACGAACTGCATAGTCCTTCAAAGTTGACTGTTTTGCTTCTGTATCCAGCTCAAGTTTTGGTTCGTGAGACCCTCTCAATTGCCTTCGTGTTCGCCTCAACTCCATTTATAGCCTTGTCCAAATTATCGTGCAGCCTCCTGTGAAGGTCATCGTAGGCTTTCTTTCGTGAGTTGCAGGACTCAGAGATCTTTTATCAAAAGATTCATGTTCACAACATTCCCCCCTCGCCAATTCTAGCATTGTGACGATCTTATGAGAGCTTTTCCTCTCTTCGAACACATGGAGTGGAACAGTGGCAACAGGGCAGATTTATCGATGCTAAAAACAAGCGATGATGGATACTACACTTGGGAGTGATCCATCGTTTAGTCCAATGCTTCTGCTGGTTCTACCTGGAACGCTTTCAGAACTTGGTGCATGGATGGTTTCGAGACGTATGGACTTCCGGTCATCGAGTGCTCTTACCAGGCGTTGAGCGTCTAGTCAGACTTCATTTTCAAATGCCATTTCAAGTACATCTATCTGGGGTGTATCAGGACGTGATCGATGGACAACCTCTCAATCGATACCATTCCCGATGATAGGCGTTGTGATAGTCTTCCCATTCGACCGCTAGTGATTATGCCTAGTTGCTTGTACAGGTATAGTGACTCAAGTCACGTTCGTACATAACATTCCGTACAACGTCAGCTGAACATGAAGTAAGAATAAGAATCTCACCGCTTATCGGCAAGCTTCAGTGCTTGGTGGCTGGCGCAGTGCAGCTATGCTTCAAGAAGGGCCTGCATGAAGCTTACTGTTTATACATACGTACCTGATCTAGAACTCTTCAAGTGAGGATAGAACAGGAACACTCAACCATAGAGAAGAGTATAGATCATCGTGTTTCAGGTGTAAGCGTGGTACAGTGTCACAATATCGACCTATTATGCATTGTAGCTTTTGCCTTGATAGTCCAGAAGCAGGGATGCATCGACACGCCCCTGCCATGAAGTCTCAGCTCTTACTTTCGTCAAGGTCAACAGAGGCGAGGTACATGAGCTGAAAAGGCATCCCGACTAGAACAATCCGAGGAAGCGAACAACATGCACCACGTCTCTCCAAGTCGCCAACCCTGCATGGCGTTTCCTTGACTCGCAGAATAAACTCGACGTGTATGCAAGCTTCCCGAAGATGCATGTCTAGACGTGCAGTAGACTGCAGAGCTAAAAAGGCATTGGGCGGAACTCCGCATACTCCGGATGAACGCGTGTTTGCTGTCTTTCTCTTTCATGCTGAAGCGTTTTGTGGATCGTTGGGATGTGGTTTGCCGGTTTCTCTTTGATATACGAGAAGTGGATGGGATGCCTTTTACTTGCATGAATTAGAGACTTTTCTTGTGCGATCATTGGCTTTTTCGTAATTATAGTTTTTGGATATTTGAGCTCGCGTGAATCGATTTGACGATCCGTCAGAAGGTGCGTGAGTCGTACAGAAAAGGTACAATGCGTCCTAAACCGGGATATCTTCGTTCCTGGCATACGATTAGCTGCAGGGCTCTTCCGGACGTTCGTACCACGTCGTCTGATAAACATGCGTTGCTTCGACAAAGCTGTCCAACCATGGCGCGGTCTATCATTCGTTTCGCCTTTTCTCCGAACAAGTTTCATAGTTCCACGAAAAAAAAAGTGCACTTGTTGTTGCTGGGGAGAGCAAACCACACCAAAAGAATTTTGGCTTGCATGAGACGAACGGTTTATCAGGCGTCCTGGAGCAAGCTGTCGAGCGAAAGAGTCCGGCTGGAGAAAGGTGCGGCGTCCATTTAACGCGGGATGGCGGCATCGATCCTTAGACCCTCGTATTGAAACCACCAGCATGACTTTCTTCTTGTGCTCTTGTTCGCATGTCTTGGTTGCATGACTTGAGAGAAGTTGTTGAGTTGCGTGGTGTCTTATCTCAAGCCGTGGCTGCGTTGCTCTGCACCACTCGAGTAACACTATGTTTCATGCATCCGGCTTTGTCGGCCGAGTTCGATGCAACAAAGAGCGCAGCTCGAGAACTTGGTCGATTCGCAGTGGGCCCTTCTGCCGCGCGCCAGGCGGTTACTCGCATGAGGCTTTTCCTCTTCCTGTCAAGGAAACTTGTGAAACCGGAAGAGAGGAAGAAAAGATCTCACAGAAGTGGATAGATCTCGATGCATTGCATAATAAAGGCGGAGCATATTGAATGCTAAGAAGGCATGTTTTCCAGCATCCGGGTTTTGGTCGAGTGGAAAGAGAGTTTCTCACGGATTCTCCTAGCCTTGTGGATATCAGTTTTGTTGGTCGTACATCGCATACGGAAGGATATCTTGTGATCTTGCGATTGAGGTCGCGAGTAGCCAGAGGAGAGGGATCGGGAATCAGTGTTCTTCGGCAGGAGTTTTTAAGGCTCTTATACCGCAGTATGCATTGTATTTATTTGCTTACATGTTCTGTTTCACATCTGTATACAAACATACAACACAATAAACAATATATCATGATATTCTTCTTCCAACTCTCCACTGGGTTGAGAGCGCGATTCGAGACTTCGATGCAATCGCTCATGTCGTCATAAGCCGCTGTCTCTCTTTTCCATCCTTGATTCTTCCCATCTCTTTTCATTTACACACGCAATTGCGGCTCCTTTCGAACATCCGTTTTGCCGTTTCGTATCCGTGATTTCTGTCTCTCCTCCTCCTATAAACCTGGGGAAATTCGTGCTCACTTGCAATTGACTTTGATGACTCTTTTGCTCTTTATGCACCGTTCTTTTCCGATAACGCACTGCGCCCCTTTGTGCCAACGTGCAAATACATTACTCTTACTCTGCTGACTCGCAATTGGAGAAAGAGTTGTATGAGCTGGTAGGCGGGAGCGCAAAAGACTAGAAAGGGGAGTTTGTTAGGCAATAAAGAAGCAACAACAAAGCAACAATATTCCCTTCTAGATTGCAATTTTGTTGCCAGCAGAAAGAAAAAATGTAAAAACACGACTCAGTAGATTAAGCAAGAAGAGTCAGGAGAATGATCAAGAAAAGAGAAAAAAAGGCACGTGTAGAAGCGGGTTGATACTAACCATGGTTTGACTGCTTTCACGATCTTCAGGAACACCCGCGTCCATCAAAAAGGTTTCCGAATATCGCGAGGCATTGGCAGCACCTGTGCTTACCCTTCCCGCGCAACGCAAAGCTCACAAGCAACACCCTGTCCCTGTGAGTCATGAGAAGGGAGACAAAGCGTGCCGACGACTGTTTCCTTGGTTCGCAAGAACGGAAAGAAAGGGCACTCGGTCAACATAGCATACGTGTGTTTTGCTCAAGGGTTCAGATTGTATGATCGGCACGCCTCACGACTGCCACAATACGATAGTGTGCACGCCTCTTCTGTCACCGAGTGTTTACGTGCGGTGCGGCGCTCGCGGGAAGGGAAGGGAATGGGAGGGCAATGTGCATCTAACGATCCAGCGGTGAAAGAAAGGGTTCAAAAGGAACAATTCCTTGGTTTTTGTGCAATCGCTGTGATCTATTCTTGAAATTGGCACATCAACATCAAGTGCACGGTGCTTCTTGTCAAGGATGACGTCGCAGATCTGGAGAGAAAAGAGCAACATCGATCAGAATCAGCGACCATATCGATAAAAGGCTCGGAATTGCTTGGGCAGCAAGTGTGTACAAAGGAACAAGTTTTGAGATTGATGATGTCGAGGAATGAGATAGAGTAGATACATCTACGATCTCCGCATCATACCGTTGTGTTTGGCTATGCCCTGCACAGAGATAACATGCAGGGTCTAGAAAGGCACACGACAATCGATTGTTTGTGCTGTAAGATTTGGAGTGTACTCCTGACACAATAAGTGAAAGGGGGCAAAAGAATCTCAATCAGCCCCTGGATGATAAGCGATAATGTCAGCTTGTAAACAACAATCTGGACTGCCATAAACGACTTTTGCAAAGTTATCAAAGTTTCCATACTTGTGCCGACTATACCAGTATTCTACTCCCTACAGTAGCCGAGTAATTAAGCATTTCGCGTAGATACACATACCGACAATAGAGTGAAGCCCTTCAGGTGAGGTTGTGTAGAGGGAGCGGGTGCGGACAACGGCCAACGGCTTCTGGAAGCCTTAGAAATCCATCAACACATGTCTATTGCGGGATGCGCTCAGAAGGCAAATTGAACTATTGCGTTCACGCTACATGCAAACGATTTTTTGGTCTGCGAAACGGTTTGTCAGTCTTCGAGATAGCATACCACGACTTTTGACTACATAGGATGAGGCCTGAAAAACACGTTACTGGGATCGATAGCCTGAACGGTATGCCGAAATGAAAGGGAGATATGAACGGATACGACGTATTGTTGTGATTGTGATTGGTATGAAAGGTATCTATGCAACAAGCGAAATTAGATCTGACGTCGAGAAGCAAGTGTCTTTGGTGGTTGGGCTTGAATTAGAGTATACACAATCAAATAGCGCCTAGACCCAGATGATAGGAGGGCACGCCGTATGAATTGATTGAAGTCAAGTTATTTGACGTCAGTAAGAGCCTCTTTGTGCGAGGCGGTCTGCCTTTTTCGGAGTAGACATGCGGAAGCGCCTGTCTATTGTATCCTTTGCGCAATTAGGCCTTGGACGCCTACTTCGAAGTCAACCCCAGGGTCCGAGCTTTGCGTTCAGTCCAACATCGAAAGGCCTGTCACGACTGTCCAGAGCTTCTCGAATGTCGGTCCGTACCGAGATCAATTGTTGTGCTTCTTTGTAGTGATGCTCCACGAGGTCCATTCGGTAAAAACACTGGGTTGGATTTGCGACTTCGGGTCGGCATACCATTCCTTCTGTAGATTGCTGTAACAGTCGGCAACATCCGAGTAATGCTTGGAATCCAGGTTAACCAAAATCTTGGCGAGGAACAAACTCGAACGACTGCAAGCGTTGCTGTGCAACTTTGAGGCGTTGGCTCGGATTTCCTCGTGGATGGAATGTAGCAGGGCGAGAACTTCGGATGCTTCATCGGCTTCGGGGAATTGCTTGGTCTTGTTGCAGGCTCCGAAGAATTGTTGCAATAAGCCGAAAGCCTTGTCCGAGATCTGCTTGCTGGTGGTTGTTCTAATGAGCGTGATCATTGGTAGAACCAAATCCAGAGTTAGTTTGTTAGAGTGCTCCTGCTTTGCAAAGATTGTCAAGAGGTCGAGAACACGGTTCTTAAAGTTGACAATGTTCTCCTTGGCGTCCTTGTTATNCCTTCTTTTGTTGCTTGTGTTCTTCTTGCGCTCTGTGAAGATGGTCGTGAGATGCCCTTCCAAGGCCATCATCTGATCGTCATCCATATCAGATTCATCGAAGTCTGAGTCGCCCTCGGTAGGTTTCTGAGTCTTCAATGCAAGAGCAAGTTTATTCTCGAAGTCTTCGAGATCAGCATCTTCGGCGTCCGCCTCTTCGTCTGAGTCATCCTCAGATGCACCAGACTCGGCGTCCTCGACGACTTCGACATCACTGTCTACTTCAACGTCGCTGTCGTCTTCGCCGTCGATCATCTCTACGTCAGATGCGTCTTCATCTGAGCCTGACTCACCATCTTCTTCGGCATCATCAGCTTGCTCGAAGAGCTCTTGCTGACCGCTGAGGTTTTCTGACTTGTCAAGTATGTCGAGCATTGATTGAAGACCCTCGGCATCAAGCTGTGAGGAGAAAGCCTCAAAGACTTGTTGAGCAATCTTACGGTAGACAGCAGAAGGCTTAGAGATGAAGCTGAGCAGGATCTCAACAAGCATGACAGAAGCATCTTCGCTCTTCTTCCATGACTGATAGCATAACTCCAAGTCTTCCAGAACAGGAACGACATCAGCCTCACCGTTGTAGACGAGCAATATAGACAGGGCGTACAAGGCCTTGAAAGCACGGAGAGGTGCTTTCTTGCTATCCTTCTGCTTTTGCTCAAGCTTTTTGAGGGCTTTCAAGGTCTTGTGAGCCTTTTCCAAGTTCTCTACGATTTCCTTATCGGCTTTGGTTCGCAGTCCGGTCTTGGATGCAGCATCAGTTGCCTTGACCTCTTCGACAACCTTCTCGAGGATGACAAAGTCTTTGTCCAGACGAGCAGACAGAATGTGGTTCAGGCAGGACAGGAGACGCGAGCGAAACATTTCTTGGCTTGCTTCAGACAATGGGGGAGATGCTTTTAGAGCACCAGCAGAAGCATCGGCATAGCCGAAGGGCACCATAGACAAGACAAGAGAAGCAACATTCTCGTTATCCTTACCTTCCTCGGGCTGTTGCTTACGAGCCATATTCAGCATCATATCAGCAAGAAGGCGGCGCTTGGTATCAGCCTGCGGCTGATCTTCGGCGTTTGGCCTAGCTGAGAGCTGTTGCANAAGGGTCAGAGCGTCAGCTGCGCTCTCGTCTTTAGCGCGAGCGAAGAGGTCCTCAGCCGTTTTGGACTTCGTCAAACGGTCAAAGTCCACAGCGCCGTTGCCTGATAACAAACCCTTCAGCATCACAGCAATGCTTTCTTGATCAGACTTTGAGCGAGTAACCATCTGTGATAGTGGACCCTTGGCTGCCTCGTGAAGGTATCGGTCTTGTCCGGCACGTTGGTTGATAATGCAGCGCATGGCGTTGGGACTGAACACAGCATGGAGCAGCTGAACTGGGGCAGTTGAGATTCCCATAGAGACGACCTGAAGTCCCAAAGATTTGCGTTCGGTACTGGCAGATGCGGCAAACAGTCCCTCTGCGAACAGGTCAGCTCAGTCGTTGAACACGGCAGTTGATCTGAATAGGGATGTCTTACGATCGACGGCTTCAAGCCAGAACTTCTCGAAGTCTGAGACTTTCTCTTCCAACTNTTTGCTGGGCTTGTGGCGCTTATAGAGTTGCGAGAGGATGATAGACCAGGCAAACGAGGGTGTGCTTTGTGCGGCACCAGTGCTGTTGCCAGCTGCACCATCCTCGTTTTGAGCGCCGTTATCACGCAGAATCTTTGCTACGGTACCTCTCTCCTTCGAAGAGAGAGGATCGTTGTGATTCCATACTCCCTTGGGTAGCTTGGCCTCTGGGAAAAGAGTAGAAGTGGTTAACCAGATGGCAAGACCTTCGGGAGTCTTGCTCAGCTTGAAGGGCTCAAGTCTCTGGACGAGCAAGTTGACGTATTCGAGGTCGAGGTCTTTGATCTGCGTAAGTGTAGCCAATGTCTCGTAGAGGGTCACGCCGCATTCTCTTCGCAGCCAAGTGGTTTCTGTTGCAAGCTTGAAGATGTGATCAAGAACCTTTTCCCATTCAGCTACAGAAACACCCTTTGCAAAGAGAAGTTGACTCTGAATGAGAGACTTGAAACCAAAGCATCGACCTGTGAGATGGTCTCTTCTTTCCTGCACAAGGTTAGTGCTGCGCCATGTGTGAACAACTTAGCATTATCGTACCTTGTTGTTGCTTTGCTCCTCGGGTTGAGTGATTGAGACGATCTTGTCGATGATAGCCGGAAGAGTCAAGTCTACACCCTCAACACCCGTGGTCGGAGATTGGGAGGTCAGCTTCAAAATCTCTATCAAAGCCACGGAAAATCCAGATCTCGCGGCTTTACGGCTGCTGCAGAGACCTCTGATTAGTCTAGTCAGGGACTTGTCCAGGGCTTCGGGATCGGCTTCTGCAAGGGTGCGTATCAAATCTGCTGCGGCCTTCAGTCTGGTTGCTTTTACATCGTCAGACAGATCGTTGTAAAGGGCAGCCAATTTAGCGTCGGCTACACCAAATTCAACACGTCGCTTGCGCGAGGGATGAGTCGTATCCTGGATTGTCTCATTTTCTGTAGTCTCGTCTCGGCGACGCTTTCCAGCCATGGTGGAGAGTGTTTGATGAGGATGTGTCAGCGTGTATGGAATGGCAGAGCAACGAAGACATGGCTTGGCCGAAAGAATTTCATGTCTGCGGAAGCTTTCACCCGGCCACGTGCAGATTCACAAGGATTTGGACCCTGAATAGCGTCGGATGCAAGCCCGCAAAGCTGGAGCACAGTGAGCTTATATTTTTGACATTTATCCACATTCCACATGCATGTACAACACAAGATCGATTAATGGTTTCTCCGCGATTGTGCCCACACTGCAGCCACTACTTTTCAATTTCAAATATACGAGCCACCAAACGCGAATCCATAGCAACGTTCTCCTGAAGATCGGAACGTGTGGGATGCAAGCCAGGCGTCGAGCTTGTGGTACACGGACGAGAGAGCTACCACACCATTGAAGCTGTATGCGTCCTCGTACACGCATCGCACGGCGCACTTGCTACCGCTAACTCAAGGGCCCAATTTCTTAAGCCCTGCGAGTCAAAAGTCCCACGCAATCCCATGCAGTGTGACGGCTAGACAAAATTCTGCTTGTTCCTCGGGTTTGAGTGAAACATCATGCTAAGAATTGAGCTTCCATGGGTCTCTTCTCCACTCCACCATCAAAAGTCAGGGTACGGGCCTTCGCGCATGATACTATGATCCTCATCAAGACCGGGGAGAAGCAATACATGCATTGGTGTCTTGTCGTCGCCGTGCCATCCGGCTGAATGGATGCGCTGAACAACGTCTACCTTGGTATCTTCACAGAACCTCAACGACCATGACGAATGAGGCAGCATGTTTGAGTCGAGGGTTTCATGGGCCGCCGCAGGAGTGCAGATAGGTATCGTGACAAGAATCGATAGTGATGTTGATCGTTTGATTGTTGAGCCTATCAATTAGTGGCGCCATTGTGGTTGAGATTTTTGTGTGTAGAGATGTGGCCGTTCATCGATGCGTGATATGTAAAATTTGGCTGCGATAGCCGTTGCTGTGAAAGGAGTGCAAGCTACATGCTGCTTTAAGCTGGGGAAGTGCTGTTATATGACCGGTACAACGACATACAATGCATCTGGCATACTTTGAGTTCAAGAAGCCGTTAGCAAATCAATCCCAAGGAAGCCTCCCGGTCAGCACCATAAGTTTCACTTCTCAAATGCCCCATCCGACCCACATGCTTCCTTTTCTTTTTCCAATATTGAGGAAGGTCTGTTCTCCGCCGAGCAGCATCTACTGCAATCTAGACGATTGTGGTACGACGGTCTTGGTGCGGAGCGAACATGGGTCAAAGACAGATCACCATCTGCTGAGCGAAAAAAAACTTACGCGGGCCGGCGTCGAGTAAGCAGCGACAGCAAAGGCAAAGAGAAGCGAACAAAGCAAAAGCAGTGGCTGTTCGCTAGGAAACGCCAATGTACAAGAATTGAAGAGTGTGGAGGAGCAAAAAGAACGGCTCAATATCATCGATGCAAACGGGCGATATGCTTGGATAGATATATGGATAGGGACAACAGCCCTATACAGAGGACAAAGTAAGAATAGCATATCACGTGCAATGGCATATCAGGTATTAGCCAGTATCCGCACCGGCGGATCTGTCACTAACTTTGTTTATCACGCACACGATGACCAACCCTGACCTCCACAAATCTGTGTACAGCCTGTAGCGCGCATATGGGGTGGATACACGATCAAGCCATACCCGAGTCCTAGGGAATAGTCGAGAGGTGACACGACGATTGAGCTGCAGCTGAGCAAGCCATGAAAGCTATTTTCTCGCAAGGGACTGAAGCTCGGGGATCGCGAGTCTGCGACACGATAGGGAAGCCCGTGATTCTAGTCAGAGAAATCTCTGGCTCCGGCGACGGTCTACGGCAAAGCCGCATGTCAGTGTCCTTCAGGGCGTTCGTCGGTGCTTACCAAACGCATCGTTGCAACGGAGACCAGTCATTAGTCGCGATATTGTGCTTCAGGATATTAAAGCAGAATTTGCAAGAAAATCATCATCTACGGCGTGTTGTGTTTACTGCTGCAAATAAGATGGCAACCAATCCCACAACATCAGGCAAGCGCAGCATGTATGATGCAGCAGGCAGGTTAAGCTGTGATGGACGGCACAAGAGTGACGTCGCATGCATCACATCAATCGTGTCGTTCGCGGAGAATCTGCGATTGGAGACAAGTGATGCACACGTCGGAGTTGAAGGGAGCTTGCGAAGCCACGCGAGCGCAGCACGCAAATGGCAGCTTGAGAATCCACTTTTGGTTGTCTGCGAAACGCCGTTAAAGACGGGCGGCCGTGCGAGTACCAGTTTCAACCAGAAAGAAGAATGCGCCAAAGGCGGACGCCAGAGGATCGACTAGCCTGATCGTACTTAGCCAACCAGCGAACGTGGTCAGTCATCCGCACGTATTCTTGTTCCTTGCGGAGAACCACCCATGACGCCAGGTGGATATATGAAGAGCAGGGTCTACACAATATTGTTATGTCGGATCAAGGCGTGATGTTGACGTATTCGCAACTTAACGATAAGATACCAAGGCATGCCAGGGCCAAAAAAGCTGGCCACGGCAAGGAAACCGATGTCAAAAGACGAAACGACAATGGGATTGTTCCTTTGAGTTTGATGTTCGTATGCTGCGGCAAGGAGGAGCAGCGAGTGGGTAGTAGGATGCGAGGACTGATTGATTGACAGAGATGCAGATGCCCTGTGAAGCAAATGGTGACACAAAATAGAAGCTGCATCTATTCCCGACTGGGTGGAGTTGCGACGGACGATGCTTGGTCTGTGGGACGGACGGCTTCGGCGGGCGGCGGCCCTTGTCAGCGTCGAGCAAACCTTTGACAATCTACCGAGCAACGAGACAATAATCTGCGTTGGATGGTGTCGCGTTTCTTTGGCGTCGTCCGTCTGGACGGAGCGTGTGCATCAGTGCGGTGGGTATGTGGATGTAGATGAGTGGAACGGCGGTACGAAGCCTGCAACCAGGGCAACTCTGATATTTGTGCACATGTCGAGCATAGTGTTGAGGACTTTACCCCTCCCAGTGATGCATGCAACCTACCAGACGGGACAGGATACTTGGAAGCAGCAAAAATGTGGGCTTGATCGAGCATAGGTTAGATCGCAGCAGACAAGGCTCGACAAGGCTCAGTTCCTGCCGGGGATGGGCAACATGTATCGACGATGGACGACGATTCACATAGAGTTTCTCAAATGCTATGCATGATCAGCTGCGCTGCAGTCGCGGGTGCGGCATATGATTTGTCCAACGGGAGGGCCGTTGCTCTGCGCGCTTGTCATGGCGTTCGGATTTGGCTAGGGCATGCTTGATGGATTCAGTCTCGCTAAACTGGGGCCCGGGTCTGCGAGTGTGACAGGGCGAGCGTTCAGAGTTCGTGGGGCTGTCCATGCTGGACTCAGCGGCCGCTGGTGCTGGTGCTGGTGCTGGTGCTTTGCGAGTTGCTGGTCGTGCGTTCCTTGCCTTGGTTGGATTCTTGGCCTGGCCTGCCTGAGCTTGCTGCGAGGTGCAATCTCCATGCCAACGCTCTTCCTTGCCGTAAGCCTTCTTTTATCAAGCCGCGCCCGCTCCAAGCTCCTCCTGCTCCCTCAGAGAAGGCAGTTGAGCCGTAGTCATCCCACCGTTGCTGTTGCTAGGATTGTGCACTCGCATTGTGAAGCATCAAAAGGAACATTCATCTCCATTTCCATCAACATCACCCACGCCAGCATTTGCATCTCATCACCCACGCCAATCCCACTCTCGGCCAATCACCGCCCGCCATTCCGCTCCACCATCCAGCATTGAATATAGCTATACCATCGATCAACTCCCACTCCCAGGATCATCAGCAGCCCAGCAGCCATATCTATGCAGTCCTGCCTTCAGTCACATAGTCCATCATCCGCCCAGCAGTGACCATATCGACATCGACTAAACCACTGGATATCTTAATCGACCACATCCCTCACTACTACCACTAGCAAACCACTATCTATCACAATGTCCATGATGGAGTTCTCATCTCCCCTGGCCGCAATGCATCCGCCGCCGTGCCCACCATGGGGCAACCGCCGCGACCTGCCAGCATCGAGATCCATGTACCAGTCGCAGACAGTCGGACCTAACAGCTTCAACTTCAAGGAATTGAGCATGAAGAAGACGACTCCCGACTACTTCACAATGCGTCCCGCACATGGCTCGTCGCCCACAGCGAGTCTCGCAGCAGACCTGTCGTCCAACTTCCACATTGATCAGAGGTATGCACCACATTCCGCACCGGTCTAGACCAGAGTGCCCAAAGCTTACAATCCANNCAGCCCGCAGATTCCTACCCCCAGACGCTCATTGTTCAACCAAAACCTCTTCCTGCCCCGTGACAGATCAGAGCAGCTCGCAACCCCGCCGCTCATCGAGTACGACGGCCTCTGCACCCCTCCCGTCCCCATGTCGTCGCCCGGTGACATGATGGACATTTCACCCCTTCCTCACAAGCAGCCCTGCTTCGTCGCTCACGTCACCCTCCCCTCGCCCTCGCCCGAACCTGTCAACGACGACGACGATGACATGCTCTCGTGCCAGGAGGCTCTTTCGCTTCCCATGCCTGAGAAGCCTTCGCCCATGCCTCTCCCCGAGCGCAAGAAGTCGTCCTTCCTCAGACCTTCCCTGGTTAGATCCAAGGGCCACTCATACTCGACCACATCAGTCCCCACACAAGAACACAAGCTCCCCACATTCAAGTTCGGTGGTGCCGGCCTCAGCTGCACCTCGAGTCCTTCATCAGATTGCGAGTCATCGCCTTCAAAGTCATATCTTGTCCCTCCCTCTCGTCGCACTTCGCTCTGTCGCAACAACGGCTCTCCTCTGGGTTCGCAAGTCCGCAAGTCCGCCGCCGTCCGCCCTCCTCCTAGAAAGCAGGTGCGCCGTTCGCTTAGCATGTTCCAGCACCCCGACGATGTCATCAATGGCCAGCAGGACGACTACTCACATATCAACTCGTCTCCTTCTGTCTCCATGGACCTCGACGAGCCCTACAAACAAAAGCTTCCTCACTTCTTCAACGAGGAAGAGCCCGACAGCCTCCCCCGTGTCAAGCAGGACACTCTCATCAATGTCCTCAATGGCGACTACAACTCTCACTACGACAAGATCTTGATCGTTGACTGCCGTTTCGAGTACGAATACAATGGTGGCCACATCAACGGTGCCGTCAACTACAACGACAAGGACAAGCTGACCACCGACTTGTTCGAACACGGCGGTGTCACTCCCAACACTCTCTTGATCCTCCACTGCGAATACTCCGAGCTCCGTGCCCCTCGCATGGCCAAGTTCATTCGCAACCGTGACCGTGCCGTCAACGACTTCCAATACCCCAAGCTCACCTTCCCTGAGATGTACATTCTTGAAGGCGGCTACAGCAAGTTCTTTGCTAGCCACCGTACCAAGTGCTTCCCTCAAAGCTACGTTGAGATGCACCACAAGGACCACGAGCAGGAGTGCGAAAAGGGCATGGGCAAGCTCAAGCAGCGCGCAAAGCTCAACCGTGCTCAGACTTTTGCCTTTGGCCAACAGTGCAACATGGAGGACAGTCCTACCTCCGGTAACCGCATGGGCCCTCGTAGTCTCAGCACCATCGGCATCTTTGACGCCAGCCCAGACAACTCCCCTCTGAGCCACAATCTTGTGCGTCGTCTTGCTTCGTACTAAAGCCAGCACTCACATCTTTTCCATCATTGTTTCTCCTTGATGTTTACAATCTCCTTGCATGCATGGCGTTCCGGCTGGATTGCATCACAATCATCCTTTGTTTTATCATCTGCGGCGTTCGAGCGAATCTTGTTTCTCATGGCGCAAAACCTCATCAGCATCACAATGTTTTTAGACATTGATTGGACGGAAACTTCATGGCGGTGTTTTTTCTTACTTTTGGGGTTTCCCAAATATGGTCGGCCACATTTCTGTTTCGTATGTCAATATTGCGCGGATACCCTTCTCTGAGCTAGAGGCAGACCTCGCTCTTAGATGTTCTTTTCTTCTTTTCCAGCTACAATTTTTCTACCTTTTGCCCAAAGCAGGCATTCTTCTCCTTCATCCTCTTTTATTTGTCTCCTTTGTTCATCATCACAGACAAGGCATTGGGCGGTCATCGTCACAGTTTCCTATGTTATACAAAACTGTTTTTGTTTCTCCTATGTTTCTACACACTCGAGATTACAATTCAAGCATAGCCTATTGAACAAGAATTCGAAATTCTTCATACATTCAAACCAACGAGCCAGTTTTGTGTTCTCCATCTGTGATATGTTACTGGCTAGAGTATAATGCATGACCACATGATGTTCGATGGTCTTGAGGCTGACTTCAGATAATTGAACGAGTGGTAAGAGTGTGAGAAGTATCGTTGGGAGGTTTACCTGTGTGCCAGTGTGGTGGACTAGTCGATGACTTCATCTCTTGGTTTACATCGTTTCCAGCACAATGCCTACTGATGCATTGTAAGGCCTACTCCAACACACACACCCACTTGCAACCCACAGAAGAAGCCACTGCTAAACCAACAGCTATCTGAAAGACAATATCAAAAACTCGCATATCTCACCTTTTCACGCAAGTAAATCAAAGCATTCTGATATATAAAGTCAGTACATCAACACACAACACCAACCATCAAGGTCTAAACAAAACCCTGCATCTTACCCACCTGTTGTCAAGTTAAGCATAAAAGAACCCAAGACAGATCTTAGATGTGTCTACGGGCCGTGAACTGTATCTGTCTATATCTCCTAGAACAAAAGAACAAAAAAAGCAACAAGGTGGGTGTCTGTCTAGGAAGGGTGGAAGCAAAAAGCATGGTGTCAGGGTTAGGGGAACAGCAACCCTTGAATCGAAGGCTGGGAGATGCATCGGTGCATTAGACTGCAGAAGGGATATGCCTATGCATCGAGGATATCGCACAGCATCGAAATAACATCTCTTTGTGCCGTGTTTATTGACTTTGGAGATTTGTGGATACAACATGTGTGATGCAGGTTCTTGGGAGCAAGCGGGTGGTAGTTCGCATATCGCGGCATACGAAGCCAGCCATGCATCGGGTATACAGATCGGTCGATGCATTGCCGATGTACCTTCGATGCACAAAACCACGATTGCGATGGTTTGCCACCACACTAGAGTAAAACCTCACGTTCTTGAGATTACTCCGAAGTAGTAGGATCTGGGAAACCTTGGTTTATTGGGGTGATTGCTTTCTTGGTCGTGATGCCGTTTGAGGATGTATTGTTGGGGATTGATTAATGGTGCTGCGCAATTGCTTGCTCTGCTTTTTGATCTATTCTAGACATTTGGATGTAAGGGGGAAACGTAAGACATGCAAAATCTATATTATCGTACAGTCGAATCTCGTTCTATTACCTCAATCTTCCTGAGTCCTGACCAGTGTGCCTGATTCTGCGTGAAGGATGATACGTGACGAACGCTCATCTAACCTTCCCAGATTCGACATTCTCAAACACCTGTCCAAACAGCTTCATCCATGCCTTCTGTCTCTCAGCCACAACTGCTCGTCCAGGCTGTTTGAACTCCCCTCGCCAAAAACTCTTTGATCTTTGTTCTGAGCATCTTGACTGCAAAACAGGTGCGCCAGGAGTTGACCTTGAAGCGCAAGCGGTTGCCATCGATGACCACCACGCCAGCATACAAGTCGAATTTTGCGTCGCCGGCAAGCAAAGTCAACACGAAAGGATCCACAGGTGCGGTTTCCTGGGCGTTGGTGAAACGACTGTTGGACTGCATGATGCTGTAGAAGGAGAGGTAGGATGGCGGTGTCAGTGCTGGAGACAGTTTGTTGACGCTCTGCGGGTGTAGAGACAAGGACTGCGAATTTGCTACATTGCGCCAGCCTTTGCCTTCGCGCACGGCGAGCTTGGGATAGAAACTCCATGCCGTTACTGCATTCAGCAGGGCATCATTGGCGTCGAAAGTGTTGTGTGAGGCTGGCACTGTGACGAAAGATCTAGGACCTCTGCCGCTGTTGCGGACGCGAGAGAGTGCAGCACGTTGGCCAGACTCCAAGGATACAAAACCTGCATCCGAAAGAGAAGCTAGAAGTTGTGACTTGAGATCTTCAATGTTGCCGAGGTTGATGGGGAGAGGAAGTTCTTGCGGCAGAATTGCTGCTCGGAGATTCCTGGTGTAGTGCAGGCTTTGCGCCATGCACAGTATGCGTTGTATGCTGTGAGTAGATCTGAGTTGCCGCGTTTGGAAGCCTAGGCGTACAGTATCGGCTTGCTTTTTGGCCCCCATAGGTGCTACGAAAGGAGTCTTGGATGAGAGAGTTGCTGCAACACTGAGAGCGAAGTCGAGACATCCGAAGACTGAGGATAACAAGATGAGTTTACCGAGTTGAGCATCAAGCGGAAGTTTGGCAAGTTGGTTTCCCAGTGGCGTCAATTCCTCCGATGAAGTCAAGGCACCGACATCAATGAGTGCATCAATAGCACGGCGGATGTTTTTCAACAAGGGAGGATCAAGTGCTTGCGACAATGCTTGCTCGATATCGCCGAGCTTACAGATCTTCACACGCATGACGAGATCTTGGAGTGACAAGCGCAGCATCTCGGGTGTCTGTTGCGGTGCCATAATCTCATCATGCCGGTACTTGGTGAAGAGGTGGAAGCAGACACCCTCCTGCACACGACCAGCACGTCCACGACGTTGCTTCGCGTTGGCACGAGAGATAAAAGATTGAATGAGACGCGAAAGTTGTCGACGCTCATCGAAGCGCATCTCTTTATGCTTTCCAGTGTCGATCACGGCTGTCACATCAGGGATGGTGATACCAGTTTCGGCGATGTTGGTAGCCAACACAATCTTTCTCATACCTGGAGGAGGTACCTGGAAAGCAGCTTGCTGTTCTTCGCTCGAGAAAGTCGAGTGCAGAGGGTAGACCAGCCACCCCTTCGAGAAGGCAGGATGGCCGCCAAGAAAATCATTCAATGATCTAATCTCTGCAAGACCTGGAAGGAATACCAGGATGGCCTGACTAAATTGTGTATATGATGGTTCGTAAGCAATTTTTCCAAGAGCTTTACAATCAATGTGTAGTCAATAGCGTATTCATCGTAGCCGGCAAGTGTTCTGACAGTCTTTGGACTGTATCCTGTAAGTTGCTTGGCTGCTGCAATCGTTGCCTCTGAAGAACCTGTTTCAACGTCGTCCTCATCTGCATCAGCGGTCTTTGGCGAACCGTCTTCGATGGTATGTCCGGTCAACTCGATAGCGTCTTCGAGATACTTGGCTGCGACTGGGAATGTACGACCCGGTACTGTGACAATCGGTGCGCCATCGAGATAGCTTGAGAACCTCTGAGCGTCGACTGTAGCACTCATCAAGACCACTTTCAAGTCTGGCCGGCGGATCATCAAGGCCCTCAAAACAATCAACAAAAAGTCAGTGTCGATGCTGCGCTCATGAATTTCGTCAATGACCAGATGTGTGACCTCATCGAAACCTTTGGTGGACTCCAACATACGAAGCACAATACCAACAGTTGCGTACACAAGACGAGTTTGCGCTGTAGTCATCGATTCCAAACGAATAGCGTAACCGACGAGCGAACGGGCAGTACCAACTGCCTTCTTGTCTTCTCCCATCTCTTCGCTGACACGTTGAGCCAGTGAGATAGCCGAGATACGCCTTGGCTCTGTACAGTAGATCTTGCAAGGTCGACCGAGAGACAGCTCGTGTTCAAGAATGAAGGCAGGCATCTGGGTACTTTTACCGCATCCAGTCTCACCACAAAGGATGGTGACCTGATTCTTCTCCACGGCGTCAAGCGCGATGTCTCGGAACTGGAACATGGGAAGATTAGATCGAGCTATGAGCATCTGTTGATAAGCAGGCGTGGAAGTCTTGCGCGCCCACATGTCTCGGAGTGCTTGGGACTCTTCAACCTTCGCCATCTTCTCAGCCTTATCACCAACAGGAGTGGAGACGCCGCTCATTCCCTTGTTACGGTTTCTGAAGCCAGCGGTGAGTATGACATCTTCGTCTCCGTCATCTTCGGTCTGACCCTTGACTAATTCTTTTAGAGACTTGACTGTCTCGCGGTCAGCATTGTCACGCTTCTCCTGACGAGCATCAACAAGCTCTTGCCAGAGGTCCCTGAATGTAGGAGGCAGACGCAATGCAGATTTCTCCTCCTTTGGGGAGTTTGAGAACAACAAGAAAAGGGCAACCGTGGACACATAGCCTTCGCTCTGGAGTGTTTCTGGACAAGCGATCTTGGTCATGGTGACGACCGTCCTCCGATCACTCGAGGCGACTGTGACGTCCGGTGTGAATGAGCCATCAATGATGTCCTGGTCTTTCGACCATTGGACGGTGACGGAATGGCGACTGTTGTATGTTGTGGCGGATACCATTTTGTAAGAGACCTTCGCCCCTGAATCTCGTGATCGACAAGCCTCTTCAAAGGTTCTTCGAGGGTTGATACCTGTGATCTTTCCGAAGTTGCGGACTGTTAGATCGGAACCCACGTTATCAGCTTGTCCTGAGGCAGCGTCATTCGAGGCGCCCTCAGTGGCCTCGCCGAACATGCCTCCAAGCATCTCGTCGTCTTCGCCCATCTCATCCAGAAGTTGTTGTGCGGCCGCCTCAGCCTCAGCCATGACATCGTCAGTCGCACTTTCTCTCGGTGGTGGGTTGTTTGAACCTTCGTCGGACTCTTTCTTCTCCTTAGCTTCTCCTGACAAGTTGAATCTTTTCCTTTCAGTCTGGTTCTGGAGTAGCTGATTCCTTTCTTCAATCCACCTCATATCGGCAAGACCTTTATCGAACAGTACATCTGACTCGATACTTTTGAGTCTCTGCTGGAGCTTGGTCTCTCCTGGCGTAGTCTTTTGTGGGCTCGGCGTTGTCTTTCCCTTTTGGGATTTAGATTTTTGGTCGGATCGTTGATAAGAGATGGGTTGCGTTCATAGAGACGTAGTTTCGTGCGGAGATATGTAGAGAGCATCTCGTCGGGGTCAAGGTCGCTCTCAACGTCACTGACTTCGACATCATCGACAACAGTGGGGGTATCGGTAGGTTGTTGAACAGGATTCGTGGGTGTAGGTTTGTTCGCTGTTCGCTGTCCTGAAGGACCTGAGGGTGTAGCGGACTCTGATGGGTCGTTTTCTAGGGCAATCAGAGAAAGTTCGGTGATGTGCAGAGTAAAAGAGAGCAAAGACACAAGACTTACCTTCGTCAAATTGGACATTAGAGATTTGAGGCTTAGGCTTAACGGCATCATAATCAAGCAATTGACCAGGCTCACTATGCAATGCAAGCCAATCCAAGGCCTCTGAAAGGCCCCAGATCAGACCAGCATTGTCTTCAGACGGAGGACTGACGAGGATGTGTTGAAGCACTTTACGCACTTGATTCTCGTCAACGTCTAGATCAGCAAGAGTAATACTAAGTTGCCACACTTTGGAGAGCAATTCATCTTGAGAGAGACGCTTATTTGCAGGAGTAGAAGATGGAGTAGAGGTAGACGAGGTCTCATCTAAAGCAAGATCAATGATCTGTTGCATCAATTCCTCAGGTAACCATTCTCGTATGTTGAGCAGGTCGGCTTGACCACGCAAGACGCGACGGTCTGTCTTTAGGCGAGTAACCTGACGCGCCGATTCCTTGCGCACTTTCGGGCCTTGTTGCTCGATGAAGGATTGTAGTTCGGACAACTCCAGTCGAGCTTCGAGCTCTTCCGGGCTCAGCTCATGCAGTTCTCTGTCTGCTGGAGTTTTGTTGTTGTTCGACGCCTGCTGTTCTTGACCCTGTGCTTGTTGACCGGGCTGCGGCGATTTTTCAGCAGCGGCAGGCGTAGACACACTCGATTGTTTCTCGGATGGCTCGTTGCTCGCGTCGGCGTCTTTCTTCTCTGGTTTCGGTTTACTGGCGATGGAGGTTGTGGCGAAACCGCGAGCTGGATTGGAAGCGACCTTCTTCTTGCCCTTCTTGGCCACCATAATTGCGAGTCCAAAAAAAAGAAAGCGGAAAAGGAGTGAGATTGTTGGACGTGTTTTTGGAAGGAGCGATGGATAAATTCGCGAATGAATGATGCCCGCAATTGCATGTGACGACAGTCGCGCACAGACGTTCTCTCCGGTGTCGATGTGCAGGGCTTCGGTGTTGGAGGTCGCGAAAAACTGCCCGTCTTCAAGTCTATCGCAACTGTCATTTGTATTGAAGGAATTCAGCATATGAGTCTGCGGCGTTTTGAATAGCGCATCGCACACCATGGCAGACGCCGAAATCAATGGAGAGCAAACGCTGGACGCAGGTCGTCTGCGCCAGGTTGCCCTCTCCAGCTCCACCAAGAGGCGCTCTGCGGAGCTGCTCTCTTTGCACGACAAGATTGTGAGCNNAAAGGTGTGTGCTACCCATGTGCTCTTTCCTCGTTACTGGTCACTTCTCTGACCATCCAATATAGAATACCCTCTCGAACAATTACCCAACCTTCTCAATCTCCTCTTCGACACATACCCTCTCTATATCGACACACAATCGCGACAGGCTGTGGAATTGTGCCTCGTTGCCATCTTCTCTACCCCCGAAACCGACGCCCACGTGTCTAGCTTCATCGCTGCTGTCGAGAACGAAACCAAGAAGCCTAGTCTGGCTCCTGCCAACGCATTTGTCTTGATCCGCTGGTGTGCTCTGTTCCTCCAACAATTCGCTCTTCAAAAGTCTCTCTGGGATACCTGGGGTCTCAAGATTGTTCAGGCTCTGGTCCGCGCTACAAACACCTTCGAGACTTCCAACCCTCGTCACAGTACCCACCAGACCGTCCTCCGCGTTACCCGCCGTGGCTTCAGAAAGCTTTTCAGTTGTGATTTTGGAGAGGATGCCTTGAACCAGTCGATTACTGCCCTCACCACGAAGGCTGCTGCGCCTGCCCCTCAAAATGCTCTGGTTCTTGGAGTGATCGCTGGAGTCAGTGCCCGTCTGCCCAAGCGCAGTGCCTCATTTGAGGCTAGAAAGTCTGATTACAATGCTTTCTTCCTTCGTGAATTCATCGGATCCCGAACTGTTCTCCCTCAGTTCATCGCAAACTCTTTGGTTGATTATTTCAACTCTTTCATCAATCTGGAGGATTTGAAGAAGGAAATCATACCCGCCATCGAAAAGGCACTTTTGAGAGCCCCTGAGATTGTCTTGAATGATCTTGTTACCCCCATGATTGAGGCCCTACCCAAGGATCTCGACCTTTCCGAAATTCTTGCAAACAACCTTCTGAAGCCTCTTGTCTCAAGTGCAAAGTCCAGCAACGCTACTATCCGCGCAGGTGCTCTGAGAACTTTCGCTGCAACTGCTCGCCGCTCGCAAGACGACAAGCTTATCGAGAAAGTGTTGGGTGAGATTCTAACTCCTCTGAAAACTGGAAAGGTACCTTCGGCCGACCAGAAGATCATCTTCGCACAAATGCTCGCGGCGTTGAACAGCTCAGAAGCTCTGGCTGCCTCGATACCCCAGGGTCTTGCGCCAGTTGCAGCAAAGGAACCTAATGAGGCAGCTGCAAGTGCCGAGATCGCTGCAGTTTCTAAGCATTTGAAATTCGGCCTTGAAAAGGGCGTAGCTGTAAATGCTGCAACCATTGATGCTTATACAAAAGGTGTTGCTGAGAAGCGACTTCCTTTCCGCAAGTTGTGGACTCTAAGTATCGCCGAGATTGTTTGGTCGCTTGAGGGTGATGTTTCAAAACAGCCTGAAGTCGCAACTATAATCGATGCAGTGATTGGCAAGATGATCGATTCCTTCAACGAGGTAGTTGCTAACCCCATCTCTGCTACTCAAAATGGACAAGTCACTCTTGCTTGTGCTGTCACTGCTTTGTCGTTAGCAAAGGTTCCCCAGCTTGCAGAGTTGAAGAATGCATCCGTTGTGAAGAAAGCCTCGCTCCTGGATCGCGCCATCGCCCTCGAACCCAAACCTTCTTTCCTCCTAAATACCCGCGTCTATACTAAACTTACTTCTCATGAAGACTTGGTCTGGTTGACAAGAGCACTTGCCGCAACTAGCTCTGGTATCGCTTCTTCGAGCCCTGCAATCCAGGATGCCTGGGCCCAGACATTCATCTACCTCATTGTGGCCTCTGGCCTACCAGCCACTGCCCGTTCCGAGACAATCACTTCATTAAGATCTGCTTATTTGGCTCAGCCTGAGGCAGTCGGAAAGACCATCACTCAGGCCCTAGCTCACTGGTCTGCGGACGTTGAGCTGGAAAGCAAGGAAAGTGCCGCTCTACTTGCAAAGACCGGCAGACACGAACTTCACAAAATCATTCGATGCATCTGCTTGACCAAGGAAGAAACCGCTGCTGGACAAGCCACGATTGAGCAGAGTGTTTTGGATAATCAATTGATCGACTTGCTCGTCTTGTGTCGACCGGAATTGATGCCTAGATCCTCATGGATCGAGGCATGTCTCAGGACAGGCACCGATCCTGGCGAGCTTGTCAAGAGAAACACTTCAAAGTGTATGGACCAGATCGTTCGTGTGTCCGAAGACAAATTGCTTTCTACGATTCCTGCATTCCAACTTGCTGCCTTCCAAGCGACCGCGGACTTGGTGTTCGTGGCTCCTGAGGAATTGACACCTGTTGTCTTAAACCAGATCTGTGATGACTTGGATCCTAAACTGCTCCAGGACGTTGGTCCCACTGAGGCTGCCATCTTCCGCACACCTGAAGGTACCGCCTTCATCGATGTGCTCGCAAAACAGACACAAGCACAAGCCCCCAGCAAGAACAGCAAGGACTACGATACGTACAAATGGGAGCAAGAACTCAGAGATCAACTCGCCCAGAAGAAGGGTACCACGAAGAAGTTGACTGCTGACGAGCAAGCCAAGGTGAATGCTCAGCTTGCAAAGGAAGCCGAGATTCGTGGCAATGTCACAACAGTAGTAGCCAAATTGAGAAGAGGTATTGGCATGGTTACTGGTCTTGTTACTGGACCACCGACAGAAGCCGCTGACTGGTTCACTGTAACCACAGCGCGCTTGTTTGAGGTTATCAATGCCGGAGCAGGTCTCATCCTCGGTGACGCTGCTGTCCTTGCTTACCTCGAGTGTGCGCAGAAGACTTCTTCTCGTTTGGGTCCTATGCGCTCATTTGTAGGTGTTGCAGCATTGAGAGCTGCTGGCCTGACCACTCTACCAGTAGCCATGCAGGAAGAACCCCTCGGTGACTTGATCACTCGTGTACTCTACCGCCTGCGATTCTTGGGTGAACAAAGACCTCTTGACGCTGTCACCTTGAGTTACTGCCTTCCCCTCGCTTTCTTGGTCCTAGAACAGGGCGGTGTAGGCAAGTCTGAGGAAGAGGAGGCTCAGGAACAAATCATTCTTGCCGCTGAATTCCTTAGTTTCCACGCTGAGACCTGTGGCGAACCGCGCTTGGCTCGCAAGGAAGTTTTGTCCGTCTTGGTTGCCTCGCTCCAAGCTTACCAACAGCACTTCCGTCTGTTCAAGGACTGCTTCTCTGATATCTGCAGAAGTGTTGCACCAAACGCTACCGAAGCCGAAACCGATGTGGTAGTCAAGGCCACCATTGTGCCCGAAGCATCTGTGCGCGAAGTAGCTTTGCAGGTCATCAGCGCTGAATTTGAGCTCTCCGGCAAAGACTTCTATGATGAGATTTTCCTCGCTACACACGATGATGTTGAGGAAAACGTCGAACTGGCACACGAGATCTGGGTTGAGAACGAGCTCAAGACATCTCCGGAATCAGCCGACACTATTATCAAGTACCTGACTTCGCATGATATCCAGCTTCGTCGTGCTGCTGCACGTTCGTTGGCAGCACTCGTGCAGGAGCACTCAAATATCTCAGACAGCGTCATCTCTCGCCTGCAAGATACATACAAGGAAGATGCCAAGCCGAGAGCACCCCAGCGCGACAAGTATGGCATGCCCATTAAGATGGACTTGTCTGATCCTTGGCAATCAAGACAGGGTATCGCCCTTGCTTTCAACCAACTTACCTCAACCTATAACAGTGAACAACTTGTGCCCCTGATGCAATTCATGGTCGCAGATGGTCCTTTGGGAGACAAGAGCGTGAATGTTCGCGATTCCATGCTTGATGCCGCAACTGCCATTATCGCCGCCAAGGGCAATCTGCAGGTCGAAACTCTGATGGAGTTGTTCGAGACTACACTTGAAGGAGGCTCCGGATCATCGACTCAGGATGCAGTCAACGAGGCCGTTGTTATCTTGTACGGTGCCCTTGCTCGTCACTTGAAGGCTGGTGACAGCAGAGTACCTAAGGTTGTCCAACGTCTCCTAACAACACTCAACACCCCATCCGAATCTGTTCAATATGCCGTCGCCCAGTGCCTGCCTCCCTTGGTCCAGGCCTCGAGCAAAGAGGCTGGGCAATATGTCCAGCAGATGATGGATACCATGCTTACGTCCAAGAAGTACGCTGCCAAGAGAGGTGCAGCTTATGGTCTGGCTGGTATCGTCAAGGGTAGAGGCGTTTCTGCTCTTCGCGAATTCCGTATCATGTCGAACTTGGTCAGCGCTACGGAAGAGAAGAAGGATCCCTACAAGCGCCAAGGTGCTTTCCTCGCCTACGAACTCATGTCCCTCATTCTGGGCCGTGTCTTCGAGCCATACGTCATTCAAATTGTGCCTCAGCTCTTGTCTGGCTTTGGTGATGCCACCACTGATGTCCGTGAAGCATGTCTAGATGCTGCCAAGACATGTTTCGCTAGTTTGAGTTCTTACGGTGTCAAGCAAGTTCTTCCTACTCTGCTCGAGGGTCTTGATGAGCAGCAATGGAGAAGTAAGAAGGGTGCCTGCGACTCCCTTGGTGCCATGGCGTACCTGGATCCAGAGCAATTGGCTGTCAGCTTGCCTGAAATCATTCCCCCGTTGACCGAGGTTTTGAACGACAGTCACAAGGAAGTCAGAGCATCTGCCAACCGCAGTCTGCAACGCTTCGGTGATGTTATTAGCAACCCTGAGATCAAGAGTCAGGTCGACATCATCCTGAAGGCTTTGAGTGACCCTACCAAGTACACCGACGACGCTTTGGATGCTCTGATCAAGGTCAACTTTATTCATTATCTCGATGCTCCATCACTGGCGCTGGTTGTTCGCGTCCTGGAGCGTGGTCTAGGCGATCGCTCTGCAACAAAGAGAAAGGCTTCCCAAATCATTGGTAGTCTGGCTCATCTTACTGAACGCAAGGATCTCATTACCCATCTGCCTATCTTGGTTGCTGGTCTCAGAGTCGCTATCGTCGATCCTGTTCCTACAACTCGTGCTACTGCTTCAAAGGCTCTTGGTTCAACTGTCGAGAAGCTTGGTGAGGATGCTATGCCGGATCTTATCCCCAGTCTTATGGCTACCCTCAAGTCAGATACTGGTGCTGGTGACAGACTTGGTTCTGCTCAGGCTCTCAGTGAGGTCCTTGCCGGTCTTGGTACCAGTCGTCTTGAAGAGACTCTGCCAACTATCCTGCAGAACATTTCAAGCTCCAAGCCCGCAGTCCGCGAAGGTTTCATGTCTCTATTCATTTACCTGCCTGCATGTTTCGGTAACAGCTTCTCCAACTACCTGTCCAAGATCATTCCTCCGATCTTGTCTGGCCTTGCTGACGATGTTGACACCATTCGCGAGACTGCTCTGCGTGCCGGTAGACTGTTGGTCAAGAACTTCGCCACTCGCGCCATTGACTTGCTGCTTCCAGAACTCGAACGTGGTCTGGCGGATGACAGCTACCGTATCCGTCTCAGTTCCGTCGAGCTGGTCGGTGATCTCCTCTTCAACCTCTCTGGTATTAGTGGATCCGCAGAGCAAGAAGAGGCCGAGGAAGGTGCCAATGAAGCAGGTCAATCCCTCCTCGAGGTTCTTGGAGAGGAGAAGCGCAACAAGGTTCTGTCTGCATTGTACATCTGCCGCTGCGATACTTCTGGCCTTGTGCGTACCGCATCCATCAACGTCTGGAAAGCACTTGTCGCCTCGCCTCGTACTCTTCGCGAGCTTATCCCTACGCTCACCCAACTCCTTATTCACCGCCTTGCAAGTCCCAATATGGAACAGAAAGAAATTGCCGGAAATGCTCTGGGAGAACTTATCAGAAAGGCTGGAGAAGGTGTTCTATCGACTTTGCTCCCCACTCTCGAGGAAGGTCTTCAGACCACCGACGTGGATGCCAAGCAGGGTGTCTGTATCGCTCTGCGCGAATTGATCGCATCTGCCTCCGCCGACGCACTCGAGGATCACGAGAAGACTCTTGTTTCCGTCGTGCGTATTGCATTGGTCGACAGCGACGAAGACGTCAGAGAAGCAGCCGCAGAGGCGTTCGACTCCCTTCAAAAGGTTCTCGGCAAACGCGCCATCGATCAGGTCCTACCATACTTGCTCAACCTGCTCAGATCCGACGAAGATGCAGACAATGCTCTTTCGGCTCTGCTTACATTACTTACCGAGCAGACCAGATCCAATGCCATCTTGCCAAACCTTCTACCTACCCTCCTTACTCCTCCCATCACTGCGTTCAACGCNAAGGCTCTGGCTTCGCTTGCTCAAGTTGCAAGCTCTGCTATGACGAGAAGATTGCCAAACATTCTCAACGCACTTATGGACAGCATGCTCGCAACAAAGGACGACGAGCTGCGTACCGACCTCGAGAACTCCTTCGATGCCGTGCTCTTGTCCATCGACGAGTTCGATGGCCTTAACACTGCCATGAGTGCCATGCTTGCTCTGACCAAGCATGAAGACCACCGTAGAAGAGCCCGTGCAGACTTGCATCTCGCCACGTTCTTTAAGACAAGCGATCTCGATATATCGCGCTACTACCCTGACCTTATCCGTACGTTGCTCATCAGCTTCGACGACAGTGATGCGGAGGTTGTCAAGGCAGCATGGATCGCTTTGTCAGCGCTCACTGGACGCCTACGCAAGGAGGAGATGGAGTCCTTGGTCTTCTCTACCAGACAGACACTCAACCAAGTCGGTGTTGCAGGCCACAATCTGCCTGGTTTCTCGCTGCCAAAGGGTATCAACGCTATCCTGCCTATCTTCCTGCAGGGTTTGATGAACGGCTCTGCCGAGCAGCGTACAGCATCTGCATTGGCAATCTCGGACATTATCGACCGTACTAGTGCCGACGCTCTCAAGCCTTTCGTCACTCAGATCACCGGTCCTCTGATTCGTGTTGTGTCTGAACGTTCGGTCGAGGTCAAGGCTGCCATCTTGTTTACCCTCAACAACCTTCTCGAGAAGATTCCCGCTTTCCTCAAGCCCTTCTTGCCCCAGCTGCAACGCACCTTCGCCAAGTCGCTTGCCGATACCTCAAGTGAGATTCTTCGTATCAGAGCCGCAAAGGCCCTTGGTACGTTGATCACCCTCACTCCTCGTATCGATCCTCTCATTGCTGAGTTGATCACTGGCTCGAAGACTGCAGACGTTGGTGTCAGAAATGCCATGCTGAAGGCATTGTACGACGTGGTTGTCAAGTGCGGATCTAGCATGAACGAGGCTTCACGAACTGGTATCTTGAGTCTGATTGACGCCGACACTGGTGACTCTGACGAAGCATCTGCCATCACCAACGCACGTTTGTTGGGTGCTTTGATCAAGGTTCTTCCCGAGGATGTTGCTGGAGGGCTTGTCAAGGCTCGTGTCCTTACCCCTGACCACACCTATCCCTCTGTTCTTGCCCTCAACTCCATCTTGGCCGAGGCTCCTGAATCGTTGACCGGACCCTTCGCGGATGCTTTGCCCTCTACGATATGCCAAGGCATTGGCAGCAGCCAACCTGCAGTTGCAGACAATTGCGTCCTTGCAGCCGGCAAGTACTTGCTCACACCTACATCCGACAAGTCATTCGAGGTCGTCAAACAGATCATGGAAGCTCTTGCCGCAGCAATCGCACCCGGCAAACCCGTTGACACACGCCGCCTGGCACTAGTCGTGCTGCGCACCGTCTCGCGCGAGCAAAACGACCTCGTGCGCCCACACCTCGCTCTCCTCACCCCCGCCGTCTTCGGCAGCGTCCGCGATATGGTCATCCCCGTCAAATTGGCCGCCGAAGCCGCCTTCTTGGCCATGTTCAGCGTGGTCGAAGAAGAAGACGCCGTCTTTGCCAAGTACATGGCTGGCCCTGGCGCAGAGCTTGCACCCGGCCCCAAGAGAAGTCTGCAGGATTACTTTAAGCGTATTGCGACTAGATTGGGAGCACAAGCTAGAGAACGCAGGGAAGCGGAGGGTGGACAAGGTGGATTGGGCTTGTCGAGTGATGAGCAGGAGGATATGAAGGAGGTGTGGAGTGTTGGTAAGGTGGATGTTGAAAGTGGCGCTTTCAAGGATGAGTAAGGAGATTTTGGTCTCTTATGCATATGAAGAGCAACAAAAGTGGAAGATTTCGTGCTTTGTAGATAAAACGATTTCTGCTTTTCTTTTTGCATATCAAATGAATATTGTTTTTACTTGTTCAACATGCTTCTCGATCTCCTGCGTATCTTGTCATGTGTACAGCACGATAATGGACATGACATGACATGATGGTTCATTCTTCATCGTTAGAGCGCAAGGGGGTATCGTTACAACATTGTCTACATGATCTCATCATCAACAACTTCCTTCTCAGTCCTATCCCCATTAACATTCTTCCACGCCTCAGCAAACACATTTTCATCATCTCCATCTCTCCAACCCCAAGCAACACAATAATGCGAGGCCAACAACTTCCACTCCTCAACCTCATCCAACCATTCCAATCTCTCCACTCTATCTCTTTCTTNTTCGTCTACCCACTCATCGCCATAGTAGATCTGCTCTACATCCACAGCACCCTGCCCACCCACCAACCCAGCGGTTTTGAATCGTTGACGTTGGGCGTGGAGGGAGTAGTACTTTTNTACGGTCTGGAGGGCTATGCCTCTGGAAGCGAGGTTGGCGAGCATGGTTTTACCGAAAGAGTCGTAGGGGCGGATTGGTTCGTAGAGGATTAAAGCTAGAGAGGAGGTAGGGATTACAGAGGTGAAGTAGGAGAGGATGGAGGATGTTGTTTGGGATGGCAGGTAGCAGAGACAGCATTCGCTGAGTAAAAGGGTGGGAAGCTCGGTCGAGAGGTTTGGAATCGAAGGTGGGGTTGTAGAGGCCAGATCGCGCAGGTCGATAGAGTGGAGATTGTAGGTTGGAGAAAGGAGGGAGGATTTATCGGTGAAGATTTGAGGGTTGGAGAGGAGGTGGGAGAGTTTTGGGGTTGAGGAGATGGCGGAGAGTTTTGCTTGGACGTTGTCGAGGAAATCGAGTTCGTGGTAGACGAGTCGAAGTCGTCGTTCAGGCGACAGACGGAAGAATCGTGTGTCAGAGCCAGCACCTAGTGAGATGATCTGGGCTAAAGGAGCAGTAGATTCACTCGAAGTGTGTGCATCGATTGCAGTAGCGAGAAAGTTGTCGACTAGACGATCGATGGCAGATGTACGAACATAGGTGCCGCGATTGATGAGAGGATATCGTCTGGGTATTTGGCCTTGAAGAAAACATGTTGCGTATTCATCATTCAAGTAACCAAGCTGTACAGCACTCAGTCGGGAATTGGAAGCGTCGCCGTCGGTCTGGCGAATGATTTTGTCGCGAGCATCTTGAGCATCTTCTTCGGTGGCGTCTGAATCTGTAGGACGTCCACGACCTCTACCACGTCTCAGACCAGTTCGAGCACGCAGGCTGTTGAGATTGGGAATGGAAGGAGCGGCCATTTGGGACTTTCTCCAGATGACGACGTTCTGGAGCTCGAGAGATGCACCTGCTTCCAGTTGACCGCCCGCCAAGACTGCCGGCAGAATTGTTCACTGCGAAGACGAAGCATCCAATCTTTGGCGCGCAAGACATCGAGAAGCCATCGCAACACGACTCACTCTCCCTCTCCAATCTCAAATTTGCCATAACCACAACCATGGCCGACGACGAGACTAGACGCGAAACCTCCAGACTGTGGCGCGTCTGGAAGACCACTAAGCAGCTGTGCTACGACAGAGTCAGTCCAAACCAACCAACCCGCTAGACCATCAGGACTGACGCTCGAATCCCANNGGGCTACGAACTTGCCGAAGACGAACTCGATGTCTCCCTCGATCAGTTCCGCGAACAATGCGGCGACGGCAGCGGCGCAGTCAAGTACCTCTCCCCACCAACCTACGCCTATCTTTCTCACACGACCCACCGTTCTAACACTCTATGCGCTTGCAGCAAATCCAAGATGAACTTCCAAGCCCGTCCCTCAGAAGCTATGCTCACAAAATACACCGCTCTGCCCACAAAGTCCAACCCCAACCCCGAACCCCAAATCGGCACCATCTACGTCGAGTTCAGCACGGAAACCGCAATCGGCATCAAGCATCTACGCAACTACGCCCAATTCCTCAACGACAGAAACTTTTACTCTGGAATCTACATCACCAGCGCTTCCGTCACCACTTCTGCCCTCAAGCAAGCTGCGAATCTGCCTATTGGCATCGAGGTCTTCCAAGAGACTGATTTGCTGGTTAATATTACAAAGCACGAGTTGGTGCCTAAGCATATCTTGCTTAGTCCCGAGGAGAAGAAAGCCCTGTTGGATCGTTACCGTTTGAAGGAGACTCAGTTGCCCCGTATCCGTGTTGAAGATCCTGTGGCCAAGTACCTGGGTCTGCGCAGAGGTCAGGTCGTCAAGATCATCAGAAAGTCAGAGACTGCCGGTCGTTATGCCAGTTACCGCTGGTGTATATGAGCGGCCACACAACCACCCTTCCAATCTGCATTTTCGAATCTGTTGTTTTCTGGCGCTACAAGGGGGAGCGAAAAAAGAGAAAGCTCAGAGCATAGGAGGTATTGCCTGGGTTGTTTTTTTTTGCATTGGGCGTTCTATTGGCGTTTTTCCTTCTTTCTAAAGAGATTATCTCTCTCCCTATCACGAGCCTGCTCTGTCACGCTTTATCACCGCATTGGTTCTTTGGACCAATAACCAAATTTATCAAAACCATAAACACCTGAACTCTTACAAAAGTGCCCTTGCAGATCTTACTGTGACTTCTTCTTGCCTTGTATGAACTCCATCGAGAGAAGCTGCTGATACTCAAACTTTGACGACCATCAAACGTTGGATTGGTAGACGTGAAGAGAGCCCGACACACTTTCAAGACCTGTTATTGAGAAAAGGCATGTTCAGATCTTTTTAGCTTTTGGATCTAGAATGTCTCTACAGCTGCTTTGCCAAAAACGAGTTACCCTGAAGCTGATAATGATGACAAAGTATGTATGCTTTAAGAGTCCATGCCTTCTCAAGCATCAACTTGCATAATATCCTCATCATCCAAACCTCCATATTCGTCTTCTGCAGTCTGATGAGCTTCCCTCATAACAGCATCACCACTAACCCCAGCATTCCTCTCATCCCTCTGTCTCTCCTTGTCCACTTTTTCTTTATGTCTGTTCAGATCCTCAATACTCCATGTTGAGACGCCTTCCTGCATTTTGGCAGGGAATGGCTTACTCATCATTTTCAAAAACCTTTTTGCGGTGGCGACCGCTTGGTCCACAGAGAGGTTGGAATCTCCTTCTAGTAAAGCTGCGTTTATCCATTTGGGCAGTTGGGTGCGCTTTTTGCCGAAACGGCGGTCTGCGAGTACCATAATTCCGTAATCGTCTTTGCCGCGTAGAACACGGCCCAAACATTGAGCAGCATGTCTCATGGCGTCAAAAGACAAAAAGTCATTTTCGCGGATACGGTAGGTTTCGCGGAGGAACTCGAGACGCGCTTTGAGGATGCGGGATTCGGTGTATTGGAAGGGGACACCGATGCAAAGCACAGTGCGACCGTAATGATGGTCGAAATCTATGCCTTCGGAAACTTTGCCGCGGGCGACGCAGAGTAACACTGCACCTCTGCCGTTACTGCATGCGGTACGATAAGTCTCCAACGCCAGCGAGGTTTCCTGCGAGTCGGGAGTTTCCACGAGGATGAGTTTGTGTTTCCAGACTTGGTCGAGGATGCCCATGCCTTGCCACATGGAGATTATGCTTTCCATGTATAGATACGAAGGGAAAAAGACTACGATTCCATCAGGAGTGATTTTGGAGAATTCGATCAGGAGGTTGCCGTAGTTGCGGACCACGCCTGGGTCGTTTCTGATGGTGAAGGAGGAGGAGATGGCGCCTTGATCGCTTCCTCTGGTTACGATCATTGGCAGAANAGAACGGCGAGCCAGTGTCATGCTGTATGACTCCTGGACTACCGTGTTGAAGCCGAGCATCTTGGGGTAGATTTCGAGTGGAGAGATCGTACCAGAGGTAATGACCACTGAGCTGAAGCGATCAAAGACGGGCTTTATAGCGATTGCAGCATCGAGACAAGTAAAGTGAAGAATGGGATTGGGCACAGTGGCGGTTTCTGATTCGTAGGGTTCGAGAATGAGGAGGAAGCCAGTCTCGTACGTTGCGACCAAAGTAGCGAAACTGGCGACTTCTTGCAATGGTTGGTAATCCTCGATGTTTTGCAGCTCCAGCGTCCTTACCAAAGATGTCAGACGTTCTGCGCAAAAGCGCAAAGGCTTTCTCTCGATAAACGTGAGCTCTTTGAGATGTTGTAAGAAAGATGGTGGTGTTTCTGAAATGACGTGCAGTACTTTCATGCGAGTCTTGAGGTACTCGACGAAACGTTTGAGGAAAGCAACGAAGTGTTCTGCTCTTCGGATGTTTCCTGGCACGGCTTCCTTGAGAAGGTCATCCGGTAGTGCTGGATTTCTCATAAATGCTCCTTCGTCGTTTGCTTCGTCGGCATCTCGAAGGCCTTGTACCAGCTTGGCGTATTCGTTTTGCAACTTTGCTGCGTCTGTAGTTTTCATCTCGCTGATCTTCTTCTCCAGATTGGCTGCACCTCTTCCGGCTTTCCGTAATGAGTCTTCAGTAATGTCGATACTCAACGACTCGATACAGACGTTGTCAATGTTGTGAGCTTCATCGAAAACGACAATGCAGTCCTTGGAGAGTTCCTTCGATACTCTTTCGGCGATCTTAGGGTCTAGTAGATAGTGATATGAGTAGATGACAACGTTGCAGAAGGGCATNNCTGATTGTCTTGTCAGAGATTGCATATCCAAGTGCATTACTAAACTCACCATTCGTCGAACTGTAAAGTATGGACATTGCTTCTGCTCCTCGCCATATTTGAGCACATCGTCAAATGTGAAGACACCTGGAGGGATCAAGTTGTGCGGTTCCAGAAGATCGAGGTNTCTGATAGAATCAGTAAGTAGCCTGAACAGTAAGGTCTAGCAAATCAGATAAATTACCTCATGGTAGACGCAAAGTTCTACATCCTCACCCCTTTCCTTTTTCTCCTTGACAAAACCTGCAGTGAGAGATCGACATCTGGCATCGACAATGGCGCCACTCTTTTCTCTCTTGACTGAAGGGTGCAGACACAGGTTTTTACGCGAAGTAAGACCCAGTCCTCTGAAGTCTTCAACGTAACCAAGTTGTTCTGATCGATATTTCATCAGAGCTTTCAATTCGGCAAGTGCCTTTTCGATCTCAGACATTGTNNACCTAGACATGTTAGATGTTGCAGTGCATGGGTTCGAAGAGCATAACACACGAGAGCAGTAAATGAGTTTGCGATGTTCCGGATAATGTTGTTGGTATGCCACGATTAGAGATAGCAGTGTCACGGTCTTTCCAGTTCCTGAAGGCATCTCCAAAACACAGTGGCCTCCCGCATCCAGAGTNNGCCTGTTCATGGCATGAGTGTTGTTGATTTGCATCTTGGTTCTCAGATACTTACGTTTGAGATCGCACATGTATCTTTTCAAACATGTCAGTTATTTGTTCCAGAACTTCAAGATATCTTTGACTCACGCATATTGTTCNNTAGAGAGGCAGTCAGTATGTTATCGAAGGAATGTTTCGCCGCCGTATAACTCACCTGGATATATTCTGGGGTAGGGAAAGAGAATTGGCAGGTCACTAGGCGGGTCAGCAAGGTTTTGGACGACCTTGAGCGTATCACTCACTCAATCATGAACTTCATTTTGGCGAACTGTGCCTCTCCCTCAGAGGTTGAGGCAGGACTTGAAGATGAAAGGCTGCAGTTGTATGGGAGCGCGCACCAAACAGATGAACCAAGGGCCGTCTGAAAGCAGCTAGTGTCGATGGCGCGCACGGACGATTGTAGCCTATTCTTCGAGTGACGTACTGTACATCGATGATTGCTTGAGCGACTGCGACACGAACTTTTGGAGCAGAAGCAACTCACAGAATCACTAATTTTTGTTTTCGTCTTTCCTCAGGACATTCTCACGCATCTGGGTTCTTGCACTTGACACGTTATGAAGAAGGCATTCAGGCCTCAAGCAAGCAGCGCACGCTCTTTTGGAGGTACTGGCTTTGGTGGGGGTTTTGGTGCCTCTGGATTTGGTGTATCCTCGTCGCCGCTGTCATGGATCGGTGAACCGCCGGACCTTTCGAATATCTCGGACCCCAATGTGGGAGTCGCATTCAAGAATTTGACCAAGAAGGACAGCACAACCAAGGCCAAAGCTCTGGAGGAACTTCAGCAATACGTCTCTGCTCCGGATCAGCAGATCGAGGAGGCAGTCTTGGAAGCATGGGTTTGTTCTCTGGAGTCGCCCTATGACAAGTCGATATGCTGACCAACACGCGACCAGGTCAAACTATACCCTCGTCTATCGATAGACAGCGCTCGTCGCGTGCGTCAATTAGCACACAACGTTCTTGGTCAAATCGCTGTCAAAAGTGGAAAGAGAATGGTGAAACATATGTCCAGAATCGCAGGACCTTGGCTTGCAGGCGCACAAGATAGTGATCGTGCTGCTGCCAAAGCTGCTCAAGATGCTCTCAAGCACGTCTTCAACACTCCCGAGAAATTGCAGAACCTTGGGAAGGCTTTCCAACAACCAATTCTTGAACATTGTAGAGACGCTCTTCTGAACGAGACTGTCCAGACATTGAGTGACGAGCGCAGCGTTAGTCCTGCTGATGCTCAGGCGACCTACTCACGAGTCGTTGCCACAAGCATTGCCGTTATCTCCAACCTTCTTAATGACCTTGCCTCAGAAGAGGTGGCCAAACAGCAGGAGACATATGAGGGCATCGTTGGCCAGAGCAAGATATGGGAGTTGGCATCCTACAAAGAAGACGTTGTTGTGAGGAGGTCTATCCATCGTTTCTTGCGCACATGCTTGTCTAAGCAAAAGGCTGCTGTTGAAGCCAACTTGTCGACCATCAGCGAAGCTTATATTTCAAAGGCCCTTCCTCACGATCAGACCGGTTCGTCTTATGACTTTATGCTGGCTCTTGTGGAGCTTACAGGTGCTTTCCCTCATGCTTGGACTACAAGCTATACATCAAAGAAGCCAGCCAGCACAAGATTGAGAGGCTGTATCAAGCGTGGTTCTCAGGCTGGGCCTGCTGAGTTCTGGACTAATGCCTGGATTTTATTTAGCAAGTTGCCTGCAGAGGTCTTGCCTCAGAAATACTCGGAAGCCGAGGAATTGCTAAACGCAGTGCATGATGGTGTCAGCCAGAAGGACGATCGCTTCAATGCATCTGCAGCATGGTTCACCTACTTCAAAATTCTCGATCTGGTCCAAAACACTGCGTCTCTATCTGATGAGGAGCATGAAACTCTGCTGAACAAGATGGTCATTCCCGTAATTGAGCAGTATTTGCGACCATCTCCCAGCACCTCAGATTGGCTCATCTCTGGAGCCAAGCCTGCTTGGAACGTTTCGAAAGCTGCATTCTGCAAGCGTTTGCCAGCCGTTCTGGAGAAGAGGTGGCCCGACTATGCTGCGCTACTTGTTGAAGACATCCGAACATCACTTCCTGAGCAATCCAAGGACTTTGAAAAGTCACAAGCGCACGTTGCCTCTGCTGCCGAAAGATGGGCCTTGCTTCAGTCAGAGCTTCTACGCCAGGAATATCACCTCCCTGAATCTCTGCGAATCGTCTTCTCCCAGACAGCCAAAGACATCGTCAAAGCATCCGTTGAACTACTCAGAGCTAGGAATGGCAAGCCGTATGGCGCTGCTGCCGCACTCGACGAGTTGCAAAACCATTGTAAAGCTCTGCTTGCCAAGGACCAGGAAACTCAAGACATCATCGCAAGTTTCGTCGTTGAGGATTTGCCAAATCTGATGTCTTCACCCTCGCAGAGACAGCTCGTTTCACTTCTATACCACTTCCAGACCGACTCTCGTTTCGGCGACGCATGGAGTAAGACTGCGACTGCTCTTGGCAATAGCCCAGACTCAGAAGAGAAGTTGAACGCTTTCCGCGATCTATTAGCTTCACCTAGGGTCAAACCTGCCGCAGAGATCGCTGCTCAGAATGGCGATATTCAAGCCTTCCTGCAGCGCCAGTTCAAATCTAGCTTAGAAACAGGGGAGCAATGGAGTTTTGTCTCGGGTATCCTCAAGGGTACACCTAGTGTGGCTTCTACAGAAACTGTTGACAATATGCTAGCAGACCTTACTGCTTCGCTATCAATCTCAGACAAGGCCGATTCTGCTCTGAATGGCTTGCAAGAGATTTCACGAAGCAACAAGACTCTTGTCAAGGAGCATATCAAGAAGCCCAATGGATCTCAGCTCTTGCCCAACCTTCTGCTCTTGGAGGAATCTGCTAATGAACCACTGGCTGCCAAAGCCTCTAGCATCAGTAAGAGTATTGTTACCGAGGCAGACAAGGCTGGTTCCCAGACTATCCTCTTTGATGTTGTGCATCAGAGTTTGAGAGATGTATCATCGAGCTCACTTCCAATGCCTCAAGTCCTTGACATGGCTGCCAACCTTATCAAGGATAGTGATCTTGATCAGAAGAAGCAGGAAGTCGCCAAGCAAGCCCTGCCTGATTTGGAGTCTTGGAAGTCTGCGATCGCGCCATTTATTGCAATTGCGCCTTCAATCGCGCTTGCTATCACTAATGTCTTGGGAGGTGCAACTTACATGGTGGACCCTGAGACCAAGTCAGATCCTTCGAAGATCTTGAGGGATGCGGACGGCTTATCACAGGCTCTGAGATATGCAATGTACACCTCGAGGGTGTACTCCAACAGTGCTCTTCTACAAGCACTTGAGTCGGACACACAAACAGAGCTGTTCCAGCTCTTCTACATCACGCACATTCTTCTGACCGAAAGTATCTCTCTAACGGCAGATAGTGGCCTTGCTTCTTCCAACCCAGAGACCGAAGCTGAGGTTGTCGAGTTCGTCAATGAAGCCAACAAGTTCATTGGAGATTGCTTCCAACAGTACGAGCATGCATTGTCGTCTTACGCGTTTGTCGGTACAACTCTCGACAACTTCTTTGGGAACTCAAAGGGCAACAGCACATCTGCATTCTATCATGCTCAAGCACTGAGCCACGCACTTGGTGACCTTGAGTCCATTCATGGTGGTGGCCATGCCAAGGTCCAGGAGTACGAAGACAAGACATTGCAGCTCTACAAGGCAAAGGATGTCGTACCTTTTACTGCTTGCGCTAGTGGTCTCAAAGAAGCGCTATCCGATAGCAAGAAGCTCGACAGACAGACAAACGAGCTGGTGGCTGATCTCACTGGCTTGGACGCCGCACAGTCCCCTGAGAAAGCCATTACACAGCTCGTCATGCTTAATGCCTTGTTCCCTGAGAGCAAGCAAGCTGATAGCATTGTTGCCAAGCAGCGTCTCATTTTCTTGATGAAGCACATCCTCCCTTGGCTTGACAATGATGAAATTGTCACTCCTATCAAAGCTGAGACTTGCAAAACTCTGCTGTTCGTCCTTCCTGGTGTCAGCGATATATACGGTGAGCACTGGTCACAGATTCTGGCATTCTTGGCGCATACATGGGAATTGGGCTTCGTTCGCGACGAGATCGCTGATGAGAGCCGCATGGCTTTGATCTACACCACCCTTCAACTTTCCTCGATTCTTCGCAGCCTCAAGTCAAGCGAAGAGCCTAACGACGACCTTGTTGATGCTTGGAAGGAGAGCTCCGAAGTGCTTTACATGGGCCTGATGAACCTCGTCAGACAAGGCCAAGGTCAGTCAGACGAACATCATGAACCTTTGAAAGCTCTTTTCCAGTCCTTGGGTAGTGAAGTCGCAAAGTGGTCTACTGGTGAGGTCGAGGACGAGGCGGAGCTATACCCTCTTCTCTACACACCATCAAAAGCTCTGCANAAGACAGCCTTCGACATCCTGCATCGAGTCATTCCAGCTGCACAGGAGCAGGTCTCATTCGATGCAGCGCTCGAGAAGAAGACAGCTAAACTGCCTGAAGAGTTGTTGTCTTTGCTGCTTGCGCCACCTACGTTGGACAGCCTGGCGGATGCCTCTTTCCGCACAGGTATCCCTCACGAGTTGCAAGCATACCTCTACAGCTGGCAGCTCGTCTTCGATCACTTTGCAAACTCCAGTTACCAAGTCAAGTCTGATTATGTCGAAGCCTTGCGGGAAGGCGAGTATCTCGGTCATCTGCTGGAGGTGACATGGGAGCTTCTGGGCCATGTTCGTGGCCGTCCTGTCGACGTATCCAAGTACGACATTCGCAAATTCGACTACCTCGACCAACAAGGTGACCTCGAAGGCTTAAGTGCAGACAAGCGCATGCACTGGCTCCTAGCCCACCTCTACTACCAATCCCTCATGCACGTGCCCTCACTCACAAAATCCCACTTCCTAGCCATAAAATCGCGTCAAACAGGTTTAGCCGTCGAGAGCTGGACAGCCAAATACATAGCTCCCCCACTCGTCTCTGCATCTCTGGATTCCGTAGCTCAATGGGCAGACACCGTAAAAACCGACCCGGACTACGAAGGCTGGAACGTCAAAGTCTCGCCCCGCAGCCGCGAAGTCCATTTCTCCTATCTCGTGGACGAGCAAACCATGGCCATTGTTTTGCGTCTCCCAGAAACCTATCCTTTGGCTTCTGCACGCGTCGAAGGGCTCAACCGCGTCGCCGCCGACGAGAGAAAATGGCAATCCTGGCTGCGCAACGCTCAAGGCGTGATNCAATTCTCCAACGGCAATCTAATCGACGGCCTCACGACTTGGAAACGCAATGTCACTGGTGCACTCAAGGGACAGTCTGAATGTGCCATTTGCTACAGTATTATTTCTGGAGACAGGCAGTTGCCGAGTAAGAGGTGCAGTACGTGTAAGAATCTGTTCCACAGTTCGTGTTTGTTCAAGTGGTTCAAGACGAGTAATGCGAGTACTTGTCCGCTGTGTAGAAANCCCTTTAATTATGGTTAGAGCTGCGAGGGGGTTTCTAGTTTTTTGGCAGACGGGGGTACTGCTGCTGGTACATGGCAGGACTTTGCTTGTATATAGATAGGTCAATATGATAATGAATGACAGTGCTTGAAACGATATAGCATAGACTTTGCAGCTGCCTTGATGATAGACAATACAACAATCGCCCTCCGACTGTCATTGGCAAGCTCATGATAAAATCAGATGCGACAGTAACATTACCGGCTGGCATCGAGAATGAACAACGTGTATACGACTTGACATTTCACAAAGCCACTCAAAATGTGCACTACCCACACGGTCTCAAAGACGATGAATACGCAGCCATCTTCACCGACAACCGCCCTATAATCTTTAATTTCCATAGTTACCTTATCTAGTCTACTAAATGACCTATAAGCGCAAGGGCCAGAACTCGATGCGCGTGTGCGGGTACAAGGAGAAGAGGCAATATTGACACTCCTCTCCAACTTGGCCATCTGTAACTAAGATTGAATCGCTAGCAGTTTGGCAATTCTTGTTTTTGCCTGTCAATGTTAACGATTCCTGTGAGCCAAAAACGTCAATAAGAAGTAAGAACTAGGGGGAGCAAAAGTATTGAAACAGGTTTCGAAAGAAGAAAAAAGGTTATGATTCATTTCATCAACAACGTCAACTTCAAACTCCCCATGACCTGTATACGGTGGATAAGGAGACCCAGAACTCCCAGAGATAGAAAAAGGAAGACCATGCAAAAGAAACAAGGAAAAGACAACTCCTGAAACCCAGTCCTATGCATCCATCCACACACCCCCAATGCATCATCCTAGAAGCACCTGGTAGAAAACACACATACCCCTGAACTGCGCCTCCTGAATTTTTTTTGTAGTATTGTTGTGTGCCAAGTCAGACGACAAAGTCTTTCAATGTGCAAAACAACAATTTTTTTTCCACTGACAAGATTCAAAGGAAGAAGGAAAAAGAAAAATAGAAAACAACCCTGTAAAGCAGATTTTCGCCATCACACCCCCTCCGTGCACCACCGGTCCTATGCATTTGTATAGTTGTTGCGTTGCTCGGGTCTCTGGTCTCGTTGCTTCGTCAGAGGGACAATATAAGGAAAGAAAACAGTACCGGAAAAGAAGAAACAAGATCGACGACAATACTGAAGCAGCGCTCCAGGATAAGAGTAAAGGTCGGCCAGGATAAGAGAGTTGAGTACACTTTGATCTGGCCCGCTATGAGAACGAAAAGGAAAGACAGATTAGAAGAAATCGTATAGAGGAAAGTTCAATGATCTCCTTCATCAGATTCGTTCGTTGTAGTCATAATGGAGCGCTTTGTCGCTGATCCATAGGCAAGTCTCGTTTACCGTGCCTGCATGAATTATTGAGACAGCCTTTCCCGAAACACAAGAAGTAGAATCATGTCATGAATCAGTCTGGGAATCTGCGGACATTTTGCGCTCCTCAAAGGGTTGTTCGGCCAGTCCCGCTTCGCGTGGAGTGAAACGGCGAGGGAAAGTGTTGAAGCGATTGTTTGAAACACCAGCAGAGAAAGGAGAGCCAAGTCTAGGAGGCTGTGCGAGCTTTGGTGGATTGAGGCTGTTTGAAGCTTCGCCCATGTTGTGATCGGCTGTCGATGCTGCAGGCGCAAACAGCTGGGGAAAGCTATTGTTGGCGTTCTGAGCCACGCCGTTGACAGCGCTCAGACTGAAGCCACGATTGCGCATGGGGTGATTGGAGGATGCGGGAGGAGCGGTAAAGACATCCTCAAGTGATGGTTGTTGGAAAGAGGATTGATCATCAACACCAAATCTGCGCTTCAGGGACTTGACACTTGGCATAGGACCGTCGAGTGGGAAGGGTGAACGCAACGAAGGACCAGCGTCTGTCAAGCGGTTGGGGTTGTTGTTCAAAAAGGCACGTCCAAGCGATTGTGTCTTGCTCATGTTTTCCAAGAAGTTTTGACGCGATGGCTCGCTGTCATCGAACGGCGAGGCCAGGATGCTGCCACGCTCGAAAGAATTTGACTGCATGCCAGACGAACTGCCCAAGCCTAAGCCGAGCTGCAAAGATTGACTCTTCTGGTGAGCAGCACGTGCTCCTGAACGTCCGATGCGCGCATACCAATCGGACCCACGACGCTGCTGAGGAGCCATTGGGGGCTGAGGGGTACGCTTGTGAAGTTGTGCAAGCGGACCATCTGGCTGCATCGAAGGAGCCGTTGCTTCAGCCAGCGAAACGTTCATACTGCGACTGGAGAATGAGGAAGGTTGAGGGGTAGGAGGCTGAGCGACAGGGGCAGGCGGCTGGTTGGGACTGCTACTAGCACTGACACTGCTCGAAGACTCGAAGGGAGAGGGGCTGCGAGTGCGCAGAAGCCTCAAGTAATGAGCAGAGAGAGAAGGCTTGCGCTTACACAATTCACGCAGACGTCGACGCGTGGCACCCTCCGAACGCGGCCACTTAAGTGCGACAGGGTTGTGCGAGTATGCTGCAGTGGGCGTTGACTGGTCCATGGCATCAGACGGGCTGACAGGATCGGACGACTCTGGACACTGGATCGAGATGCGTGGAATTCCATGAGGAGCACAAGATGGGCGGTTAGATCTCCAGGTCGACTTGGCTTCGCGCGCGACACGATGACAGACGCCCAGGGGTGGTGAGGTGCCAGGTAGCATCTTAAACGGAGTGACCCTCGGATCCTGGACGTAGCTCATGTATGTGAACCAGAGATGGTTGTCCATCTCGGGAGTGAAGTGGGGATGGCGCATCGTCTTGACACGCTTAGCATTGGGAAATCCGCTGGAAGGAGTGTTTGATCCTGGTGCTCCGGACTTGCGTTCGAAGAAGGCAAAGGGATCGCCAATGTCGCTCTCAGGACTCGTGCAGCTTCCTGCATCGAATGATGATTTTGAGTCAAAGCTGCTTCCTTGAGATGTCGCGGACGAGTCGGAGAAGGTCGAGAGAGCTGAAGACGGTCGCTGGATTATGTCATGGAGGTGGATGGGATGGAACATAGACCATTCGGTGGCATCCATCGTTTCAACGTTGTAGGACGTCACCTGCGAGGCAGGTGTCTTAGGTGGTGATGTGAGGCGGAGGTGTCCAGCACGTGGCGCGAGGTATCCAGGAGTCGACATGGTGTAAGTGGAAGTGTGGTGAGCCGGCTCATTCACTTCGGTCATCTCGATACTGGGCACAATGGNGGCTTCGTCCATTGCTCCAGTCTGCTGATCGCGTGGGCGACGACGCAGCTTGAACGTCTGCTTAGGCAGCGCAGACGCTTCGAGATCGAAAGAGTCAACGGCAGTAGAAGGTCTGGCTGGTGTTTGTGGTGTTTCGGTGTCGTTGTGGGAGAACTTGAAGTCGCGTGGGAGCGTAGAGACGCTCGGCTTGTGCGAAGCCATGGCGTCTGATTGCGCGCAGCTAAACAACAAACGAAACAGTCGGAATTGATGCGCAAAGGAAGTGAGGGGTCGGGAGCGAGCGTCAGGGGTAGTAGATATTGTGGTTGTTTGACGTCTAAGGCTGGTAACGTTCGAGATGCAGGATAGTTGCGGAGCGGTCGCGAATGTGGGCCGGATGCGCGTGCGGAAACAACAACAAAGCGGGAGTGGACGCGATAGGCGTGTCGGATCAAACGGCCATCTAGTGTCGGATTGGAGTGTATACAGGGGCGCGCAAACGGGAGTGTCGCTGGCGAGAAGTGAAGTGGTCGGCGAAAGACGAGTCGAATTTGAGCGAGTGATGAGAGAGAGAAGGAGCGAAACAGAAGGTGAGCAGCGGAAGGCGCGAACGCCCACCCTGCGACTTGCAACTGCCTCCGCCCACGGATCTTGCGCCACGGACCTTGATTCAATTCGTTTCTGTCCGTGCGCGCCAGTCGATTTGCTTCTTTGCTTTTTGTACATCGATCTCTCCACAGCTTTGACTCGTAGTCTACCGAAGCCTTCAATCGACCGTCGCTTACAGAACTTTGTCGAGTTGATTGTTGTGTTTGCGCCGGCTCTCCTCTCATCACACCCGTCACTGACAACAACATCAGGCCCAGATGACCACCATGGCCACAGCAGCCGCGATCAGTGCGGTGTGACATGCAAACGCCGCCTGAAGCTATGCGCGCTGGATCATGCGGCAAATCGACCTCTAGCAATCCATCATCACACCGCCCTTGCGCAAATTGCTGCCGCCTGTTTGTGGCTTCCCGGCTCCACACGTGCTCGCACCTTGTTCGCAGTTGGCGATCGTCCCGCATACACCATCATCAATGCGCGTGCTGAACCTGTCATCGGAAGCTTACCGCAAGGCTGCAAAACGTCTATCTGTTATCTCATGTTCTATGTGCCCTGTCTAACGACGACCTGTTCCTGACCGTTGTCTCTGTACTCAGATCGTTAGGGTCATTGTGTTTATCGATTAGGCCCTGCATCTTGTCAACTTGTCCAAGTACTTAATTAGCCACTTTCTTCCTTGATTGGTCCATCGCTTGTTGAGCACATCGCTGCATTGGCGGCTCAACTTGGGCAATCTGATGGGGGCATGAATAAACAGATGCTTTTACTTGCAAAATGAGAATGTATCGACCAGTGCACAAGAATATTAAGTTTCGATCTCAGATCATGAACGCGCTCGGAAAGAGCATACAAATTATTGTGAGGTAACATTTGCACGCCCAAAACGTAGTCCTTGCTATGCTTCGAGCGAAAAGTCGAATGGAGCAAATGCAGCTTTGAAGGCCTCAACATCCGTGTTCTCCTCGGCCTCACTCTGGTCACAGTCCTGCCAATGCGAACGACTCTCCAGACCTAGCAACTTGGCTAGAACTCTTCGTCCAAACTGTAGATCGAACCTGAATGATGAGTCCAGAGGAAGCACCATCGTTTTCTCCTCTGCTCCATCCCATATAGTAGCCTTGAAACAATCACCCTCGGCTGCTACATCGGTCGAAACACTTGACGACTCGAAAGCTGGGTAGCTTTGGTTCTCTGCTTCGACCTTAAATCCAGCTTCCACCAATCCGTTCTTGATGATATCCTGTGGTACCGGCATGAACTGCCAGTGGATGTGAATACCTCCCAGACGACTAATCTCCCAAGTGACCGCGCCTAACTTATTTGCTTCAGCAGCATCCTCGGACCTTTNTGTGAGCATACTTTGCAACGCAAGTCGATAGCGATGCATCTCAGCGATAGTGGCTTTCTTCGAGTCTTGGTCCTGTATCGATGCAAGAGTAGGCGCGTGTTCGAGGGGGATGATCAGCATATGGCCTGGGAAGCCAAGAGCAGGGAAAATCTTGGGGGTTGGAAGCGGTCCTTTCGCTGTTGTCAAATATGCGCTGTCGCCGATCGAGGAGATGAGGTGAGATGCAATGTTGGGATTCGATAAACAGAAGAAGCATTCTGATGGGTTCGGGTTTGGTCGAGCGCGCTTATTACGACCTCTCTGCCGACCACCACCATCGCCGCTACCACCGGAGAAGCGCGAGAATGACTGTGCTTGGGATTCAACAGCCTTGCGCTTCTTTGTGAATGATAGCGGGGATGCTGTGACGCCTGACGGTACCGTCGCAGTAGGTGCTACTGAGGTGTCCAGGGTGAATGCGTAGATCCACTTTTGCTTAGCGGCATTTCCATATGGCGCCAAACTGATGAATCGAGTGACTTGATAGCCGCTGTCGTCTTCACCTTGAGCATGGAAGAAAGGCTCGCGCTCCAGGAAACCTTCCGAGAAAGAGAAATGGTAACGAGGCTTTAGCACGGTACAGAGATCTGCAACGCCCTGTTGCGAAACAGCTTCTTCGCCAGTATAAGGTGCATTAGAGCCGGTGCGGATCTCAGCAGGCCATTCACTCGTTACTAGAATGTCGGCAGTGTTGGCGCCTCTCAGTACCTTGACGTCCTCTGGTGTATGACTGGGGCTGAACTCTGTGATCAAGGCTTTATCTGAAACAGCATCCATATGGGCACCACCCAGAGCGACAATCTTGACGCCTTCAGATGTCTTGACAGTAGTTCTCCGGCCAAGGAAGTACAGGTTCGAGCATAACTCGCCAGCATTAGCGCTAAGTTTCTCCTGAACCTCAAGAGGCAGCTCACGTTTGCCGAGAGCAAAGTAGACGGGAAGAGCTATTTCGATTTTGCCTTCAAGAAGATCCTTGAGTTGACTGGACTCTTCTGCACTAGGGTTGACTGGATCCGCAAACAGGTCTCCAGTGATAACAGCAAAGGCAAAGGCATTTTTAGCGTGCAATGCTGATAATTTGCCAAAGACAGCAGAGACTTGACCATTGACTGCGCCAATGACTGCACTAGTAGTTTGTTAGTTATGATCTGTGAACGGACTAGTGTATTGATACGTACATCTTGGATACCATGCTTTCAGGAATTGGCTGGCTGATGAAAGTGAATGCAGAGAAAGCAAAAGTGCTTTGACGCGATCTGATGGAGTCGAAGCAGAGTGGAAGTGTGGCTTCTGTGGCTGGTGCGCAAGGACCGAGCCACCTTCCCCACTTTTGATGGCAGCTTCAGAGAAAGTTCTAAAAGACCATCACCGAGACTGCCACTTTTTTTGCCATAACATTTCACCAACACGACATGGCGGGCATGTCGAGGAATACCGCCTCAAATGGACCCAAGTCGGCCAAGGCGGCCACCAAGGTCGTCAAAACACAAAGAAAGACAAAATCCACACCCTCGAGTCGACGACACCACTTCGAAGGTTTCGCCCAGAGAATCTCCAAGATGAAGATCGATCCCATTCGTCGCACTCGTCGCGGAGTTGGAGCAGAAGGTGCACATGAACTGGAAGGAGAGGCTTCATACTTCCGTACTGCCCTGGACGAGTGGAAGGACCTCAACCTCTCCGAAAACTTCACAGCCTTCGCCAAAAATGTCTACAACATTTCCGACAGCCTACCCATGGTCATTTTTCACGAGGAGACCATCATGGACAACCTAATCACATACATCACAAAGGGAGATGTCATGTCGCTCGAGCCTCTGCTAGCCCTCATGTCACACTATGCACACGACCTCGACGTCCGATTCGAAAAGCACTTCCAAAGAGCCGTCGCAACTGTCGCACGTGTCGCAGCCACTAACCCAGAGCCCGAAGTCGTCGAGTGGGCCTTTACTTGCCTAGCCTGGCTCTTCAAGTACCTTTCTCGTCTATTAGTCCCCGATCTTAGACCGCTGTACGACCTTTTATCGCCGTATCTGGGAAAACAGAAGCAGAAGCCCTATGTTATTCGATTCGCTGCTGAGGCGATGAGTTTCTTGGTCAGGAAGGCGGGAACCACATATCACAAGAGCAGGGAGCCGTTGGATACAATTGTCGAGCATATGCTCAATGACTTTGCCGCGAACGAGACTGCCTCAGATGATCTGTATTCACAAGGTCTTATGACATTGTTTACAGAGTCTATCAAGGGTGTACAAGGAACCCTCCATTCAGGAGGAAATACTGTTCTGCAGTGCTTGACCCGATTCTGCTTCAATGCTGACCACTCAGAATTTCTCAAGGGCAGGTCCCTCCAAATCTTGAGAGGTTCGCTGATCAGTGTCGTACATCATACCACTCCAGAAACCTTCGAATCTGTCCAGGAAGCAATCTTCGACTTCACCGATCCCGATGGCCAGGATGCAGTAAACAACCTAGATGCGTCGAACACTCTTCTCTTCACTGCTGCATCTGTTCGCAAAGGAAGCAGAATCTCGGACTGGCAAACTTATGCCAGGCGCGTAACGAGCATGATTCAGAAAGCCGACAAAGCCACTAAGGACATTGATTCAGATACATTGACTGCACTTCTCAACACGCTGGCCGTGGTACTTAATTACGCACCTTTCGATGCAGTTCTTCAAGAACTTTCCATTCTCGACATCATCAGCCGAGGCAAGTGGGTTGCTCACTTCCTGCCNTTTTGCAACATCTTTGCAGAGCTGAATCAGGAACGTTTCCAAAGCTTTGTTCTGCCTATCTTCCAGAAGTTCATCGTCAACCATTGGAAGGAGAACGAGATGGCGCTCTGCGCAATGCTTCCGTCTTTGTCTCGTAAGAACACATTTGCGAAAATGCCTTTGCAGTGCCCTCTAGAGTGGCAAAAGGTCATGCTTCAACGTCTGAAGAAGGCTCAAGGAAAATCGCCATCGAAAGATGCCGAGACACTACACATGAGTAACGGCCATCTCGCAGTATTACGGATCTCTCAGGGAGACTCAGAAACACGCAAGCAGATTGCAGCCAGCATTCTTCAGTTGTTGAAATCCGCAGCAAAATCAGCGTCTGCAGATATTGGAGGCTGGGATCTTTTTGCTCTAGGTCAAGGCTTCCAATACATCTCAGACGAGTTTAGTGAAAGGTTGCAGGACAAGGAACTGGCAGAAGCGCTATGCTCTGCCTCTACTCGATGCAAGAAGCTTGTGCCTTACTGGACTGCCCTAAACTCAGTCCTCAAGAAGGCTGACATTGCTTTCACTGGAGACCAGATGGAATCCCTCATCGCTAACCTCATTGACTGTTTGAAAACGCCCAGTCATGACCTTAGACTTTCTGGCCTACGGATATTGCAAACTATCTACGAGAAGAGACAACAAGATGTACCGGAATTACTAACTCATGCTATCTCGATCGAAGACACCCCTCCAAGTGTACCAAATGCACGTTTCATATCATCCCAAATTCGAAGACTGGCTCTCGGATATCCTGACATCCTCTCTGATCCTATTCTAGCAAAAGCTATCCCCACCTACTGTTTTGGTCTCCTACATATACATCTCGCGCAAGCATGGGATGACTCCGTTGCAACGCTCAAGGAAATGACTGAACACGGAAATGCAGAGGAAATCATCACAAGCACTATCACTCAGTGGCTTCAGGGTAATGCTGATGCGGAAGAAGATACGACCCCAGCGGAGACAGTGCAGGATAGGAGCATCAGCCACGTCAGCTCTGATTTCGAGTGTTCCAACATGAACCAGATTGAGAGGGATATTGAAATCTCAGAATCTCTCTTTGCGGACCTCAATCAAGGAATCGAGAACCAATTCAAGAGAGATCATGTACAAAAGGTGGCAGCTTCTCTCTCTGAGCGGTCACAAGCTCTCCGCGCATTAAATTCCATGCCGCAATTGGCAGAGAAGCGATCGCGACTCTTGGTTCCCGTATTACTCGAGTGGGCTGGTGATGAAACCGAAGAGCAGGAGCAAGAAGAAACTGGAAGCACGCGCCGTTGGGGCCGTAAAGACCAGAAAGCCATGCTCGGCGTCTTTGCGCAGTTCCAAAATCCTAGAGTGTTGTTCAAGGCAACCGAGGTTTACCAAGCTCTGCTGAACCTTCTTACGAACGGTGATAACGAGATCCAAAAGTCGACACTCAAGGCTATTCTGGCTTGGAAAACTCCTAGTGTCATCAAGTACCAAGAACATCTGCTGAACTTCCTTGACGATGCGAGGTTCAGAGAGGAGGTTTCTGTATTCCTTCGTCTTGAAGAGGAGGGTGATGCCATTCGAAGTGCTGATTGCCCAGAGCTCATGCCAGTCTTGTTGCGTATCCTATACGGTAAAGCAGTAACACGAGCTGGGTCGGCCAGTGGTAAACGTGGACAACAAACCCGTCGTAAAGCCATTTTCGTTGCTCTTGCTCGCTTCCCTGCAGAGATCGTTGGACAGTTCCTGAGCATCTCCCTCGGTTCATTGGCCACTATGGAACCTATCCAGAATGGTGAGCTGAATCAGACGGCCGTGGACAAATTTGCTGTCGCTCCAAGAAAGCAGGTTGGTCTGTTGAACATGCTGGACGACATGGTACATACTCTCGGCAATAGACTGGACCGCTATGCAACAAAGATTGCCGATGCCGTTCTCCTCTGTCTGCTCAAAGCTTCCAAGTCGCATACCGGTCTCATCGACAGCGATGAGGAGGCTCCGGTCGAGGATGAATCTCAGACTTCCCTCGATCGTGCGATTCGTCAAGCTGGCTTCCACTGTTTGATCCAAGTCTTCTCTTCTTGCACTGAAGTCTCCTGGTACAACTACGCCAAGGTCGTCATGAGCGAGTTGGTGGGCTCTCGTTTGGAGAAGCTCCCCATTGAGACTGCGCAGTCTGTGTCAGCCTTCCTGCGTCTCTTCTCGACCTGGGCTAGCTCTTTGGCCACCTGCCACTATCTGACAGAGTTCTTCCCTCAAACTCTTAATGCTGTGGCGGACTGTCTTGTGGTGCCCAGCGCAAAGAACGAAGTCAAGTCATTCATCATTGAGCACATCATCGGTCGTTTGTTGGACACCATCCAGCCACGCCAATCGAAGGATGCCGACATGAATATCGACACCACCGAGGAGCAGGACCAAGCACGTACATCTATACTAGGACCACGTGCAAGTCTATTTGTTGTTAGACTCGGTGCTGTTCTGAGACAGAGCCCTCCCAAAGACATCCTTGACTCAAGCGTTCTGTGTGTTTCCCGTCTCGCACCATTGGTCACTGGAGTTGAGAACATTCGCGATGTTGTCGACGTTTCAATCTTCTTGCTTGGCCAGCCTTCAAAGACTGTTCACTTTACCACCAAGCGTGATCTGCTGCAAACATTGTTCCATCTTATTCCTGGCGCCGAACTCAACAAGGACGAAGTTCGTTTCAACCAAGTCTACTCGACACTTTGCCCATTGTTTGGCTACTTCAAAGATCGTGAGAGCAGAGAGCTTCTTGCTGCTGTTGTTAAGCAGTTGGCCGACGAGAGGAAGGAGCTGTCTTACGTTGCTTCTTTGTGCGAGGACCTGAACTCCTTCTCGGCATCGAGACTCGATGAACCTGATTTCGAGCGTCGTGCCATTGCCTTCAGCACTATCAATGAAGAGAAGTACTCTACTTTCACTGCCATGCAGTGGCAGCCATTGGTTTACAGCATGCTATACTTCATCCGAGACAACGATGAGCTTGCCATCAGAACTAGCGCCTCTTACAGTTTGAGAAGATTTATCGAGGTGGCAAGTGTAAACGGTGACTTCAAGGATGAGGATTTCAAAGCCTTGACCATCTCAGGACTCTACAATGGTCTGCAAGGTGGTATGCGAGACCCCTCGGAATTGGTTAGATCTGAGTACCTCCAAGTTCTGGCTCACTTGATCAAGCACTTCTCATCCTGGGATGCCGTCAATGACATGGCCAGTTTGCTTGTCGAGGGTGACGAGGAAGCTTCGTTCTTTAACAATATTCTTCACATCCAGCAGCACCGCAGACTTCGTGCTCTGAGAAGATTGTCTGAAGAGGCTCATGCTGGTGTCATCTCGAGCAACAACGTCAGCTTGTTCTTCATCCCTCTTCTGGAGCACTTTATTTTCGATCCCGCTGGTGATGACGGTGCTCACAACTTGTCTGCCGAGACCATCAACACAGTGGGAGCTCTTTCTGGGTGTTTGGATTGGCAGCTATACAGGTCAACTCTGAGAAGATTTGTCAGCTACATCCAGAGCAAGCAGGAGCTCCAGAAGATCGTACTCAGAATCGTCAGCCGTGTCATTGATGCTCTGGACCGTGCTTCCGAATCCGTTCGCAGCAAGAACACCAGCATGGAGGTGGACGGCGAAACCGAGTCAACCACGAACGGTACCTCAGCCCTGAGCCCACTTGCTGCAACTCTACCCTCGGAGGAAAAGCTTTCCAATGAGATCAACAAGCAGCTCTTGCCTCCTTTGACTCAGTTCTTGCATCTCAAAGATGAGTCGACTGTCAGTTTGCGTGTTCCTGTTGGTGTTGCTGTGGTCAAGCTCATTCGTGTGCTTCCTGTTGCCGAGCACGCCTTGAGACTTCCTACTGTACTCATGGACCTTTGCCACGTTCTTCGTAGTAAAGCAGCTGAGGCTAGAGACATGACAAGAAAGACTTTGTCTGAGATTGTTGGTATCCTTGGGCCATCCTACTTCCAGTTCGTCATCAAGGAATTGCGCAGTTCTTTGCAGCGTGGTTACCAACTTCATGTCATGTCTTTCACCATGCACTCAATCCTAGTCGACAACATCAACTCTCTAGAGGCTGGTGATCTCGACCACTGCATCAACGATATTATTGCTGTTGTCATGGACGACATCTTTGGTGTTGCCGGTCAGGAGAAGGATGCTGAAGAGTACATTAGCAAGATGAAGGAAGTAAAGAGCAGCAAGAGTTATGACTCTGCTGAACTCGTCGCAAAGATCACCACCACATCCCATCTTGGCGACTTGATCAGACCCATTCAGTCTCTGTTGCTTGAGAAGCTGGACCTCAAGACTGTCAAGAAAATCGATGAACTTCTTCGTCGCATTGGTCTAGGCGCAAGTCAGAATCCGGCAGTCAAGGACAGAGACATTCTTATCTTTGGTTACGAGATTATCCAGAAGGTCTATGCTGCCACTGCCGAAGCCAAGACTCGCCCTGTCATGGAGGATTACAAGATCAGAAAATACCTCATTCAGATGCAGAGTGCCAACAAGTCTGGCAAGAAGGGAGCAACTAGCTCGTACATCTTCAAGCTTACTAGGTTCGCTCTGGATCTTGTTCGCGCTGTCTTGCAGAAGCATGATGAGCTCAAGACTCCGGCAAACCTTGCTGGCTTCTTGCCAATTTTGGGTGATGCATTGATCGGTGGTCAAGAGGAGGTCCAGATGGCATCGGTCCGTCTGCTCACTTCTATCATCAGAGTTCCATCGCCGCAAATCGTATCAAATGGTCCAGTCTACGCAGCAGAAGCAGTCAAGATCCTCAGAGCTGCTCCCTCGACCATCACCGAGTTGGCTCAATCGTCGCTGAAACTGATCTCAGCCATCCTTCGCGACAGACCAGACATCAAGATCAAGGAGAACGACATGGCCTATGTGCTCAAGAGGATCAAGCCCGATCTGGAGGAACCTGATCGTCAAGGTGTCATATTCAACTTCTTGAAGGCTGTCGTAGCGCGCAAGATTATCATCACTGAGGTCTATGAAGTGATGGATTCTGTTGCTGCAATTATGGTGACCAACCAGACGCGCAGTGCTAGAGATCTCGCTCGTGGTGTTTACTTTGCATTCATGATGGAGTATCCTCAAGCGGGCAGTCGCTTGAACAAACAGATCGCGTTCTTGGTCCAGAACCTCGAGTACAAGTATGTCGAGGGAAGACAGTCTGTGCTTGAGTTGTTGCATTTGTTGCTGGCCAAGACTCAAGGAGATCTTGTCCAAGAATTGTCGAGCATGTTGTTTGTGCCATTGGTCATGATGATGGTTAATGACGACTCTCCGGAATGCCGCGAGATGGCTGGCGCATTGATCAGCAAGATTCTTGAGCGTGCTGACGAAGAACGCACAACGAACTTTGTCACTTTGCTGCGCACGTGGTTGGAGCAGGATGAGCAATTGCTGCTTCGTCGCATTGCTTTGCAGTGCTGGACTATCTACATCGGACACGGCAAGGCAAGTGCCAAGGAGACTTCCTTCCTGTTCAAGCAAGTGTCCAAGCTTTTGAACCCTGAGGATGTCGAGACTGAAGACTGGGAGTTGCTGTACTATGCCTTGCAGGCATTTGCAAAGATGGCAGAGATGGCACCTTCCACTTCTCTAGCACCTGCCGCCAAACCTTCCTGGACAAACATTTTCAAATGTCTTGTTTTCCCGCATGCGTGGGTCAAGCTTTCTTCTGCTCGTCTTGTCGGTTTGCTGTTTGCAGATATGGGCAACTGTGCTTCCAAGACCGAGCAAGGTCTTGCTGCTTTGCCTTTGTATACAAACAGCAAGATGGAGGTTACTGCGAAGGAGCTTCACGAGTTGTGTGCTGCTGGCTTGAGAACCCTGCGTTTCAGCAATGTCAGTGAACAGTTGGTCGGCCAGACAGTTCGTAACTTGATCTTCTTGGGTCGTTGTTACAGTGCCGATAACGTGGACTGGGAGCACCCCACGCCTTACACCAGAAACGGCGTTGCAGCAACTGCTCAAGAGGACGACGAGCAAGAAGACGAAGAGGACGAAACAGCAGATGCAGAAGACGAAGACGAGGAAACTGCCTCTACTTCTGCACCTACAACAGCACTTCATCACCTGCTGTCTCGCCTTTCAGCACTCATCCGTCGCGATGATGGTGCACCCACTGCATCAGTCTTATCCGCAAAGACCGGTGCTCTCCAAGCCATCGCCTCGCTCTGCAACATCCTTCCCTCTACCCACATCTCTCCATCTCTCCCCTCAATCCTCACCCCCATCTACCTGCTCACCGACGCCTCCATCGCCGCCCCACGCCTCGCCACCGAGTCCCTCCAAAAATCCTACCAAGACCTCAAAGCCTTGGCTACAGAAGTGGCCTCCTTGCTCCAAAAGAAACTCGGCAGCACTGATTACGTGGTTGCCATGAGAGGAGTTCAAGAACAGGTTAGAGGTAGAAGAGAAGAGAGAAGAAGAAAGAGAAGGATTGAAGCTGTTAGTGCGCCTGCTAAGTATGCGGCTGATAAGAGGAGGAAGCACGATATTACCAAGGCGAAGAGGAAGGAGAAGAGTGCGGAGGCTAGGGGTAAGAGGAGAGGGTGGTAGGAAGACATACATCTATCTTTGGGGTGTTTTGATCTTGCATTATGTTTTTTCTTTTTGTGTTTATGCATACTGTTAAGGTGTTCTGGTTTTCATGGGTTTGGTCCGTGTTATCGATCATATAAAAAGCGAATATGAAGTTTCATCATGTGTGTTTTAAAGTACTCTCATAGAGATCATTGACGCCCTTTGAGATAGGAATGGGGCGTAAGCCATGCATAATTGCATGGATGATTAGTGACTTAATCCTCAGAGTTGTCTGTGCAGCAGCGTGAAGGCCATGTGCAAGATATAATGTTTGCGTTGATCTCATGCCAGATGTCAATGATTTGGTGGGAAGCACGATCTCTAGATCGATATCGTGAGTGAATGATGGTAGTAAGGAGCTTGCGACCTTATGTGTACAGATGACTGCAAGTGATTATACCAACTAGTCCTGATGCGTGTAGGTCTGTGGCGATCTTGATGGCAGAAGTAAGATGGTGATAATCATGGTTCTTGTACGCAAGGTCGCTGTGTTGTTCAATGAAAATGAGGTGGACTTGAGGCTTTGTAGACTGTAGAATTGCAGTAGTGTATTACCGCTGTAGATTTGAGGAGTGTGGAACGATTTGTGGTAGTAGAACTTGTTGAGAATCGGATGCGGAAGGACTGAGTAGTTGAGGGAAATGGTGGTTAACCATATTAGGAGCAAAGCAAGGGACCATCCATAGTAATACTTGAACAGTGCTAATGATTCCATCTTTGCCAATAGAGTCTAGTACACAAGAAGGCAAGACGGTGGACAAGACAACTATGCATAGGAAGTGAAGTGATATTATTCATCATAGGGGAACCCAGTAAGCTAGCTATAGTAAAAACGCCTCATAATCATGTCATCACAAACGCCATTTGAGTGCATCTGAACCGATCCCGTCAGCTCGTGATGGCGATCTAGTAGTCCCAGGTCCAGTTGACGTAGTTGTCGGGGTCTTGACCAGTCTCGTAGGCGTAGTTCATGGCGGCAGTACGAGTGTTGAGCAGATACTCGCGAGTCGACGAGCCCTTGTTGCCGAGAACAGACTTAAGACTGTCAATGGCAAGAATGGCCAAACTGTAGCGATCAGTCTCGTTGCGGATGGCCAGTTCGAGAGGGGTGTCAATATTTCCCTTCTCCTTGTACCCGCGCACGCGCATCAAGTTCTGACCCTTTCTTTTATACGTCATGCGGTGGACTAACCAGGGGTACGAATGAAAGGCGAAGTCGTGGAAAGACAAGAAGTTACTACAGGGGATTGGCCTGTCTAAGCGCTGCTATATCTCCAAGCCTTATATATTACTAGACCTGCTATAAAAACATCTTCAGTCCCTTTGGTGCAGTGGTTAGCACGTTCCACAGATGATGCCTTGTTAACGTGACCCGGCCGGGCGGCTGCTAGATGGGCCCCTAGCAGCCGGTAGTTAACAAGGTAGCTGCAGTTGGGAAGGCGTGGGTTCGATTCCTACAGGGGACATACAATTTTTTTTGCTCTGTTCTTATACCACCACTTCTTTGCCAAATATCCAGTTACAGAGCCACGGTGTAGTCAGTCCAAGTGCCAATTACTGTGCTCCTTTCGGTCAACAGTGCCCTTACTTGTTTTGTGCATGGTGGGGTTCATGGCAGTCGCTTCCAAAAAAGGTAGTCCTGTAAAGTCAAGTGCACACTTCTGCGGAAGGTGCTACAGCGAGACTTCTTAAGCTGAAAATCCTCCCTTCACTCTTCTTTCTTCCTCTCCAAGTTCATTAACTTCCAACAAAGAGAATCTGCCTGTCTCATCTCTTCTCAGCTCTTCTCTTCTTGTACACCACCCGCACACACACACACACACACACACACACACACACACACACACACAATGGCCGGTGACATGTTCACCTTCGGCGCTGGTGGTGCAGGCGGTGCAGGTGGTCCTCCACCTACTTTCAACTTCACCTTCCCGCCACGCCCTGCTGCGACCCGCAGCTCTGCCCCCTCCTCTCGCTCTCTCCGCTGGTCTCGCTACCAACAGCGAAGGAGAACCTGCTCTTGCCATCGAGCAGACACCCACCACCACCGTCGACCACAATGTCGACATCGACATGGGCAACCAGCAGCCTGGTCCCATTGACGCCCGCACCACCGCCATGGTGGTTCATCCTTCCTCCGGCGCTCATGTCGTCGGTGATGGTTCAGGCCCCGGCTTGAACCCTACTCACGCCTCCGCTGGTCCTCCCATGGGCCCACCAAACACCTTCTCCGCCCCCGCCCCGCCCTCCCAGCCTCTGGCCTTGCCTGCTCCGCAGGTCGACTCGTCCGCCCCCGCCCCCACCCCCACCCCCAGCACCTCTCCCTTGGTGCCAACCTGGGGTCAACCAGGATTCGTCCCGGTTGAGGGTGCCACCTGGGGCCAGCCAGGTTTCGTGCCTTGCGAGAGGCCTCACAAGGCCCCACGCGAGACCATCAGGCACTCGACTGCGGAGTGCAAATATGGAGCTCCCGCCGGCTCTGCTCCCAAGCAGGTGAGCAAACGACCTGCCGGTCAGGTGGCTTCTCGCGGCGGTCAACAGGCCGTGTCGACGGTTGGCTCTGGGTTTGGTACTTTCTCCGGCCCTGCCCTTGGCTACGGCCTTCCAACCTTGCTCCTGCACCTGCTCTCAGCGGTGCGAACTTCTTCCAGCACATGGCATCCCTGGCCATGACGAACTCCTCGGTCCCTCAACCAATGAGAGACCAAGCCATGGCCTACGCTGCCATGGCTAGCACCATCAACGACGTCACTCAGGCGTCGCAGCAGCAGCAGCAACTGCAGCAACAGCTGCAACAACAGCAACAGCAACAACATGGCCCCTCGCGCCGCAGGCAGGGTCCCTCCGCCGCCGTCCAACGTGGCGGCGTCAAGAAGAACCAGAGACGCGGCGGTGGGCGTGGTCACCGCAAGGACCAAAACAACCATCCTGGTGGCAATGGTCCTCCTGGCGCTGGTGGTGCAACAGCATGAGCTTTCCTGTCCGCAGGTGTCTCGTGTCTTTCTTTCCTCTTTGCCTCCTCATGGGCTTCTGTTTTGATTTCGCTGCCTCCTCATGGGCTTGTTTTGTTTTCGCTGCCTCCTCATGGGCTTGTTTCGTTCTGCTGCCTCCTCATAGGCTTGTTTCATTCCTGCTGCCTCCTCATGGGCTTGCTTTTTACCGGCTACCTCCTCATGGGTCTGCCCTGATTCCGCTGCCTTCTCATGGGTATGCTCGAAAATCAAAAAACCAAAAATCACAAAAACAAAAAAACCAAAAAAATTTTCATTGGTTACTCGGTGTTTCACTGGGAACTGAAGAAGAATGGATTTGTAGATAGACAACACGAGCTGTATGCTCGAATGATGTATACCCTTGCCTTTCCTTTCCCTGTTTTGTAGACTGATTGATGGCACCCATAACATCGCAACAAGAGGTGGAAGCCACAAGGTGTCGTTGGTTCATTGATCTTGGCATACGTCAGATAGTCACCCCATTTCCTGTCCAATGTTGTCCAGTTGTATTGTTTGCTTCGAGTCCTTTCATGATACTTTAATCGGTCCATTCAAAGTAGATCGATTAAAGAAACAATCTGGCATATCAATCGCTCGCCGGTCTATGAATTGATTGCTAGCCAGTTTAGAGTAGCACGAGCCATCGACGAACGAAGATGATCCATACAGGCTGCATAATCAACAGCACTCGAAGGCGCTGCACCAAGGTTCTTAACTTAGCCGGCAACGAGAGTCGCAAGAGAGGCCAAACTCTCTCCAGACGAAAGTCGCTGTTGCTTCCTTTGGTGCTAGGGCCACCTCGGATGAGTACGGTTGCTTGGGTGGGCATGATTGCAACAACGCTGATCTCAATATCTGCTACAACTGAACGAAAGCAACGACTTGACTTTCTGAACGGATCTCTCGATGGCCTATCCGGGACCGACCCCAAAATCACAACGACACCTGTTCTTCCCACTGGTTTTGTATTGATTAAGAGCAAAAGATGCCATTGCCGACCTGTAATGACACCGATTATCGAGATGCAACGCAGTTCAGCCGAGATATACAAGTTGACAAAGACAATCAGCCCCACACAAATCAATCTACGAGGAGTGCCAACAGCCGAATTATGAACGAGCCACGACTGTATATGCTGCCGACACTGATACACCTGACTCCTGCCCTTGAAACCGACACCAAGGCTGCAATCAAGAAGCCAGAAGGCAAGAAGGCTGCAGCAACCAATGACAAGAAGAACGGCAATGGCATTAAGAAAGAATGTCGCCGCAAGTACGGCCACACTCCGAGCGTCCGGTGGCAAGGTTTGTTGTGTATCTGCCCAACGACAGCACTCTTATGTCTTGATGGCCGACTTCTGCTCTCGCAGTCCAGAAGTCTGACATATCGGGAGAATATCATGACCTCGTCGTGTATACCTCGAGTGCCTTTACCAATCAGCAGCAGCCACAATTCCCTAATCTTCGCCAGCTGAGCATTCAGCTTCCTGTTAACCTTCTTGCATTCAAAAACTCAATCTGGTCAAAGCGACTGGCTAACACTCTGACCAGAGTCTTCGAGATTCAACACCTTTGCCCTCTATATGGCAGCCAATCCATCCGAGAGAACATTACGGCCTCCTCATGGACCCCTCCAACGCCTCTACCATTCAGCAGCAGGAGCAGCACCCTACTTAGCACCAACGGTACGTCACTGGACGGGAAGAGAATCGGCGTGAGAAACCTGAAGCACGCTTCTGTCATGTTCTTGAGCTCTGGACATCCCGACAGGCTGGGCGCAAAGAGAATGGAGTCGTCTTGATCACTAGCTGTAGTCACCACTGTGGTTGGCGGTGGACGTCCATGATGCCAGTGCTAGACAGGTGAAACTTGTTGTATTCTTGAAGATCTTCCCAGATGGATTGCGGTTCCGCGGCCCTGGCTTTCTCGGTCTTTGTTCAACAAGAAGTCCGAGGAAGAGTTGAAGAAGTCTGAACCATAGAGACAAGAGACCGAGTTCGCTGCGAGACTCGATTGCTTGTCAGGAAACCAATAAATTCTTGCCGTCGCTGGTCCTGACGCTTACCAAACACTCGCATGTGAGCCCTTTGCGATCAAGATGATCGTGAGCAGCCTAGAGCATCCACTCAATTCAATCATACAAGACGTCGAGAACTCTTCACTGTTACCTTCTCCAGAACATCAGCTCTGATGTCCATTCTACGCTATACAAAATCTACTCACGCCTAACAAACACTTATCTTGCAACGAGGCTTGGAGAAATATGTTCCTTGTCACGCCGCCGATGAAAAGACTACATGGATTCTTACGGCACACGTCGTCTTGGCTCCAACAGCAATCTTTTGCCTCCCGCATCACTCGAGCTGAGCGTAAAAACAAGTTGCCCGCTCAGCCCCACTCAGTATCATCGTCGCAGTCGCGCTGCAAGAGTTCTCTGTAACCTTTGCAATTGTTTGCTTTCGCATGCAGCTCGCCGTCTTGTCCTGGTGTTGTTGGCGTGAGTGCTTTCTGCTGCTCGGCGACTTCCTTTGCGCGAGTTACGAGTGCTCGTTGAACCTGATTGTAGGCCCGACGTCAATTCGTGTTCTTGGGGATTCTGTTTCGCCGAGATTGGTCGAGAGGACGGCGGTTCCCAACAAGCTTGGCGTTTTCTCTGCTTCAACGATTGCATGATCTGCACAATCTTTTGCTTTCTGGAGTCGGCAGCTATCAAGTATGCGACTCACGCTAGCACTCAAATCTTGAGATTCTGTGTTGTCGTCGTCTTGTGTCGGTGTTGATTTTTGCCGTCCTTCGCACAGCCCTCGAAGCTTACCCACTGCTTGTAAGCGCGACGTCAACTCATCTCCTGTTATGTTGTTCTCTTCGGTGGTAGAATCTGAAAATTCTGCTTCACCAAGAGGAGTGGAAAGGGCGGTAGTATTCAAAAGGCGGTGACTTCTGCTGCTTCGACTTCTTCCTCGATGCTCAACTCTTTGCCGTCTAGTTCTCTTGCCATACGGCGATGCATGGCTTCAACACGCTGGGCGAGTTCTTTGGGTCGGTTGCTTGCCTTCTCCGTGTGTTCGTTAATCTTCTCTTTGACGACTAGGTGAGGCTGATCGGCGTCTTGACCATCATCGTCGTCCCCTGTCGCTGCTTCTGCACGCTTCGAGATCTCATCTACTTGACGAATTTGCTCTGACAGTTCGGCGCGCATTCTTTCACAGCGACGGAAGAGATCGGCAGCTGCGGCACCTAGTCGGCTTGTTTCGGTTGACAGCAGGCGGCGTGCATCGGTAAGTAGTTCCAATGTGGCGGGAGAGAAACGGACTTGTGTCTTCAGATCCGCCTTTCTCAACTGTGGGGTTTTTCTTGAACGGCGGTGTCTAGGAAGCCGGGGAGTGCAGAGGCAGCGAAGAAAGCTTCAGCTGGTTGGTATGGCTGACGAACATCAGGTGCGGGAAGAGCTGATGATGCCTCATCGGGAGCGAACGAAGCATAGAGTGAGCGGTCGGTGGGAACATTGTGTTCTTGAATCTGCCTTCGTTAACTGAGTGTTTCTTTGCATTCAGGCAACAAAGACTTGCATTGCGCACAAATGAATTGGCGAAGTCCAGGGCGGAGGGCATCTGGCTCAAGTCGATGCTCTGAATGTGCAGCAACTTTTCCTTCTCGAGCAGGCACGAGAGAAACCATGGCGGTTCTCTGTTTTGGCGGCCAAAGAAGATGAATGGCTCGGTGACCAAGATGGGAAATGCCTAGACCAAGTCTTTGCCAGGCTATGTTGGTCACATTTCCCATCTCAGTGTGCTCTTGGTCTACATTATCCTTCTCCAAAACCGATGTCTTCCTTCCTCATGATAACCTTTAGTTGAACTCCGCCCCAACAAAGCAGAATGTTGCGCAAAGCTCGCTTTTCGTCTATACTGTCCATTCTCGAAGATTCTCACAAGTGTCATGCGCCATCATCAACACCGACCACATCAACCTACGCACACCAATCCGAACCGGAGAAGAGAACGAAGATCTCATGCTCATGTTCGCGCGCCACATCTACATGTGTGACAACATTATTGAGCTCTGGCTCTTTCAAAGCCTTTACATGTTCGCTCTGGCGATTTTCTTCAGCTTCCATCACATGTTCCTTCTTGGCTTTGTCCCCGAGTGACCAATGACACGCCAACAATCACTGCGCCACCGCTCCCTGATCATGAGTTACAAGTCGACTGAGATGCTCACTATTTGCCTCCGATTGCATCATCATTGTCTACTTCAAGAACAACAATTCAACTATATGAATAACAACAATCCAAATCTCGGTGTTCGCAACCTTCACGCCTTCACCCTGGCTACCTCCCTTCTCTCACTCATTTGCTTCTTCGTGCCTTTCCATTCGCACTAATGGAAACTGGCTCACGGCTTCTCGATCATAATCCTACGACTAGGCTGCTTCAAATAACTGTTAGTTCTTAATCCTTACCTACACGAGGAGTAAAGGTGTTGAGACGAGGCACGCCTCATAGTTGCCAACGACAACACAACCAAATAGAAGCTCGAAGAGGAAAGCTATGCGCTCAGAAGAGAAAAAGCCGAGACCAACAAGAGGAATGGGGAACCCAGGCTCATTTATCTACGCCAAGAGAGCATCGCCAGCCAACTTAATCGAAAGAGGCTCAGGCTCATTCATCACCAGCCGAGAGAGCATCACCAGCCGAGAGAGCATCACCAGCCGAGAGAGAAAAAGCCGAAACCGACAAGAAGAATGAGCAACTCAGACTGAGTCACCTACGCCGAGAGGGCATCACCGGCCGAGAGAGAAAAAGCCGAAACCGACAAGAAGAATGAGCAACTCAGACTGAGTCACCTACGCCGAGAGGGCATCACCGGCCGAGAGAGAGAAAAAGCCGAAACCGACAAGAAGAATGAGCAACTCAGACTGAGTCACCTACGCCGAGAGGGCAGAAACCGACAAGAAGAATGAGCAACTCAGACTGATTCACCTACGCCGAGAGAGCATCACCTGCTAACTTAGTCAAGAGAACGATAGGCTCAAGGCTAACAACGACAACTTGACCATCGCCAACCACACTCTTCACCATAATCTTGTGGCCATGAACACAAACGTGGGGCATTCGGCAACATGCGCGTCTGAGGGAGAAGACCAACTTTCCGAGCTTAATATGTACACCGATCGATTCCAAGAGCAACAAAAGAGGGATGAAGCGGAAGTCGCAGAACTCAAAGCGTCTAGAAGATCTTTAAGAGCATCACCAGAGGCTGGCTCTTTCATAGCCTTGGTACCTTCTTCCCAACGTGTTCTCTTCGTCTCTAGTCACTCCTTCCTTCTTACCTTTTCTTCTGGCCAGATACATCTCGGCATCATCGCGAAAGAGCTATTGTTTGCTGTTTTACCTCTAATCTTGCAATTCGCATTGTTCTTGTCCTTGCCTTGATCTCGGTAAACCCTCTAGAACAACTGAAATTCACAAAGTCCTCAGAGACTCTGACTCTCTCACTACCTTGGAACCTTCTTCCTGGCTGCTTTTCTTCACGTTCGATCACTCGTCCCTTCTCGCCTTTCCGTCTGGCCAAAACACCACACGGCAGGAGCAGCCACTAACGATCGCTGCGTCGGTCCTTACCGCTCACCCGTGGCAACTCTGCAATTCGGCCGTCTCAAGCATCTTCACTGTACAGCTTTGAATGCGTCCTCTGATTCCTCTCTGCCATCGCAAACGACCAAGACTTGGCACAATACAAACTTCACAATGGCTACCGACAGCAGAAGCTCGAGATTTCTGGCTTTCTCTCTTCATTCTCAGTCACTCGTTCCTTCTTGTCTTCTCCTCAAACCAAAACACCACACGGCAAGCGCAGTCACCAACGATCACTGCGTCGCAACTCCCTGATCAAAACCCTTCGGCTCGGCGGCCGCCTCACAAGATCTTCACTGTTCAGTCTTAGCTGCTTGCCTTGGGTTGTTTTCCTTCAAGAACAACTACAGATTCACCCAAGCACTCTTTCACTATGCCAACTGAAGATAAGACAAAGGAAGAACTCGAAGAGGAAACCAGGCGCTTCGAGATGTCACCGATGCGCTTAGAAGTGACAAAGCTGAGGTCGAAAAGAAGAACCAGGAGCTCAGGTTGATTCATCTACCAGCTGAGATCGGAAAGAAGAACCAGGAGCTCAGACTGATTCATCTGCGCCGAGAGGGCATCGCCAGCCAGTTCAATCAAGAGAACGATAGGCTTCAGGCTCACAACGACAAAGCCGAGCTCGAAAAGAAGAACCAGGAGCTCAGACTGATTCATCTGCGCCGAGAGGGCATCGCTAGCCAGCTCAACGGTCAACCAAGACTCAAGAGAACGATAGGCTTCAGGCTCACAACGACAACTTGACCATCGACTTCGCAACAATGTCGGGACTTTAAACACGAACGTGGAGCAGTGGGCGGCATACGCGTCCGAGGGAGATGATCAACTTTCCAAGCTCAATTTATAGTGCGGAAGATATGCCAGGGCGCAACGCAAGTTCTGCAGAGAGCACAGGTCCTTACATATCTGAGCATGGAATTTTTATGATTCACTAGTTAGCACTTTCAAACATCGCTGTTTCTTGAGTTTATCTCGTCAGTCCGCCAACCTCAACTCCCTTTGGTTATTGTGATCTTGACCGATAGCAATACGATCTAACTACAAGAGACATCAAGTCTCGAGCCTGAGAGGCTAGAGTATGACGAACTGGAATGTATACATGAGGCTTTCCAAAACTCGTCGACCGGGTCACTGGTTTGACAAAGATCAGCGCGAAGTGATGCGTCTCCGCCACGCAGTTTTGTATTCAAGGAGCTCTGAGATTCCAATGAGGTACGAGGCTTTGATAGCTGAGTACGACGAACTCGAGCGCAAACACGAAGCTTTGTGAGAACCTGACAGTGATCTCGATCAGACAGTCGAGGAAGACCAGAACGAAGTCATGCGGCTCCGCCACGCTGGCCTCAAGGCTAATGACTACAGACATCAGACTTCTGACCAACTAGAATGATCGGACTAAGCACGCAAGCATTTGTAACCTCCGCAAGTAAAACTACCACAGTCCATCCCGCTGTTCGCAAGGCCGCTGCACTCGATCTCGTCAAACATGAAGCCGCCACTCGCGCTAGACGAGCAGAGGAGAAGGCCAAGGAAGCCGTGATGCTGGTCAAGGAGGTGAAGAACATCCTGATGACAGAAAGAAAGTCGCACTGGGATGAAATCCCAGCTTAAAGCGATGCTCCAGCGATACATAGTATCTCGAGAAGAAAACAAGTTCCAGGCAGATCTATTTGGAGGCAGTAATAACACTATCTTTGGCAGCTAGGATTATCGTCGATGGTGACGGTTCAGTACAGCACAGTGATCTTCTCAGTAATTGAAACAATGCGATAGAATAGAATAGTCTTAGTCTGGACTGTCTGGATAGCCGTTGGGAGCTGCGTTGACTATACCACGCCACTGTGCGTTGAAATTGATGCTGCAGTCGTTGCAGGCCTTGTCATCGAGACAATACCCTCTCGGTGCCTTTTGAACGCGCGTCAGACATAGTTGCCGCCAGAAAAGCCAAGGCGCAATCATTTGATTGAATGTTGCGGGCAGGGCCTGGAGAAGTTAGTATCAGAGAGGCAAACCACCTTGTGGGTTGCTTACCAGAACGAGCATCACTCAGCTAATTCTGGAGAAGGTCGACCGATAATTCCACTCGACTGATGGTTCTGTCTCTAGCGTTGGGAGAGTCCTTGCGTTGGCCGCCAGGGAGTGTAGCAGAAGTAGCAGCGGGTGCAACAGGGGCGCCAGACAAATGGCCGAAGAAGTGTCAGCGGCACCAGTGCCATGAGCGAATGGTGACACTGGAGTAGCTGCGTCGCCGTTATGAGCTGAGAGCGGCGTGAGGACTTTGAGGCAAGTGAGGGATAGCTGATTCATGACCGCGAGCGGCATGGGAGCCACGAGGCACCTTTGGCGGGCGCAAGAGCGATGGTGGTGATAGTGCTGCTGGTTGACATCATACCCTTCGCTATGGGTGTAGGTTTGGGTGTGTGGAGGGCAACAAAGGATCTTTGATCCGTCGATGAAGCCGTTGGCTATGAACTGTTTTTCGCCGAAGTCAGGAAGATAGATGTTTGGTTAAGGCAAATCGGATTTAAGGACCGGACAGACTGCAAGATGCAAGATGTCAACATTACTGCATCGAGCTTGTTGTGCACAAATTCGTTATGCAGGAGCCGAAGGGCTCGGCATTGAAGCAGTCTTGTTGGCGCCGCCGTTCTGCTGCAATTTCCTGTTCCTCCGTGACACTCATAGAAACTTCTGACTACAATGCTTTTGATCTCAAGATTATGGGTAGCCGCAGAATCGAAAACTTATTGGAGAAACTTGAGTGATTTTGTAAGAGGATATTCGGCCGAATCGATTGACGAGGTATCCCAATACCAACCAAAATCGGTGATTGCGCAGTCGAGAGACACAGACTCTTGACGAACACACCTGTTCACGAAAGCGATTGGAGGAATCCGCCACTGGCGCTTCATGGTCCGCAATTATTTGTGACAGGTGCAGTCCCAGCCATCCATGAGAATCTTTGTCGCATGGCTTGACAGTAGGCTTCTTGTAGTAGAGTAGTTTGTAGACCATGTTCCAGATCTCAGCAGGCAAATCCAGAAAGCGGAAAGGCTTTTCGACCTGGCGAGGCGGAAAGGCGAGGTCTTCAGGAAATTCACGTTGAGCAAAACCGTCCAAGTCCATATTGGAGTCCGGAAGACGAGCTCTAACAGAAGGACTGCATGGCACTCGGACGTTGGAGGCCAAGGAAGGTGAGCCGAGTTCTCAGAAGGAGGTGGGAAGGTTGTGGATGGAGATGTGTTCGATGGCTCCTCTGACTTTAGGATGAGCTTGCGTTGAGTTTCCCGAGTGCGATATTCTGATCAAAGTTGTCGAAGGGCTTCCTGGTGCTTGGGTTGTCCACAGCCAAACAGACGACCGTGAGGGTGCTTCGACAAGTTGACTGGGACGACTGGGCAGTACTTTGGTCTATATCGAACGTCGTCTGGTCTCTGGACCCGCATCAATTGCAAGAAAAGTAGAGCAGTTGTTGCAGTTGGTAGTTGCGACAGAAAAAGGCTTCAGACACTCGGGAGAGAAACGACCAAGCGCATAGCAGTTGGTGCAGGTGATGGAAGAGGCTCGAGCCAATCAGAGAGATAGTCTTGATCCAGGCTCCTTGGTACTGTCAGACTGATTGTGCAGCTGTGCAGGCGACTTGGGGTATCTGACCTGCATTATCAATTGTGATTGCACATGAGTTCTTGTTTGTCGATGCGAGATGATATGGAAGTGGAGGTCGGCAGCTAACATGCGCACGCCATAGTCTTGGTACATGGAGGCGAGGGTCAGTCAAGAAAATGAGACAGACTTCGATTGCTTCTACGAGCATTCGTGTGTACTTACAATAGGTAGGAGTACGCCCTGCGATAGTGGAGCTCAGGTATGGGGTTCCGCAACAAGTATCAACATGGTCCAAGCTCAGGTAGGTGCACCCACGTTCACAAATGTTCATCGGCAAGAAAGTCCAGCAAGTCAAGGTGTTCGTGGACGCGACTACAGCGCCAAAGATTGTCAGACATCCATTGTCACAACTCCCGAGTCTACACGGTCGTACCTGTATCCACAGGGCTGCTAATCTGAAGAAGGCCTCGTTGGCACCCCGAAGCACGGATCTAGCTCGCCAAAAACAGCTGACATGAGCTGCTTGCCTTGCACGAGGTCGACAACGTGCTTGATCAACAAGGCCCTAGAGGGCGCAAGTGTGTGAAGCAGCTGTTGTCTGAGGACTGCCATGTCTCCTGTCACTTCCCTCAAAGAATTTTGCTTTGACCGCTTTATTCGCCCCCAATGCCAACCTAATCACCATTGAACGAGCATACCACCAACTTCCGTCAATATTCTGATAAGCACAACGCACCCATCAAGCTCTGTTGCCTTATGATAACTACCTTATCCATTATCTTCACCTGCACTCTCTTGACTTGAGCAGTACAAGCACATTCGCCAGGAACATCAAGATCGTGGCTCGCGCACTTTGGATCTCAAAACCTGTCTTCGAGACCCTCAAAGGAGGCAAGATAAACTCACAGAGCGTAACGAAATCTCGAAGAACGCCTCGTCATAAAGCCCTCCCTCCTCACCAAGAAGATCAAAGCGCAACCCCTCCAGGGTAAGCATGACGAACTTCAACGCAACCACGAAGCTTTGTGGAATACTGCCCACTATCTCGATCAGATAGTCGAGGAAGATCAAAACGAGATCTTGACGAGGAGGACCAAAGCGAGGTCATGCGTCTCCGCCACGAACGAGGAAGACCAAAGCGAGGTCATGCGTCTCCACCACGAACGAGGAAGACCAAAGCGAGGTCATGCGTCTCCGCCACGAACGAGGAAGACCAAAGCGAGGTCATGCGTCTCCGCCACGACCGAGCGAGACCAAAGCGAGGTCATGCGTCTCCGCCAGGGGATCAGCTTTGTGGAACGCTGCTCACTATCTTGATCAGATCGTTGAGGAAGACCAGAAAGAAGTGATGCGTCTGCGCCAGGGAGGAAGACCAGACAGAAGTCATGCGTCTGCGCCAGGGCGAAATACGCGTCTGAGGGAGATGACCAACTTTCCAAGCTCAACTCATATACCGATTGCATCGAGAGACGTCTGAAGAGCGAGGAAGCCAAGGCCACAGAGTTTGAAGCTCATCTGGGAGATCTTCAAGGGCGCAACGACAAGCTCACAGAGCACAACGAGGATCTCGAAGATCGCCTCATCACGAAAGAGATCAAAGCTCAGGCCTTCAAGGCTGAGTACGACGAATTGCAACGCGAACACGGAGCCTTGTGGAAAACTGTCCACTATCTCGATGATAGTTGAGAAAGGCCAGAAGGAAGTCATGCGTCTACGCTAGGGAGTCTTATATCTTAAGAAGGCCTGGGAATCGTACGAGCAGCAGTGATCTGCCAGGAAGTGTTGTTCCGAAATGTATGGCAGACCAACAGATCGAGTCGCCCCATTGGCGTGGTGGAGACTATGGCTCGATTCTCGTTCGCACAACGTGTATGATTGTTGGACGTCGATTCGTAAGTCGACCGCTATTTGACATCTTTGCTTTTCTAACGAGATTTGCAGGTCCTTGCAAACGCTACGAAATGTTATAGTCGAAGTTCAGACCGAGTGCCGTCTTTGTGACACCTGGTCAGATTCCAAGAAGTGCTGGAAGTCAGAAGCTATACGTTCTAGGTCACAAGAAGCTGTGGATCTCTTCGAGATAGGAGCTGGGAATCAGCAAGCAAGGGTGCAGAAGTGGATCCTGATGAACTCCTCGTCACACAAGAGATCGAAGCTCAAGCCCTACAGGCTAAGTACGACGAGCTTCAACGCGATCACGAAGCTCCATGAAAAACTGTTCACTACCTCGACGAGATGGTGGAGCAAGACCAAAGAAGCTCCATGGAGAACTGTTCACTACCTCGACGAGATGGTGGAGCAAGACCAAAGAAGCTCCATGAAAACTGTTCACTACCTCGACGAGATGGTGGAGCAAGACCAAAGAAGCTCCATGGAGAACTGTTCACTACCTCGACGAGATAGTGGAGCAAGACCAAAGAAGCTCCATGGAAAACTGTTTACTACCTCGACGAGATAGTGGAGCAAGACCAAAGAAGCTCTGGAGCAAGACCAAAGCGAGGTCATGCGGCTCCGCCAGGGAGTCGTATATCTCAAGAAGATCTGGGAATCGTATGAGCAGCAGTAGTCTGCCAGTGATGGATAGGGAGAAGAGAAAGGGGCAATGCCCAAGCCTTTAAGGCTTATCCTACTCGCATGATTGCCTTGTGCTTTGTCTTGTATGTATCATCTCAGTCTTACCTTCACTGTTATGACCCATTTATCAGATAACGAGTGCCACCCCCATGTGCTAAGATCCGACTTGGAGCATACTCCGACTATAGCAAACAGCATCTCTACGATATAAAAACATGTCTAGATGCAGAGGCATGGCCAAAGAGAGCTGATTGCATGTCGCCTCTCAGCGGGCATTATCCTGTTTCCTGGTAGTATTGTGCATGTTTGTAGCCACACGCGGTACCATGCCTTTTGCACATGGGGAGACGAATAACTATGTCACTTTCCAGGAGCGCAATATCCGGTATTTAATCACATCCTGGGAAAACAATTCCTATAAGGTGCATCTGCTGCCCACCCATCATTCTCGCTCAGCGAGATCAGAGCACAACAAACAGAGCCTGTGGGAGAATCAGAGATCGCTGATCTCCAAGGTTCAGCATCTGAAAACGACTCGTCAAGTGCCCGTCCTGTCGCCTTGGCTTCTACGCCGTCTCTGAGGTCAACTGCTCGTCCTGTCGACTTGGCTTGTACGCTGTCCCTGAGGTCATTTAGCATCTCGAAACGACGTCCCGTCGACTCGGCTTCTACGACGTCTCTGAGGTCATTCAGCATCAACTGCCCGTCCTGTCGACTTGGCTTCTACGCCGTCTCCGAGGTCATTCAGCATCAACTGCCCGTCCTGTCGACTTGGCTTCTACGCTGTCTCCGAGATTATTCAGCATCTGGAAACGACATCTTGTCGAACACACCTAGGCCGAGGAGTTCTTGAACAAAATTCACAAAGCCATTGCTGAAGCTGAAGCTGCATCCAGCAGCTCCACACTCTTCTCGCTCAGTGAGATCAAAGCACAACAAACAGAGCCTGTGGGAGAACCAGAGGTCGTCAACTGCCCGTTCTGTCGACTTGGCTTCTACGCTGATCTAAGGTTATTCAGCATCTCGAAACCACATCTTGTCTGGCACGCTCGGACTTGAATCGCGGCAACATCCACCGTTATTGGTTTCAGCAAGGCCCCAATGGTGTTGCTACCATACGAACCCCAGGCCTCGAAGGGTCCAATGCCAAAGGGGAAGAGCTATTATATCATTGCCCGAACATGACTGGAAGCTGTCGCGACAAATCCTTTTCATCTCTGGCTACGCTGCATGCTCATTTTAAGGGTGAGGAGTGTGCCTACACCGACCACGAAAAGCTGCGGGAAGCGGTCGGTAACTTTGAGCTTGTAGTTCCTCCATTCGGGTCATGCTAGAATATGGGAGCACGAGTGAGGCGGGAGAGCACTACAGATGGTGATGGTAGAGGAGTTTCAAGATCTCGCGGCGTGGTGTGGTGAGATATTACATTGCTAAGAGGCAAGAACCTTTTACATTGCTACTGAGTGGTGTTGGAGGATGACACCATCAACGGGTCTGTCTGATCGTACAGGAGAGTGCGCCAGTGCATACTCATGTTGAGGGTGAGGACTGTGACTATACCGAGCACAAGAAGCTGCGGGAAGCAGTCGGTAACTTTGAGCTTGTAGTTCCTCCATTCGGGTCATGCTAGAAGTGGAGATAAGCACGAGGAAGGCGGGAGAGCACTGCAAATGATGATGGTAGAGGATAAGATTGGCAAGTGGTGAGAAGTATTGCATTGCTGGAGGCATAGAACTTTTACGTTGCAAACGGTCGGGTACGACCACTCGAAACGACTAGGAAATGTCATGACACGTCTTTTTTCTCTGTGGCTGATCTTTTCCCTTTGTGGCTGCGCTTCATGGTCGTCCCGAGAGCGAGGACTGTGACTTGCCAACCGCAAGGGGCTACGGGAAGCGGTCGGCAACTTTGAGATTTTGATTCCTCCATTCGGATCATGTTGGAGAATGAGATGAGCACGAATAAGGTGGAAAAGCGTTAGAGAGGAGTTTACCAATCTTGTGGGGTGATGTGAGAATGAAGTCGGAAAGTGGTGAAGAGTAGAGATTCGATGCGCAGGCCGTAGACTGACGTTCCCATAAGGCTTCAGACCACAATGTAACGAGATCATAGCTAGGGTTTGTGTTGGCTTGTTGGCTGGGCAGAAAGCAGTTGAAAAGGCAGTATTCTGCTAGGTACAGTCGAGGCAAACTTCTGGACTTCGGAGTAGGTATAGGAAGTGTTGCGGGGTTCGCCAAAGGGTGACCTCCTATGGACTTTGGGAGGTGGAGGACGGGCTAGAGTAAAGGAAGCATTTGTGTATTCGGTTGGTAGAGCATGTGCGGATGTCGTCGACGGTTGATCATCGTCGCAGCGCAAATTGGACGTCGGCGGCGGGTCTAGCTTGGGCACTTAGTCCAGTGAACAAACTGGGTACTGCAAAAGCAAGCTTCTGGGTTGTGAAAAATGTTGCGAAGTTTATCGAGGAATGCAGACACCGTAGTGGCCAGGATTCTGTCGCGGCCGCGGCCTCTTCTTGTAGGTCAAGGTTCGGTCGCAGGCACCGCAACGATAAGTGCTGAGGCTGATGGCACAACTTGTACTGTAGCGCTATTCCAGCGATCTCTTGTGACGAGTTCTGGCATCTCCGTTAGGCGAGAAGAGAAGCCAATGGGCAAGACTGGCGGATGCAAATGCTCTGAAATGTCGATGGACGGCGATGCTTCAGCGCTTTGAGATCATGCCTCTGAGTTTCGCATAGCACTGTCGTCGCTATATGTTGTAGTCGTCGTAGTGGGATGTGGGTGTATGAACGATTGGCATTTACCAGGAGTAGGCAGAATGGGTGCTGATCTTTTGATGATAATTTAGCTGACCGGCCGATCTCGCGATATCATGATTGAGCGAGCAAGGGTGCCATGTTTGTCACAGACAACGCAATGGTGAGTGCTGGGATTGATGGGAAGCAAATCGAAGGCATATGCCACATCAAATACGACGGAAGGATGAGCTGCGTCCAGGTTTGGTGTGGTAATTCGACTAAGAGAGGCAATTAGGAGCAAATGATCGAAGGTAATCGGGAGAAGCCATTGTAAGGACGTCTGACAGAGTAGGTTTCCGAAGAGGTCGATGTGACGTCCTCCGCAAATGGCGGACTTGCGCCGTTTTCCCGGAGCCGCAGCTTGGCGCTATGACAGAGAGCGTGCACACCAAGGACATCTTCTCGACAACAACAACAATGGCTGTAGCAGCTCTACTGGCGTCATATCTACCAGATTGATGTTGTATATCTACAGCAGCAACGGCGTATCTCAGCTCCCTGTCTGTCCATCTCGCCTTTGCGGCGCAAGTCTCTTGTCTGATGCTCGGCAGCATTGCAGCAAGCGCGCATCGACAATCTTCTCTCGACCATCAATGCGAGCAGGACGGCATCGCATCGAGATACAATGATCATACCTGCAACTAATCCACTGGCGCCATGTCTATACACCAAGGCACGTCTGGACGCTGAGCCAACTTATGCCAATTCGACCCTACACATCCCACCGAAAGAGATGGTTGTCGGCTCTCGGTCAGCAACAAATTGACGATCTTGAGCAGTCTTCTTGCTTGCATTCGCAACGCAGCCGACGTTCGGTTGGCCCTCAGCACCCGCTCAACAGAATTCAGCCTTGGAGCAAGCATTGGGGCAACCTTCAGCTCCAACACAGCAGCAACGTGCCTTTGGCAAACCTTCGTCATTCGATCAAGCACAAGGAAATCACCACGGCCAGCGTTTGGCCAGCCCTCAGCACCCGCTTAACGAAAGCTAGCCTTCGGACAACCCTCGGTCTCCGGTCAGAATACAGCATTTGGGCAACCTTCGCCGTTTGGTCAAGCACAAGGAAACCAACAACAGCAGCAGTCGCCATACACACGAGCCGCAGCGAAACCTAATCCATTTGGACAACCTTCTCAGCCTGCTACTCAACCGGCTGCCGGTACTTTCGGAACAGCGGCTCCGCAGCAACAGCAACAGCAGCAGCAGGCGCAATCATACGCAGAGCCCGTACCTCAAGGCGATTGGATCACTCGTCAGCCCAACGGGACATTGAAAAGTTGCAAGGGCGCACCTGTACAGTACGTTGCCACAAAAGAGAGTCAAGAGCCGCACTTGCAGGACCCGTGTTTCAAGATGATGGGATTACTCGTTAGCCTGATGGGAGATTGCGAGGCTCCAGGGGCGCACCTGTACAGTACGTTACCAAGAAGGAGACAGATGGAAAGAATCTGGCAACCCCGAGGGCAACGTCGCGTCTCGAGCAGGAATTAATTGAAGCACCGGCAGAAGCTTGAGCATGAAGTAGCATACAGGTTCGTAGCAGAACAAAGCTCCTCGCAGAGTCTTGAAAGAATCCTTGGGTCGTATGGTTCTTTGTAATTTGAGCCTGGGCCTGTACTACGCAATCGCAGGTACTTCAAAAAGCAGTTGGCTCTACCTCAGATGACCTGCATCACGACAATCACGAAGAAGCTTGTGTTGACACCTGAAAAGTCTTTGCTGCCTCAATACATTAGCAGCTCGCTTTGATTCCTACTTGGTAGGGGTTGTATCGCTTCTGTTGATGATTCGTTGTTTCTGATCTTTGACTCTGCGTTGGAAGGCTAGCAGACCGGCTAAAGTCTCAATTTGTCTTTCACCAGCAGGCGTGCGAACATTGTTCATTTTAGAAGTAAGTTCGTATACCTCTGCCTCAGCCTGATGAGCTTTCCTGTCCTCCCCCTCGCTGTATTTTCTATCTCTACCCCATGGTTTTGTGATGTCGGGAAAGTCGCCTACCTCTACTCTACGGCTAACACGTTCAAAGCAACATAACAACACGACTATTTGGGACAACAAATGTTTCCAAAACCTTGAATTTATAACAAGCATATTGAGAGTACGATGAAATGGTGCCTCCGACAACGACCCTCATGGTAAGCCGGGGGCCAGGCACGTATTTCACGCTTCCGCCTGCAGAGTGAACACGTCGA